GAAATACATTAGCTTCTGGTAGTGATGATAACTCTATTCGTCTTTGGAATGTAAAAACATCAAACGAAATACTCCAATCAGATAGTAGCTATAAAGATTTGCTTTCCTAGTTTAACATACCTCTTCAGAATAGCTCCTTATTGCCAAATGGTATTTATTGTTAATTATTATTTAGTTAATCCTGATCGTACAATACTTAGAATATGTTAGAAACCTTTATTTGAAGCATCAGGAACACTTATCTTATAAGGATAATTCAGTAATCATTAAGGGAAAGATTTAAAACCATTGTTTAAATCAAAAGGAAGTTGCTTTTTAGAGAACTTAAAGCAAAAGTGAATTTGATTATTCATTCAAAACATTACAATTATAATTTTAATCATTTTCTTATAACTTTTTGCATAAAATGTGTTTTTTGTTTCTATTAAACTATTTAAATAATATTGAGATTGTTAGAAACGTTATAAATTGATATTTATAGATGTACAATACACTATTAAATTTATAATAAAAACAGAGTAAACAGGTTTAGTCCTAATAATGATTACTAATAGTTTAGTATACTAATAATAATGATACATTTAAGAACAAAGATAAAAAGAGAGATACATTTCAAAAATTAAAAAAATATCCTTAATCTTAGGATAATCTTAAACGAAACAAAGTTAAAACATTGGGATTGAATGATTTTTAATATCACTCTACTCTAATCTTGGTAATATTTTTGTAACCTTTAATTCTTATTTTCAATTGATATTAAAAGTATTAGAGAGAATAAAGGACTAAGATAAATTAATCATCAATAATTATTCCAACCCCTAATAGGATTTAGAGATCTTAATTATATCCATCCCTAACAATAATCTTAAATAAGCTCGATATGAATTACATCCAAAGGAGCTACGTTCAATAATAATTTTGCATTTAAGGAACAGTTATTAATCATTAAGATAAGAACTATGTAATCTTACCTCAAGCTGATTTTTTTTATATTTAAGATTGATCTCTAATTATGTATGGATTTATAATTAAAACTTCTATTACAGAAAGCCAACGAATTCAAAAAAATTTAGTAACCTTTTAAGAGGATTCTGCATATTTTAGGATCGTTTTGAAAGGATTTAAATTTCCAAAGGACAAGCTCTTTAATAACAGCAGGTTACTTATGAAAGGTCATGACAGATAACGTCTTTAGAATTAAGCAATCAGAGGTTACTATAGGATATATTTTAAGCAAGGTCATAATAATTATGAAGCTCCTTTTAAGGTATATAGATTGGCAGGCCACAATTGTTGAGTTAAAAATTGTTTGTTTTCATTTTAATTATTTCACATTTCAATAAATAAATGCAAATTGAGATTTATAAAACCGATCAGTGTTAAACACAAATTATGTTTGTGTTAAAATGAAGTTCTAAAGTAAGAAACCTAAACTCAATCGTAATAATCAGTAAGTATCTTTATTGTTAAATTACATTATAGAAATTTTTAACTATCAAGTCATGTAGAATCCAAAATATGAATAAATGAAAAGCTATTTTGGGAGAATGTGATTCTAGAAAAAATGATATTTGTGTTGATTGTCTTAGCAGTAAGAACTAATAAAGAGAATATATGAAATAACTAAGAAAGAATAAGTAATATTGTAGATTATGAAATAGAAAGAATCAAGAATATATGAAAATGTTTAGGGAGATTTAAGAATTCAATAAAATAAATGGGATGAAAAAATAGTAGAATTCAATTAAATCAGAATAGAAACACCTCAATCAGGATTAAAAGTGATTGTTTAGCTCAATTTCAAAATTAATAGTTTCAGATTCTCTCCAGATAATCATAGCTATTTTTCCTTGTATAATTGAGTATTGTTTCTCTTGCCTTAAAATCTATACAATTTTGAATATTGCAAAACAAAGAATCAATTAATGTGTAATTGTCTCTTTGTTATGTTATTTTCAACCTTTTCCTCTTCAGGCATTAAATTAAACAGTATTCAAATCACTAAAACTGAGAAGGTTATAAGGACCAATATGATTAAGTAGGGCTCCCTTAGACTTCAACATTCTTATGAAATCATTATATTATTTCGACAATAAGCTTAATCGCTTTTGTTTTTAGCTTATATGATTAATAAGGGAGTGGCAATTATTTCTCACTCAGCACAAAGTTTAATTCAAAAATAGGTTAGGTATCCTATTCTATAACTCCTTCTGGAAAAGCAGGGATCGGCACTCCCTAAGAAAACCTTTAGCCACGATTGCTGCATATTGTTTATTATATTCGACCAGATCTAGTGGAATAGGAATATAATCGAGTGCTTTTCTTTAGTTTGATTACTCATAGAACTTAGAGATCTGTAACTGATGATACTAGAAGCTCCTTTTTTATGAGAATGTCAGAATTAGCATCATAGTCACCATCCATTAAACAAATTGGATTTTAGGTAGTTAAAACTTAAGAAATCTTTTCATCTATTAAGAATTCATTTGCGCATCTCTTATTGTAAATCACAACATCGCCAGCATATGCTAATATTTCAACATCATTCAGAAGTCTCTTGAGTCTTTTGCATTTTTTTAGGTAGTTCTTCCTAAATCTCCTTTATTCTCACCTAAGTGAACTCAATTACTTTGTTGAAAAAAATATTGAATAAGAATGGGCTCAGGGATGAGCCTTGTTANATTGCCAAATGGTATTTATTGTTAATTATTATTTAGTTAATCCTGATCGTACAATACTTAGAATATGTTAGAAACCTTTATTTGAAGCATCAGGAACACTTATCTTATAAGGATAATTCAGTAATCATTAAGGGAAAGATTTAAAACCATTGTTTAAATCAAAAGGAAGTTGCTTTTTAGAGAACTTAAAGCAAAAGTGAATTTGATTATTCATTCAAAACATTACAATTATAATTTTAATCATTTTCTTATAACTTTTTGCATAAAATGTGTTTTTTGTTTCTATTAAACTATTTAAATAATATTGAGATTGTTAGAAACGTTATAAATTGATATTTATAGATGTACAATACACTATTAAATTTATAATAAAAACAGAGTAAACAGGTTTAGTCCTAATAATGATTACTAATAGTTTAGTATACTAATAATAATGATACATTTAAGAACAAAGATAAAAAGAGAGATACATTTCAAAAATTAAAAAAATATCCTTAATCTTAGGATAATCTTAAACGAAACAAAGTTAAAACATTGGGATTGAATGATTTTTAATATCACTCTACTCTAATCTTGGTAATATTTTTGTAACCTTTAATTCTTATTTTCAATTGATATTAAAAGTATTAGAGAGAATAAAGGACTAAGATAAATTAATCATCAATAATTATTCCAACCCCTAATAGGATTTAGAGATCTTAATTATATCCATCCCTAACAATAATCTTAAATAAGCTCGATATGAATTACATCCAAAGGAGCTACGTTCAATAATAATTTTGCATTTAAGGAACAGTTATTAATCATTAAGATAAGAACTATGTAATCTTACCTCAAGCTGATTTTTTTTATATTTAAGATTGATCTCTAATTATGTATGGATTTATAATTAAAACTTCTATTACAGAAAGCCAACGAATTCAAAAAAATTTAGTAACCTTTTAAGAGGATTCTGCATATTTTAGGATCGTTTTGAAAGGATTTAAATTTCCAAAGGACAAGCTCTTTAATAACAGCAGGTTACTTATGAAAGGTCATGACAGATAACGTCTTTAGAATTAAGCAATCAGAGGTTACTATAGGATATATTTTAAGCAAGGTCATAATAATTATGAAGCTCCTTTTAAGGTATATAGATTGGCAGGCCACAATTGTTGAGTTAAAAATTGTTTGTTTTCATTTTAATTATTTCACATTTCAATAAATAAATGCAAATTGAGATTTATAAAACCGATCAGTGTTAAACACAAATTATGTTTGTGTTAAAATGAAGTTCTAAAGTAAGAAACCTAAACTCAATCGTAATAATCAGTAAGTATCTTTATTGTTAAATTACATTATAGAAATTTTTAACTATCAAGTCATGTAGAATCCAAAATATGAATAAATGAAAAGCTATTTTGGGAGAATGTGATTCTAGAAAAAATGATATTTGTGTTGATTGTCTTAGCAGTAAGAACTAATAAAGAGAATATATGAAATAACTAAGAAAGAATAAGTAATATTGTAGATTATGAAATAGAAAGAATCAAGAATATATGAAAATGTTTAGGGAGATTTAAGAATTCAATAAAATAAATGGGATGAAAAAATAGTAGAATTCAATTAAATCAGAATAGAAACACCTCAATCAGGATTAAAAGTGATTGTTTAGCTCAATTTCAAAATTAATAGTTTCAGATTCTCTCCAGATAATCATAGCTATTTTTCCTTGTATAATTGAGTATTGTTTCTCTTGCCTTAAAATCTATACAATTTTGAATATTGCAAAACAAAGAATCAATTAATGTGTAATTGTCTCTTTGTTATGTTATTTTCAACCTTTTCCTCTTCAGGCATTAAATTAAACAGTATTCAAATCACTAAAACTGAGAAGGTTATAAGGACCAATATGATTAAGTAGGGCTCCCTTAGACTTCAACATTCTTATGAAATCATTATATTATTTCGACAATAAGCTTAATCGCTTTTGTTTTTAGCTTATATGATTAATAAGGGAGTGGCAATTATTTCTCACTCAGCACAAAGTTTAATTCAAAAATAGGTTAGGTATCCTATTCTATAACTCCTTCTGGAAAAGCAGGGATCGGCACTCCCTAAGAAAACCTTTAGCCACGATTGCTGCATATTGTTTATTATATTCGACCAGATCTAGTGGAATAGGAATATAATCGAGTGCTTTTCTTTAGTTTGATTACTCATAGAACTTAGAGATCTGTAACTGATGATACTAGAAGCTCCTTTTTTATGAGAATGTCAGAATTAGCATCATAGTCACCATCCATTAAACAAATTGGATTTTAGGTAGTTAAAACTTAAGAAATCTTTTCATCTATTAAGAATTCATTTGCGCATCTCTTATTGTAAATCACAACATCGCCAGCATATGCTAATATTTCAACATCATTCAGAAGTCTCTTGAGTCTTTTGCATTTTTTTAGGTAGTTCTTCCTAAATCTCCTTTATTCTCACCTAAGTGAACTCAATTACTTTGTTGAAAAAAATATTGAATAAGAATGGGCTCAGGGATGAGCCTTGTTACACACCATTTTTCAATCTAATCTTTTATTTAGTAACAGGATTATAAATATACAATTGGTCATACATGTTAAAGAGGAAGTCAATTTTTCCTTTGCCAAACCAGTCACTTCAGGTTCCATGGTTAGGATATTATATAGGGCTTCTCTATCAATGGTGTTATAAGCATCTGAAAGGTCAAAAAATGTAAAATTCTTTCCGCTTCCTTAAGATTTCATTCTGCTTATCACTCTACTGATATGGACTTGAGTCCCCAGTTAGCTGGTGAAACTAATTTGGCATGGATTTAGCCTTAAATTGTTCCAATTTTTCTTGTGCCAATTCGTAAATCTATACATTAAATGTAGTTTTAGCTCTATTTAAGTAGTAAAGGAGTTATTTATGAAATAGCAGCTGCATTTGTGGGTGTTGTTTTATAATTACCTAATTGTAGTATTTTACAGGCCTTATTGATGTCTTTATTCACCTCAACTATATAGGAGTATTGAGTTGCTGCTTGTGGTAATTCATATCTCATTTTTTTCTTGTAAGATTGATATTAGAGTCTACCACCTGCCTAACATTCAATTAATATCATGAAATTTGCTAAATGATATAACCTGTTTAGATTGTCTTATTATGAATTAAGTTGTATCTCAAATATTTAATATACAGTTAATTGTGAAAGCTATTATTGTTTTCTATTACATTGCTCATAATCAAATAAGTACATTCTCAATTAGAACAATGATCTCAATAAGTTTGGTTAGTATTTATACAAGCCAAATTCAACAAATACATTCGATGACTGCTGACATATTTGAGTCTAGCATTAAATAATAACAAAAATTCAGAAATATGCCAGAAAAATTTCATTTTGCTGAATAATCACACGTTTGGCCTGAATATGGTGTACATTTAATAATGATAAAATGAACTGAGAGCCTACACAATATTTGCTGTTTTTACAGAACAACTGACTTTCAAAAACCTTCTCATATTCAGTTTATAAGTTTGTTTGGCAAATAAATCTTAGTGTCTGCTAATAAAATTCTGATTAGAATGAATTTAAATTCACCAAATTTACTGTCTGAGATAACTTAATATATGCATTTGATTATTATTTATAAATTATATTTTGCAGTATGTGATGGCTTCCTGGATCATGTTGGCTCGATCCAAGGTGCACCAAGTCTGATGCATCTGCATTGGATATCACTATCTCAGTTANAAGAAATCTTTTCATCTATTAAGAATTCATTTGCGCATCTCTTATTGTAAATCACAACATCGCCAGCATATGCTAATATTTCAACATCATTCAGAAGTCTCTTGAGTCTTTTGCATTTTTTTAGGTAGTTCTTCCTAAATCTCCTTTATTCTCACCTAAGTGAACTCAATTACTTTGTTGAAAAAAATATTGAATAAGAATGGGCTCAGGGATGAGCCTTGTTACACACCATTTTTCAATCTAATCTTTTATTTAGTAACAGGATTATAAATATACAATTGGTCATACATGTTAAAGAGGAAGTCAATTTTTCCTTTGCCAAACCAGTCACTTCAGGTTCCATGGTTAGGATATTATATAGGGCTTCTCTATCAATGGTGTTATAAGCATCTGAAAGGTCAAAAAATGTAAAATTCTTTCCGCTTCCTTAAGATTTCATTCTGCTTATCACTCTACTGATATGGACTTGAGTCCCCAGTTAGCTGGTGAAACTAATTTGGCATGGATTTAGCCTTAAATTGTTCCAATTTTTCTTGTGCCAATTCGTAAATCTATACATTAAATGTAGTTTTAGCTCTATTTAAGTAGTAAAGGAGTTATTTATGAAATAGCAGCTGCATTTGTGGGTGTTGTTTTATAATTACCTAATTGTAGTATTTTACAGGCCTTATTGATGTCTTTATTCACCTCAACTATATAGGAGTATTGAGTTGCTGCTTGTGGTAATTCATATCTCATTTTTTTCTTGTAAGATTGATATTAGAGTCTACCACCTGCCTAACATTCAATTAATATCATGAAATTTGCTAAATGATATAACCTGTTTAGATTGTCTTATTATGAATTAAGTTGTATCTCAAATATTTAATATACAGTTAATTGTGAAAGCTATTATTGTTTTCTATTACATTGCTCATAATCAAATAAGTACATTCTCAATTAGAACAATGATCTCAATAAGTTTGGTTAGTATTTATACAAGCCAAATTCAACAAATACATTCGATGACTGCTGACATATTTGAGTCTAGCATTAAATAATAACAAAAATTCAGAAATATGCCAGAAAAATTTCATTTTGCTGAATAATCACACGTTTGGCCTGAATATGGTGTACATTTAATAATGATAAAATGAACTGAGAGCCTACACAATATTTGCTGTTTTTACAGAACAACTGACTTTCAAAAACCTTCTCATATTCAGTTTATAAGTTTGTTTGGCAAATAAATCTTAGTGTCTGCTAATAAAATTCTGATTAGAATGAATTTAAATTCACCAAATTTACTGTCTGAGATAACTTAATATATGCATTTGATTATTATTTATAAATTATATTTTGCAGTATGTGATGGCTTCCTGGATCATGTTGGCTCGATCCAAGGTGCACCAAGTCTGATGCATCTGCATTGGATATCACTATCTCAGTTATTGTTGGGAAAATAATAGTCCCTGTAAGCAAGGGTGCTGCTTGTAAATTTTGCACCAAATTTAAAGTGTATGATAAATTCTGGTGCAATTAGAGACTTATTTTGAATCACAATTATTTGGATACAAATAGTCAGATGTAGAAAGACCTATTGGATCAAGGAAATATGACATCGTGAAAAAAGGAAAAATATAAATAAATTAATGAATATTGAATTTTAATGCAAATTAATAATAATAAAATATGCATTTAATGATACATACAGTGCCTGAATTTGCTTTCGAAATAGCTTCACACTATCCAGGGATACATATAAGTAAAAGAGCAAGCACATTTTTTTGAAAATTATTATCGTAAAAATAAATAGCCATTTAGATCTCGATGGTCAGGTTTAAATTCAGACAAAATTTTCTCGAATGTGAGTTTAATTACAATTAGGAAAAATTTGATTATAAGGATACTTGTGCTATTCGAAAAAACGAACTTTACAAAATTCATCAGAGGTGGAACGAATAATCTACATATCTTAGGATGAGTTTAATAATAATTTGATTACGACGCCCTGTAAGCATAAGAATAAATGCTGATGTAAAAGGAATATATAAAAAAACTGCATAAGTTGATAGATTATAGAGGTTAGCACATGCTCAATTTTGACATTTATGTGCTCAGGTTATACTAAAAAAGTTAAACAAGTTGTTGATAAACAAAAGATAGAACCATCAACACAATCGCAAAATTCAACTACAGTCCTCACAGGGAATTATTTGCAACTGGAATATTTAGATAATTAAATTGATTTTCATTTTCTCAGTAATTATTCTAAAACTAAGTTAATGGAACTTATTTATAAGATATCTTGATTCTTCTCTTAAACTTTGCATCTGATAGCAATTCTATGAGTCAGTATGAATATAAATTTGATGTCTATTAGGAATATCCTCAATAAAACTTAGAATGGTATACTCTATTTATTCCTATTATTAAAATAGTTAGCACTGTAACTAGTCGATAAAACTAGTTCAATAAGAAATTGTACAAAATCAACATAATACACAGGCTTTCCATAAATGATTGACTCTTCACTGATATTATGTTCAAGGACAGTTTCCTGGTGTCGACCGACTGACTACCAAGACATTTTGGACTTTTCTTTTGATAATCACGACATTATTAGCAAGAAACTGAATAAAAAGTTACAATAAGCAGTATTAGTAGATTTAAGTTCTCCTTAGGAATTGTAGTAGTTGTGCTATCAGGTGATGGTTGTGAAGAATGCTAAATGGTTGTTGAACAATACTTCTAATTAATACTTAATATAACATAAATTATAAAGTCAAGCCTCCTTCGCAAATATTAGTATCTTATATCCAATTCAAATTTTGCTCTTTATGCCTATATCATGATAGTAATTCCTACTTTAAGAATGAATAATAAATGGGGAGATCTGTATATATTTTCCATTTATCTGAATCATTAAGTACAAGGTTATTTAATGGAGTTAACGTAAATCTTAAGTTCTTGATAAATTTATGATGTCTATGCTTTGAACATTTATTACAACCATCTAAATAATTTTGGCTCTAACTACTGCAAATCCATAAATCAAAACACAATAAGTTATCCTAAAAATGCTGGTCATTAATATTATATCTTTGTATAGTGTTTTGGTAATAAATTTTGAGCAATAAACACATAATTAAATGCTATCTAAAATATACTATTATTATCATCTTGAAGGAATGGTTATGAATAATAAGTAAAATATTACATTACTGCTAATAATCCTATTAATTAAAGTGAATCATTAAGCAGATTAGGAAGAAGTTATGGAGTTTTGACATGGGTATTTTGAGCAATAATTTTAAAGTTAAAGGCTTGTAAATTGTGAAAATAAAAGGGTTTGCAGCCTGAGTATTATTTATGCACAATGTGATAGGTAGGGAATAGAATGGATTTGCAAGTTAGATTAGGGTTAAGCACATTTACTTATAGTAAGAAGAGCAGATTAGGTCAAATGAAATGCTAAATAATTACTTTATAAACACATAGTAGCCAAATTTCAAAGACAAAAGCGTGCTGCCATAGAATAGTCATGGTGTTACAAATTAAGCACAATTACATTGTTCAAAAATTTTCAATCCTGTCTAAAAATAGTGGTTCTAATCTCTATACCAATATTGAACTCCGGTTTTATGTTTATGCATGAGACGCTTTAGAGTTGTGATTGAAAAATTAAATCTCATTCTGATTAAAAAAATAATGACTTTGCAACTACTACGTACATCATAATATTCTCTCAATTAGGTTAGATTTTATATTTTTTATGGTGGGCTTGATAATGAATTTCAAGTTGGGAAGTAACATATTGATAAAAGCAAGTGGAAGTTTTAGATGAGCACAACTTGATCCTTATAAGGAAAACAAGTAAAGTTTATACAAACCTTATTTATATATTAATATATCTAATTTAATCCATGCTTTAAAAAAAATTGAATTATTATTCAATTTATAAGTTTGAGCCTTTGTGATAAGTAAAAACATTATGTGTTTAATTGTAATATATATTCGAAAAATTCTATGTAATGTTTCAAAGCTGATTAAATAATTTAATTAGCTAACATTGTTCGCTACAATAATATTCCAAGTTAAATCTTACTTGCCATTTTATTTACTAAGTTCGAATTTATAATATGAAAGTATAAAGAAATTAGTATATATATTTTGTAGATTTGAAGGTTAAATTAAAATTTATCATAACTATTGATCCATTTTTAGAGGAAAATAATGGATTTCATTATTTAATTTAATTCTTCTAAAATCCATGAGAAGAGAAGATATTTAAATTCAAAATAGCATCGATTTTACACATTTCTACTTTGGAAACTCTCTCTTCGTTTATTGAAGAGGCAATTGATCGAACTCTTAAACTTATTCTTATTTTACATCATATTTCAAGCAAAATTTGTAAAGCTCTATAACTCAATATTATTTAGAATTGTAATAATCCAATTTTAATGAAATTATATATATTACAAATTATTATTATTTAAGTAGCAATACTATCGCGATCCTTCTTATTTTAGAATTTTAGGTATATATTTTTAAATTAAATAATAATAATTAGAAAATATTAATTACCTTCAAATATTGACCAATATATTTACTATGTTATACTACATATCATCTAAATTGATAGAGGATTATTAAAACTTGTATATTAAGTTCATAAAATCATAAAGTAATAGGATCAATATTTATATGAAATAGTTATATACATTATTATTGCCACAAGGAAATTTATACTTATAATTAACAATTTCATTCCTATCTTCAGAAGAATATCACTTACCATAGGCAGATCAGCAGATTACAATCGTTTTGTTTGATAGTGGCTTCTTTATTTATTGTTTAAATCAAATTCTATTAATTAATTTATATATGAACAAGAGTATGAAAAAAGTCTTTTGAAAAAATGTGATATTTTCGATTTATCTTTCTGTTCCATAATTTAATAAATAGTCGAATATATTTTCTTTTGATTGGTTAATCTTTTTGAGTAGTTTAGAATAGTATTTTAAGTTTAATAAAATGAATTTCTGTGAGGAGATAGAAAATCTATGTCATGAACTAGAGAAATGCCAAATTTAGAACTGTGAAAGATTGCATCCAAGAATTTTTAGTGGAGTTTGCATTGGGAATCTAAAGAATATTTGTTAATAATCAGAATATTGCGGCTTACATCATTTTTCTTAAGAAGAATTGGAGGAAGAATTTACTAAATAACCAATAAATGGAATCTATAAGCATAATTTGTGCTATAAGAAATGCAATAATTATAATTGTAAATATTTACATCCTCCCTGGTTGGAGTATATTTGTGTAGATTGTGAGAACAAGAATTGTGATAAAACAAAATTAGGATTATGGCATACAACTAAATGGGCAGACATAAAAAAGAAAGTATATGAAAAGTATAATATAAATAAATTGAACCCTGAAAAATTTGATACTGATGGTGATTGTTCATACGAAGTTCAAAAATATAATTTTGATAAATATTGTATCAATTATTTTTAAGGAATCTGCCCTCATCACAGATGCCAAAAACCACATAAAAATTGGGAAGATATAAAAGATATAGGGGAGTTTTAGAATTTAGAAGATTAAGTTATTAAACCTTGTATCAAATATGACGAAAATAAAAATAAATATGTGAGTTAACCTCAAACCCTAAAATGTGCTGTTTTTATGTAAAAGAATTCGCTTCAATTAATGATAAACTAAATATAATAAAGACCACAAGCTGATATCATATTTATTTTAGACTGTACGAGAAGCATGGATAAATGGATTGAAGTTTCAAAAAAGAGTATCAGTTCTATAATTGCTGAGTTTAAGAAAAAAGTATAAATAAATGCTGCAATAAGAATGGCTGCAGTCTGCTATAAGGATTTTTCAGATGGTCCAAATCATATTCAGTATCACAATTTTACGGTACGGCCAGAGGAGATTGAAAAATTCCTTGGTAACTTAAAAATTGAAGGTGGCGATGATATCCCTGAAGATTTATAAGGTGCTCTTGACGTGGCATATAAATTAAAAATTTGCAAAGATCCTGCAAGTCTTTTATAAATTTTTATAATCACAGACGGTCCATGTCATGGGAGGAAGTACCATAATTTAGCTTATGATTAAAAACCGGATGTTCAAGATTTGGAAGAAAAGCTTTAAAAATTCGTAGATTTAAAATAGAGATTTTTTCTCTCCTTTTTATAAATTCATGAGCAAACTTAAAAAATGGAGAAGGTGATCCAAAGTGTGGTAAAAAACTATTAAAGTGCAAAAATAGCGGATAAATAGTTTTCAGATTATATTGTATTCTCTCTAGCTTCTACTTATAACAAATCATTATCAATGAATGTAAATAAAGAGTATGAACATGTTTGCTCAGCTTAATATACAAAACAAAAAGATATGCCTTACATGTACAATAATAGAAAAAATGAAAATTATTATGATTTCTTTCTTTCTTAAATTTAAAAAACCTAAAAAACAGGGTAAACTTTAGTATTCATTGAAAATAATCAACTTTAAGTGAATCAATAAGGGGAATAATAAGAAGTGTTCAAGGGGTTTGATTAAAAAAATAATGTGCACATTATTATAAAAATACAGAAATCTATTATTAAAAAATTTAATTCTAAAACTTTGACTGCTGATGATATTGATGAAACTAATAAGATTACAGAAACTAAATATAAGCAATAATTGATTGCGAAATAATTGAGTCATCATTTTAATTTCTGTTGCAATAGATCAAATATCTAGTTTACTCCTCTTTATTACGCAACTCCATATTTATATTTATTAGAAAAACCTTTTAAGGGTGTGAAGCTCATATATGCAGAGAGTTACATTGATATTGATTTGCCTTGGAAGAAGTACACAAACAATACAGAGTACAGAGATGAATGCATTGACTTAACTGCTTTCTCTCACTTTTCATTTCAATATACTAATTGCTAAATGATCATAACAGATTTATAGGGGAAATCCAATATCTTAAGTGATCCAGCAATACACACTTCAATTTAAAATTAAAATTTAACAGATTCTACTAATTTAAAAGATGATGGATGTCGTCGATTCTTTTTGAATTAGCATCCAGAATGTTTAACAATTTGCAGATAACTACAATTAATTCCAACAGAAATTTAACAAAAGAGTTCAGAATCTATTGTAAATTAATAAAATGTGCCTTCCTAATAGGTAGATGCTTATTTTGGAAATAAAATAAGTAGTGACAATAGATTCAAAGTATGCAGTAACTGCAATGTATTAGAAAAATTAGAACAAAAGTCTGACACTTTTGAACTTTGTGACAGCTGCAAAAAGGAATCATAGAATAAGGATACTGTGAACTGTTAATGCTGTAATGTGACATTTGAAATCTCTCTAAATTTTGAATAGATTTTTGGAACTGTAGTGTAATATTGCCAAGAATGTTAAAATAAATAATGCCACACGACAGTCGAAAAGAAATGTTATTATTGCAGTAAAAGAATATGTTTACAAACAATTAAGGAAATAGTAATAAATGGTAAGAGAATAGAAATTTGTGCGGATGCTCATTACTTTTTAAGGTAAGTTAAATGTAAAAATTGCCATTCCAATTATAATTTTGAATAGTTATTAAGCCAAGAGGATTATTACAGAAATAATTATCATTGCGGATGCAAAAACAAATGAAATTCTATCAATAAAATATTTATTATTAATTCAAGATTCAATCATAGATCAATTAGTCTTCAATTTAATGAACAGTACTTTTCTGCATTTCATTCTCTCTCCTAATTCTACTTATAATTCTGTCTGATTCTTTTTGCCAATCTGTTGTAAATAAGCTAATTGTAAAAAGAGTAGTCAAAATTAGATTTGAAATTCCAAATCCTTGCCAAATTCCCTTAGTACCATTTCCAAGTCCCCAGTCATAAGCGAAAAAGGAGACTATAGGAACACAGCAAACAAAATATGCAAATATAGTGGAATACTAAAATATCTCTAATTCTAATACTTAAACTAAATTTGCTTTATTGATTCCTTTTAGTGCTCCACTTAAAGTTCCCTACATTCCATCTATTATTAATGAGCCACCTATCATCCAAGGCAGAGAATCCCTCAATACTTCTTTTGTTTCATCTGCAAACTGGTCCTTTCCACTTTCTGCTGTGAAAAAATCAATAAATCCATCTTAGAATCCCCACAATAAAGATGCACACAAGGCACATGTTATCACGAATATTAGGATTCCCACAGCAACATATTGTTTTGCTCGCTTAATATCTCCTAATCCCATTTCAGTGCCAACATATGACATAATTGCAATTGATAAACTAATTGGCAATCCTTAAATGATTAACATATATTATTACTAAAAAATGTGCCTGACACTGTCTGAAGTGCTAAATGTGCATTTACTGATGGGGTGTTTAAACTTAATGCAACAAATGTTAACAAAACAAATATAAAGTATGCACAATATATATGGACTAATATTGGCATTGAAGTCTTGCAATATTGTAAACCTAACTTTTTGATTCTGGGGATGTCAGGCAAGAATTTGATTCCTTAAAATATTGTTCTTTTGTATTCTGTCAATTAAATGAATGCTACAATAAATTATAAAATACTTACAGAATATGAATACCATGTTGAATATTTCGGTCAATATGATTGCAAATCCTGCTCCTGGGATTCCCCATTTAAATTTCATTATAAATAACCAACTAAAAAGCCAGTGTAAGAGCAAAGTGATAAAATGAATTATGGCAAATGGATAAGTAATTTTGTATGAAGCCATGAAAATTTTGATGCTTTCAAAAATGATTGCTAAAATAATGGCTGGAATCAGAAACCACAGGTATTCCCAAGCGCAATCTGCAGTTTCCTCTCTTTGAGATTCTTCCACAATAAGGCTAAACGGTTTTTTGATTGCTATTAAAATGCCTGAAAAGGGTATCAGAAACATCAGCATCACATACAAATTGACATTAAAGAATCGCTTTGCAAGTTAGTGATTTCCCTCGCCAATTGCCTATGCTGTATGCATATTTAGAGACTAATTAAATCCAAATCCAATAGGCAGCACTATGATGTAGACACAATTCAAAGCAAATCCATACCCAGCTACATCAATTTAAGACATTCTTTCATAAAATATAAAACGTTACCCTTTGTTAACGTAATGCAAAGTGACACTCACGCAAATGTCTAAACAGACATATCCAAACACAGTTTAGAATGAACAAACTAATAAATTCCAAAACATCTTTAATAACGATGGTTTATCATCTTTATCCACTTGTAACTCAGTGTTTGTCAGATGATGGCAAGAAAGCATAATTATGAAAGAAATTTAATGTTTTGAATAAAAACGATTATTCAAATTTAAAGTGACTGAATTGGATATATTAATAATAGGTCACATTAATACTCCAGATGATAATTAATTTAACGTAAATTGCCATAGCTTCATATTCTATATTGATTTTATAATAATCACCAATTCCTCAATTTTAGTATAATAAACAGAACTTCTGTAAAATAAATTTGAGAATCTGATGATGCACATGCACTTATGGATAGGAAAAGATTGATTAATTATATTTTTAATCAAGTAAAATACATAGATTAGAAAATAAACATAAGTTAGAGTTACATATAAACACTTAAAGAAAGTATTTATAATAAACCATAATTAATATAAATTTTAATTCATGAATTGAGAATTTACGACAACAATTTGCAAGCTTAAATTCAATAAAAGCTAGATCGACATTGGAAAAGTACAGAGAACCTATTTACTGATATAAAGCTCTAATAACATTTTTAATTTCACATAAATTAATAAATTGTATATGAAAACAATAAATTTCCGATTTTATGTATTTAAATAACAAGCCTAATGATTTACAGGCACATTCAATTTCTGAAATAATTGTAAATCAACTTTTGAGATCGTTTGAATTAATTCAATAAAATTAGAAAGACAAACTGGTCAAAGGTTTGGTAACAAAATAACTAAATAATTATAAAAAAGCTATTGAATGATAGAGATAGTATGATTGTGATTAAATATTATATAATTGTTCTTATTATCTTGATTTATTCGCATCTAGGGTCTAACACTAATTCATTAAATCTAAAGGGAGATGTAGAGGAAATAATGAATACAACAAAATTAAAGTAGTCAATTAGATCATAAAAAGTATGAGAAATCTCTACTAACCAGATTAAGGGTTGAGAATGGAAATAATGAAATTTTCCATAAATTAAATGTATTTTGAGACAATATAAAAGTTAATTAACATAATAAAAATAAGAGGGGATCCAAGTGATATTATGAATGAAATTTTACCAGATGTCTCAGTTCCTTATCCTTCTAATTCCGCTGATATCAGTAGTCTACCTTAAGTGACTATTCAACAGGCACTTGATCACCGATAAGCCAATAGAGTAGGTCGACCAAATTATAAAGGAAGAATTTGTAATTGTTGTGGTTTGCAAATTGTATATACATATTTAAAAAGGAAAGAGAAAACTTCAATTTGGGAATATCTAGTGGTCAATTGGGATTCCTAGGCACCGGCTACCCCTTGTATTTCGATTTCATCAAATCTTGCTTAACAATTATTGCCATCTAATACATCACAGTTGGTAATTTTTAATTAATAACTCACATTGGAACATTGTTTGAATTGTCAGAGACACAGCAAGGATTACGAGAAAAGCAAGGAATCTTAAGCCTCACTGCTCTATACTTTACTATGATCTACTTAATATATTTTAGACATAATTAAATCAAGTTGGATAGTTTTTGTGACTTAAAACAAACCACCCCTGGAGATTACACAGTCCTATTCCAAAAATTACCATTGGATTTATCAAGAGAAGAATTAGAATTGAAAATAAAGGAAGAATTTGAGAATGTCGTAAAGGTGTGCTTCATTTTCAAATAAGTAATTAAACAGAAAAACAACAAGAGGATGTTTCTAGATTAATTATAAGACACATACTTTGAGCAAAATTACTTTTCTGGAAATGCCCTAGTATCCTTTAAATATAAACAAGATAAACTAAAATTCTTAAAGAAGGCCAAATACAATAAGTGGAAATATTATTTAAAGCAATTATTTCATTTAGATTTAAACAATGATGGATATGTAAACTTTTAAGGGATACGTTTAGCTGTGAGATAGGCTCCAGAACCTACTGATATCAATTGGAAAAGCTTAAATGAATGGATAGAATTATCATAATTCAAAAGATTACTGGAAATTTTAATCAACTTCTTTTTATTGATATCGTTATTAGTAGTGACTTGCACAACAGAATAAAAAAAAAATAAAATTATTTCATTTAAATCGAGTTTTACACCTCTAATAACTATTATTTGCTATTATGTTTTTCCATTACTAACCAAAAGGATAACTTTTCGAAAATACATATCTTGGACATAAACTGAAAAGAGCTAATCCTTTAAATTGACGATCTTTATGTCTTTGTTTACAATCTATGTAGCTTAATTCGTTGATGGAGAGTTGTTTTGGCTTTTCGCTTGGTATTCTCTTATAAATATACTTTAGTAATTCATTTCTTCCTCCAATTTTTATACTGTTGAGAATGTAATAGTAAATAAAGAATTACAAAATTAAGTATTAGCCACAACCATCAACTTAAGATGAATTGAATAGACTTTATGAGCTTCAGCATCACAATTTAATCAGGAACCATGCTTACATCAATTATACCATGATAATTACGAACGTATACGGGAATCTTATGCCTATAAATTCAATAATGTCATTTGTAGGATTAAGTCTCTTTTATTGGGCTGATAAATATGTTTTGCTTAATCATTCTACTGTCAAATATTAACCATCTTCCAATTTATCGCTTGAAATGTTTACCCTAATATCATACACTCCGATAATCATTTCATGTCAAACCTACATGAACTCTAACGAGAACAAGATTTCACTGATTTAATTGATTAGTGCATTCATATTTTATTTGATTCCTAAAGACCTAATTATTAACAAAATCTGGAAGACAAAGAAGATTAAAGAATTTTCACCTTATGATGAATCTCAATTCAATTCCTGTTATGATAGAACAAATCCTGCGTTGCAAGATAAAGCAATTCATAACTGGGTAAACTAATAAAAGAAAGCCCATGCCAAATAAAGAAGGGTTTTACATTTACTAGATTAGGAATAAAAGGCTAAACAAAAACGAACATTGGAAAAATAATTAACAAAAATTTAGAAACAAATCAGTTAACTTGAAGCTTAGTTGGAATAAAAATAAACTGCTAAGCTAATAACATAATCAGATTAGGTTTCACAAAGCATTAGCTAAGAGAAATCAGAAGACTCATGAATTATTGACATATGTAAATATTTAAATATTCATTATATAAATATAAAATAAGAAACCATCTTAGAATTAGTAGAAAACTGATTCTCAAATTATCAATTTATCAGAAGGTATTGGTTAAATCAGTTCTTTTCAACTCAACAAACTAAATTATAGAGAATAAACTTATCAAAATTTCATTGTGTAATAAAATAGTCTACATTATTAAAATCAATTAATTCAACTATTTATATATAATTTATTTATAACTCCATTATTAATAATTTTTTAATGAGAAAGAATGAGTATGATCTATTTGTAGATGATCAGATCTCATCCAAAAAATATTAAGTAACTCTAAAATGCAAATATTACACAAAAGTTTCACAACTAAAAAAGTATTTACATAAATTCATCAAATAAAATTTCGACATTATCCATAATGATATAACTCTTGTAGAATCAATGATTGTAGATTAGATATTCTCTCTACATTGCTAAAATATCATAACAATTTGTAGGAAAATAGATCCAATGATTGAAATTTTAGTAAATCATAAAATCTAGTATAAAAACTAGCTAAAATAGTAAATTATTTAGAATGAACTACTACCACAGGAGGAGTGTGCTAAAACAGAAAATATGTAAAGTGAATTAGATACATCATCAACAACTATTTCAAGAAAATGCGTAGCATGTGAGATCTAAAATAAAATGATATTACACTATGAAAGTTCACTTTTGAATTTAATCGAAGAAAACGAATCACTTTAATAATATATGAAGTAACTTCTAAACGATTAACATAAATTAAATTAAAAAGAATGTATAAAAGTAAATCACAGAAGAAAACAAAAAAGATCATGATTATATCAATTTTTTCATCATATTTGTAAATTCAACCAAAGACAAAGCCCCATCATGATTTGCATCAACCTCATTCATTATTTCTACCCATTAATCATTCCCAGCCAAATTACACTTGAATGCTTCACATAACTCTTCAACATTAATATTTCCAGAGGCATTCTAAAATATATGATTTCAATACTCTATCGATCAATTTAAAAGCTGTTTCAATCTTAGATTTTTATAAAATCGCCTATTTATCAATAGCTTAGGCTAAAAATTGCGAATAAGATATAGTTCCATCTTCGGCGCATATCTTATTGGCCTGCATTTCAGTTGTCTCAACATCAAATATCTTTAACATAGCAGTCTATAACTCTTCAACATCAATATACCCATCATTTTTTGAATCTATATATGTAAACACCTCTCTCAATTCGCTCAATTCCTCTCTTGAAGCTAAATACAACACTATCAACTTAAGAGTGGCTTCTTATAATTTAGATTGACTATTATAATTAATTAAATTAGTCAACACTCTTCTTAATTAACTATCACTAACCTACAGTTCAAAATTCTTGACAATCCATGGATCATTCAATGCTTATTCAATTGTCATTCTTTGATTGGGATCTTTATTTAAAATTTTCTTGATAAATTCTTTTGATTAGATGCTGTTTTTGTTCCAATCTTATTCATCAAAAACCAAAGGCTTCTTTAAAACACTGTCAATAATTTTCCTATTAGATTCTCCACCAAAAGGAGGGTACCCGCATAATAAAATGTAAGTTATAATTCCAATAGCCCAAATGTCAACTGATTCATTATATTTTTTTTGATATATTTCTGGAGCTTAATAATAAGGATGATTAACTGAACTATGCATTTTGTGGGAAGTCTTTTAACACATACCAAAATCAATTAAGATTGCTGAAGCAAATTCAGAACTTCTTTCAAGCATGATATTTTCAGGTCTGATTTCTCTATGAGCAATTCCATGAAGATGGCAATAATTTAATGCGTATAACAATTATCTTATAATTCTTGCAGCCTATGCTTCAGAGAATGTTTTTTTCTCTTAAATTTTGCTAAATAATTCTCCTCCAGAATAATAGTCGGTGATTATGTAATGAAATCTGTCATCACTGTAATATTCATTTATTTTTAAAATGTTTGGATGATCTAGTTTTTCTAAAATATTGACTTCTGATGTTACTCTTTCTTCTTCTTTTTCACTGGCATTCTTTTATACTATTTTTACAGCTCTCATGATTCCAGTTTTTTTATTTATTACTTTGCGTATTTCAGAATATTACCCTTTACCTATTGGAGGAGTCAAGAATTAGTATTCTGTGCTAACTCGACCTTTCTTCTTAATTAAAAGGTTTAACGCTAATACAGAAGGCTTTTCTATCTTTATGACTTAATCTTTTACATTCTTATTTTCTTTGATATTCTTATTCAAATTCTCCCTAGCTTTTCATCATTTTATTACCCATAGATTCTTGATATTAATGTTTATTTAATTATTTTATAATCAATTTTAATTGCCATTAACATTTCGATATGGTTTATAGTTATGTAGTATAGTAATTTGAGTTGAAAGAAAATTACCAAATTAAATTAAAATACATTATCTCAATTAAATAATTCCTTCACTTTATTGATACATCCAATAACTTTATCTCTTAGAGTTTTGATTGTCAAGTTAAATCCAGCCTTAATTTAAAAATCGCCATCTAAGTAACCTCTAATAATTAATTTGTCGTCTTTTTAACTGACTCTCAGTCCCCCCAATACTACTTTACCTTCCTAACACTATTGAGATCTAGGTAAATCACAAAAAGATTACATTTTCAATTAGAATTGATCTTGCATTCTGATCGATTTGTAAATAATATAATAATCTTCATTTAACAATTCTGTATATTTTACGTACGTAATGAATTGTTGTTTGATCATTAGATGCTTGTTTATTTGCATTTCTCCAATAGACATTTATTAATTGATCTGTTGCAATTTGTAGTTTTCTATTAATTCAAATTCAAATAGCGTGTTTTCCTTTGACCATTTAAGGAATCTATTGATATCTGTATTTAACTCGAATTGAAACCTATATTATAACTATTATATAAACACTTAATTTAAATGAACATGACCTTTTGCACAAAATAATGCGAGAAATACAACTCAATATTATTGATATTCTGAATATAAGTGTCACTATCATCTATAACATCTACTAACTCTGTAAATTTCTCAAGTGCCTCCTATACATATAAGGTTAATTCATCAAATTGAATGGAATCAATGTTAGAGAAAACTAGAATTCCATTTTCTATTGACTTTTATTACTGTTAATGCAGTTGAATTGCACCATCAGAAGTCTATCTGTCTTACTTTTGTAGAATAAATTTATCTTCTTCTTTCAATTGCACTGCTTAGCTTATTGAAGGTGATCTTACGATGGATAACTATTTATTAGAAATGGTTTCCAAAGTTAGATCATTCTCATTCTTTTCCTCATTTTTATCAACTTAGCATGATGATAAATCATTAGAATGACTATGATCATGTGCAAAACCTAAATTTCGGATGGAATAAACTTATCTATTATGCTTGTATTTTTGCTTATGTTTCTTCAGCAGGATTATTGGATAAGTTCACTAACTAATGTGAAGATACTGAGACAGAGGGCTTGCTTCTAATGATGAAACAACACTCTTTGCATTTAGAAATTAATAATCCCATTTTAGTTAAAAAATTGATTATTATAATAATACTATTTTGTATTTTGCAATCCATAACAAATTACTCTATTATGTAAATGTTTGGATAAAAAGGTATGTTTTCAAAAAGTATATTAGTTGAATCATTCTGGCCTATCATGATTTATAAATAACATAATTAATCTTTTGTAATTATTTATCGGTATTAGATTAAAAATATCATCATAGCATCATATTTCAAATGAACTTTATTTTCCTAGATGAAGTGGACTTAATACTGTTCCAGAATCTCTTTTTGAATTACTTTGATCCATCCCAAATTTGATTATCTAAATTGTGTTAATCATGGGTGATTCTCCTATGGCTTGCTAAAACACTATGCTTTGCTATTTTGGTAATTCACTATATTAATCAAAATTCTACTAAAACTCATGTTCTTTTGATGTAGGATCAGTCTTAAATTTAAGTCCTAAGGATTTTAAATATGCCACCACTCGCCTTTCTAGTTCCAATTATTGTAAATCGTGACAGTGAAATTGAGGTAATAAACTATCCAATGATTCTACTGACTCTCGTGCAAAGTCTTCAAGAATTTCAATTTTCGACCGTGATAAATCCTCTCCTTTTTTACCATATTACATGATTTGAAATGAATATGAAATTTGTTTAATAATGATAAGAATTTCTGATTTTATATATAATGTCAAAATTATGCTTCTAACAGTTATTAGTCATACAATTCGATTACATCGTTTAGATTAAAATAATCGAAAATACTTAAGTCATCATCTAAATAGGATATTATCCTCTTAATTTCAGGATGCCAGTGACTAAATTATTTACATCACATACTTCTAATAAGATGCGATCTCCACAATCTGAGACTCTCCCTATTTGAGGAAATGTTTTAATTGTATGTGCTTTTTGAAGATGTTGAAAATGAGTTGAGTAGCTGCCAACTGCAAAGAACAGGACTCTTTAAGACAGGCTCTGAGTACTGATTGAATTATTCTTGCAAGGGTTTATAATGGGACCTTTGAAGATTTTGTTGTCACATCTATCAATTTCAATAATTTCGATTTAGAAGAACATTCGAATGCTCCGTCAGTTATAATAATCTGTATTAACTATTGAATATGAAGATATTGTTACTCTTTCATAAAAATTTTCCAAATTGTAATTAAATCTAGTAATTAAAATCAATAAGGATTAGAGAGAATGTATTTTCAATTCTAAACTTCCATTATCTATGCTATTTTACAAAAAGTCAGCTAAAATTAATGGATTGTCCACTTTATCAACCAAGTGAGTATTAATCAATTTTGAAAATTAAAGTCGTTCCTAATCATTTGTAATCTTCGATAATTGTTTTTAGATAAAAATAGTAAATTGAGCAGCATCACTTTATTCAATTAATGGGAATTTTTTTAATAATATTATAAATTTTTCGAAGTCTAGAGGGAGGTATTGCAACACCTCAAAATAATTTGAATGGATGGGGGTTTCTATTCCTTTTTCAACTGAAGTTTACACAAGTCTTACATAGGGTGGACAGTCTATGCTTTGTTAAATGCTTAATAATAAATCATCATAGAAGGAATGCTAGAATAGAAGTCTCAAGAAGACACTCCATTTTATATTCAAAAAGTTGTCAACCTAATTACTTTCATTTTATCTGTTGTTGTTTTTTCTCAAGTTCCACTAATTCCATTCAGATCCATATGAAATGGAAAATAACTTTTTATCTAACAGATATAAAAAAATCCTTCTTAGAGTTTGAACTAACTCTTGTGTCAGGGGCATAGATAATAGGGAATTCAGTTTGTTTAGATTCCCATCCTCGATAATTTCGCTTGCTAGTTTAAGGATGACCATCAATTAAAATTATTATTATAAATGCAATAATTATTAAAGGAAGGAGGGAACAGAAATCCTAAATCAAATTAATTTGAATGGAGATCTATCACTCCTGAAAGAGAATTTGGTTAGATGTTATAAGGTAAGCCTCTCATAACTGAACCAAATGAAAATAAATAAACAGCTAAATCTATGAGTTAGGAAAATAACATCAATAATCACGATTTCTAATAAAAGCACACCAATTTAAATAAGTTGTTAATTCCTGATAGTTAGTAATAGAAATTTTAGAGGCCTTTGAATTACATGTAAACTTCATTAAAGAAAATGTCAGAAATTGGATAACAAATCAATTCAATATTACAAAAGTTCAAATAAAATAGGATTCATAGACCTTAATCAGATTTAAATATGTTTGATAAGCATTCAATGATGAAAAAAACTAGTTAAAATGACATAAGTCTATCAACTAATTTGAATTTGAATCATAGTTATATAGATAATCGAGGGACTGAGACTGAACGATCTTATTTTCAATACAAAAATCACAAAGAGAATGGAAAGCAGCAAAGCAAGGATTCAAAGGATTATCAATTCATATTCTAAAATAGTAATAATCAGTTTTAAACCAATTCTTTAAAGAAAATTATTGAAAAGAAAATTGCTCTAGCTATGTAGACAAATACCAATAACATCTTGTATAACGATTACAAGAAGTAAATTAATAAAGAATCCTAATAAGACAGATCTTACAATATCTAAAAATACATAACAAATAAATTCTTAAGAAATTCATCGTGTTTATAGCCGAATGAAAAAAGTGATAGGAAGAACAAATAAATGTCTAGTTATTTTTCATAGAATCATTACTCTAAAAGTCAATCATCATTCTTAATCGAAAGGGAAAATAGCAAATCAGAGAATACGACTAGTCGGAACAACAGAATTAGAGTGTCTAGTTATATCAAAACTCCTACTAAAAACAATAGCGATCTAATCAAACAATTTAGTCCTCGATTTATTTCTTAACAACTCTCATCATATTAAGTTAGCTCTAGCAAGATTAATTCATTGTTGTCATCCATGAATAAAGATATAGAAAAGATAAAAACATATAATAATATTTAAAATTTGAATATTTATCATATCTAGGCTATACCACTATTTTTAAGTAATGATCCAAATTAAACTCATGTTATTGTTGGTTGTTCTGATTTATCAGTTAGAGCAATTAATTTATACTCAGGTAGAATTTAAGTCTTGGGGAAGCATTAGAGGCCAATCAAATCCATTACTAAGATTGTGATATAACACAATTTTAAGACTTTTTACTCCTGCTCTTTAGATAATTAAGTCATTCAATGGGTTAGTGAATCAATGCATGGCACCTATCGATTGAAACATTCTTGGAGAATGGATGAAGTCCCTTTACAACTCTATTAAACTGAAAAAGGAGTTTTATATATTGTAACAGCCAATTATATTTTCTATTTTTCGTCTGTTACAAAAAAGCAAATTGCCTATCATGGAGTATTCAATTGTATGATCTAAACATCGAGTAATATTTTGGTTGCTATTGATAATTTCATATACAAATTATAAGCTGACTCTCTGTAATTGGTTTGCACTTCAAAGAAGCCTATCAAAAATATGATATATGAAGAAGGCCTACTTTATGTACTTTAAAGAGATGGAGCCTTATTAATTTATGAAGAAGCCAAACATTTAAAGTTTAATTCCGAAATAGACATAGGAGCTATGAATATTTTTACTATGCAAAACGGTTAAATTATTATTTAAACTAATGACAGCGAATTTATTGTGTATTCTTAATAAATAAGCAAATCATATCAGATAGATGGTAAAATCAAATGTCTGTTAGCATTATCATAAATGTTATTAATTGGAAGTAATAAGAAATTGATCGAAACACTCAAATTTTGAATATTATATATTATTTTTACTTTATAGTGAAATAGCAATGAAAAATTATTAGACATAAATATCCCAAAAGTCTATAAAGCAAAATAAAACTAGCAGTTCACATCTTAGTAAACAAAAAAGAGAATATAATTTAAGAAACTCTATCTCTATTTATTCTTTTCTTTTATTTGATTCAAAGATCTCTCAATTTTGATTTAGTGATCATTTTTGTCATCTTACTCAACTAATCGTCAATGTTAGTATTGCTACATCAAATATACAATTACGAACCTTGATTCAGGCTCTCAAACTCATCTTATAGAGTCATAATAATTAATCCTTTTTAATAGAACTAACTCAAAGGCCTCTGTAGTTAATCATGAATATCAACGCATCCTCTTCACATATACTGTAATCTCCTACTTAGCTACTTAAATTAAAAAATTCTTAACTTTCTGCAACTGCTTTCTAAAACCATTTTACTATTGACATCCTTCCTTTACTTCAGGTGAATACTATCAAGATTTTTTCAAATTCCGAAAAATTTAGCTACTGCTTTTAATATTTCATTGAAATTTTATTTATATACCTTGAAATCATCAAATTTAAGTCATTAGCCCTTTTTGAATTTTCTATTTAATTCAATCAATGATCTCAATAGATCTTCTCTTTAAGATTTTTCATCCTTTATCTAAAAAAACAATGATAATAATATTCTAAATAAATATAAATAAAATGAAAAGAAATGAATTTTCAATTCAAAAAAGTTCAGCAATTATCTATGGGCATATCCTGAAACATCTATCCAAATTTATTTTATTATTTTCTAACAGATATTTGGGCCATTAATAATTGCAAAAAAATACTTCTGCAAAGTTTCTCATTTGTGGGCACTTGTTTATAGAATTGAAAAGCCTCGCTTTGCAAAATTTGTTTAGAGGGGTATTCAAAAAGTTCACAGCCTCATAGGAAAAGATAATATCTTTTGGTAAATCCATCATAAATCGTTTCAACCCTCCATAGAAGGCTTTATAGATATTTTTGGTTTCTTTTGGAAGATGGTATCCCTATGGTGGGATTCGTACATGTTGAGGGGAAACATTACTCAGACTTATTTAAGCTTATATGACCATCCCCTATTCATCAGTATTTTATTCAACTTCGCTGCTCCTCTAACTTTTTTGTACATTATCACTTGCCTCATTGTTAATATTATTGCATTCTTCTTAGGATATTTTCGATTTCGTTTGTGTATTTTGACTATGACTTGTCTTATTGCGTATTTCTTAGGATATTCCAAAATCCGATTCTGTTGTTTGAACGTTGCCAATAAGTTACTTAAATTCAATGTCCACCTTATATAGAACATACTCACTGTCCGCCTTATAAAGAACATACTCAACTTTACTGTCCACCTTTTAATGAACACTCTCAACTTCACTGCCCTCCTTATAATGAACATTCTCAACTTCACTGCCCTCCTTATAATGAACATTCTCAACTTCACTGTCCACCTTAACAAGATAAGGAGGTGATTGATCAACTTAATCAAAATCGCTATTATTACCTTCTTCATGAGATTATTAATTTTTTATCACACTCATGAAGCTTTAAGAGGTAAATAGATAATTTAATTAATGAAAAAAATCAAATTCATTCAGATTCATGATGTGTGTAAAATGCCCAACAAAATTATGACTTATAAATTCTGATATTATAATACAAATCAAATAGATTTTTAAATATTATGCTACTAATACAAACTTTTGATAAATACGTGTTATTTTTGTTTTAAATTAATTGATGACGTCCATCAACGGGCGAGAGAATTTAAAGCATAATCAAATATTTTTAATGTATATAATGAAGGGAAGAAAAATTTATACTCAATATTGTTTTATTACAGATTTAAACTTCGATTGCATTGTCGAAGGTTTTTTCTCATCTCTTTATTTCTAGACAAACAGATTAACAGGGCTTTTAGTTGTTATTTAATCAAAATTAAAAGAGGAATTATTTTTTTTCTTCTTAAATAACTATTGTTATTAGGTTACATTAGGGATTTAAATAGGTTATCCACCATTTGAATTTTAAGTAGAACTTGTTTAATTGATGTTATTAGTAATCATTAATTAAATATTTAATTGCTTCTTTTTAATCTAATTTTCCGATCTATTCAATTTACCATTTTGATTTGCTGAATTTTTCCCAGAACCCAATTCAACAGTTTTATTATTATATTTTTAATACTGCTTTTTGATTTGGATAGATTTAAAGGGGTATTACTATTGCAAATAGACTTCTGCTAATTAGTGATTGATCCATTTAGGAGAATTAGGTTTATATTTGTTTGTGGTTGAGACAGACCGTAATTTCCGCTTATGAGTCCTACTTTAAACTTCCAAGATCTAGTGCTCTGGCTCAATGTTAAAATTGGCTTGCTTAGTATTTGAGAATTGCTATTCCTTCATAGACCTAGTCCTACTTTTCATTCCAATATATTTGGCTTTGAAATTAGTTATTTATAAATACATTTTCTTATAATTGGAATAACAAAACCACACTTTTACGATTCAACAACTGGCTTGAGAAGTACAATCTCAAAATGTCCTTAATCCATTTTAATCTTTGCATCTTCATCTATTGCCTAGTGCTTCATGCAAATATAATACTTATTTAGAAATGTCATAAAATCTATTATGGACATTTAACAATTAGGTTATTAATGGTAGATCTTTTGGTAAATACAAGTAAGCTATCTCTAAGGCTCTTGATAAGTAATTCTCTGCTTCACTAAAACAACAAGATTCAACTTTCTAGGTAAATTTAGACTCCGTTGAGGTGCAATACAAGGAAATCACAAATAAACAAATCAGATGCAAATATTGTTAATTAGTAGGGAAGTTCATCACATGGTTGAAATTGCTTAAATTTACTGGGTACATTTGGATGAAGTATAAGATGTTGGCTCTTTGAATATACTCTTATGGACATCCAGAATACACTTAATCATAACTCTTTAATACTAATCATTGTACTTCTTAAGCAGCTTGGGTTTGAACTTGATAACCCTAAACTATTGTTTGATGTTTCGGTTTCAGAATTGGAATGCTCTTCCTAAGGATATCCTCAAGGACTTATTAATGTATTTAGCTCTGTAAGTACTTTTGGAGATCTATCAATATCTTGGAAGATTTTCTTATGGCCATTTTAGCAAAGGCTAAGGCTTCGGAATGCTGACCACTCTCGGAAAGAATGATGCAGCATTACAAATAACAATGCAGCCGTATTATCGATAGGAGATACCCTTCCTAATCTGTTCTTGGAGTTTTTTTTAAAGCCAAAATGGCATCTTCAAAACAAGTAAATGCTTGTTCTAACCAGCCAATTGCATAATAGACTACTCCCAAATCTATTCTTATCATCAGGAAATAATGGATTAAGGGATTAGAATATGAAATGGCAGTTAGTATTTATTCTGCTTATTTCAAGTGATATACACATTGGGAATATTGGCTAGCTTCAAAGTCTTAGATGCCTAATTGAATAAAGTCAATTAACTATTGTTCTGCTTAATCTTCATTAATTTTAAGGGCTTTATTGTTTCGCTTTTGAGTTGCCTCTATCATATTGAATATTAAGTTTACATCCTTAACCATCAGCATTATTATTATGTATTATCTCCACAGGTTAAACTTGGTCTAAAATTTGCTGGAGAATGTTGACATCTGTTGATGAAGGAATAGGGTTTTATTTTTTTTAAACGTTTGAGACTAGATTATTTAACAACTTTGGAGATTTTAGTTCTTGCATATTTATTATAATAATATAATTTATTAGTATTGTAAACATCTTAGTAAATACTCAAGATACCTTCAGAAAATAATCATATGATGATCATAAACACGTTATCTCTTTACTTTAAATAACAATCTAATTATTTGTATAAATAAGACATATTTTCATTTATTTATTTTTTGGATATTATTTTGGAAAAAAGAGAGAAAATTAAAATAAGCAATTATACCACAATAATGTTCTTCTATTGAGAAGTTAGTGTGGATATAAGAGTAGGTTATGATTCAGGATTGGACATTTAATTCTTTGAAGTAAAGGTAGAGATTTTTATTATAGAAAAGAAGGTTAAGTAAGAATTCCAACCTAATTTATAATAATAAAAAGGCGATTTATTATTAAGAATATAAAATTTAGTAAATTCTTAGTTACCTTCTTTTAGTTATTTTTATATACTTGATATCAGTTTTTTTAACAAAGTATCGTTCCTTGAAGTAATAAAATATTAACTATAAACAATTATATATTCGTTTTATTTAATGAATTAACAGCAAGAAGAAGTAGAAATTTTTGATCTCCCGAATTCCAATAGAAATTCTGAAGAAATAAATAAGTCCCTGTTTTCCACTGTTTTTGCCATCATTTACAATTCCAGTTGGGGGCTCCTCTTTCTCATTTTCAGACATTATAGTAATTAGTTTTTGGTTTTAATCAAGAGATGATTCCGAATGCTAGCTGATTGATTCATGGACGCTTTACACAGAGATTGTATTATTTACTATAGCTGGATATAAATTGTAAGTTCTTAAACGATGTTAGATTTATCGAATTACCGATTTAATATAAGACTAATGAATAATGGAAAAGTTAATTGTTTGATGTTGTAGATTACATAGAATTGTTTTTTAACATAGTTATTCTAATCGGATTGACTGTAACGATATTTATACCTACTAAATTAGTATGCATATCTCTAGAATGAAGAATGTTATCACCTTTAAAGATTTGTTTTAGGATATTTGATAGTGACATACTTAATATTAATGATTTGGTTGATATCCTTCATATTTATTATTTGCAGTAGAGAACAATTTACCCAAAACTAATGATAAAATTAAATAAATTTTATTCGTATTTAATATTCATGCTTTAAGAAATGTATTACATTCTCGAAACAAATTAATGAGATTTTATTGTTTCTACATTCGACAAACTTCAGTTTATTTTGCATTAAAGCCTTTATAAATATTATTTATAAATAACTTAATGATTAATAAAATGAAAACAGAGATTAAGAATACTATGATGGATGATAAAGTCAAAGAGGAAATTAAATATATGCTAAAAACAAGTTAATTTGATGAATAGACTCAAAATCAATTGGTTTCTACTTTAGACACAATCTATGACTTGTGGGAAAATATTAAGAAATTATCGCTTAAGTTTTTTGAGAGAGAAATAGATAAAAATTTGAACAACATAAATAATCAGCTAAAAGAGTTATAAGAAAAGAAGAGCTCAGTTCTGATTTCTTTTTTTAAAATAGATAAAAACACACAAGACCTTTAATCTTCTATTAAATTTCAATTATTGGCGTTATAGAAATACGTCTAGTCAATTTACAATTCGGTTGATCGTGATACCTCAATAATCAATGAGTAAGGGATAATTGAATTAAATCATATCCGAGCAAAACTCCAATTTGTATTAAACCATCCAAAATATTAATCTATTGGAATTATAATAGAATTTCTAATTGTTGAATCAGATTTACCAAATGAATATTAAATGATCATTTCACACAAATACTTAATTTAGAAATTTGAATAATCCTATGGAAAACAAGAAACACTCCTTCATAAACTCAAAAATCAAAACGATAAGGCATTTATTATTTTGACATATAATGTTTTTGAAAAATAGTTGACTTTATAAACAGAACATAACCCATATATTATTATATCAAGTGTGAATCAATCCAGAATTTATTTAGACAAGGGGATGTTGTTGACATTCGAGAATTTTTATGAATTAAAAGTAACTCAAACCAACACTAAAAACATTAATTTGGAGCAATTATCAAGTTATAATGAAATTAAGTAAGATAAATGTGAAGGAACAGTTAAAATAGATGGATATGGGTATATATAATTTGAGATTACAAATTTAAAAAGAAAGAATGTAGAATTTTACCTTAAGAATTCAAATTTAGACTTAAGCAATCACTTATCTGGCTTATAAGCTATTCTTTATCATGACAGCAATGGGTTTTATGTGATTCCTAAGCAAAATGCTGACCCTTACAAATTAGTTTACGATAACAAATTAATAACCAAGGCTTCTCCCATAAATGTCGGAATATAGATATAAAATAAATTTTGGATAGAAGTAGAACTAGATAAAATTGATAGTGATTGCTTTGTGCTTGACTGAACTAATAATTACATTTTTCAACATTATCTACATCACTATTGGTTTTTTTTATCACCAAATTTATATTATACAACATTTATAAGTGAAATTGTAACCAAAAAATTTTACAACAAAATTAGGTTATTATATGATAGTTGAAAAATATTACTCAAAATTAATTTACTGTTTAGAATGCTATTTTCAAATGATTATTGCCAACTAGAAATAGTAGCAATCATAATATTTAATTTATTTTAATCCGCATAGCCAGTACTGAAAAAAGTACTTTGGATATCTTATAAAAATAATAATTTAAAGAATTCAGGTTGCAAAGGTACAATAACAAATATATATCAAATGATTGATTTTATTTAAAAAAAAACAAAAATTATGTTCAAAAGACTTAGCAACAGCTTTCTCTTTTTTTTGGCCTATCTTATAATTATTCAGTGTTTGTAGTTTAATTAGTTGTAGTTGAATAATATTAGGATTCTTAAGTATGAAATTTAACCTAAGAAGTTCTTCCACTTACGAATTATGATAATTCTCTTGGTGTTTCATTAATAGATTTCAATGCAGAGATTAATTAAGCTTCATTTAAATCGTGTTCTCCATTTTCATCAGGTTCGGCTTCTGAGCCATCAAGAGAACATGGTAAAGATGATCTTAAATTGCCTCCTGATTGCCTTTAAACTTTGCGTTTAGAATTGGGACTTGAATTTTGTTTGGGGTTTGAATTTTAAGAATCAAGATACTATTAAAATCTATAACTAAATTATTCCTTAATATCTGATTTACTGCTTGAAGGTTAGAGAGATCTTCTTTTTGATTTTCTATAATCTCCATTTAATTCATCTAAATTTATGTTTTAGTCTAATTAGAGTTAAAAGTTTTATTCTTTAAAAATCTATTTATCATATTTGATTCCCTAAAAAGATATAAAATGAAATACATTTGTTGTAAGAATCTTTTCCATCACTTATAGCTCTTATTTAAGCATTGTCATTTACTTTTCGATCTATTCATAACTAAGTTTTATGTTGATTTTGACTTTATTGAGAATCAATTTGGCTCTTTAAGCAAACTTCAAAGTTTAAATAGTTTTTTCTTCATGCTCTGATGCTGCACTTACAGCACAAATGAAGGAAGTATTAGAATTACCACCCAAACATTCCTTAAGGAGCAAGGTTAGCTTTGAATCTCTATATGGAACATGCTTATTGGTTTTTCTGCTTGATAATGCCATTATGCAATGTCCCAAACAATGCAATGATTAATTTATCTTTTTAGTTTCTTCTAATAATTAACCTTTGGCAACTGTTTTGGCAAGTCTTTCACTTCCTGCTAAATCAATAAATTGAATTTTGGATGTTCTCTATGATTTGTCCTTCCATTCAACGAGCAATCTTATTAAAATAAATGGATTACTCAATTGTGAAAATTACATGAGATCTGCTGGATCTGGAATTTAGTTGAGTTGCTCCAATTGCTCTATTATAACTGCCAAAGGCTATTAATTCCATAAGATCATTCACAGATTCAACTTGAACTTCCCTCACTCCCATCAACTTGGGACCATCAGCTATAGTGCTAATCTAAGAAATTTAAAGTGAAATACTTTGAGATCTAACTTCTGATTGTTTGTTTTATATTGTTAGTTTAAGAGATCAAAAATTTACTCGTTATAGATTTCAACGTAGGTGGCTTTGAGAGTCACCTATTACTATGATTCCTATTGTTTTATTTTTTGATATCCCTTAATTATTAATAGTGTTTACATCGACAATTTGATAGATTGATCTTGGGAGTATACCAGAACTTTAATCTATATTAAACTTATTATTGAGGATCTGCTCTATTGTACTTTCTGGGCCTAAGATTGTATATGTTTTGCCCGAAGAAGTTGCCCCATAAGCAAAGACTGCACTATTGTACCCTTAGAGACTAGTTATTTAATTATGGAAAGTTACAAAAAACTGATCTTAGGCAACATAATAGATGAGAATATTTCCTCTTACAATGTAGCCGGAGGCATAATAACATCAAATTCAAAGATCTCATCTTGTTTTGTATTTTTATATGTAATTGCTTCTTCTTCAATTATCCAATTAGGAGACTTGAGATTAAGGAAAATTTACAGACTCTTCTTCTATAGCTAAAATGGACTTAAATCGAATGACAACTTTTATTTGATTGTCCATTTATAAATCTATAATAATTATAATATTAATAATATCAATCGATAAATGATTAAGACTTAGTTCTTACATAACTCTGTGCTCTCCCAAAGGCTTTACAGCTATTTTTAATGCGAGTCTTATATTTTTTAATTCTTTCAAGTAACTAAACACTAGTAAATTGATAGAGAGATTATGCAATAAATCTTTTTCTATCACAAATTTTACTTGCATACACAATCTTGCTAATTTGAAATATATTATATAGATTAAACTATTGAAGGTTCATACAAGTTTTGTGTGAAAGGAAATAAGATTGAGCCTAACATTATAATATAAATTAGCGCTTCATTGAATACATTCATTTTTGTCTAAAATATCTTCAATCATGTATTACTATCTTCCTTTAAGCATTCTAAAACTTATTACTTAGAATGAAATAAGGATGCTGAAGTTTAAGAAAGTAAGATCATTAAAATATCTGTAGTTCTATATTAAGTTTTCAAAATTTAGTGCTCTGCTTATTTCTTGACTTCCTGTCGATAAATTCATACGGTAATCATAGATTTACTTAATCTTTAAATCCATAGAATACAGCTAGCTATTTCAAATCTTTTTAAATTATTAAGTATAGCTTGGTAATCAAATTAGACATAAATTTCTTGCATCTTGGTACTTTTTGCTTTGAATGATTTGTGTTATTTAATTGTTAAGTTTTTATGTCAATAAAGAGTTATTGAACAGGTGGTTCAAGTTTATGTCAGTCAAAACTATCTTGCAATTAGAATATAGATTTCAATTGAATAGAGTAGTGTAATAAATTAAATTAATGATAAATCTGTTCCCTAAATTACAAGACAATTAATATAATCGACAATCTTGGGGAGGGTTACTATTTCTTATAACAATCATTTGTATTGTTGTTTTCATCTGGGCTGAGATTACTAATGCTCTCTAGGGGACAATTTAATTGCAAGTGGATCCAGCAATTGATTCTAGGATTAGAGTTAACTTGGATGCAGTAATCTAAGCACCTTGCCAAGCATTAACATTAAATATTTAAGATATGATGGGCTCTTATTTACAAGATGTATAACACACTATGATAAAAACACGTATAGTTGATGAGAACTTAGAATATGTGGATGTTAAGCAAAACATAAATTTTACTTCTTGTTATGGAGCTGAACTGTTGATAGATCAAAAGTGTTACAGTTGTTAAGATGTTATGATGGCATTTGCTTAAAGAAGATGGAGATAACCCAATTTTGAAAGCATCGTATAATGTGTTGGGAAACCCACTGTTCAATTTGATGACTCAGAATTAAAGTAGTTTCGATAGGCTGATCTTAATCACTAAAAAGAGCTTCAGTTGACGAAAAAAGAATTGGTCAATGTAACGGCTACTGAGTTGTTCAAACAATCTATTGAGGTAGATGATGAAGAAGAGGATGCCACTGAATAAATCATGACTTAAGAATAGAGAGACAAATTCAAAAAGGCTTTGGGTCAACTCTCAGAGATAAGTTATAATCCTATGCAGTGGGATGAATAGAGATTGAAATAAGAAAAGGGCAAATAAATTGATTAATTGATTGGAATGCTGAATATATCATTGGATCATATTGGAGGTACATTAGCCAGTCAATTGCGTTTCTCTGATAGAGAAAGAGTATTACCTTTCAAAAATCTCACATAAGATGTTAAATTATTGACAGAAATTTACAGACAAAAGTGCGAGACTACTTTAAAGATATACTTAAATGCTTCCTATGATAATGAATCAAAGGTTGAAAACTTTGAACTTGATATGCCTAAGGATTAGTGTTCTATCCCATTCTATTATTCTGCAAAAGATGACATCATGACCATCCAGGTCTAGAATTATGAAATATAATGGAAGATTAATACTTCTGTTATGATGAGTTAATTCGTTTTCTTTATTGAAAAACTATTGGTTATCAATGAAGAATACAACTACAATTATTAACCTAATTCTATGCTGGATAGAGCATACAATTAATTTAGAATCAGCGTGTATGTTCATGTTAAATAAATTAAGAATCCAATAACCAAAAATTCAAGATTGTTATTTAGTGAATCTTTCTAAGTAGAACAGCCATCTGAATCTTATATCGAAGTTTCTGATATTGAAGAACATATAGATGAAGCTTGCAGATTTTTTGGATATTTTTACATTAAGAAGGTTCCTGGAGTATTTGCTATCCAATCTAATAAGCCAGCTATGGAATTAATTAATAGAACATTCCAAGGAAATCATACTTTTAAATTATCATTTGGGGATCAGACATCAACTCAAAGAGAAACTTATAGTTAATTTTCTTCAAAATACTATCTAAAATTAGTTACTACTAATAATATAGATATTTGGAATAATCAGAATGTCTTTTATACCTTCACTTAACAAAGATCACTTTACAATGAAACTATAGCTCCTTTCATTGAATTTCAATACGAATTCGATCCCATATCGATGACAATTCAGTCTACTTCAATTACAAACTATTTAGTTATAGTTTTTGCTGTTATTGGAGGTGTCTTCGCTGTTAGTAAATATATTGCTGGCATCTTGAATATGTTAATATGATAATCTGAATTTTTTATATAATTAATAAACAAAGAGTTTTAATTCAATCAGACAATTATTTATGTTTATGTAAATCTTTAGTCTGGTTGGTCTAAATTAATTTGAATTTTGAAAAATGAACAAATTATGTTGATTATAATGTTGTTATATTTTGATTAATTTAATAAATTATGGAACCCATAGTGAGTGAATTTTCATAAGTGAACGATGATTCGATCGAAAAAGAAAAGGCTTAAATCAAGAATATTTTGGCATTTGAAACTGCAGGAACATTATTATTGATTTATGGAGCATTAGCTGCTGAGTAATATATTTTTATAGTAATAGAACTAATTTTGGCGTTGCTCTTGTTTATTTCATTGGATTACTCGTGTGTAGTAGACTAAGCAAAGGATACTTTAATCCGATATGCACATTAATTGGATATATAGATGGATCAATACCATAAAAAAAGGCCATTTATTATGTTGGAGCATAAACATTTGCTAGTCTAATTGCAGGGATGTTATTGATGCCTATGTTTGCATACAAAAAAACACTACCATATTTTGAAGTGTATTTGAGTATTACAATATATATAGATTACCATCTCATCAAGTATTTGGAACTTTAATGTCTGAAATAGCTGGATCAATTATCTTTTTTATATTTATTCAAATATAAACAGCCGAAAACACTAAAATAACAACTACAGAGGTACAATCTGCCATTTTTGTTAGTGTCATTTATTTTGTTGCACGATAGTAAACATTTAATATTATATAGATACACTGCAACTATGGGTAATAGTCTATTTAATCCATCTGCAGCTTTTGGGTAAGTACTAATACTATATTTTAGATTATAATTATTTTATGGAATTTATTATGGAAAGTGGGACTAAATGATTAATTTATTGATATATATTATTGGTCCTTGGGTTGGAGCATTGTTAGCCATTACCTTCTTTTGGAAAATCTACACTCCGACTCTTGTTAGTAAATAGTCTAATTGAATATAATATCGACATATAATTTATTTTATACAGTTTTTATAACGAATGCATTTATCTTAATAAAACTCTATTGAAAAGGAAAATCGTATAAAATAATGCTAGAAAAAGAGGGAAACAATTTGAAGATAATATTAAATGAAACATAAAGAGATTCAATGCAATTCTGACCTAATTTATGAGATAACTTCCCAATTAAAAAAAAAATTTACTCAAAAATATTAATAATTTTAAATTTAATTATATATAAATCTCAATGGTGCTTTAGAAATTGAAATCTTTTTGATCCTATCAAGATGAATTTATAATATATTTTGATTTTCTATCGACAACTAAATGAAAATTTTAATGTTTGATCATAATTTCTATTCTTAATCTATATAATATAAATTAATATCGCATAAATCTTTATTCATAATAACTTTTAACTATTCTTATAAAGGAATACAACTTATTTGCCAATCAGAAAGTCATTTAATAAAAAGGAATTGATAAAATTTTGTTAATAATAAAAATCAATATTTTTGGAATCAGTCACAGCCTTACAATTTTGAAATAGGCGACATGTTTCCTCTAGAATTTGACTTAGTTTAATACTATAATTTTGTAAATTGAAATGGCTGTTGAAGACATTCACAATTTAAGAATCTTATTTATTTTTATTTTCACAAAATCACTAGAGGCTTTAAGCTTCTTAATTAATAGTATTAAAATAAAATTAAATAAATATAAAATATTAGTTTAATATCGCATCAAATTAGAGTAATACTATGGTTAAAAATATCAAAAATGATGATTAAATGAATTGTAGTGCAACTTTTTGAGTTATGGGGATATTGGTATCACAAACGATGAGCTTTGCACTGTTGATGTTTCACTAGGACAAGTAGTTATTCTTTTTCCAGGATTTTCATAATGAAACTTATGATATTTCTTTTATTATAATATTCTTTATTTCAAATTGAAACAAGACTCATGCTTTTAAAGGAATTACTTTGTTAAAAGTTAACTTTAATTTAACTCCTCTCTTATTTACTCTTTATATTTTTCTATTTCACTCTACAAAATTTAGGAACGAGCTAAAATAATAAGAAATTTTACCTAGTTTTTCACTTAAATTCATTATTTACTTTTGACATTCATTTTGAAGAATTTAGTTTTATTGCCGAAATTCATTAATTTATCTTACAAGCTGTTCTTTTTCATCTTTAAAAGCAGGAGTTATAGGTTCTGAATCATTTAAGCAACCAATATTGTGAATATCATGATCTTCATTCTCTTAGAACAAACTCAGTATTTACATTATGGAATAACTCATTGTATTATTTATTTAATTTAATGTCAGATGACATCAAATTTATGAGAATTAAAAAGTAAAAAGGAATAATCTATTCGTAGAAAATCAATGTAAGAGTACTATATAAAATATAAATTTTGAAATGACTATAATAAAATACCACTACTTAACTAATTATTTAATTATTTAAAAACAATTCTTGTTCAAGACATGAAATTTATTAAATTTATCAAATTTAAATTATTTCATAAAATGTTCCATAAATAAGAACTATATAAATAACACTTTATCAAAGTGTTGCAAAGACTATGTATAAAGCCAATTCTGAAGAAAACATTTTATAAATTATTCATTAGAAATGAAATGGTTTAAAAAAGAGTTTTTTTTAAATATTATTTTACAGTTTTAGTCATTCAATATATAATTTTATTTAATTATCAAAACTGTTAATTGTTAATACTTTTATACATTTCCAGAAACCAATATTAGTTAATATTTCATACTTAAATACATGAGAATTATTATATTAAGGATCAATTTATTTCGAAGAAAACTTGGGAAATTAAATTAATAGATATTTCCTTAGACCCTATTGATAAATAGTTTAAAGTTTCTGAAGATTTTGTGAAGAGTTAAGATCTGTAATTTTGGCTCTATAAAATTTAATTAAGTAATGTAGCCGTCTAAGAATTTTGATCTAAGTATGTGAATACAAAATAATACTATCGACCTTTAAAATAAATGTCTTAAACAGAAAATAGCTAGAATCAATACTAATAATATTCACAATGTGTTTCTTTGGTATAAATTTTAGTTAACAAGAAGATTGGAAATAATCAACAATCAGGATACGATTAAACTCATGTTTTGATTTAAAGATTATTTATTCATGAAATAATATTAACTTCTAAAGTTTGAGAATATTTCACTAATAATTACACTTTTTGCTTGAAACATTTCTTGGTAGCCTAACTTTCTTAAAAAGAATATTATATTATAGTTATTGTATTTAAATGGCTCTCAAATAATTTGATTAACCATCAATTAGCTATTATAATGATTTAACTAATATGATTTAAAGTATTCAACCAAAAACTACGACTTAACATAATTGAACCTTTTATTATATAAGGTGTGAGCAACAAGGTTTTTAATGCTTTAAATACACCGTATTAAGTATATAAGGAGGTTCTAGATTTAAAATAAAATTAAGAATTTGGCATTATTTTTTTCATATAATCTTATTTAAAAGTAGTAATTCAGATAAATATAATCAAGAATATGCTAATTTTAATAATTTCGGAGAAATAACTTTATTAATTTATCATTCCTTTATCTCGTTAACTCTTTAATTAAATAATTGCTTGTCAAAATAGGTAACTAAAGTGGTTCATTCACTATAGGATAGCGTAACTATGTTAGTATAGATAATTTAAGTGCATGAAAGGTTAATTTCTTGTTTGGAAGAAGATTATAAATTTGAGGGGATAGGTGAATGTAGAATATGGGGAATTCATTAATGAATATAGAAATGATTAGGTAATCAAGTTTATTAAGGAACTTAAATAATAATAGGAGAAAATTATTACTCATAATATATATATATTAATATAGTAATTTTAGCATTTAAGAAAATTATTTTTTATTTATTCTTGATAAAATAGATGATTCAATATCCTTTCTTTAGTTTACCCCCAAAATGTCACTAAGCGATACCAAGTGTTCCAAGAAAATTATTGAAAGATTAATATGAAGTACTTTCCACCGAATTGGGATAAGGAACCTATGGAAAAGTTAAGTTAGCCATAAATAGAGCAAATAACAAGAAATGTGCCATAAAAATAGTATTTATATCCTTATCGAGCCTAGATCTCTAAGAGTTACATAAATTAATACAATGCAAAATAACACATTGATAATGAAATCAATTACCTCTAATGTTGTAAACACAAGAACATTGTAGAGTTTATAGAAACGTTTGAAGACAAGGAAAATGTTTACATTGTTTTGGAATACTGTTAGAATGGAACTTTGTATGAGATGATTAAAAAGAAAAAAATTTTTAGTGAAGATGAAGCCTTTTCTTATTTTTATTAGATAGCCCAAGCCATACAGTATTTGCACGAGAAAGACATAGTGCACAGAGATATCAAGTCAGACAATGTGTTGTTATAGAATAACACAGTAAAGCTATGTGATTTCAATTGGTCAATATATTTGCCAAATGGAGGCAAAGCTAAACCTTGTATATGTGGGACTACTGAATATATGCCTCCTGAAGTGGTCAAAAAGCAGAAGCACGACAAAGGAGTTGATGTGTGGGCACTTGGAATATTATTACATGTAAGAATTGTTAGGATAATATTAGTATATGCTGCATGGTGAATTGCTATTCAGAGCCAAGAGCAAAGAAGAATTGCATGAGAAGATATGTAATAAGCAATTGATAAAATTGAATGATCACTTATCAATCGAATGCAAATAATTGTTACTCTAAATGCTTGCTCATTCAAAACGAATTAATATTTAGTAAGTCTTGAATTCGGAATGGGTAATTAAAATGCTTACGAATAAAAACATTTCACATCCATTGGAGTTGACTCCTATTAAAAACAGATCCAGTGCTTATGAGTTAACTAGATTTAGTGTGATTTCAGAATCTACTTGTTTCTCTAGTTCGAAATTCACTACTAAATCTTATGACATCGAATCTCCATTCAAATAATCCAATAATTTTGTAAAATAAGCACCCTAGCCCTAATAACCTCTAAAGGTGAAGAGCACTGCCTTAGATCAAAAGATTACTGCATTTAGAGTTGAAAAAAGACAAATTGAATGAAGAATTAAAACTTATTTATTTTTTAATGTAATATTATAAATCATTTTGTTAAATTAATTATTTGTATTATAAGATGGAGTATATTGCATATACCGATGCAAAATTTTAATTTCTGGGAACTCGTAAACACTTCTTTCGGGATAAACAATATTATGTGAGTGTTTTTGAGGATTGCTTTATAATGGGCAATGTAATTCTCAAAATAATATTTGATTAGACATGCGATACACAATCGCCAAAGTACAAAATAAGTTTTGATCTCAATATCAAATTAAATTGGGACTTGAAAAAGCAGGAAAATGGTGTAATTATCTAATCATTTGTTTTTCCATACAAAAATTCATTTAAGACTCTCTATGCTAAGCATGATGATTTAATGAAGTAACTTGAATATTTTATTCTTATATTTGTCAGATTCAAAGAACTGCTTGGTCAATCAGTGACTTATGAAGGCATTGGCGATCTCTATCTTCCAATTTTGTAGATTGGGAAAGGCAGTTCAGCTAAAGTAAAATGCAAATTAATTTCAGGTTTATAGTGCTTAAGACATTTTGAATTAAAATATTTATGCGATCAAAGCCATAGAGAAATCATTTTTAAATTAGACTGAAAAAGGCTCTGGTTTAGTAATACTAACATTTTTATCAATTAGGCTGCTTATAAAATGGAAGTGCAGATCCTTAAAATCTTATCTCCTTATTCTAAGAACTTTCTCACCTTAAAGGAGATATATGAAGGTGATCACACTTTCTATTTGGTGACAGATTATCTAGAGGGCACAACTCTGAGTGAAGAAATAGAAAAAGCCAAAGTAATATTGATGTTATAAATAGAATCTTCCAGATCGTAGGCTGCCAATATAAACCATCAAAGTATTAATGTACAAATTATTAACAAGTTTAGTTTTACTGCATGAAAACAACGTATTTCAAATATTATATAATGTAAGATCATTCATAGAGATCTCAAACCAGACAATCTGATGTTTGCCAAAAAAAACGATTATTCTTCCTTAGTTTTGGTTGATTTTGGATTGGCTACACTTGAAACCCTTGATAAGTATGCATATTAAGCGAATGAATATTAGATTTCTGTTTCCTAAATGTGGCACTCCGGGATATGTTGCACCTGAGGTTCTTAACTTAAATTATGAAAATAAATACACAACAAAAGTCGATATTTTTAGTAGTGGTTGTATTCTTTATAAATTATTGACTGGAAAGAGCATTTTTGGAGGAAAAACCTTTGATGATGTTCTAATAACAAACAAAAAATGCTACATTGATTTGGATCTTCCAATTGATCATGTTTATGTAACAGATCTTTCTCTCGTAATCAATTTACTTTACTATTATTCTAGAATTTATTAGGATAACTATTAAATAAAAATGCCAAGTAGAGAATAAGTGCTAGATAAGCACTTTGTCATCCATTTTTTGAGTAAATCAATGAGCAGAGCACTTAGGCTTTATCCGCGTTTGTAACAAATGTAAAGTTTAGTCAAAATGGGAATCTGAATTTACAATGTGAAGAATAGACATCTAAATACGATGTTGAGGAGTATCAGATTAATAGTGAGATGAGGGAGGAGGAATAGAATACTATTACAATTCCTCAGACTAAAAGATGTTCTTTAATGAACGAAGTCTAATCTCTGTCTAGATCTCCAATGAAATTTTATCAAAAGGAACCACTATCTGCAATTAGATTCTTAAAATTTATGGATTTGGCTAGTCCCAAGGGAGATTCAAATGAAATTATAAGTAATGATTTACAAAGCTGAATTTACTCAAATAATTATAACAAATTTAATTATTTTAATAAAGTTGAATTGTGTTATTATCACATTTAATTTAGCAAGTGATTTAATTAAAATATTGATAAAATCCAAGTATTTAGCAAACCTAGTGTGAAAATCAATCTTATTATTATTTATTTAATATGGCAGAAATTGACTTGAATTAGCCATTTCATGCATATCCCCTTGAAAAGGTGGTTGGTGCTGTCCAGACAAATCTATAGAAGTACATAAATTTTGTAATTGCAGGGGTTTGACGAAAGTTGAAGCTGAAGCAAGATTAACAAAGTATGGTCCAAATGAATTGGAAAAGGAAGAGAAGGAGAGTATTTGGGAGAAGATCAAGGAGCAATTCGAAGACAATTTGGTGAGAATACTGCTATTGGCTGCTGTGATCTCATTTGTGATTTCATAATTTGAAGATCATGAAGATTCACATGCAGTGCCTCCATGGGTTGAGCCATGTGTTATTTTTACAATTTTGATCTTAAATGCAGCAGTAGGTATATGGTAGGATTTAGATGCTGAAAGAGCAATTGAAGTAAAAACGATGATTAATAAATTAGGCATTGAAAGATTTGCAATCTCCTCATGCCATGGTGTTAAGAGATGGATAATGGACATAAATTGAAGCAAAGGATTTAGTGATTGGAGATGTAGTTGAAATCAAATAAGGAGACAGAATACCAGCTGATCTCAGAATGGTGGAATTAAAAACAATCACCTTGAAAACAGATTAAGTATCTAAACTATAGTATGTTAAAGTCAATTCTAACCGGAGAAGTAAACCCAGTGAACAAGGTTACTGATTCAGTCTAAAAGGATAAGGCTGCTGTCCAAGATAAGATCAATTTCTTATTCTCAGGGACATTGGTGTCAAATGGAACAGCCATTGGTATTGTCTGCAACACTGGAATGAGAACAGAAATCGGAAAGATCTAAAAGGAAGTCTAAGATGCGGCCAAGGAGAAATAAGAAGATGATGACCCATTGTCAAAAAGATTAGATGAATTCGGAGATAAACTAGCTAAATATGTCACATACATTTGTATCACCTGTTGGGTTATGAACATTGGTAACTTCTCTGATCCTGCTTATGGAGGAACTATTATGGGAGCATTGTATTATTTCAAAGTGGCTGTTGCATTGGCAGTTGCTGCTATCCCAGAAGGATTACCAGCTGTCATCACAACTTGTTTGGCTTTGGGAGCTAGAAGAATGGCCAAATAAAAAGCCATCGTTCGTAAATTACCTAAAGTTTAGACCTTGGGATGCACAACCATCATTTGCTCAGATAAAACTGGTACCTTGACAACCAATGAAATGTGTGTCAAGGAATTAGTTCTGTTGACAGGCTAAGAGGCATCTTCATTACATGTCTTCCCTATTGAAGGAACATCTTATCATCCTGAAGGAAAAATTGATGGATTGGAATCTAAATTACTCAAAGGAAACAATTTAGCTGGAAATTTAAATAGATTATGCTAATCTATGGCATTGTGCAATGAATCCAAATTATACACTGATAAAGGAAGAGTCTAAAGAAGTGGATTGCCAACTGAAGCTGCATTGAAAGTATTAGTTGAAAAGATTGGAAAATATGATAGCTCTTTTAATGGAAAACCCATATTAGACGCTCCATAATAATACAATGATAAGATTGTTAATGAATTCACAAAGAGGGCTACCTTAGAATTCACAAGAGACAGAAAGAGCATGTCAGTTTTGGCTAGTTCATAAAATGAAAAAGGAAATGTCTTGTTCATCAAAGGAGCTCCTGATTATTTGTTAGAAAAGTCTAATATGATTCTAAACTCAGATGGAGTAGCTGTTCCATTGAAGGCTTAAGATAAGAATTAACTGTTGTCTATTGTTAAGAACCTAGCAGAAAAGGGATTAAGAACATTGGCCATCTGTGTCTAAGAAGAATGTGGTTAATTGAGTGATTATGATGGACCTAAACATCCAGCACATAATTTATTGGTTGATACCAATAATTATAAGGATTTGGAGAGCAAACCAATTATTATTGGTGTTGTTGCCTTATAAGATCCACCAAGACCAGAAGTCAAGAGATCCATTGAAAAATGCAGAGAAGCTGGTATTTCAGTCATTATGATTACTGGTGATATCAAAGAAACAGCATAATCTATCGCTATGTAAATTGGTATTCTACATAATTAATCCCAATTCCCAACTCATTCATTCACAGGAATGGAATTTTCAACTATGGGAGAAGAAAAATAAAAGAAAGTCCTTGAACAAGTCATTGGAAGACCAAGTGGATTAGTTTTCTCAAGAACAGATCCATCACACAAAAGAGAATTAGTCAAATTGCTAACTGGTTAATTGAATCAAATTGCTGCTATGACAGGTGATGGTGTCAATGATGCACCTGCCTTAAAATAAGCTAGTATTGGTATTGCTATGGGTATTGCTGGTACTGAAGTCGCTAAAGAAGCATCAGATATGATTTTGGCAGATGATAACTTTGCTACCATTGTAAGAGCTGTTGAAGAAGGAAGAGCTATCTATCAAAATATGAAAGGATTTATTAGATACATGATTTCATCAAACATTGGAGAAGTCGTCTCTATTTTCACATCTTCAGCCTTAGGTATTCCTGATGGATTCAATTCAATCTAATTATTATGGGTCAATTTAGTCACCGATGGTCTCCCTGCCACTGCTTTATCATTCAACCCACCTGATCCTGATGTCATGTAAAAACCACCAAGAAAACACGATGAACCAATTATTACTGAATATGTGTTTGTTAGATATTGTGTTGTTGGAACTTATGTTGGTTTGGCCACAGTGTTTGTTTTCGTGTACTATTATTTGGGATATGAATGGGCTGGAGATGGACATCCAGTTGTCACATTCCATCAATTGAGAAACTGGGCTGAATGCCATCATTGGGAAGGATTCAAGGTTGCCAACTTTGACAAATATGATTTCTCTAAGGATCCATGCTTGTATTTCTCTTGGGGTAAATAAAAGGCTTCAACTCTAAGTCTTTCTGTTCTTGTCGTTATCGAGATGTTCAATGCCTTGAATGCCTTATCTGAAGTATATTTATTGTATTTAACTCTTTCTAGGATGGATCACTATTGAAAGTTGGAGTGTTTGCAAATCCCTATTTGATTTTAGCTATTTTTGGATCTATGACTCTCCATTGCATGATCTGCTATGTACCATTATTTGAAAACATCTTTAACACTGTAGCATTATCCCTTTAGGATTGGTACAATTTTTAATTAATTCAATTTTAGGATTTTAATTATTGCAGTATCCGCCCCTGTTGTTTTAGTTGACGAAGTTCTGAAGTTCTTCTCAAGAGCTAGAAATGCTAAATTATTGGAAGAGAGAAAGAAAATACAATGAGAAATCATATAAATAATACAAAATAATTTAACATTAAATAATGTCTTTGGAATAAAAACAAAATTTACTAGTGAAAGAAATCATTGATAAAGGATTTAACATTGACAACTTCTAAAAATTCATTGACCAACGTCACGACTTGGAAGAGTGGGATTATGATGAATTAGTAGAAGTGATTAAGAAATTCTAAGATCAATAGAACGATTACTTTTAAGTACTTAAATGCAATCGGACCATTCCAAACGCTATATCTAAATTAGAAAATCTGACCTCTACAGTTGTTGGTTATGAAAAAGTGCAAAAGGGCATTTTCATGAGCACATATGTATATTTCAAAATTGAAACAAAACCAATCAATTGGGTTGTAAAGAGGACATACGAGGAATTTATAGCCTTGAAGAATATGCTAAATAAACATTACAATGTTCCAAATATCCCGAATCAACGAAAATCACCTGTTGAGTTTACTTACATCAAGTAGTTAAGACATTTGCAAATGTTCTTGAACTTTATTTTATTAGATCAAGAAATTAGAAGTCTTCCTGTCATTTAAGACTTCTTATCCCTTGATTCATTTCAACCTAATTAGGTAATTCCTTATACAACTTTAAGTGGAGACTTCGGTATCAGAATTAATAAGTAAATTGCTTGTTTTATAAAATAATCTGATTACTTCTTAAATAATGTTTCGCCTTTGCAGAAAAAAGCGTATAAACTAGTTAAATAGTTGATGAAAAATATGCAATAGCAGAATCAAACCATGTTCTAATTATCAGATGTATATAAAGAATTATTTAAAGAGTCAAAAGCCTAAAATGCAAGATTAAAAGATTGCTATATTATTGCTAGCCACCTTTTTGAATAATTGTCTAAAATACAAACAGACAACATCAAAATTTTGAATGAAACAATTTATGCATAGCAAAGGTTTCAGTTTCATCAAATCACTCCTTTGAAGGATATTCTGAACTAAAGAGAAAAGCATCATAACTAAGTATTTGACTTCTCAAATAAACTAAAAGCAAAAAAAGAAAAACTATATTAATAAGGTGAGGTTGTTAAATGGGATCTAGATGAAAGCTATCTTGATAGTTTTAAATTAGAATAAATTAAATCAACTCCACAAATCGCTTTCTAATGCATGTGCAAAACCGTAAAATATACAATAATTATCTTAGGATAATTCTCATTTATAAGTCCTTAAAAACCAATTTGGTTAGATTAATTTGAGGGCCTATGAAGCTATTGAGTCAGTAATTAAATATGCCTCTGCCCAATTTAAAGATCATCTTGAAAAATTTGCCCAACTGATGACGACATCTATTAATTAATATCAAAAATTATGGTCTGACACATTGGAAAACCTAGCTGTATCATGAACTTTTGTTTTTTTTTGTATAAATATAGAGAATATCAGTTTCGATAAATAATATAACTATATAGTCCACTCCGAATTCATAATATAATTTATAATTTTAGATAATTTAAATAACGTCCTCTGAGGTTATTAGCATTTTTTTTGAGACCATTCAGAATGAACTACTCATAAAAATGATTTTTTCAATAAAATGCTATATTATTCGTTAGGTATCTTACAATTCTTTTAAAAATGATTGTTTTTAATTAGGCTTAAATTTTCTGTTTTAGTTCCAATATTTTAATTAACAATAATTATAAATGCTAATACTATTCTCTTTTCTTGTGTTAACTTAACAATAAAAGGATGTAGAATTTGATAATAAAAATTATTGGACCTTGATTGATAGAATCTCTAGCGATAATGTCTATAGGATCAAAAATTTAACCAATCCTTATTATTATGTCTAAGTTACATTGTTTTAAGACGATTGGTCTTTTTTACTTAATTATGATCTTAATTAAATTCCAAATTTAAACACATCTAGGGGTGATTACATAAGGTATTACAATAGATAATGAATAAGTTTTTATGAAAAGAGAAGAACCAGATTTCTTAAAATAGAACCCAATGGCAAAATTATTTACATCACTGCACATTCTAATAGCTCTAGGGGAAATTATAATATAACCATATGGGGAAGCAAAGATGAGTATTGTGATAATAGTTGCTCGAATTAGGGAGAGTGCTATGTAAATATAAATTCTATTTTAGGAGGATGGATGCGAATGTATAGCTGGTTATGTAGGTTCTGATTGCCATTAAACGGCTATGGAAATTCAAGAGGATAAAAATGAGATATACTTTTATGGAAACGAGACACAATTCTTCTATCTGAACATAGATGGTTATGATTAAATGGACATTTAATTAAAGCTAAGCGTAAATTATAAACTCAAAAATAGACCAACAGTTATTAAGGGATTGAAATAATATTGCAACTAACAGATGCATTAATCATTCCAAGTCAATATCAATTGAGTAATGAAGAGAGCTATATAAAACAATCCAAAATTTATGACACTTAGCCATTAGACTTAATCTTTTATAGTCTTAGTCCTTCCAGCGACAATATCTAACTGGTTTTTGCAGCAAGACCCATAAATAGTCCCTTAGATACTATTGTTTGCATTTTAACAATAGAACTCTCAAAATATGATAAGTCCGAAAATACTTTTTCCATAATAGTAATAATTATCATTGTCGTTGTTATCTCAGTAGCAGTGATTATAATTATTATATTGTTTTTTATATGCAAAAGCATTAGAAAGAGAAAAATGCTAAGAATGTAAGCAAGATTAAGAATGGCTAGATTAGAAGGTCAGCAATAAAATCAGATCACTTAATAATAAGATTATGAAAATCTTTATGATTTACTCACTCCGATTCCAATTTAAGATTGTAATAATTAAGATAGTTGTGCCATTTGTTTAGATAACTTAAACAATAATTAAGAAGTCAGATAAACCCATTGCCAGTATTCAATACTCATTAATTTAGTCATAATTTTCATTCTCTCTGTATAAAAGAGTGGCTTTAGAAAAATAAAAAAGAATGTCCAGTTTGCAGATCAAATTTAGCCATTAAAGATGTTAAGACCAATCAAGAACCAAATAAATGAATAACATCTCTTAATTTAAATATATATATATCATTTTTCTAAAATTAAAAAAAAATCATCTAATTTAGCCTCTTATCATTTGAAAAACATTATTCACCAGTTCCCCCTTTAATTACTTCGAATAAAAGTCTACAGAACTTTATCAATAGATTAAAACAGGATAATAATTCGTAGTTTATCAGAGTTGTGGCTGAAAAATAAACACAACAAATAATGTCCAATTTTTAGTTCTGGACAAAGTTATTAAATAAATTTAAATATAAGTTGAAAAGTATTTAATAAATAAGTAAGTTCTAAATAACATAAATCAATTATAGCAGGATACAATCTTTCATCATTATTACGAGTCTGTATAATTCTGTCTGCCTTTCATTTTATTCAATAATTTTAAACAATATATGTATAAAATTATAAAGATTATTAAATCTCTTCTATCTCAAAAAAATATATGTTCTTAGATGGACCATATAAAAGAAAACTTCTAATAAAATTCAGTGATTTGTAATAACTTTTTTTAGTTTATTACACTTTGAAATACAAAGGAAGACTAAATCTCTTCGTTTAAGTATTATATTAAAAAAAATATGCATTAACTTAATGAATGATATCACAATGATTTATTAATGTTGATCAAAAGCACTTTAACTCTTTTTCTTACAAATCCTGGAGTAGATTAAGTGATTCATTTCTCTCTTTAAGCTCTTCAATTACTTTTGCATACATACACTATATTAATTATTATTCTATACTATTGAGAATGGGTTTCTTTTTAAACTCTTATACATTTATTTCACATTTGGATTTAGTTTTTTTTATAAATCCATGAACATCAATTCCAAAATATAATTATACTTTAAATTTACTGTGCCTTCAAAATCTATTTATAAGTTTAGAATTTACTTTCTTAATCGTTGCTTTCACAATATATCTATGCTAATCCCTTCTCCGTTTGATTTTTTAAATACTCAACCAAGAACCATGATTTATTAGGATCTTGACTAAGTACATAAGCTATCCAACATATTTAGGGCGATTACAATTAAATTATTTCTTGTAACTCAACTAGTCTTTAAAAGTACAAGAATTTCTTAGTTAAATAATGGATGTAGGTAATAAAAAAAATTATTTAATCTTAATCCAATTTTAAAGCGACTTTACATATCTCTTCCTTTTCCTAAGAAAATCTTAAAAGGTTTAACAGAATTAATGACACTTCATTCTTATACTTAATTAAAATCTTTTTCCTTTATTATTAATCAGTGAAATGGACACTTTTTAGTTACTTTGATTCTTGCATTAAATTTTATAAGTTTTCATTTATGGCATTTTATTATAGAAACAAAAGAAAAATTAATAATATAGATCGTTTAGACAATGAAAATGGATAAAGTTCCTTCTTATATTGGAAAAGATATTCAATATTTTACCACTTGTTTCTTGATTGTCTATACAGATTTCTTAATTTTAAAACTAAAGTGCTATCACTAATATTTGTCTCTTCTCCATAAGCCGTTAGTGCTTCCTAAAATAATTGAAATATAATTGTTACTTTTATTATATTAAGTGAAGTCTCATAAGAATTCTAATGGATAAATTAAAAATAGAGGATCATTAACTTTTATTTCCTAGATTTAGCAAATAGCTTTATTTAAGAGATGAGTTGAACTTGATAAGATTATTTTTTAAGCGATTCAATTTCTTAGTAAAGTATCCAAAGTACTAAATTATTTTATTAATCTTTTAATATATTTTTGATCTACTTTAATCCAGATTTTAATTCTTATTATAAAACCTAATTGGGTGCAATTACATCATTGTTCAAATATAAAATACCATAAAGCATGAATAGATAAACCAGTAAAAACTAATTATTAATCTGTTGGTAAACTTTTTCGAGCAATCGTTTTACATATACAAATTAGGATAAGTTATTTTAAAACTTACCTTAAAAAATGCTTTGATATTTAATGAAAAATTCATTCTAATGATAATCAAAGCTAATTTTATTGTAACACATATCAGCACTATGAAATTAATTTATTTAAGGTAAAATATATGAATCAATTGGAGGATACCCAATTTATTGTAATAAAATACTTACAAGATTAAGTTTAGATTCTTAATCATTAAAAATGTAAAGGTAAGGTTCAATATCTTCATAAATTACTGCTGCATCAACATTTTACTTAATCCATTCTATATCAAAACGTTGATTAGCTGGTCTCCATCTTTTCAACTATTGAAAGGATAGGAATTATTAAATTTAATCCTCTTGCTCTTATATTTATTGACTCAAATCAAAATACCCAATGAAATCATCTTTCAATTCAGGTGTGTCAATCCACCCGTATTCATTTTATTCTCCAGTTCTCACATTCAAATCCCAATAATTTCTAAATTCTTTAACTTTTTCTTCCAAATCATAGGTCCTTTATAAATGCTTAGGAGCAAATAAATTCATTTCACATAATGCTTAAAGAATACCAACAGATCTCTCTTTAAAACCCATTTCACTTTCATAAAAAGCTATTTACTATATTAATTCGATATAAATTCTTTTGAATAACTAAACCAGTTGTGCCCTTGTGGTTTCATTAATCAGCTTTTATAAATTAGCTATATGTTTATTAGCTTCGACTCTTAACATTGTGGCACTAAATATTTCTGTTTTGAGTTTATGGTCCAGAAAAAGAATCCATATTGGTTGTATATGAACATATTTTGAAAATAGCTCAGCCCAACAATTATCAATTTCTTTATGTAATTCATCATTTCTTAACTCTAAATTTTGCATTAGAGAGATTTTATAAGCTAATACCCATGGGTGATCAGCGAGCACTTCTGATACTTGCTCCAATTTTTGTAAAATTGATAATCTTCGATTTGCCAACAATAAAGGTTCGTTATAACCTTACAATTCTGCAATTTTTTCTTAGATTAACAAAAATTCTTTCCAAATATCTAAATCATTCACATTTGTCTGAAGCTAATTTTATAATTCTAAATTTCGATCTTAGAGCTTTTAATCCTTGGAAATGGGATCAACTTCAATCAATTAATTATTAAAGGGCACAAAGTCCTCATTGCAAAGCTTAGATTAAGGTTATATAACATAGGATTTTTCTGTTTGAAAATGAGCAGACTCAGTATATCTAGTATATTCAAATGTTTATTTTTCTCTTGTTCTTGTGACACTATCAAGAATCGAATTGACTTTTTTTTGATTTTTCACCCCCAATATTCTTTACCTAGAAATAACAAAATTGAGTACTGATTTGTTCTGACATAGTGAGGAATGTCTTACTCCAAAAAACCATAAGCTAAAATTTAATTATTACCAATTGGAAGTACTTAAACAGATAATAAGCCAGCTCCCATTTCGTGCTTATAAATAAATGATTTTGAAGTGTCTATTTTATATTCTACAGAAAAAATCAATATGAAAATACTTAATTACAATTTTCCAATTTTTAATCATAATAGGCTTCAATCTCTTCTTCTGTAAACTTGATTGCAATTTGTTATTATGCTTAAGACAATTTTTCTTTTTTTTTATCTTTTTTCTTTTTCTCCTTTTAATTTTCAATAATAATGTCTTCTATAATATTCTCTTATTATTTTGGTTAATTTTAGACGAATGACTTGCCTACATTCAACCATTCTTCATCTTCACTCATTGCAATAATTAATTTTATTTTAATAAGTTTAAAAATATAATAGTCACATTGTTTTTTTGAAAAAAGATTAAGCATATGAGAGTAAATAGAGTAGTAATTTAAAGAAGACAGTTTATTCTCAAAAAGGATATATTTTTTATAATATTGTATCTAATATACTACAGATCAATTTATAATCAAATAGACTATTTATCATCAAATTATGTGTATATATTAGTGCTACTTTCTCTACATTCGTATTGTATATATTTTGAATTAGATTTTTTTAATGCGACTGGACTAGCATAATTAATGATGTTCACACTAGAATGGAAATTGATTCTTTTGTTGTTTGATTTATAATTTTTCATTACATCACGCTTTATTGACATAGGAAGTACTCTAGAACTGGGCTTTAAAAAGTTTTGTAAAGGGAGTTTTTAATTCAATTTAGATTAAAATAAAAATTTTCTTCTTTTAAGGTAATCCTTTGATAGATTGCCTAAATTAAATTCATTTGGCTCACTGTTATTGTTAATAATTGGATTCAAGTTTGATTGCATGGAAGAAAAAACCTTTTCTTTCTCTACAATGGATTGAATACAATAATTTTGAACACTGGGGTTAGAATAAACCATTAGGAAATTTGAATTTAATTTTAAATCTGTTTTCTTAGCACTGTTGAAACTAGTTCGATTGCTGATAAAATAATTATCTATTTCTGCTAATTTTAAAATCTAATCTTTTTGAACTCCATTTGTTATTGTGTCTATCTTTTTCTTTTAACAAAGGAGTTTAACTAAATTCTGCCTATTACGACTTTTTTATTTATAATCATGTTCTAACTGAATTCGACACTCTTCTGGAAATTTGTGTATAAATTCTTAAGAATCTATGACAATAACGAGGGCTTATAAAGATGTTACTATTGAGGTGAATTCATAATTGGCAGTTTTATTAATTACAATTTCCTCTCCTAATAAGTGTCCTTAAGAAACAATGCATAATGGAATGTTTTTATTATCAACTCTTTTATAAACAGTTACGTCACCTGATATAATTATGTAAAAGGAATCGCCACTTTCGTCTTCTGATGTTAGCTATGTTGCTCTATCATATTAAATTGTTTAGCAACTGTAAATCATACTTTCCAATCTCTAAGTTGAATATTCGTTATTAACATCTAAATTATTCCAAGAGATAATTACTCTTAAATATATTAAACATCAATTATTGCTTTTCTTTTTTTGTTTTTTCGAATGTCATTTGATATGTCAGAAAGTCATCTTTTTTCAACACTACAATGAATGATTCTAAACTATAGCAAGCAACAGTAAGAGTTCTTGGGATATTTTCGGCCAATGCTTTTTCACCGAAACCGTTTCCTTCTCCTAAGATGCGCATACATTCGCCATACGATTATTCCAACCTCTTCTTCTCCTCTTGATTTATGCAGGATTCTTTATGATGATTATGATGTTTAACTATTTTGTGAGTCAGTCTTTTTGCATGTAAAATTGTAGAAATTTTAAATTGCTGTTATTAATTCGGAATCTAAGGAGTAGCTTCTGAGTTCTATCTTTACAATGTCATTAGCTAATCCATTTTTTTCAATCTCATCAGCATAACATCACCATAAAAAATAATGTATAGCTTATCGTTTGAAGGATCATTTTCTTAGAATAAGACTTCTCCTCCTTTAAAATATTCCATTCTCAATCGAGAACACAACTAAGAGGAAAAACCTAATAAATACTTCAAGTATGTCATTCCTTTGCGTTCCTTTCTATAATTTTTCAGCTACAAATTGTTTAAAGTATGGGAGTTCCTCCATTCTTTGCAATATAAAATATAGTTCTTCCCTTGTGTGATTTTCTTTATTCATTGTTAAAAACAATTTTATCGCTTCATGAAGATGCGGATCCTCGCATGCATCATCAAGCGATTTTAGATGAACTTTTTACTGCATTAATTTTTTTATAGCAATATTCAATAATATTATGATAAATCATTTCTTTCCTTGTCTCTCAAAAATAAATTTATTTTCCTCAACTATTTTCCTTTATCTTTGAGGAGGTAAGGGATACTGGATTCCCCATTTCAATGCAAATTGTTAAAACTCCTTTTCAGTTAAACCCTCAATATAGAAAAATATTGCAACACTTATTTTTAAAATTTCGATAATTTCAACGCAATTTAACCTATAACACTCACCCAATAAAGGAGTAATTTTAGTTAACCATTCTGATACTCTATCTTTTGATAATTCATCATATTCGAATCCTAAATATTTCAGATAATCAATAGATTTTTAGTCCATCAAATGCTCAATATTCGAATCTTCAATTTTATCAACAAAACTTATTTAGGTCTACTTTGTATATTTATTTACTTAATCGTACTCGTGCAATTAGTAATAGTAATTTATTTATTTTACCAAATTAGGATCAGCCTCAAAATCAATTATCTCCTCATCATCATCGAAAATCTAATGTTCAAAATCAATTTACTTGATTCCAAACCTAAACAAATCCTCTTAGTCTTTTGTCCACTACACTCTTTGCATTATTTCTACAAATAATGATTTGAGTTTCAAAATCCATATTATTTTAATTAATATAATATTAATAAAATATTTCATTTGATTTAGAGCTTCTCTTATTCTTACTGATGTTCTATTCTTAATTTCATGATTAAAGAACTAATAAATGCATTTTGCATTTTTGTTTATGTATTTAGCCTGTTATTATAATCCAAATTAATACATGCAAATTGTATTGAGGGAAGAAGTACTTGAAATCGATTGCTTTTTCAAATTCTGCAATTTATTAATTACAAGAAAGTGAAATTTACTTTGTAGGATCATTATATTGCTTTTTAAATTCTCCTTTAGAATCAATTTTCAATAACTGCTTTATACCAAAATTAGAAATTATTAAATAATGATTAGGTTAATTACATATTTGGCGCGTTTGAAAATTAATATTATTCCTCTTGCTGCATCGATATTCGAGATAATTTGCTCTGCTTTATAGCTGGTTTGGTTTGGAGACAAAATTCTCAGCATTTCCCTAAAATAGATATAAATCTTTATTACTAATAATGTCTTTTTATATGTTGATAATCTGCGCTATAGTTCCAATTTAATTGAGACAAAGTGTAAAACTGCACATGATAAAAGCATAGTTTATCTCATTTCTTTGGTTATCATTTCAATATTATGACAAATATAAAATGGGTAAATAAGATTAATTGTTATTACAGGGTTGATTAAGTTCATAATATCTTGGTGCATCACTGAACAATAGAAGAATCAGATAATTTTTTCTAATTATTATTTAAAGCTATATTAAGCTAATAGCACACAACATGTTATAAAATTAATATGATTTCAAAGTATTTTGTATAATAATCGAAAATAAGAAACTCTTGATCCAAAAATAAGGATGTCTGTACATCCTTTTTTCATTATATTTTTTCTTGCTTTGATAACCTTGATATTATTATAAATTATACGTCCTATTTTATAAAGATTGCTTAACTTTACAATGAGTGAACTAAAAAAATACGAAAAATGATCATCATTCTATGCTCTATTCTTAAGATGATGAAATTGTTTCCAAAGGAAGTGAGTGAATAATGAATTTTTTCACATAAATATTTAATTTTGGATATGAGAAGATTAATTGTTAATTAAACAAGAAGCAAGACGGTTGCTGCTCGTCCATCAGCAAATCTTGATCGTGTCAATAAATGGTTGTAAACTTTGAGTGTTAAAGCTAACACATTAGAAAGCAGATTTTATGCATCTTAATTGAGTTCTTTGTTTAATTTCTATTCAAAACCTTCAACAGGTGCTGCTCAAGTATTGCTTGTGTTTCGATGAATAGGAAATTGATTGGAATCATTGGAAAGAGTAGATCACCACTGAAGGGTTGGTTGATAAAGTTTAAAAAGGGCATGACACCTTATTACAAAGGGAATTTGATGTTGAACGCATCTGTCATCAAGTTGTGTCTAGTCAAAGCAAAGAATTAGAAGACTTAGAGAATGAACTCACATTCCATAGCGCAGTTTGGAGTAACTACTATTTGGATCAACATTTGGCTTTATTAGATTTAGAATAGTATGGAGATAGGAATGACTATGTCAGTATAATAATTAATTTGAATGATTAGTCCATGAGGATTACGATTTCTATCCAGGATTGGAAGCAGACTTAGAGGAATTGACCGAAACTCACAATTGGATTCCAGGCTCAAAGGATGATATCAATTTGAAGGGTTACATGGTCTCATAATTCTAATGGGGCAAAAAGATCATCTCCTTCTACAGACATCCTTGTGATGACTTCAAGGCTGCAAGAGGTACCAAGAACATTTTGGGTAGATGAGCCTTAATATATTGCAATACATTAACAAAAATTAAAATCTTTATATTTTATATACAAGAACCCAATCCCTCTGAGATGTAACAACAACAACGACCACAAACGGCTCATCAGCCAAGTCTCTCTTCTAATCAAATAGAATCGCCTGCCAAAACTCTTAATATGCTGACAAGTCTGCAATTATCAACCAATAGAAAATTATTAGAACAATTCCCTAAAGATGCTCATGCTGATGTGGTAATCCAAGTGAAAAACAAAAGGTTTGAGTTATAAAAGGCTCATCTAAGAATTGAAAGTCCATTCTTTGATTGCGATAAAAAAGTCATCTCCATTCAGGAATATGATCCAGATATTTTTGAGGGAATTCTTAAATGCTTTTATGGAGGATAATACATCATTTACACATATCAAGAGCTCTATCTAGCCTATCAAATATGTAGTTTCATAAAATGTGAGGGTTTGTGTAAATAAATTGAAAGTTCATTTCAAATCAATAAAAAATCATTCACTTTTGCCCTCTAATTAAGTGAACTCTATGGACTCGAGGATCTAAGAGTATCTTGTTATGAATTCTTGGATAGCAACCCCGACGCATTCATACAATTATTTGATCTTGGGATGCTGAAATTGAAGAAGAATCATAAGAAAACCACCCCATCCGATGTTCTAGGATTAAATAAAGCTTGCTTTATTCATCTCATCTAGGCCCACAACACTTATAAAAAAACCAAATCGGAATAAAGACAATATCTAACAAATTATGAAATCTTCCAAATCCTAGAATTGTACAACACAAATGAGGAGGATCTCAAAGAATTAATTGTGTAATTGATTGACAGGAATTCCCTCACTAGCGAAGAATATTATAAAATTTACCATCAATTAGCTTGTAGACAATCCCACACAATTTTAGATGAACCTCATATTCAACCATGTCACCAATCTGTAAAAGACTACCAGTAAGCTGATATTTATTTAATAGATTATTACCATAGCCAGAAAAGCATTATTTTGATTATTTCGATGTGAATAAAAGCGAAAATTACTATTTCAAGAAACGTATGGTGGAATTAGAAGACCAAAACAAATAATTAGAATAAGAGACACAAAAATTATCCATAGCTCTAGAAACAAGCATGAAAAACACTAATAATTTTAAAGATACATTATTAGAAACTATCACTCAAAAGCTAGACAACAAATTAATTGAAAAAGATAAAGAAATTGAAAATCTCAGATAGGAACTCTTAACCCTGAAAAGTTAAATCAACTAAAAGGATAGAACTATCATAGAATTAGAAGACAGCATAAGGGATATTAATGATAGGGAAATCATTACTCTGAGATCCTAAATTGAAACCTTAAAAAGTTAATTAATTCAAAGAGGCTAAACTGTTTCTGATTTGTAATATAGTGAACATGACTTTAATGATCAAACCTTAGAATCCATGAATCAATCCACTACTAGTCAATTTCTTTAACAATAAGAATTGGCTAAGTCAGAGTTCTAATTTTTAAAAAACCAAACTGTTGCACAAAGCTAATTATAATTAACTGTTCAATAAACTGAGAGGTTTCAATATGATGCCGAACCTGTCACTTTAGACAAGGTTAATCAACTTAATTATATTTTTGATCACCTAAAAATCACAATCTTCTCTCAAATTTACCTGAGAAGACTTCAGTTAGGATCTCTTAGTGGGTACGATATTGATTCTTTTAAAAACAATTGCTCTGGAGTCGAAAATTTACTTATTTTGATTAGGGTTTTTGATTACAATAAAATCATTGGAGTTCTCATATTTGGAAATGAAAAGTATTTGCTAAATATATCGAATCGCCAAATATAAGAATTGGATGACATTTTATTATTTGAAGACAACATCATTGAGATCCCAGGCCAACTCACAATTTGCAATGGTTGTGATTCTAATACTTGTTATGGTTAAACCTCTTTGACAGGTAGTAAGGAATTTGTAGTAGAAGATGTTGAAGCTTATTCAATTGAAATTAGTCATAATTTGTGATAAAATTATATTAGATAAAATATGTGTCATTTTTGCTTCTTCTCATATTCAATTGGGTAATTCTCGTCAGAACAAATATACACTTAAATTTCATTATTCTGTCCCTATACTTTGGAACTATTCAAGTAAACCTGATAGGGGTATTCAGGGTTGTTTTCTTGAGGAGTTTCTACGGAAGTTCCTTTTGGCGCTGTTATTATAAAAAGCGCCTCTCCCTTATGATCAGTCTGCTAGCTCTTTGATAATTCTTTGAAGTCATCATGAGTGAGAAAGGTGTACTTAGCCACTTCTGGATCACTCTGGAACTTCTCTTACAGATTCTTTTGCAAGTACTCTATCCAATAATCGATTGTTTTCTCTTCATCTTGCAAGGCTTCTAATTCTTATTTTATTTAACGAAGCTCAGTTTCCAATTAAGGATCATCGGTGGCTCCAACCCATTTGATCTTGTTTTTAGAGATTTTCTCAATATAACCAATCCCCTCTAATACATTTGTAATATCGTAAATTCTTCTTTTTTAAACCCCCAAATCATTGACAGCCACATTCAAGTCGATTGTCAACTCTTCAGAATTCCTAATTAATTCAACAAACTTTTTTGTGAGCACAGATAATGAATTGTCATGTCGAGTTTTCTATTTCCCAGTACTCTTAGGTTCTTCATCATTCGACTCATTAAATGAATCTTCATAGTTTGATTCCTCCTGCTTAACCTTTTTCTCTGACTCCATTTTTACTTACTTTCGCTTCGAACTCATGTTAATATTAATTAATTCCCTTATAAATTGAGGTATTAAGGATATAAATACTATTTTTATAATAGAATACATAAGAACTCTACACTTGAGCTATGTATTCTACTTCATCTGCAAAAACCATACAGGAAAATAGCTTGGACTTATCGGCATTGTTCATATGGAATAACAAGACAAGCCAATAAATAGAAGAAATATTGGTAAAGCAAAGAGAAGATTTGAATTTTTAAGCTTATATATATGATATCCATATTGTTTGTTTAAATATATTATTAAAAATGATTGCTGCTAAATTTAAGAATTGATGTTTGAGAGTTGACTTTTTGTATCAACTATGGATTATAATTTGTATAGTATTGAATACACTATTATTTTGTCTTTATTTGAATAAACCGACTTACTTATTTTAAGATTCCTTATTGGGAGATGAAAATGAAGATAGTCAAATATCATAATATTACATATTACTATTATGATACTAATTTAGTCTTCTATTATGATGTTTACAATTCTTACTTGTTATAATCAATATTACTGGATGAAATTTTAAGATCTCAATTTGTAGATACGAAATTAATATTTATGATTTAATAAAGCAGAGTTTAGTCATTCCTATAATAACCATGAAGAAAATAAATTTAAACTTCTTGGTATAATAAATTTATTTTATTCAGAGTATTCTTTTTGGGTTTTCGTAGGAGAATTAACTTTCTCTTTAGAAAATCCACAATTCCATTTTTTATTGAAAATCAATGATCAAAAAAATTTTTAATAATTTAAGAAGAAATCTTATATGAATAGTTTAAGAATATAATAGATCAACTTTCTTTTTGGTAATCTTAAAGTCAGATGTTTTTTGATTACTATATTCTAATGATTTCAATAAGTAAGTTTAGTAAATTGAGTGGTTTTCAGTAAATTTGTTGAATCATTCAAAATTTTCCATAATATTAAAAAAGGGCACAATCAAGATTAAAATTTATATTGGGATTTAATGAATAATGATTGAGAACGATTTCTTTTTGTTTATGATAATTAAACATGGAAAATACTTTGATTTCAACTCTGAATTGATATAATGCTTAGATGATCTCTTGTAAATTTGAATATTATATTGAATGATTGGTAAAGTGAGTTTGAATTAACTTCGCTTTGGATAATATAATTTTATAATATAAATATTCATTCCGAATTGGAATTGAAATGGCTACAAATATATAGCATGAAGAAATCAATCTGAGTCTAAATAATGATAAGAAGGCATTCGAAGATCTTAGTGGGTTTTTTAATTTACTAGCTCTGGCTCTGGAGAAAGTGGATTAAGCCAATAAGGAATTGATTGAATGTTTGAAAAAGATTCAAAAATAACTGAGTTCAGAAATACCAAAATTAGCAGAGGTGGTTTCTCTGGTAGCGGAGTCAATGTCTGTGTCTTAGAAAAAGAATATGGAGTATGTCGACTTGATTAAGACGAAAATCATATTAAGTTTGAATGGATAATTGGAGCAGATAAAGACGAAGCAGAAATTATTGGATGATTATAAAGCCAAAACAGCTATAGAGGCTGATAGGGATTAAAAGAGGAAGAACACAGAGCCTGCAAAATAAAAGGAGACCTATCAGGCTTATGAATAGGCAAAGAAGGAGAAGATGTTGGCAGGATAAACACTGAATACTTAATATTAGATTTATATTAATGAGAAAAATCAAGAGTTCTGTTCAATGTGGAAGCATTTTCTGAATATGCAGATGTATTGTTGTGCAGCTGGACTCCAAAGTTTCTCAAAAAGTGCTTAAGAAATTCATAATAGAGAGCAGGAGGTCAAGAAAGATGCAGAGATTTTCTTAAGTAAATTATTAGGTAATTAAAGAAATAAGTGAATAATAATAATATATATATATATATATATTTATTTAATGTAACGAGATCAAATTAATTTCTCTTATTTAAAGAGATTGTTTCCAACTCTGGAACAGATCTTGTATACTGGCAAATTCACTAGTTTGAATGAGTTTGATAAGTGCACTTAGTTGTGGCATCAGGCTGGATTTCAAGGACCATTCTTCTTAATAAAATTAAGTGACCAATTTGTTTTCATTATTTTAAATCAAAACTCAACGTAAGATTTCATAAGGACAATAAAAAAGGGCTTCACATTTGAATTGAGCAAAGGGACACAATGGTTTTATTTTAATTTCTAAGATGAATAATCAAAGGTATTCAATGTGTGGTTCTAGGAGTAATAAGATTTTGAAAATTTTAAGATTTGCATGGAGAAGATAGCAAAATGAAATTCATGATTTGTATTTTATTCTCTTACTAATCTATTTTTAAATAAATTATTCATATGCAGGTTGAAACATCTGAACAATAATTTGAGGAAATATACTAAAGTTTATGTAAAGATGACAGATTTTGTTTGGACCTTCGAGTTTAGTTTGAAAAGATTCTGAAAGTGGAAATGGATCGATGCCAGGCATATCACGAATTGTCAGAATTTTTGGGTGGCCTTGCTAAAGAACCATTTTAAGAGACTCCAGCCTTGATGGACATGCTGGATGAACTAAAATCAGCAATCCAGGAAGTTAACTTAAAGATTAAAGATAGGATAAATGAGGATTAAGACAAAGGAATTGCTAAATTGATACGGACCAAGATAATCCCAAGTTTAACTGATGGTTAAAGGGCAGTAGAGACTCAAAAGAGGGCTCTGGCTGAATACAAGGAGAAGGCAGCTATCTATAAAAAATTAGAATAAAAGAAGAATGACCTGTTGTAAAAGAATGACGAAAAATTGTTGTAATTAGAAAAGCAGCTCTAAGAAGCAAAGAGGGAGAAACTAGAAAAGGGTTAGACTTTCAATTTCACGTACAAGAATTATATAGAAGATAAAAATGATGAGTTGAAGGGTCTTTTCAAACACTTCTTTAATAGATTATTGGTGATCTCTTCGGCTGGTTTGTAATAATACTCGATGGCCATTCATAAAATACATACTTCCGATGAAAAGTAATAAGTTTACACAAGATTGAGTAAATTAGGTATTATAAAGCATAAAAAATAATGATTGATTTAATTAATGTTTGTATATCTATCATTGATATTCTCAATTGTATCATCAACTTATATTGATGTTGTAACTAAATGTGTTTGCGATGAATTGCTCTTAGAATATGATTGTAATCAAGTGAGTTACTGTTATTGGAATTAAAACAAATGCATCAATATAGAAGACTGTTCAATAGAATCCCCAGTTGATTGTCCATATGAGACCAATTGTGCCTATTTGGAAGGAAAATGCACTAAATTCACTAGTTGTGATCAATATGTCGGTGATAAGAGTTCATGTGAAGCAATTTCAATTTTATGTACGTCATTGGATGGGAAAAAATGTTAAAACAAGGTTATTCCAAGTTGTTCTGATTATAATGAGGAGGATTGCAATTATCAGGAAGGCAAAGAGGGAGAATGTGGATTTATTGATGACAAGTGTTAGGTTATAAAATAATGCAGCGACATTAATTTGATCAAAGGGGAATTTTAAATCATGAAATGCATCATGAATATACATTCATGCAAGGTGTCCAGCTCCACATGTGTCCAAAAGAAATGCTCAGATCTAACCGACTCAAGTAGTTGTTAATACATTCACGCTTACGATCCTTTTGACCATCCTTAATCTGTATAATTGTGTAAGTGGGAAGACAGTCATTGTGTTGAGGCTATGCCAGCTGATTTAAACGAAGCATCTTGTTTCGTTGATACTCAGTATTCATACCTGTGGAATCCCAATTCAAAGACTTGTTAAAAATGCTCTGGTCCCCCCAATCCACCACCTCCAGATAATTTTGGAGTTATCATGAGGGTTGCCATAATGATATTTGTAATTTCATAATGATATTGTTATTGATAATATTTACAAATCAAATGACATCAAACTACATGGAAGTTGATTAATATTCTGCGAGAGTGCCGAATGAACATTAACCTATTTTATCCAATAGAGCAGACTAAGAATTCAAGTAAATTGAGTTTATTAACTAATGCAACAATGATCACCAAGATCCCACTATTCTAAGCTTAAGTGAGCAATTGATTCTGGCTGATAAGTCGATTTATACAGCAAACATTAAATTGGAATCTAGATTATAAGACATAGATTAAAAATTTCTTCCTTTTGATGACATCGATCTAGATGAAAGGGAAAGAAATGAAAAAATGAAGGAGCTCACTAAATCTTCGTAGAGTGAGAATTAGAGAATAGATATGAAAAGAAAAAACACACAAGTTTAAAATTATTGGTTTACAATTAATCCTGATAGCACAATCAAAATACTTTGGGATTTTTTTTGTATGATTTTAATTCTGTATGAAATTATTACAATTCCAATCAGAATTAGTTTTGATATCGAAGTTAGTAGTGAATTCGGTTATGTTATTACAGCAGCCTTCTTGTTGGATATCTTGCTTACCTTCAATACGGCCATCTACAAAAATGGCAATATCAACTATTCCTATAAAATAATAGCAATTGAGTACTTGAAATTATGGTTTTGGATTGACATAATCGCATCATTCCCTTATGATTTATTATTTACCGTAGCTTTAACAGGAGATGCAGAGGATGAAATTTCCACCCAACATGCAAATCTCTAAAAGAGTGCTTAAATCCTGAGAGTATTGAAATTCTTTAGATTCATAAAAGTAATCAGGCTATTGAGGTTGGCTAAGTTGAAAGTCATCATCGATAAAATTGAGGAATACTTCGCTGATAATTCTGCCATATAGACCATAGCGAGCTTTTTGAAATTATGCGCCTTTGTGTTGTTTTGGTCACATTGGCTAGGTTGCATATTTCATTTTATTGCTCAGAGTGAAGACCCATCCTATAATTGGCTGACAATATATGGGATATATGATCAACCTTGGTAAGTTAGGTATATTAATTCATTGTATTGGGCTGTCACTACCATGATTACAGTTGGATATGGGGATCTTTCACCTTAGACTCCCTTGGAGAGGTTTTTCGGAGTGTTTTTTCTGTTGATTGCATGTGGGGTCTTCTCATTCACTATGAATACCATTGGTAATACAATGCAATAACTCAGTTAAAAAAAGGATCAATATTAAAGAAGGATAGCAGAGATCAATGGTTATATGGGAAAAGTTAAGATTCCGAAATAGTTACAGAATCAAGTGCGAAGATATTTGTAATACCTTTGGGACTCACGTCGAAGTATAAACTTGGAGTCGATTTGTCAAAATCTATCAACTTCTTTGAAATTTGAATTCACTATACAAGTCAATGGAACTATATTGGCTAATTACAAATTGATTTGTTAAACCTTCTCTAGGAAACTTTTGATTGAGTTGACTCAAATTTTAATTGAATAAACTATTCAACCTGATGAATATGTCTTCTTGGAAAATGAGATCAAGAATGAATAATCACTCTATTTTATTTAAGAAGGATCAATTAATATTATTTTAATTAAAACAAGATAAATAGTAGCAAGATTGTCAAATAAAGATGTATTTGGAGAAATCAGTTTTTTTGGTAATACTGAAAGAACAGCCTCTGCTAAAAGTAATGGATTTACTGATGTTTTTGTATTAAAAAGATAGCATTTCATTGATTTATTATCTTAATTTCCAGAAGACAGAGAAAAATTCTTCTTTATTAACTCAGAGGTTAATAAGAATCAGCTATAAGTCTTAAATATTCACTGCTATTCTTGTGATTTGCCAGGACATGTGATAAAAGATTGTCCCTCTCTACACTTTATTGTTGACTTATATGCTTATCAGAAGACCAAGACTAGATGCATCTAAGCAATTATGAAAGACTTTGTAAGAAATGACAGAATAAATTATAATGCCAGAAAAGATATGTAGGAAATAGCAAGGAAAGTGGAGAATTTCCAGAAGGAAATTTCAATTCATAATTATTTAAAGGAAGAATGCAATGTAGATGATTTGATATAAAAGGGAATAGAGGATGATTCTATAAGGAAAAGTTTGAAACTTAAGTCTAAATTTAAGGAAGATAGGAATAGGAGGAGGAATTGGCAATAATCACTGAGAAAATCATAAAAATAGATACAACAAATACAAATTAAACAATAGGAAATATTTAGTCTAACCAAGAGTCTCTCTTAAGCCATTATATCTTCCAACAATAGTGACAATGCCATAATTCCAAGTATCAACCAGTTTAAGAATCATCTTGAAAGTGACTAAGATAGTGAATGTGGAACTTAAGTCTAAAACAAAATGGATGATATTATGGCTGATTATTAAATATTCAAAGAGGAAGTGCAGAAGTATAATGGGGGTTAGCAATCAGAACTACGGAAAAGCGATGAAATACTCAATGATTTTGAGTAAGGATACGATTACAATATCTTTTATCCTCATAATAATATTTCAATAGTTTTAAAGGAGTATAATGCATTTTAGTAAGGCAACTAAGTTAAACCAAATATTGACACTCTATATGATTCAAATGTCTATTAAGAATATATCTCGTATTATGTGATAGACATTGAAGATATCAAAAGATTCAAATTACAACTCAACCCTAGTCGAATCAAATAGTTTTTACCATTTACACAATTGCTCTAATCACAATATAGTAGATAAGTAAAATTATATTATGACAATAAAATAGAAAAAGAAGGATTAAGGGTTATTGAGAAAGCCAAAGAAGTCGTTGAAGTAGATTGCAAAGTCGATAATGTTGGCGAGAAAATTGATATGAATTCTGCTACTATTTTATAATTTAATAACAAATTATTAACTGATATGAAACACTATAGAGATTCTGTTAGTCCTCAGGTTCGACAATTCATTAAACAGTTCCATTCTTGTCAGAAAGAATAGAAGCAAGATAAATAAACGAGTACAGAGGAAAGCAACTCATCATTAATCGATGAAGGATAGGATGATATAAATAAAAAGGAAGTGTTCCTGAGATTGCCAAATGAAGAAGTGCAGGAGAATAGATAACCTTATTTAAAAATATCAAAGACTCCCACTGTTTGCTCAAATAGCAATTCTCTTTCTAGCATTGATCAAGATAGATATGTTGATTTCATAGTCTAGAAAGTAGTGGAAGAAATGGAAAGGAGGAACTAGAGTAAACGATAACCCATGTTGAGCATTTAATAAAATACAGTTCAAGTCAAGATAGCTCCGAAAAGTGAGTAGGACTATTTTGATGATGATTCATTCATTCGTCACATGTAATGATTAAGTGTATTGATTAGACAACAAACCCTATTGAATCCTCATCATACACCAAGGAAAGTTCATAATTTTGAGAGCTTCGATTAGCGATAGAAACAATTCTAAATTTAGCGAGAACAGAAATTGCAGAAACAAAGAGAGGCACAATAATTGACTAAGTTAGTGGATGAATTCAAGTGCTACTTAATACGAACAAGAAAGAGTGGAGGATTTTGAGATTATGTGTATATAAATTTACTTAGATATTAAATCCTAAATATAATTATTTATTTGATATGTCTCTCTTGATTCTAAATGCTAGCAATAGAATTGCTTAAGGATTCCTAAGAGTAGCTGCTGAAAGTGGTAAGTATGAGAAGATCATCTGTGCTGATATCTTCCCAACATACTTCACAGTTCAAAGATTACTTAAGTTCAAGCAATAATTCTCAACCAAGATAGACTTGTTCAAAGTGGGCGATCGTCAAGATCTCCATGATGTGATCAAATAAGCCAACAATCTCCTTTATGTGAGCCATGACTATTACTAAGTAACAGCCTCCAAGAAAAACTTGCTGGTTGCCACTCTAGATTTGGCCAAGACCAGAAACTACAAAACAGTGGCTTATGTTGCACCAGTCGAACATGATCATCAGGAAGAAATTGATGAGTGGAAACATTTAGAAGTCGAAGGTCGTCGCTCCATCCCTCAATTGGTTGGAATCAGATCTGATATTACTTTTGGTCCTTAAAGCACATTTACTAATAAAATTGCTCAAAGAATTTATAATGGACAAAGCATTTACTTCAAAAGCACAGGACAATCATGTGCCCCAATCTTCACTGGAGATTTAGAGGCAATTGTCGCCAGAGTCCTTGCAGGCGATCATGCTGGCAAGTTGCTCTTGGCCAAAGGACACAAGCACATTGATTTCAAATCCATCATTCATTTAATTGAAGACAGCCTTGGAAACAATTATAAAGCTCAACTTAATAGTTCTTTTATTGAAAAAGTAATTTATTCATTTTTGATTCCATTAGATCATTCATCCAACCAACAACTGCATTGTAGGACAACAATTATATTGTCCCTCATACATTAACTTAACCAAATTGATCGCTAATTATAAGGCTCTAGAGAACACTGGCTATGATTAAGTTGTTGGAGATAAATTAGTAGATATTGAGGAATATCACAAAAACAATAAAACCGTTGTCGATCAATCATTAAAAGCTGACTATGAATTAAGCTATTTAATTGGCTGAACAAGTGAAATATAATCAATAAAAGTACATAAATATTATTTTTTCATATTATTCATATTTAGTTAGTTATTTTAAATTATAAATAGGATTCTATTTTTTGATTGATCATGCTTTAAATATATATTAATCATTTTATAAGATATGGATCAAAAATTCCTTATAGATTAGATGTCAACATAAGAATTTCTTAAAAGACAAACATTATTACCTTTTGATCTATGATGATCGCATAGAAACATCACAATTAAGAAGACCCTAACACTAAAAGAGTCCTTAAACTTTCAACAATCAAAGTACATCCTTTACCTGATGGTCCAAATTTTAGTGTTTTGGAAAAACTGAAGAAAATCGTCTGATTGCATTTAGAATAAAAATAACAAAAACTTAAATAGTTTCATGCTGAGAAAGCTGACTTAGAATCCGTGTATAGAGATGTATGGAGAATTGCATACTCGTATATATATATTATAACGTAAAGTCATTAAAATTTCTAAGTAATATTGTTACAATAATATATCATCAATATATTAGAGTCAGGAAGTGATTGATGCTGGAGCATTATATAAAGTGTATAATGTAGTTAACAAGATTTACATATTATGAGTTTGCTTCAAAATGCATCAGAAAAGATTATATATTTAAAAGAAAGAATTAAGAAAGATATGTAAAATGTTGAAATATGATAGAATCAGCTTATCTTAGAATAAGAAGTAATGAGATTAGTGGATCATATTTCAAAAGGGAAAAGTTGTTGACCTTTATCAAGGTGAGAATACTTACTACATAATTATGGAATTACTAAAAGGCGAAACGTTGTATCAATTTACTAAAAAAGCATAATTGAACATTTTTTAAATAAAGTCAATCATGAGTGTATTGTTATGATTAAAATCATTAAAATTGCTTAAAAGGATTCTTCTATTTGAATTTCCACGCTGTAATTCATAGAGATTTGAAATTAGAAGACTTAGTACTTTTAGAACCAAATATAGTTGAAACAGTTAAAATTATAGATTTTGGATTAGCAATTCCATTGTCAATGCCTCAACGTTAGATATATGGAACCCCTGGTTATATTGCACCAGAAATGCTCATTGATAAATATCAATACTGGCAAAGTTGATATTTTAGTTTAGGTGTTAGGTGATATCTTTAGAAGCTGCTAAGTAGAAAATCTTTATTTAGTGGAAATAGTAGCAGTGATGAAAATACTTAAAAACAACAAGAGATAAAGGTGTAATAATCCATCTCAAGAACTGTTCTAACGATATTTCAGATTTGTTGAAATAAATGTTGTAAAAAGATCCTAAAAAAAGAATTCTCCAGAGTAAACCCTTTTATATTCCTTCTTTGACGACACTATATAAGGTATTATAACATTTAATTCACTAGGAGAATTAGGAGTGGCAGATTAAAGTCTCCATGAAATTGTCAGAGCATTCCCACTTATATAACCTATGTAGATAACCAACTCTAAGGAGAACATCTCAGATACCAAGATTTTCAAGTAATCAAGTGAAGTCAACCCAGTTTTGAGTAAAGTTTAGGTTCCAATTACTTTTCTTCGTTTGATGATATTAATAAAAATCCAAGGAATGGGGAGTGATCACATTATTGAATGATTAAGTGTTCATAATAAAAACTTAGTATTCATTATTTTATTTATTCTTTATTCTTATTTATCATTCAAAGTGGATTTGTATCTAGGAACTGAAGTATTAAGCAATTTGGTACAGATTGCCTATGCCCTTACTTTGTTGTCATCATTATGCAGGACGAACTAAATTTATTGGTGCAATTTTGCAGATTTAAGCTTTTGTCGATCGATCAATCTTTGTTAGGCTTTTTAACTACCTTCTTTGCCTTATTCTTCATTTAATTTATTTCTCTCTCCTTGAAATTCGACTATTTTTTCTTGTAAAACCTGAGTGAAACTGCGATCCAAGCAGGATTCATTGATGAAGTCTTTTAATTTACGTTCGGCTTCGAATTTCAAGGCACTCAATTATTTATTAATTTCTTTTTCATCTCCATCTCTTTTCCTAACATTATCCATTTTATCGAAGATTTATACAAGGGGTTGTAATTTGGTTTAAATTTTTTGGGAATTCAATGAAATGCTCCTCATTCTTTGTTATTGCAAGACATCTATAACTAATTTATATTCTTTAAATTGACAATGTTGCCAAGCCAATTCGATTTGTTCGTTGTTGCAATTGACAATGTTGTGATCTTGGAGGATTTTCAAGAATTATGGTTTTTGGGTTGGTTTTTCGATTCTCAGAGTAGCAAGTAAGTGATGTGTTTACATTTTTATATTTAAAATATAGAAATAGAGAAAATTCATTTGTCAAAATAAGGGTGATTGTCTTTTCATCTGCAATTAGTTTAGATTGATGTTGAAGGAGAAATTCTTTTAAAAATACTGGTCCTACTTCTTTGTCGATTCTGTTCGGTATTGCAATCCCAAACCTTGAAGATAAAGGACTATTCTCCTTTCCACTTATCTTTGTTCGTTACTTGCTATTTCGTGAATCCAATCAAAAGACTCTACTGAATCAATAGTGTTCATTAAATTATTTAATTATATAACTAATCAAGAATTCTTAGAAAGTATGAATTTAGCATGCTGTTTCAAATCTTCAATATCTTCTTCAGTTTTCATTTCACCCCACTCCCTGAGTCGTTTTCTCAGATTCTCTATGTGTCTTAAGAAAGACAATTAATATTCGATAATTACTTTTTTTGTTGCATCAATTTCTCAGTCAAATCACTGGGGAATTGATAATCTTAATCTACTTTGAAAAAGAGATCTTGTTTCATCTGTTCCATCTCTTGGTTTATGTAGGGCTACAGGATCTCCAGCGGAATCTTCATCTGCTGCTTCCTCGGTTCCTCACTCTGCCGTGCACTTACATTAGGATTAATAAATTGGTTATTCTTTCTCTTTTTTGTTTCAATGGGAGGGTAAATTAAAGTTCTTTCCGTTTTCGACTGTGAAGTATCGACAGAGCCCTATTGAGGAGTGAGAGGCTTGAGGAGTTGCTCACTTTTGTGGTCAATTTTGATTTAATAATTGAATTTGAAGCTCATCTTTTTTCTCTTCTCTGGGATGATGTGATTTTTGTTGTATTGCCAAAATTGATCAGGAGTGCGATTTCTATTGGATGGGGATCTGGAAGTGTTGGTGTGCAATTTATGCTTCTCTGAATTGATGCGAACCAAACGATTCATCTGATCCCGTTCTCGAACGAATGGAATGAATTCATGCACCTGTTTCCCATCCTTACACAATTCCTTCATCAGTTGAAATCTGGGAAGCGAAGAATTCAATTGGCCAGAATAATATTCGTTGAAATCGTTCTTTAAGTTAGATTTGTAATTGTTAGAGTGCATATTAAATTAAATGAAGAAGAGTTATTAATTTAGAGCTTTATTTTATAAAAATGCTGCTCTGTAATCCCGCTAGATTGGGACCAATCTATGTTAGATGTTCACTCCCCTCTTGTGTTTAGGATTTGTATATTTGATTTAGGAGGTGGCATTCGATCAATTCAAAGGAGCCAATTTTTCATTGGATTTTCCCTATTTGTTCAATGTGCCTGTCATCTACTCGGGATTGCCAGGATTACTCAATTTGACATGTTTGCAGTGGTACGAAACGATACTCTATTCTAGGTATTACTTCAACAGCTCCCAGTTGCGAGAATAGGACAAATAGTTTTTGGGTTATAATGATGGAAATTAGTAAGCATTGTGCATATTAAATTAAGATCGCTTGGATTGTTGAGACACATACTCCAACGCCCGGGATGCAGTTACGAAACGCAAGACCATGAATTAGCATTTAAAAACGTGCCATTCCTATAGTAGCCCAATAGCACAATAAATTAGGATATTTATCATCAAATAGAATATTTACACACTGTGCCTTTTGTGAGAGGATCCGATCTACAAGGTACACACGTTATATTACCTCTCAGACCTCTATTTGATTCCTGATGGAGCATACACGTTCTTCGAAGCTAACGAAAAGAAAATCAACATGAGCATCCAAGTAAATGACATCAGATTGCACGAGTATCACAGAAGCAACGGCATAACCAAGATCAGGTAATCCCCATTCAACCAATCCGTCTAGGTATCAAAATAAGGTCTAGCCCAACAAAACCAACACCATGATGTTAGTGGCCGAAGGATAAATAGCTACCATCGATCTCATCTCCAGAGCTTTGCTGCATCATCACAACCCCAATGTTTGGCTGGTCTCAGGAATTGAATACATGCCACTCAAGGGACAGGATAAAAGCTTCCTCTTGAAATTGATCAATGTCGTCGGAGCCATGCTCTATCCGTTGTCACTTTCTCTCTTACTCCCTGTATTTTTGTATGCAATAGTTCTGGAGAAGGAGGAGAGACTCTTGCAAATGATGAAAATGAATGGAATGAAAATGAAGGATTATTGGATATTGTAGTATCTATTCTCAGGATTGATGACTCTATTGACCTTCTCCCTCTTTCTCTTTACAGGCATCTACCTTGTAGGAATAGCATTACTTACAGATACCAATCTTAAACTTCTGGTAATCATTTTCAATATCCCATTAGATCATTGTCTTAACTGGATGGGGATTGTGTTAGATTTCTTTGTCATTTTTCTTCTAAGTCTTTGTAAGCAAAGCCAGAACAGCTACCATTATTGGATATTTGCTCTCAGTTTGGGGGTCCATTATTGCACTAACTGCCAATCTCGCCATTTACCCAGATCCATATGAGATACCAATCTATTTATAAATGATACCACAAATAGCCTTTAACAGAATTATTTACATATTCTCCATGGGTACGTCTACACATTATTATTTTCAGCTTGTGCTCAAACAGGCTGTATAAGTTAATTAAGTCCATTGACTAGTGAGGTATAAGGATGCATAATTTCACTCTATGTGAATTTCATTGTGTTTGGCCTTCTGGGTGTTTATCTTCATGAGATAATTCCACAAGAATTTGGAGTTTCAAGTGAACCCTGGATTTTCAGACTCTTCAAAAAGAAAAAAATAGAATTCAGAGACGAGGATGAATACAAAATTAATATTCAAGATGCTCAAGAAGATTAGGACTCTAAAAATGAAAGGGACAAGGTGTACAGAATCAAAAATTATGAGGATTATCCACTCATTTGTAAAGACCTAAGGAAAACCTATTAAAATAATGTGGCTGTTAAATGTTTTTGTATTGCAGTTGAATAAGGTGAAATCTTTGGATTGTTGGGTCCAAATGGAGCTGGGAAGACCTCAATCTTATCAGCCATAACTGGATTGTATCCATGTAACGATGGAGAGGCTTATGTGGGTGGATATAGCATTAAAACTAATATGCAATCTGTTCAAATGAATATTGGGGTATGTCCTTAATTTGATTTATTATGGCCAGAATTGACTGTTGAAGAACACTTATTGTTTTATGCTAGATTAAAAGGAATAGACAAACAGAACGAGCGTGCCAAAGTGCAATAGAGCATGGCAGAAGTCAAATTAGAACCTTATTTCAACTATTATGCTAATCAACTTTCAGGAGGCATGAAGAGGAGACTCTCAATCGCTATTGCACTTGTAGGTGAGCCATTGATAATCTTCTTGGATGAACCCTCAACTGGACTAGATCCTGATAACAGGAGGTAACTTTGGGACATTATATCTCATTGTAAAGGCAAGAGGGCTATGGTGCTGACTACTCACTCAATGGAAGAAGCAGATGTCCTTTGTACCAGAGTAATTATATCGGTCTATTGTAGATTGGCATCATAAGTTCCGGAGTCCTAAGGTGTATTGGTTAATCAACACATTTGAAGAGTATCTATGGAGGTGGTTATCATCTGTTTATTAGTTCCCATAAGGAACTTTATCTGCAAAAGAATAATGATCCTCATAAGTAATTACATCATTTTAGTTTAGCCAATACTATTATTAAAATATGATAAAAAACTATTTAAAAAGTATCTTACCCCAAGCCATCCTTGTTTAGGAATTTAACGGCAATTTCATCTATCAGGTGGAGAAAAATCAATTAGTGGTTTCTGAAGTGTTTCAATCCATAGAATCAAAGAAAGAAGAACTGAGAATCCAAGATTGGGGAATTAGCTAAGCTACTTTGGAGGACGTATTTATGAGAGTTGTAGAAATGTGATATTTAAATCAATCAGTTATTGTGTTTTTATCGTAAATTTGTCTTATGTATGTCTATATCGAATTATGGATACTAGAATTTCGCTACTTGAGTTGCCGATATAAACTAAGCTGAATCGATTTCATTTGATTTATACAAGGAAGGGCTTTGTTGTTTTGAGGGATCTCAGTTTTCCTCTGTTGAGGATTTCGAACTGCTGATGTATCTCTTGAGTAATATCGAGTTTCTTCAATCGTTCTCTAGGATTTCGGAAGGGATTCATAGATGTGCTATGAGTCTAACCTCTATATGGACTTTTTGGATTAATAGACTTTGTCCTGGTGATTAGACTCGCTTCTTTGCACTCTCCTCAGTAATGGCACTTTGCTATTATTGGGAACCCCCTTCTCTCCGATTTCCTTGCCTAAGCAGAACAGTCTTAGATTGGTTTAACTCTTGATAGTTAGTTCTAAAGCCATTCTTGTGATGTCAACAAGATGTTGAACTAAATTCAAAAAAACTGACTATTTGCTTTGGCTAGGCTTCTCACTCTATAACAATTCTGCTTTGGATGATAGACCAAAATATTGATATAGTTCAAGGATGATCCTAGTCGTTGAACCAAAATTGGCTTCTAGATTATTGATCTATAATATATTTCTAACTAAGAACTTCGAAGTTAAGTGCGATGATTCTGATTATGAATCTCAGAGTTTCTTGTAAGAGCATGAGATCATTTTTACTAATCTTCTTTGCTTGAGATAGTTAATTCAGGAAATCGGTTTCAATTATCTGTCGAATCTTCTCCCTATACTCAGAAAATCAAATAATAGTAATACTTATTTGTCTAATTGCCATTTGACTATTTTGCAACAGCCGAATATCTTATGCTCTATCCCTCAACAAATCCATTACATTCATTATATTATTTAAAACGAAATAAACATATATATATGTAAATTTTATATTATATATCATTTATATTATGTATCATTAAAATCAAAAAAAAAGGTCCCACCCTAAACTATTTAAATAAATGCAATAGATTACTTATTTTAAATATATAAACTATTTCTATAATGAAATAACCCTCTTGACTCATTTTATTCATCCAATAATTTGACTTTATTCCTGAAAAGATTAATATTTAGTCGTTCTCCTAATCTCATTATGTCTCACTTTAAAATCATGAATATTAATTTTTAATCATTACTATGATGTTTTAAAATTTATACAAATACTTTTATAAATAGTATCATTCTTCATAATAGAAGTGTGGTATGACCCCTTAATTTATAGTAGTTGAATTATCACTAAATTCTTGAGTGAATGAAGGTTCTGAAAATTGAAATTCCTCAGTTTCTAATAGACCATTGGCACCGTAGTAACTTAAACAACTTTAATTTGGTTTAAGTGCTTCGTATAAAATAAATAATACCGATAGTGTAGGGCTTATCAAATTCAATCTTAATAGCCTTGTTGAAGCACATTTTTCCTATGTGATTACAAAAATTAATGTTTGGTTATACAGAAAAAGTATCTTCATAAATGACCATTTTACTAAAATACAATTAATGAATACTAAACCTATTGACATTGGCACCTTCAAATATTTGAACAGTAAATGAGAGTGGTTATTCAGGCTTAGTTGTAATTTCATATAAACCAACGCCTGATAACCATATATCATGTTTCTTTTTGGATCTAAAACTTATAGCATCGGTTTCCTTTAAATTCCATTACTCATATGTCAACTAATATCTGTTTTAACTCGTAAGTATTTAGACTTATTTTTTAATTGGATTTTAACAGATTTCATATAGCTTATTAAGATCGAGAAGACACTTAAATTTAAGAAATAAACGTACTTTCTCAAGCCAATACTTGCTTTCTCTTTCTATAACCTCAGCTATTTTAAGTAGCTTTTACGCTGACTGATTTATTTCTGATTCTCTAAGGATCCAAATCTGTCCATCGCAAGTCTTTAACAGAGGTTCAATTTTTTCAATAGCTTATTCAATTTCTTCTTTTTGTAATTTCTACTTATTTAATACGGAAATGGATTTTTCAAAAGCGTCTCCAACAAATAAGCTTGCTTCTAAGTCAAGGACTTTAATTTGTTTTTAGATCTCTTTTTCTAATTTGTTAAGAATCTCTTTGATTTGGATTAGATTTGATCTAAAGGTTTGTTTAATTTTATGATGTTTCTCAAATATCTGGTTGCCTTTGTTATACAATTCTTATTGGTTTTTTGGATTATTTGCTTTATTAAGATTCTGTATGATTGTTTTTAAAGGGAATACGTTATTTACATGTTCTTAATGAGACTTTAACAAACAAAATGAACAAATTAAACCTTTACTTTGGCATTCTTTGTCCAAACAAAATAAATTTAGTGGATTTCCAGTATGATCTTAATCCTAACAATAGATGACTTCCATTTAATTATTTTCTAAAATTATATGAATGTTGAAAAGAAAAATTTTCTATTTTCATAAATACTTTAACAAAATCGTATTATTTCTAGCAATTACTGATTATTTAACGTAGTTGATCGTGTTGGATTTACTCTTAGGAGATCACCATAAAGAAAGATTCTCGTTCAAAAGCTATAACTAATATCACTAAATGTGATGGAAAACCTAACTTACTTTAATTAGAGCAACAATATTTATTGAATAACAAAGTTAATGTGAAATTTCAAAAAGTAAATAAAAATAAGGGATGGAAATTATATTAATTACTAGACTTCTCAATTATATATTAAATTATTTATGTTTAAAGTATCTAAAGAAAAAATTCAAGAGATATTGTCTTCTGGATTAACTTAAAATTCTGGAGACAGCATGGTCTAGTTCAATTCAACTAAGCGCTTTGAGGAAGCTTTAAAGAGCAACACCACTTAAGGATTGGGTGATAATGATATACGATTGAGGCAACAGGTATTTGGTGTCAATCAGATTGAGAATTTGGATTCGATAGGTTTCTTGAGTGCATTCTGTATTAATTTACTTGTAAACAATCAATTTAACTAAGAAACCTAAATCGATATTCTTCTTAACCTTGTCATTAATTGCATTCGGTTTAAAATATTTATCCACATAAGGAATTTATAGAATTGAATGGATTGAAAGTTTAGTTATCTTTGGATTAATTTCTTTGAATCTCATAATATCGGCTATTCATGTATAATTTCAATTAAATAAGCAAAGTTGAAAATTGCTGATAACAATAAAAAAAAACTTTTGCTTTAGGATGAATAATCTAAATCTGTAAAAGTGTTGAGAAATGGATAAGAGGAAACTCTAATCGCAAGAGATCTAGTGGTTGGAGACGTAGTCCTTTTGTAAGAGAATGATTAACTCTACGTAGACGGATTGATTGTTGAATAAAATAATTTAGAAATTGATGTATTGATTTTTGTAATTACCTCATCTTTAGGAGAGTTACCTAACAGGGGAACAGGATTTGATTCATAAAATTACATTGGAAGAAGCAACTCAAATGAAATAGCCGATTTCGCCAAATAAACACTTAGCCTTTGCTTAGACTAAGGTAATCAAGGGAAGTGGAAAACTATTGGTCTTGGCTGTTGGATTAGAACTTCAAGCCAGCAGAATAATGGTGTTAGTAAAGCAGGAGGACAACAAGACACCCATCTTGTCAGCAATTGAAACTATTTCTTCTAAAATGGAAACTATTGGATTCGTTGGAGCTATAGTTGTTATTTTTATGCTTCTCGCTAGATACATGATTGAGTATCGTAATTCCAATGTTAATGGATATAGTACATTTTCAAATATCCTTAATCTAATCATTGTGTTAATATCTGGAAATGCTTCCAAGGCATTGATTACTCATTTTTAATTTCAATTAGCTTAAACTGTAAATTTGATGCTATACTCCTAAAATTTGGTTAGGAAACTCAATTAATTGGAAAATCTGCCGTTTATGGACTAAGTAGTTTTTATTATAATTTTTAGTTGCTTATTGACAAAACAGGAACTCTCACACAAAATAGAATTTAATTGGATAGATTCATGAATGATACAACAGATGAGTTGACTTAATCAAGATTTAACCACTTCCCATAAGAATTCCAAAAGGCATTTATTGATGCTTGTTTTATTAATAATGCATACAATCCGGAAACAAATTCAGGGACTCCTATTGATATCGCATTATTTTAGGTAGCTTAAGATATGAGCCTTAATTTAGAGGACAGGAAGAAATAAGTGACTCATTAAATACCTTTTGATAGTGCAAGAAAGAAATTGGTAAGACAATTTTATTATTGGTTAGACTACAATAATTAACAATAATAGGGTGGTTGTAAGGGGAGCATCTGAAATAATATTTAAATAGGCAACTAAGTTTTATAGTTTGAAGGATGGAATAGTTGTGATTGATGATTTTATGAGGGATTGTTTGGAATAGAATTTGATTTAATTGAATCATGAAGGCAGAACTGTTGCAATTGCTTATGCAGATGTGGACTTAAAAAATGAAAATGTTGATCAGTTGATATAGGACAACAAATTTGAATTTGATAGATAAAATTTGACATTATTAGGTTTCTTGTTATTTTTGGATCCTTTGAGAATAGAAACCAAAATGACAGTTGAAGGGTTGAAATAAGCTGGAATAAAGGTTGTAATGATAACAGGGGATAATTCGATAACTGCAAAAAGTGTTGCAATTAAAGCTGGCATTATGGCCTTGGATTCAATCATAACAGAGGGAGCTGAGTTTGCCAATAAATTACAAAATAAAAATGAAGATTTCAAGAAGGACATTGAAGATATTTATGTCCTGAGCAGAGCTAGACCTGAGGATAAGTATAATCTTGTCAAAGAATTATAGGAATTAGGTCATGTTGTAGGAGTATGTGGAGATGGCACTAATGATAGTAAATTATTACATTGTATAATTAGGTCCTGCAATATCTAAGAGTGATATAGGTTATAGTTTGGGAATATCGGGAACAGAGTTGGCTAGAGAGAGTTCAGGTATTATATTATTGGACGACAATATTCATTCTATTTATAAGGGAATCATTTTGGCCAGAAATCTCTTTGATTCAGTCAAAAGACTAGCTCAGTATTAAATAACTTCGCACTTTTCATTGATTATTATTCTAATAGCTTCATCAGCAATTGGAGATACTGTTATATCACCACTTTAATTTATTTGGATCAATTTAATCACTGATTTATTTGCTACATTTGCTTTGTCTTATTGTAAACCAAGTTCTTATTTGTATCATTAAAAACCTCCGAATAAAAATGGATTTCTATTGGATATCATTGTTTACATTCACATAATAATTCTTGCAATATACATCATAATAGTTTGCATAATTTTCGTTCATTAAGTAATTAAATACTCTACTTATTTATATAGTCCTTGATGGTATTCAATTTGTTTGTCATGATTACTTTGTTTAATTTGATTAATTCTCGTATGGTCTACTTGGAATTCAATGTGTTTAGTGGATTCTTTGGATCTTGGATGATATATTCTTCAATTTTGGTGATAGGATTACTGCAATATCTAATTGTGGAGTTTGGAGGAATAGTGATGTAAACCTTTGATGGGTTGAGCTTGAATTAGTGGTACAATTGAATGTAAATATTAAAGGCTTATTTGTATCGTGATTGGAATCGGCAGTGTAATTTGGAGAACGATAGTAATACTAATTATAAGGCCGATTATTGTAAATAATCAGTTATATATATTAGAAGAGTGAGAAATAAAAATTAAAAGTTAGTTGAGATGAATTATTGAAATAATCATTTTTATTATTATTAAATAAGAAATGAAATTAGTCAGGTTTCTGATGAAGCTCAAGAATGAGCAGGTCATTGTTGAATTGAAAAATGGGACCGTAGTCTTAGGAACAATCACAGGAGTGGATGTTAGAATGAATACTCATTTAAGCAAAGTGAAATTAACATTGAAAGGAAAGAATCCTGTGGGATTGGATCAATTGACTATTAGAGGTTTGCTGACTATCATTACATAGGAAATAATATCAGGTACTTCCATTTGTCTGAAAATTTATAAATTGACAATCTCTTGGTGGATGAATCCATTTCTAAATCAAAGAAAGTGAAAGCAGGAATGGAGAAAAACGATCCTAATTTTAAAAGGAAGAAGAAGAATAAAGTCACTCGTTTACCAAGAAGATGATTTAGCATTCCCAATATTAATTTATCACATATAAAAACTTCTATTTCTTCATTAAAATTAAATTGTTTTTTTATTTGAATTTCTCAAATATAAACAAAATTTATACATAACTATAATAAATAACTTAAATTAATAGTATCATTCAAATGCATATTTAATCAAATGGATTTTGAATAATATAAATAAAATGGCAGAATAAAAAAAAAGATTGAATTCATCTATGACGTATGAGGAGTATGTGAGTTTTTTTGAAAAAGAACCAAAGAAGCCTACTCTAAAGCCAAAATTAAATCCAGATCTTGCCATGGATCACTTGGATCTCCTGAGTGATGCTACCACTACTGACAATTTTGAGTCCTTCTACCCAGAAGTGATTGATAAATTGGAACAAATCTAAGTTCTACCTTAGGAATAATCCCAAAGAAGATAAAGAACTTAAAGTGAGAACATTTCCTTCACATTCCTTAGTTTCATATAGAAAAAAATCGAAAGAAAGTAATCAGATTGAAATATACTAATTATTATATATCTAATCACTTTGTATATAACTTATTTTCCCTAAGACGATCCTCAAATTGTCTCATTCTCTATTCAAGTTGCTCCTTATTTTTCTACAAATCTGTTAATCTAGATTTTATCGTAGAAAGATTCGTCTTCTCATTATTATTGTTATTGCTCTTCTCCCGTATCGAACTCTGAGGTCTCTCATTCAACACTTCCTTCTTCCTTTGCTTTTCCAAAGATTGATACTTGCCCTCCCTATCATGGTCGGTTTTGCAGAATTTGTTTTTCTACAGACTATCCTCAAATTGATTTTCTTGGATCATGGTCTTGACAGGACTCTTGACTTACTATTGATACGAATAGTTTTGTAACTAAGAATGAGAAGTGTGATGATAGGTCAGAGTCGCTTACTAATAGGGTAATGATGTTTGTTTCTTTAGGACCTTGACATCGCCCTCATCCTCGCTCGCTTCATCTTGCACATGACATTGCAGTATTTCAGAATCCGAATTCTTATTCTATTGATCTTCCTACAGACGATGCAACTCTATTGTTCTAACATTTCAATAATATAATTACAATTTAGCTATTTCTTTATCCTTATTTAGCAATTGAGTCTCCATTTCCTTTTGCTTTTGTTGCATCTGCTACAATTTGGATTGGTAATCTGCTTTCATTTGCTAGATCAATCTATCTTTTTCCTCCAGTTATTTTTCGAGTTGTTAAATTTTCAAACTCTGAGTACCATCTTATTTTTCAATGTAATTGCTTTTGCTCCTCTCCTCGTGCTTCCCCCTGAGAGTTGTAGTTGAACTACAGATACTCTCTATAAAGGACGAGGACCCCTTCTATTCAATGCATATCAGATGACTATTGCCAGCAGAGAAATGTATTATCTATTTCGAATACAATTAATCAATTGATTTGAGTTGAGTAATTCTCTTTTATTCTGGATCAAATTACCATTAATAAACTTTGTCTCCTATGCACATTCCAACTAATTCTCCCATGCAGAAATCTTTGATATTCATAAGCTATTCGTCTAGTTCAAAAAAGATCAACTCATTCGATTAAGTCAAACCGATTGGAGTGCTTTTGCCATCAATTTTAATAAATTTTTCTATTATTAATCAGTAGATCTTCTTACATTTATAGTTTAATTTTTATAAATTTCCAAAACCCAATCCACAAATGTACACAATTCCATCTTGAGTCAAGAACACAGAAAATAGATTGCCTGCACTGACTTGCTATAAGGAAGGCAATTTAATTTTGGTTGGTTCAATAACAGTTTTCAATCTGGGAATTCCCAATTGAGAATCATCATTCAATCCAAAACCAAAACATTCCTAAGCATCTTACATGTTATTTATATACGTAAATACCTGTCAATGCCAATGTGTGTTTGTTGCCACATGACACCTGAATGCAATTTGTTAGAGTGCTCACTCTGTTCAAATTCCCATTTTACTTGACTCCTAATTGGCCACAAGAATTGTCTCCCCAAGTGAAGAGGGATCCATCAGACGTAACACACGCAGTGTGAGTGGAACCACAAGAAACTTGTATAACTCTCTATTTAATATCGGAAGTTGTACTTGTTTAGTTGCTCTATTCTTTGGGGAGCGTAAAGGGACTGTTTGTTGACATGTGCCAATTTGTTATGTTCATTGCAACCCATTGTATACACATGGCCGTTCTAAGTCAGAAGGGCGGTGTGATCCTTGCCGCAAGAAACTTAGATAAACCCAATTTTGTAATGGCAAATCTTGGGAATGTGATAGTATTGGGAGGATCCTCGGTTCTTGCCCAATCCCAATTGGCCTTCATTGTCAGCTAGAATGTTTAGGCGAGATTATACCTCCCCAAACATACACTATGGATTCAGAGATCATAATGAGAATTTCAAATTTAACGATATATTAATTATATTGATGTTGCAAGTAGTACTTTCAGATGAATAAAACTTGTCTATTTCGCAGGAGTTATCTCATTAGGGCGGCAGTTTCAGGATTTCCAAATAGACCTTGGTGAAAATAGTTAGTGCTGCTCAAGAACGGCTGTTCGCAGAGGAGATTGATGAATTAGAAAATATTGACGGTTTGCAGAATCTGGAAATGAGCTTGTGCACTAGTTTCACTAAGGGATTGAAAGGGGATGACTTTAAGGAGAGAGAAGTCCTCTTTGGTAACAACAAGAAACCTGTCATTCCACCAAAAACATATCTACAATTGCTCTTACAAGCTTTGGAGGTTCATATATTCTTATAGAATCTATATAGGATTTCATCATGAGAGTGTTGCTGGTGGCCTCAATCGTCTCAATAGTAATTGGAGTTTCCACAGCCGATGATAGTCATCGCTCGTTAGCTTGGATTGAAGGATTCGCAATTTTCGTAGCTGTATTTGTATGCTGCAACGTGACTGCAGTGAATGTAAAGAATAAGCATATATGTAAAGGATTACCAAAAGGAAAGATAATTTCAAAGTTTAAATTAGATGGCCGACAGTAGAAAGACAGTAACAGTATGGAGAGATGGGTGTAAAATAGATTTGCATCAGAGTTTAGTGATGGTGGGAGACATAATTTAAATTTTTGAAGGTATGGAGATACCAGCAGATTGTTTCGTAGTCGAGGCAGCTGAGTTAACGAGTGACGTAATCAAATAATAAATTATCGATAGGAAAGTGCTATGACAGGTGAGACTGATCCAATAAAAAAGGATACCTACGAGAATTGTAAAAAGCAGAGAGATAAATTAAAAGATCAATAAAACTCGTGTGGTAGACACGATGTCTCGTCTCCAGTCATGCTGAGTGGTACTAAAGTACTCTCCGGAGAAGGCAAGATGGTTGTGGCTGTCGTTGGAGACTCGAGTTGTGTTGGAAAGATCTCTTCATTGCTTGCAACTGAGGATATCCAAACCACTCCCTTACAAGAAAAATTAGAAGCCATTGCCTAGGATGTAGGTAAGTTCGGTCTTGCAAGTGCAGCATTGATATTGCTCATTTTGCTCTTAAGATTTGCAGTGGAAAGAATTAAGGAGAACTCATTTGAAAAAGATCATGTCAAGGAAATGCTGAATTTCATTATTATATCCATTACAGTCATTGTAGTTGCAATTCCTGAAGGATTGCCCCTTGCAGTTACTCTCTCCTTGGCCTACTCCACAAAAAGAATGTTGAAGGACAATAATTTAGTTAGAAAAATGGCAGCATGTGAAACCATGGGAGGAGCAGACATGGTATGCTCAGATAAAACAGGTACATTAACTTAAAATAAAATGTTTATGGTCTCAATTTGGAATGATACTCTTATGGATATTGATGTTTATAATGAGTAATTGAATTTAAGTACTTACTTTCCTACTTAAATGCATGATTTATATGTATAAGCATCAATTGTTAATGGCACGGCTATGATCAGACCAGAAGAAAAGGGCAGCAAAACTGAAGTAGCCATGATTCTATTTGCAGAGAAATGTGGCATTGTCTATGAAAAAGAAAGAGAAGTACATGTTGCCAGTATGAAAATACCATTTTCAAGCAAAAGAAAAAGAATGGCTATGATCATTGGAAAAAGATTAGTTATAAAAGGTGCTAGTGAGATCATTTTAGAGGGTTGCAACAAATTACATTCAAAAAGTAGAGGAATCATCTCAATTGACTCTACCATTAGATAAAATATTGAAAAAGCCATAGAAACCATGGCATCGTAGTCTCTTAGAACTATTGGATTAGCCTACAGAGAATTAAATGGCACTGAAGATCTAGCTAGCAAAAATGATAAGGGCGTTTATGATGTTGAAACTGAAAATTTGACTTTAATTGCTATTGTAGGAATCAAGGATATCCTAAGACCTGAAGTCCCTGGAGCTGTTGCTAATTGCAAAACTGCAGGCATTAAAGTTAGAATGGTAACTGGTGACAATAAGATCACTGCCAAGGCTATAGCAAAAGAATGTGGAATTTTGATTGATGAGGAACGATCCTTAGTACTAGAAGGTCCTGATTTCGTTAATAGAATTGGAGGTGTAGTTTGCAAATGGTGCAAGACAGCAACTTGTGATTGTCCAAGAGATTAATCAACAGCCAAACAAATTGGGAAACCAGTTAGAGTAGACACAATTAAAAATGGAGAAGAGTTTGACAAAATCTATCCTCTCCTAGATGTCTTGGCTAGAAGTAGACCTGAAGATAAGTATGCACTTGTCACAGGACTTCTAGAAAGGGGACATGTTGTAGCAGTAACTGGGGATGGTACAAATGATGGTATTATATTTATATTCAATTCGTAATAGCTCCTGCTTTAAAGAAGGCTGATGTAGGATTTGCTATGGGTATTGCAGGCACAGAAGTTGCTAGAGAGAGTGCTTCCATTATCTTATTAGATGACAATTTTAGCTCGATAGTCAAGGCAGTAATGTGGGGAAGGAACATCTACGACTCAATTAAGAAATTCCTGCAATTCCAATTGACTGTCAATGTTGTAGCTGTTACAATGACTTTGATATCTTCGGTGTTACTTAAATAAGAAGTTCTGGAACCAATCCAAATGTTATGGGTCAATTTGATTATGGATACCTTCGCATCTTTGGCTTTGGCTACAGAAACACCTACGCCTGAATTGTTGTAGAGGAAACCTCATAACAGAAACGAGTACATGATTTCATCCAAGATGTTCAAACACATTTTAGGATAGGCTGTGTATTAGATGATAATTATGCTGGTGTTATTGTTTTCAGCCCAAGATTTTATTCCTGAATATCACGGCCAAGAGGATGGGACTTCAGATTTCGAAGGGAAATTGTAATACAAATATTCAAATACCTTTTATGATGAGAAGTCCAATAATCACTTATGTCCTAATCATTAAGATTATTGCAACTTGGTTTCTTTCAGCACCGACTACTATGTGGATGGTTCAGAGAATTATGAAGCCTTCTACAAGGAAACATATATCCCATCAAGACAATTTACTGTGATATTTAACACCTTCGTGATGATGCAACTATTCAACTTTATGAATGCCAGGAGAATTAAGGATGAACCAAACATCTTTTAAGGCATTTTCACCAACATCTTATTCCCAATTATAGTTATAGGAATTCTGACACTACAAATAATTTTAGTTACATTTGGAGGTATCGTCTTCCACTGCTATACTTTTTATGGACTAAGAATTGAATAATGGTATAATTATATCTATTATTAATCCTAGGTTAATATGTGTTGCTTTCGGTTCCGGAGGACTATTTGTAAGAATGATTCTTAGACTTCTACCAGACCCCAAATTAGCCTTCTTGGATAAGTTGGGCCATAAGCAGAATGAAGCTCATAAAGTGGCATCCCCAACTGCGCAGAACAACGTTAGCTATCAAATTTAAGTGATTCGTCAAGAATCAGAATTGGCAAATCTTAATGATCAAGCTTAAGAATCTAGAATGATTTGAATAATAATATATTTATGAATAAATAATTTCTAGCTTTGGGAATTGAAGGAAGTGCCAATAAAATTGGCGTTGCAGTGGTTGCTAAAGATGGCAACATCCTCTCCAATCCCAGGAGAACCTATATAACTCCTCCAGGAACTGGATTCGTCCCAAAACAAACTGCACAACATCATAGAAATAATATATTGGAAGTCTTGGATGAGGCACTTAAAATTGCTAAAGTCACATTGGATGATATCAATCTTATCTGCTACACCAAAGGTCCTGGGATGGCGGGACCACTCTCAATAGGTGCCACTGTTGCAAGAACTTTGTCATTACTTTATAAAATTCCAATAGTCGGAGTCAACCATTGTGTTGCTCATATCGAAATGGGAAGACTGGCAACTTAATGCTAAAATCCTGCTGTTCTTTACGTTAGCGGAGGCAACACCTAAGTTATAGCTTATTCGAAAAATAGATACAGAGTATTTGGAGAAACAATTGATATAGCTGTTGGTAATTGCCTCGATCGTTTTGCAAGATTAGTAAACATCAGCAATGATCCTGCTCCAGGATATAACATTGAATAATTAGCTAAAAAAGGTAAGAACTATGTCCTTGATACTCCTTATGTTGTGAAGGGTATGGATATGAGCTTTAGTGGTTTATTAACATTTATAGAAGATGTAGTTAATGCTTATCCACAAGTTAAACTACCTGAAGTCGAGGGGAATGATAAAGCTAAAAGAAAAAATAAATAATAAAAAGTCGTCAGGAAGTGGACTAATCCCATTCCTATAGATTTAAGTACAGAAGATTTATGCTTTACTCTCTAAGAAACTATCTTCGCTATGTTGACTGAAGTGACAGAGAGAGCCATGTCTCATTGCGAATCTAAAGATGTCATTATCGTCGGGGGGGTTGGCTGTAATGAACGATTATAAGAAATGGTGTCTATTATGGTCCAAGACAGAGGTGGCAAGATTGGAGCCATGGATGAAAGATATTGCATAGATAATGGAGCCATGATTGCTTATACAGGTAACTAATTGAATTTATGGGTTAGGCATTTTGGAGTACTTTTCAAGTGGACCTACTAATTTCAAAGATACATTTGTCACTCAGAGATTTAGAACTGACGAAGTCTATGTAAAATGGAGGAATGATTGATATATTTAATAGAAATTGATAAAAATCATTTGCAAACTTTTTTATTTTCAATTAAATCAAGCCATTCAGGTTTAAATATTTTCGACATTATTTGACTTTTCAGTTGTTACACTTAATTCTTATTAAGTAGTTGATATAGATCCTTTTGAACTCTGACTTTCAATTTATTTTGATCCAAAATTGTGTTGTAAGTTCCTTTCAATACAAAATATATGTCAGAATTCTCAAGATACTACACCAACTACTCCATACAGAACTCAAATAACAACTTCCAGTCTCCTTGGCAATTTCCTTCAAATTTGAAGTGATTTTTTAGTATATCTAATAATTCCTCTTCATCCAAGTATTCTTCTAAATAATCTTTTATCTGGTTTAGTACTACTCTTTCACTTATCGCATTTTTCTAAATTAAATTGCAGAGAGGTATCATTAATCTATTTGCTGGATTGAACTAAAATTATGACAACCAAGTAGTACTTTAGCGACGTATTTTAAAATGAGTTCCTGATCTACGTATCTATCAAAGAGAAGTTCTTAAGGTAAATCGTCTGAATAGATATTATTATTTAATGCATCTTCCAGGCATAATTCTGCCTGAACACATCTAGTAATAAAATATTCAATTTAATCCTTCTTATAGCCTTGACATTCTGTTTTTTTTATTTCTTTCAGATAATCACCCAAAGAAATTAATTTCAAATCCTCTACTACTTTCCTACTTTTTAACCCCATATTGACTATTTCGTTTAATTTGTTATTAAATTCATAGCTTTCATAAAGTTTATCAAACAATTAAATGTATTCATAGTCCAATTATAAGGTCCCTTGATTTTCAATTTTGTTTTTCTAATCAAAAACTATTTATAAACAGGGTTTGCCAACATTTACATTTAGAACATCTCCAATAGCAATGTATATGTCAGCTCCACATGTCCGTTCTTTCTATAATGATGATATAATCTAAATGCTCATGTACAAAATATATTCACTTTTTTAGTAAACTACTTTCTATTCAATGATTATCGAATCATCCTATCCTGAAAGCTATTAATCGCATAAACTAAAGACTAATTTCGAAACCAATTCTTGTTATTGTTCATCATTGTTTAAAATGACAATCTTATAATATTGATTTTTTTAAGTAGGATTTTGTTGGATTAGTTTTCTTGATAAATCTATTCTAAAATTAGATTGATCAACTATTTTTATTTATTTTTTAACATTTTTTTCAATTTTTTATTTGCATAAATCCACAAATTGTCTGTATCTCTTTTCAGTTAATTAGTATAATCTCCAATGTTTCACGATCCTTTGCATCTTATAAAAGTTTCCCAATTATTCATCAACCTTATCTAAATGAGGAGCTAAAAATTTTGTAAATTTGTTTAAAACCTACTTTTAACAAAACTGAAGCAATATATCTTAAATGGATGATTTCATCTTTTTAGTTTGTTAATCTACTTGTTTTTAAGATTGTTGTTTGATGATTTCTTATTAAATTTCCTGTTGATTAGATTTTTCATTACGGAAAAAATAGTTTATGTTTTCAATTTGGCCTTATTCAAAGATCATCTTTGAAAAATCTCCTCTTTTATTAATGAAGGAAATTTTATCATCTATTTATAGCCATTTCTGATATATTGAACCAATATTTATAAAGTTTAGTTAAAGTTTTTCATACTGAAATATCTGTTGATTAAATTTGTCGATGTATTGTTCTATTTAATCTTAAAATAAATATATAAAAAATTGTTAAAATAAAGTAATGTTACTATTTTATCCAAGATCTAGCAAAGCACTATAATTTTTCTATATTAAGTATTCCTTCACCAACTGGCTAAATTAATATTCAGGTGTCTTAATTAATTTATCAAAATAATTAAATTCTGAAAAGATTATATTATCCAAATTTGCCAACTTTATAATCGAGTTAGTGGAGAGAATCTTTTAACTCAGCATAATATGGTAATACGAAATAAACTCTGGCAGATTGTCCAACAAATAAAATCTACTTTCGTTGCTATAATTATTAATCGACTGATTAAATACATCTCATTAAATAGTTTTTTATAATCGATCGCTAAATCATCAAGTGCATCAAGCAAATACTTATGACAGTTATTTTTATTATCCTACAGAACTGGCCAACTTTAATCTGCCTACATCATTTCTAAATATGACAGCAGATATATTCGGACTATTTAACAACTAAATTATTTTACTTAGCTATTCGAGATACTGGATCCTAAATATATAAATATTACTATTTTTTGATTCTATTTGTTTTAACTCTGTGCTTAAAGCCCTAAATCTATCAGAAATGTATTAAAAGATTTCCACAATGCTCACTAACTTGCCATCTTTTTTTCGTTTCTATCTGTCACAAAATATCATATGCAATCTTTTGATTGATTACATCATTCCTACATCTGATCTAAATACCGTTTCTTTTTTTCCTTAATTGGGTCGTATATATTATTTCACAATTAAGGAAGTATTTAATTCATAGTTCTAATCAACTTCAAATGTGCTATCAAACATTTTAAGATTGAGAGCATCTTAAATATTTTGTTGAGTGCACATATCATCTATGAATTAATATTCTTTCCATTTCGTTTCGCATAAATATTATAGTGTTTTTGCTTCAAAATTAAATTTTATGGGTTAAAGATTTTAATTGAACGTAGGTATTTTCCAACTATTTGCATTAAATTAATTTTCTGGTTCTTAATTATATTATTTCTATGAATATTGTTATTACTATTGATATTAATATTGCTATTGTTATTGCTATGGTTATTTTTATAGTTATTATTATTGACTGTTTTTTAATGATAATTCTTACTTTTTTGCAATAAGCTTTGCATTAATCTATTCTTTTTTTTATATTTGCCTTAGATCATTTGTTTAATTTTATTATTAATTGTTAAATTATTCTGTTGTTCTTTTACTGCTATCTACTTTTACAGTGTTTTGTGCAAACCCTTGAGGTAACGCTCGTGTTATTCTTTTCATTTCAAAAGCCAACATCCTTTTTGCGCTATCAGCTAATCTTGGTTGTCTTGCTGGCGGTTATACTCTATCTTCGATTTCATCATCATAGCCATCTTGATCATCATAATCATCATCATTATCATCATTATCATCATCATTATTATCATTATCATCATAATCATCTTCATTATCATCATAATCATCTTCACTTTCTTCTGATTGATCATAATCATCTGAATATTCCTCAAACTATTTTTTACCATCTTTTTTATTTTCATAGGAATTATTCTCTTACTACTCTTCTTCTTCTATTTCACCTTCTTCTTCATCATCATCTTAACGTTTTTTATAATTATCTTTATCCTCATCTTATGCGATTTCTTAATCTTATTCATTATTATCATATCCATTTTCTCCATTCTTTTCCTCCTCGTTTAGAAATTATACTTTTTGACTTTTTTTATTCACAGTTTCATCATTTTCGTCGTTTTGCTCATTCTGATTGCTCTTTTTGTTATTTTGATTATCGCTCATTTCCTCATCATCTTAATTATTATTCTCGTCTGAATAATCACTTTAATCAGAATAGTCATTTGAAAGGCTATCACTTTCAGGACTTCTGTCTTCTTAATTATTTTTAAAGTGTTTAATTTCTAATTATTTCTTTTTATTATTTGTTTAGACTCTTTCAGTATTTTGTTTAAAGTCCTCATTCTTATATTTATTATCAGATTATTTATTACTGATAATACGAATAATCTATTTGGTTGGGGGATTGTCAAATAATATTGGATCATTTAAAATTGATTTATCTTATTTTAAAGGTGCTCTTTCTTTACTTTGAAAATAGGTTCGTTAATAATTTGATTAATAAGGCTTTCGATAAGACTGTCTTCTATTATGATTATTTCTATTATTCATACAATTAAATATTAAATATATTATTTGTATGATTATTAACACTAATATTCTAATAGGGAAAATTTAAAACTTAGTTTGAACAAGACATTCTAAATAATAATGGTAAGTTAAATCATTTTAGTTAGTCATTTCAAGTTCTAAACAAGTATTTTGATATTGTATCTTAATTTTTTTAATTTTTTACCCAACCTTTCCAAAACAAAAGAGTTGGTTTAATGAAAAAGGGCATCAAATTTTAATAAGGAATGAAATTTGCAAAAACCTAATTGTCTATTTAGTAGAGGATTAAAAAAAACTCATATTTATTTTTTTATTATTTGAAATTTTATATCATGATCAGGCAATTATTTTATTTGATTAAAACGGACAAAATTCTGAGAATGAAAGTAAAATAAATATAGAATCTTTAATAATTACAAAAATTAGTCATTCGAATTTTGAAACTGCAAGTTCTTCTTAACTATCTTCTTACTTAATTTGTAAGCCATTTATAGAATTGAAACTTTCTTCTGTCATTTTACTTTTTAATTCTGGAGCCTCTATTTACTCTTCAATTTCATTTGCTGTTTAATTAACACTTTAATTTTATTCAATTTATTAGCTGCTTAAATAAAAATATTCGTTAGTACTTCCTTAGTTCTAATTAGTAGACTATCGAGAAACCAACCTATGATTGTAGGATGATAATCCCAATGGACGAGTAAAAGTGTTTGAAAACTTCCCATATTTGGTTTAATATTCAGAATTTTCACACTCATAATACAAGTCCTTAACTCCAGAGCTGATTTGAGATTATTTATGTTTTTAATCATTATCTATTTTTGCTTCATCGCAAGGGTCATTGATACAATTACTTCCATTTTAAGACTCTTAATTATGTCTAAGAAAACTTTATACAGCTTTTTTCTATAACTAGAATTGTGTACTTAGTTTGCTCGTATTACATTTTGAAGGTATAGGAGGTTTTGTGGAGTTGACTTCTTCAATAATTTGCAATCCTGTTGTTTATTAGATTGTTTTCTCTAATAAACATTCTTGGGACAATTATTTAATAAGAGTTATGAAGAGGACTTGACCTTTAATGCATTTAGATTGCTTAATTTAGTTTGCTATTAGATGTTAAAGTTAAGTTATTTTGTCTAGAAGGATTTTTTATCTGATGAACTTTCGAGATTCCTTTCTTAAGAATTAGAAATAGTGGATAATCGTCGTTGTTGATTAGTTAGTTATTATTTTCTAATTTCTAACTTTTCAGATTATGCTCTAATACTCATTGGTAATAGTTCCAAAATTCTTTTTTCACATATTTTCTGAATCAGACATTAACCATCACTTTGTTATACATTATTATTACTTTATTTTGCTAACAATATTAGATTCATAAATTCTTTTCAATCTACCTAAGGATTGAATACTTAGCATCTTTACTTACAATTCTCCAGCTTTGAAAAAACTATCAACGTCAAATCCTAAACTGATCCATTTCTTTGTTAATATGAATGCACTTGATATTTTAACTTCGTTTTTGTTTTTTGAATATGTTTATTGAAAATTTGGACCTACAATTATTTTGTAAGACTGCATTAATTATAGAAATCTATACTTCATCTTTAAAAGAAAGTTCAAGGATAAATTTTAATTTTTCAATCACATATATTTGCACGTATAAATTGGAACCCTTGACATTTAATTCTTAAGAATTGACATACGTATACGGATTGGTAGGACCGACTTTCAAAACGAAACCTCTAGATTAATGTACTTTTATACTTTTCATGGTTTTATCATAAATAATATTATCTGGTTACTGTTACTTTAACTCTTCATATTTATTTATGGGTTACCTCTGCATTCAAATAATGAGGTTTCTTGGATAAGTTTGGGCAACTGTGTCATGTATACAACTGTAATTATTATATTTAATTATTCATAAATTTATAAAACATGACCATTCTTTAGCTAATTTTGATTGAGGATATTATTGGATTCTTTAAGTCAGGTCATAAAATAAAATTAATAGTGATATACAATTAAGGATAAATATAAAAATCAGAGTTTTGAAAAAATGTCTTTAAATGAGTTTATATTCTTAAAGATAACACATTCAAATTTGATTACCTATCCAAACTAATTGTTATCGTATTCATTAATCAATTATTCAGTGGGACCAATAATTTTGATAACCTTTTTTATCATTTAATTAAAGCAATCTATTTCAAATACTCTCTTTGGAGTTCCAGTAAATTAAGCGTTTATTTTGATTATGATCTCATCCACATTTGCCACTTAATTCTTTGATTCTTAATTCTAGTTTATGTATAAACTGATTTATACTGGAGATTTTTGAACCAAAAAACACAATAGACTTAGTATTAAATGAGTTATTAGATAAGTATCATTAATTATAATTAAATTGTGATCTGTTTGATATGTAAATTTTATTAATCTTGAATCCAAGTAATCCTTAATACGGTTTTCTATTTATTATAATAGATTTTCTATATAAATAGTTGAAATTTTCAATTTTGGAATGTCGTTTTTGCTTATACAAATTGAGAAGTACTCTGATATGAATTAAACGAGGCGAAACGATATTTCTGAAGATAAAATAGTATATGATAGGCATTTCTTTGGATTTATAAGTGAACTCAACTATTTTATTCGAATTTCAAAAATGGATTGAAATTACGATATCACCTTTCTTAGATAATCTCGTTATTATTTGACTTTAATTAACTGTCTTTTCACTTCATTCTACTAAAGTAATACTATTGCCTTCGCTTCACCTTTTTCAATTATATATAAGATTTTTATTTTATAATCGCATTTCCCAATAGTGTCGTAACCCTATAAGAAATCAAAATTCTCATTTTTTTAAGAGGTAAATGATTTATGTAGTAATTGTTCCAGAGTTTCAGTATTCTCCAAATTAGGAACAGATAGCCGAGGAAATCGAATTTGAGAATTCTACTAAGTAAAATCATTCCTTATTCTTGAAGAGGACATTTTAGATTAGATCAGAGTATTCCTTTGTTGTTTTAAAATTTGAATTTATCTGATGAATTATCTAAACTCCTCTTAGGTAGAGAAATTGAATCCTGCTTATGGATGATTTTAGGATTCTAATTTGAGGAAATTTGTTCTTCTGTCATACTTAATTTTCATTAGTTATATACTAAATTGTTCGATCAAGCTGCCATATTGCACATCGTCTCGCTATTTTAGTAAGAAAAACTCTCGTTTCTGATATTCATTGGAGTAATAAGACAAGCAGGACAAAATAAGAGCTAAATTATGTTATTCTTGATTACCTAATATGAACATTATTTGATTTCCATTAAATGATTTCTGAACTACTGTTTACACTAAAATTAAAGTGGAAAAGTTAAATATTATAATTGCCATATTTAGAACAAAGTTCGAACCCAAAAGCAGGCTGAATTAAACTAAAACAACTGTCTATCCAATCATTAAATTTAAGTCGGGAATGAAATTAAATAGAAGGTTGATATTGTAGAGTAAACCAATTAGAAGATTGTTGAGAGGTAAAATGTAGTTAAATAATTTTGGGTACCTTTTGATTAGTTTAAAGGAAATGAAAAATACCAAGGGCAAACAAATTATAAGATATTTGCTATTGCCAAATCCAATAGGGTATGTGAATTCTAAAGAAAAAATAATTACTGCACTGATTGATCCAAAAATGCACACTCTTTCATAAAAAAAAGTTAGCATTGGAAGTTGATCTGTAAAAAATTGGTTTTGCTTTTATTGGCTTCTGAAGGAAAGCTTAATTTTATTCATTTGGTTAGTTTAGATTGATTATATTCTTAAATAATTTTATAGAAAAATTCTGAATGAAAAAATATTGATCACAATCTAATTAGATTAATTCTTCTGGAAAAACAAAAATGCTTTAATTTTTAATACTCATTAATATAAAAAACACAGAAAATTCTTGTTTTAAGATTTGATTATTACATATGAGGTTTTTAATTGAAATTTCAAACTTCTAATGGAATTTGTCTAGATTTTTAATTAAGTCTGGAGATTATTAATTAATTCATAAGAAATAATTAAACAAAGTGGATAATAATTACCATAATGAAGATAAAAATTTATTGATATCCATAAAATCATAAATATCATCAATCAATAGGTTATTTAAAGTCTGTGTAAGGTTATTCTAAAAAATATATGATCATCTATAATACACCGAGTTCTACAATTTTATTATTGCTTATTTCCAATTTTAAAAAGTGTGGAATACAAAAATTCATCATTTAAGTCAAATAGAACATGCAAAAACAATCTAAAGTAGGTCGGTTTAAAGGCATATGTCGGTTAAGATACTCATAGAAAATTAAAGAATAAGTGCAACTTCTTGAAAATTTTAACAGAAATATTAAAGTTTATGAAGTATTTAATATGTGGGAGTGATGAAAGTAAGAAAAAGGAGTATTCAGTTTCATTGTTGGAATGAACCTTTATTTTATATTTGCTTTACTAGGACAATGTAATATCTAATAGCTTCATTCAAATCTATTACTAATAATGAAAATTCATGTGCTTCTATTTTGGCAACTTATTTATAATCAAGTAACCTTTTTTTCTCTAACTTAATTAATCCTTCCGTTGTTATTTATCTAATTTATGATTATCGTTCCAAAATCAGAGATAGTATTCATTATTCTCCAATTTGATAGTTCTCTTAATAGTTTACTAATATTTGAATGTTAGATAGTCTATTTTTATATATGCTGAAAAATTATAAGAAGTTAAATACTATTATGATAACTGAAATTATTAAAATATCACAATCAAGATTATTGAGCAAACTTGCTTTTACTATACTTTATGTTTTCCACAGGTTTAGGTTTGCTTCTAAGAGAATCTTTTTTAATAGTATCTTATTAATTTTAATGATTATCTAAATCACTTTTTTACCCTATTTGAACTTATGATAATCTTTATTGAAAAATATTTAATGATGGCCTTGATGCTGGTTATTAATTAAGACTTTGATGATCTGCAAAATCCATGGGCTGCATTGTCTTGGTTCTATTGTATTTTTTAATAGATTCTGTTTTATATTGTGGTGAAGAGAATTCATATTAACTTTTGTTGGGGGATGGTTAGAATGATATTTCAGCTTAATATTATTTTAATTTTTATTCCATTATTTATTAGTTTTCTAAAAGTTGTTCTATTTGTTTTTGATAACCTAAATTGATGTTTCTGAGTTCTTTATTTTGACATTGCAACTCAATAACATCTTCATGTAATTAATTAAGAATGCCACTATCATTCTGATCTTGATGTTCTTCAGCATTTCTTTAAAGTTCTTTCTATAAAAACTCAGCTTCAATTTATTTTTATTCAAACTTCTAACTCAAGTCCATACGAATGAGCTTTTCTTCTTTGAATTGCTTATGAATTTAGAGAAGTTCATTTTCTAATTCTTCAACTTATTATTCTTTAACTTGTTTGTATTGATTAAATTTTTATTGCTGTAGCTTTAATTCTTCAAGAATTTCAGAATCGAAACCATTATTCAAGACTAGAGTCTAGTTATTTTGCTTAGCCTATTCCAGTTCCTATCTCAATGAGGCTATTTCTTGGTTGGCCCTTTGCTAAGCCTCAGCCATTCGATCTAATTCTTAGATTAATAATTGGAGACGTTGTAAACATCCTTAGTGTTTCTAATCAGTCTAAAGAGTATCAGATTTAGTGGAATTAAGCATGTTCCCAAAAGATCTGTTGCGATCGTTTTCTTAAATAGAGCTTCTTGATGAGTAGTATTAATACATAAATAAATTTATTTTTTTAATTATAATCAAATTGAACAAATAATTTATCCCTCATATTTTCATCAACTAACATTTTAATACATAATCTCTCTAATCATCTTCAGTTAAGTTTTTATTGTTTCCATCTTCCTTTTCAATATAAAGTTTATAATCTGCTTTGAACAAATAATTATCGCAATCTTCAATCCACTTGTAATGTATTATAGGAACATTCTTCTCCTGAGCAATCGTAATACTCCTAATCTTTCTTCTTCCAACGGTAATAACAAAACTATTTTCTTGGCCAACGAACCACTCTTCTTTAAACTCTCTGTAAACCTTGGCTCCTAGATACACAGCCTTATCCTTTGCATATTCTAATCCTCTCTTAATGGAATCTTCGTGTGCTTCTGAAATTGCAAAAAATAAAGTAACGCCATTTAATACATTGCTTCTCATTTCTGAATATATCGTTGGAACACTAATTTTTCTATTGATGATCAAATCCAAAGGGGTTCTTTCTTCCAATCGATTATTGGTTTCCTCTATAATTTCAGTTTTAATTTTTTTAGCCTTAGATATCTATTATTCAAACTCGACTATGAAATTAGGATCATCTTGAGCCAATTTAAATTACTTCCAAAATTAATCAGATATATCTTTCAATTTCTATGTAATTGTATATAGCCAGAAATCATTTTTATTGTAGATTTATACTTCTTATTCAACCTCAGTTGCAATTCCTTGTCCATCTTTAGTAGAACAATGTTCATCAAAGTATACAAACGGTTTAGTATGAATGAGATTCTCTTTGAATTGATTCCACATCCCAGCGTTATCATCAAGAATTACTAGTAAATTAGTTGCAATTCCTGGATAAAATAGTCTATTCAGCGATTTACTATTTGAACATATAGTATCTTCTCGCGATAAGACTCGTTGTGGAGGAAAGAAAGGCTTGTGTTCAGGAATGACCTCATTTAATCTTTTGGAAATAAAGTTCAAGATGAACTCTGCATATGATCTACTTGCTTTTGTGTAAATGAAGATATCAAAAAGCGGTATTAATGTTAAGAAAAACTGCTCGAAATAGGGTCTTAATTTAATTATAAATTTGCTCTATGAATCACAAGCCATTTCTAAAAAGTGTTCCTTAATATTAAACCCCAATTAATTGAACCCATTGAATTGTCCATCACTATCAGGCTGTAGCATTTTATTCTACTTATCACAAAAATCATATTTGTTAAAGCTATTCGTAACCTTTATGGCGTGTAGAATCGTTTAGTCTAAATCAAGCACCATTATGAGTTTCCTTTTCTTTAAGATGTCAAGTACAATTTCTTTTGAAATCTTCTTAGAAATGTCATCTGAATAATTAAGATCCAAGGTTTCCTCATTTCTAATGACCTTCTCATTACAAATAACACAATAGCTTTTTTCAATTTTCAAGTGGTTGCAAGTCTATGCAATATCAATTACCAATAGAACATCATTTCTTGAAAATATAGTTTTCGTCTTAGCCAATTCTATGATGCGACCTCTTATCCTAGGTTTCAAATCAATTTCATCTTGTTAGTTTTCTTCAGCGCAAATACCTAGAATCATAGTTGGGGAAATAAAATCTCCCACATTCACTCTCCACTTTAAAATTTGGATGTTGCCTTAGCAATTCTTTAGGGATAGTTATGAGAAACTCAGTTTTGTATAATATTGCTGTGCTTATGACGAAGTAGATGCAGTATTAATATCGTAATCATCCTGCTTCAAATAAATAATACTATTACCTGATTAGGCATTTCGCTTTTATTTTTATAAATTACTCCTATAGTAAAGTATTGATCAGTGGCTGGTATTTCAAAAACCTATTGATTTTAGGCCCACACGATGTATCCTGATGAAGATGCCAAAATTGATTTGTTTTGATTTTCAAATGCGTAAACTCCAATTTTTTAGCTCTCTTCCACCCTTTCACCTGTTTACTTCAATACTTCTATTTGAATGGGGGATACATGTTTTATATTAATCCTAACCTGACTGTTACTATCATTCTAAGTTTACTAATATTTTGGTCTCATTTTTTATAATAATATTAACAAATTCTAAAAACATGCCAAGTAAGTTATATTTTTGTTATCTACATCCTGAAACCATGCAAATGAACTTAAAAATAATATGTCTATGAATCTAGAACTATTAAAAGCATTAAATGATTTTTTTTATTTAATAAAAAGATCCTAATTCTATAAAACAAAATTCGGCGCATTGAGATAATAGAATACTCAATTAAGGAATGAATTCAGAGTAGAATGCTCAATTAGAAATAATATGGAATCGTTTATTATATAATATATTAATATAAATAATATTGGCAAATAATGTCTGAGTATTACGACGAGGAATTTGGAGAAGTAAATCATCTTAAATATTGAAGCTTGGATTAGTAATTGGTGATTTTAACATTCCTTAAAGAGCTGCTGATTTGCCTCCTTAATTTAAAGATCTTCTTGTACCCAATAAAGTCCAATACGTATTTTGTACAGGGAATGTTGGCAACAGGGAAACTGCAGATTGGCTCAAAACACTATCAGGAAACACTCACTTTGTAAAGGGAGATTTCGATGAAGTGAAAGAGGTACCTGAGACAAAGGTTGTGTAAATCGGATCATGGAAGATGGTGATGGTGCATGGACATCAAGTAAGATATGGATATGTATTTAGCTTGTGCCTCATGGTGATGAAGAATCTTAATATACATTTTTGAAGGAAATGGAAGGTGATGTCCTCATTACAGGACACACCGGAGTTGCTAAAGTCACAGCCGTCGAGAAGAAATATATTATCAATCCAGGTTCAGCAACAGGAGGATTCAATGGACAACAAAAGTATTAGTTGTATGAATATTTTAAAGTTCCATTCCATCATTTTTGATTTTGGAGTTCAAGAAAGAAAAATTACAAGTGTTCATTTACACATTAGATGGAGAGGTCAAGATAGACAAACAAGAATTGCCATTATAAAAGTGAAATATAATCATAATAATAACAAATGATATGTGAGTTGTTAAACTTCATAGATCAGCTCCACAGAACATACTTAATAGTTAACAATTCTCTCCACCATCCAAAATTGTTTATTTAATCTTTTCCAAAGGTATGTCATCATTTTTATCAACTTCTAATGTTTCAAAGATTAATTTTGTAAAATAATCGCATAACAAATCTAATAATTGACAATCATCCTAATTTCATTTTACAATTTATTACTTTTATATATTTACTTAAACATATCCTAGTTAAATTGTGCACTTCATCATAAGATAATGCTCTATTCCCATCTTTATCTGCAATCTTGATGAATAAATTGACTCTATCCATCAAAGTCTTCGCTCTAATGGCCACCATTAGATTCAAAAATTCTCTCCAATTCAAATACCCTGAAAAATTGTAATCAATCTATTAAAACATTTATTTTGCCAAATCAGTCGGCTGCATTGAAACCTAATAGATTCCATTTCGAAACGCTTCAAAACTCACTCCCTCTCCAATCACATAAGCATCCTCCATTTAACTTGATACAGCTTCCAAGGCTTAATATAATATAAATGTCTAATATAACTCTCTTCGGTTTAGCTTTGTTTCCTATATCAATTGAGGTATGTTTTAAGTAAATAATAGCTTCTGCCTCTTTTAAAGGGTTTGGAGGATCTACTTTTTAGTCTTGATATGTTGATATTTATTTTTGCTCGTTTGTGCACTCTTTGCAAATTGGATCTCATAAGTGTTCTGATTCTCCTTCTTATTTCCTATATATTACTGCAATTTATCTAAGTGCTACTCATGATATTATGGGTCCTCATATTTCACTAGTTTTCCCCCAAGTAGCACCACTTAAAAGTATAAATAAACATTACTTTGAGCAACAGCATCTGGATCATGATTTTATATTATAGTTTTTTATAGGATTTACAATTCTCGACTATATTACCTAATAATATGTTCATTTTCTAATTGTCTTGGTTCTATTGTAATTTATTCATCATCATTTAAGTATTCATCTTAATTTTGATATTTTTCAGTTAAGGGTGTTTACTTGATGTCATTAAATTTTTTTTATAATATATCATCTAAATTTAACTTTTTTTAAGCTTTTAATTTGCATCTTTTGTATAAACTTTCAGCTTCTTAAGAATTCAACCTAAAATTAGAAACCTTATCGTCTTGCTATTGCAAATAATCTGCTATATTTTAAATGTTTCTTTGGTATTTCTTGCTTATAAATGTCTCCAAACTCTCAGATTTCTATTCTCCAATCAGCTGATCCTTTAAGACACATTCCAATTGATCCAAATACTCTAAGACTTTGTTAGCCTCAGCTATGCCATTAAATTGTTTCGTTGGGGATACTATTATCGTTTTATGGTGTTGGCAATCAAACAAGGATGTCAAAGGCTCTCCTTTCTAAATTAATTACAATTTTACTTTAGAATAAAAATACAACTCTATTTATCCCAACTTTAATTGATCCAACAATTCCTTACCTACTTAATGGAGTAATAATTCAGCTTCCCTTTATGAACTTCTTTGTAATGGAATAGGTATATTAAAGTAGCAATATCTTAAATTATCTATTGATTTGCATCAATGTTTATTATAAAATTGTACTTAGTCAGGTTGTGATTTAAAACTATCAAAACTAATCTTTCCTTTAATTTTATGTTTTATAAGGATCCTGCATTTTTGAGCTTTTATTTTTGTGTAAACTTAACAATATAAGACAAATAATAATACAGTTAGCAACGAGTTCACTTTACGATGAGACATTTTGCTTGAGTTTGCCTTTACTGGTAGTGCTTAATCTAAAAACAATGTTTGACTTGGAGAAACTGGGATTATTCTTGTTACATAATGATCCTAAGTGAGATTTTGTAAACTATGCTATTAAGGTTAAAGATTCAATCTATTAAATTTATTAAACACTTTTGAAATGTCCTTATTATAAGATTTGTGCTTATCATAAAAGTACTTCATATTAATATGCATTACTTAACCACTATAATATTATCGGATTGACGGCTAGGAATTAGCATTTCCCAAACGTATACGAGATGCCGATGTTCTTAAACTTGTACTCCCTGTTTTTTAATCAATTAACCAAACCCTATTTTCAGACCCTGATCGAATATGTCTATTCATAGTTATCTTATATATTATTAAATGAAAATTATTAAAAAATACATCGTTTAATACACTCTTTATTTTTATTTGCCTTTTCTTCTCTTACTAATCCCTAAATACATTAGCCCCTTCTCAAATTTAAACATTATTAATTCCTATCATTAATGTATCTCTTTAATTTTTGTAAGATTTAATTTCTTACTAAACTTAATCTTGACTATAATCGTCTATTAATTCAAATGATTATTCAAATAAGATAAATGTATTAAAATCACTACACTTTTGAGATTCCAGTTCTGAGACTCGTTTATAATAATAAATTCAAACAGTGAGCTACTGTTTCAATATCAATTATTTTAATTTAGTATTAAAAATATACTAATTGCCCTTTGAAATTAAGCTGCAACTCTACTTACTTAAATTTTGGTTTTTAACTTATTTACCAAGATAATACATACCCTTTAAGATATTTTCATAAATAGCAAGATAAATCATTTATTATTACATTTTCTAAATATTTCTGGATCACCTTAACATAAATCTGTTTAGATTAATATAAATTAATTGAAAATTAATTAGAATCAATTCTGAAATATATCATTAAAAAATATGATTCTTTTAAAATTAAGATTAGAAAATAAATAAATAAATTAAATTTATGAAAATACACCGAAATATTGAGTTGATCTATACTTTGCATTCTTTCTGATATTATCGACAACATAGATTTGTTCGAGCTCTCCTAAAATACTGAAAACAATTAGAAAACAGTATTTTATGTTTTATCTAAAAAATTTTCGATAAATTAATCATCCAAAAAGATCTCTTACACATTGAATGCATTAAGAAACTTTTATCAGAATTAATTAGTTATTAAATAGTAGCTTTGCCAGTCATGTTGAAATCACCTTAGATTGTTAAGAATATTCAAGAATCAAAAAGTCTGGATTGTCATTTGAATAAATCTTCTTTGAACTATTTTCTGAATTTAATCAAAGCTCTTTGTTTATTCATTTTCTAATTCCTTATAATATGCATAAGTAAAATAAATAGAAGCTTTATGTTGAGAATGTTGCTATATTAATATAAATTGTGATCATAGTTGCACTTTACAAAGTTTATGAAAAATCATTCACTCTTGGATACTTTTATTTAAGAGCTGTAATTTTTCTTGGAGTAAATTTGCCCTTCTTTACAAAACTTAGCAATAATCATTAACATTTTGTTGAGTAATTTTACAATCTAAATATTATATAGTTATGTTTGCAAGACTACCATAAATATGGTCAAATTTAAAAATAAAGACATTGGATAACTTCTCTTTGTAACTGTATTTTTATAATCTACAGGAGCAGCTGCAAGATGTTTCACTATTCTAGTCAGTTCAACAGATGGAATGTTGATTGTCAATTATTTTATCTATTGATTAAATTTAGCTCCTCAATGTCAGTGTGACCTTAAACTTTACACTAGTATTTAATATGATATCAAATGAAATTCAAAAAGAGGAAAGACAGATTGAATTTATATTTTTATAATAATAAATTAGCTTATTACATTTTAATAGATTCATTAAGTTTAATAAATGTTCGAAAATATTAGTATTAAATATAATAAAACAAATTTTGTTAATTCAAATGAAAATTAATCTCAACTTTTTAAGCTATAAAAGATTTCAAAGCTTTCATTTGAACTCAATACTTTAACAGTTATTTAATATTAACCTTTTTTGAAGTTAATAAAAGCTTTTAATTGTTGTGCAACATCACCACTCAAAATTTACTCACAGATTTGTAGACAAATTAATTCATCTTGTGGTAATTGTACAGTAATCTCCATAGTATCTACTTTTAATGAACCATATTAATTAGTTAATCTAAATGGAACTTGCTGTTAATGAACTAAAAATGAACCCACATATTAAATGTTAAGATTTTCTTAAGCTAATTTCATTAAAATTTAGCGAACATTAAATCCATAAGCAAGTTTGATTTCATCATTTGATTCTGCTTCCATCATGAAATTATGAATTTAATTATCTGAGTATTCTAATTACATATAGGACATTGAAATGATAGTAGGAATTTAGATAAATTTATTTTAAATTTTGGTCTTAAAAAATAATTCTCTTAAAAAATCATTTAATATTACAGGTTAGTGCATTTATGATGAGAAACAAACTTTATCTTTAGATGTTCCAACAAAAACTAATGGAATAGTTTTTTTAATTTATTCAAATAGCTTTTCATATTATTTATAATATTAAATGGTACCTGCTAAATACCATGATTCTTCATCTAATAAGAATATTTTTGAGGAGCATTAACAAGCAAATTAACGGGCCTCCTTATTTGGACCATAATAGCTTGGATCACAAGTATATGATTTTAGAGACATATCTTAAACAAAAGCCTCTACAAAATGCTAAGTCTTTTAATTATTAGCCTTGCTCAAATTTTTTTAAGTAACAGAATTATATACTTCAATTTTTGCATCATTTTCTTAATTAGGCTCTTATAATGGCTCTGATTTTGTTTCTTCATTTAAGTTCTTCATTTCTATAACATTATTTTTTTTAGTTGAAGCCAAGGATTGAATGATAAAAATATCATCAATGCTTTTGTCGACATCTACATAGTGAGTTTCCTCTTATTCTTTCTTTTTTTGTTCCTCATTGGCAACATCCAAAGCCTAATATCTCTTAGCATAACGAGCTCTAGCTTTCATTTCTTTCTCTTATGCAATTTCCTCCTCCGATTTTTATTACTTCTATTGTGGCTTCTCAAACTCCAATTCATGAGGTTATGCAGGTTTGCTCAAAGGAATTTATTATTTTTAAGCTGATTTATATTCTTATTAGACTTACTCATCATTATTTTATTTTTCTACTACAGGCTTTTAATCAGCCGATATTTGTTTTTCAGTATAGTTGTCTTGGTTCCTATTATCAATTGTTTCTACTTTATCTGCATTCTCATTACTATGTTCTGATTCAACCTTAGATTCTTCATTTTCATTAGTATTTTCTTAATCATTAGTACTAGTTGATTATTGTTCCTGATTCTCTTCTGTTTATTATGAAATTTAAATAAATTGTGGTTATTATTATTCTTATTTTTTAAGCGGATCGTTCTCTTCAATTTTAATTTCTGGATTGAAGATTGAGTTCATTTATTCATATTTTTTATTAATTAGATCTAAATTTTCATTTGATATATTAAATTAAGCTTACAATGAGCTTAAATCCTTATTGAAATTATCAAATTTTTTTGGGCTGAATTCAAATTCCTTTTGCAATTTTACTTCAGAGATGTTGTCACTTTCTTGAAAATTTAATACTGCCACAGGTATATTTTCATCAATATATGTTTAATCCTACTCTTCCTTACTCAGGATTATGTCTTCCACTTTTTATAGAAAAATTGGATTATCAACTTTTAGTGGTTAATAATTACGTTCTTGGTTACCTGATTGTTCTTGCGAATTCTAAATAATATCTTAGCTAAGATCAATTTATCAAGATTACATATTAGAATGAAACTCTTCTTCTTCCTCTTCAGAATAGCTTTATTCTATCAATTCTTCGAATTCAGAATAAACTAACTCCTCTTCTAATTGCTATTATTATTTCTAAAATTCAATAAAGTTTATTGTATGTTCTTCTTCTGTTAAAAGTTCTTCTTCTTCTACTTCAATATTAGTTTCTTCTTCAGCAATTGATTATTTTACCTAGCTGTCTGTAATAAAAGAATTTTAAATTTAGAACTATGAATCATCTAACTCTAAAGTTTCAAAATCTTAATTATACAGATCGTCTGGAGTATTATCAGAGTCATAAAAATCAAAATCATCTTATTAATCTTGGTTGGTTTCTTCTTAGTCATCAGATTTGCCATCTTATAACTCATCATCATCAAAATCAATTAAATCATCAAAAGTAAAATCTGTCTATAATTCATTAAATTAATTTGCATCAATATCATTATCACTTTATTCATCTGTATTATCACTACTATCTGACGATTCATCCTCATTAGTATAGTCCTCCTTATCTTCTATGAAATCAATGTGTAATTCACTAAGAACTTGTTAAAACACTTATAAAAATGAGTATTTAGAACTGAGTTCATAAATTTAATTCATTTTTACATTAATTTCTTATTGATCAATCATTTCTATTAGGTTTTTCATTCTTTAATAATCTATCTGCCGTTTTTTGAAAATAAACTCAATCGCATCTAGTTAAGCGTCTGCTGATATTTATTAGATTGCTAAAAGAACCTCATCCTCCTGATCAATTTCATCTTCATCATAACTCTCAGTTTATTCATCAACCTCTGAATTTTCATCCAAATCCTTTTATTAATTTTATTATGATTGCGTGAATACTCTCCCTCCTTCAACAGTAATATTAGAAGGTTTATATTTTTCTATCTATTGCAATTATTCCTCTAATAACTCTTTTTATGATTTTCCTGTTTACGATTATTTAGGAACTTCTTTGACAGATTCTTAAGGTTCTATTTATTTTTTTTATATTTTTTTTAGATTAACCTTAACATTCTCAAAAGAAATATCTCCCTTTTAATCAAAAAATTGAAAACCATTTTCTGCTTGTAATGGCCTTGCTATTAACAGCAAAAAAAGGATGATTATTTCGTTTTTCATTTATTTTAATAATTACTAAATAATTTATATGAGTTATGATGATGAAGTTTGGATAGAAAATGAAAAAGAAGTATGTAAAATTATAAGGATAAATGAAGATAATTCTTCAAGTAAATTAAGAGTTGATCCTCAGACAAAATAAGGAATACAAAATCTTCTTTTATCGACTAATTATTTGAGACTTTAAAAAAAGAGTTAAGAATATGTTCAATGATGATATCAGGAGAAAGTGGATCAACAAACATACTTTTAATTTATTTAGCAGCAGAATCAAAAATAGCTTATTTAGAATAATTTATCATGAGCAGACTATTTAATAATAAATATTTGCTTCTAATCCTGTTCTCGAAGCATTTGATAAAGCTAATCTGCAAGAATGACCACTCTAGTAGATTTGGACAATTTATTCACTTTTATTTCAATCCAGATACTAAAAGAGCCACTGCACCTAAAATTTAGATAATTTAAATTATAGTCCTTATGAGAAGAAATAAATTTATTAAACTATTGCTGGACTGTTACATTTTGTAATTGTGTGATAATTGATTAAGATTCTTGCAAATATGCATTGATACTTGATGACTTACTTAAATTGGCATCCTCACTATTAGGGAATCCAACTTAAGGATCAAAAATTCTTATATGCAAAGGAGTTACTTCTTTGAGAAAGGAGGTAGTGATTAAAAATAATAATTTAGAAAATGCTTAAAGTTCTAAATAGTTTTTAAATATAATACACATAACTTGGTTTTTAAATAGGAAAGTTTATATTATTCATAAAGCAACGTTTTTGATAGTTCTTAATATCAGACTTTTTTAGATTGAAAATTTAAAAATAATTTAGAATTTATATTAATATTAGCTAACAGCACAATTAAATGAAATTAAAAGAATTACATAATAAAATAAAGAGCAATTAAAAATTTTTATTTACAAAAGCAATAGAAAAAGCAATTAAAAAGAGAAGAAAAGTAAATACACTTATATCTTCATCAAGTTCTAAAATAGAAAAGGCTATTAGAAGAGGTGGAAATTATTGATTAATAAAAGATAATTGATTTGAAATGAAATGAACTGAACTGAAGAAAATGATTTAAAAGGAAAAAAATAATAAGAAGACTAATAAATAGGTATTAAATAATAATAACAATAATAGTAAAAAGACCATCAAATCAAAAAGGATTGTTTTTAAAATAAACAGTTATATCGTAACGAATACTAAAAAAGGCCAAAATTAAGAAGATAAAAATCAAGAATAGATCTAGTAATAGTAGTTGGTTAATAAAAAGAGATTAATTATATGATCAAAAATTAAACTAGTTGATGGGGGAATTAGATGAAGAAAATAAATCTCGAATTACAATTTAGAAAGAGAATAATAACTATTTTAATTTCTCAAAGTTGAATAAAAGGATGAGGTATTTGAAATAATTTATGATTTCAATGTTAAATTGAATGAATATTCAAATCAGATAAAATAATCTAGTAACATTAAACGAATTTCAGAAGTATAAGATACAAGAAATTTGTAATTAGAAAGTCAACTTCAGAAAAAAATGATTCGATTAAGCTATACTAAAATTATATAAAATGTCTAAATAAGAGCTGGAGAGGAAAATGAATGCTTATTCACTTACTTTAAATTAAAGACTTACAATCAAAATTAGTAATGAATTCTTTATTTCTAGCCAAAATATGAGTTATCTAAATTATCAAAAAATTTTGGAAACCGAAGATTTACTGTAAAAATAAGACAAAGATCTTTAATAATAGATTTAATAATTAGAATAATCGTTATTAAAGTCCTAGTTGACTTAATGAAAATTATATAAATTAATTATTTTGAAAATATGCTGATATTTTTTTCACTATTTTCCCTTTCATTTGGATACTTTATCTACAAACCATTCACAACTGTATAGGTAAATAATGGGTTTTAATTATTAGTCTGGGCCTTGCGATACGTAATCTAATATTTTGTAAATACCAAACAGCCTTCTGGGTCCAGCCTATTCATCATTTACAGTTGCAGGTTGGTTCAAAAAAGATTCATCAACAAGCACCTCTAAAAACCTCCTTTTCTTAATTGGGCCAGATACCAATAATTATGCGTACATTAAGTGAATTATAAAATAGGAATTTTCATCTGGCAGCCACTCTAAATGAATAGTTTAAAGTTCAGAGTTGTTATACGACGAAGGATTGCATGACATTAGAAACTTCTGAGTTAATGATAACTGATGTTGATAACAGATGGATCTATGTTTTGGTTTCAATAAATTTAACTAAAAAACTATTATATTACAAATTAGTAACACATTCAGATACACTACCCAGAATTTACATATATTCTTCAGCCTTGGAACTTAAAACAATTTCAACTTTTACTGATTCAACAGGAATAGTCATTAAAAATAAAGTAGTAAGTCTCTTCAACTTCAATGGATTTTGTGGTAAATATAAAGAATTTACTTATTACGGCAATCTTTATACAGAAACAACTAGATAAGCATATAATTTTGATGTAGAATACATCACTTATTGGATGACATTACTTCCATCAACTACATCGGCATTAAACTCTTTATCATCAAGTTAAGATGTTGGAGATTTAAAGAATGGTGTAACATTTGATACCAAATGGGGTTGGTAATTCTAAAAAGGTCAATATGCTCAATTTAATAATTTGAGAAGTAGTTTTGGGGACAAGTTTATGATATCAGTGAATGTTTACATCATGAATACAAATAGTGAAATGAACTTTATATACAGAGTTGACCAGAATTCGAATCCATTAGTTTAGATAAGATTTATTTCTTCTTCGTCAACCTTCAATGTTTAAGTATAGGTTGGAGGAGTAGTTGGAGAATCTCATGGTTAATTGTCCGCTCCTCTGAACCAATGGATTCCAATATTGATTTCTGTTTATAACAATTTAAATTTTTATCCAGATAACGCTAATCCAGGTATGGCATTATTTGACATTACAACACCTACATTTTAGGAATACGGGAAAAAATCATTTAAAGTTTATAGTGATTCTTTATCAGATCAATATTTTATTGGAGATTATCCAACAACGACTGTTTGGAACAATGATGCTTCTAAATATTTCAAATACGCTAATATTAGAATATTCAAAGGGTATAACTATCAATTTTACAGTTCTCCAGGCACGAAATCATGCGTCATAGAGGTTGGGGAGTTATACCCTATATGCATAGCTTGCAAAGGAACTCCAGATCCATATAACATGTGCAAAGAGGCAGGAACATAAAATAATCCTTCTACTTTAATTTCTTCTGATTTACTCTAATGTCCTTAAGGGCAATATTTCTCCTCGCCATCTTGTTTAGTCATCAATGTTGATAATTGTTTAAGAGGTTCTAATGTTAACACTTGTACGTAATGTGTTGTGGGTTCAACATTAAGTAGTAACAAATGTTCTGCCCTAACAATTGCAACTCATTGTTTGACAGGAACATATGAATGCATTAGTAAATATAGTGGAGATTTCAGTACTATAAATACATCTTCTTCTATAAGTTTAAAATGCAATAGCAAATATTATTTGGATAATTCGCAATGCTTAGCTTGTGATACTAGTTGTAATTCTTGTATTAATGGTACATCGTGTGTAGATTGCCCTGCTAATTAATATTTGCTTAAGGCCACTTAATTATGCAGTTCTACTTGTGATACAATTTATAAAGACACTGATAAGATGAGTTGCATTGACGGCTGCGAAGTATATCAAGTAGTGACTGATGATCTTAAATATTGCAGCATGAAATGCCCGAATGGATATAAATAATATTTGTAAACATGCTTATCATCATGTCCATAAAATACTTTTAATGAAAATGGTATTTGTAAAAGTTGCCATAGTAAATGTTATGAATGTACTGGAAGCTCAAATAAAGAATGCACGAAATGCAATTTTGGCTATTACTTCTTATAGAATATCTGCGAAGACTTTTGTGCTGATGCTAAAAAGTTTGCTAATTAAATAGAAAATGAGTGCACGGACACCTGTTTAGCTCCTGGAGTTTAATACGGAATGTAGTGCTTATATACATGTCCAACAAACCAATTTGAGGATTCTCTCAATAAATGTGTTATGTAATGTCCTGATGGTTATGTTGCTGTGGAGAATGTAATTACAGTAACTTTAAAATTCACTTCATAATCTAAATCTTTTAACGGTTTTGTTTGTCAACAATGTGCTACTGGATGCCTCACATGTGATAATGTTGACTAACCAGGAATAAGTGAAAATTGCATAAAATGTGTTCCAGGTTAGTTTTTAGTTGGTCGAAACTGCGATGTTTCTTGTCCAGTCGACTATCCTTTAGAAGATTCATTAAATTAAAGATGTTTGACAGCATGTCCTCCTTAATTTTATCAATACAACAGTACATGTGTTTTGAAATGTCCAAATGGATCCTATGCCTACGAACAAAAATGCTAAGGCACATGTCCTGATGGAACTTATCCAGAAGTAACTAATAATGGTTGTTTGTTATGTGCTAATGAATGTAATAAATGTAGTGAGGGTGGACCATCTAATTGCATAGATTGTAAAGGTGGTTATTATTTATATGATACAATTTGTGTTCAAATTTGTCCAAGCGATAGAAAATATCACAATACTGTAACATTCATATGTGAATCTACATGTCCAAATTACTACTTAGATGATGGTACTACTTTTGAATGCTACGATTAATGTCCAGCCAATTTTAATGTAGATGGATAAAAATGCACATATTATTGTTCATTAGGAAAATATTTAGACGTAGACACATGCAAAGTCTGTGATCCTAAATGTTCTCGATGTGATGATGGAACAAATTATAATTGTTCCAAATGTTCAGCCAATTACTATCTAGATGGAAGAACTTGCTCATTAACCTGTGACGAAAATCCAACCTATTATAGAAGTGATTACGGTTATGTTTGCGTTGAAAAATGCCCTGGAACTCTTCTTATGGTTGATTCACTTAAGAAATGTGTAGCTGTTTGTCCAAATACTCATTTAAAATATTAAGACCATTGTTTATTACAATGTCCCAAAGGGTACTACCCTGATGTCAACTTAAAATGTTAGATTTGCCCATAAGAATGCATTGAATGTTCTTCAGATACATCTTGCTCAAAATGTGCAGCTAAATATTTCTAATAAGGAACAGAATGTCTAAGAACTTGTAAAAATAATTTTTATCAAAATCTCGTCAATTATCAGTGTGAGGCCACTTGTAGTAAATTGGTGAATAATGATGGTTTAGGCAATTTGTAATGTTTGGATGAATGTCCAAATACTAAAGTTAAACATTAAGGTCAATGTATTTATGATTGTCCTGATGGGTATTATAAGAATGTTGTAGATAAAATATGTTCTAAATGCTCATTAGAATGCAAGACTTGTAATGGTGGAACAAACGAAGATTGCATAGAATGTCAAACTGGCTTTGAAAGAAAGGAAGACTTTTGTATCGGTATTTGTCCAGTCGGAACATTCTTAAATTAAGTATCCTGTGATTCATGCGCATTTAGATGTATCTCATGTCTAGAATCTAAATATAATTGTATTCAATGTAGAGGAGATCGTCAAAATGCCCCTTAATGTTATTGCTAAACTGGATATTATGATGACAGAAAGAGTTTGAATTGCTAAAAGTGCTAACCTCCATGTGTGACTTGCTAATCACAATCGTATTGCTTAACTTGTTCATTCAATCTTGAACCTCCTGATTGCCTTTGTAAACGTCCACCACCTGTTGTATCTGATTATTGTATATCATGCAAATTGTCTTTCGCTGAATCAGTTAGATTTAGTAGTGATTTCACTCAAATTATCGTAATTTTTACATACTCAATCACTACAAACTCAGAGGATGCCTACTTCTTTAGCAAAGAGAATTGTTAACTATGGTTCAAAAATACAAATTTTGGAGAATCTCCTATTTGCTAACAGAATGGAAACAAATACATTATATAATTAGGTAATAACCCTACAATTATGCCTAATGATGTAATTGAATTTAAGGAAAAAGTATTTATCGATAATAGTCTACAACTATGTTAAGATATATATATTGAAAAGTTTAATAATACTCAGTTGGTCTTGTCTACTGCAATTATTCCTAATGTGATACTCTCATATCCAGAAAATGCAATATCCTATTGTATGGATCTTTCCATTGAAGTTATCAAGGAAGTATATAATGGAGGCAGAGCAATGATCTATAATAAATGGACGACTAATAGCACAGAGGAGGCAATCAATTCTGTATTAAGTTCGTATGATGGATCTTCATATATCAAAATACCAGGAGGAACTATGCTGCCAGACTCAGCTTATTATATCACTGTTAATTATTCTAATTTCTTAGGATATAATAAAACTACAACTTTTAAAGTAATGACAAAGTCAACTAACCCATCACTTTTAACTACTTTCGATGAAACTGCTACATATTATGCTAATCTTGAGATAGCAGTCCCCTTTACTATCTATTCCTACTCATGCTCAGGTGGTAATGTTTAGGAACTAACAGAAAGCTATCCAGTTTCCTTATCAATTAAATCCAGCACTTCTGGTACAAGTCAGTATGATTCTTCTATTGCGGCAGATACTGGAGTTGATACGTCCTTCAAAATACCTGAAGGTAAGTTAAAAGCCAGTTAAGAATATTTATTAGATATTTCTGTTGGAGATATAAAACTAAGCAAAAAGTTGAAAATTGGTAGTAATTAGCTCTACTCTGAATTCCTAACATCAGATAGAATAGTTGGAATCAACCAATTTAACCTTACAGTCAATGCTTCAGATAATGATGTTGCTAAAAATCTAAGCAAAATTGGTCTCAGTTACACTTGGAATTGCGTTAATCTATTTTACAATATTCCTTGTAGAACAACACTTAACAAACCTTTAGTTATGGGCAATAATGAAACCTTAAATGTTTCTAATTTACCCTCTGGCTTTGTCTACTAATTTTCTTGTACAATAAAAAAAGAAACTCGTTCAGTCACCCTAAATTAACAGATCATAGTTAGCGATTTGAATATGACTGAATAAATTTTTAATACTGATATCGGAAATAAAGACATTTTAGTTGTCACTGATAACTTACTTTATAATCTAGATGTCTCATCCTATTATTTAGTTATTATTCGATATTTCAAAATAATAAAGATTGAATACATTGAAAAATCAGTTCTTCGACTAAATTTATATCTTTATCTAGGAAATCTGTAGACATAGTAAGACATCAGTGTTATTGTTGGAGGAACTTTAAATCGATATAATTTGAGAGTTAAACCAGCTCTATTCTTGAGCAAATTAAGTGTTTCACCTACTTCAGGTTATTCCCTTTCAACAGAGTTTTCATTAGTTATCGATGATGGAGTAAAAAATGAAACAGATTCTACATAGTACCAAGTTTACATTTATAACAATTTCCAAGATCTAGAATGGGATATCGGTAATTTTTCGAATAACAATGGATATCTATTATTAGATTGGGGAAAAGACAAAACGATACAAAGTATTCTCCCTTCGTGTAAATATCTTCTAGTTAAAGTAAACAAAGATGATTAATTTGGAATGAGTTATGTGGAGGTTACAGTGCATAAAGCAAAAACTGCAGTTAGTGTAAAAAATAATATTGAATTTGTTTATGATTATATAGATTTCAATCAAACCAATCTAGTATTGGATTAAATTGTTATTATGGAACTTTATTTACTAGAAAATATCAAATGCAATTATAATTGTTGGAATCGGGGAGAATGCGTTAATAAAGTATGTGTTTGTGATTAGGATTACTCTACTTTTTCGGATTGTTCTGGCATTTTAAATGATTAAAATGTTTGGGATTAACTTGCCACTAAACTCTACTCAGACTTGTCTTAGGCAGAATAGTCTTAAGTTGTGATGAATTCTCTATCCCTTCTATATTAACTATCATATTTCAAATCTGTATTTGAATTAACAAAAACTGAGTAGTTGTTTTCATAGATAGATACTTTCCTTCAACCTCAAAATACAGATACAGGGATCATTTCATAAACCCTGTAATCTATTAATTATTAAGCAGCCTTTAAAATTTTAAACTTTTTATCATCTCTAAATAAATAATTATTCACTAATGATTCTTATGTAGGTTAAATGCAGACAATTAATTAAAAATTATTTGATAGTTATAATACATTAATTTTATATACAGGAGATATATTATTAGAAGGGGAGACACAAAATTATACTTCCAGTTCTATGTCAATAACGATATAAAAAAAATCTACTCAAAAAAAGAGGCTTTTAGTGACAGAAAATAATTATGTTGATAGCTATTTCGAAACAAATATTCTTAGACTATAAAATAATTTCCCTTACCCAAATCATACTCAATAACTTTATTACAAATCGGAGGGCTAGGTAAGGTAATATACTGAGCTAAAAAAAATAAGACCAAAATAAAAAGTGTTTGATTTCATTTCTGTCGATACTAATTTGGTTTGTATTTTAAGTACAGATGCTAAAACCTTTGATGATACTGGTTGCCAAACTTCATCATAAACTCCTCCTATCACATGCTCTTGTGATGCAGGATACGTAACTTTAGTTGACGATTACTAGTATTATTTTAAACCATTCTATTTCGATCTTAACTTTGTATTAGATCGATTATACATACTTTTTGCCTTTGGTGGATTTTCTCTTCTAATTTTGATCTTCTTGATTATCGGGCATATCAAAGATTCAAAAGATATTGATACTACTATTCCAATTCTTCCAGGATTCAGCAAATAGCCTCCTAACATAAAAAAAGTTTCGGTTTTAAATAGAGTGAGAAGAGCTCAAATAATGCCAAGCGAGGGAGAACCTAATAGCCCATCTGATAGCCCAGAAAAGCCATAACAGGAATTGCAATAAGAATAGCCAGTTAGATAGTTTAATTCTGAAAATCGAATTTCGAATTGCTATTAGGTAAACAATTTATTAGGCGGAATATTTTTGTTTAAGAAAAATTTTGGTCGTAAATAAAGGTTGCTTATGTTAATGAGTAGAGTAAGCATGATTACTGGAATTCTTGGATTTATTGTGAATATGTAGATAATATAGTTAGATAAAATAATATTATTTACAAGTGGAGTAAGTTTGTTGCTTAGAGTATTTAATTTATTATGTGAATATTTAAATAACAGAGGTTAGAGAAAAAAACAATGTATTTACACATTCTTTAGTTACTTAATAACAACGCTATTATTGTTTGTGGGATTTTTAATTTCAACATTATCATACTTTTTAGTTTATGATAGACTTGTAATTTATTGGGGTATAGGGCTTGCTTGTACTTTAGTTGCAGAACTTATTGTGACCGATTTTATATTATAATTGGTGTCATTATTAATAGATTATATTAAGTTTAGAAAATAAATTGAAGAGGATGACGAATATGAAAATGAATACGAACCCATTCATTTAGCGAAAAATCCTGGAGAAAATGAAGATGAAAGTAAATTTGCTTGACATATTATAAAAAAGGAAATATTAACATAGATTATTTCATTATAGTAACATTCTTTTGCAATTGTAAAAATAATAATAAATAATGCTTGAGGTTTTGCAAAACTATAAACTAAACTAAAATACTGTTCATTGCTGCATTTTCTTTATTTCAAGATCAAAAATTTGTCTAATACATCCTTATATTTACTTTTTATTTCTTTAATTCGTTCTTGGAATTTAAATACTGCTAACTTAAGTGATTATATTAAGCTTCTATTTCTGACAATCTTTCTAATTCTTCACAAGCTCTTAAACATTCATCGATTGAATTATACCATTTCTTCTACGTGTATTTTAATTATAACGTTATTTTTTCGACTATTTTTATTAATTATCCGTATCAAAAGCTTAATCATCTTTAGTTCCATTTCTCAAAGAGAAGATGCTTTTATCTTAGTCTTATTGCTAATCTTCAATTAAATCGCCTTTAGTGTGAAGTTAGGGCATGGCTCAGAGCATCTATGGTGTCATAGAACTAAGAAGGAATTAATTTAAATCTATATCTTCTGTCTATTACTCAGCATCGATTTGTTTCATTCGCCCAAAAGGCTTTGGGTTTAAAACTTCATTTTATTAATTTTTTGTATCTAAATTAAAAAATTTTCAGCATTAACAATCCTTGCAATATCGAAGGTCTAACATGATTTTTCATTAATTGAAGGATTCAAATATCTAATTTTTTAAAGTAGTCTCCCTAATTCTCTATAAACCTCTATTTATATATTTTAAGATATCAAAACTAATTTTATATTTAGTCTAATCTTCTAGAAGGGCTGCTTCTATGTGTTTTTACTAAGGATTCAAATAACTCGATAATTGAGTTGAGAGATAAAAGCTGTAATAAAATTAGTTTGATTAATAACTCAAATTTTTCTTTGATTATTTCAATATCTGGAATTTCGAAATAAAGATCTGACAAAAATGGAAATATCAGGAAAAATTTAAATCCATGATTTCTGGATTTTTTATTTAATTCTTATCCTTATCGATTAATCCATCAACCCATATCTTTTCTTTTTTAAGTTTAAAATTTTAGCAGCATCTTAAAATTATCCAGCGATCATATTTTTTGACTTCTCTTCTAGCTGTTGTCATTTAATTATTAATTCCCTTTAATTCATTCATTTTTAGCTAGGTTTATATATAGACTTTATGTAATTAATTAACCCTTTTCTTTATCTATTAATTTATCAGTGGCAAGCATAATAGAATTGTCTTCTTCTAAAAATTTATGAAGAAAAAGATACTAAATTTTTTATTATATTCTGCATTTGCTATTTGTATTTTAAAAGTGTCTTTTATGCTTTAACTTAAGAGCTTATCATTTGAGCTAATTTGTTTCTTAATGTTAGTTTTCATTTTCTAATTTATTTTGCAATGATTAAATTATATCGATTATATTTTTAAAAGTTTGATTTTTGAATTGATTTGTAGCTTTAGGAGGAGACTTCAATTATTCAATATCTTTATCTTTTAATTCTAATTTAAAGTCAACTCAACTATTTGTTATCTGAGATTTTCGTTAGCCTCCTTAAAGAAGTCATAAAGATAAAAAAACATTTTTTATAATTAATAAATAAAAAGAAGTAATTGAATTTAATTATAATGAAAATATCTTAAAACTTCACATGAAATCATCATTTCATAAATTAGAGCATTCTAAAATTTAAGAAAAATAATACTTTTACAATTATTCTATTTAAATAGTGATTCCAACTTCGTATTTTTATTATATAGTTCTTGGATTCTTCGATTTAAATGACATATTCCATCGCCATACTCTTATACCATGCTTTATAAATAAGTAACTTAATGTTGGAGATATATTATTTAATTTTAACTTTCATCTTAAATACTAATGATACTGGAAGACGAGCTTGTATTTTCAAAACTTTAATCTTGTTATTTTTGATGTAATAGTTTAATTACTTTATTTGATGCTTTTGTCAGTTAAGACAATTATAGATTTTCTTCAATATCATCTTAATTCTACTTCAATAATGATTCAATAAGTGTTTAAAATTAAACAATTTTTTCATTAAATTTTTGTTCTAATGTATCATATTTTGTTAATAATGTTTCATATTATTATTTTAATTACAAATTTTCAAAAGATAGGATATCATTCTCTTTTTAGAAAGAGGAAATATAATGTGGCTGTTCAATTTATTATGGTTCGATCTCAATTGCCAAATTTTCTGAATTTGAGGATGTTAATTCTTCAATAATAGCTTTTTATTTATTCAATCTATCACTTAACGATTCAATTTCCTTATTCTTCTTATTTATTAAGCTCATTGCTCTGAACAATTTTCCAAATAATATGTCTTTTTGCTTCTTCAGTTGTGCAATTTCTGGAATTTATTAGCTTTCCTAATTTATTTCTATTTCTTCTGCTTATCCAACGTCCTCTCCTTTTTCTTCTAAAACTGGAGCATTGTTTGAATTACTTAATTCATCTAAAATTGCCTTCTATTTATGTAATCTTTCCTTCAACTCCTCAATTTCCTTATTCTTTTTGTTGAATTAACTCATCACTCTGAATAATTTGCCCAGCAATTTGTTATTCTGACCTCTGAGCTTTTTTTACCCTTCTCCATCGTCTTGTGATGCTGGTGCTGATTCTACTTATTGTTCAGAATTTTCTTTCACTTCAACATTTACTACTTGTTCTTCATTCTTCTTGATTTGCTCTCTCAATTCCTCATTTATGGCTTTTTGTTTTGCTAACTTTTGATTAAGTGATTCAACCAAACTATTTTTACTCTTTATACAATTTAAAGCTCTAAATAATTTGGCTAACCATCTATTATTCTAATTCGTTTATTTTTTCAAATCTTATTTGAGATGGTCATTTTCCTCTTATAACTCTTTCATTTCTTAATTATTTTGAACAATTTCTTGTTCAGGCTCATTTTTCTGTTAGGATTAGGAACTTACTTCTGTTTCGTCACTTGAATTTTGCAATAATAATTCATCATTTATTGCTTTCTATTTCAACAACCTCTGTGATAACTATTCGATTTCTTTATTCTTTCTCTCAAACTAAATCATTACTTTGAAAAGCTTTCCCATTTATTTGTTCTTTTGTCTAATTAATCTTTAAATTTCTTCATCTTTACTTGAAAGATCAATTCCTTATTATTCCAAAGTAGACTCTTTTGGAGCATCTTGTTCTTGGTTCAGGATCACATTATTTTGAAGTTGCTATTACAAATTTTCAACTATATGTTATTATTCAACAACCAATTACTTTGATTTAATCAATCTGTTCTTGAGTTCCTCAATTTCTTGCTATTATTTGGCTAATTTAATCACAACTTTAAATTATTAAGCTAGCAACTTATGATTTTTGTCTTTCAATTTTTTTAATGAGTCATCATTGAGTGCATATTCAGAAATTATCGATTTCAATTTTACTATTCTTTGATTTAATTCATCAATAATCTTATCCTTTTAATTTAATTTGAACAACAAACTGAATATTTTGGCATAAGATTTGTTAATTGAATGTTTAATCTTATTAAAGTTTTCTGGATTTATCACTTGCTCTTATACAACTATCTCTTTTGATTCACTTTCAGGTTATGCTTAGATAGTATTAACTATTTAATTCTATAATTCATCATTTATTGCTTTTTGCTTATGAAGGCGTTCTGATAAGGATTCAATCACTTTATCTTTTTGACTTAACTTGATCATTATCCTAAACATCTTGGAAGTCAATTTAACATTTCTATTTTTTAATTGCTATTAATCAGCCTCTAAGCGTTAAATTATATCCGTTTGCCCAGTGATCTCATTTTGATCAGATTATTTCATTTCAGAAACTATTACTTCTTCCTTTTCAGGAACTTTATTGAGTAAACTCTCTACAATTGCTTTGCTTTTTTATAATCGCTCTTACAACTCTTCATTCTGTTTCTACTTCACATTCAAATCACTTATTACTCTAAAGAGTTTGCCCCAAAGCTTATGAATCTTATCTCTTTATTATTAAGCATTATCGTTTTGAGATAATTCTTCAATTATAGCTTTTTATTTTAGTAATCTCGAGTTCAATTCATCTATTTAGTTATTTTTTTTAGAAATCAAAAACATAGCTCTGAATAATTTACTCAAAGATTTATCATTAGTAGTTTTCAATTTGTTGATTTGTTCAGTATTGATCAGTTCTAAGTTACCATTATCTTCAATTAAATTGTTAGGAGCACTCTGAAGTTCAATTTATTATGGTTCGATCTCAATTGCCAAATTTTCTGAATTTGAGGATGTTAATTCTTCAATAATAGCTTTTTATTTATTCAATCTATCACTTAACGATTCAATTTCCTTATTCTTCTTATTTATTAAGCTCATTGCTCTGAACAATTTTCCAAATAATATGTCTTTTTGCTTCTTCAGTTGTGCAATTTCTGGAATTTATTAGCTTTCCTAATTTATTTCTATTTCTTCTGCTTATCCAACGTCCTCTCCTTTTTCTTCTAAAACTGGAGCATTGTTTGAATTACTTAATTCATCTAAAATTGCCTTCTATTTATGTAATCTTTCCTTCAACTCCTCAATTTCCTTATTCTTTTTGTTGAATTAACTCATCACTCTGAATAATTTGCCCAGCAATTTGTTATTCTGACCTCTGAGCTTTTTTTACCCTTCTCCATCGTCTTGTGATGCTGGTGCTGATTCTACTTATTGTTCAGAATTTTCTTTCACTTCAACATTTACTACTTGTTCTTCATTCTTCTTGATTTGCTCTCTCAATTCCTCATTTATGGCTTTTTGTTTTGCTAACTTTTGATTAAGTGATTCAACCAAACTATTTTTACTCTTTATACAATTTAAAGCTCTAAATAATTTGGCTAACCATCTATTATTCTAATTCGTTTATTTTTTCAAATCTTATTTGAGATGGTCATTTTCCTCTTATAACTCTTTCATTTCTTAATTATTTTGAACAATTTCTTGTTCAGGCTCATTTTTCTGTTAGGATTAGGAACTTACTTCTGTTTCGTCACTTGAATTTTGCAATAATAATTCATCATTTATTGCTTTCTATTTCAACAACCTCTGTGATAACTATTCGATTTCTTTATTCTTTCTCTCAAACTAAATCATTACTTTGAAAAGCTTTCCCATTTATTTGTTCTTTTGTCTAATTAATCTTTAAATTTCTTCATCTTTACTTGAAAGATCAATTCCTTATTATTCCAAAGTAGACTCTTTTGGAGCATCTTGTTCTTGGTTCAGGATCACATTATTTTGAAGTTGCTATTACAAATTTTCAACTATATGTTATTATTCAACAACCAATTACTTTGATTTAATCAATCTGTTCTTGAGTTCCTCAATTTCTTGCTATTATTTGGCTAATTTAATCACAACTTTAAATTATTAAGCTAGCAACTTATGATTTTTGTCTTTCAATTTTTTTAATGAGTCATCATTGAGTGCATATTCAGAAATTATCGATTTCAATTTTACTATTCTTTGATTTAATTCATCAATAATCTTATCCTTTTAATTTAATTTGAACAACAAACTGAATATTTTGGCATAAGATTTGTTAATTGAATGTTTAATCTTATTAAAGTTTTCTGGATTTATCACTTGCTCTTATACAACTATCTCTTTTGATTCACTTTCAGGTTATGCTTAGATAGTATTAACTATTTAATTCTATAATTCATCATTTATTGCTTTTTGCTTATGAAGGCGTTCTGATAAGGATTCAATCACTTTATCTTTTTGACTTAACTTGATCATTATCCTAAACATCTTGGAAGTCAATTTAACATTTCTATTTTTTAATTGCTATTAATCAGCCTCTAAGCGTTAAATTATATCCGTTTGCCCAGTGATCTCATTTTGATCAGATTATTTCATTTCAGAAACTATTACTTCTTCCTTTTCAGGAACTTTATTGAGTAAACTCTCTACAATTGCTTTGCTTTTTTATAATCGCTCTTACAACTCTTCATTCTGTTTCTACTTCACATTCAAATCACTTATTACTCTAAAGAGTTTGCCCCAAAGCTTATGAATCTTATCTCTTTATTATTAAGCATTATCGTTTTGAGATAATTCTTCAATTATAGCTTTTTATTTTAGTAATCTCGAGTTCAATTCATCTATTTAGTTATTTTTTTTAGAAATCAAAAACATAGCTCTGAATAATTTACTCAAAGATTTATCATTAGTAGTTTTCAATTTGTTGATTTGTTCAGTATTGATCAGTTCTAAGTTACCATTATCTTCAATTAAATTGTTAGGAGCACTCTGAAGTTCAATTTATTATGGTTCGATCTCAATTGCCAAATTTTCTGAATTTGAGGATGTTAATTCTTCAATAATAGCTTTTTATTTATTCAATCTATCACTTAACGATTCAATTTCCTTATTCTTCTTATTTATTAAGCTCATTGCTCTGAACAATTTTCCAAATAATATGTCTTTTTGCTTCTTCAGTTGTGCAATTTCTGGAATTTATTAGCTTTCCTAATTTATTTCTATTTCTTCTGCTTATCCAACGTCCTCTCCTTTTTCTTCTAAAACTGGAGCATTGTTTGAATTACTTAATTCATCTAAAATTGCCTTCTATTTATGTAATCTTTCCTTCAACTCCTCAATTTCCTTATTCTTTTTGTTGAATTAACTCATCACTCTGAATAATTTGCCCAGCAATTTGTTATTCTGACCTCTGAGCTTTTTTTACCCTTCTCCATCGTCTTGTGATGCTGGTGCTGATTCTACTTATTGTTCAGAATTTTCTTTCACTTCAACATTTACTACTTGTTCTTCATTCTTCTTGATTTGCTCTCTCAATTCCTCATTTATGGCTTTTTGTTTTGCTAACTTTTGATTAAGTGATTCAACCAAACTATTTTTACTCTTTATACAATTTAAAGCTCTAAATAATTTGGCTAACCATCTATTATTCTAATTCGTTTATTTTTTCAAATCTTATTTGAGATGGTCATTTTCCTCTTATAACTCTTTCATTTCTTAATTATTTTGAACAATTTCTTGTTCAGGCTCATTTTTCTGTTAGGATTAGGAACTTACTTCTGTTTCGTCACTTGAATTTTGCAATAATAATTCATCATTTATTGCTTTCTATTTCAACAACCTCTGTGATAACTATTCGATTTCTTTATTCTTTCTCTCAAACTAAATCATTACTTTGAAAAGCTTTCCCATTTATTTGTTCTTTTGTCTAATTAATCTTTAAATTTCTTCATCTTTACTTGAAAGATCAATTCCTTATTATTCCAAAGTAGACTCTTTTGGAGCATCTTGTTCTTGGTTCAGGATCACATTATTTTGAAGTTGCTATTACAAATTTTCAACTATATGTTATTATTCAACAACCAATTACTTTGATTTAATCAATCTGTTCTTGAGTTCCTCAATTTCTTGCTATTATTTGGCTAATTTAATCACAACTTTAAATTATTAAGCTAGCAACTTATGATTTTTGTCTTTCAATTTTTTTAATGAGTCATCATTGAGTGCATATTCAGAAATTATCGATTTCAATTTTACTATTCTTTGATTTAATTCATCAATAATCTTATCCTTTTAATTTAATTTGAACAACAAACTGAATATTTTGGCATAAGATTTGTTAATTGAATGTTTAATCTTATTAAAGTTTTCTGGATTTATCACTTGCTCTTATACAACTATCTCTTTTGATTCACTTTCAGGTTATGCTTAGATAGTATTAACTATTTAATTCTATAATTCATCATTTATTGCTTTTTGCTTATGAAGGCGTTCTGATAAGGATTCAATCACTTTATCTTTTTGACTTAACTTGATCATTATCCTAAACATCTTGGAAGTCAATTTAACATTTCTATTTTTTAATTGCTATTAATCAGCCTCTAAGCGTTAAATTATATCCGTTTGCCCAGTGATCTCATTTTGATCAGATTATTTCATTTCAGAAACTATTACTTCTTCCTTTTCAGGAACTTTATTGAGTAAACTCTCTACAATTGCTTTGCTTTTTTATAATCGCTCTTACAACTCTTCATTCTGTTTCTACTTCACATTCAAATCACTTATTACTCTAAAGAGTTTGCCCCAAAGCTTATGAATCTTATCTCTTTATTATTAAGCATTATCGTTTTGAGATAATTCTTCAATTATAGCTTTTTATTTTAGTAATCTCGAGTTCAATTCATCTATTTAGTTATTTTTTTTAGAAATCAAAAACATAGCTCTGAATAATTTACTCAAAGATTTATCATTAGTAGTTTTCAATTTGTTGATTTGTTCAGTATTGATCAGTTCTAAGTTACCATTATCTTCAATTAAATTGTTAGGAGCACTCTGAAGTTCAATTTATTATGGTTCGATCTCAATTGCCAAATTTTCTGAATTTGAGGATGTTAATTCTTCAATAATAGCTTTTTATTTATTCAATCTATCACTTAACGATTCAATTTCCTTATTCTTCTTATTTATTAAGCTCATTGCTCTGAACAATTTTCCAAATAATATGTCTTTTTGCTTCTTCAGTTGTGCAATTTCTGGAATTTATTAGCTTTCCTAATTTATTTCTATTTCTTCTGCTTATCCAACGTCCTCTCCTTTTTCTTCTAAAACTGGAGCATTGTTTGAATTACTTAATTCATCTAAAATTGCCTTCTATTTATGTAATCTTTCCTTCAACTCCTCAATTTCCTTATTCTTTTTGTTGAATTAACTCATCACTCTGAATAATTTGCCCAGCAATTTGTTATTCTGACCTCTGAGCTTTTTTTAACCTTCTCCATCGTCTTGCTCTTCTGTTATTTCTTATTCATTTTCACCTTTAATGATTAGGGCTTCATTAATTGATTTAATTTTAGTAATTCTTTCTGTTAAATTTTCGATTTATTAATCTTTTTATTTTTATTTTATAATTATTCTAAATAGTTTTCCTAAAATTTTCAAATTTTGCATTTTCAGATTTTTTAATTAATTAGACTCAAATAGGTTTGCATCATTCGATTTTTCTTATTGTTATTTTATATTTGATATATTATAATCCTCTTATTTCTTTTATTGTAAAGCTATTAACAAATCATTTATGATTGCTTATTATTTTTATAATTTTTATTAATAGATCAGATTATTTTTTTCTGATTTTAAGAGTTTACATATTACAAAAAATAAATTTCCAACATTCCTATTTATTTATTTTTTAAGATGAATATTTTTGATATTTTACTGGTCTAGTGTTTCATATAATTATTGTATTAAATTACAATTTTTATCCTCCTTAGTTTAATAGATATTTATTTAATCCACTAATTCAAAATTTTACTGATCTAATTTTCTGTTTAAGTTTTCTAAACTTTATATTTAGTTTATTAAGGTATCATTTTCTTAGTTTAAATTATTATTTATTACTTGCTCTGACTTTATTTAATCTTCTAAATTTTCTATATTTCTTTTTTAATTGCCATATTCTGTTTATAAATTTATATAGGATTCATTGAGTCTTTGATAATCATCATTTAAATTATTAAATTTCTTAAACCAATCATCATCTTGTTATTAAGAACTTTGCAGATTGGCTATTTCATTCTCAAGATTGAGATTTATTTAAAGAGGTTTTTCTGCTAATTTTTCTAATAAATTTATGTTTTCATTCTTTAAATCATTTATCCTTATCTCTTGATTGTTGATCAATTATTTCATTTGATCTATCGAATGAATTAAACAGTTCTTTTCATTTTCAAGTACTTCTATATTTTCTTTTTGGATTGATACACAAGCTTATAGTGAATTTAAAGATTCATCATCAATTTTTTTTTATCTTTCCATTTCATCTTTCTCTTCAAATATAATTTCCAATTTTGCTTTAGCAACTAAGGAAAATAGTAATTAAATACTTGCATAATTATGAACACAATTATCCCTTTCAATTCTAAGTTATGAATTATTCGTTTTTTGAATTTCAATTTATTATTGCTATGAGTCTATCATTTCTTAATATTCATTTATTTCATCTTAAAGTTCATTAATCTAATTCCGTAAATTTTATATTTCACTATATCTATGAATAATAATATTATAATACAATTATTCTTAACTGGATGATATATCTTTTTATTTTACAGCCTTTATTTCAGTGTTATTTAATCTTTCTTGCTAAAGCTTTCTTTAAAGCTTTCTAATTTCATTTACTAGTACGCTATTTTACAGTTCTAGCTTTTTTGTTAATTGTTCTTTTTAATCTATTTCTTACCAAGCTTATCTTAAGTCAGAAGTCACCTAATTATTTTCACTTTTCAAGCATTCGATTTCTTATTACATTTGCTCTCCTTTTTCATTCCAAATTTATTAAAGAGCTGACCTATCTGGCTATTTACCTCTTTCTGTTTAGATTTGTCTATCTAAATCACTTTTGTTGCTGTGGAAGGAAGTTCTTCCAAATCCACTTCCTTCCACTTTTTTTAAGCCTTCTTCAAATTATTTTTTATATTTGTCCCTCTCTTATTATAACTAATCAACTTTCTAAGTCAATTTTTGTGCAAATTCTTTATTCAATTTAGATTCCTTAAAAGATCTCTCGAGTGTTAACTAATGCTCTACATCAAGAAGTGTTTTAACTTTTTAGAGCTGAGTATCTATTTGCTATTTATAGTGAAGAAATTTGCTACTTTAACTCCGATAGGAACAGATGATGAGTTAACTTATTGGATACTTTTCATTACGAAAAAAATAAATAATATTAAAATGGCAGAAAATGAATAGAAAAGTAATATCAAACCGGCAATGCTTAACATGAAAAATTTTCAAATTGCTGTGGGAGCCACGTTAATTCTTCAACCTTTAGAAGTTTTACAGACATCAATGATAGCAACTGGCTATTCAAAACAAAATATTAATTTTAAAGGTTTATCTCTAATTGCCTCCTAAATTTATTCTCAAGAAGGAATAAAGGGCTTTTATAGAGGGACTATTGTATCAATTGCAAAGAATACAGTATCTTTTTCATTTTTTTTCTCGGGTATTGAGAAATATAGGTAATTATTGAAAATTATAAAGAGCCCACCTGCTCATTATCCTGTCTACCTTTAAAGTCTTTTAAATTTAATGATTGCCTCTTCAAGCAAATTAGTTGGCACAGTAGCTTCAACACCATTGGCTGTAATGAGAACGAAAATGTAAATTGTTGGTAACAATGAATACAGCAAAATTGATAAATGCTTCATCAAAATAGCAAGGGAAGAAGGCTTCTTTGGATTTTATAGAGTATATATTATTTTATATATTAAGGGGGTCATCGCTGCGATTTTAAAAGATGTACCTTTTTCTGGAATTTAATATACAATTTATCGGAATTTATTAAATTTGAGTGGTTTATTTACAAAAGGTTAGGATCCAAAAAAAAACTCAGCTTTAGTAGCAATTTGCGGTTCAAGTGCAGCAATGTTAGCAATTATGGTTACATATCCATTTGATAACTTAAGAATACGATAGTAGGCATAAAATAAGAGTGTAAGTATTTTAAATATGATAGAGTAATTTACTTCTTTTAGCAAAGACAGTAAAAATGACTGAAGGTCTTAAAGGATTTTATTAAGGATATTTACCTAGACTTATTAAAAAATGTATTTAAAGTGGAGTTCTGTGGATGGTATACGAAAAATTAGCATTGAAACAGAAAAAAAAAAACATGGAGCAATGAAATGAAAAAAAATTATAATAATTAATTAGCAAATATATCTCATATTTGAGAATACTAAACAAATAATTCTGTAATCTTGCTTTTAATGGTTTAAAAAAAAATTCCATATTAAATTTAAAATTAATTTGCATGTTGTGTCTTTTTTGAAGAAAATTTTCTAAGCCAACTAGTTGGTTTGATTTTGGTGATTTAAGCTAATTTATTTTAAATCACAATCTCAAAGAAGATGTTTTAGTTCCTAGTTAAATATTAATCATTAAAAGAAGAAAAAAATGGAAAAAATTTTTGAAAGATATCTGATTTTTTTTAAAATTTCCATCGAAAATTTATTTAGCTTTCTCTTTTCTCTAATGTTATTTTCAAATTAGAAAAAGAGAAAATACATTTTATTAATTATTAATCATAAGAATAGTTATAAATTTTATATAATAATTTGCTTAATATCTTGAAATTCAAGAAAGCCAAATAGATTAAACCTTTTTTCATATATTACTCCTCGAATTAATGATTCTCTCATTGTAAAATTTTACATTAGACAATTGTACATTGGCTAATAAACTTAGAACAAAATTTAGACAACTTTAAACCATTTAAGAATCTGCCAGTTCCTTTGAAACAGGAACGGATAAAATTTGTAAGTCATGAAAAAAATAAATTGTGAAACGAGGGTAATAAAGATTAAAATGAATCTCCTAGATCGCAAACATGTTCAGTACCTCAGAAAAAGAGGAATAGATATTTTTCAAGTTAAGAAACAAATAATTGAGAAAAAAGGTTTAAAACTGTTTTGCTTTCTATAAGCTATATCTTACTTAGAATTAGAAAGAAAAAAACTAAAGAATAATTTCTTTCATCAAGAAAAATATATCAAAGCCAAAAAAAATAATTCATAACTAAATTATTTTAAATATGGTTCATCCATTATATTGATCCGTTAAATAAATTTATAACTTTAAGATGTCATCTTGTTTTTATGTCTTTAAGCTTAATTGTAGTGATACCCTTTTTTGGAGCTTTGATTAATAGTACCCTATTCTGAAAATTTAAGTAATGTGCTCACTATTTGGCAATTAATAATTTTAAACAAGTTTACTCAAATTATTAGAACATATTAAATATGTATTTCAAAAGTGCATTTAAGAAAACTTGTTCAATATTAAGTTGGTTTTGCTAAAAGCAAACAAATTTTAATTTGCAACAAATAGTAAATGATAGTTTAAATTGGTTTAGACTGTAATTACCTACTTGAGTCGTCTAATAAATCTATTAACATAAAGTCTTTATGATTTCTAAAGCTAATAAATTAATTAATAAACATGAAATAAATGAGAGAGAATTTCCATATTAAAATAAGAGCTGAGTAAAGGCAGAAAGAATTTGCAAAAAGAAGAATTATCAAATTATAAGCCACTCCATAATACTTCAGATAAGCAGTTCTTGAAAATCCGATTAGCGAATTGCTTAAAGAAATAGATCAGCCAGATTATTTGTAGTTCATCTCTTTTTTAAGTTCAGTTGAAGATTATTAATGCAATAAGTACATGGTAGATTAAGGGGTTCTGACAGTGGCATTTGAAAAAACAATTCAGCTTATGAATAATTACACATAGACTTCAACTTAGGAAGTAAGCTTAAATTATGTAATTTAAATTTGAGTGAAAATTTAGTTACTTTCCATAATTGGAAATTTAATTGATTTTATTAATTTCCCTGATGATAAACTTAGATTTATAATTTAAAGAGCCATTGAAATCTGCAATTATTCAATGTCAGAGTTCAAAATTACGATTGTTTGGCTGATTGATGAATTCCTAAAGAAAGAACAACTTTAAGAAGACTTTTTAGACTCAGTAACAAACTTTTTGTTCAACAACATGGGTCGAAAAGACATTGCCTCTGCTATCTTTGATACTATCTTAAATTTACAATCTAGCTAACCTGTTCATTTATAACAAAATCATTTAGATGAATTATGTAAACATTTTAGAGACAACGATAACCAAATAGTTCAAAAGAGTCTATTCATTTTAGTCAATTATTTAGAGATTAAGCATAAAATAGATTTAGATGAGGAAATCATAATTTAATTAAATGAGATATTTAGGTATAAAGACTATTTAGGATTATTGAAGCTAAGTAATATATTGTATCCTAGAATCTAACTTGAACCTAAGTTAATCCTTCAGCGCATGGAAGTTTGTGCTTTCGGACTTAAATTACAAGAGTATTTCAGCTTGATAAATAAGTTGATCAAAGATGAAATATTATGTTCTGATGAATACTTGAAATCTTTATAAAATATAGAAATGGAGAATTAGTGTGAAAATAATAAATCTATGATTTTATAATAAATAACTTAATATCAGGATTGATCATTATTATTATGATTAAACTCCAAGAAGCCATTCTTAAACATATTTGCTTGAAGTTGATAAAATTGAATTATGTTTCAGTTCAATTTAGGCATTTAAGAACTTTACTAAATGTAAGGCTCTGATTATTAATTATTGTTTCGATCTCACTGTGTTTGCAATTAGAATGATATTATAGAATATTTATTAAACATAATTTTCATCTGAAAAATCCTGATGTTCTCTATGAATCTGAATTATCTAATTGAGATTTTAAATATCATATCATTTTTATAAATTATTTCTCAAAAAAAAAAATTAAGGAACATTGAATTGAAACAAAAACTAGTATAATTTAATCTTATGGTTAATGAATTTTAATTATAGGAAATTTTCATTTAACTTTTTTTATGTAATATTTTATTAATAATATAAAACGGAATGCTTTATATATTAGCCTTAATGTAGTTGTTTTTTTTAGCAATTACTTAGGATCCTGTCGATAAATTGTTTGAGTTTCAGTAACTCATGAAACAAAAAACTAAAGTTCCAAGTAAACGTTTTTGAATATTGCTTAGAATAAACTATTGTTGAATATGATAGTTCAGATATATTTAGTGAAGGCTATATCACAGTAAGTGAATAATCAGAAGATGATGAATATTAACAATATGATGAGGTTTCACAATACGATGAGGTGGATGAATCTGATGATTAATCAGACAATGATGAGGAGATGATTATTTAATAATAAAAGGAATAAGAGAAGATTGAATAACTGAAAATAGAGTAACAGAGGGCTGAATAATAAAGATTAGAATAATTGAAATTGGAATAATAAAGGTAAGAATAGTTGAGATTAGAATAATAATTTATGGAGTAACAGAGATTAGAAAAGTTGAAGCTTGAATAACAATAACAATTATAAATGTTAGATAATGAAAAGAAAAGAAAGTAAATAATTGAAATCCCCGATGATTGGAATGATGCTGATGATTAGATGATATAGGTCCCTAAACAATAAAAGAAGAAAAAACAAAAGAAATAAGATTTAGAAGATGAAGAATTATTAGAAGTTTTAAATTCTACTAAAAAGACAAAGGTTCAATCTCTTGGAGATTTGGAAGAGATGGAAAAAAAAATAATAAAAAAGAAAAAAAGGAGAGAGCCAGTCCCAGAGGAAGAATTTGTTTAGAAGGTACCAGCTTAAAACTAAACCTTCATTCATTTTAATAATAAAAATAATTATTTAGAATTAGCCCCTTGTAGCAATAACCCTATTTAATAAAGAGCATGTAGCTTATGTAAAAGCGAGGTTGGATACCAATTAGACGATGATAATTGGTATATGATTGGTTTATAACATGGCTACAAGAAGGAGTTTCTTTTATTGATTGAAATTACTAAACAATCCTTTGGAGATAGCCAGCTGTATTTGAGTTTCTCATCCAATGGATCTGCATGTATGACAAGCGAAACTCTCAAATAAGATATAGATGTTGAAAATGTATTATAAAGGTTTTCAGGTAAATCATGGAGACACTTTATTAAAAATGAATTGTTTGCTCTTCCGTAAAAGTTGGAAGGCAGAAGTTTTCAATTCAAAGCAATATATTAAAACAAGCAATTTACATTTTCAGATTTTGAAATTAAATTTGCATCCAATCTAGTTTAAGAATTAAAGTCTTTGTCTAAATAAGAGGTTTCTATTAGAACCAACACAGTTGAATTCATTGGAGAATCAGTAAACAATATTATTAATTAAATAGTTATAATGCACATTAACAGGATTGATGAAATAACAAAATGATGAGTTGCCATTCTCTTTGAAATTTAAGAATGGTGAGAGTATATCAGAACTTCTAATCCCAAATTGTTAGATTCCATTACACAATGAAATATTGTATGGAGTTTCAGATTTGTATTTCGGAGAGTACTTTAAGGAGACTTTGCAATAGAAATTGAAAGGAAACTTTAGAGGAGACTTTAATGCCACGACTTCATTTGAGAATGGAAAATTGAAAGTGAGATTGGCAATGAAGAAATTTAATAAATGATTAATGCATCTATATATCACTCATGTTTTTATTTTGGTTTTTCCAGCAGACCCAATTAATTGAGTTATAACACTAGTTTGTCAAATATTATTATTGCACCTAAAATATATATACACGTAAATACCTCTGGTTTTAGGATAATACATCCAAATAAGACTCATGTTTTTGATAGGGAAATACAATTACAATAGGTCATGGAATGCAAACCACATCACTCTGTCTAGCAAAAACATGAGTAGGTAAATCACCCAATAGGAAAGCCACATTTTAGATTTTGCATCATCCTTTTATTTCACACATTAAACACTCATGTATGCAGGGTATAGAATACCAATCAATATTTTGACTAACAAATTTCCTGCTCCAAATATTGTGAGTGTAAAGGCAACAAAAATTATACCTAAGACTAATTATCCAGGATTGACATTAAATTTTTGAGCAATTTGTTAAAGTGGAGCTACATCGCTAAAATCATCCGAAATTCTCTTAAATATCTCATCTAAATTTTCTAATTGAGGCTCTTTCTCTGGTCTTTTAGGTCCTAAAGGTGGTGCTGGTTTATTTTCAATACTAGGATCTATTTATTGCACTTTTTCCTCAGACATAAATTTAGATATTTAATTTAACAATATTATACCAGATTATTTCATTCAAACCATAAAGTAGATTAGAATCTGTTATTTGAAATTATATATAAACTAAAAATCAAGTCTTTTTCTTCTATTATGCTTTTTATTATAATTATTGAAGTTGTTATTACAAGAATTATTGCTATTGATAAAACTTGTTATCCACATTTTGTGTTTATTATTAAAATGTATTATACATTTAGGAAACAAAATTGCTTGCACTTTTTTAACTAGTCAATTTCTATTGTTATTGAATTCCAGCTTAACTTTAAGATTTCTTCAATTATTGTGATTAAATTTATTGCTATTTAATTATATTTTGTATCTCTTCAATATTAGATTTCTGCTATTATTATTATTACTAAGTTTAATGCTATATCGAACTTCCATTAACATTTTCAAAGCCTTATTATGATTTTACTGAAGTAATCATTTCAGATTGCTCCTAATGAAGCCTTACAATAAATTTATAACATAATACCCATTAATAAGCTCATCAGGATTCATTCCTAATTATTGCAAGTATTTTGCCTACCACTTTTTTCTTTACTCTTTTTTTCTACGATTTATATCATTATACAAGGCCTCTCTGTATTCCTTTATAGAAAATTTCTTATTGTCATTCATAGGTATTCTAATGGGCTCAGAACATTCAATTTCCTCATCGGGTGAAGAGAATTCTTTCAAATACTTATGTTTGATAGCTTAATTAACTGTAAGTCGCATCTTTGGATTGAATTGCAAAAGTCTAAATTATAAATAGAAATGATAGTGAAACCTTCTTAATAAGTCTAGGCAATCTTCTTGAGCTCCTGAAAAAAATTATTAGAAGGATCTTCTTTTTTGAATTGACACTGAAGCCAGAATATTAACTGCTAAAGGCGATTCAAGGGATTCAATGTCTGCATCGTTTGGTTTACCTAATAACTCAATAATTCTCTCAATTTAATTTAGTGTAGATGTTCCTGGAAAGATTGCCTTACCTATGATCAATTCACCCAAAATGCAACCGACGCTCCACATGTCTACAGCTTTGGTGTAATTGGTTGATCCAAGTAAAATTTCAGGGGCTCTGTACCATCTGGTAGCAACATATTCTGTCAAAACTGGTGGAGCTAAACGTTAAATTTAAAAATCATCGTACAACTGTCGTCTTCAGTGATCGCTATGCTTCTGGCTAAACCAAAATCTGCCAATTTCATGTGACATTCAGAATTTAGTAAAATGTTGGAAGGCTTCAAGTCTCTATGAATAAGTTCTCCTGAATGTATGTATTTAAGTGCTTTCAAAATTTAATAAACAACATATTTTTTATGAACTTCTTCTAGTATTCCTGCTCTCTATTAAATTAAATATCACTTTTACAATCACTGCATGCAAATCTGTTTCCATATAATCAAATACCAAGTAAATGTCCTTATTGTTTTCTGCTTTAATGATATTCAACAGCCTCACTATGTTTTCATGTCCATTCAACTCCTACAAAAACATTATTTCTCTAAATGTTCTCTGAGCATCTGTAGCATTATGGAAGGCGTCAAATACTTTTTTTAAAGCAACAACCTAAACTTTATTTTTGAATTCTTACTGTCTTTAACTTCTTATCTACAGCCTTCCAAACTATTCCATAAGCACCCTTACCTAATTTTTGAATGATTTCGAATTTTCTAGCAATATGAGGTTCAATTTCTTCAGTCATTTAATTTATATTTAATGTGTACTCATCTAAATTTTTCTTACAACAACAATGTAATGATGTATTTGAAATTACGAGAAGAGGGATGTGAAAAGGATACTGCCAGGAAATTTTGTCGCAAATAGTTTTGCAAAGTAGGCTAAAATTATATTAGATCGATCAAACACAATAAAATATTGGACCTCCAGGACATAAAATACTTAAAATACAACCAGATCGATTGCTTGGTCAAAAAGGATGGTAACCAGGTTTTCTGATGAAATTTGATTTGGGTGTTGGTTATAAAGAATCTGCTGGTAATATACATATTTGATACAGATCTCAATGAAAAATTTACTCCAGCTGAATTAGCCATACTAAAACAATACAAATAATACGAAAAGAAAAAGAACGCTACACTTCTACAAAAAATGCTTGCAGTTAAAAGTTATGCTGACTCACTCAGACCTCCAAAATTAGATGTCTTTAGTAAAAGTTACTTGCAAAGAGTTAAATAAATTTCTTAAGAATTAAGAGAAGGCTAAGCAAAACCAAAAAAATATTTTGAATTTGGAGATATGAAGTTTTATGCTCTTGTTGACTATATTAATAGATTTGGTTAGAATAAGGATTCAATAAATCTTAAATTCGATCCAATCTTAATGGAAGACATAAAGTTTTAAACTGAGAATACTTAAAAAGTAAATACTGCTAGGGTGTTCCGCAGAATGGGAACAATAAGTAATATTGAAAAAGAAGCCAATTTTATTATGGCTTTATCATAATAAGCTCCTGTAGGAGACAATATAGAGAAAGCAAAATAAAAGCCTGAAGTAGTTTCACTTTTGAAACTTAATCATCAAAAAATCGATCTAGCAGAAGAATTCAATTCTACATAGTATTTGTTTACTCCAACCAACTCTTAAACTTTACAACCATCCAGAATAAATGACGATGCTATGAAATCATTTGTCAAACAGTTTTACTAAAAATAATTCGATGACAAATTGAATTCTCTAACTGCTTACAATAGAAATATTAGAGTTCGAACTTAGGCTAATAGTGAATTTAAAAAGATATCAAGATAACCATCTAATAAAGTTAAGACTTCAAGTATATGAATCAATAGCGTAAATATTTATTGAATTTTTGATATTAAATATTTATGATTTATGATAAGACAACATATTGAAATTAGTTGATCAACTTATTCCTTATAAATTATAATTTAGTTATTTTAATTATAAATTTAGTTTTAATAATTTTATTATTGTTTTTCTCTTGCAATCAAAGAAAACTAAATTGACAGAAAAATTATTATTTATTAATTATTATAATGAACAATAATGTTTTAGACTTATTTCTAGGAGAGCCTATAAGAAGAATAAGCATTATAAAATTGATACTGATTAAGAAAATCCCAGGGTAAAAATTATGGTTGAAATATAAAATTCTTCTATGATGATTCATTAAATACATAATTCTGATGAAAATATCAGATTACAAAGATTGAGGAAATTATGCATTCTAAAGCCAAAAAATAATGATTAATTTAATAAATGTTAATCTTTATATCATTTATATTATAGATTGTATCATCAACTTATATTGATGTCCAAACCAAATGCAGTTGTGAAGAATTACTCACAGTGATTGAAAAGATGGAAAATGGGAGGGCTATGCAATTGGGATAAAAATAAATGCATCAAAATGGAATTCTGCCAAATATTGAATTATGATCCCGATTATTATGCAGATGATAAAAGGTGTGTATATCTCGTAGGAAAATGCACAAATTTCACTGGTTGTGATCAATATGTTGGCGATAAGAGAGCATGTGAAGCTATTTCTAATTATTTTATGTCACAAGATGGAAAAAAGTATGAAGATAAAGTTATTCCAAGTTGTTCCGATTATGGGTCTCAAATGATGGAGAATTTGGGTTTATCGATAATAAATGCTAGGTTTTGAAATCTTGTAGTAATTTTAATTTAATATCTGGATTTGATTGGCTTCCAAAAGAGAAATGCAAATATCACCTTACTAACTGTGATTTTCAAATGAAACTTGTATCCCAAAGAAATATGATAATGTAAATAACAATGTTTGCAGTTATGTCCATGATTATAATCCTTTCGATATTTATGGTATTAATCCTTAATCTTTAGAATTATGTAAGTTGGAGGAGAGTCATTGTGTTGAGGCAATGCCAAAAGATTTAGCTGAATATAATTGTTACCTTTATACTAGATTTTCATACTTTTGGAATCCTAATTCAAATTCTTGTTAAAGTGCAGTGGTTCACCAGATAATTTTGGAGTTATCATAAAGGTTATTATAATGATTTTTTAATTTCCTTATGATATTGTTATTATTAATATAAATACTAAGTGCAAATTATTTGAGATCTAAATTGGAATTTAATATAATTTGTCTTCTCCTTTAGTGTTACAACAATTACTTTCTATCATCAATTTTAGAGAATTAATTTTTTAATATATCAATTTCTCATAAGGTATCCCTATATTATCAAAACCCTTTGTATTTTTAAAGAAGACTCAACTTTCCCATTCAAATGTCCACAAAGATAGATTTATAAATAAATAGAAACACTGTCAGATCACTAAAATCTACTCAATAATATTGTAAAACATTTATAACCAATAAGAGTTGATTGAAGTCTATACTTAGTCTCCAATTAGTGTACATAAAGATTGCCAATTAGTATTGCGCATCCATTGAAATAGGTGGGATCCTTTGATAGATAAGTTGCAAATGATTTTAGGGATCAGAGAATTTATATTATAATAATGAAATATATTTGATATTGTATTATATATAATATTATTTTAATAAGTATTTGAGGATTTATTCTCAATTAAATAAAATTTAAATTTCAATATAAATACACACATAATGTATGATGACTAATTTAATAAATAATATTATTAAAATGCATATCTCAAATAAATAATCAGAAGATTTGTCAATTTACCATGGAAGTGAAGTACAAAAACTGTAGGTCCCTTCGAAGATTGATTATAGACAAAGTGCTGTGCCTGATAACCCTTGCTATAACTTTCGATTTAGAATTTTCATATTTTTCAGTTATATTGTGATCACTCAAATCGGTGAAATACTGGGTACACCATAGGATGACATCAAAGGAATATTTGATGTAGGACACAATTGCACTGAAGGAATCAACAAATTATATCATTCTCACACATGGTACTTATTCAATTTAAATTGCAATTAGGTTTGCTTCTCTGATGCAAGTAATCTCTGGCCTCATTTTAGACTTTGCCTTTTTCTACGTCAGTCTTTATTGGGTGTTTTATGTTAGAAATTTCAGACTGTTTGCTGCTTTAATCATATTCTATGGAATCAGGGCAATTCATTTGAATATTTTTAAACTTCAGTTTGCTGATAATTACTATTGGAAGGATCCAGGAGTGCCAACCTTTGTTGTAAAATACGGGAATTATTCAGATTTCTTTTACTCTGTAAGAATTTATTCCTAATCTAGGGTCATGTGGGATTTTTGGTGATTTGTGCATTGGAGATGAGAAAATTGGGCAAGAAATGGTTCGCCTTATTTTTTTTTATATCATCCTTCTTTTAGGCTTTTATAGTTATTTCTTTTAGAATTCATTACACAATTGATGTAAAATTTAATAAAAATTATTATAGGTGCCTGCTGGATATATTTTTGCACATTACTTTTATAACTAAGTTTGCTATTGGGAAGTGAAAATTGACCATGCATTATATTGGATATCTAATAAATGTTGTCCTGTTAAAATTTCTCAATCAGCTACATAAGCAACTAAAATTCCTGATTTAGATACAGAAAAACCATGAATTATAATCACTTATTTTTAATTTATAAATGTGTTCGAACAGAATGAATTTTGTTTAGATAGATGAACATTCGAGAAATCTTCTTTTTGTTATTAGTGGGTAATTTCTTTTAAAATTAAATTGACATTCTATCTATTCAACATTTTCATTATTTCTAGCATAAAAGCAAGTCTTTACAACGAACATAAATTATTTGAAAATAATTAGGAGGAAGTTTCATAATAAAATTTAATTAATTAAATAAATGAGTATATTAAAGTTGATTTGAAAAAAGTGTATAATGAGAAATTCAAATTACATTTTGCTTAAATTGTAATTTTATTATGGTGGATCTAACAAATTATAAGAGAAGATATTGCATACTGATGGATAATTAATTAGGTATATAAAAAATTATGTTTTAAAATACTCTTCACTTTTTGGCATATTTTACTTTTAGTTGACACTCTGGAGTGATTTTAAAGTTGCTCAAACCCTTCAAAGCAACTGTCGCTTGATCATCATTCTAATATTCAACAAATGCCAAGCCTCTAGCAGGTATCAACTTAATGAGTGAATAACCAGGGTATTACCTAAATAGCTCTGATAACATGATTTCAGTAACAAATGGAGGCAATGACTCTATCAAAAGGACATTATTGATTTCTCCCTAATTAAAATTGCTACTGTTTTGTATTTTCTCATCAAACTTTTTCTATTTCTTTTCTTTGATTAATTCATTTGGCAAAGTGGGTTGCAATTCCTTATGTTGCTTTTGTTTATAATAAAATTTGCCTTCAATTCTATCAAAAATAACACTCTTCTTGTATGCAAATTCAATAATCTAAAATAGCAGGAATAGATATACCAATGGTTTGTCATAAACAATCATACCTGACAACGCTGCTTTGGCATTTGTAGCATAAGTGATGTTTTAAAATACTATAAATGCTTATCCTCTTAACTTTTGAGTTTTCTTCATGACCATTTAAAGGACTTCTCCAAATTATGAAAAGAGTATGTACAATATAAATTTCAAGTCTTCTAGTTTAATTTTATCATTCAATCCAGTTACATAAAGTGTTTCTTTGGGTGCTGAATCCTGAATAATTTGATTAGCTGGATGAAGATAAGGCTAATTCATAAATTAAATTATATTTTTATATATATAATTATTTATTCAATTCGATCAAGAAGAAATCTATTCTTCACCAGCATCCTTTGCAAACTCTAACTTAAGATCATTGTAAAATTTAGTCAGATGCACTTGAGCTATGGCTGTACTATTCACAACAGATTGATTCTACTGAAAAGGTCTTTATTATTATTGATTTATGGGTATAGATTATGTAACTTTATTTTTTAATGCTTATAAATATTGAACAATAGGTTAAACAATTTGGTCATTTTAAATTTTCTCATCCCCATTAGCTCCCAAACTTTGTATCCTCTCTTTAAAATAATCATTTCCCCACCATAATTCCTATTCAACATCAAAATTTTTATCCATTAAGCAATTTAGGATAATGTTCGTCTCAATGAGTATCTTATCATGCAATCAGATATCATACTTGCATTGTTTCATTCGCTATCTAATCCTTGTTTTCAATACATCCAGGTTCCTATTCCTGATAAGCCAAAAATTTCTCCTTGTAGTACTTTAGGACCATGAGTTTAATTTTTAAGGCTTTTTCAGTAAAATCATTATAACACCTCAAAAGAATCTCAGATTTCCCTTCTATTATTCGAGTCAATTGTTCACATGAGTCAAAATAAATTTATTACTTCTAAATAACTTCCTATATATAAGACTTGACTGGTTTAGTTCGCATGAAATTAGCTAAATCTTGAGAATCACAAAAAGCTAAAGCCTCCTTCGAAGTAGTTTAACTCATTTGAATAGGTTGGGCTTAAATAATTTCATTTCGAAAAGACTTGTTTTTACGTTTGGAACATTTAATGCCCATTATTTTTTATAATATTGTACTTTAGAATTAAATATTAATAATGACAATAGTGGTTGTTTAACCTAGGATCTGCTCTTTTGTTAAGAAAACTAAACTTATTTAATATCTTTAATTTCTAGTTTTTATGCTTGAAACTGCTTCACATTTCATTATTTTAATTCCTTCTTGCTACTTTTTGGAGAAATATTGTTTTTCAAGTTAGGATTCAACAGTAGAATCCTAGAAGAATAATTATCTAAACTGAACCAAATTGATATTTGGAGTAATATAAATAGGATTGCCTTTCCTCAATGATAAAAGTTAAGATTTCAAAACTATAATTAACCATCATATATCTTATTTTTAAGCATAAAAATGACATAAGAAGGCCTTCTGGAGTTTAGAAAAATGAAATATACAATGTTTTTATATAAATGATTTTTAAATGAGAGATTTTTGGCTTTATTTAGGTGAAACAAAATAAGAATCAATTAAAAATTTATAATAATACATATCTCAATATAATCTTTGAATTCATAATAGTAGTATCTTATTTATAACAAGAAAATACAAAAAAAATTCACTTCTTTGATTTCATGATTATCCTTTATATTATTACTCTACAACACATCTTATGCTATTTATCAATTATTAACCTTGAGAAATAAATTGTGAATATTATTATTCAGTTGAACTGATTTAAAAATTTGGTCTTTGAGATGCATATATGTTTAATATTGTTAAAATTACTTAATTTGAATAAGCCTTTGAATTTTTATTCATTCATTATTTATGGTTTGCAAATTTTGGTATTTCCTTGCATCCTACTGTTCTGCAATATCTGAAATAACACTTAATTTATGAGGTATAATAACTACATATTTTCAAAAATATTTAATAGAAGAACTTAATTAATATCTATAATTGATTATTAAATTTAATATTAACAGATATAAATAAATGTAGTTTCTTGATTTTTATATTTGTTTCTTTAAGTTGTAAAATTGAAAATCTGATTTAATAATTTGTATATGAAAAATAATGAAAAGTCTAACTGCATAATTTCCAATAAATAGTTCCAATTCTTTCAAATTACGAGGGAATTTTGATTCTGAAAATTTTAAGAATAATCAAGAGGTAACTGTGCATTATTAGAATATTAAACAAGTATAAATTATCTCTTATCAAGATAGTTCCCTTTTTTATTATATTTATATATTTATAGTTAATAAAAACATATTATTAAATACTGAAAAAAATGGAATTCTTTAAAAAATTATCTAAATCAAATGATAATGTCTCTGGTCAAGGAATTGTTTCTGAAGTTGGTGGAACGTAGGTTTAACAAGAAACACATTGTTTATTGATAGAATCCCAGATGTAATTATAAAAGGAATTCACCAGACAGTTTGAGAAATCAAGATGAGAGACATCTTGAGCTTCCTCACATTTGATACCAGTCCATCTACAGAGTAGTGGATCGTCTTCTATGAAATTTTATCTCTATAAAACACATGTACTTTCAAAGGTGTAATCTGAACATTATATGACTGTGCACTTCCCGTTCTTCCATTGACATCCAAGACCTTCTCCATAAATGAAACACAACTCTTCAGTTTATAATTGATCACAATATCTGATATCCACAATATTACATTTGCTATTATTCCAGTAACACATTCTCCACTGGCTTTCAAAACTAACACAATCTTCTTTAACATTCCCACATTCCTGATGTTTTGCATCTTGACATTAGTTTCCCTGCTCTGAAGGCTAGCAAAAAAGATTTAAATTTTGATCTCCTATTTTGTAGCAGTCAAACGAATCGTTCATGAAGTAATCAGAACATTTGGTGAATTTTTCACATTTTGAGACACTCCATGAGCAAGTAGCAACTCCATTGCACTTGTCTATGTTGTAGTATTCAGAGCATTCTCTAGCTCTGCAAATATTGCTTTTCCAAATACAACCTGTTTATTGTAAGCAACTTGAATCTGTTGAGAATTTGGAGCACGTACACTAATTGTTATATGATACTCTTAATGAGTCTCCCATAATAGTAAGACAAAATAGAACAAATATAATCATATTGAAATTAAAATCTTAAATTCTAATGTTCTTTAAGTTTATACTAATGCAAATAATAATGAATCACAAGAATGAGTTGCATAAATTATTATGCATCGCATTCTTGTATATGGAAATTGTAATCGATGAAGGAATGAAAAAGGAATAGTAAGGATTAAAAATAACTCAAATTTGAATTAATAAAAGAATGTATTAATTAATGAATTTATTCTGTTTAAATAATAAACCAAAAAATAATATTCAAAATTTCTAAATTCATTTCTTAGTGATTTTTAGATAATTTTCTGAAATGAGAAATACCACACAATTTTCTATATTTGTTTAGATACAGCTGTTGAATTTAATAAAATAATTATTTATTCAATTCTTAATTTAATGAAATATTTTAGAAAATAATTGTTAATAATCATTAGTCTAATCAATCCTTCCTTTTTGTTATATCAAAATCTGTTGCTATCCATGAATATTACGCTGATACTACTAAATCAATATTTGAAGCATCACAACTATTTCAATATCTAAAAATTGGATCAAACTTTAACCTATCTATAATGGTTGGCTATCTATTCTCAATTATCCTTGGATTGCTTTTAATAATAAATATGTGCACAAATCATAATATTGACAGATGCAGATAAAGTATTCAAAATTATTGTGGGGCTTGGTTCATCAATTAATTCTATTTTGCAGCCAAATATATTTAAGTTCTACTTTACAATTCCATATATGATTATAGTTCTGACTGTAATCCTGTATGATAACAGAACAAGGGAAGTCAAGGAGAAAAAAGAATCTATTCAGAATTAACAGACGAATCTCATTACTTTCAAATAGAAGTCAATTTAATTTGATAAGCAAGCATCTCAACGATAGATTCAAGAAAACATCCTCCGATCTCCAGATGGAGATTATCCTGATATACAGAACAGCCCCATAATTATGGACTTGTAATGTAATGAAGAGGATGATGTCCTTGCTTAAATGTGATTTTTGTAATATGATTTTAGGGCTTGGATCCACAATTAATCTATTTTGGTTTACAATCAAAACTTTGAAATAGTTTATCAAAATTTTTTCCTTGGAAAACTCAATAAAAATCAAAATAAAGGATTACAAATCGATTATGAATCCATCTTCTTGGAATCCATAATCGAGATAGGAAGTCGAGAAGTGAATGATCTCTTTGGAAATTCTGAAATTGACTTGGATTAAGAGAAGTAATAAGAAATCTCATATGCATTCTAGTTCCTTGTTCCTGGATAGCACAGTTCATAGTAGATATAAGATAAAGGGAGGATTGCATAAGATTAGACAAATGATAGGTCAATTATATAACAATTATTCTAAGTAATGCAAGAAGTAATTTTAGATGGAAATTCTTTACATTCACTCTCTTCAAGATCAAGAATGAAGATTTAGATTTCGATAATTTGAACATTAGAGTATTAGTGACAGAAGTCAAATTGAAACTTTACACTCTCTTCATGTTCGAACCTATCCAGAAGACAACTTCCAAAAGGGTCTTAGATGAACCTCTTCAATTTCAGAATGTATTCTAAACCTTTTTATCTGAATCCAATAATTATATCAATGCGATTCATTTGTTGATTCTTCTGTGTTCTCACGACATAGAGAAGAATAATGGAAAAGTTTAAAAAGATTACCTCAAGTAAATGCGTATGAGCACTCAGAAGTTCATGATGTTCCTTGGTACAATGAAGGATCTGACTCTACAATTGACAAATTAGCTTACATTTCGAAATTCGACATTTAAAATAACTGACATTTTAGATGAATTGCAGCTAATTTATGATGATTGTTTAAAGATAAAGGAGATCTCTATCATCCCAATTATTGACTAAGAAATGCTAGTATATAATGATTCAGACAGAGTAATATTAATTGATATCATAGACTAAATAAGTTCTAAAGTGTCTATTTGAAATTGCTATTAAGTACACGGTCACTCAAAAAATTAGAATCGACATTCATTAAGTTTCACCAAACAACTATTAATTTTAAATTAAGGATATTCCATTCAGAGATGAAATTTCCCAATTGGGTTATTCAACTGTATTGAAGAACACAGCTTAATTGATGAAGACAAGTTGTAAAGATTTTGATATGAGCAATCTCTTGGAATTGTAGGTTTCTGCTATGATAGCATTTTTATTATCTGGTTCACTGCGGAAACCTTTAGAACTAACTTTTGATAATCATATGTCTGGGACATTTACTTTTACAGTTGAATCCCTTTCAATAAACAGTAAATAAGCATACTATGCTTAATAGATGAAACCTAAAAGACCCTTTGAAACATCTTTATCTATGCTCTTAGCCTAAGCTTAAGATAGCTCTCATTATAAAAATGAAGAATCCAAATATATGTCATTTACTTAAATTTCTAAATAATACTCTTTAAAACCTGACACCCCCTTTGATCTATAAAGTGCTCACTTTTCACAAATATCAAAAATCAAATAAGAATCACCCTAAATAAAACCATTGGGATCTCAACACCAAAGCAATTCCGGTGGAACCAATAAGTTTCAAGATTCCTTATTTCCTAAAAGCTTAAATAACAATCCCTCTCGAGTTATAAAAAGTGATTCAGGGGTTAATATTTCATCTAAACCTCCAACCAGCACTTTGGATTTTGGAGACAGTACTAATCCCAATCTTGACCCTCCTGAATTGAGTCCGAAATTCTTGCATGCTGTAATAAAGTTTAAGCTTACGAATCAGTGTTGTTCAAAAGTTATTATTGCTGATAATGATTACCTTAACGTCTAGGTTCTGCAGATATTATTAAATAAATACGAAGTCAAATCGGATAAGGCATTCACTCAACAATAAACTCTATAACTTATACGAAACAAATAAGAAAATCCTTGTAGATGTAAAAATGGAGCCTATTTGCTATACTTCATAGATGCCTATTTACCTGTAATGATTTGTGTTTATATGTTAATTAGCAATCAGGGGTGGAATTGATCAAAGAAATCAAGGGACTATTTCGAACTCAGTAAGTGGATAGAGGCTTCATCATTGCCATGGCTAGTTATAGCGATATGGAACTTAAATTAAATTGTTTTAATTCAGGAATCGATTATTTTATAGCCAAGCCTTTCGATTTGTTTGAATTATCAGCTATCCTCCAATATATATAATTTTGATTAATATATTTATTAATGGTTTACGGCAGATTGATTTACAACAATGTAAAGGATTACACTCCTCAATGGTTTAAGACTATTCCTTATTAATAAACAGTCAAACCAAGTTTTGGTATGATTTTATGGAATATCAATCCCTAGTCAGAAAACCATAAGTTGTATCTAGATTGAATGCTGATCCAAAAGTGAAGGCTTTATGGAGATTCTTGGGAAGAAATGTCGCTGATAACCCTTGGGCCTGGTAAGTCTATATATTTGCCAATTCCTTTGTCATCTTTGCATTATGCTATTATCCTTGGCTATGGGTTTATCAATTCAACAACAAAAAAGTAAGAATTCCTAATCTATCTTTCAGCGAACTATTGAATATGCTCTACAATAAGAGAAGGAATTCAAGGCAAAATAGGCTGCTGCTGAAGAATGAGTTATTATTACACAAAATACAAATACATTATAAGTATTTTCTGATTACGATTATGCTATTTCAAATTTGTTTCTTAATAATATTGATGGTAATATCTACTCTTAATAATCATAATAATCATAAAACAGACATTAAAAATGTTAATCTAAAGATAGCCTCATCTACATCTGACTCACATTATTACAATACAACTCCAAACTCCTTTCTACATTATTAATAAATTTAATACTTCAAATCTACTTTATTGTCTTTGTTTTCTCTCAACAATGCAACCATTTTCTAAGATTGGTAAGTCAATTCGTCATTCGATGTATAACTTATAAAGGTGTTTCTCAAACTAGGAACCCTCGTAATATCATAAGAACTAATTGGCAAATCAATCATGTTTTTTGAATTATCAAATAAACCATTCTAATCTATTAATTTATTATACATGACACAAAAATGCATAAAATTATTGAACAAAGAAGTGTGTATAACTCCCAATCAAACCAGATAATGCTCCCTTAGTTTTTAATATAACTTTATCAGAAAGTACTGAAACTTCTTAAAATACTTTTTGAAGATTTTCCAAAACTTATTATTAACAACTAGGATTAACAATGATTTAACAGATTGCGCAACCATTCTCATAAAGAACCACATCTTCTTAAGTTAAAGATTAGTATTATTCTTAATCTATTAGTTGAATTAAGACAAATTAAACAGGCAAGTCCTATAAATACGATAAACAAACATTAAAATCCTCTGATATCTTAAAAGTTTCAACTTAAAGATTATTATAATCAAACCCTGGCAATTATTCAGAGAAATGTAAAGATATAGCCTTTATGTCAATATTATATTTCAGTATTTGAAATGGCTTATAAGGACAAATCAAATGGAAATATAAACTATTAGATTCCTTAATCTAATGAGACTCTAAATTAATTGAATATTGAGATTCTTGTATAATCATTTCATGTGCCTATTTTTCTTTTTTAACAATTAATCTATCTGGAATTTAGCTTTTTAGGTCTCTTTCCAAAATTGCTAGAAAGTGATCATGAGCACAGAAAGATCGAATAATACCCTGTTTACATTCATAGACTAGATGGCCTTCTCTTGTTCGAATCTCTTTTGGTTGCTCTTCTAATGGAGCTGAACTTACAAATGTATTAACTGCATTTTGATCTATATTGAATTTATATCCTTGTTTGTAGGTTACAATATCTTGTCCATTCAAATCTATAAATTTGTTTTCATTTGACATTTAAACTTCAATGGCGGCCTTTCCAATACCATAATTCTTTATTTTAACATTTTCACCAGGGGATATTTGATATATTATTGTCCTTTCATCAAAATTTTACAAGTTTAATTTCAATACATACTTTTAAAGATCAAGATCAGATTTTTCAATGTAATAGAGATAATTTTCAATAAATGCAAAAGTGTTATCAACATTTTCTAAAACCAATTGAATTTTATCTGAACGAACAATCAAGAAAGTTAAGCCTAACTATTCAATTACACACCCGTAAGTATCATGAGTTTGATTAGGCAAGAACTCCTTGTATAAGGTTTGAAATTTCTCTTCCTTTTAAATTGACAAATTAAAAATACTTCAATATCTAGGATTAGATCTTCATAATGTTTAGGAATTAGATCTGCTATTATTTTACCACTGAAAACCAACTCATCATCATCTTTAATAAGTTCTTTGGCTAAATTGCTGCTCTCATTTAATAGATTATAAACTCTTACTTTCATTTTTTCTCTTGTATACATTATAAGGTGGATGACCCTCTTTTGAATCTTTGCTAAAGTATGTGTAATCATTGAATAAGATAGGAATATTTTGATAACAATCTAGTAATTCAAAGTATCTATGCTTAACTGTTTCTTCCCTTCTCAAAGTTTAGATTTAGACTAATTAAGTGTATAGTGATTCTGAAAAGTCAAATTGAGCAACTTTATCAACTTCATAATGCTTTTCTTCAAAATATCTGAAGAAATCTCCCTCTGAGAACAATTTAGGATGCTATGGATACGGAACTAATATATTTTAAGGTGGATTGTACTTTATTTGATGGCTTCTGATGTAAAATCATTGATATTTCGAATCCAAGGAGTTTTAGCTTTCTGTTGAGGATCTGGATCAAATAAATGTGCAACTGCCAAATCTTTTTCTTTTTGTAATTCTCTTCTTGCTAACACTTGTCTTCTCATCACATTATCTGAATCCAATCTTTCCTCATATGATTGAATTTCATGAAAATGAGTATTTGTACCTAATTTATTATCTAAATTCTTCATTCTGATTCTTTCTAGATCACTAATCTCTGTCTATTAGGAGATGAACTGTTCGATCTCTTATTTCACATTAAGTGGCTATTTTATAGTTTAATGAGGAATTATCTATTTTTCTTCTTCATCATCTTTGAGAAGTTTGTTTTTCAATTTTGTTATGAATCCATCTTTCCTATTAAATAGATTAATTGCCCTTCGAAATCTAAACATTAAATCACAAATTAAAATATAAAAAAACTCTTGTTAATTTTATCTTCATAATTAGAATTTATATTTATATGTATTCTTAGATATTTTATATAATTAAAAACTTCCATCACAAGAGCTTAAGTAGTTCTATTAATTCCTTTGCCTCTGCTGTTATTTCTAATTATTAATTGATTGAATCTAAATAATAATAATAAGGTATGTACGTATGATATTATTTAATATGTTTTTAATCTGTTTGTCACTTTGTAATTCATAAACAATTTGTTTGAGAGCAGAATAAAAATGCTGGTCATAATTTCCAATAAAATATAACCCTAAGTCTGTTGCCATTGCCAGAATTATTTAATTGAACACATTCTCATCGAAAATCTCATGATGTCTTTGCTTTATAAACTCTTTGCAATGATGTTTAATAAACAACAGAAGATTTCTATCATTTTTCTTATCCAAATGAACTTTTAGATTGAAAACATCAAAAAATGCATGCTATGACAATACATCCAAGGATTTCTTTGTATATAATTCCATAGTTTCCTTCAAAGCTTTTTATTGCTCTTTTGGCAAGAACAGAATTGCTTCCCCCAAGGCTACTTTGTTTAAGAACACTCTTCCAGACTTTTATAATCCAAAATCAATCTAACCATTCACAACACTTGGATGATTAGGATCAGCAAATAAGTTTTATGGAAGTTGGATATTGTACTTTTTACAAGTGATTACAACAAGGTTTTCAACAAGCAATCTATAACCAAATAAGCAATTATCCACTAATACTTTTGTATTTACTTCTTGACATTCTTGTTAAATCTTTTATAGTGATCTTTAAGTTATCAAAAGACCAAGAGCCATATCCTCAATTTTTTTCTGAATCTCCTAAATAACCTAACTGGATGCAGATTTCTTGCTCTCAAATAGTTCAATCTTGATTTGCTCATATAAGGCTGACAATCTTGGCTATAAAAATTAGAACAACTCCTCAATGCAATCATTGTATTCAACCAATTTTTTCTAAGTCAGTAAGTCAGTGATTTCTTTATTGGTAAACAATTCTTGTTTATTTTATTATTTCTTTTTTTGTGGCTATTATTGCTTTTTATTTTTCTTGTTTGCAACTCCTCCTGCTGAAGCTTATATATCTTAAGGAGCATCATCTTGATTTTGCTGTTATTCAATCAATTTCTGGGGATTTTAATAAATAGATTCAATTATTTTGTCTTTAAATGCCAACACCAATTTATCAAGGAATTCCTTATGATATATCATAAAATTGGCATATTCACAATTGGTTAGTTGCATCAAGGAAAACAAAGTCTCTATATCTTAATCGCTTAGAATGACTGGCAAAATTTCCTATAGATTTGTATGACCTTCGTTAATGAGCAACTCTTGTATTTAGTCTTGTTTTGAAATTAGAGCATCTCTGCTAAATCCACAAGTGTCCAAGAATATCACATTATCTTTAAACATCTATTTTAGATATTCCTTTGGTTTTTGAATGAAAAACTATGAATAAAGTTTGTCATATTCGACATAAGAATTTTACTCAAAAAATGATTTCACTTAAGCCTCCTGATTCTGAACAAATTTTGAACTCACATATTAGCCTGATATGATCTTACCATCCAGCTATTTGGTAAGCAATAACTATTCACAAATTTTTTAAGAGTTTTGAATTTCTAAGTCTTTATTCAATTTCATAAAAGAGATAGGACTCAAGGTTGCTCTTAATATGCCACAAAGTTTGGCTGTAATTATTTCAAGGTAAGTCACAGTCGTCAATTTGTCTTCATTAAGCACTCCCTAAATGACTGTCCCCACTTATTAAAGTACATATTTTTATACAAATTACATTGGAAGGGCATATTTCTGCATTACTATTATAAATATGGATGATCTGTACTTTCTTATAAAGAAATAATTGATTTTTATTGCAACTCCTCGTTTATTTCTTCGCAAACATTTAGAATATAATCATGAGACATCATTTCATCTTGCATTCTGACAACATCCTGTTTTCGATATTTAATATTAAAATTACCCAACCATTGCTATCCTTCTCTATTTATCCTTCAATTTTGTCAAATCCTATGCCCAAGATATCAGGTAATTGATTCACTGCCACTCTCTTGTTTAATAAAATTAATTGATGAATCTCTTTTGACAACTAATTAGGAGTCACCAAACTTTGACCATCTGTTGAATGATAAACCTTTAAGTCATATTCTTTAACTAGTTTTTCAATCAGATCAATTATGATTCTATCAGATAATCTATATTTTGTTGATGTCTCCTATATTTCTGCTAATTGTTATTAAAGAGCAAATAATTCGTCCATAATAATATTGATATTGATATTAATAAAACGATTTCATTTTTTAATTTACATATATACACTATATTTTAGGAGAAACACTATTAAAAACAACAATAATCAATCTTATAATTTAATGATTTCTTTTTCTCTTCAGAAATTATTGCTAGCAATTCTAATCCTGATATACTCTAAATTCTAATTAGTAATTTCACAGGACTGTAACAAATAAAGTATGCCATTCCCTAATTAGGCCAATACGATCTTATTTTCTCAAAAAAGTATTCAATATATTCTTAAAAGAGGGATTTACTATGAATTCATAATGGTGTTCACAAATTGATGCTATTATGGTCGATTTAATATTGAGATCAAGACGGAAAAATTCTAAATGCTATCAATTCTATTTATTTAATTATTTCCAGTGATACTGTGTCTTTTGAACCGTTAATATATTATGCCTAATTTAGACTAANTCTTTAAACATCTATTTTAGATATTCCTTTGGTTTTTGAATGAAAAACTATGAATAAAGTTTGTCATATTCGACATAAGAATTTTACTCAAAAAATGATTTCACTTAAGCCTCCTGATTCTGAACAAATTTTGAACTCACATATTAGCCTGATATGATCTTACCATCCAGCTATTTGGTAAGCAATAACTATTCACAAATTTTTTAAGAGTTTTGAATTTCTAAGTCTTTATTCAATTTCATAAAAGAGATAGGACTCAAGGTTGCTCTTAATATGCCACAAAGTTTGGCTGTAATTATTTCAAGGTAAGTCACAGTCGTCAATTTGTCTTCATTAAGCACTCCCTAAATGACTGTCCCCACTTATTAAAGTACATATTTTTATACAAATTACATTGGAAGGGCATATTTCTGCATTACTATTATAAATATGGATGATCTGTACTTTCTTATAAAGAAATAATTGATTTTTATTGCAACTCCTCGTTTATTTCTTCGCAAACATTTAGAATATAATCATGAGACATCATTTCATCTTGCATTCTGACAACATCCTGTTTTCGATATTTAATATTAAAATTACCCAACCATTGCTATCCTTCTCTATTTATCCTTCAATTTTGTCAAATCCTATGCCCAAGATATCAGGTAATTGATTCACTGCCACTCTCTTGTTTAATAAAATTAATTGATGAATCTCTTTTGACAACTAATTAGGAGTCACCAAACTTTGACCATCTGTTGAATGATAAACCTTTAAGTCATATTCTTTAACTAGTTTTTCAATCAGATCAATTATGATTCTATCAGATAATCTATATTTTGTTGATGTCTCCTATATTTCTGCTAATTGTTATTAAAGAGCAAATAATTCGTCCATAATAATATTGATATTGATATTAATAAAACGATTTCATTTTTTAATTTACATATATACACTATATTTTAGGAGAAACACTATTAAAAACAACAATAATCAATCTTATAATTTAATGATTTCTTTTTCTCTTCAGAAATTATTGCTAGCAATTCTAATCCTGATATACTCTAAATTCTAATTAGTAATTTCACAGGACTGTAACAAATAAAGTATGCCATTCCCTAATTAGGCCAATACGATCTTATTTTCTCAAAAAAGTATTCAATATATTCTTAAAAGAGGGATTTACTATGAATTCATAATGGTGTTCACAAATTGATGCTATTATGGTCGATTTAATATTGAGATCAAGACGGAAAAATTCTAAATGCTATCAATTCTATTTATTTAATTATTTCCAGTGATACTGTGTCTTTTGAACCGTTAATATATTATGCCTAATTTAGACTAATTTTCACATTTCAATACCTATTTTATTTATGGTTCTTCATAATTCTTTGAAATGCCATTATAAATAACTCTCTAACTTAATGTTGGCTTTTTGAATTCTCGGGCCTGGTTCTAATAGGGTAATATGACCGCTGGTTAAAACTTATCTATGTCTCTCCTTTGTCTCAACCTTGATCAACGCCTTTATTATCATTTATTCATCAAATTCATTATCAGCAAATGTAAAGAATGCGTAACCTGAAAATGCAAAGGAGACCCGATTACTTGAAACCATTACAGGTTGAAGTTTATAATTCTTTTGATATCGATGATATTAATGTTACATTTATATATTTTATAAATATAACAAATTGAAATCATCTCGATTTTCCTATTAAAATTATAAGTAATAAGTCACTCCCTTGTTGTTTGTTACCACGGTTATTAGTATTATACTTGTAGATTGTATTATTGGATTTCCTCATTATAATCCTGCTTATTCAAGGAATGATTATAGTAGTCTATATCAAAATGGTAATCCTTAGATCAAAGGTTAAATAAACCTTTTCAATTTGATGCTCATAATTATCAAAGGGTAAACCCTAAAGGTTAATTTCATCTGACACATTTGTAACTAGATGAGGGGTCAGCTATAAACCGTGATAGTCCATATGTTAGTGTAGATTGGCATTCATTTGGAAATTAAATTAATTTAATATTGATTAAAAAGAACATAATTTCCCTAAAATAAAACAACTGTATAATTCCCAACTTCAATCTTTCTTCTATTCTATACAAAATTTTAGCATTTATTTTTAATTTCAAAAAATAAGTGAAAAAGCTTCCTTACATAATTATCCTCTTCCATATCTCTAAATTTGAATTGCTTGATTCCATTCATAGACTTATTTAAATTTATTGATACTTTTGCTATTAATTAACTAAATATTATCATCCTATCCTATATTGATTTATACTAATTTTCTGGGTTTTAAAATTATTGTAAATATTCCCTTCTAATTTTCGTTAACCAACAAATTTGCATTCCAATAGTTCATTTGTATTTATTTAGAATAGTTATAAGCTGTTTTCGAATATTCTATTTATTTATTTTATGACTAATCTCTTATCATCGATCAGGTTGTTAATAAACATAATATATTATATAGCAATATGCAACACAAGACTTCTAATTTATCGAAATACTGCAACAATAAGTATTTAGACAAAATTCTAAAAGTGTGAAGCTCTAATAAATTTTTTTATTCATTTTTGTTAAATTAATTAATAAAATTTATTATAAACTTCTAATATATAAATTTTAATATAAATGAACGGTGTTGAGTAAAAAAATGAAAATCAAGAAAATGAATAAAATTAACAGAGTAAGTCATAAAAAAAGTAAAAAAAAATCATAGACAAATTAACTTAGCGCACTGAGGAATATTTTTCATAATAATAAGTATTAAATTATTAAAAGTAGACTATAAATTAGGGTGGAATTTCTTCCAGTAAGTCTTTGGCTTAGATATCTAACAATTAACTGAGAAAACATTAAATCAACAGGCTTGTCGAGGAATGCTAAAAAATGAAGAATGTATCCAAAAGCATAATCATTAGCTTAAAGAAATTCCTCCAGAATAGGTATTAAAAATGGTTAAAACTTACGATATGCTGTTTGCAGGTCAATCGAAATAAGTAACGTTAAACGAATAGAATATTTAAATCATCGATATCAAATTGAGAGTCCATAATGAATTCGAAGATTATTTATACTCTTAACACTAATTAATCCATAACACATTCAGAAGAGGCCTTTGCTTATTATTATTAGACAATGAATACTAAATATTAAGGAAAGGACTGAAAAAATTCTTTGATATGTAATATTATATTCATTGATTGAAAGAAATTTAAAGCATTTTTTAAAATAAGGCAATTCAACGACCAATAAGACAGAAGAAATAATACATAATTATACATTCTCTTGTTTGCCTAAGGACTCTGAAATCAAAATAACCTAAATGGAAAAGGTCAATGGAGAAAATGCTTAAATCTCCTATATAAGAACATTGGATCGATGGGTCATAGGCTCTAAGAATGTGACATTAATATGTAAAGATGAATCTGAGCTAAATTAATACGATTCTTAAATTACAAACGATCCACTTGATACAAGATATCGATATGCAATGAAAATTGCTTAGGAATGGTTCAAAATTATTGGATCTTCCAAAAACGTGGATTCCATAAAGAAGTATTTGAATGATCATACATTAATTGGAGAATATTGTGGAAATAATGAATATTAGCACTTTGTATAATATGATCAGGTGTAAGTCAAATTTTATGCATTGGTTCCTAAAGTAAGTGCTGAATTCTCAGTCAATTGCCTTCATCCAGATGAGACGTTGGCAATATTATAATCCTTAGAATTAAATACAGTTAGGTTCAATCATATAATCGCTAAAAATTATTAGGACTTTGAAAAACAGTTATTGGATATAATTAAGACTGTTTCTATATCAAAATTATCAGAAGTAGGAGAAGGAAATGTTATATATTTTAGCGATTCTTAATAGGAGTGCTTCTCCTTAGCTAAATTAAAATCTCTGGAATGTAATATATTATTAAGAATTCTAGACCGATTTAAGCGAAAGATTAGAGAAAAATTAAGATTGATTATTACTAAGGATCAAAATTCAAATGCAACACTTAACAAATACATAGATGAAGTCACATAATTAGCGAAAGAACTTAATCAATTATTTGAAGATCTTACTTAGATAGATCTAAATATCGATTTAGCTAAAAAGTGTTTTGAAGCTACATAAATTGAACTTATCCAAAAAGATGCTAATTTTAAGAATTTTTGCGTTGAAATGATTGATAATAAATTCATATCATTTTTGACAGAAATAGAACAAGAAGAGAAGAAAGAAAACGTGTTTTAATCAGCATATTTGAAAAAAAATGTAATTTGAGATATAAATATATATATAAGTATAAATAATATCAAGAACGCTAAACATTAACATTTCCGGTATAGTCTAGTGGTTAGGATATCAGGTTTTCACCCTGGGGACCCGGGTTCAATCCCCGGTATCGGAAAAATTTTTTTGTTAAAATATAAATTAAGTGTTATTTTGGATATGTGAGTGTCTGAGTTTATAAATAATCAAGCAATATTCACAAAGCAATTTTTAAACTTACTATTGACTATTTCTTTAATCTTTTGTCTAGTTTCTCTCTTATTCTATCCTGATGCCATGATAATTGCATTATGTTCTGCTCCATGATTCCATATATAGATATCACTATTGAATTCTGAGAGTCGTTGTCTTATTCCTGGGAATTTCTCGTTTGTTGCCAAAAGAAGTGCCTAGATAGAATTTTGAACCAATGGTGATAATTAAATCTAAACTTAAATAAATATTCTACTATAATAATGATAGTGTTGGTCATGGCAATTATTGTGCCTATGGCTGCATAAGACAAGGTGTTATCAAGCATGCACTCTAGAAATGTACCTATGTTGAAGAGTAATTCACATAAAAATAACATAGTTATGGCATGCATATTCAAATAATGAGTGTAATAGTATTTTGATGGATTTGAGCCTATTAAATCTTTGTAATTGTGTATAAACTATTGAAGTTGCTCCTTATCAGTGGTGAAGTTTGGTTGGATGTATTCAACAAATAAGAAGATCCCTATAAATGACAAGGCTATTCTCAATGAAGCATAGTACAATTCATTATTTTAATTTAATTAATGTTCATCAGTAGGATGATTAATAACATCAAGATCCTCTAGGATTTCATGTGCATTTCTTGATATTTGGAACATAGTTAATATTGATACGTGAATGCATAATGTGAATGAGGACAAATATTCTAATCTTTACATTGCAAAAGGGAAGGTTGTTGTTGATTAAAAGGTCTTTGCTTTAATTCCACAATAGATAGAAAACACAATAACTATTGAATTTAATATGCAATCAAAGCTCTCCTCTGTCAAATGCGCACTGGAACTTGTTAATCCTGAATAAAACGAATAAACAGCAAGTGCAATATACAAAAGTGCTATGATCATTGCTTATTTATAATCTGAACTTCCAAATATGAATTTTATAAATTGTGTATCTTGACTTCGTTCTACTTCAGGTTCAAAATGATGATCATGTTCATGGGAATCATGATCATCATGATCGTGATTATGATTACAATGATTATGATGGCCATGATCATGATCATGAATATGATGATCTTAATCAATAGTGGTCTCACATTCTCCATAGTCACAAATGGTATATGATTATTACTTTGACATTTTTTTAAATTAATAATAATAATTGATGTTATTCATCATTTTTTTGTTAAATTTATAAGTTGCAGTATACACGCGTTATTCAACAACACAGGTAAAAAATACTGTAGCTTTTAAATAATATAAACTTTATACTAGTGAGACTACAGTATTCAAGGCAGGAAATTCAATAAATTTAGAATAAAACCTCATATTAGAAATCAGATAAGAAGGGATTGATTAAGTTGATATTCAAATCTACGACGAGGCAAATAAGCATTTTAGACTGCCATCAGATCCTGTAATAGAATTTACTTATAATAGCCTTTCAACTATAATGATGTGAAGGATCCTCAATAATTTAATTCTTATGATTATGACGTCAAAGTACAAGAAAATAATATTGCGATACAAGTACAAAGAGATGATGCTACCATTTTTTAAATAACCGATTTAATCTTTAGTGAAACATATATTGAATTCACTCATATTCCACAAAATAAATAAATGTGGGGTTTAGGAGAAAGAAATTAAGTTGGATTTCGTTTCAGAGAAGGCATCTACACACTATTTGCAAGAGATGAACCCAATATAATAGAAGATGGGAAGCGACCTGGAAAACATGTATATTCTAGTCACCCAGTATTATTAAGTATGGAAGAAAGTGGTAAATTCAATGTGATGTTCTACAAAACATCATCTCCAATGGATGTCCATTATGGAGAGGATAAAATGAAATTCATAACCATAGGTGGAATCATCCACATAAAGTTATTCCTAGGCGACACATCTCCCAGATCTGCAATTAAAAAGTATCATAAATATTTGGGTGGTTGGATGCTCCCACCATTTTGGGGATTTGGATTTCATTAATGCAGATGGGGATACAAAAACAGCAGTGTTTTAATAGATGTTGTACAATAGTATTAGAAAAATCTTATACCAATTGATATCATCTGGACTGATCTTGACTACATGGATGATAGATAAATATTCTCGGTTGATAAACATAAATTCCCAAAGAAAGATTTTTAATACTTAAAAGGGTTGGGTGTCAGATATATTCCATTGTTAGATGTGGCTGTTGGAGTAAAATATGGAAGTGAAGATGAAGGTTATAGAAAGGGAACAGAGTATGATGTTTTTTTATATTCTCCAAATACTGGATATCGTTTTTAGGGATATGTTTGGCCAGGTGATTCTTATTTCCCTGATTTCTTTCATCCGAATATCAGTAAATATTGGAATGAGATGCATGAACATCTCTACGAATAAGTAGAATTTGATGGTCTATGGGTTGATATGAATGAGCCAGCGAATTTCTGTGAAGGAGAATGCGATTGGAGTAATCATCTTAGAGATCACCCTAAAAGAGAAGACAAGTTGAATAATGCAATCAACTTTCCTTACATCCCAGGATAAATACCATTAGCTAATAAAACATTGCCTCCTCATTTGTTACATCATGGACAATATTTACATAAGGATGTCCATAATCTCTATGGAATCATGGATTCTTACTATACTTATTTAGCTCAAAAAGAATTGGGGAAGGTGCAGCCATTTCAAATAACCAGATCTACATTTCCAGGTACGGGTAAATATGCTTAGCATTGGACAGGGGATAATGGAGCATCATGGGATTTCCTTTATTTATCATTGGGACAAGTATTTTAATTTTAAATTTTCGGAATTCCAATGGTTGGAGCTGATGTTTGTGGCTTTATGGGTGACACAAACGATAAACTCTGTTGTAGGTGGATTTAGTTGGCCTTCTTTTACCCCTTTTTCAGAAATCATAATAATGATTTATCAAAACCATAAGAGTTCTACAATCTTGGATTTCACGTTGTTCAATCTGCTCAAAAAAATATACATCTCAGATATTCATTATTGAAATGGTTTTATTCTATTTTTATTAGGGAATAAAATCACGGGTCAGGTATATTATAATAAATAAATATTAGTAATAAATCCCCTGTTTTTCATTTTCCCTGAGGATTATCTTACTTATAGAGATTTTGTGATGGATACTCAATTGTTGATAGGAGAGGAGTTAATGGGTGCCCCCATTCTCAATGAAGGAGTTACTAGAATTGCATATTTCCCAGATTCTAACTGGTATGATCTGATTACTGGATTGGAATTGAAGGGCAAATAGGATCATACTTTGTATTGTTCATACAATGAAATAGTCCCAATATTTCTCAGAAGTGGATACCTAGTGATACAAAATACAAAAGAAAACATTAAAAATCTTAAATCTTTAGATAATCATTATAGAATTATTGCAGCTCCATTAAACCAGGAAGCGAAAGGAGTATTTGCAGATTTAGATAATTTTGAAGATGAAGAAAAGGCGCTTGAGGCTGAAATTATTCATATAAAATTAGCAGTCGAAGAGAAAAGCATAAAGATTACGATTTCTTAAAGTCACTCAGAATTATTGATAGATGAGATATTGATTTATGGATTAGAATGTTCATATAAATAATGCACGTCTGGGTATTATAAATACAACTCAGTATTCAAAGGTCCATTTAGTTTGGGACAAGATAAAACAGAATTAGTGCTAAAATGATTTATGTTGTTCAATATCTAGATTTACTTTATAATTTTAATAAAGATGTTTCATTAAATAAATATATATCATCTTTTATGGTGTTTCTTATGATGTCTATCCTTTTTGTGTCTGTGCTTTTTGTGCTTCTTTCTTTTGGATCTACTCCTGCTGGAATCTGAAGAGGAATCCGAGGAAGAATCACTGTCTGAATCAGAAGAACTGCTGCTTTCAGGCACTTTTTATTTGACCTCAACAGGTTTTGTAATAGTGGGTTAAACCAATTGGGGTTGTTATTAGATTTATTATGGTTGTTGAGTTGGTTATGGTTATTGTTATTGTTCAGTGATTCCCCATCTTAATTCCTCTTGAAACTTTTCTACATAAGCATAATCAACTAATTTCAATTTGAGTTTTTCATTTTTATACTCAAATACCTTATTACGGTCACTGATTAATCTTTTAGCATCTCTCTCATTTTCATATCTAACAAATGCTACATTTCTGGTATTACCTGTTTGACGATCAATTGGAATTTTCAATTCTTTTATCTTGCCTTCCTTTCTAAACAATTCCATCAATTCCAAATGACTAGCTTTTTCAGGTAAATTCTTAATCAGAATTGTATCTTCAATAGCTCCAGACAATGTTGCTTTCAACTCTTCTTGACTCATCTTCCCTTTGTTAATACGCTCCAACTGTCTCAAGTCATTACGCAACTTATCAATTTTATCCTTCAGCCACTTCTTGCAATCATCGTAAGATATTAACACTTAATATATTCTAGTACTCTTTGCAAATTTAATCTTATCTTCATTAGCCAATACAACTGGTAAATGGGGTTCAACAAATTACTCATTGTGAAAAGTGCCTCCCTTTGAACCCAAATCAACCAGACACACTTGTGATTAATTATTGACAAAAATGGCTGCATGTCTTCTGGAAATAGAAGGATGAGCCAAATGAACGTGATTTCTTTGATGAGATCCGAAATATAAGAATGCTGAATGTTTCATCTCAATTTTGGGCAAGTTCTCTCCCTCTATTAATTAAATTATTTATTTACCTTTCAAGACCTTCAACTCCACCTTTGGGATCATCTTTGACTCCTATTCGATTGGTAATGTCATCAATAACCACTTGTCTTGATCCTCATAATTATTAACGTCAGTTCTGATTTGCTCAAGCAATCTTCCTATTTGGTTGTCACCCTTCCCATCTACTACTCCCCAAAACTGATTGCTCGGAGTAGAGTGAGTGAATGTGTGAATCAATTTATAGTTATTTGTGGCTCTCAACGAATCTCTAATATCAGCATTCCTCCTGAACTTGTCTCTTAACAATACCTCCATTATTCGCAGTCTTTACTTCGCCCAGTGTGGTGGATCATCTATATGTTAGGCTATCTGATAGACTTCCTAAACCGATTATGCCTATTACACTCCAAAATTATATTTACATTCACAAACTTCTATCTCATTTCCTCATCTTAGGTTCTTGCAGATTAATATGCAGCATATACAGAATTATAAATTAACCCCTATTTTTATTAATTCACTGCTCTACCTAATAATAAACAGCACATGGATATTCATTTGCCAAAAATTCAAATTGATCCGTAAAGGATTCAATTCTTTCCATCCTCTACTTTAGAAACAGAAAGTCCGCCTGCTCTTCATATCTCTAGAGCTCTGCTTAAAATTAGGCATTCTTTTCCATTTAAGCATAAAGAGACATCCTAATAAATATTTTATAATGATAATTATTTTATATATGATATTTTCATTAATTTTTCAAGAATTTTTTATGAAAACTTTTGTGAACATTTAAAAAGTATTACTAAATCTTAATTTTCAAATTTTAAATAATTTTAATAAGACAAAATAATTCATTATTTTTATATCTGCTCTATAAACCTATAATTAAATGAAATTCATTAGAGAAATAGGAAAACTTGCTTAAATTATTTTATTGAATATCTAGTAACTCTAATTGAATTTTTTACAAGAGGAATTTTGAAAATAAACAAATGCTGAAAGCACATAACAAAAAGGTTAAATCCTTAAAATAAATGGTTATATCTAGATAATAATATTGCTTAATAAAGACAATAAAGCTGTAGATGTTTATGAATTGGAAGCATATGTTTTATTTGTGAAAGAAGATCGGATAGACTACAATATAATATGAAATTTTGTATAAGACTGAAGTTTATCATTGTAAACCTAAATTTGACTTAAATCTGAGTAGATCAAGTTATATTTATCAATAGAGATAGCAATAAATTATTGTTGATGTTATAAATTGGTAATCATTCCAAAATCATCATCGTGTCTATTATATTGTCAATTGGAAGATCCCTATTATGCATGTTAAAGATTTTAGCTTTAAATTATTCACTGCCATCTATTGTTTTTATATTTTGATATTGTCTAAGGTATTTTGAATCTAGTTATTTTTAGTATTCTTGATTAATAGAAATTTTAGCATTTTATTTGACCTATTTTATCACTTATTATTATTCAACTGGTTAAGGTTATTTTTTAATTGGCTCACCCTTCTAATTTTGAGCCTCCTTAAATTATTTAAGAAGTTATTCTATCTTTTTAAGCTACTCGTTTAAATGCACATTTTCTTCTGCTTTTTCTTTATTTTACTTTTGATATCTTAAGATTTTGCTTGTTTCTTCTTATTTTAATTGCTTTTTTTCAGTTTCACCTTCTCCGGGATCTTGTAGATCACTAATGAATTCCTCTCCCTATTCTATGATGGATTTGTTGGTGGAAATAAGATTCTTGATAAAATTTTAGTAAACTGGCAAATCTCTAAAATGAATATTAGACTTTGGATTCTGGATCCATTTATTTAAATTGTAGTTGATTCTTTCTTTGATTTGATCATCTGTTAATTTGGAAGTGGATTTAATTATGTCTCTAGTTAATAGTAAAATGATGGCAATTACCTTTCCTTTCTTAGTAGATATTCTTTATTGGGAATTTGAATTCCATTTTCTTCACATCTTTTTTGCCATACAACAAATTCTTGTTTTTGAATTTATTGATTTGAAATAAGAGTAATATGTCTAAATTTAGCGTCCTTCACTTCTCCAAATTGTAATTTAAGCAATTTATATGTCTGAGTCTATTCTAATTGATAGGATTTCTCGCCTTCAACAACAGCCAAAACCTAAGCAATTGCATAACTCTATTCTTTTCTTCTGATGAGATTGGGCTCATTAATTTTAACAAAAGATCCTTCAATGATATTATCACAATAATGCTTCATCAAAAGGTAATAAATTTGATCTCTTTTGAGTTGTGCATTTTGGATCAATTTAAAGTAAGTATCTAATTGTTCATTATTGGGCTCAACAATTACAGGCTTTTCTTCAATCTTTTACTCAAATTGAGGCTCTTCTTTTTGATACTCATTCTCGGATTATAAAGAGTCAGATGACTCGGAATCGCTAGAAATCTTTTCTAGATTCACTTTTTAAGTCTAAGGATTTTATGTCTAGGGATTTGACAAGAGTATTGATCTTTTGTATTCTTCCTCCTCCTTCTATTTTCTAATTTCAGCCCAAGCCTTCTCCTTTTCTAACTCTGTTCTGGCTTTCAGAAACATAGTTTGTTAGGCTGGAGTCATCTCATTGAAATTATACAGAAGATTTTACTATTTAGACATATTTAATAATAATCATTTTTTATTTGGTTTGTTCAACTTCTTGGCATTCTTGTCCTTAGCCTAAGCTCCATACTTTTATTTTAATTTGGCTGTCACCTCCTAATCAATATCATCTTCAATTTCCCCATCACTAACATCATCATCCTCCTTGTCTTGAATTCTAACTCTAATATTTCTACTAACATTCTCTGGTTTGATGTCTATAACATAAACAATAATAATAAACTGTTATCTCTTAAATTCAAATTGATGAATTGATCAATATGTTCCTTATTGAAATCCTTCCAAGTCTATTTGAAATCCTAAGCACGATAAGAGGCATCATTCTTAATCAATTGCAAAATGAGTTTCATCTTCTCAACAACCTAAGACAATCCATCTACTAAAGTTTCATCAGAAATCACAATATTAGGTTTTCCTTCTAATTTAAAGAATTCCAATTTCTCATACAAATGTTCTATACCAGCCTTGACATTAACTAATATCTTCTGGACTCTCTCATATTTCAATTTAGTCCTTTCACATTTGTTAATTGCATTATTCACATTGTTTTCAATCTATCATACAATACTTAATTTACTTCATCAATCTACTTTCTTGTTAATGCTTCTCCTCCCTCATACTTTAAATCATTCAAATGATCTCTCAATTTCTATCTTTCAGTTACTAATTATTCAATCTTATCCTAATACTCCCCCTTAAGATCACTCAATGATTTGCTAGTCTCATCCTAACTAGTGAACTTTTAAATGATATCATTCACATCTCTGAATCCAGTGGCTTCCTTCAACTTATGAAATGCCTCTTCATAATCAGCCAACTTCTATTTCTAGATATTTGTATCCACATTTGGATTGGATGACTCCTAAATAGGAATATTCGATGTATTATATTCCACCTAAGTCTATACATTATCCTTTTCTCTTTTCTCCAACTTCTATATAACCTTCTCTCTCTCCTCAATTGCCTTTCTCTTTGCATCCAAATAAGTCTTTCTTAATTCCCGCACTGCTGCCTTCTTGTGTTCATACTTCTTCAACTCAGCCTAAGCCAACTCCTTTGCATGAGTGGCATCGTGAGCCAATAACAATAGCTCCTCATAATCGTGCTCCTTTCCCTTCAATGATCTTTCAATAGCTGCTAATTAATTATCATATCCAACTCTTTCTTCCTTCAATCTCTTCACTATTTGTTCGTATGTTTTTCTAATTGATTATGCCTCATTATATTTGATCATGACTTTATCCAAGTTATTTTCCAATATTCGAATTTATCTCATCAGAGGAGATTCTTCTGGGACTCCGAATTTGGTGTCACTTACTTCATTCAATTTGTCCTGCAATTGAATCAATCTTTCTTTTTTGGCTTTTGTTAAGTGTTTGGCATCATCCAATTTACGTCTCCAATAATTCTCATCTTTTATGTCTCCAGACCAAGATATGAATGCTCCTTGTGTCTTTGCTAAAGAAGCACTTGCACCCTACTATTTGCAAACTCTTATACTCTTTTATTTGCAATTAATTCATCTTACAGTTTCTTTAAATCCTTATTCTCTTTTTTTAATTGATCAATGATTTCATTGTTCTTACGCTTAGTCTCTTCAGCATTATTATAAAAATTCTTTCTATCAGCATCAAGAAGCCCAGATTTTTTTATTTGATGTTCCAACTCCTCCTCAATTGAACGAAGATTTTATTAACTCTTTGCTGTTTGAACTCTTGACATTTTTAATTAAATTTATAAACAAATATTCCCAATTCACATTTCATTCAACTATATCTTAAACGCAAATCTCAACATATAAATTGTATCATTCAATGCTAAGCCTCCTAAATCTGGAACCAGAATTAAATTGATTACATTTTATTCAAATTCAAATATACAAATGATTCTTTGCATTATACGCTAAAACACAGTAATTTCTATAAGTCTGTTATTAACATACTCAACCAATCAATTTAGAATCAATTTTAAAAAAAATCCACTAATATGAGAATTAATTATTATAACAATCAAATTAACTAACAATTCACTAGAGGGTTAGATTTGATATTCCATAGATTTTCAAATGATTTTCATTAAATATAGACCTTTATTAGAGAGAGAGCTTATTGAAAATATTTTCATATCTAAATTAATGCAACAATTTACTGCCACTTATGGCTTGTAAATAACAAAATGATCTTGTTTGGAACCTTGAGATTATAGTAACTGTTCATGAATTAAAATCTTTAGTCTTATTGTATTATCAAAGAAAATTAGCTGGACTTTAATTGAGAAACAATAGAGTTAAATTCTCATACTTTTCGGTTACTCAAATGATGCAGTTACTAAATTATCATAATTAAGAATATTAAAGAACTGATTTGTTGTATCCTAGGTGAAATATAAATTTAGTTTATCCTAATTTAAGTATTATTATAGTTATTCAATAAAATGGTTGATTCTATTTGTAATATTCATTTTCTTTTTGATTTGTTCCTTACTCGTTATATTGATCACTTATGTTGTGGAGAGGAACTATAAGTTGGTGGAAATAATAACTTCCAGTATTCTTAAACAATAAAGAGTTTTTCAGTTGAAAGGTCAATAAAATTTATTTAAAATTTGAATAATGAGCCGCGGCAATGAATTAGACGATCTGCTCTTCAAAAGGAGGGATTAAAACTCAAAATAGGGGGAAGATTTGAAATAGATTATAGAGAATATTCCTTATCCTCATGCAGATATAACGATAACTTCTTATAGTGAATTCTCTGATAACACACCATAAAAATATCTCCATAAATTAGTGCACACAGAAAATACAGAGGTTCAGCCTCAGAAGGTTCGAAGAAATCGAACTTAAGTGGATGCTTATGCAACTGATAGCGAAGTTGAACAAAGGGAATTGAAATCCTAAAAAGTAGATTAAAAAAGAAAACCTCTTCAATAACAACCAATAAACCAATAGGAAATCAAACCTCCTTTGGTGCCTCAACAATAATAACAATTATAAGATTTCTACGCATCAGGAGGATCTTACTTGGAATCAATGACCCCATAACGAATGAATAAAATTGTGGATTGGTCAAAGTAACATGTAACACCAGGTGATGCTAAGAATATCTTTCCTTAAGTAATAGCTCCAAGCATTGAATTTTCAAATGAAAACTCTCTATCTCTTTAATTTAAGAATGTTGATCCAGAACCAAAGAAACCATAAATTCTGTCTCATTAAAATCAAAACACTTAAAACTCTCGTCTAGAAAATAGAGTCTGGGAAAAATAGAAAAGATACATGGAGAACGAAATATAAGGAATGAAGAAACAATAAAGGAAATTAGAAAATGAAAATTTAGTATTAGCTTAGAAGCTTGAAGAATAGGAAGAGTTGACTAAATTACTTTAAGAGAAACATAAGGATTATTCATGCTTAGAAATATTACGAGGTAAATATCTGGAAGTGGCGAAGTAGTAAATGAAATAATTGAAGTAATAATTGGATTTGAAAGATTAGAAATTAAGAGACTTAAATGAATAAACAAAAGGAATGATCGAAAATGAAAAAAGAATGCAAGAGGCCATAGAATTAGAATTAAGAGAATTGCATGCTTAATTGGAAATCAAAGATCAAATGGTTAGAGCACTCAAAAATCAATAAAATAACGAAGATAATGAGAGATAAAAGGCTTTACAAGAATATGAGAAAACCATGAGTGATGGCAATAAATTTATTGCAAAATTGAAGAGCTAAATTGAAACTTAAATGAAAGCCTTAGAAGAGAAAGAATCAATCATTACATCATAGGATGCTTAGATCTAAAATTTGTAAGTCAGGCTATTAAAAGAAGCTGAGTATAGAAAGCAAGATGAAAAAGTAATTAACGAATTCAAGTCTAAAGAAGCATTGCTCTATTAATAAGTGACTGGAAATACTATGCCAGAGGTACATAACAGGGCTATGGAAGAACTTTAAGCAGAATGCATCAATTAGAAGATCTTAATTTCTTAACTACAAAGTTAATTAACCTAATAGATGTAAATGCATCAATTATAACACATGAATTCCAATTCTTATAAGGAATGTGAGTAATGCAAATTATGCAAAGATGAATTAGCAAATATCATTTAAGAATGTTCTCTTGAAGAGGAGGCCAAAACAATAGATGCTACTTAAAGTATTGCTCAGATTGCCAGAGAAGTTGTTACTCTATTATTGACTAAACAGAGGGAATAAATAGATCACGCCTTTTTATAGTATGAGGAGTAAATTAAAGAACTAACATAATAAATTGATTATTTTAAGGAATAGAACGATGAAGTTATGTAAGAGAATCAAAAGATCTCCGATTAAATTTAAATGGTATTGGAGAAGAAGGAGGAATAAGAATAGTAGATATTCGAAGAATATGAGAAACTTAGATAAATGAATTAAAATCTTTTATCCGAAAATAAAACTCTTAAATTAGAATTGGAACAAGTTAAATCGTAACTTAGAAATGAAACCTAAGCTCATTCTAATGAAATCTAATAATTAAAACATGAAATTTAAACTAATAAATAATCTCTCTATTAAGCTAAATAAAATGAAACTAAATTAGTTGTCCAACAAAGCCAAATGAAGAACGAAGAAAAGCTGCTGATTAATTAAGAAATGGAAAATATGAAAACTCTTTTCTAAAACCAAATTCAAGAACTTTATAATAAACTTCACAACCAAGATGAATAAATTTAAGAATTAACAAAGGAGCTATATTCTAAAAAAAAACAAATCGATGAAATGCAACAAATATAATCTTCATCCATCAAGAAGTAAAAGAAAGAAAAGGAATAGAAAGAAAGCAAAGAATAAACTCAGCTTAAGACTTACGCTTAGCAATTAAGTGATCTGAATGACGAGAAGAGTAAACTTTTATTAAAAATCCAACATCTAGAATAATAATAAACTTATTAAACTAAAAGATTGGATGAAGAAAAACATGATAAATTGGACAAATTAAATTAGTAAATCAAAGAAAAAGATAAAAAGAACATAGATCTTTATAATTAAAACAGAACTCTTTAGAATTTATAAAAAGAGCTAGATGACTAAATTTCATCAATGAAGGATGAAATCGAAAAGTAAAAAAAACAAATACAACTAAAAAATTCAGAAATCAAATAGTTATTAGATTAGAATAAATAGTTATAGGACAAGAATTAAGAAATTAACAACAGATTGAGTTTGCTCTAATAATAAATGAACCAATTTGAAAGTGAAATTAAGCATTATGAATAAAGTCCTTAAATTCCAGAAAAATTAAGATCTCAGGCTTCTGTTAGAAGCTTTGATAAAACTCCTCATGCAGTCATAGAATTAGTTGAAGGATTCAATCAATATTAATAGGAATTTTATCATCTAAAAAAAATGTTCACTGAGAAATTAAAGGCTCAAGAATAAGTATTTATTTAATTTATACATAGAATTTAACATCCCTACAGCAAGCTAATCAGTAAATCACTTAATAAAATATTAAATTGATTTAAGAAAACAATGCACTAAAGGATGAAATACAATCAGCCAGTCATGGAAAAAATTATGAAGATAGAGGATCAGCCTAAACTGGGGATTCTCTTAATATACGCTCATTCTTGGATCATGATCATAAAAAAACCCTCCCATGCAAAACGCCTGAATAACATTTTTCTATAGTTGAATTAGTTTAGCCAGAAATTATGTCGATTGAGGATACTGTTATGATCTTCAAAGAAATCTTAAGAAGGTCAGTCAAATCAGTAGAAATGATTAAAATGATTTGTCCTTTGCCTGAAATTAAAGAATTACTTATGATAATTATATAAGTGGAAGAAAAAATGTAATAACAAAATTAAACTACTGCAAATAAAAAATCTAAAATCATAAATTCTATTTTGGGAGCATCAAACATTAAGATGATAGATTAATCTAGAAAAAAGAGTGCGTGTGGAGGAATTAGAGTTAAATAAAGTCATAGAAGTGAAACAGGAGTAGTTGAATTTTATGAATGATTTATTAACAGATTTTTTATAAAATTTTCATTCAATTTATAGTGAAGAAGATTTCGGATGAGTTTTAACTATAATTGTAACTTGAAATTTAAATCCTTATCAAAATTATCAATAATAAATAGATTCTGGAACAAGACAGTCTATTAAGATTAAAAACTTTCAATTAAATTCTCAGTTTCTTTAAAAAAAATTTACTTAGATGTTAACCTAAGTGATTAGTTCCAAGATGCGAGGAAATGTATTTGTGCCTTAATAGTTAAAGCAACTTCATCTACAAAAATAATAAAATTTATTAATTAAAGGATTATAAATATAAAATGAAGATTAGTATGAATTTTTTTATATTAATTTAAATATATATATTTATTAAGTGATGGAGCAAAAGCATTTGATGGTATACCCTTATGAATAATATATAAGAGATATTACGTTGAAGAATAATAGACATTACATAGAGCAGCTGCAGTTTATGGTTCTGGGTTGGCTATGCAATTAAATTTAGAGAGAAATATTTTAGGAGCTCCAGGATAATCATCATATATTCATTTAGAGATTGCAATGAATAAATTGAATGATATAGATGAATTAGATTTTATGGGAAATAAGAAATTAGAATAAGAATACGTGAAAGGATTTTAATAAATATGAACATTAGTATTAAATAAAAATTGGAATTTTTAAGTTATTATCATAATAATCTCAATGATTTTCTAAGTTGTGTAATATCTGTGTTTATGTGTTCTTCAAAATAAACATTCATAATAAATTCACTTTTATTGGCTCTTTTCAAAATTTCAGGTAAAGTTTCTAATAATTTTTGTTTTTCCTAATAATTTAATTTGAATGACCCAACAAATGCACTTAAGGTTGCTGATGGCAATCCAACTTAAGCCATTTCATACCATTTCACAACAATTTCATCATAGACACTTACTTCATACATAAGTAACACATGTATAAAATCATGGGTCTATAGTTGATATTATAGGATTATACTTCTTTATATCTTTGATAAACATATGCCAATTCCAAATCTGGAATATATTTAACTATTGGTCTTTCATCACTAGAGAAGTCTCTATCCCTCATAAATTTTCCATATTGATAACTTTATATTTAAGATGAATGCTACCCAAAGTATTTTCGTTCAATTTTAACAATTCTTCAATTTTGAATGTTTCAGGTGTAACTCTTGGTTTATCAATTAATATTCTCTAGCCAACAGGATGCTGAAGCATTCTTTAGTGGATGTCCTTTACACAATAATACCCTGATAATTCTCCCAATTAGGAGAGATGATTTTCACTTAATAAAAGGTTGTTAAGTAAATTTACTTTAAAGGATATTTGTATGCATTTATAGCACATTGGAACAGCGTGGATAATCGTTCGAATTTATTATCAAGGAAAGAAAATGTTTGTGTTTGTGTTTTTTTGAGTGAAAGGTTTTGAATGATAATTCTAAAATATAATAAATTTTTTCAATATTAATTTTTCCATAATTTTTCATATAATTAAGCACTATTTTTGATAGGCCTATTCACTGATTTCATTAAAGAACTCGTGCATGAGGTAGTACTCATCACTTCCATAACACGTTTATTTCTATGAATAGGGCTATTATCAAGAATCAATACAAACTCTTAATCTTTATAATGATGTTTCAATGCTCTTATTGGCTGCTAAAGATGATAACAATAAATTTATGTATTGCATTTCCTTGCGCCGCTTGATATGCGTTACAAATTTTGTATCTACCATACCAAAAATCCCAATACTGCATATTGAAAACTTTTGTTATCTTCTCAATTGCCAGCATTTTTATTATGATTTCATTTAATACTCCAATGCTGTTTCATCAATATATACGAATTAAGATTTTCTAATACTGAAACTTAAAAATTTACAGGAGTAGTTAATCGTAATTTTAAACTTATTTCATTTGAGATTATTATATCATTTTTGAAGTCGATAAGTTGCAGAACAATATTTCTTTAAAATCAATTAAAAATTTCTTAAATTTATTGCTGAGAAGCTAATTGAAATTCTTAATTAAAATTATGGAATATATAGATTGATTTCTAAAGTTCATTTGATGTATGGCTTCTTAAATAATTTTAATCCAGTTTACATGAATTGCATTGAGGTTGAATTAATTCTTACTATCTTATTGCAATTTTAGTTCAACTTAAGATATCAGACTTATCTTGGAGTCAGTCCTGTGGATGCGGCTATAGTATCAATAGAGAATTCATTTAATCTTAGACTTCTGACTACTGATCTTATTTTTGTGACTAAATCATACTTTCATTCGTTTTATATACTCGATGGCTTATTTTTATTTTCCAGCATTTTCTCCTTTATCAAAAAATGAATTGTTATTTTCCATTTGAAATTACATAATAATATAAGAATGGCAATTTAAGTCATAATGAGTGAAAAAAATTTCTAAATTTTTATTCAAATTTGCTATTATTGATTTTAATTATTTTTAGGCAATTACATTTCAAGAAGCAAATCAATTAGTGGGGGGAGTTTAATCTATGCATGCAGCATTGATCTTAAAGAATTACTATATGTCGGATATGGCATCATAAGTTATAATATGTGATTATCTTTTGAGTGTTGTTTTTGGAAGGTGTTGAAAAAGTTTAATTGAAAATAGGTTAATTATTTAACAATTTCATTAAAATTAAGCTATTTTATGACTCAGAAGCAATATATCTAAAGAAAAACATTTACCTTGGATTCAACATACTGAAATTACCTTACAAAAATGGCTGACAAATGTTCTATTTACACTAAATGAATACTTAGATGCGGACAAAGTAGTGGTTTGACAAAAGATGATGTAGTGTAATATATGATCTAAAAAAAGTGTATTAAAATCTTTAGATACTACCTTAGGGAGAAAAAAGTCTATGAAGTTTTTGAAAAGAACACATTAGCAAGTGGAAGAAAAGAAAGTAAAAATAGCTCAAAGAAAAAATAAAGAATGTGAAAGCAAGGTTTATTAGAAAAGAAGAGTCAGACAGAATGAAATAAAAATTAGGTACCTCCATATAAAATTTAGGAAATTATGTAGCCCTAGTAATCAATATAAGATGCACCAATATTCAAATAATAGCAAAAATTATGTTGAAAGTGATGAGTACTACCTCATGCACTAGTTCTTTAATGAAATCAGTGAATAGACCAATAAAAAATAGTGCTTAATTATATGAAAAATTATGGAAAAATTGAATATTGAAAAAAATTATATATATTTTAGAATTATCATCCAAAACCTTTCACTCAAAAAAACACAAAGACAAACATTTTCTTTCCTTGATAATATTTTTTAAGGGTGTGTGATTATTAATTAAATCTCTTAGCATTTTAATTAATGTATATAAACTCTGAGAATTTATTACCAAAATTAGAAGGATAGGCCTTTGGTATTGATATTGAATTTAGTAATAATCGAATCTGTCTTATTTAAATATCTGATGGGAAGGATATATATTTATTCGATCCAATAGCATTGAATTTGGAATAATACATGAGAGAATTTTTTAAAAATGAAGCCATAAAAATATTTTATAGTGGTGCCTAAGATTTGAAATGGTTGAAGAATGAATATTAAATTGTGGTGAATAACTATTGTGATTTAAAAGTGTTAGCTTAAAAAGAGCCAGATTTAAGTTTGATTGCATTATGGAAGAAATATTGTGGAGTCTAATTTGAGAGAGAGGATAAAAAAAGATTACAAAAGAGTGATTGGTTTGCTAGACCATTAACTGAAGAATAATTATTTTATGCCGCTCTTGATTGTAAGTATCTAGTAGTTCTAAGAGAAATCTTATTGTAATAATACACTGAAGAGGAACAGAAAAGCATTCATTTCTCCACCGATCTTAAAGAACCTAAACTATTAAGATATTTAAAAAAATAGTTGGCTGATAATTAAGATGTCCTTTTGCCTTAAAAGATATATAGACATATCAAATTCCATGATCCATTTTAAACAGATGATTAAAAAGTGATTGGATTGATTGAATAATTGACTAAAAAGCATCATCAAGATTATCAAGAATAGAAAAGATAAAGATTTTTATAATTTTAGGAAAAGTTTACTACTCATAAACCTGTTTATAGTAATTGTCGTATTTATAGTTTGAGTGGATAATAGTTATGTTGTTGTGATTAAAAGAAAATATCATGGTATGTAAAGAATGGGCTGGGAGAATATTTAGATGAAAAGAGCATCAAACTCAATTTTGATCCTGTGTGTGAATTTGATGAAAAAGAAATGAAATTTTATAATGAGGAAAGGTCCAATAGATGTGTTATTTGTGGTGCCTCTACTAATATATTGAAATACTAAATTATTCCTTATATGTACAAACATTACTTACCGAATCACTATAAATCTCATAGAGCTCATGATGTTGTAATCCTATGTGCTCGATGCCATGAAAAAGCCTCATCTCAACAAGATAAGAAAAGAGCTGAAATAGCCAAATTGTATGAAGTGCCTTTATAGCATTATGGAGAGGAAAAACTAGTGGTTGATAAATTGAGTCATATTCTTAAAAAATATGAAAGTCTAACAAAAGCAGGGAAGCCTTTTGACATGATGTTGTATGAGGAAATCAGAAATTAATTTAAAGATCTTATCTAATTACCAGCTGAATTTGACAAATAGGAGTTGACAAAAATTAATGATAAATTGAAAAAGGAGTTAAAAAATTCACATGGAGAAGCTGTTGTTAAAAAATTAGATACTGATGAGAAAATTGAAGAATTTATTATGATCTTCAGAAAACATTTCTTATCTTCAATGGATCCTTAATTTTTACCTAAAGAATGGGCTATAGATCATAGATTTAAAAGGAATTTTGGCGAGAAATCAGTTTATTATTAAAAAGAAGAATAGAATGACTAAAATAAATAGGATATCCAAAAAATGGATTAGTAATTAATAAAGGAATGAATGACAATTTATTTTTATTTACAAAATTTAAAAAGTGCTTGTTTATAACTTATTTATTTTATTCATGAGATTAATTAATCAGAATGCTACCCCTAAATATGAATAATAATAATAATAAATAGTATTACCTAATGTAAGAGGAAGGTCTAATACAATGCAGTAGAGCAAATAAAAAAATAATTATAAGAAATAGATTACTCTAAACAATGATCTTTTATAAAACACTGGTAATGAACTTAATTCATCAAGACTGGACAACATATTCTAAATGGAAATTATGACTCATAAATTTGAATAATTAAAGGTTTCCTTATCTCATTCTACCTAAGGGGATGTTAATAAAACAAATATAATAAATAGTCAAAAAAAAAAAAAAAAANCTAAAAAGCATCATCAAGATTATCAAGAATAGAAAAGATAAAGATTTTTATAATTTTAGGAAAAGTTTACTACTCATAAACCTGTTTATAGTAATTGTCGTATTTATAGTTTGAGTGGATAATAGTTATGTTGTTGTGATTAAAAGAAAATATCATGGTATGTAAAGAATGGGCTGGGAGAATATTTAGATGAAAAGAGCATCAAACTCAATTTTGATCCTGTGTGTGAATTTGATGAAAAAGAAATGAAATTTTATAATGAGGAAAGGTCCAATAGATGTGTTATTTGTGGTGCCTCTACTAATATATTGAAATACTAAATTATTCCTTATATGTACAAACATTACTTACCGAATCACTATAAATCTCATAGAGCTCATGATGTTGTAATCCTATGTGCTCGATGCCATGAAAAAGCCTCATCTCAACAAGATAAGAAAAGAGCTGAAATAGCCAAATTGTATGAAGTGCCTTTATAGCATTATGGAGAGGAAAAACTAGTGGTTGATAAATTGAGTCATATTCTTAAAAAATATGAAAGTCTAACAAAAGCAGGGAAGCCTTTTGACATGATGTTGTATGAGGAAATCAGAAATTAATTTAAAGATCTTATCTAATTACCAGCTGAATTTGACAAATAGGAGTTGACAAAAATTAATGATAAATTGAAAAAGGAGTTAAAAAATTCACATGGAGAAGCTGTTGTTAAAAAATTAGATACTGATGAGAAAATTGAAGAATTTATTATGATCTTCAGAAAACATTTCTTATCTTCAATGGATCCTTAATTTTTACCTAAAGAATGGGCTATAGATCATAGATTTAAAAGGAATTTTGGCGAGAAATCAGTTTATTATTAAAAAGAAGAATAGAATGACTAAAATAAATAGGATATCCAAAAAATGGATTAGTAATTAATAAAGGAATGAATGACAATTTATTTTTATTTACAAAATTTAAAAAGTGCTTGTTTATAACTTATTTATTTTATTCATGAGATTAATTAATCAGAATGCTACCCCTAAATATGAATAATAATAATAATAAATAGTATTACCTAATGTAAGAGGAAGGTCTAATACAATGCAGTAGAGCAAATAAAAAAATAATTATAAGAAATAGATTACTCTAAACAATGATCTTTTATAAAACACTGGTAATGAACTTAATTCATCAAGACTGGACAACATATTCTAAATGGAAATTATGACTCATAAATTTGAATAATTAAAGGTTTCCTTATCTCATTCTACCTAAGGGGATGTTAATAAAACAAATATAATAAATAGTCAAAAAAAAAAAAAAAATTAAAGGCTTAATATAATGAATCGAATTATAGAATAAATGAGTATTAGATGTTTAAAAAGAAAATAGATGACAATATTTAAACAGAATTAAGATAGATTTAGGAATCGCGTTAAAAATTAATGAAATGTGTCCTAAATACTCGATAAAGAAATATTTCTTTATAATTATATGGAGATGATCTGACGCCTGTCATAACTAACGAAAAGGTCAATCGATAAAATGAAAAAGAAAAAAATGGTAAATCTTACTCCTTACTTCCTAGAATAATAGTTATTATTAGATTCCATTAAAAAATAATACACCCAAAGATCCCCCATGGGCAATGCGTACTGCGGTTTAAAAGCCTTAAGGAAGTGTTAACAAAGTAAATTGTTTAATAAATTACTTTGAAATAAAATTTTTATACAATATTAAACTTATATTTTTCGATGAACAGTTTGAGGATCTCATTACCGATTCAAAGAACTAATGTTTAAAACCACCATATCCGTACCCGTATGAATACTTCACAGCTTTCCAAAAGATCAATAGAAACAGGAGCAATAGTTTAAAACAAGAACCTTAATACTCAAATTTATACGGATGAAAAAATCATTTTCATTAGATTGCTATGAAAAAAGGTTAGAATAGAGAAAAGAAAAAGAATTAAATTTGAGAATCAAAATCTTAAATGATATTAACAAAAATACTGCTGAAGCTGGATTTAACTTATATGATGAGATTGATTAAAAGGAAGTTCCTTAAAAACATGACTATCTTTCTAATTAATATGAAGAGATCTCCTCATTGAATCAGCAATAATAATTATAGAATGTTACAACTAAAAAATGAATTAATAAATCATCAAAAGTATTAAAGATTTTTAATCGAAAGATTTAAAAGTAAATGGCAAAGAGCTTAAAAATCTCCTGCTGGATGATTGAATTCATTTAATACTTGGTTATTTAATTCAGAATATTTATATATTATTTACTATGACATCATCATAATATACAAGGTAGTATTGTAGTTTCATTAATTTATCTAGAGCTTATCTTACGAGAAAAAGGAGATGCTTTTTGTTATAGACTTGGCATGATAATTTGTTTTCTAATTTTCTCCTATAATATGTTGTTGACAGCAAGTTTGCTGAATTTGCTCTGCAAAGACCCTTCTGATAGTATTTTATTTAGTGAATTATGATTCTGCTTTAGATTCTCAAGGTCTAGTCTATTTAGTTAATGATTTTTATTAATCTTTTGGGCTTAATCTTTATAAATACATATCATATACTAGTTTATTCATATTAAGATAGTCTAGTTGGATTAGAATGCAAAGAGTCATTCCCCCCTCCCAAAGTTGCTAACCTTTTACGAGAGGAAGTAATCTACTCATTTTTATTCTATGAATCCTACTTATAAGTAGACTTAGGGAAAATATTTTAGTAGCTCTTGTTTTTTGGAAATTAGATTGTTTTAATTAGTTACCCAGCATTTTGAAGAGTAAGTTGGAAATTTTAGAAGCAATTTAATTCTAGTAATTAAGTTGCTGTAGGTCTTAAAACCGTCGAAACTTATAACATCATTCTTATTAAATTTTGTAAATCAAATGTGTAAGGTTTAGGTAGTTTTTGGTAATATCCTAAGTTATCCAAGTAGACATACCCTTAATCACTTTGTTATAGAGGCCATCCATGTCTTCCGCTTGAAAAGGTAATTTTAATGCTGCCATTTCATATAATACACAACCCAAAGACCAGATATCTGATTTACAATCGTAGGGTTGGTCTTTCCATACTTCTGGACTTGCATAGTATGGGGTACCAGTTTAAGTGTATAGTAAACCTTACTTTGCGACTTTGGACACATTCAGGTCTCCCAATTTGACTTCGTTGTTTATCAAAAATATGTTAGCACTCTTTATATCACGATGCATCACTTTCATTTAGTGAAGTGCTTTTAAGGCATTTATAATTTGAAAAGCATATTTTAATATCTCCTTTTCTTAGAATTAACTATTTGTTTTGATGCATTTCTATATCTTCTGCAATAAATCTCCATCAGCGGCAAGTTCCATTACAATACTATATATTATATATTTATATTTAACCATAAAGAGTTACTGACTGGATCAATGAAGGCTTCTTTGTAACTAATAATATTTTAATGATGAATTGAAGCAAGAATCCTTACTTCATTTAAGGCATTTTGCTTTTCTTTATCGGATAAGTTGGTTAAATTTACTTTCTTTAGAGCGTATTCAAGATTGTCTTCTATCCTTCTGACTTTGTAAACATTGGAATAAGATCCGTCGCCTTTGATATCTTAATCTAGTACCTAGTTTGGATATTATTTTAAAATCCTTTAATGACATGAATTGTTATCTCAAAATGGAATAATGAATTTGTAAATTTTAATAAGTAAATTTTGTTCGTACACAAATAATTTATCAATTATTATGAAATGAAATTAATAAAATAGAAAAAGAAAGCTAATTAATTAGTGGGAATCTTATAGAGTATTTATTAATAAATTTGAATAAAATTGATTAATTTTCATTCAACCTAAATTCTTATCGTTCTTTTTCTAGTTGTTATTATTGGTATTGTTTGTTTGTGTTTGTGTTTGTGTTTTGTTAGCACCTTAATAAAATCCAGTTTAGCCTCCGTATAAGGCAGCTCTTTACTAATCGTTCATATAAACAGTCTGAACACCTGCACCATTGATATTGGGATTAAGACTCTAAAAGGATTTCATTACAAATGTCAACACAGTTCTACCAACCTGAAAATGATATTGTCTTAGCTTACCTAAATGGCTATTTTATCCATGCACAACAGGTATGGAGTTTAAAGACGAACTAAAGTACCGAATTTACTATTATTATCCACTATAACAAAATTGCCCATTTCATATTTGATAAATGCATGTAATCTTGATACTGAGATATCTGATATTCTAATTTCACATTAATGACCTCGACCTAATTTGATTTAGTCATCTGGAGTTCCTTTGATAAGGTAAATTCCTCTCTATGCCTTCTTATCCTTTTCTGAGATTTATGTGTTTTCAAGGATTATATATGGTTGATTGGGTCTTTCCAAGGCTGCCAAATCTAGCACTTTCCCTTTGAATCTGATTTATTGTGGCAACAATTCCTGACAGACTTCACACTCTAATCTAAGGGATATTAGTATTGGTACTTCTTCCATCTATAGGAAATTGTGTTGCCAGATTCTTTTTTGTAGCCTCTGCTTTCTAACCATTGTTTAAGACAATTGAAATGCACATAAGCACAACTTCCATTGCATTTACAAGGAGTGATAAATGGATCTTCTGGGGTCTCTTCTTCATTTAAACATATTTTGCACTATTAAACTACACCACCATCTATTGAGGGTGTAATTTTGGCTTCTGACTAGAAAACATCCTTCACTGTTCTTATTTGTCCCTTGCTGTCTCTGATTTCAATCACGTGGTATTCTACTCTGCCTAATTTTAGAAGATCCCCCTCTTGTAATGTATAACCCTTTACTGTAATAAATATTGATACCTTCTAAACACCATCGGCATTTTTTAAACTACGAACGATTAAAAAATTTTCATTTTCTGTTGAGTTTTGATTCGGTTGAATAAAATATTAGTCTGAATATTAATAATTTATATACCTCCCTAAGCTTAAATGGATGTTAGAGGTAAGTGTGCCTCATCCTTAGCCTTTCCATCTTATATAACTATTTCATTCTCTATTATAATAATAACACTTTCAAACCTTCTCTGCTGACTTTGCATGATCCTTCAACCCTATGTTTTTTAACGCTTAAAGATTTAGTCTCATAATCAAACAATCCGTGAGAATCCTTTTGCCAAGTAACAGCTTTCATTTCCACACTACATATATAACGATTATTTACTAGTTCTTGTTCTTCGATATAAAAGGAAGGGTAGTTGTCATTTATTCTTAGTTTTTTTTTGATTTAATATATATTATTATTCACATTAAAAACTCATTTCCACCTCATTATTAATATCATCCCGTCATTATAACTTGTTAATTTGCAATTCTCAAACCTCAGTCCCATCAAAGCACAAACCTTTGAAGTCATCCTCTCTCCGATGTTTTCCCATTTCCCAATAGCCTCCCAGTACGCGATCCTTTGAAATACCTACCTAAGCAGGTGTTGTGATGGGAAAATCAAATAGTAGTCCTGCCTTTTGAGAAGTAAATTATAATAAAATATCATATTTCCATAATATAGACAACATGGAACTCGTTTGTTCATCGGATGTGGGATTAGCTGGCTTTGAGTATTTTAGAGAAAAGAGTCTGAATTGATCAATTTTAATGATGAAAAAATGAGATAATTTAAATTTATCTTCTAAAAATAGGGTATTAGATTTGTCCTTTCCAAATTACAATGTCGCGTGATTACCATTTACTTATGATATCTAATATTTGTTAATCGAAAATCAAATTGAAATTATTAAGTAATTATTTAATAAACACAGTACTGAATGGACTATATTTAACTTAAGGTTTCAATATTGTAAATTTAATATTTAATTAATGGGATCTCAATGTTGTTCTGCTCCCTAAAAGCAATAAACCATCGAATTGATCATAGATGTCAAGGGAAGTTTTCACTCTTAAAGACTAAAAAACCTTAATAGCAATAAAATCATTGCGCAATATTGCAATGAAGAGGTAAAAGTCCATGAGGAGAGTTTCGAACTGATGGGAATTAGTCCTTAACTTGTTTTAGGTGGAGAAGACAAAGGTCCAGAATAAAGGAAGGCGTTAGTGCAGTAAGATGAAAGTAAAAATTACACATTTATATTGAGAATCTTTAAAGAAGGGCGAAAAGAGGAAATAGTCGGTGTCATCGGTCGGATCTTTAAAACTTGGAGTGGAGGTTTTTGTGAATCTCAAATAAGGGAGCATTCACAAATATTATGAAACAGGAGAGGTTTTAGGAGAAGGAGCCTATGGGAAGGTTTGGAAGGTGACTCATAAGAACAGTGGTAAGAAATGTGTTTGATAAAAAAGGGATGGTGAGAGCAATGAAACAACTTAAGAAAAGTTCTTTAATACTTGAAGAATAATAGAGACTTTTTGCAGAGATGAATATACTAAGAAATTTGGATCATCCTCACATAGTTAAATTATATGAACTATACTAAGATGAGTAGAATTACTATTTGATTACAGAGTATCTGTCTGGAGGAGAGTTATTTGACAGGATAAAGAAGATGAGTTACTTTAGTGAAAGAAAGGCTGCATCTTTTATGAGAGACATATTGTCTGCTGTTGTTTATTGTCATGAATAAAACATAGTGCATCGAGATCTAAAACCAGAAAATATATTATTTGCTAATGAATCACTAAATTCGACATTAAAAATAATTGATTTCGGAACATCTAGAAAGTATCATGCTGATAGAAAAATGACCAAAAAACTTGGAACTGTACATACTCATTTAATTAGTATAGGCTTATTACATGGCTCCGGAAGTGATGAGGAAAGATTATAACGAAAAATGTGATGTATGGTCATGTGGAATAGTTTTGTATATTCTGCTTTGTGGATATCCTCCATTCACTGGTGTAAACGATAAACTAATTATGCAGAGAATAAGTGATGGCAAAATCGTATTTAATGGTAAATAACCTTCGAAATACAGAGTAGATAATGATTGGGCCTTGATTTCAAAGGAAGCAAAAACTCTTATCTCCAAAATGCTTTAAGTGGATCCCAATTAAAGAATCTCAGCCAAGTAAGCATTAGCAGACTCTTGGATAGACAAGCATAATTCAAATGAGCAAGTTAATCTAGTTGTATTATAAAATTTACAGCGATTTTAAGTATCTTTTTTTATAGTAACCATTTAATTAAGGCCAAATCTGTGTTCTCTCAAGCAGTTCTTTCCTATATTTCTAGTTAGATGACAAGTAATCAAGAACAAGAAGAGCTAATAAAAGCATTTCAAAGTTTAGACAAAGATTAAAATGGAATTTTATCCAAAGATGAACTCATTGAAGGTTATTCACTAGTATTGAAAGATAGAGAATTGGCTATACGAGAGGTTAATAAGATATTACATATAGTCGATCTAAATCAAAGTGGGTAAGTAGACTTTTCAGGTATTTCAATAGAATCTATATTTAATTATAGAATTTTTGATGGCTTCTATGAATTAGGAGAATCTAGTGTCACTTGAGAAAGTGAAGGCAGCATTTAAAATGTTTGATGCTAACAACGATGGTAAAATATCAAAAGAAGAACTTGAAATGATGATAGGCAACTTAGAGGACAATCTATGGCAACAAATTCTAGTTGAATGCAAAGCAGAAGAAGAAATAACAGAAGAAGAATTCATAAATATACTACTTAATTCGAAGCTTTGACTTTATTTATATATATTAATTTCTTTATTATTTAATAAAGCCTAAAAGCCAGCATAGTTAGTTTAAATTACCAGTCTAGTTTACTGAGAAACTTCTCAATATAGAATTGGATGTTGATTCTAATTTTGTTTCAAAGTTAAAATTTAAGTAGTCTAATCATTTGCCTCTAATCATTTTAGTAAGCAATTAGGTACTATTCCAGTAGGAAAACAGAAAGATACACTATAATTATGAATAATATTCAAGCCTTGTTGATTAATCTATTTGAATAGGAAATCTAAAGGTCAAAAGGAAAATAGGAATTAAATAGATCCTTGAGCAAAATTATTAAATCAAGCGCAATAAATATGTATTTGTAAGATGAAATGCTGACTGTTTCAATAGTTTGAAAGATAAGAATCTAATATGATGACTGGTAATAGATAATTTAAGCCAAATAAAGAATACTTATAAGAATAGAGATATATTTTGAATCCACCATAAATTCAAGAATATTCCAAATATAAATTAAATATCCCGAAAAATACAAGAATCTAACTAAGTTAACTGCTAATTCAATTACATTATAAACAGATAATATTAGTCACTCGAATATATGATTATATGATTTTTCAAGGATGTCCCTTCAACCAAAAAGACGACGCGATATGCTTTTTTAAGGAGGACCCATTAAATTAAATGGGACACTTTAAGTTGTAGATTTGGTCCATCCAAAAAGTAAAATGGTATAGATTTGGTTAATAAAATGATACAGATATCAAAAATATTAATTAGATCTCAGTAACACTTTACTATGTTGAGGTGCTAAGTAAGTCTTCTTTATTATAATTTCTATATTGAAATAATAAGTTATTAATATATTATGTCATAACATATTATTAATTCCCGAAAATATAATAATTTAAAATGGGATAGTAAAATTCAAATGCAAAACTCAGTTAAAATATCTTAGTTTTTGGAGCCAATATGCTACTAGATGAGAAGCTTTTGGGTTCTGAATGGTAAAAAGATTAAAGTATCAAATTATGATTGACTATTCAAGTAAATTCTTGTCAGGATTTCACTTTGTACAAAAATATAAGCGAGAGACCTAATTAACTATTATGGTGTCCAAAAAGGAGTGAAATACTTCAAAAATCGATTGAATCTATAATATTAAACATAGAGTTTGAAGGTGTTTTGTATATTTTTGAACAAACTCAAGATCAAAAGGTCTTGAATGAACATCGAAAATTGATAAAGTGGTTGATGAGTGAGGATTCTATGAGATAATGCTCAATAATTTTGTTGTGTGTTTCTAAGTCAAGTGATTTAGCAATTAATATTAAATCCCAAATGGAAATAGAACTAGATTTGGAATCAATGGATTCTAAATAAGCGAGGAACTTGATAATAAAATAACAAGATAAAGAAAGTAATCTATAATTTAAAAAGATTATATCATAATTGATTAAAATGAAGAATGAATCATGATATATTTGATACAATTTTTAACTTTCAGTCTATACATAATAACAAAATAGCAAGTTTGCTCAATATAGACGCTGAAATGTATGTAATGACAATATTATTTTCATATTCCACATAGCCATCCTTCTATTGATCTAAAATCTTGGGTTCAAGTGTGGAGCAAACTTAGCATTTATCATTGACCCATTTATAATTTGCAGCAGTATCTCTCGAACAAGATCCTTTATTCAAATGTTAGGCATTTGTAGCTTCTATACATTGACCATTATTCCAAACACATAAATAAAAGGTTGATTATCCTTGTTTCACAATTCTCGCATTTGTACAATCATTCTCCTACTTTTTATCACTGCAAGTAATTGACACACAATTTCCTTAACCATTCTTTTTGCATTCAATAAGATTTACATCGCATATTTTGTACCCTGTAAGTGATGTACAATCAATTAAACTCTACCCTTTGCATTAATTAGCATCACTCCATAAGCATTCCTTCTCCCCAGATTAAACACCTCTACAAGTTTATTCATTTTTGTTATTTTCACATGGTTACAAACCATCGATGCATGCATTATCCTAAATTGAACAATCCTTATCATAAATGGGACAATGTTCTTGATTGTAATCTGGACAACTTGTAAAAGTATTACACATTTCAGTAGAATTCCAGAAGCAATGTGGTTTGAGTCTTCTGCAATCATAGGAACTTTTGAATTAACTGCATTCAAATTTTTAAGCTTCATATTGATTTGAATCACTATTCCAATTGCATATATAAGATTTAATATCAGAATCAACATTTACTTAACATTCATAAACATAATCCTAACACTTTGAATTGACCCATCTACAATTCATTATTGTATTGCAATCTTCCTAAAGCTGAATCTCAGAACAAGCACATCTCAGATTAGCATCTACTATTATGCTATTCCCATATACCAAAAGTGTTATAAAGTAAAATATCATTTATAAATTTATTTATATAATAAAATTCTATTTCGCAGTCAAATACCGTGATTGGAACTTTGATATCAATTACCGGATATCACTCTATTAGCTTTCGAATTTTCTACAAAAATAGCCTCTAATTATTGAAAAAAAATAAAGAATAAATACCTTTTAAAATTAGATCAAGTGCAATAGAGTTAAACACATTTATTTATCAACATGAAATAGGAATGAGAATCAATTTCTAAATTTGGAGTAATTAAACAATCAAAGAAAATATTTGATTTCAAATTTAATAGTATTGCTGAATATAAATCTCTGAATGAAGCCCAGTATTAAGTAGTATGAAAGTTCTTTTATATTGTAAATGAACCCACATTAATTTTTGCTAACCCTTATCAAAAATAAGTAGAATTACCACCTCTTCTTTACATTCATTAGATCTCCTAAGTTAGATTATAATAAATAACTTTGAATATCACCCTTAATTATAGTACTCCATATCAATTTTTAATAGATTGAATTAGTTTCTATATTTTGATAAATCTAATTTTTTAACAATATTAGTTACCAAATGAATATTAATAAATTTATATAAAATAAAATGGTACATAAGGAATTCGGGGATATCTTTAAAAGATTCATATAAATTCCAATTATAAAAAATACATATGCAGAACACTTTTATTCAGCATTTCAATTTTTGCCCGGACATGCTTTAGAAAGAAACTCTAACCATCTGATTTTGAGATACAAGGTTCCTTAGGAGATTATGAATATGAATGGATCTGTTCATGGAGGTGCCTTGGCTACTATTTTGGATTGCGCCACAACCATAGCCATTTTGAGAGGAGACAGAAATTTATCTAGAACAGTCAGGTATGGATGAATATTATATTTAGTATTGAATTGGGATTGTCATTTATCAGTCCTGCCAAATTGAATGATTCTCTTATTGTGCATGCAATTTGTCAGAAAGTGGGTAAGAATGTTGCATACTCAGTTTGTGATATATACGAGGAATCTGGGATGAAATTAGTCACAACGGGCAGACACATAAAAGCTGTATTGCCTGGAACATTTTTTGATTCAGATTTTAAAAAGATATCATGAAATATTTATAATAATTTATTCTAAATTCCATAATATTAAAAACATCCGAATAAGTAAACATTAACTATATATAATTATTGTTTTATGTTATTTTTGTATATATACACATATATAATATTATTAAATTAGATATGAAACATCGCAAAATTGATCCACCTGAGCAAGACTCTGTCAGTTCTGGTTATTCGACACCTGACGAGAAGAGTGTGCAAAAGCAGGCTAAAATCAAGCATCTGCGAAAGCACGCATTCGTCAATCGGATATCCTTCTTGGATGATATGGACAAGGATTCTGAATTGAATAAGAATAGATTGGTTGGGTTTTACAATATGTTGTATGTCGTGGCCTTCTATTACTTTATCATAAACCCTATCATGACATATTGGAAGACCGGTTAATGGATTGAAACTTCGTTGTATAATCAGATGCGCAGAGATCTGTTCATGTGCATTGTAACCTGGCCCTTGGTAATTGATTTATCATAATGAGTAGTTCTATGCCTGGAGTCACATAGCCTTGTTAATTCAATATTTGGCAATGATGAACATTCCAAAGGTGTTAATCTTTATAATCCAACACGTCAGTCAGATTTGCATGTTTGTCTATGCGCATTATTTGGTCTTAACTAGAGATTGGTACTTACCTTAAGGTGCCTTTGTAACATTTCAATCGTGTGTGTTCTTCTTCAAGATGCATTCATACACTATGACTAATTACAAAATGAGAAGAGAGTGGATTGATTAAGGTTGTCCAAAAAGTAATGATCCTTTCAGCTATCCAAATAACATTAATTTTAGGAATTTCACTAAGTTTATAATGACTCCTGTTTTGGTTTATGAACCTCAGTATCCACAATCTGGCAAGATCAGATGGTGGTATGTAATTGTTAAATTTATAAACACCATATCAATGTTAATCATGGGGTATATGATTGTATCCAATCACATCTATCCAATAATTTTGAATGTAAATGCCTTATCTTTGGTTGACTCCATATTTTAAATGACCTTGCCCTTGATATTTTTGTGTTTAACATTATTTAACATGATCTTTGAGAATTATTGTAATTTTTGGGCTGAACTTACTCATTTTGGAGATCGTTAATTTTACACTGATTGGTGGAATTCAACAGATTACGAGGAGTTTAATAGGAATTGGAATAGACCAGTTTATGAATTTCTGTATCGACATGTGTATTTGGAACTCATATTTGAATTTGGTTTTGGAGTAAAGAAGGCACAATTAGCCACATTTCTATTTTCGGCCATGTTACATGAGTATACTTTGGCAGTGAGTTTGAAGTAGATTACTCCAATCATGGTGATGTTTATGATGATCCAAATTCCAGTGATGTTGTGTACAAAGAGGATAAAGGGGACTAAATTTGGTAATCTGTTTTTCTGGTGGGGGATCATTTAAGGATTACCATTAATTTTAAATTTATATCTTAGATTCAACGAATTGCCGAAATTATTGTTTGAGTGAGTATTATGTAAATAATTATTAAATATAATCAATTCATTTTCTTTAATTCATAACTAAGCAACGCTTTTTGCAGAAGAATGTTACTTTGATTGATCTTCAGTTGCTGCTCTATTTATTACTTTAGTATTTGACGATGTTCTTCCATTCGTTTTAAGAATGAATTAGTTTGTTGGTTTATGAATCCAAAGACTTGGGGTCTCTTCTCATCTTTAATAATTTAAGAATATTGATTGAAAATTCTTTGAGCCTCACTCTGCATCAACTATTTGGTGTCAAACTTTGGTTCCCCATATTACAAAACGAAATTAGCTATTAATGAGGTAATCAAAGTTAAATACCATCAGATAATTTAAGTTTTTTAACAATAACATCCTCAGTCATTATATTATTAAAATATAAAAAATAATCATTATAATTTTGGACTAGAAGTTTTCATTTGTGGGTACTAATGGAGAGTAGGCTTATTTGGCCTTACATTCATCGTTTCTAATACAAGATACACAATAATTCTCATGAAAGAATTTAGATCCTCCACTATACAGCAAACAATCTATTTTATTTGTAGGCAAGACTTCTAAACAGATATCACCAAATAGTCTACAATATTTGTAATCCTACAATTTGAATCCTTTAATAGGTTTGCATCTGGTTGAAGTCAAGTCCATACACTCAAGATTTTAGCAACTATTATTAGTGCTGTTTTGCTTCACTTTCTTACAAATATTATCGAATTGTAGGCATAAGTTGTCATCAAGTTCAGAACAAGAAGTTGTAGAAGATTTAATTTAATCTAATTTATATTGAGCACAACTCCCCTCTAAACCTATTTATGTTTCATTTAAAAAAACACAGCTTTTTTTCATTTGACAAGTGCCATCCTGAAATATGTAATATTCACTCATTAATTCGCATTCTATTTTGAGTAATTACTCTCTCTCTCTGTAATTTAGACATTTACTTGTTTTATAGTTCCAAACACATGGCTGATTTAAAATATCTTTGAAACAAGTGGCTTCACTTGTATAATTGTCACAATTCAGATTAAGAGTTATGCATTTGCTATTAAAAATGGCACAACCACGATTTTATAAACAATATTTCTGCAAAATCTAATCTCCATTCTTATTATTATAAATCTAAGGACAGTCCAATTCTAATAGATCCACACAACTATTATTCCGATATAGACAAGATGGTTTCAATTACAAACAAGAAGATTGGTTCTATAATTGTGAACATGAAGTAGCAAATTGACAATAATTCTTATCTTCATTCCAATAACAGGGAATTGTAGAACTTGATTACTAATTCTATAAGCATTCTAATTGAGTACTAGCATACAGACATTCCTATTTATTTACGATACATTTGTAACAATTACAATCGTTAGATATTTTAATAATATTCTTGCACTCTTCCTAAGCTATTTGATAACAACCTGCATTCTTTTGTTCACACACATTAATACTTTGACAATAATCTTCATATAATTCCATCGCACGATATTATTATTGATTTCGATCATTTTAACAATCTAATTTTATGCATTTATCATTTTCTAATATGCAAATGCCATCCTTTCCCACTGAGCCTTTGCATTAAAAATTCGAATATTCAGAACAGTATTTTAATGGAACTAGAGTGCAACTCTTGCCATCAAAATAACAATCTTATTCTATTTTATTTTAACATTAGGATTTCTTAGTGGCAATGCTGGATACACATCGTTATTTCTATTGACATTATTTATTTCTATCCAGAAAACAATCTGATCGATAAGATGTACATTTTTCTTCTTTGTACATTCCACATGTTTGAGCCATGCAATTTGTTCCATTCTCAGATTACATACACAATCCATCTCCTCCAATTAACTTCAGACAATTCTCTTTTGTTGTTTAATATTGATTACAACTTACTAAAGATTCTGAGCAAAATATTTCATTGAAAATGCATTGACTTGAATACTTAGGACATCCTTCTTTACTTTACCAAGCCAGTCCAGCCTTACTACAGATTCTTTCCTTAATTAATTCTCCTTTAGAGTTGTAGTCAGGACTGCGAACACATCCTTATTTGTTATTATCCCAAACACAAAGATAAGATATATTCACACAATCTTCCTCAGAATATGACTGATAAGCATCACACCCTAAAAATCTGGTGCACACATTATTATAATATGAACAGCCATATGTTGTTGAACATTTATCCTTATTCTATGAGCAGAATTAAGTGATTTAAGACGGATAGATATTTAGCTGTGGTTTAATATATCCTTTAATACAAATGCTGGTTTCCTATTTCCAAGAACATAAGGGTTTAAGTGAATCACACTCAGTAGCATCCTTGAAGATCTAACAGCCTTCAGAGCAAAATGTTTGGGGTTAAGATTTCACATTCACAATAATCAAGAGTAAAATGCTAATCATAATTTTTATAACAAATATAATAAATTTCATATTCAAATAATAATTAAATTACTCAAGAATTGTTGAATGATGATACTTTTTAATCTCTATCTTCCTCAAGAGCACAGTAATTATGGATTTATTAGCATGAAGTACCTTGACAATTAGATGAAGACAAACAAGAATTACCATCCCAAAAACAAAAAGTACTTATAGATTTATAGCAATGCTCTTCCGACTTGTACAAACGACATCTTGATTTTATGGTAATACAATTATTTTGGTATGGGACACACATGTTCTTTCTACAAGCCTAAGGATCCATGCACAAATATTTTGAATCGCAATTATCAAAAGTTAAGTCCTCGCATTTTAATAGTTGACATGAATTCTAATTCCATTTACAAAAACTTGAATCCAATTAGAAATTACAAGATTCTTCATTAGCATAAGCAGAGCATGTTTCCTAAGCATACTCGCAAGTTTTCTTATTTGTATTACAGACAGGAGAAGCCTAATAACACTTTTCTTTTGTTTAGAATTAAATTTGCGAGCAAGATGTCATAGGTTAACACTAAGAATTTACATTTACACATTGAACATTATCAAATTACTTCATACTTTAGCAATAGTAACTATAATTTTGGCATAGAGTTTTTAAACGACAATTTTTAGTTTCAAAAGAATACATAAGTTTATCAGAAAAATGCCTACAGAAAGTATCTCCATCTATAGTTAATTCTGTGATTTATTTCGTTATTTCGCTGGGATCATAGCATTTTTGATTTACGTAGAAACAATTTTATTGTGCGCAATCATAAATATCCAAACCTTCACAAGCAATATATTTTCTATTTCTACAGGATGTGCCAATATATTTGCACTCAGTTAAATTGTTACATTGATAACTATCTTTATTAAAGTCTTCGCATTTTCCAGATCGACAGGAGTCATTCTCCCAAATGCAAGTGTGTTATAAATCAGTAACATTCTTTGAGTTATTTGTACATTCTTCTCTATGCTAATAGCCATGACATCCAAATATTTAAACACAACATCCATTACTGTTTTTTGAACAAGAAATTTATTTACAACCTAAATTCAACCTAGCACAAGCATCTTCTTCAGAGTTATAACTTAATACATAATCATCACATGAGTTGATGGGTACACAATTATTGTTATTCCATTAACATTTTTTTAATTCTACAGTCTCCATCAAATTACACTCATATTATGTTAGACTGGTATTACATTCGCTTCTTTATAAAGCAGTGTTGTTCTTCTTTACAAAAAATGTTATTTTCTAATCATACTTCAGTATGTTAATGGCAAAGCATTTAGATATTGACAAATAATTATTGCTCGATTTATTTTGCATTTCTATGAGACATTTCCCAACATATTTCTTATAATCAAATTCAAGACATAATCCCTCGAAATATTCATCATTGTACACACATTAAGTCCCATTTTAACCGAAATGTTGTTGACACTTTTCGTAACTATCCTCCATATAATTATAACAGGATGCATTCATACACCTTTATTAAATAGAATTATATTGGCATCTGCCTATGAGGGGTATAATTGAATTGCAATTTGAGATATATGAAGAGCATTCTAATAATTTAGTTTTGCATTCTATTCCATCAAATTTGCAAACATTATGAAACTTTTAGCATATTAAAGATGAGATTTCTTTTTATTGGTTTACTTTATCACATCCTGCAAATTAACATTTATCGTCTTTCCACTCGCATGATTCTTTACTGCCCATTTAATGCTCAATATAACCACAATACTTTTGCTCAGTAATTTAGAAACAATTGATTGGTTTTTGCACACAGACAAGTTAATCGCTAATTGAAATGCAATTAATTGATATTCTTGGACAGTTTGCTCCATCATTCTTGTAGGCTTAACATCCAAAAAATGGTTCACATTTATTATCAAAGAAGGCACATGTTGGATGTTATCGACATTATTCCTAGGTCAATTTGTTGAGATTGCAATAATTATTGCTTTGTTTGATTTGACAACTTTCATTCTGCCATTCGCATGAATTGATGCAACTTTCCTGATTGAGAATGTACTGGCATTGTTGGATTTGTTGTATTGAGATGTTGAGGAGCGAAAATATTAATATAAACATAAATTAATATAAGTTTATTCGTCATAATTTGTAATGAATATTTTTTGAATTATTTAAAATATTCTATTAAATATGCAATAATCAATCAAACTCAGAATAAACTTAATCTTAATTCTATTCATCCTTATTATACCACCTTGCACTATACGAATCTGCCATTAGATTCCTAGAGACTCAAGACCTCCCAAAATTATAATCTCAAACAAATTACTTCTTTTACCCTTGGTAAATCTATAATAAAGGTCATAATACATTATTTCTGTTAAATTCTATCACCTGATTAAGATATTTTTGATTCACATAATATAAATTTCAAGAAATCATCCTGTTTCCTTGTCTTGGAGGTAAATTATATCGCATTTTGCTCATCGTTTTTTGCTATTAAATATAAATACTTTATACGCAAGATTTCAGGAAATGATAAAACCTTAAGACATTAAAGAGGAAGAAAAACGAATTATAACACCAAATTAGTTTGCTGGCATTGTATATATTACGAAATAGGTTAGATAAAAGTGGAAAAATAGGGTAATTCTACCAGCCCAGATTCGTATTAGAAAACCCTAGAGAAGTTTTATTTTGCCTTGTTTAGACTACAAGAAGCTTAATATTTAGAATAAAACGAAGTAACTCCAAAGTATCCCTTTGTCTTTCAGTACTCGTTCAATTAAATAATGGTATACTTCTGGTTAAATTTTTGTAGGTTCATCTAGGAGGTCATTAAGTTTAATAAAAATAGATAGAAGATTTGAAAAAATATGACTATTAACAGCAATTTTACTAGAAGACCAAGGCTGTGCCTCAAGTAAAGCTCTCTGTTTAAAAGAGAAAGGGGTTTTCTACTTTAGAATAAAAGGACTCTAAAAATATCCCTAAGAATTATTGTAAGGCAATAATCAGTTATGCCCAAAAAAATTAAACTCTCTGTCAAGAAATACTGAAAGAAGAAATAAAGGTAGCTAAATTTATAGAATACTTAACAAGTTAAAAGAAAAAATCACTAAATATAAGAGTATTCAAAGCTTTGTTACAATAATGCGACGATCCAATATAAGATGAATTCAACCGAACTTTTAGGATTATAAGGTAACTTATTTCTATTAAACTAGTTAAATCTTTATTAAAAAATATGCCATAAATTATATTTATAATTCAAAAATAGTATAGCACAATTGGCATATTAGATATAGATAATAAATATATAAGGGAATCAGAAATCCAAAAAGATTTTCCCATATAAAGAAACTTTGAAATATTATAAAGTAACTAAGTTTGAATGATCTTTTTTGTAAATAATCAAATCCACAAATCAATTCTATAAAATATAAATATTATGGATTAAGCAGTAAATGCTGTCTGTCTTATCTTCATAGAAATTGAAATGGATCTGAATTACATACATTTATGAAAGAATGATTCAATTAAAAAAAGAGGAAAGTAAGAACTAAAGTATAGAAACAAACAAAAATTTGATTAGTTCAAAAATAATTTTTGATTATAAATTATAAAAACTTTTAAACTTCCACTTCACATCATTACACATAAGAACTTCTGAACACAACCTTTGTCAATGACAGTTCCACAACAAACATACATTTAAAAACTTTTTGTGAAAAGATCTAATAAACTCTTCAATTTCCTGGAACATCAATCAAAATATGTAAAATTGCTAAACTTAAAAACATCTTAGTCAATAAAATTTAAGTTAGTGAGAAAACAAATAGAATGCAAAATAAAATAAATGAAAATATTATTAAAATAATTCAATATAGAAATAAAATCAAGAGGATGGCTACAAGAATAAAACTATTACAGGGTTCTGCATTTTCTCCACATACATACTAATGTTATATCAATATTGATACTCCACTTGTAAAATCGATACAAGAAACACAAATATTATTTCTAAGGGCGAAACCATACATGCAAGTCTTACAAATTCCAAAATCATTGTACTCAGCACAGAAGATGGTTCCTATAGTGCACCCGTTATTCTATATTGAATGCATAAATCAATTTCTTACCCTTAAAACAAAGCTAGGTAAACATTCTGAACATTGCTACCCATTGGGGTTACAGTTAGAGCAACCATAAGGACAAAGCATACAAGTATTTTAGCCATCAACTTATTTTAGATAGTAACCTGATTGACATGTTTGGCAAGATTATGAAGTACAAGTTTAGCAAGCTTGTTACTCGCATTGCACACATTATCCATTAGATAAATAATAGCCACTTAGACAAGAATTACATGCAGTTGATGAACATGTTAAACATCCTTGATTACAAAGAGTACAGCCATTGTTATTAACATCCAAATAGTAATTTTTGCCATTCTAGTTATTGGAAGAGCAAGAGGAACAAACCAAATTAGTGTTGTTATCAACACAGGCAGTGCATCCTGGAATATTTTATTAACATTCAACACAAGTTCCTTTATATAGAACATAATTTGGATAACACTTAGAGCATGATTAACCGCTATTGACCATCATCATGCAATTGTTAATATTCTAACTGCACACTAGATTATTGGAATTATTTATATCAGAAACCAATAAATATCCCTGAATGCATTAAGTAGGAGTTCCAGTGTTGTCATCGCAATATTGAACATTTTAATCGCAACTCTAACAAGATCCTGAATTCAAATAATATCCATTATCACACACTTAACATGTGCTATTTGTACATTACACACAACCTTCGCTACAAGTATAGCATTATCCTTTCGATAAATACAAATTAGCTGCACATTATTAACAATATCCACTTTGAATACAGCCCAAACAAATGATCTGTTATTGAGTGTTGCCACTGCAGAGTATACAACTTGAATTCTATAAGTAATATCCATTTTAACAATTTGTACAATTGCCAGCTGAAGTTTTGCATGCACTACATTCAGGATTGCAAGCCGCGCATTCAGTCTAAGCAGTATTCATGTAATATCCTTATGCACATGAGGATGAGAAGGAGGAAGTGCATTATATGGCATTTGGATCGCTACATCTCATACAACTGCCACTTCCTAATAATTTATAATATTGATTATTCTACCATATTGATAAAATCCACTTTGCAATCTCTAGCCAGCAGTAACTGTAGCCGTATTCTCATTAGCTACTGGACTATAATAGTATCCCTCCATACAGTACTGACATGTTCCCCTTTGAGCACATATACATCCTGTTGGACATTACTCACATTAATTGAATTCATTCAAAAAATAATTGTCTGGACATTTTGAACACAGTGAAGTAGTTGAGTCTAACTCTTGACATATTGCAAATTTATTGTTTAATGGCTGACTGTATGGATTATTATAGACCATATATACTTCCTTCAATTATGATGTTCTAATCTGAAAAACTGTCAATTACACACACATCTTACCTTGGGTCTGATTTATTAAATTTACCTATCAATTAATATCCATCATCGCATTCTGAGCAACTTCTAATGTTCATTTCATAACCTAATCTGCATTCCTTACACCCTTTGGGGCAAGGGATACAAATCTTTGTTTTCTAATAAGCCACATGACCAACAGGACAACTGATTTGATTACACCCCATGTAATTCGAACAAGTACACCAAGGCTGACATTGAATACATTGTTATTAATTCCAATATCCCCAGATTTAGACTTTTTAAATTGACATTCTTACCAATCTAGTTATCATTGGATGGTATAAAGTTGCATTGATTCTTGAATCTAGTGAATTACGTAGTTTAATTAGAGTCCTGAATCAAAGCTAATACAAATAGAACTATTATCAATTTCATTATAAAAATTAATGAGTTCAGAAATCAACATAAGGCAACTGCTTTATTACAAACATCTCAATCCCAGTATTGTTTCAGATTTATTTTTAGGTCCGACTTAGTAATCCCTTAGAACAGTTAAAACTATGCAACATAGACTAAATTAATTGAGATCTTCTGCTNAGATTATTGGAATTATTTATATCAGAAACCAATAAATATCCCTGAATGCATTAAGTAGGAGTTCCAGTGTTGTCATCGCAATATTGAACATTTTAATCGCAACTCTAACAAGATCCTGAATTCAAATAATATCCATTATCACACACTTAACATGTGCTATTTGTACATTACACACAACCTTCGCTACAAGTATAGCATTATCCTTTCGATAAATACAAATTAGCTGCACATTATTAACAATATCCACTTTGAATACAGCCCAAACAAATGATCTGTTATTGAGTGTTGCCACTGCAGAGTATACAACTTGAATTCTATAAGTAATATCCATTTTAACAATTTGTACAATTGCCAGCTGAAGTTTTGCATGCACTACATTCAGGATTGCAAGCCGCGCATTCAGTCTAAGCAGTATTCATGTAATATCCTTATGCACATGAGGATGAGAAGGAGGAAGTGCATTATATGGCATTTGGATCGCTACATCTCATACAACTGCCACTTCCTAATAATTTATAATATTGATTATTCTACCATATTGATAAAATCCACTTTGCAATCTCTAGCCAGCAGTAACTGTAGCCGTATTCTCATTAGCTACTGGACTATAATAGTATCCCTCCATACAGTACTGACATGTTCCCCTTTGAGCACATATACATCCTGTTGGACATTACTCACATTAATTGAATTCATTCAAAAAATAATTGTCTGGACATTTTGAACACAGTGAAGTAGTTGAGTCTAACTCTTGACATATTGCAAATTTATTGTTTAATGGCTGACTGTATGGATTATTATAGACCATATATACTTCCTTCAATTATGATGTTCTAATCTGAAAAACTGTCAATTACACACACATCTTACCTTGGGTCTGATTTATTAAATTTACCTATCAATTAATATCCATCATCGCATTCTGAGCAACTTCTAATGTTCATTTCATAACCTAATCTGCATTCCTTACACCCTTTGGGGCAAGGGATACAAATCTTTGTTTTCTAATAAGCCACATGACCAACAGGACAACTGATTTGATTACACCCCATGTAATTCGAACAAGTACACCAAGGCTGACATTGAATACATTGTTATTAATTCCAATATCCCCAGATTTAGACTTTTTAAATTGACATTCTTACCAATCTAGTTATCATTGGATGGTATAAAGTTGCATTGATTCTTGAATCTAGTGAATTACGTAGTTTAATTAGAGTCCTGAATCAAAGCTAATACAAATAGAACTATTATCAATTTCATTATAAAAATTAATGAGTTCAGAAATCAACATAAGGCAACTGCTTTATTACAAACATCTCAATCCCAGTATTGTTTCAGATTTATTTTTAGGTCCGACTTAGTAATCCCTTAGAACAGTTAAAACTATGCAACATAGACTAAATTAATTGAGATCTTCTGCTTAAAGTGATTTTAGACTTACTACTCTCCAAACTCAAACACCTATTCATAACTTTAGATATGGATTTAATGCAGATGAACACCAAAATTAGAATTCCTAGATCCACTTCTTAGAGGCCTTTGATTATCCTTTCAAACATATAAATGTAATCGAATATTAATTTAGAGTTATATTACAGAGAGCAAAAGGAATATAGCATAATTACAGGATCAGTCTAACAGAATACGTCTGGAAATGTCGAACATCCTTTCAACATAAGAGTCTGAATTAAATCAAATATAAGTCAATTTTAGAGAGTCCCTGAACAAAAAATATAAATAATTGAAAGAGGATAATGTTTAATTCATCGAGGAACAGTACAAATTGTCTAAGGAATACTAAAGACTAGCCAAGGCAAGATAGATTATGGAAGAAAAGCATCAATTATTATTACAGAGAGTAGTATAATTAGAAAACACATTACAAGGTGTAACACTTGAATTACAGCAGTGATTAAATTTTGATATTTTTATATGATATGTTGAGATTCTATTGATATTTGTTTGTATTTTGATTATTTTTGAGGATGTTTCTAAGTTTGATAATAATGTTTTCATCAAAACTTAGTAATGGTAAATTAGGAGACCATCACTTTTTGGTCCCTAATATTAAGATATGAATTTAGTTAATAAAGTATAATTTAAGCACATAATTGAATATGGCTTCACTTAAATATATGATTAATTAAAATAGTAATAGCTGTTTATTACTTATTTAAATTTGTTACATCATCATTTTGCCATATTCTCTATCTCAAAAAGACTTAGGCACACCATATGAACTGCAGAGTGTGTCAGCTCTTGAAATTTTAGACTTATATTGATTATATGTGAATTAACTCACTTAACTAGCACATTCGGATTCTTCAGTGTCAACAGCTGATTATTCTAAACAACTCTTTGAAAAGAACTTAAATCTCTAGGAGATTAAATAATTTTCATACACTATGCTCCAAAAACATAGATGGAGGTTCAATCATCTTCTTTTACAATGCATCAAAATCAATATCATCAAAGAAGGCGTGCTATTTAGCCTGTTAGAGAGTGTATCTAGTGCTAACATTTGCATCAAGTAAATGTGAGAGCAAATCTTTGGCTTGATTGGAGATCAAAGCATTTTGAAATTCGATGTGTTCTGTATCAGATCCAATTAACATCTGATATAGTACAATACCGAAACTCCAAACATCGCATTTGTTAGTATAGCCTTGATGTCCCAAAACTTCTGGTGCTAGATAATCAATGGTTCCACATTGGGAGAATTAGAGTCCATCATTTCTAGTGGACAATCCAAAGTCTGTTAATTTGATGTAACCTTTCTCCAATAAGATATTTTGAGGCTTGAGGTCTCTGTATACGATAGAATTTGAATGTAGATATTGTAAAGATAACAAAATTTAGGCAGCATAAAACTTGGCTACATCCTCTGAAAATTTTCCATAATGTTTCAAATACTAAAATAGTTCTCCTCCACTCATATATTCCACGACCAAATAAAGTTTCTATTGAGTTTGAAAAGCCTCCTTTAATTTAACGATGAATGGGCTGTCCAGAATTTCCAACAATTACCTTTCGATCTTAGCACTTCTTCTCATCCAATCAGATGTCAGATTCCTTTTGTTAATAATCTTCATTGCATATAATTAGTCTATTAAATACATTAAAATTTTAGTTACTATTCTATTTATGTTGAACTAGCATCACTTTACCAAATCCTCCTCTCCCTAACACTTTTAGTAGTTGATAGTCCTTGATGCTAGCTTAATTAAGAATTGATTGGGCATTCTGATCGTTCAACTATTTAAATGAATAAAACTCATCAACAAAAGTGTTTCTGCACTCCATTTCATTATGATGAGGTTTCAAGCACTTGTTTCCCATTAAAACTTAATATTTATATATTTTAATTAAATAACTATGAATGATCATGGAGATATAAAAAGAATAAATGTATACATACCCTTCATCGAAATTTATCTACAATTAGAAATCAAGATTACAAGTAGGCTTCATCAATTGGCAGAGATAATTCATTAAGTTACTAGCAACGACAATGAACTCAATATATTTAGGTAATCCTTTAAATATAATTATTTGATTCAAATTCAGAGGAGAATTACTCGGTATGGATCAAGTGATAGCTTAAATATAAGGAATAACTTCGGGTGATCCAAAATGCTATTTGACAGCATATGCTGAAATGACTGGTGCATGATTCATATTAAATTCTATAATTAACAATACGAATCCCATTTATAATTATGCTTATTAGATTTATTTAGAATTAAATAATCAAGCAAAATAGTTGTCAATTTTATTCTACAACCATTAATAAAATTCTGGATTTTCCTAAGTTTTCTTGTACCAAGGATATTTCTCAAAATTTTTAGTATATTTCACAATCTTTTCTATGAGTTAAAATGCAAACTAGTTAAAATTATTAAAATTACTTTTCTTGCAATTAATGCTACTAGCCATGTTGGGACGAAGGACAATTATGGATTAGAATTATTGACAGCCTTAATTTTACATCTTGTTTTATCAATTGGAGTTATTTAAAAAATGTAATAATTTAATTGCAATCTTACATTCTTTGATTTATTAAGCTATAAGTTATAGTAATCTAAAAACTATTGATCCTGATCGACCGATTTACATAAGAACACAATAGTTCCATTCTCCTCTAATCTATCTATTCCTTGCCCTAAAAATATGGTCTCTCTATTGGAAATAACTGGAAAATATAATTAACTCAGACAGACTTTTTGAGTCTTTGACAACGTTTTTAATGTTGTTGCATGATTACAAAAAGGAACATATTTTGAAAATAATTCCACTTCTGTGATCAAAGACATTAGCTTAGCACAATCAGCTTCGATTTCGGCTTCCATTAGCAAAGAGACTGTTGATGATTTTGGTGGGAATTTATAGGAAATACTAATCCCATGACTTTTTTTATCCAAAGTCCATCCACTCGAATCCAGTTCTATTAAATTTTTCATCATGAATTCGTATGAATTCTCTATTACAGATAACTTTATGATCTGATCTTCAGAAAGTTGGGTTCTGTCTATTAATTGTATTGCTTGATAAGCCTAGAGATTATTTAAAGGATACCTTGTCCAATTTGGAGTCATTATCATAATTTAATACTATATTATAAAGTTCTTGGCAAGAAGGAACAAGTTGAATATCTGAAAGAATTTATTGATTTTCAATTTATTAAATATTTGTTTCTTGAGCCGAAAAAACTATATTGGTCTAACTATTAAGAATTTAATGAGTTAACAATTCTTATTTGTTTCTTAATTCTCTCTCCTTGTGGGTTTAAAAGTTCTTCACTTGTTATGGACGAGGCGGAAAGTATTCTAAAGCACATTCACTAACCAAAATACTTACAGTCCCTATAGAAATCACGAAATTTGATCATTTTTTCATTGGTTTCAAGATGATTGATTAAATCAGTAAGTTATTCCTAATAAGAATATTTAAGAATGTTCTTACTTCATTAAAACCTTAAATGCAAACTAATTTCTCTCTCCCAATCACATAAATCTCGTAAGCCTTATAGAAGTCTTCTCCATTTTCATACTACTCATGAATTGACTGAATCTACAATAAATATTCGATGAAACATACAAATTTTTAAAGTTCAGATTTCATTTCTTCATAAGTTAATTTATTGAAGAAATTATATTAGAATCCGTTTGCAACAATTGAATCGATTTTATTTGGGTTAGACATCTATGTAAATTATTTATTCTAAATTTTTAGATATTTAAGGAATTATTTTTATAATTTTTAGAGATGATTAGTTAAATGATAGATATTTTACTAACTTTGACTATTTATTAACCAATAAAAGTTGAATCAAAAGCCGAATTTAGAAGACCCTTACAATTAAAATCCAAAAAAATAAATACAAATGTAATTAATGATCACAAATACTTTATGGAAATAATTTTTGTTTAAAAATTTAAATAATTATCCCCATCTTGCAATACAGAAATGTTGAAACATATGAACATACAAAATATAATTCAGAATTAATTTTTTTAAATATAAGATTTAAATATCTGTCAGGAAGAATAAGTAAATTCTTATGATAAAATATTATTTTTTCATAATAATTCGAGGCTTTTGATCCTATTAATTCTTAAGAATTAAGCGCCAAAATAAAATAGTTGCAGCTGTAATATTAAAGCAGATAAGATTTGTTCAATATTTTTGAGTAAAATAGGAAGGAAGAAATTTTCAAAAATATACAAACAAATTATTATCATAATAACGAATACTTATTTAAATTTAAGTTGTTCAGATTTTGAAAATATTTACATATTAAAAAATATGATTTAATAATTGAATAAATTATAATTATTTTATAATTATCTTTAAATTATACTGTTAATTATAATTAATATTTCTTGAACAATAGTATTAATTAAAAAAATGCTTATATATCTTAAATTATAAGGCGTGACTGTGATTTCTCATGATTTTTCTGATTATAATATACTCCAAACCTTATTCTAATAATTTATTTATACGTATTGACTTTGCTTATCAAATAGACTTATTATGTATTCTATAAATGAACTTTTTCGTTCAAAAATTTGTTACGCGAGACTTTGAATATCACAATAGAGACTCTTAAAATATGAAGAAAGACAGATGATTATTAGACTTAGGTAAATTTTGGAGGAGTTCATTGATTCTATGGGCTTCGAAACCAAAAAAAAAGGTTTAAAAAAGATATTCTACTAATGAAGCTTTGCTTATTAATTACAATATGTTAATAAATCATAGTAAGATTAAAATTCAATCACTTTAATGAACTTTCAAGAACTATTTATCAATAACTTTTGAAGAATTTGTATAAATAATAGGAATAGAATAAAAAAATCAATTTCTTGACCCAAACCATATCTAGTTGAATCTGAAATATGGTTCTAGTTCAACCTTGTTTTCATCCAAAAAGATATTTCCCCATTATATGTTTCCAAAGAACATCTTAGATATTTATTTAAGTTGTTAACAATTTTTCAATGAGTTTTCTAAGGTTTGTTTGCAAGCCTTCTCTGGTTTAGTACCTAAGAACTTCTTAATTTCTGAGTTTTGTTATACACTAGAATCAAATTGAGAGACTATAAAATGTTTTAATGCTCTAGTGAAGTTTTTTGGGATGTTTTTGCTCTCTCCAGGAAGCATATAAACACCCTTTTTTTTTTCTGACTATGATCTACTAGGTTGTTCCTTTACTTTTTTAATCTGTTGGACTTTTCCTATTTTCTTGGATGTTGTCATCAATTATTTTTTATCACAGGTACTCGTTATTTTCTCAGTGTCTGGGCCTTCATCTTCATTTTCAAAAAAATTAATTTCTCCCCTTTCAAGGATTGGAGAAGAATAATCGGGAAGAGGATCAAAGTGAAAGTATTATAGATCTTCACAGAAGGAATCTTATGCAAATGGATCCTAATATCTGTTATTAGACATTTTTTTTATTATTATTTATATAAATCATATTATGAATTAACAAGGCTTTTAAAATAAAAAAAAATCCTAATAAAAAAATTAAATACTACTTCAAAAAAATATCATTTCTGTTAAATTTTATTATTATTTTTTTAATTAAAAAAAATCTAAACCATACTTATTTAGATTTAGTTAAATAGCCATAATTTTTTTAAATAAAAGAATTTTGTATATATGAGCATTTAATATTATCACTAATTTTTCCTACAAGGAAATGTTATAAATCTCAACCACTTGATAGCTTGATGAATATTTATAATACTAATAATAATGGGAGGATCGTTATAAAAAATATATTCATGTTTGTTCCCATAAAAGTCGATTAGAGTAATAATGATCGGATTAGATGCAGTTGGAAAAACATCTATACTCTATAGGTTAGCATTATATGAAGAGGTAAAATCCACTATCCCTACAATCGGATTTAATGCTGAAACAATATATTACAAAAATATTCAATTTGCATGCATAGAAATAGGAGGTGGAGATAAAATTAGGTTATTGTGGAATTAATACATGGATGTAAAGGACACAGCAATCATTTTTATCATTGATTTATCTGATTAGGAACGATTACCACTAGCAAAAGAAGAGCTAATGAGATTTCTTAATGAAAAGGAAACTAAAGGCTCTCCCTTATTAGTTTTAGCTAATAAGCAAGATATTGCTAAATTTAGCGTTGAGGAATTAAGCCAGTTTTTGGAGCTTCCACATCATTAAAGAAAATGTTATATACAACCCTGCTCTGCCAAGACTGGAGAAGGATTGTATGAAGGTTTGAGCTGGTTAGCTACAATATATAGTTCCAAATGATTATATTAGTATGTCAACAATTTTATATTCAATTCTATACTTCATAGCGATTTAAAGTACTCAAGAGGATTAAAATTTAAGAATATTATGAAAAATAGCTGGATGCCTAAGAGGTAGGTCAATTCGAATATTTTGCATTGTATACGCAGAATATTCTAATGCATTTGAAGATTTGGTGGAGACTAAATGTATAATGAGAGAAATTTAAATTATATGATCAAATCAATTATAAATCTTTATAGTTTTTATATCATGATTTATCGAAAACTAGAATTAGAAAAGAAGGAAAAGGACTATCAATCTCATTTAATGAAAAAGTAATTACTAGATGAATTTTAAGAAATTTTAGATATACAAAATTAGACACTATGAATTAAGGTACTTTCAGTGAGAAAGTCAAATAGTATTTTCAACAATTACATGTAATATAATATACTAAATATGGTTTTAATATAAATAAGAATATATTAAAGGTTTATCTACAAGTACTAGACATAGAATAAGTTACTTGAAACAAGATTAAAGAGGAAAATAGTACCTTAAAATACAATCTAAAATGATGATACTATTAATTAAGTTGACATTTTAATATAAAGAAATACCAATTCGCATAAAGAATTATGTTTTAGTTCAAGTAGTAAATTTTATTTATAAATTAAATTAAAAAAAGTAATGTAATTAAAATCAATGACTAGTGAGAAGTAGGCAAATAAGACTACAGGATTGGGTTCGAGTAGAACAGATTTATAGAGACTTCACACGGCGAAGTTGAAATCATTGGAATCCATAATTTCTGAAAAAAGCAATAAATAGGTTTTGTAACCATTGGGCAGAAAAGATGTATTAATAGTTGATACATTTAGCACAGCAAATAAAAATGTTATAGGACTATTTATAGGAGAAAATAAATGAATATTCATAGGTTGAGAAAAAAATTGAACTTTACAAAAAGGAAGGCGACCAGATGAATGATTATGTTGAAGATCTGATAAAAGAGTATTGTTTGTAATTAGTGCGACAAGGTAAGAAGGAGAATCCAACTGAGGATTAGATAAAAGAATTGAAAGAAAAGAAATAATAATTGAAATAGGAAACTATACAGTTACATAATTTGAATAAGGTATAATATTTTGAATTGGAAGTTTAATAAGGGTTGAGTTTGAAGTTGAATGCTTAGAAGTAATAATACAAGAAAAAAATTTAACTTTTTGATGAATACTATAAAAAGACTGAGTAAAAGATCAGGTAAAAATAGCCAAATCTTGATTTTAATGAGATGCCCAAGGCTTAAAGAAACAAATAGAAGCCCAATGCTGTGGCCATAATTTAAAAGACTCCAGATGAAATTTTATAGGAGAAAACTCTTTTAATTGATGAATATACAAAAAAGATAGAATAGTTGACATTCCAAATATAAGAAATCACTAGGACTTGTATTTTAGAGAAATAGGAGTTGATAAAAAAGATTTAGGATACCAAAGAAGAGTAATTAAAATTGAGTGACAAAATCTTAAGCTTAAGATTGAGATTGAACAAATTTGATAAATTAGAGCAATCATTATCCAGCGATAAATGCATTTCTGATATCAAGTCTAACGACACAGAACATTCATAATAGCAATAATAAGAATTGATAATATGAATTTATATATATAATTTAATAATGGACTAATAAATTGCACTTTATCTGAAAATGATCTCCTATTACGAACAGAAACTATAGACAATCAAATAAACCTTATACTCCAATAACATTGACAATCTAGATAGATCTTTTGAGTTGTTGTCCAATAACGAGGATACTATTACGAAGAATACTTTGTTAAACTTTTTCGTTTAGAATCTCCATCCTATCAATTATAAGGATGTTATTGAATTTATCTGGTTTATTGGTGATAAGGATAGATTTACTATCAGTAAACAATAATTTCAAGTAATTGTTATATTTAAAAAGCTTAGAATTACTTAACGAAACTTTTACTTCATAAATCAAACACTATTATTGATCATACAAACAATGATCTTTAAGTACAGCTTCTGAAACTACTCTCTCAATAAATAAGAGTAATTAAATAAATTAAGGATAGCAAATTGTAAATAATTAACAACGATGAGTTCAATATGATCAAGGTATTCTCATTCATAAAATTCTAGATATTTTAAAACCTAAGTGATCACAACGATATTATAAATTGCAATAGTCTTCTGAATTTTATGAAAAGCAATAAGGTTTAATTCAATAATTTCGATTTTGATTTGTTAACCTTTGCTACCTTTGGAAAGAAATGCAACATCACTTTCGATCAATTTAAAGATTGCTCATTGTTCTCCAACAATATTTCTAACAAATAATATATTAAATCAAGGGAAATACCTGAAGAAAAATAGATGACTCATTCTTACATCGTTAATTTAAGCAAATCTATAATACAGCAATAACAATTAATGCCTATAAGTGAAGCAAGCAGCATAGTCGAATTTAAAGCATCTGAACTTAAACCTAAAACTAAAAGATACTAAGAATAAACTAATGTACCAAGACCATATTGATTAATATTTATATTAAACATTTTTATTTAACATTCGAATCTTATTATATTAATTAATAAATTTAATAATAATTTGTTTTATAATTAATTTTCTCTATAATTAAACTACAGCTTTAGGAGAGTAACATGAAAAATAGTAATTAATGTTGAAATATTTAGTATTTTAGAGTAGAGATTTGAAAATTTTATTGAAATTAAAGAATATAATATTTTAAAAATGAAAGAAAGTTATTAATTATGTAATCTAAAGTTTGAATAAATTATTTAGTTTCACGATAATATCTCTTAGTTCAAATTATTGGGGGGTATTATTGAAAATAGATATTAGGTTTAAATTAAAATTATATCTCAATAAATTTATATAACAATATAAAAGATAGAAAGGATTATCTAATAAATGTTTTTTTTATGTTCCCATTCTCTGTTTATAAAGGTGAATAAAATAGTCTATACATTTTTAAGCTCTTATAATTTGATTAATTTGATTTATATGATGATATATCTAGTATAAGTTATTAATTTCTTTATAATTTTTTAGTTTCATTCATAATTTTCTGTTACATAAATATTTATCAAATTGAAATAACAGTTTATTCTATGTCTTTTAGGTTATTCTTGTGTATTGATCGAAATTTAACTTGCAGTCTTTAGATACATATTTAATTTGATTCGAATTGCTTTTTTAAAGGATACACCATATAAATGCAATCAGGTATTAGATTTGAAGTAGGAATGGAATGATAGAGATTCTGGCAATGAAGAGATTGAAGAAATTAATTCGTATTTAATATATATAAGTATAAATTTAACAAATTATTATGAATAAAAGGAATAAGAAACCTTCACTTATAGCATAATTGTATTTTGATTTGATTTAGGAGATGGACAATGTATGAATAAACATAAATTAGAGAGTATAATCGATAATGATATTGATTAGTCGCAAATACTTAATTAAGATGATGCATCATTGTCATATAATATAATATAGCTCTTTAAGTCAATTGATTAGATGCGTTAACAATTGCAGTAATAATTGAACGAGCATATTAAGAATGATTACGAGACAGTTATCTAAAATTTAGAAGCCTCTGTTAGAAAGCACATTAGAACATAATACTAACTGAATCTTCAGATTGAATTACTAAATAGTAAAATAGAGGAACTCTTAAAAGAGAAAGATGTTTAAGTGAGGCAATTTGAGGATAAAATACACAAATTGCAATTGTAGTTGTAAGAGAAACATACTGAAAGTGCAGGAAATTTATAAACTAATTTTCTGAATCATTTTTCTCAATTAGATTTAAACACACAAAAGAAAACACCATCAGCTTATGAGAAGATCAATAAATTGATGTCGAACAAGTCTTAGTAGAATATACTTAGCACAAATGGGTTTTTAAATTAGGATGAGCGTTCGCTTTCTTAAAGAAAAACGTCTTATCCTTTGAGAAAATCAATAGATACTAAACTACTACAATAAGATAACAAGAAACGATAAATTTGCTTTTAAAAAAGCAGGCTCTAGCAATCTGCTATTAAGTAGGATTATTCATGTTCCCAAACATAAAGAGATGAATAAGTCAGTGTTGATCAGAGAAAGACTAAAAAGATAATATTGTAACTCAAAGGGTCGATCCCTCAGTACAGTAACATTCACTTAACTAGATCTGGTTTGCAATTTTGATTAATTAATATATATATATATATGCAAGGTAATACTATAAAGTAATTATTGCTGGATATTGCAGATCTGATTGACAAAGTAATTTATCTTCTAAGAAGTAGGACATCATTTAAACATATCAACAAATCATTTAAGTGAGTATAAAGTAAATTTGTGAATAATCGGAAATGTAATAATACGAATATATCCTCTAAATCATTGCTTATTTAAATAGGTACCCCTCAAATTAATATGCAAAAGAGTAAAAACTGTATTTGAAGAATAATTAGAAGAACATATGAACAATGATTACGAGGCAGTAATCCAAAAACTCGAAGCATCAATAAGAATTCACATTAGAGTTGAGCAACAATAGAAATTGCAAATAGATGCTTTGACCTAAAAAATAGATGAAATCACTTCTGAAAAGGATATTATTATAAAATAATAATAAGAAAAAATAAAATCTTTGGAATAAATCATTAAAGTATGGCTAATTGATTTTATTCTAGGATTAACAGAAAAAATTGTTAGATATATCACCCAAAGAGATTCTTCATAAAAAGACTCCCTCAGCTTTTGAAAGGCTTAGTAAGTTGGTCTCCAACAAATCCTAAAAAAGTCTATAAATCACAAATAATGAAGCCAATTTCAAAGCTTTGTTGAAAATATGTAACACTGAAAAAGATCGGTCGCTGTCTAAGGGAAGGAAACAGTCCTCTGCCAAAAGAGAGATTGGCTACCAGAGATCAAATGAGGAAACTCAGTAAAAACATGTATATATAAAGAAATTTAGAGCCCAAATTGATGGCAACAGAAAGATTAAGAGATTCAAAGGGAGAAAAGCGACATCGAGTCTAGAAATCAGAAAAACTAAATGAACAATCATAGTAGTCTTTAAGTACTGAAAAGTTGAATAAATGTAACAAAACCAAAAAAAAAGAGTCACCATTGATCAGAGTATTACTTTTATATTCTATATAAGTAAAAGCCAGAATAAACATTATCTAGTCAAAGTTTTGATTAAGTTGGTAAAAGTTTATAAGCATTGCAAAGACAAATTTCAAACACTCGTCTGTAAAATAATCACAGCTCTCAACTACTAAAATTCTTATAGAAGAAATGATTTATATATATAATTCAGTAAGCATGCTTTTGCTAACTACTTCTAATTTAACTTTTTGGTCTCAACTTTTCTTCAACCTATAAACACTAACTAGGTTAAGCAGGAACCAATCTTTTTATCCTTCTTCGATATGTATCAATCCTTTTTTATTCGAATAGTTTCAATGCATATTCTCTTTGTTCATCCAACTCATTAAACACACTTAATAAAATAATAGAATATACTTTCTAGTTTAATCAACACTAGAATCTCTTCTCTTTTTATTAGTACTATTGTAACTCATTGATTATTAAACTCTACTGATATCGTATTGTGGTAAGTCCATGGCTGCATTCTAAGTTTACTGTTGTTGTCTAAATGAATATATTCCTAAAGTGTTGACAACCTCGAGGAATTCTTCATCTGTGAGTTTTTCAATTAAAGGCCTCAATTGATGCCATCGAGTATTCTCATACTTCTATTAAGTATATAACTTATTAAAAATTGAGCTCTGCTTCTCAATCCAAGGCTCAGGAGTCAAATCTCTAATGCTGTTTGGTTTTTATTCTATTGTGGATTGAAACTATTTCAATAACATATTCAATGAAACCGTTCCACACTTTTCACTTTATGAGACGATAGTTTTTTACTCTTAATTATTTTCATTATATTAGGTATTATTAAATTCATTAAATGCATCAGTTTGAGTAGAAGCAATCTTTTATTTATTTTTTTTAATAGTATCTTATCTTATTTCTTCCAAATGCTTCATAATTATTTTTTACTCTTTTTTTTCTTTAGATTTCTTCTCTTCTTTTTGCTCAGTAAATTCTTCTTTGACTTAGACAGTTTGAGTTTATTTATTCACTTTTCCTCTTCCTAAAATTTAATTCACGACTTTAACTGATTCTACCTCGTATAAAAGCAATGTAACCTCTTGGATCAAAGTAACAAGATCATATCCTTCTAAATGATTTAACTTCTGAAGAATATCTTTAATTGGAGTTGATTTCTCTTTTAATAGATCATATTTATCTAATCCTAGAATACTTTAGTTTTATTTCTTAAGTAGTACATTCAATATGTGTTTTAAGTTGTTTATCAAAAATTAATTTTGTTATTTCAATTATTAACAATGCTATTTTTAATTCAATAGCATAGTTGAGAGATTGTGGTTTTCAGATCTCATATTTTCAATCTTTTATTATTAAATTAGAATCATTTATTTAGAGTTCTCGTTGTTATTTTAGATTAAGTCCTCAAATAATTTCAATTATTGCTTATATTCTATATCTTATTAGGTAATTAACTAATTTAACTCCAGGATTTCTTCTTTCTTTTTCTCTAGATCAACAAGATACATAGCACTTATTTACGCTTGGCAATCTTGCATTAAAATTCGAGTATCAATTATCTTCTTTAAGTCTTCACTTTTGGTTTTGAAGGTATTGTTGATTTTATCATAGTCAATTCCATAATGTTTCTATTAATTACCCAAAACATTTAAAACATAATTAATAGATTTAATATCTTAGATGTTCTTAAAGAAAACATAAGGATCGGACTCCTTATCAAGAGCAATCTTCAATAATTCCTTAGGTGTAAAATCATCAAAGGAGGGTTTCTTCGTGTTTTCTTCATTATTATGTTGTACTCGCTGTTTTTGAAATTTATCCATAAATTGTTTCACATAACGTTCATATTGATTTTTAATGTCATTGATCTTTTCATTCATAAGAACCACTATCTCTGGATCAAGCATTTATGTTTAATCAAAATACTTAATATCAAATATAGATGATGGATCCTCTGGTTGTGGATTTAGTACAAATTGTGCTTTGAGAACGGAAACCTCCTTATGATGATTGTGTGCCATCATTTCCATGCTGTTCTATCGATACTTCAGTTTCTATTTCAATGCTTGGATGGTTTACTCCTTCTGTTCCAAATCAAGACGCAGCTACTGTATTTCAGGGTTAAACTCCTTTATCTTACCCGTCTGCCTTATAAGAGGACCTAGCTCATACCAATTTGATTTGAAGACTAACTCCGTCATCTTCACTCTCTGATTCACTAAAGCCTTCTTTCTATTCATAGCATTTCAAAATATTCTTTTTTAAATTTGCAACCTCTTTGCTTTATACAAAGTTTTGAATACAATCAAGCTTGTTTCTTAATTCTAATTAGAGTTGCGCTGAACTTTTATTGAAAGATATGGATGTATGATCTGATCCGTTAACTATTAAATCGAGTATGAAATTCATAATAGAAAGCGCAAATCCTTCCACCTTATTTTGGCAATCCTTAATCAATTAGGAATCAATACTAGGATTATGCGATTATTGTCATCATCTTATTTGAAATAGGTTCGGAGACTACGTATTGTCATCATTATTGGATAAAGTAATTTATCCAAATTGAGTTAATTCATTAAATTAATAATGGGATTATTGCTTTCTAAAATATTCACTTCACTCTTATCCCGGAAGGAAATGCGTATTCTAATTTTGGGTTTGGATAAATCAGGAAAGACAACTATTTTGTGTATCCAAAATTAATCTATTTTATAGATAAATTGCATTCTAATGAGTTGATCCAAACAGCACCAAGTAACTAAATTATCATTATAACAACAAGCAATGGGATTCAATGTGGAAACACTTACCTACAAAAATTTGAAGTTCCAAGCTTGGGATTTGGGAGGTCAAAATGATCTCAGGTATTCTACCAAAATATACTCCTAGAATATATTGGAAGTGTTACTACCCAAATACAAATGGGATTATCTATGTGATTGACTCCTTTGATGAAGGCAGACTCAAAACATCAAAGGAAGAGTTAATGAACATACTATAAAGCCAAGAACTCAAAGATGTTCCATTATTGATTTTGGCAAATAAACAAGTTTTATTTCGGTTATATTTATAATTTTGCAGGATATGTAAGGAGCATTGAGTGAAACTCAAATTTGCGAGTTCTTAAAATTAGAAGTAAAGAAAACAAGAAAATGGACAATGTATCTCAATTATAATATAATTAAAATTAGAGTTAAATGTAGTGCTTTAACAGGTTTGGGTTTAAATGAAGGTATGTAATGGATGGCAAATGCTATTAAGAAGTGATTAGATTTGTTTAATTTATCTATGTATAATGAGTATATGTATAATAAAATGAAATTGAAGCAACTTATAAATATTTTAAAAGTTGTTGATTATTTTGTTTGACTTTATCATTTTCTAAATATCTTCTTCTAGTTGCCTATAGATACAGTAATAGAATTCTTATAAATCTTTACTATGTCCAAATAAAGGGGAGCCTGCATAATCTATCTAATCGTAAAATCAACTTATCAACCATGTTTCGTTGATTGGTTCCAAGAATTTCTGTGTTAATAGAGGGATTTCATCACTATATGTATGGTGTAATATAATCCATTTTCAAATATAATATTATTTTAGTTTTCGATTAATCAAACTTATGAAATGAATAGAAATTCTTCAGTATTACAATAATGATTAATGAAATATAATGTTAATGTAATATAAATAAATTTATGTTATCTTAAAAAAAAGAGTAATTTAGACAGCAAATTAGAAAGTAAAGACTAGAAGCGTTTTTAATGGAAAGTAGGAAAAAAAGTATGTTAAAAAGTGATTTTTTACAATGTTAAGAATCGATGGATGACGAAATAGTTGAGTTATGCAATCAAGTAGAAGCCGATTAGAATTTTAACATTTTGAAAATACCTCTTCTAAAAACAATTTTGGAGGGAGAGATCACAAATTCAAAGATTCTATATTTATAAATGATTGTAAGGAAGTGCAGAGATAATAAATAAATAGATGATTTAGAAACCCTCTTTGAAGATTATAATTTGGGACAAAGAATTATGGCAAAATGTGAGAAGGAATAGAATTTTGTATTCTTAGATGAACAATTATATCTACTTGGATAACTGTCACAGTCATCATTACTATGTTAAGCAACCCTTATACAAATTTAAATTGTTCAATGTTTAAACAAAATAGTTGATCTTGAGATTGAGTCTGATGATTGTCTTATGTCTACCTTTATGTATCTAATCACCACATTTGTTGAGCCAAATAGCAGAATCCCTTTTTAGGATGTCAAATAACTCCTGTTGATAGTAGATAAATTATGCAAGAAATTACGCGGAATCAATTATTTGGACATCGAGCTCGATTTGGATAATAATGAAAAATACTCTGAGAACAAACACTCCTTATTAAGTAGAATACTCTTATTCGTTCGATACTACATTGATAAATCTCAATTCACAGCTAATCTTACACTCTATCAAAACTTCTGGATAATACTCACCACCTTAGCATTTGTAGTATAAGAATAGTACTCACTAAGATAAACTGCCTTATAAGTGATTTCTGAGTCTCTGAAATTGAATGATCAATAGTTGAAATTTGATATCATTGAAAAGCATCCAGACATATTCTTTTAGTTGCTTATTATTATTGATCATCATCAATAAAACAATAGAACCACTGATAAATGCATTAGAACTTAAGCATCTATTATAATGAAGTAGTTATTTTGCGATTAATCTTAATACATTATCTAAAATATCCATTTGAACTAAATTTCCTTGCAGTTTTTGTAATTGGTTGAAAGAGAAAGTAATTATTTAGTTCATCTTAGAGGATCGCCAAGTCTTATATCATTAATTGGAAGCTTTGTTTCTTCTCTGCTCAAACAGTACATTTGAGCAATGCATCGATCTATATAACAACGGATTATTAACTCTGTTAATATCTACATATCAAGAGATGAAGGAATGGCAAGATTTTATTCTTAGCAAACAGTTAATTAAATGTAAATTTTTTATTAATTTAGTGACCTTTGCTATTTTGTAACATAACTCTAGTGATAATCGAATATTGAACTTTTTAAAACTACATAAAATAACATCATATTTAAATGATATCATAATCCATTGTAAACATGAAATTACATGTCAAAGAGCAAATTAATTACTTAAATATATTTAATGATACAATTATAAATTGAATAAACAATAATTATAATTTTTATCAAAAGTTCTCTTAAATTGATTAGATAATATTTATATATAATTATATTTTCCCAATGATATTCTTCATAATCTTGTATAACAAAATGATCACATTGATAGTCATCTTTAAATCTCACTTAAGCTCAATTAAAGTGCATCAATTGAATTCTATATTATTCTCTCTTATTATTATCCAATCCTGAGTACAAAAGGGTTAATATCATTAAAAATAAGTAGAAAAATCATATTTTTATATTTGGTTCTTATACCTGCTAAGATGGAAATGCATTCTATTCTAAGTTCTTGGTCAGGATAAAAGTGAAATTCTAATTAATTTTCCAGAGTGAGATTATATCATCATTAGATCCTTATATTATTCTTTACTACTATTTGATTTCTTTTAAAATTTTATTCTTCTGTATTTCTAATATTAAATTTAGTAATTCTCATTAGTTTTAAAAATGCAATTTAGAAGAGTTATTTTCAGATTTTCAAAAGAAAAGATCGACAAGATCCTAGACCATGAAGACTATTTGACTTAATAAATCGACAAGATGGCTACAGCCTTCAGTTCTCAGAATAATAAAATATTCAACAATTACATAGTTTTCCAAAACAAAATTAATGTAGATGGTACTTTGAATTTGCTTAAAAATAAGGATTTTCAACCAAACTGAATAGATCTGCTGCAATATATATTACTCTATGGGGTATGGTAGGTGGACTTTCCTATTTTTACATAAACCCTTGGGTTACATTGATACCAGCATTTTTTTCAATTTAAACAATATCATCATTTGTGACTGGTAGGAAATACTTGAGTAAATTGGTATAATCGATAACTTTGGCAAAAGATTAAAAAAAATGCTTAATTGAATTAGGAAATAACAAAATGTTAGAAGTCAATGTGGTAGATAATGAACTGCTAAATATCAGCGATGTGATACAAACATCAAACAATAAGATGGAGGAGGAAGTGGTAACTAATAAAGTATTATAAAGAATGAAAAATATCGATAATCAAATTATGTTATATAATTTGAGACAAAATACGATAGTAAATTATACGAAGATTTGAGGGTACTAGTGACGAAAGACAATGCTGAGATTCCAAATATCAAGTTGCTCTAGGATATTATTACAGGAGAAGATGTGAGTGGATACATTTATGAGGAAATAGTATAAAATTAGGAAGAAGTAGTAAGAAGGGAGACTGATGAGGAATTGGAGAAGAGGTTGAAAGATGAATTGAAAATATGAATTTTAATATGTGATAATAAATTAAACTATAGAATGTCAGAAGATCCAAATGAGAAATGGAAGAAAATTCTTTTGAATCCTTATGGCAAAAGCAAGGATGATGTTTAGAATGAAATTAGAGCCATGCATAAAGAATAGCAAATGATTGATGAAGCAATAACCAGAGAGGCCTTGTTATAAACAATAAAGGCAAAGAAGACATATCGAAATTTAACAAATCCTAATACTAATGCTGATAAATCTAAATTAGTGCCAGTGGATGGTGATTTGAAATAAGGAGCAAAAGTATTTATGCGTGCATGTGCTTCTTGTCACTCTTTGGAAATTTTCACAGGAAAACCATATGCAGCAGATTTTTCATTTTAAGAATCCAGTGGACCATCCTTGGCTCAAATATATAACAAGCCAGCAGCTAGTTAGAGAGTATATGAAGAATACACAATGGCCTTGTTGGATTCTAAAATATTTTGGAATAGCTATAATCTATTTATGTGGGCTAAAGATCCATAAGCAATGTGTAAAGGGACAAAATGTTTGTAAAGAGGAGAACTATTGGAGAGTGCAGAGGAAAGGTAAAAAATAACATCTATTATATGTAGAGCTGATTTAGTAAAGTTTTTGAAAGGGTTTGCAAAGGCCACTTCAGATTTGTATAGAAGGTCATTCACAAAGTATCATGGATATGAATGGCAAAATTATAGAGAATAGGGACTGGTAAAGGCAAGAGAGGTTGCTCATTAGAGACAAGGATATGAACCAGAGAAGAAGTGATTTAATATTAATTATATCGTTTTTTTGTTTTCAATCATGAAGTATTTACTAATGATTGTATTGGTGTTTGTAATAACAGCCAAGGAGTTTAGTTATATAGAAACAAGTAAACGAAGAGATTGAATATAGATTGTTTGCCTGCAACTGATTTGAATGGTCAAAAACATGATCCAACATATGCAGAACAAGCAAGAAAACATTTGACTAAATATGCTGAATAATCTACTGAAGATATGAGAAAGTATTCAGATAGACAACCATATCCAAATCTGAATACTTACTCTGAATAAAATTGCGTTGGAAATGGTGCAGATTTACCTAAAAGAGATAGAAGATTCAGAAGAGCAGGATGAATATCATAATTAATCAATTTACCATTGATAGAATTATCAAAATACCATACACTCAAACAATCATCCATTTATCAAATAATCCTTATAATCAAATTGTTCCTCAGGATAAAAAGAAGTAATAACAGTTCTCTTATTGTATGTGCGACCTGCTAGATGGAATTTAGCTTTCTTTGCAGGAATTTAATAATAAAATTTAACAAAGATCTTTCCTACAGCTGGGTTACAAAAACTATAATAATATTGCAATTATTATATCTTACCCTGATTCTTTGTCTGGCCTTGGTATTTCTATCTTCTCTATTTAACCAAAACGTATACATTCACTTCTAATGTCCTCCATCAATTCTTCATATATATCATCTTCATACAGATCTTCAATTGAGCACTTTTGATATTATCATTTAATCAATACCATATTCAAGAATTGCACAACCTTGCTTGGAATCAATGCAGACTAAGGGATCGTTAGCATCTATTACACTTATGGCATTCGCAACAAATCACAGGAAGCCAAAAATGAACCAGCATAATTAGAAGGCTAATCTCTTCCATTAATTTTCTTATTTTATTAGGGTTCTCCTTGAACTTTGCATATCTTCAATTTCTTGTCTCCAATTTACAAATTGTTAAGTGCCTTTAAAGCCTTTGCAGTTGAGACACTTTTTTCATACTCAAAAAAACAATATCCTTTTGAAATCTCTGTATTAGATGTAGTGTCTTTGACTAAATTAAAGTACTTAGTTGATCCAAAGGATTGTATGAGTTTCATCACATCCTCATCTCTCAGATAAGTAGGTAACCCTCCCAAATACAATCTTGTATTGTCTTCCTGTTTTTGATCAGCATTTAATTCCCCCTCCTTAGCCTATGGATTTAATATCCTTTCTAGAAATTTTCTTGGTCTTTCTACTTTTATTTTGCAATTATTCACGAATTAAACCTAATCCTAAGTCACCAATGCCCTTTTAGCTTCTTTGGAACTGCATTCCAATACTACCCAAGACTTTGTTGCCCCATATTCAATAGCCTTAATGGGTCTTTCGGCTTATATATAATTTATTAATACTGATTTTGGGATCAAGAGATGTGATGAGAGTATTAAAGTATTCCTCCAATTCTTTCAGTTACACATTCAGAGGCACATTCGATATTATCATCATGTATGGATTATTTTCATAAATGGCATATTTTTCTTTAATATGCTAAGGCAGATCAGGGTCTTGTAATATCTTAGATGTCTTAACTTTGTTCTACCAATCATCATCAAAATCAGTCATAATTTCTTCTAATTTTTTTGTTATTTCTAAATACCTTCTTCTCCCCATTTCTTCTTCTTTTTATTTTTCTTCTTCTTCTTTTTCTACTCCTACTATTAGGTCTATTCTTTTTTGTCATTCTTCTCATTGTCATCAGATTCTTATTCAATTTACTCTCTCTATTCCTTAGTTTCTTTGTTTTCCACTTCTTAATTCATATAATTAATTAAATTAATAATTTTGATTCTTCTATTTATTGTAATGATTCATTTTCTATATTTAATTTATGCAAATGATAGATGATCTAAAAATAAATACTCAATCTTAATCAAATGTGTAAATTATAGTTTCTGTCATCAATTAGCAGTCAAATGCAATTTCAAACTCTCATTTTAAAGTAATAGCACATATTCATCAACTTCCTTGACTTCTCTTTTGTGTTTCAGTTTCTCTCTTTTTAATTGCTCTTTCTCTTCTCCCCTATAATATTCATCCTCATTGTCATTTTATTTCTCATCTCTCTATTGTTGTAGTTCCTCATTTCCATCTGCATTTTTTTCATCTCCTTGACCATCTACATCTTCATCATATTTGAAATCTGAATATTATGGACTTAATACCATTTTCAAATTCTAATTAACCTTCTGAATCATCATCAGAACATCTCTTCTAAATTTCATATGAAAATTCCTCCTCATATTTCTCACTGTAATGATACTTTCTTCCTTACTCATCCACCTTCGTTTCAGATCTACGAATCACACTCGAATTCACTAAAATCAAGGAGATAAAAACGATTATTAACATAATATATATATAAAACTAGTTAACATAAACAAAATCAAAAGTTTATTAGAGAGTCAACATTCTACAAAATCTTTTCAAACAAGATATCCATTTATGCTTTCCACTATGGCTTTGAATTTTCAAGGTAATAGAGTTACTCCTAATCTACTAGACCTTCAAGAACCTTTTTGTTATCACCTGTTCTTTATGCAACCTTGATCTCATTAAGAAATAGGTCATTCTCCATATACTAGATAATTAATTGTTTATTGACCATATAACCATTAGGGTTTTTGACTTTTCTCATATTCTAAAATCTATCTATAAATTATTGATGCAGTAGACTGGCAATTATAATTATTATTTTTTAGGTTTAAATTTTGCATTTTGCATTATGCTAAGGTATCTTATTAACTAATTGAATCAAATTGGGAATCACTATTTAAAAAAGTAAATATTCCATTGATATTACTAATTTCTCTTCCCTTGAGATATGAATTCTATTTGCTGTGTAAAAATGACATCTCTCTCCTACAAAGAAGGAAGTCTATTGTCTTGAAGTTTTATAAAGACTAATGATCAATTAGCATTTTAGCAATTCAGGAAAATGGTTTGATCGAGTCAGCAATTCTAAATTTTAGTAAATCAATTTTGAAAAGCTGTACATTCTAATTTTCTTAAAATCCAAACTTTAAATAGGTTTAGATAATTCATCAATCTAATTGCATTCATTAATATATGTTCGACTATTGAGGTAGTGAATAACCTTATTCGATATAATTTAGACAAATTAATATTATTATTCTTCTATGAATTTCACCCCATTTTAGTTTACAATTTTCTGGCAATTCTAGAGTTTTTTATTCAGTTTCGATATGAGCTATGTCTCTTCTTTTTTAAGTAATCTAGAAAATATATTTTATAAATACCTGAATTATTTTGATATCACCATAGTAAAAAAAACAGATAGAAAAATAATTTTCAGTCTTCTATGGGTATTATCGATTCGTTAAGTCAATATCTCGATTTCACTGTTTTTTTAACGATGAGACACTGAATTTAAATCTGGAAATAAAAAGTATTGTGCGCTTTCATTTTACTCCCTTTATCCTGAATAATAGTTTCTCTCTAAAGGATATTTTGAACTCTCATTTGACTTGTCGAAATTTTGTACAATTTTTTTTTGAACTATAGGAGGTCTCTATTCTATTGTTGCTTCTTATGATGGTCTTACAAGTTTTCTTTTTTCTGTTGTTCCTTTCTTTGAGATGGCCTTATTCTAATAATACCTTTCTAAAAGAGTGTAGTTAGGCAGATTAGGAGCCTTTTCTCCTAAGCTAACTAAAGCTTATATTGGGATTTTATTGTTCTCTTAGGGATGATACTAATTTTAATCATCAAATTCTCCAATCATCGAGATCGTATTCGGCTTAATCAATTAAATTCCCTAGTATTCTTTTGTGCTCTTATTTGATATTAAAGGTAAGTTGAAATATTAATTCATAAGCATAATTCCATTGGAATTTCCGAAGGAGTGCAATCTTCTCATTGATGTAGGAGTAGATCTCTAAGAATGAGCAGATGGAGAGAGTTTTTACATTTTAATTTATTGATTATAAATTAAATTGATCAGTCTACCTTGATAGTGTATAATCATCTTTTATAATGTAGATTTCTAATCCTAATAAAAAATTTAAAATAGCAAGACTGAGGGTAGAATAGCCATATTAACTTAGAGGTTGCACCAGAATTTAAAAAAACAAATAAGATAAAGTATTATAAATATTTTGTATATCTGTATATATATTTTATTATATTTGGTATTAATTGCATAAAATTGAAAATTATCTTGCTTTCAATTTCTTTAATAGAGTTAATATTATATGAAAACCAGTTTGATTAAAGGATTAAATGAGAAATTTATAGCAAAACTTTGAATTAGCAGTAAAAAATGAGTTTTTTAGATTTACTTTTACTACTATTAGGTTGTTAATAGTTTGATTAAATAATTCTTAAGTTTTATAGAACTAATAATCCAAATAATAAATATATTTATATTTATTGTGGAAATATCCTTGTTTAGTTCATTTTACTAAGTGTCTGTAATTTCTAAAATTATATTAAAACGGATTTGTTAAATGTAATATAGAAATTAATATAATTTAATTTTCCAAAATTTTCCTTATCATAATAGTATGCAAATCATTAGGGATGAGATGATAATGAATAACTAAATTCTAGATTTTGGTATGACAGAAAATCAAAAAATTGAATCAATCTGTCAGCAGTTAAAACATATTTGTACTGTTTCTTTAAAACTCTTACCTCCTAAATCAAGATAAAAACCAATAAGAAAGAAGAGAGTATTGAAAAAATGGTTTAAAATCCATACCTCAAAAAAAGAGTCAAAGCGTGTTCAATCTAAAAAGACTATTCCAAACTATTTTGAAGTCTCTCGAAATGAAATGGAAGAGAAGATTGCATTAATTAGTGGATTATAGCAATAGATACAATAATTAAAGTTGATGATGCCTCAAATATGAGTTATGAATAATCATTTTCTTAAATTCTTTATAAATAAAATTTAGATGTCTCAACTATTTTATACATGGAAGATGGCAGATGATTTAGTCTACATACAGATATACTCTATCAAGACATGCAAAGACACTATTTAAAAAAATCAATACCTGAAAATCAAAAGTAAAATGATTTAACTGATTTAGATTTGTTTATTTCATTAAATTTAATTCTTCAATATAATAATATTTATTACAAAATTACAGTTTTCGCAATTGCAGCTTTTTGTGCAATTTTCTTTTAGATTCAAGCATTTAGAATGCTTAATAAAATTGTTGTCAAAAGTGTAGCTAATTCTATTTAAAGAAGTCGCTTGCTCTTATAAGTTTTAAAATTATATATATATATATAGTATAAGAATATTTTGGCTCTATTTATATTATTATTATTGATAAATTAAAATAAATATATACAATAAGTGATTGTTTTCACTAAATAACGCAACATTCTTTTCTTTTTCCCTTCCTCTTATTTTTTTCGAAATTATAACTCAACATTTTCAAAAACGCCTCCTCCTTTGAATTGAGTTCCAAACTTTTCAAAGTCCTTAAGCCAGGTTTAGTATAACATTCAGTATTCTCTTATTTAGAAGAATTGGATAAATCTAGATTAACGATTTGAGTTTATTCACTATTCAATGTGAATAATTCTGCTTTATCATTGATAGTGATCTCATATTTTGAACCTTATTTAATTTCTTATCCTTTCCTATCGAACCTTTAAACTTAAGTTATTTTGAACTTAAATACTCTAATTTCCTTTTTTAATTTGTTTTTTTAATGCACTTTTAGGTTAAGTGCATTCAGTGATTTTATGCTGCTCTTTCTTCATTTCTAAGAATTTTTTGTTGTTTTAATAAATTGATATATTTTTGAATGATATTATTGAAAAAAAACATAAATTATATGATATAGCATATATCATCATTCTCAAAGTATGACTTCAACTAAGTAATTCAACTTTGTAATTATATGATCATCATTATCAATGTATCTTTATTCGTCAAATCAGAATAAGAAGCGATTTTTGTAAATTGTTCTTACAATCTTTGCTCTAATTAAAAATAATTTACAATCTTTGAAAATATTTATTAATTATACAAAAAAATAATTTTATAAATGCCTATAGAATATTAAATAATTATTAAGCAAAGATTACAGAACTTTGATATTATATTTGGTGTCGTTTATATGATTAATTTGATTTTTTCATATTATGCAAATTTGTTTGAAATATTAATTAAATGAACTTAATAATGGATTTTATTTGTTGAATTTCAAAATGAATTTACTCAATTTTAAGTTTCGAATTGGAAATTATTAATGAGGCAGTCTTTTTTGAAAAATCAATTAATATTATACCAAAATTTATAGAACAAATGTCAGCATGCTGTTAATATGCTTATTGACATTAAATAGATAATTTAGAATTGAATTATTATCTTTGAATTTAAATAAACCAAAAACACATCAATATAATTTATCTTCTTCCACTTCTCTAAAAAATACTTGTTTCTCAAGCCATAGAGCAAGCATCTTAGGCTGTTACTTGAGAACCTCATCAAATTTAAACCATTTCTTTTCACCATTCTTCAACTTAACAAGAATATTGTCTTTTTAATGTTAACACACTTCAATTATTTCTGAGTTCATTTAAAAATTAAATTTATATTCTAAATTTTGCAAGAAAATGAACTTTTAATAGTGAATTTAAATTGGCAGTCTCTTCTTGAGCGATATTACTAGTATTAGTTATTTAGTAATCCTTATTGTATCTCATCTATTCTTTACTGATAATGCTATTGAATAATTTGTAAAGGACTTAGTAGGAGGGAACGAGAATGATCTGGAAATGAGTGCATGGCTTTGAAAGTTTAACATTATCTTATATATAAGCATATTAATAAATGGAGTGGAAAACGGATTTTTATTGTTAATTATATTAAAAATGAAAAAAGCATTGCTTCTTGTATTGGTGATTGTGGGCAGTCTGGCAACAGAATTTGATGATTAAATTGCTGAACTCGAAGAAACTCAATTTGGATAAACTATTTTACAAACAATTCAGATGGAGATGTAAACAGATGATCCAGTTGTCTCTAATTTGGTGGATATTATGCAACATTTAGAACAAACATTAGAAGGAGAACAAAAACGAGATGATGAGAGAATTGTTAGGTTCAAATAAAACTGTGATATTGCTTTGAGTCAATTGACAGAAATAATTAATACAAGCACTGTCACTTCACTTACTTTGAAGAGTGATTTGGATTCATTAAACCCATAGAAAGTGTAAGCAGTTGCGAGTTTGGAGAGAAAGAATCTAGAAATTGCAGATTTGAAAGCAGAATTAGATTATTAGACATTAAAGAGACAAAAGGAATCAGCTACTTATTAAACAATTCTAGACAATCTTGAATAAGCATTATTCGGAGTTAATTAAGTCAAAGGATACTTCAATAAATACTTGGATGTATTGGTCAAGAATAGAAATAGATTCTAATAACCTTAACCATCATTCCTTTAAGAAGACTTCAGTTTCTAATACAATGATGAAGATGTCGAAGAAGATATTGATTCTAAGGGCATCTCTTCATTTGCTTAGGTTGCTCAAAAAGTCAATAAATTAAAGCACCATGTAATCAATAACAATTACTATTAAAGGTTCATTTGGAAGGTTATAAATCCATGATTGAAATTCTTAGTCAATTGGCTAGCAAAGCATAAACTTCAGCCGATGAACCAAGTCAATGCGAAGTATTAACCAGAAAGGTCTTGTCCATCCTTAAATAAATCGAAAATTACATTTAATCAGAAAGAATCAGAGAAGATCAAGCTGAAAATCTCAGATAAAGTTCCTATGAGGATTTGAGAACTCTCTTGTCTGATTAATTGGTTAAGGCCAATCAAGACAAAACCTATATGGAAGGTATCATTATCATCATTAATTTCTATCCCAGGCTTGATTGATTCCTTATCAAACAGAATTCAATAAGCTAAAAATGAAAAATTCGAAGTGGATCAAAAGATTACCACCAAATCCAAAGAGAAGGAAAACAGAGAAAACGATTGCAGATTGAAGAGACAAGAATATGAAACTGACACTGCTAGCAGGTATTAACATTATATAGATAAACCTAGAATTAAATAAAAGAGATCCGTTGCTGTAGCCGTCGATTTGATTTCTTCGAAACTAGGATAACTTAAGAGAAAATTAATAGCAAATTGATTAGAATCATTATTAAAATACAGCTAGACATCATTTTCTTTTAAATCTATATGTTATTCCACTTAATTAATAGACTCATTATTATATATTCTTATATATCATTTATATGGCATATATCTCCTTGTCCAATTGCCTATTTTAGTTCATCACTTTGTAAACCAAGAATAATTCTATTTAAAAGAAACTCTTCTTAAAATTAGTGCTTATTACAATTTATAGTATCACATCCTTGTATTTAAATCAATTAATCCCTTTGGGTTTTCTTGATGAAATAAAGTTATAATTACTTAAAATGGTTTTTTCATTATTATATGGCATTGATCAGTAGTTGTAATATTGCTCGAATTATGTTGCTTTGTTTTCTAAGATTACAGTTTAATGTTAATCTTAATCCATATGGAAATTATTCTAAAAGTTATTATGAGTATTTGTCCTTGTAATTATTAATTATTAATGAAACAATTCTCTTGGTTTAGTGTTTTTTATTTTAGAGTAATAATATTGAAATATTGTAGAAATACTTAGTATGCAACGATCCTCAATTTAATAAATAGTTTAGAAAATTAGTATGTTAAGCGATAAAGAGTAAATAGAGTTCTTGGGTAAAAAACCACCAGCATGTACTAAAAGCACAATAGAGAAGCTTATGATGAACTTTTAACAAATTTCCAGGAATATTGATGATTTAGATTAGGATTTAAATCAGTTGGCTAAACGCCTTGATTATTTGGAAGTAAGCCAGATTTGATGAGTTTTGTTAGGAATCAATCACTGAACATTACACCCTCGTTTAACCATAAAAATAAGAAACCAAAAAAAAACGTAGAACTGCCAACCTCATCAAAAGAGATTTTTAAGTACTTTTTTTTTATATACCCAAATAGTGTCCTTACGAAAAATGTGACAAAATATATGGAACTGACATTTCATTGAATTTGCATATAAGACTAAAACATAATGGGGGATCAAAAATTGAAAGAGAAGAATTAGCAGTAATCTAAATGTGTTTAAATTTTAGAAAAAAATATTAGAAGCCAAATTTTAAGACGAAGTGGAGCCAGAACACAGTTTTAATCTGCCTCCTAATTTCATTGAAGATTTCTACATACACCATCAAGAATATATAAATAATTTAGAAAAAACTTACAATAAGAGAATATTACTTTGATTATAATTAAAATATTAATGATTATAATTCATTCACATCAGGCAATGTATCTCTGAGCTTTGGCATAGAGGTTAATTCATTAAAACTCAATCAGAGCAAATGAATTATATTTTTAAATAATAAGGTGAAGACGAAGTTTTAAATTTTATTAACAATTTTTCTATTATAATTATAATATCAACAATTAAAATCGTATATATATATACATAATTAAACTAAAAATGGTATTTTTAATATTAAATTATAACTTTTCTTTTAAGCACACCCTTCTATATTGTTCTTAGCAGAATCATTCTATCCTTAAATAGGTTAACTTGTAATAATAGTAGGACTTTCATTTTGCATAGTTATTTACTGACTTAATTTGACTAAAAAATAATTATTCACTTGCTCCTATCAAATATTTATTGAATTATTTATCATAACACCATATTCTCGACGATGGATGATTAATTAAATTTAAATCAACTTATTACATAATATAAATGCTTTCAAAGAATAATTATTATTAAAATGAAAATAAATTTATCAACTTCAAGGAGGCTTTAAATTTCAATGATCATTTTGCTCATATTCCATTTTATCCGATTGCTATTGTTATATAGAGAGAAAGACTAATATATCACTTTTATGATGGTTCTATTTATTTTGCAAATTACTTTAGAAATATTATGCTATTCAAAACAAAGCCTCTTTCACTTATTATTATAATACTCCATTATACTTGCAGATTTAATTGTTTTCCAAATTGAGTCCCTAAGATATGGAATTAATGATGTTCATTAAAATTTTGTTTTTATAATTATTATTTATGCTTAAGGAGATTTACATAAAGAGAAGAATCTAAAAGCATCATGGTAATTTTTTAAATACTCTCTTTTATTATTGCTTTTTCTGTGCTTTTAGTTTGAAGGAGAATTTCAGGAGAAAAATATCAAATTAAATTTGAAATATTTAAGCCTAATAAACTACAAATTACATATTTTACTTGTAGTTTTCTTACTCTTTGAGAACAAAAGTCAAAATGAGCCTTAGCTAAAAAAAATAAGATCTATACAAGGAGATCAATTTCGAATAACTCTTGATTAAAATGAAAATTAAATAAAACGTTGTTTTACTTAAAAATCATCATCTTCTCATGTGAGTGAAATTATGGAAGACTTTTAAACTGTTAGTAAAGCTGTCATACATTAAAATGTTGATTTCAATCTGATTTTAGAAGCACTCTAAGAAGGTGTGATTTTAGTTCATTTTGAATAATCAGATGATCCTGCATATCCTAACCTTAAAGTGGAATACTAAAATTAAATGAGTAAGAAGATGTTTTAGATGACAAATCGAGAACTTCTACTGCTATTTGAGAAAATGCCAAGTGAAGTGCTCTAGGATGAATCTCCCATGCTAGCCAGAAGTTCTTTAGTATTATTACAGAGTTTTGCTTCCTAATAATACAAAAATATCCATAAAAAAGCATCAGTATTGAATGCTGTTTATTCCCTTTCCTCAGATTCCAAGAAGGATACTAAGATAAATGGTATGTCTACCTAATCTCCGGGATATGGATCAATGACATCTTAAGTAATTTCTGCATTTTTCTATAATATAGCTTAATACAGTTTTGAAATGTCTGCTCTACAGTTTCACAACAAAGAAACTTAGATTTGAGATCAATGGAAAAGTGGAGGCAATGATTGTTGAGACCAATTTCGAGATAGAAAATAATAAAAAATAGATTGAATTAATTATAACTTTTGGGGGGGAGAATATTTTATTGATCATAGCTCGCGATGTGGTTCATAGGAAGAATATTAAAGAGCTATTGGACATTAACTAATCAAAGTCTAAGACTCTATCTTTTGTAAGTCACGAATTTCGTTCTCCTTTAAATGTTATGCTTAACATTCTGAGCGAATTAAAAGAAGCTTCCTTCTAGAACAAGCATCTTTTTAAGAGTGTCTAGATTGTTAAAGAAAATGCTGCTTATATGTTAAATTTAGCTAATGATTTACTTGATTTAGCTTAGATCAAAGCGGAGACATTTAATTTGAATTTAAAGACCTTCAATTTAATACTGTTAGGGGAAGAATGTCTTGAGATGTTTAAACTCTAAGCAGAATAAAAAAAGATAGATCTTAAAATTTAAACAAATACGAGACCGTTATTTTTATTTACTGACAGAAATAGATTGAAATAGATTTTTATTAATTTAATTGCTAATGCTATGAAATTTACATAGTTTGGTTCAATTATAATATAATTTGAATAAAAAGGATTATTGGTGGATGTTGGAGTAAAAGATTCTGGAATTGGAATTACAGAGGATCAATAAAAGAAATTATTTAAGGCTTTTGGCAAAATAAAGGATGCTTAAAATTAAAAGCTCAATGAATAAGGAGTTGGTTTGGGATTATTGATAAGCAATAAAATCGCCTAATAGTTATCATATAATAATTAAGGTTTACAAGTAATTTCTCACAGTAGTGCTGAAAAGAATCATGGGTCATTATTTTATTTAACTTTAAATATCTAGGATTTTCATTTAAAAGTGCCATCAACTAAAATAGAATAACATAGCAATTCTATTGATTTTCCAATAACCTACTCTGGAGATGAAGATCTTTTAAACTAAAATTTGGAGTGTTTTGAACCCATTCTTTCGTTAAAAGTACTTGATAGAAAGCCAAAACCATCATGTTAACATATATTAATAGTTGATGATAATGTTTTTACCTAAAACATTTTGGAGATGCAAATAGCATAATTGTAAGTTTAACTGTCATATTTAGTACAAAATCCACAATTGATAAATCGTTTAATGGATTAGATGCTATTAATAGTGTAAATACTAAAAAATGCAATGAATAATGTGCTGGTTACTAAGCAATATTTATGGATTTAGAAATGCCTATAATGAATGGCATGACTGCTTCAGAATAAATCTTGAAGATTAAACCTAGCATAAAAATATTCATAGTTTCTGGATATGATGATAATAAGTTGAAGTAAGAGGGTGAAAAGTTAGGGATCAAAAGTTTTATAATTAAACCAATTTTAAAAGACAAAGTGTAAAAACTTATTTAAGAATATCAATTATGATTATCTAATTTCTTTATTTTTATGTTATAGATTATTGTATTTATTATATTCAAATACAAATTGTTTTTATAGCAATATATAAATATAATCATTTAGTAAAAGCAAATTAAAATTAATCTTCTCTTTGTGTTTCATTGCGTTGCTAATCTAAAGAAAAGGAACTTAATGGACTTAGTTCTTCCATAATAGATCTTTGTTTAGGCAATTCAGGAGTGCTAGCCTTGGGTGCATAGATGGGAGTGCGAGTGACGATTGACAAATTCTTGCTATCCTTATTCATTAATTTTTGATCAGGACTGTTGTACGTATCTAGATAGTGATCAAAAGATTCTTTAGTAGGACTCCCTTGCCTAATATACATTGATAACATAATCTTACATTTTTAGTAGTAATTATGGAGCCATTTCATTTTAAAAAAAGACATGATTAAGACATTGAGTTGCTGTAAATCTTTGATCAGCATCCTAGGCGATCATCTTAAATCTAATTATAACATTTAAATTTACAATAAATCTCTGGCATCCGAATCTAATTATTGGTATTTTTATCTTCTAAAATCAACCTAGAATTATTTGTTCATTCTCAAAATCTCCTGATGTCCATTTCCAACAAACAAACCTTCTCCCAAAAGCAATATGTGGAAAATAACCCCAGCTGAAAAAATATCACATGCTGTTGTGTAGGATTATGCTTTGTCCATCAAATTAACAACCTCTGGGGCAACAAAGCCTGGAGTTCCACATTTTGGATAGAGGTAGGGATATGAATCAACTTTCACAGATAAACCAAAATCAGCAATTGTTAAAGCATTTATATTGCCCTTTTCTTTGAAGAGAATGTTCTCTGGTTTTAGATCTCTATGCATGATTCCTTTAGAATGAATATATTATAATCCTGTTAATATCTAATACATAATCTTAAATTTAAATAATAATAGGTACTTTCTAGACTTCCTACCTGCTGTACAGGGTCAACTTATTTTTCATCTCCTTGTATAAACTTCCTCCCTAAGCCAAATCCATTATCAAATATATGTTATTATCTCCTTCATAGACCTCTATCAAATTAATGAGTTATTCATGTGGACTTAAAATCCTCATTATTTAAATTTCATTCATCACTGATTCCTATAAATTTAAACTTGATTGATTACCATTCCTTATTCAATTGCCTATAGTTTTTTCTTGTCTATACATTTCGAAGCAAACTTTTGATTTGAGTGTAAATGTTATAATTCAAGAACCTAAGAATAAATGATTCAAATTTATACTAAAGCATAATTTCCCTATCCAATCACTTGAATAGCCACATATTCCTCCTGAATCTTAGCCTAAAAGAATAACTTAGAAATATGTTTTTTTAATTCACGAAGCACATCATCTTCACCAAAGTATTCCTACTGTGAATTTTCATTGTCAATTGTGATTCCCTTCAATTTTATTGGTTATTCTGACGTGTATTTCCAAACTATTCTCTTAGTATTTTCTAAATTAAAAACACGATCTGTTCTCTTTCGATTCGATTCCTATGAAATGAATTTACTCTCTATTTTACTTTATTCACAATAACTTTATCCGTAAAGATATAGAAATATCTCGCAGAAGTTCCAAGGAACTTTTTTTTGAAGAGTCGACATTAATATAATTCATCACAAGATTTAGGAAACATTATAATTAATGATTATATCCTACCCATTGCAGCAAACACTTGAATCTTTTCTTACTATAAACTTGTAGGATTTTTCAGCATTCATTGTCTTAGATCAAATAGTCTATTTTGAGTATATCTTCTATGCAGATGACAGACTTCTCTATACATAATTAAGATCATTTGGGGTTATTATAAGACATCCTACAGAAGGATATGAATTAAGAATAAACAAAAATGAAACAAGACCAGAAAATTCAAGATAATAATTTTTCTACATTAAGAAACTAAAATAAATTGAGATTACAATGATGTTTTAATCAAATTTGAATAATTTGTTTTGAATAAATTTGGTATTTCTATACTTAGTTAATCGCTTAACTTGTGATTAAAACTACGATCGTATTTGGGGCATTACTTATTAAGTTTGAAACTTAAAGCAGGTTCATTAAAAAATGGATAAATGAATTTAAATTATTCAATTGAATGGTCAAATTTGTCTCTAATAGGTATGCTTTATCTAAAATATGAAATTAAAATCATAAAAGGTACTAAATACATTTTAAATCTGGGCTTAAAAAATCGATTAAATGGATTTGATATATATATAATATAATAATGATAAGATACCAATACTTGTACAATTTTATTGAACAAATAAATCATCTTCAGCCATCATAATTTGATTTACATAAAATTGCTTATCTATATAAATTTATTAAATTTAATAAGAGATGTTTATTCATAATTCTTGCTACAACCTGCTTCTTTTCAAATTAAAAAGATTTTATAAAAAATGGCTGATTATTTTTCTTAGATGACATTTATAAGCTGGAGAAATAAATTATTATTTAATATTTATTTGATTAATGTCTAATTTTTATGAATAAGCAGAATTTTTAAATGGCGGAAAGGTGGCTCACTAATAAGAAACTAGGTTTTAGGACCAAGATTAATTGCCTCATGAAACTGAGAAAACCTTAAAACAATTAGATTTAGAACTAGCCGTTGATGAAGAATACAAAGAGGCATTTGAAATAGCAAGGAGATTATTGAAATTCTATAAAAGCGAAAATTCAATAAAGAATGGGTAGTATTTTGCTGGAGCAGGTAATGAAGTTAGAATTATATCTAAGCTTTGTATTTTGGGTTCAGATGTAAAAATGCCCCATACTTGCTTATAGAGATTTCAGAATTGATAAAGAAGGAGTCAGCTACAAAAGTAGCAAAATGTTACTTAAAACTATTAAAATTTGTAAAATTAGATGCTAAAGTCCCGTAAATTGTTCAATTAGCAAAAAGCTTATAATATATAGATCCTTCTATCTATATACCTAAGTTTGTAAGGCTATTAGAGATAAGGTATTTCAATCAATATACTTCTTAGCCGAGATAAGCATAAGCAAATTGTTGAAACTGCTATGAAGTTAATTAAAAGAATGATGCTGGATTGGATGGCTTATGGTAGAAGACCTTCATCACTGTGTGGAGCTGCATTGTTGATATCTGCTAGATTTCATGGGGAAAATGTATCCACTTCTTAGGTTTGTAAAACTGTTCAGGTTTGTGATGAAACTATAAGAAAAAGATTAGCTGAGTTTAATCAAACAGGATTATCCCAATTGACAAGAGAGCAATTTGAATAAATTGAGAATATTGAAACGGGAATCCCAGGGCCTGTAAATGATCCTCCATCGTATAGAAGAATAAAATAATAAGAAGAAGAAATGAGAAAAGGGTTGACAGAAGATGAGATTAAATAATTGGAAGAAAGCACCTTAAAGAAAGCCTTAGAAATGATAGAACTACTAAAGGTCTAGCCTGAGGTTTTCAAAATCGAACCTAATTTAAAATAAGAAGATCCTGCTTCATTTTGTGAACCAGTCAAGGAGTAGAAAGATTGTGAAGTCTTATCTTCCCTTAGTGAGTCAGACGAGTAAGAATACATATTAAGTGAATAAGAAAAAGCATGTAAATAATTAGTTTGGTAAGCAATGTACAAAGAATACATCTTTGATAAAATGAGAAGTGATAAAAAGTAAGCTTAATAAAAAGGAAATAAATAATAAAACTAAAAATCTAAAAAATAAGCAAATATTAAATAAACTTTTGCAACACCTCAAGAATCAGTCACAGATAATTATAAAAATGATGGAATAAATCCATAAGCTGTATAACAGCTATTTTCAAAAGAGGATGCTTTTTTTTCATAGTTAAGTTGATAATATCTAAATTTAATATGTATATATATATCAAATCTATTATATAATCTCGAGTAAATTATCTGGATTTAAGGAAATCAATTCAATTTATTTTTATTTCTATCGTTAATAAAAAAATTGAGTAAATTTTCTATGAAATATAAAATTAATCAAATTAAAACTATTTTAAGTTTTTTAGAAAGGCAAGTTACATAATAAAATAATAATGTACCTGTCAATCTATTCTATAATGTAATATGAGCATACCCCTTTATAAATATATGTAAACTCAAATACATAAAAATTCTAAACTGCATTATATCTTTTTCTTAAGATATGATCTAATTTAGTTAAAACCAAGGTTGTTTTTAATCTTAAGAAATATTGTTTGTAAATAAATTATATTTATTTGATATAGCCTTATAAAAATAATTAAATTGAAAATATATAACTTATCCCAAGTTCAATCCAATGAAAATTTAATTTGATGTCTTGGAGATTAATATTTTTTGAAATTGTTCCCCAAAAAATATGAAACATTTCTAACACATATTTAGCTAATTTTTATTATAAATTTCTGAAAAAATTATTTAATATTAATTTAAATACAAATTGCAATTTTAAAATTTAAGCTAAAACTTATTATCCCTGTTAAATGTTTTCTAGTTAGTTCTAGTGATTCAAGCATTATAAAATTTTGTAGAAGATAAATATCGAAAATATTATAATTTGAATTATATTTCACTATATAATTTAGATTTCAATTAATGAAAAGTTCTGGATTTCTCATGTGATAATAGGGTTTCGTTATTTTCAATGAACCATGCAACATCACGAAGATGTAGAGTGGTCTTAAAAGATATCTGATAAAATAAAATAATTAATAAAAAAAACTGGACCAATTCGATTGAATTACTTCAGCTACAGTTGCATTCGATTTTGTATTAGTTATGAAAATAGCTACTCTTTCGATTACAACAATGATAAGCATAAGCCCACTAATTGCAAAGACATATATGAAATCTCTAAATATCAATAGGTTTGAATACCTGATTAACAGCTTAATCATTCCCAACTTTAGTGGCTACGTCTACCACATCAAAGTGCAGAATAATACAAAAATAATTCCTGTTATAATTATGTGGACGGAGCTCATCCATAAAATTTAGGTTTATCCTTCCTTACTATCTTAAGATATTTGATTCATTGTAGTCGGTTCAATAAATGATGACCAAATTAAATCCAATATTAAAAACACATAGAAAATGCCTAATTTGATATAAAGAGTTCTCAATTCGGATTGCAAACTAAATTAACAAAATGTTCTTACTCTCTCATAAATATTAATTGTTATAAAATATATTGATAATTTGGTTATGCTCTAAATAAGTTCTTAAACAATAGTCGAATTGAAAATATTGATGTTATGGAATTCCACTCTTCGTCAACTTTTTTATTCAATTTTCAAAATATCAAAATATTAATTAGCTGCTGACTTCTATTATGTTACAGCTTTACCTTTTTATTATAACTACAACGCATTCTATAATTTCTATTATTTCCTTTTGTTAATTTTTATATTATATGGAGCATACCTTGAATCTAAAATGATTAAATCAGGTTAATTTATTTATGGAACGGATATGTAAACATTTATTATAATAGATAATGCTTACTAATTCTGCTTTTCCGAAAAAAACTAAGAATAGTTAGGGGCACATATTTAAATAAAATTCCTAGAGATCTAAAACTATTTATTGAGATTAAATTTAGGTAGATTATAGGTAATATATAATATGCCGAATTAAACCAAGAACGAAATTGAATAGGGATTATGGAACTTTAATATGTATTTCTTTGATCGTTTTATTCAATTTTATCAATTGAATTTGTTAAAAAGATTCAAAAAAATAGGAGACTATTTTTAGCCATCCTATAAACAAAAGTATGAGACTTTTTATGGTTATATATTGATGCTCTCAATTTATTGAATTAATTTAGGATCCAAATTAATGAAGTTTATTTTTTAGATATATGTTAGCAATTTTCTTTCGAAAAATAGTTAAGAAGTTAAAAAGCTACTTTTTAATAAAATCTAATTTCATCATATGAAAACGGATTTGTAAGGAAATGAAATCAAAAAAATATTTGATTTTAGTAGAAATGAAAATTAATATATTAATAGTTATTTCACATTTTCACAGGATTAAATTATAAAGATTCTTCGTAAACCATTCTTTATAAAGTTTCTCTTTTTAATTCAAAGTTATCCCAACTCCAATCAAATACCTTGTCGCATCTTGGTTCAGCTTCTGGATTATGTAATCCATCAAAATAATCATGTTCCAAACATTATTCGACAGTGTATCTTTTATCTGGATTAAATGTTATCATTTTAGTTAATAATTCACACACTTTTGGATTAGATTTAGGATAGAGTTGAGTGAAGGACTGTTTAGTTCTTTTAGGCAAACTTTTAATGTAATTTATCGCATTCGGGTTTCCTATGTACTTCATATCATCAGGAGTTGGTGTCCCTAAAACAGAAATAATCCTCTACACTTAATCTAAATAGTCCTCACCTTAGATTATCAGTTTAATAATTACCTGGAAATAATGGAGTACGACCTAGAAGCTCTGCTATAATACATCCTGCAGCATAAATATCAACTGCCTTTGTATATTCGGATGCATTCAAAATAACTTCTGGTGCCCTGTACCATCTTGTAATAACATATTCAGTTTTAAATTCTTCCTCAGATTCATATCCTCTGGCTAATCCTAAATCACATATTTTTAAGTCGCAATCCTTATTCAAAAGGATGTTGCTAGGCTTCAAATCTCTATGTATAACATTTGCTGTATGTATGTAAAGTAGCCCCCTTAACATTTAATAAGCAAAATATTAGATATGTTCATCTGTCAAAGCTTATGATGAATAAATGACTTTATGCAAATCTGTGCCCATTAAGTCTGTAATTATATAAATATCATTGAATCCTGTTTTTGATTCCGGTCTAGGTAAATCCACTAAAGCAATAATGTTCTCATGATCAAAAAACTCTATAAATAGCAATTTGAATTACTTAGCAATTTAATCTCTCTCACTATTCTTTTAGCATCCACCAGATCTTCAAATGCATTTGGAATCTTAACTAAATACTTCACATACTTTCTTAACTGCAACCATCTATCCATTCTTTTTGTTTTTAGCAGAGCATACTACCCCATAAGCGCCTTGCCCTATTTGCTTAATGAATTCATATTTCTCATCCACAACAAATGTTTGGCCTAATAATTGAGAAAATACTACAACCTCCGCATTCAAAAGCATGTTTGCCTTTGGCAACTGGAATTTTTGATTTGACAGGATGTTTATCATTTTATCTCATTTTTAATTATAATATATACTTAATATTGGAAATTGAAGAAATCTAAATAATTCATTTTTAGAAATATTGTATTCAATAAAATGCAATACTTCGGATTAAATATATAGTGAAAAAAGTACACTAAACAATCATATTTAAATTTAAATAGCTTTAAATTTTTCTTTATTTTGAATAAATTTGATTTTAATTATGATTAGCTTTTCATATTTACATGTTTTCCTCTAAGACCCATGCTTAATATATCATAAAAATAATTGAATTGACTTCCCTTTAGATTCCGAGCTATTCTCCATTAAATTCTTGAATTATCTAGAGACCTTTAAATTTTTATGACTTATAGAATTTAGCTTAAAACTGTAGCTACACTATTATAATCATTTTTAACTATATATTTTAGATTTCTAGCTCAAACCTTCATTACATTCTTCTCTAGTCTTAGCAGAGCATTGTTATAACAACGTTTTCTTTCATGACATGAAAATTCCAAAAACTGATTCTATTCCTCTATACTAAATCTTGTAATAATCTTGCTAGTGGTAATCGATAAAAATCTATGATAAATAAGATTCCTGTGCATCCTTGTACATTAATGTATTAATTCCACAATGACCTTATTCTATCTCCATCTCCTAAATCAATGCAAAAAAAATGGATTATTCTATACTCGATTCTTTCAGCATTAAATCCGATAATTGGGGTAAGTGGATTTAACTCTTTATATAATTTTAGTTTGTAGAATATAGATGAATTTACATACATCTAAACTGATCATAATATACTCGTATTGGAATAAAAGAAATTTTTTTAAGTTGATCCTCCCATTAGAATTATAAATATTTCATCAAATTATCAAAAGATTGGCATGTTATTATATTTTTCTTGTAGGAATAATTAGAAATAATATTAAACAATAATAAACCTTTATTAAAAAAATTGTCTATTTAAGAAATCTAAAAAAAACACCTAATTTAGTTAAATTTAATTAAGTCTAATCAAAATTTATCAGAAATTTTACAAAAGAATTCTAGTTTTAATGCCCTTAAAATCCAAAAACTAAAAAAATAAATAATTATAAAAAAATGTCTGACATAAGAATTTTAGATCTAATTAGAGTAAATTCTTATTCTGAATTTTAAGTGGAGTATGATGCTTTGCTTCCCCCAAATATAATTCATTTTGACGATTAAAATCAAAGTCCAATATATGTGGATAGCATTAACATCGAAGATGTAGGGAAAGACCTTTCTACTAATATAGTAAGCAATCCCTCTCCCCCAATTTGCAAGTAAATATAAAAACCTCAATGTTTTAATTCAACAAATTAACGACTAGAAAAATATTAGTCAAAATAAAGAAAGCAATTTAATGCGCATCCTGGAGAAAGCAAAAACATCCCAAAAAATTTCACCAGAGCTTTAAAAAATTTTATAATCAATCACTTTGATTCTAGTGTATAAAAAAATCCTGAAATTAAGAAGTTCCTAGCTACTAGATCAGCAAAGGCTTGTAAATAAACCTTAGAGAATGCTTTACACAGTTGTAAATTACTCAACCAAATTTCTTTGGTGTTCTTTGGAAACCTAAAATGGGGAACAATATTTTTAGAATAAAACAAAGTTGATCTAGAAACATATATCAGATTCAACGAGGTCTGGTTTGAGTCAATTAATTGATTATTTATAATATTTTTATGAACATTAAAAAAAACAAAAATAATTTAGTAGAATTAAAAATAATTCTACAAATTAAAAATCCTTTTTTCTTTTTATTTTAAATAAATTTATTAAGCATAATTTTAATTGCAATTCTCTTTTTTATATTATAGAATATGTCATAAATCAACTGAAGCTAAGGTGGTTTTGCAAACATTTAGACATTTATACGTAAATTAAAATAATAGTTATAAATTTAATACCATAATTTACTTAATCTGTATAAAAAAAAATAAACATGAGGAAATGGAAGACATTTATATAAAATTAAATTTTATAAATAAATAATAATAAAAATATTATTTTATTTTTTGATCAATTTAATTTTATGATTCATATTAAAAACTCTAAATATTACTAGAAAAGTGCAATAATATTCTTAAGGAAATTTTAACTAGATAATTAACTCTAGTTAAATTGAAGATTATAAAAATAAAATTATCCTATTGTTTTTTTAACCTTCAAGATATAATAACACCTAAAAGAGGATTTCAAATTAAAGAGAACATTATAGAATGGTAGATAAAACTATGAACTAAATAAATGTTGGATCTTTGATAAAAGAAATAATATTAAGACACAATTTTATACTGAAAAGTGCATCAAAGAATCCGATTGCATTTCTTGATAATTTTATTGTTTGCAGAAATTGAAAGCTCTAAGAACAGTAAATGATCAAAAATATTTATTAAATTAATTATTATTATACTTTGTTTTATTAAATCTTATAAATTAAAGATAGCTAAATATTTATTATGATATTTTATCTTTATTTCACAAAAATAATTTGCTGCTTGAAAATTTCTGTTCCTTTTTGTTGCATATTAATCTCAAAGCCTATTTGATTTTCAGATATAGTTATTTTGCAAAAACTATTCCAAGGCTCATAATCAATAAGGCCATCTGAGTAAAGCCTAAAGTAACTTTGTTCTCATAAGAAATATAAACCTAATCAATATCAAAATATAAAAATGAGCTTAAACTAAATAGTGCTAAAGCACCTTCAATTGCTAAAAATATAATCTTATCCAAATAAGAACATGATTTATATTGGTAGATTATAAAACATTAAGTTATACTACTGATAGATATTAGCAAGCATTACAAAATTTGTTACTCTTAGAATAGTATTAATAAAATATGGAATATCATAGTTCTGGAAACATCTAAGGCAATAAATTTTATGTTTAGATAAACTATCAATTTTTTTTACTTTGGATCGCTGCATAAAATGAAAGATTTTAACAACAAACTTAAGCATAAGAAGAATATTAAGCCTGCAGAAAAAGTGCTTAAAATACTTCTCAAATTATCGATTTGATAACTGTGAAGCTATAAAATCACTTTAAATATCAAATCCCATGAGTTAACGTAAATAAGTTGAATTATTTAACGATAATNCAATTCTCTTTTTTATATTATAGAATATGTCATAAATCAACTGAAGCTAAGGTGGTTTTGCAAACATTTAGACATTTATACGTAAATTAAAATAATAGTTATAAATTTAATACCATAATTTACTTAATCTGTATAAAAAAAAATAAACATGAGGAAATGGAAGACATTTATATAAAATTAAATTTTATAAATAAATAATAATAAAAATATTATTTTATTTTTTGATCAATTTAATTTTATGATTCATATTAAAAACTCTAAATATTACTAGAAAAGTGCAATAATATTCTTAAGGAAATTTTAACTAGATAATTAACTCTAGTTAAATTGAAGATTATAAAAATAAAATTATCCTATTGTTTTTTTAACCTTCAAGATATAATAACACCTAAAAGAGGATTTCAAATTAAAGAGAACATTATAGAATGGTAGATAAAACTATGAACTAAATAAATGTTGGATCTTTGATAAAAGAAATAATATTAAGACACAATTTTATACTGAAAAGTGCATCAAAGAATCCGATTGCATTTCTTGATAATTTTATTGTTTGCAGAAATTGAAAGCTCTAAGAACAGTAAATGATCAAAAATATTTATTAAATTAATTATTATTATACTTTGTTTTATTAAATCTTATAAATTAAAGATAGCTAAATATTTATTATGATATTTTATCTTTATTTCACAAAAATAATTTGCTGCTTGAAAATTTCTGTTCCTTTTTGTTGCATATTAATCTCAAAGCCTATTTGATTTTCAGATATAGTTATTTTGCAAAAACTATTCCAAGGCTCATAATCAATAAGGCCATCTGAGTAAAGCCTAAAGTAACTTTGTTCTCATAAGAAATATAAACCTAATCAATATCAAAATATAAAAATGAGCTTAAACTAAATAGTGCTAAAGCACCTTCAATTGCTAAAAATATAATCTTATCCAAATAAGAACATGATTTATATTGGTAGATTATAAAACATTAAGTTATACTACTGATAGATATTAGCAAGCATTACAAAATTTGTTACTCTTAGAATAGTATTAATAAAATATGGAATATCATAGTTCTGGAAACATCTAAGGCAATAAATTTTATGTTTAGATAAACTATCAATTTTTTTTACTTTGGATCGCTGCATAAAATGAAAGATTTTAACAACAAACTTAAGCATAAGAAGAATATTAAGCCTGCAGAAAAAGTGCTTAAAATACTTCTCAAATTATCGATTTGATAACTGTGAAGCTATAAAATCACTTTAAATATCAAATCCCATGAGTTAACGTAAATAAGTTGAATTATTTAACGATAATTCTTTAGATATTTAGTTTTCATTAATTATCTGATGCCATTTTTAAAAAAATAGTATTAAATTAATCACTGTATATTAAATCTTTGAGAATAAAGTTTCTTGATATTAAAGATATTTCATATATTTACTTAACTTAAAAAATATATAATAAAGATTTTCTGCAAATAAAAGTAGTGTTACCAACGATAAACATTAAATTAATTGAGGCAAAATATTGGTAAATAGATCAGCTTCTATATTATATTCTTAAAATTTTCCATTCAGATCAATTTATTATTCTTTTCTTGTTATTAAATTTAAATAATCATCAAGTTAAAAAAATTATATATAATTTGAAATAGATAGCAATTCTTAAGCTTAAAAGTAGATGAAGAGGTTTTCAGGATAGTCAACATTAATAAATCTTAAGAAAGATTGATATTACAAAATATTCAGGGTTTCAACAACAAATGAACTTTCACCAGACACTAAAGAAATTACACAAATAGCTATTGCTCCAATCATAAATGCTTTATTGGATTATTAAGCATAACTAGATATTTATTTCAATTATTTTGAGAGTATTTTTGGTATTTATAGAGTAATTGATTAATTAGGTGAAGAAAGTGGTTAATCGTTTGAGTTAACAATTTCTTGATTCAACTAAACTAGAAGAACTGGTCTTGTTTAAAGTTGTAAAAATAATTCAATTTAAACCATATACTAAGCATGTTGGAGATCAAATGAGATATCCTAAATTGAATTGATCGTGATATTATAATGCTGGGAATCTAAATCAATTATGCTAAGGTCAAATAGATTTCTGTCTTTTTCAAACTAATCACTAAATTTGACTTCTTAATCAAATGTAATTTCAACATACTAAAGAGCAAAGGATTGCAAATTATAAGTAAGTAACATGCTCGGATATTTAGAGTATACGCATTCATTTTCGCGGCATATCATATTTCCTTTTAACGATGACCATTCCGGATTTTTCTAATAACTACTTGTATTGTTACTACCAGTACCATTACTACTACTTTTATCTTAATTGTAGGTTTCTTTATCTATGCTCGAATTAAGATCATCATATTATCCATTTAAAATACATTCGTTATTATCTAAGGTATAATCTTTATCGCATTCAAAGCATATACTATCTTTGCATACTTGGCAATATTTTGTACATTAAAATTTACATTCATAACATCCATCAAAAGGTACATCATTTTCATCATCACACTATTCATTGCCTGCTACAATACCATCCCCACAAAGTGGTAAGCAATCATTACTGTTATTATCATAATAATATCCTATTAAATCTTCACATGATTTTAGTTATTCACAAATAATTTTTGATTATACAAGTACCAGTGGTTCTTCACATTACCTACACTTTCCAAATGAACAATCTAAACACTCATTTTGACATTAATATTTACACTAGAAACAACCATCAAATTCCAATTGATTGCCATCATCACAAACTTCATCACTTGCAAGTATTTAATCACCGCAATCAGAATTGCATGAATTACTTACAATATCCAAATAGAACCCTGAAAAACAATTAGTACAAATGCCATAAGCACATGACTAACAATATTGAGGACATTAGTACTAACAATTTAAGCAAGTGTCTAATTAGTATTCACTTCCATCATCACATTCCTCCTCTTAGACTATTATACCATCTCCACATTTAGGCATACAATTGTTTCCATAATAACCAAATTCACATTCTAAGCATTTCGAAAGTACACACTCTTTACAATTCTTAAAGCATTTGTTCATATTATAATCAATTATACAAGTGCTGGTAATCTAATCAAGATACCCAAATTAACAAAGAATACATTAGTTATTAGTTAGCAATTTACAATCTAGATTATCATAGCTTGTAAGTAAGGATTGAATTGGTCTACATAAATTATTTAATGAATCAAACTCATAATCTTGCTAACAAGATTGACATATTCCATACAAACAATTTTCACAGTTTTGAGTGCATTATAATTTACATAAAAAGCACCCATCAACACTAATCTAATTACCGTCATCGCATTCTTCATTTCCAACAACAATTAAATCTCCACAAATTGGATCACAAAAGAATGAATCTAATTTCCAACCTTCTTTACACTCAAAACACACACCATCAATACAACGTGTGCAATTAACATCACAAGTTTATTCACAATAATTGTTACAACCATCATCATTAAATAGATTTTGATCATCACACTATTCCATATCGTCTATAATGCCATTTCCGCAGTATGAAGTACAACTGAAATCATATTCACAGTCAATTTTGATACAAATAAAATATTCATTCAAGAAATAACCACCACTGCATAATTAACATGCTCCTTAGATACAATTAAGACAAATGTCTTAACATTTTGATAAGCATTTATTTTCAACTTAAACAAATTCTTAAGAACATTGAAAACATTCTCCATATATACATTAAACACAATTATCATCACATTCATATTTGCACTAAAAGCAACCATCAAATTTTTCTATGTTTTAATCATCGCATTCTTCCCATTCAGTTATATATCCATCACCACATTAAGATTAACAAATTTATAAATCTTAATTAAAATACAAACCTATTTAACATTACTAGATCAAAAAGCATCTATTCTAATTAAGTTCATATTGTTCTTCACATTAATAACATTAACCATTATAACAATGAAGGCAGCTTTATGAACATTTAGGAATACAATCACCATACTCATTCAGCTGATAACCTTCCTTGCAAATTAAACAATTTCCATTTAAGTTAAATTAACAATCTTGAAATAAATCAATTTGATTATGTTTACCATAACAAAATCCATCCCTAAGTAAATAATATTGATCACATTATTAGCATACCCCATCTAAACAATTTATACAGAATTAACTACAAGAATATTTACATTAATAACAACCATCAAATTCTATATAGTTATTATCTTCACAGTCTTCATCGTGAACTATAATTCCATCTCCACACTAGGATTCACATGCATTATTATACTAATTAAAATAGAATCCATATTCACATTCAAAGCATTAATCTTTAAAATATAATTCACATTTTTTTGGAGCATCTAACATGCAACTTAAACAATTTTTATCATAAATTTCACATTGTTCATCATGTGCGAGTATTCCATCTCCACAATGTGAAATACAAAAAAAGTTTACATCTAAATAATACCCATTTTGACATTCTATACAATTATTTTAATTACAAGCTGCACAGTAATCAAAACAGTGATTGCAATATAAATTAGGAGATAATTTAAGTTAATATTGACAAAAGCTTAAAGGAGCTACTGTTAAATTGCATTTCTATTCGATTTTTTCAAAGTAGGCATTATTGTCACATTTAATGCAAATGTTCCCAATTTGGATACCACAGTTTTCAATTATCATAAGATTATATTATAGAGACTTAATACAATATTTTTAGTTTGAAGATAACTCATATCCTTCTATGCATTGTTAACATATACCAAATTAACACTAGACGCAATTCAAATCGCAAGTAAATTAACAAGATTGACAATTTTGATATATCTGCAATGAGGCGTTTAGATCACATTATTCTTTATATTTCTAAAGACCATCTCCACATATAGAGTAGCATTTAGATTATATTAATCGATAGCCTTCTTAACAATCATAGCAGATCCCTTTTAAACAATTAAGACATGAATCCTAGCAATTAAATTGACAGAAATAACATCCATCTCCATAAATTAAATTGCCATCATCACATTCTTCATCTTCAGTTATTATTTAATCGCCACATATTGAATAACATAAATAATCGATTCTATTGTAACCAGTTTTACATTATAAACAACCTAGTTCAGTAGTATTACAAGTGAGGCAAGAATTTTGACATTTTATTTAACAATTTTAACAACCCTTATATGGTAATATCAATGAACTCTCACATTGTTCATCAGGGACAAATATAGAATCTCCACAAATTGGTATACATACTTTTTGATTAGAAAGATAATATCCAGTGGCGCATATTTCACATCTATTACTTATGCAACTTGTGCAAATAGTTGTTGGCTAACATTAAAATTAACAAGTGTTACTGCAGCCATCATTATTAATTGTATTACCATCCTCACATTGCTCTGAATAGAATCCAGAAGGATCTACTGCAACTATACCATCTCCACATAAATTTTTACAATAGTAAGAGATAGGAGTAAACCCAGGGAATTCACAACTTAAGCATTCTTTGGTTGTATAATTACAAGAAGAACAACCAATTCTACAGGAATACCTACAATCTTTGCAACCATCTGAATCATAAGTATTTCCATCTTCGCATTATTCACTTCCAACTATTAGTAAATCTCCACATATTTCTTTGCATTACCAAGGAGTAACAGTTGGATCAATATACCAACCAGCAGTTGCACACTCAAAACATTGTCCTTTTATACACTTTGTACATGAAGGTTAACATTAATATTTACAATTATAACAACCGTCATATTAAATAGTGTTTCCATCTTCACATTCTTCAAATCCTGTAATAATTCCATCCCCACAAACATCAGGACAAGGCAATGTAGTTGATTAATCACAAGTTAAACAATGAGCTGGACACTAAAATTAACAATTAAAGCATAAATCATTAAGAATAGTATTATTATCTTCGCATTGTTCATTTCCTTTTACCTATGAATCTCCACAAATTGGTTGACATTCTCCAGATACTAATTCAAATCCAGTATCGCAAGAGCTACAAGCAATTGTATGCCATAATTATTAATTATTATTACATAATTTATAGCATTCGCTCATAGAGGAATTTTCTGTAATTGGACAATCTATAATATGATAAATAAATATATACTTGTACAAATATTACTTAACTCATAATAACCAGGCGCACAAACACATTTTAAGCCTTTTAATATTCGATTTAAAGTAGAATCACATGTTAAGCAGCCATCAATTGTTAACCTAAAGCAAGTTAAGCACGATGAATGACAAGACATACAAGCTTGTGTTGCATCTTAATAAGATTTTCCCTCTGGACATTTACACGTTGATCCTACCATTTCAATATTCACAATATTATTGCAAGTTAAACATTCATCAGAAGTTGGTCCAATACAAGTTTTGCACAATTTATTACATAATTAGCATTAAGGATTTGATGCAATTGGATAATATCCATCAATACATATACATTACCCATTTGAGAATTGCCTATAATTACTATTTAAACATTCTATACAATAATTAAAATTCAAACATTAATTACATTCAATTGGACAATCAAAACATTTATTTGATTCTTCATATTAATGCATTGTGCAGGTACATCCTAATTTAGATTAAGTGTAAGTTGATTAACATGTTTAACAATCTAATTTAGATGTACATGTTAAACAAGATTATGGGCAATTTAAACATTACACAGATTCTTTATCATAATATTGATTATTCTAACACACATCTTCAGAAAATTTAATGATATTGGAATTATAAGTGCTGTTCCACGAAGTACATGAAGATTAATCTGAACATTATAAACAATAAGGTTAGCAATTATGAACTGCAATATAATAATTAAAGAATCCACAATAAGCCATAATTGGTTCGTTATTTGGTCCAAAGCATTCCCAAGTGACTGTTAATGTATTTGAAATATGAGTGATTTATTCATATACTTTATCGTCTTTTGAACCATCAGAATACAATCTATAAAAACTAGTAGTTGATTTGGAAACTGGCGTATAATTTTCAATCGTATATATAAAATTCCCATCTGAAGGGAATGACGGTCCATATACAATATAGAATGCAATAGTAACACTATGATGGGGAGACGTTATGTCATGAATCCTTTAGAATTTAGCCTACGCCCATACAAAAGGTCCTCCAAAGATTCTATATCCCTCCCTATATGAAAAATAGATATCTGATCCTTTTAAAAAGTTTGATCCACTTTGAGAGATTAAAGAATATTTTGCATATTATCCTGGGTCACCTGATGAATCTATATATTCCTTAACCAAATATTCAGAGTCTACTAATAATATAATAAAGTACATGGTGTTTCATCGTCATAATCTTAGCAATAAGAGCCATTTAATTTTTAATACGGATATAAACAACTGGATACGCACATACCGTCTCGATACAAATAATATCCATTTTAACAAGTTTTACATTTAAAAGATACTTCACATAATAAACAAAATAAGGAACAGTATCCTTAGGTAGTTTAGACTTCTATAATTCCCCACCCTGCTGTGCCATCGCTAAGTTTGATAAATGATATTTACGTGTAGTTTCCTATTGCTGAAAATAGAAATGAATATTTTGGAATGTCATAATAGAAAATTAATTCACATCTTGTACTTTTCGAATATGTTAAATATGATCCATAATCCTTTGTTAAAAAGATTTTTAATTAGTGGGTTTGCAACCCAGAGCTATTTCTATAAATAGATCCATAATAAGTATTATTAAGCTTAAACTATATTCCACAATTAATTGGAATATCATTATAAAGGATAATTGAAATTTAAAATCCAATTAAGTAGGTTGAATAAGAATAAGTTGATAATTCATTGAAGTATCTATAAATTCCAAAATTAAACTTAAATATTCCATATCCAAATTAACTACCAATATAAATAAGAGTTGGAGATTTATCTAAATGTTGTTGGTCATATATCAACTACCATTTCAAATTTTCGGTGTAAATGGAAGGTGGTGTAAAATAACCATCATCTATTTGAAAAACTAAGAAAATATCAATTTACAATAGTTACTTGAATATTTTTAACAAAATCCATTGGAGTAGAATGGGTAATAGATATCACAAATGTCTCGGCATCCTCTATACTTCTAATAGTATTAGTTTGATGGACAAGGAGGACAAATGTTGGCTGTTGGAGCCCCATAATAACAACTTGTACATTAATTGTACTTTGAACCTGTACATAAAGCACAGGATGGATAGCAATTTAGTGAAGAGACATAAATATTTCTAAGTGAAACCATTCCTTCATTTGTATTTGTGGATGTAAATTTAATTATATCTTAAGCTGTACTTTGTGCTAATTATAGCGTAAAATTTAAAGTTTTAAGTTAAAAAAGAGTTGTGTCACAAAATCCGGTTGCCATTGAATAAATAGTAGGGGATGTGTAAGTATATGAATATGAAAATGATCCAAGCGTAAATTAAACTTTTTCAGAAGACCATGTACCCTGAAAATATAAATCCATAGTTATCCAATCTCCATTCCTGTAAAAGTATTAAAAATGATTTTGGTTGGATGGATAATCATTACTTAAAGTTAGATAACTAGTGTGAGGAGTTGTACAAGTGACAAAATTTGCAGTTGCTGTGGTTGAAGGCAATGTAAATTCTCCTGAATACAAAAATGAGGTTAATCCAGTTTATATAGTAAATACCTCATTTTTGTCTAAGAAATGATACTAGATTTCATAATGGGATTTTGAAATATCAAACAAAGTGAATAGGACGTAAATGATAGAAATAGTCATAAATATTTAAATATTAGGCATTTAAATGCAAAAATCATTAATAAATCACATAATTCGTAATTATCAAATAGAACGTATTACTTCAAATAAAAAGTATAGAAATAAAATAATTTCATAATCATGAAGATAAATAAAGAAATTTGATCCTCAAATAGGTTTAGATTTTACCCTTAAAACCTTAGATTATTATATAAAATAAAAAACAAGGAATTAGATAATCAGTATAATTATTTACAAAAGAATGTTTTATTTCCTCATAAATTAGAAATAATGAGGAATGACAAAATAAGAAACATAAAATGAGAGATCCAATATCCTAGATAAGGATTTTTAGAGAAACAATTATTTTAACCATTTCTGGTAAGATCATCTACGAATAGAGAGTACATCTCTTTTTTGCTCTCTAATATCTTGTTGTCATATAGTTTTTATTCAAATTATATAATTATAATTGTATACAAAATAATTCCTTAAATGGATACTCAGCTAAAAAAGGCAGCAAGTGATTAATAGAAAATATCTATAAAATTAATTTTATGCTGTATGCCCAAATTTCTATAAAATTCTCTTCTAAATAGTACTCCAATAGATAACGCATTATATTAAAATATATATTAAACTTTAATATTGAAAAACACTAAAGCTGATCATCATTTCATAATTATCATCAATAATTCATTCATGAATGTATAAATTGCTCTCATACTAAATATTTATTTCATGTATAATAAATTGGGCATTAGCCCAATCATAGAGATCTAAACAGGACATGAGAGTATGTTTGAAACTGTATTAAATAATGCCAATCTTTTATACGTTTCGTCTTACCTATAGTAAAGGTTTAACTTGTTAGACACTCTTTAAATTTGTTTTTGTTTTGGCTTTTTAGTACTAGGAAATGGCGAATGACACAATAAATCCAAACATAGAAACTTGAGATCATTGTTTAATATATCGATATAAGAAGATTATGATATTAATCAATTTGAAACTCTCTACTACAAAATTTTGAAGAATAATTTATGTTTCTGGGGATTTTTTGAGGATAATGTAGAATATTTTCTAGAATTCTGATTATTATTTCAATTAATTATATTCATTAAGAAACAGCCATGATATTTGATCCTATTAATTATATCATAAAAAGGAGGATATAACACAATTTAAACATTGTTTTAAGTAAGGAAGTTGGGAAGCTACTTATATATAATTTTGTGTTTAACCTAATACATTTATTATTTTATCTATTATTTTTAAGTAAAAACTGGAGGGAAATAAATGATTTGAGTTATTAAGAAGGATTATCAAAGCCATAGTCTTAAATACCAATTATAAGCATTTTATGAATATAAAACTTTCAAAACAGATAGTTTTTATCTTTTTTAGATTTATATAAAATTTTGAATAACTTACTACACCTTGATTTATTACTTTTAAGTTAATATAATGAAGTAAGCAGGATTGTATAGTGCATTTGCATAGTTGCTTCTGGATGATAAACTATGGTATGTATTCTCTATTTTTTTCTAAGTTTGTATCTTCTGAAATTGTTTCTGCTTATAGGTATTGCTTAAGGTGAAAAGTCAAATGGTGGGTAGCTGATAGCTAGAAGTTGAAGACATATTGCTTTTGCGGCAATTTTATAAACCGAAGATATGAGGACCTTTTGCTTTACAAGTCTAATGTTTCAGATGTAGCTGACAAAGCATTCAGGAAATTAAGGAATATGGGTGTTGTGTTGTAAAAGTTGTGACACTTTTGATTCATACTGTGAGACTTTAAGAAAGAGTTATATCCTTAAGCTCATACGAGTTAAATTGGAACACTCATTAATTTCACTAATCATAAATGCTATGTGAATTATTTTCAGGGGACATTGCCTCTGTATTTTTTTTATATTTAATTAATAATTCTCCATATCGTTAAAAAAATTTGATCTTGGTTTTGCAAATTCCTTCATAGATAAATAAATTTTCCTCTTCAATAACTATCTTCACCATTAGAATCATTTGTTTTCTCTGTTGAAAGGATTTTTAAAATTAAGCATTTCTCAGTGACAGAAAAACTGTTTCTTTAACTAAGGGCTCAATTTATTTTTGATTGCCTATTACTTTAGGTTTTAACAAGATCCACCTATGATATTATCAGCAGGACATTATTTGCAGATTGTGGACTTTTCAAAAAATTGCAATATATTTTATTTTCAGTTATTTCTTTTCATTATATTGAATATTCATGAATTCTTTAATGGATAAATTTATTAAACAAAGGTGTCAACTAAAGTAGCTTAAGCAAATAATCATTAATAGCCAAAGGACAAAACAAACATTACCCAAAATTATAGAAAATTACTCTGCATATTTAACAGAATAGAAATAATCTCAAAACAAGTAACTATCAATTAGGATGAGAAGTGTTACAGATTATTTAATAAGGCTATTTTTATCCAAAATAGATTTTTATTTAGCTCAGAACTTAATAAATAGATCATATATATCATGCAAAGAACAAATAAGATTTTAAATATGGACCTTATTCAAAGAATATTAAAATATTGATATCCATGCTAGCACACTCCACTTATTGGTTAAACAATTCCTCTAAGAAAGGTAGTTTTGGGAGGTGATCATTTAATGTTGAGCTAACACAATTCACAAATTCATAATCGAATATGTTAAGTCCAAAAGTATAAAAAGCTTCGTTTATGAGTTGATATTTGAGTGAATAGAATAATCTTTGTTCACAATCAAAATATATATTTAAATATTTTAAATTGTTAAATTAATTTTCTTTTTTTTTATTAAAGTTCTGTCTTAAAGTGTTCTGAAGAGATGAACATATAATTTAATTTAATTAACTATTTTTCATATTATTTTATTGACTTATTTAAATGAAATTAAAATTTTCATATTATAATTATTATATTACTATATTTATTAAATTTTTAATACTTTTATTAAAAGAGAAAGAATTTTGAATCAAATAAATATTAATATTTTCTTATCTAATGATGATTCCCAATACATGATCATTATTGTGAACCTCCCTTGTCATCTAGAAGAACAGAATTTTTGTGTAGAAATAAAATAAGAATTTGCTTCTAATTGATTTTTTATATAATTAAATGGTCTAGTACTGTCCAACTCTTTATATTTCCATTAAAAATTATTGTAATTTAAAATATTTTAACGAATTAATTTAAACAAATTATGTCATAATAATAATACGAAGGATTGATAGAGGAGAACACTTAACTAAAGAAAGCCATAATTTCTTCTAAGGCTGTGATAGGCAGAAAGATTAGTAATTTACATTTATCATAATAAAAGATGAATATGAGACTCTTCAGGCAATCAATGAGGAATTGAAATAGAATCTTGATAAAATGAGAATGGAGAATTAGGATTTATTATAGAAGTATAGAATAGCTCTGCATGATAAAAAATAAACAGAATAGCAATTTGATAATGCAACTAAGAATTGGAAACTATTAATTGAATAAAAACAAAGAGAAATCGAAGAGATCTAAAGTAGATTGACACCTGCCTTTGATTAGGATATGATGAGAATCAAATTGTTGAATGAATTAGATTTACCACATAGATAATAATTGGAATAAAAGTAATTAGAGATTGAGAAGTTGAATGAAACTATTTATTAATTAAAAAGAAAGATCGATTTGGAAATATCAAGAGTAGAGACTATATAAGTAGATAAAGAGAAAGAAATGAAATTGCTATCAGAAAAACATAAATTAGATTTAGCAGATCTGTAACATTAAATCTCAGATTTAACAAAGTAAGTAGAAGATAACAAGGACAGAGACACAATCAGAAAATTAAGAAAGGATTTGGAAGAATACAAATTAAAATTCTGTGCTACTGATACCGAAAATGAAGAATTAAGAAATGAAAGAGATAAAATAAGAGAGGAGAAAAATGATATCATGATTAAATTTGCTAGATAGCTTGATTCAGAAAGAAATGATAAAAGACAATTTAAAAGTGATTTTGATAAATTATAAGTGAGAACTAGATTCTTAGAGGATGAATTTAGAAAAGAAAAATAAAGAAGAGAATAAGTTGCAACTGATTTTGAGATTCTAAAGACAGAAAAAGATTAATTGTTAACTGATTTGAGAAAAAAAGATGATACAATCCATTATCTATAAAGAAAAATTACTGATATGGAAGAGGAGTAATTGGAGTAAGAATAGAAGGTGTAAGATAAATTAACACGTTTGTATTAGGATGAACATGATAAGTATTTGCAAGAGAGAAATAAGGCAGTTACACTTTAAAAGGATGTTGATAACTTGAAAAAAAGATTTAGTGATCTTTAAGATGATTATAAAGTGTTAAGGGATAGATATCAAAAGGAAAGCACAGAAAATAAAGATTCAAATAGGATACAGAATGAAGAAATTGAAAAGCTGAAGAAAACCCTATCACAATAATCAAAAGAAATTGGAGAGTTAGAAAGATCCAATAAAAATAAAGAAGAACAACTTCATGATATAGAAAATGAAAACGAAACAATCAAAAGAAGAAATAGAGAACTTCAACATAGAATCCAATTAATTGAAGTGAATCCTCTTCCAAATCCAATCTAAACACAACCTATTATGAGTTAATCTTAAGTACCAACTCTTAGTTAAGTTCCTTAATTTGGCTAATAAATTTAAGAACAGTACGATACAACAAAACCTAATAAATAATAAATTACTGTGTAATCTGAAAATGATCCCTAAAATCAACAATAAATGTAAGCTTAAAAATAATCTCTATAACAAATTACTGAAGAAAATAGGTCTTTGATTACCAAAAATAAAAAACTCAATAAAAAGCTTAAGATAGCAAATGAGAAAATTCTTGAACTATCTATGAAAAATACTATCTTGGAGAAATAAGTATCAAGATAGCACTCATAAACTCCAATATAAGATTTTAATAGATCTAGTTTAGGTGCACATGCTCATTCTTAGTCACCATTTAGACAGGAGGTCTATTAATAGTTAGGCAATGAAACAATTGAATAAAGAACATAGCAATAAGCTGTTCATACTGATACAAGATTGGATAGATATGATAAACAAGAGAGATAAACTCGATAAGATAGATTCGCTTAAAAATCATAAGATAAACATAGACCACGGGGTTAATCTGGAATTGATGCTCGCGGAGTCTAAGGTCACCCAATCGAAATAAAGGATGATGAATTATTGAATAAAGTTATGATGCTTACAGATGCATCTGGATAAAATAAATACTGGTGATTTTTCTTTAATTATATATATTTAAGATATGAATAAGCGTTGAATATTGGCAATAAATATTTTTTATAATTTATGATTTCAGGAATCTTCCCTTTCCCATTTAGAAACAACTTGCAATAGGTTTTCCATTTTTTATTTTTCATACTCTTCTAATGACGTGTTCTCAAACTCTTTAGGTACTTTGCCATCAGGGAAATTAGATGCCTTAACTCCAGCTATAATTGTAATTGCATATTTATACATTTTGTTAAATTAGGACTTAATTTAAGTAATGTAATTCCACCATGAGTATCACCAACTAAGATAATTGGATCCCTTTGATTAAATGCAATATTTGTTAGTCTGGGTTATTTAGAGGGTTTTTGTTCTGCAAGTTTTCCAATTTTATCAACATTCAAATCATAAACAAAAATCTTGTCTTGAGTGGCACAAGCAAAAACTAAAAATAGACAATCAATTAATACCTGTGGAACTGTAGGGTGCCCACATAGCATCGACAACCTACATTCCTTATTCAAAACTCATAATTTAAGTAGAGATTTTAGAATCCCAAATTTTAACTGTCCAATCAGCAGAAGCTGAAATGAAAGTTCTAGGATGGAAGTTATTCCATTTAACTTTATAGACTGCCAAATTATGACCCTGATTATAGATATTATATAAATACAATGTATGTTTCTTGATATTATCCTGAATATGCTCTTGAACATTTATGTATTTTTCCCTCTTCAGTACCAACCAAGAAGATATGAGGTTCAAATTTGTTGAAATCAAAACATAAACCACAAGCCAAACCAATCAAAGTGCTTTCCTCTTCATTCTTACCAACCAATCTTAATCTAATGACTTCTTCAGGCTCTAGTTTATTCTTCATCAACACCCAATTCATAACTCTACCATCTGATGAAATTGAATAGAAATTATAATTCTTAGAGATATCTGGATTCCATCTAACTTGCCATACTGGGTCTGTGTGTTTCTATGTTCTTACTGTTGATTAATATATTGGTTTCTTATGTTTGTTTCTGATATCATAAACTAGCACTGTTCCATCATATAATCCTACAGCCAATAATGCTGGACTTTGAGGATGGAAATCTAAGCACATCACTCCTGCCTCACATGTAAAGGCATATTCTGGATGAGTGGTATTTTTAAGAGAATATAAACAAATCAGACCCATTCTTTATTTTGAAAATTCGTAACTACCAAAACTTACAGCAAATAGATCCATATATCTTGGATTCCAACACAATGATGTTACATGTTTCTTCTTTTATTTTTCATTTGAAAATTTCCAAATTGGCAATAAATGACTTTTATTATTTATATAAATCTTACCCTTCATTCTTTGATGTCTCAACTACTTCGCCTTGACTCCAATAATATTTGTAATCATTGTATTTCTCCTTCTGATCATTATGAACCACCGTTCTTTCCATTATTTTTAAACATCTCTTGAAAGATGGCTTATAAACTGTGTTATCCGAAGTGTGATCTTTCTTCTTCTAACTTTCCTCCTTGGCTTTATTTTAAATATAAGCATCGAAAATTTCCCATTAAGTAATTTACCCTTTCAATGTATCGCTAGGGGGAGGCTCTGTTGACACACCTCTTTCTCTGATGACTCTTCCATCAGTTTAGGCTTCTCTCGCATTATAATTAAACTTATTTCTCATTGTTTATTTAATTGCCTCTTTGTCCTTTGCTGCCCCAGGATCTTCCATTTCTTAATTTCTTTCTGCCTCTTTTATCAATGCCAATTTCGTTTCCCATAATTCCTCCTATATTCTGGATTCATTTGAGTCTTTGTGAATGATTTCTCCATCCATCCTGAAGTGAATTATTAACTATTCAACCAACTCGTCAGTTTTATACTATCATTAATGATGGGTAGTTACTTTTCTTTATAAATAATCATATTGAGTGATATTCTTAGGGGCTTGAGGATTGTTAGGTATCAACATTTTAGATGGCATGTCTTCATTCAGTTCCTTCTCTGTCAATTGAGGTCTTTCTCTTTCTCTCTATTAATATTTATTTATTTCAAACTTCATGTTAATATTCTGATTCATCCCCATCTGGCTCAGCTTCTTATTGATTTAAATTCTGGTTGGCTATTTTAGGTTGTTTTTTCTATCAATTATAATTAATAAATTTACCGGCTATGGTCTCCTGAGGACTACTTTTTATTATTTGGGTGGCATTTTAATTATTAAATAAACTTAATCAAAAATGATTGTATTTATAATATATTCCAGACAATTAATTATGCTTCTCAGAATTGCCATTTTATGATTGTACACTAGATCAAATCTAGGAATCTGAATGCTCATAGAATATGTTATCAATATTTTATATAGAGAAGAATAAAAATACAAAATATTGGATTATTTAATTTTTCAGTTATTAAAAACAAAAACACAATGAAATTTCAAATATCAATTGAATCTCAAATGAACCTAATAGATATTGTATCCAAATATTAAATAAAAATAATTAATTCATACTTTCGTACTCCATTAATATCTTAAATTTTAATTTAATACACTTATTCTTGTCATTCTCATAGAAGGTTCAATTTATTAATCCTTTCTTATGGAGGATCTAATTTATTAATATATATTCATTTACTTTAACCTTTATCAACAATTAATTTATGAATTCTTTTCTTAAACAAATTAACATTAATCTCTAAAATATTTAATGCAACTCTCAATTAGAAGAGTGGAAACATAATTATTCATACTTTATCAAAGTCGCTTAATTTTTCAGTATAATTTATCTATTGCAAAATTACAAAATGAGAGCATTTTTTAAATTCATTACTAAGTATTTCTTAATCATTAACTCACAATCATGGCATATAATGCTTCTGAACCCTAATTTTAAATGATATATGTCATAAATTCAGGATCTTGTTAGAATTTTAATCATGCTATTTTTGAGAAATTTGGATAAAAATTGCAGTATTGATCTTAAATAGTTATCTTATGCTCTTTGGGAACATGAGAAATAGCATAAGTAGGAGCAATGAGTATAAGATTCTATTCTTTTTTCAATCTACTTTGTTTATTGGCTAAAGAAAAAGGAATATTATAATTATTTAATCAATAATATATATATTAAATTATATTAAAAGATGGCTAGAAATGCAGAAAAAGCAAAGGCAATGCTTTCAAGATGGTACAGATTGAAAAGAGATATACGTAATACTACAGATGGAAAGTATAAGTCCATTCCAAAGGTGTAAGAATGTGTCAATCTCTAAGAATGCGAATTGGAGAGATAGGAAGTATTAAAGGTGGTTTCAAAATTGGTCTCTGATATTTAAAATGCTGGTTTGGGTGAGCATAGAATTAGGGAATTGAATGATGAAATAAATAAAGTCATTTAAGAATTGCGATAATGGGAAGACAGAATCAAAGAATTAGGAGGACCAGATTATAGAAGATTAAGTGCTAAGATCTATGATACTCAAGGCATTGAATTAACAGGAAAAGAAGGATATAGGTATTTTGGAGCTGCAAAAGATTTACCGGGAGTTCGAGAATTGTTTTTCTCAGAACCACCTTCTGAACCCAAAAAGTCAAGGACTGAGTTGTATAAGGTATTCCTAATTAGCTTATGTAGAATATCTCATATAATTATTATGGAAGCCAGAATTAGGAGTTGTAAGAGATTTTAGAGGAGGAAAGAGAATTGGAGAGGAAGGCTTAAGAATAAGAGTTGCAAAGATTTATTGAAGACAACTAAGAGCTGGTTAAAGATTTCAATACAAGAGAAGAAATTCTACATTATATAAAATATGAAGTTGATAAAAGAGATGATGTGTTGAAGAGAATGGAAGAAGAGAAGTGTAAAACTTTTATTAAATAATTTAGAATAACACTCTGATTCTGAAGAATATGAATAAGATCAATTAGAATAAAGAAAGCAAGAGTTGATTAGGCAATATTATGCTCCTGAAAAGATCCATTCATAATATGTTACTACAGTTGAAAAGGATGCAGATCTTGAATCATTTATTAGGGGAAATATGGCAAAATGAAGTTAGTTGCGCATTTATATATGTATATTTTTTATTAATTACAAATATTGCATTCTTAAAGGAATAGAATTTAGTTTATAATTATTTCTTTTGCTCGCCTTTCATGATCCTACTTAAAATTTGATTTATCAGATTTTCAGATATTATTTCTTAACTGATACTAACAATAGAAATGATTATTTATAAAAAGTCAAGCATTTTTTAAGGCGATTCATTTCTCTTTAATAATCCAACCAAAGAATGGAATATGAAATTTTTATGAACCTAATTCTTTTCCTATTTATAGTTATAATTTGCAAAAGGTTATATATATATTACAATTGGTCAAATTAAAATTCGTGGAAACTCTATTTTTATAAAACCTAAAGAATCTAAAATGTTTTAATTGGATTGTGAGCAATAGTGTAAATAAAAATATCTTGCTCTTAGATCAAGATGTAATTAGTTATAGGATTTTAGGAATTGTAGATATAATTTGATAAATTATAATAATATTCAAATCATGCTTACTGCAAAGACACTACAAATACAATGGAGAGTATTTTTTTATTGCTCTTGTTTTGCTTATTTATCTTTTGGCCAGGATATGATGATTTATCCATCAGCAACAGTATCCCACCATTGCGAAGTTGTAACAAATGCTCCTGCTCCATTTCTTTACATAATCATGCAATGAACTATATATCTTAAACTTCTAAACACAATTTTACTTGTATGGTTTCCCCAATTCAATTAATTATTATGTAACTTTTTCACAAATTGCATTGATCCAACCTTGCACCTAGAAGTAATGTAAGGAATTTACTTTAGATTCATCGTATTGAACTTCTTTTAAGACACTTTCAATTGACTCTTAGGTGATACGATCTACTTCTTCTTGTGAATAGGTATTCTCCTCTAAATTTTGATTTTCTTCCATTAATTTTATTAATAAAACAATAACTATATTACGCGTTTTGTATAAGTTCTCTGGTTTCAATTGTTTTGATCTACCTATTTTGAGTCCAAGGGAATTTAGTTTCATATTAACACTGGCTTTTGGAATAAAATGGTTTGGATTTGGATTCTTATTTTTGACAATGTCAATAACCAATGAGAAATGTGGATGAAGCAGATAGACCTTTACCTGATTTGCTATAACATTGTTAGCAAGGTTATTTTCTATTATGAAATTCTAAGTATATCGATTAATCATAGCTTAGGGTTATTTGTCTTCAGATTTTATTTAAATTCATTTTGCAATATGTGTTGGGTGTTTGCTTTATAGATGGAATCATTCGCATTATTGTCACAGACCCACCTTTTCACAAAGTGAGATTAGAATTCAAAAATTAAGATAGATGGGATAATTGAATATCACACATCCAATTTTGTAATCACTCAAGCTTTCAACAAAGTAGCATTCCCTTGGTTATGTAGCCTACATGACATAGAAAATAATAAAATATTATATATATATTATCATTTTGCAAGCATCATATCCTAATATTATTGTCTTTTATTATTAAATTTATCCTATCCTATTGATTCCATATCAAACAATTTCGGCTGTAAACAGGGTTTAGGAATTGCTTATTGAATTTGCTTTTTGACTGTTTGTTTGACTCTTAAAATAGGGGGTTCAGATTATTGCCTGGGTTACATTTTGACATTTGATAGTTTGGTGACTTTGGCACTCACTTATTCATCTTCCCCATGAATATTGATACTTTCAGGTCTTGGGATGTTTTGAAGTTTAGGAAGATTATTAGCAGGAGTATTGGGTTTGAATGGAGCTCTGACTGCATTATTCTTAATCAATTATTATTATTATTAAGGGATTTAGGATTCTTTCATATCTTTCTTCTAATTTCTTTTAATGTCTAAATGATACAATAAATTAATACTTGTTCCAGTCCAGCTGTCTTGGAGTGATGAAGCGAATTCTATATATTTGTCATACTTTTGAGAATCTTCCAGTGGATATATCTTAACGTAATCTCCTAAATGTGCATTCTCATAGTCATTCCTCTGCTTCTCCCATTGTTTCATTTGTGAAATCTTCTCTTCCATTGTCAATTTGACTTTTTTGCCTGTCAAAACTCTCTACTGTAGAGATTCCTTTCTGGAGGCAATTATTTATTCTTTGGCTTTCAGACTGACATTCATTAATTTCAAGGTATCTCTAATGAGATTTTTCTTAATCAAGGAATCAAGAGGAGTATCTGTAGTGAAACTTGGAGTATGATTAACTTCCAGTAAGATGGGTTAGAGTTTGTGATTCAAAAAGATGTCAAATCCCAAGATTTCAAAACACATATTGTTGGCATAGTTGTCTGGTTGACATGACCTGTAATGATGACTCAATATTGGTTGGACAGTACAAAAGGTTTTAATAAATAACTCATACATTTCTTACCAGAGTTTTTTAATGTCATGTCCTTCTTATTCTAATTTACTAAATACTGCCTTGATGGATCTCTTATGTCCAATATCCATTCTGCTGGCATCCTTATTGAATACAAAATTTGGATTTTCTTTATTAATAGCATAATTAGTTAGATGCATGCACATGTCTTCTAGATTTGATGAATTGGGAGGAACGTATGGTTCCGTAGCAAATCTGACTAAACCATCTTAGTATACATAGATTCTCATGGGATCAGTTCCAGCCAATAGGACATAAACTCTCAGATCAAATTTTAATCCTTCGATTAAGAATGGCCTGTGCATGTATCTTTAAGCCACATAATGATCATTTGGATTGATGTCATTGATGTTCCTTGTTAGGAATATGCCTCTTCCTTAACAACTGGCTTCAGGTTTGACAATAAATGTTCTGGCTTTTCCTTTTACGAATTGATTTTTAAAGTCGCCATATTCAGCTGGCAATAGCCATGTTTAAGGAAAGAACTTGTATTCGTCTGAGAATTATTTGCGCATCTTCATTAGATTTCTTCCTAGATGATTCTTTCGAGCAAGAGAATACATTCCAGGAAAATGATTAATTTTTTGGTATGCTATGAATTATTTATAAAAATACGTTGCATTTTTCCGAGTGTCTCAGGTTGAACGGCTGCATCTGTCCAAAACATATCCCAATTGGTAGCATCTGGCTCATATTGTAAGATCCACTTAAATAACTTTTTGCCAACAAACTTCACAACATCATATTGAGTATCTAAAATAAGATAGACGACTTCTCACCTGACACATTCATTATCAAGGTTGTCTTCTTCTTGGAATTGTCTTCAGTCTCGCTTCCGCTATCTTCAAATTCTCCATTAAAGTGTGGTTCCTTTGCTAATTATTATTTCATATTATATTAATATAAATGGACTTATATCACTATCTCTTTAAATTCATTATTGTTGGAGATACAAGTAATTCTGATGATTTTTAAATAAATTAAGGTGTGGGTAAGAGTTGCCTTCTACTCAAGTACACTGAAGGCAAATTTAAGGAAGAACATGATGCTACTATTGGTGTAGAATTTGGATCTTAGGGATTCAAGTACAAGAATAAGCAATTTAAAATATAAATTTGGGATACAGTACTATATTGAGTTTAAAGATAGGCTGGGCAAGAATCGTTTAGGTCAATTACTCGATCCTATTACAAGGGGTTAGTTATAATATATATATACTTAATTGTAGATCGATAGGGGTTTTGCTGGTTTTCGACATTACAAATCGATAGTCATTCCATAACATTGTCAGGTGGTACAATGAGATATTGGATTGCGCTCACGAATACGTGGATATAGTTATCGTTGGCAACAAAATCGATCTGGAGAACGAGTAAATCAATTATGTAAATAGACGCTAAGTTTCTGCAGACGAAGGGAAACTATTTGCAGAATAATACAGAATACACTACATTGAGACATCAGCCAAAACTGGATAGTATGTTGACTCCGTGTTTTAATAAATGGCAATGCGAATCTATGAAAAGATAGAAAACAAATTAGTAGACTAGAACAATGAAAATTTAGGTATTAAATTAGGCACATTTTACAGAAATGATGAACAAGAGGATAAAGAATTGTAAACAAGTTTAGGATAAAAGAAGAAGAAAAAAAATGATGATTGTTGTTGAATCTAAATTAAATTATGTCATTTCTCTCATTTTAAACGATTACACGCATCTTAAATTGTCTCTGTAGTCATGCAAATTGCCCATCTGACAAATCTTGAACCCAACTCTTTATTCTCAAAATAAGGAGAACAAGGAATACACACTACTCCAACTTCATTGGCAATGTAATATGCGAAAGCAAAATCTTTAGTAAGTTGATGACCATCTTGATCATCTTTGAAATATTTCTCAGATATATCTACATCACTGATGTCAGTAACTAAAAAGTATCCTCCTTATGGAACCCAAAAATGCAAATTGAATCTACTCTCAAGTAAACCCTTTAGTAACATAGTCGATTATTCTATATACAAATCTCTGATTTCGGTAAAGTATTAGCCATCAAAAGTTTACTCCAAGCATTTCGCTGTGGCAGTTTATAAGACAGGATTCAAACAAAAGTTAAGATAGGTTTAAGCAGATTTTCTTCCTCTTATATATTTTTCATCTCCCATTGCAAATCCAATTCTCAATCCTGTAGCTGAAAACATCTTACCTGCACTTGTTACACATAAAGTCTTAGATTTCAATTTTGGATGAGTAATACATCTTGGATATGAAAATGGCTAATAACCACCAAATACAACATGATGATATGCAGCATCTTCACATACTATTACTTATGGATGTTTATCTAATATGTCTGCCAATCTGTCTAATTCTTCAACTGAAAAAACTCTAAAACAATTACAGTTACAAATTACTTTCCAATTGGATTTTGTGGCGAATTCAAAATTATCATTTTTGTCCTTGCATTTAATCTCGATTCAATATAATCATAGTCCAAATGCCATTCGTCCTCTTTTGAAAATTTAATTTTGCCATTCTCAAATCTGTTCAATATACTAGCTTTGCTATTTAATTGACTAGGTTTTAATGGAACTCCCACATGTTTAGCACCTTAGAATTCAATCAAGGGACGATAGAAATCTTTTGATATCTCTACTATTAATACCGAAAGCAGGGTCAAAACATATTACTTCATCGTTTGGTTCAAGCAAAGCCTGGAAAACACATGCTAAAACTGATTATGCACCAGAACTTGCGACTATCTCTTTTGCAATATCCACTTTAATTCCCATATGCTTTTCAAAAAAGTCAGAGGCTGCCTTCATCAATCTTGGATGACCAGCTGTTTATGTATATTGCAAACTCTCTGTCAATGCCTCTTCTGCAATAGCTTATCTTAAAAATTAAGGTGGAGGAAAATTTGGAAAACCTTGTATTAACACAGGAATTCTTCACAGCCAATTATGTAAACTTAGCATAAATCTACAATTAAAGATAAGGTGCCATGCGATCAGCAATAGTATTATCTTACATTCTTAAAAATATATATATATATAGATAATATGATAATAATTTGGATTTCTAATGCAGTAATATTATTGTCACTATCATTATGTAATCTATATGTGTGGAAATGAAAATTAGAATTATTTAAGAATGATATATATTTTATCTATTTTAAATGATAATTAAATTTTGCTTTATATCAGATTACTCATTGCAATTCACCACAATCATATATAACAACTTTCTTTTATGGTCTTCCTTATTGAGTTCCACAAAATTCAATTGCATTTAACACTTCTAATCCAGATGCCACCTTTCCAAATACAGTATGTTTTCCATTCAACCAAGGACATGGAACAGTTGTGATGAAAAATTAAGATCCATTTGTATTTGGTCCAGCATTGGCCATAGATAAGAGTCCTGGAGTAGTATGTTTTAATGTGAAATTTTCATCTGGGAATGTCCTTCCATAAATTGATTCTCCGCCTGTGCCATTATGATTTGTAAAATCTCCCCCTTGGCACATAAATGATGGAATGATTCTATGGAATGATGAACCCTTATAATGAAGTGTTTTCCCAGATATCTTAGACACAGTATCACCAATACATAATTTTCTGAAATTTTCTGCAGTTTTAGGTGTGGCATCTGCAAATAACTAATTGTAAATTATTCAATTTACTTCAAAGACTATTCTACCGCTTGGGGCATCGTTAATGGAAATATCAAAGAATACCTTTGGATTTTTAGTTGTGGCAGAAAATGAAAATCTAAATAATTTAGTAAACATTTTTATTATTATAACAATTAATCTAAGATGATTATACATTATTTCGTTCACGAATATATATATATATTTAGATACATAATAATCGAATTAGAATAACTATTATGATAATTACTTGGATGTTGAAGGAAATATTAAATTATTCTTACTATAAGTAGATTTGTGATTTTTAACATTCAAAGTTATATATATTAATGTAAATAATAATTATTATAATTAAATTAATTTTATTTATATGGAATCTTGTTAAAATGAAAAACATATTGGAAAGCTGCTTTTTGGATATTGTTCGAATAAAAAATGTATTAGTAATTTAAACACATTTTGTGATATTTGCAGATAATATCACGATGAACATTAATAGGATTTACAGTATTTGGATTCTCCAGACAACATCAAACTTAAGAATATCGAATATATGAATTAAATAAGTAATTTTTTAGAAAATCAAAAAAATTTTTATTTTGAGTTTTAAGAAAACATTAGGGAAATGGATTTAGGTAACTTGAAAATTGATTATGAAAATAATAATTATCATTTAATAGATTAGATGAAATAAATTGTAAAAATATAAAGTGTTTTAAATACTACTTTGCCAATGTGTCAAAATGTACAATAGTCGTATACTTAAATAATATAAGAATTAAATAAATTGCATTGTATTTTTTTAAATCATCATAATATAAGAAAATTAAAAATAAAAAGTTTAGGAAAAGCCAAAATAAGAGAAGAAAAAGAAAATAGTCTAAAAAATTGAGATGAAATAGAAACAATTGAATGAGAAATAAGTTATTTCAGAAGTAAAAAAATGGTATGACTTCAAAATTTATTTTTCGTAAAAATTTAAATACAAATGGATTAAAATTTTGAATAATGGATTGATGGCCAAAAATGAAGATGACAGAGGCATGGTCATATGCGAGCCTATACTGCCTAAGAAAGGATAATATCGATTTGCCTTTGGTATCAAAGAAAACGCTTATCTGATTTGGATTGGAATTTGTCATAAAGAGTTTCTTATGCAAAATGACTATTAAACATATTTTGAAGAAAAACCATATTCTTAGAATGGGTAGTTAATTAAATTAAAATTTAGGGTTTATTTAATAAATAATTATGGAATACCTTATTCACATGTCCTTAAAGACAAAAAAGATTTTAAAGAATCCTTCATTTTTAAACCTGATGATTTAATAATTGTATATGTAGACATGGATGAAGGAAACATTACTTGGGAAAGTAGAGTATCAAATAATAAATATGTATCAAAAAAGAATTCATTATTTTAGTCAATGAAATTTGATGCAACTTAAGATGTTCATGCTTGTGCAGGAATAACTGCATTTTCACCTGTATTCATAGTTGAGGAGTATTGAAAGGGAAAGCATTGATTATTTATTAAATCCTTTCTTCCATATTTTATTTTTATCTCCAAACTTATAGGAATAATTATATTATAGATATACATATACTAGAAGTATTATTTTGAAAATTAATTATACCCTCTCTAAAGATGAATCAAAAAATAAATAGCTAATATAGAGTTAGATAAAAGAAAGAGCATAAGTGATCATGAAAGTTGTAAAAAATGAAATAGTTAAATATGAAGAAATTAACAAATCAATTTAGTCTGTAAACTAACCTTAAGATTATAATTTGGTAAAGGTAAAGGTTGAAATGATTAAATATATCCTTTTAATTATCCAAAAATCATTAATTTTAATTTAGTTGTTTATAGTAAAATAGAATTGAAGATAATTAAAATACTTGAGATTTCAATATTCCATTTGACATAATGAAATTTCTTTAGATTTAAAAATCAACAAATAAGTCTTATTGAGTTTTTTCAAAATTAAAGTAAAATTCAAATGTTGGCTCTAAATTTAGAAGTTGACTATAATATTACTATCAAATGAGTTATATAAAATTAAAAAAACAAATTTATTGAAATTAGTATTATTCTAATGAATTAGAAACTGTTTTTCTAGTGTTATTAAAATTATTGAACATTTAGTTGATAATGAAAATATATTATTGATTTCAATGAAAAAATAGTGAGTTAATTATTTTATAAAATGAAAGCACCCACTCATAGGTGCCTATTATCGAGTTTAATCGAAAGTAATGAAAAGACCACTCGTTAAGCCAAGACACACGAATCTTTTGAGAGGTTGAAGAATTCTTAACCTCAAACTGCTACTCCCAAGACTTAAATGACTAACAGGAAAAGCAAATAGATGAGTTTGGTGCAAGTGCAACAGCTAATTTAGTAACCTCTTTTGCGAAAGAACCATACAGCTTTGTCTGAAGTGCCACATACTTGGAATACAAGTCGAAGCATAGAAAAGACAGTGGACTTACTTGCTATGTCTTAACATAGACGAGTGAAGTGGCTTGAAAAATAAAAATCTTTGCTAGCTCAACAACAGCCAGTTACGGAGCGTGTTTAGACAAGTCGTATAAAACAGATGGCAACTGCTGCTAATTATAACAATTTTCTTAAGAAATTCAATGGCGAATATCTGATGATATTGGACAAGACTAAAACAGCAGCACCACTTTAAAAAGTACAAAATGAAACTTCAGAAAATAAAGAGAGGTAGTTCATTTTCAAGCAGCCATTAAGCATAGTGAAGGGATTGAGTGAACACATGCTTAGAATGAAGAGTATAACTAGACAACATGAATCATTACGTTCACCCCCTAGGAAATTATCTAATCCTCGTTATGAATTAACTAATGCGAATAGAGTTCGCTTTTCTAAATATTATTAAGATGATAGTTTGAAAGTGTTGAAATCTCAGAAAAGAGATCCGAACTAAATCTTTAAGGAGTTGCATATTGAAGATATCCAATATACTGATTTAGACCGAGCACAGAATCATCCTATAAATATTGCCTTATTCAATATGTTAAAAGATGAGGAAATTATTTTAAGTATTTTATTTGTTAAATTCAGAGTAATAGTAACTTGAGGAAGCAGAAAAATATACTGCTTAAGAACTAATAAAATAGAGATAAGAGATTGAAAGATTTGATGAACTCACTCGTTAAGAGTATCATCGAAAATGCTATGTTGATTACAAGTCTAAAGTTATCAATCCAAAATATCAACACAACTATTTACATTTAGATTAATCCTTATTAGAATTATTTCCAAAGAATTAAGTTGTGAACTCTGAATAATAGAAAAAATTGAGAAGACACAAAATTTTGAATATGATAAAGATGTTCTTGTTTAGATTACACGAACTACATCTCAATCTTGAAGATCTCATCAAACATAAAATTTATCCTCTAGCAGCATATGCTAATGAACGATCTAAATTATTTTTTGATTTAGTAAAAGCTAATAAGATTGAACTAACTCGTAGAGAATTACAAGATAACAGATATTTAGTTTATGAGTTTGATCCATCCAAATTAACTCCTCTTCATCATGCAGTCATTCGCAATCATGTGGAAATGGTAGAATTACTTATGGAATATCATGCTGACGTTAATCGCCGTGATATTGTACTTATCATTCTATTATCTAGCTTGGAAGAACTCCTCTCTTCTTTGGAATCCGCTCTGGTTACAATGATTGTGTATAGCAATTGCTGTATCATTAAGCAATTCCTTGGTCCAATAAAAAGAATCAATATGACCTATATTTAGACATGCTCAGCGATAAAGTTAGAGATTAGTATCGTAAATCAAAAAATGTAATATATCTTGATAATTGAAGTACCATTTATAAATGTAAATGATGCCTTATACAAAAAGAGCTGCTTTCTGGATAGAGCGAAGATATTATTTTACTTAATGAATAATATAAATTTATCGAATTTATTCGTTTTAATATCCTTTAAATTATCTTGCAAAACGTTTTAAATAAATTGTTATTCGATTACATTCTCTATTAATTTTGTTTATTCAAAAGATTAAGCACGTTAATGAATTTTTTATATTTCATTGCTAAAGCCTTAAGGCTTATATTACCGTTTAAGTAGGAATGTTAAGCAATTGATTTAAAGATCTACATTTAATAATATTATTATATGGTCTATTTTTTAAATAATAAAATTATATAAAGTGCAACAATCTTTCTAATATTTTACTACCTGATATATTTCTAATTTTTAGAAGTGCCTATCTTCATCCTCAAAAACATATGAACCATGTCCTCCTATAATAATAAATGTAAATATCAAAGAGATTGTAAGAATTATTATTTTCTGTTCTTTTGCTTATACTAAAAAAGGGTTTTTGTTATGCCATTATTGCAATATCAAACCGATAAAGATTCTATTAATAGAGTTATTAGCCTATTGCAATATATATTCTATTATTTCAAAAGATATCTTCTCGTATTGAGAATTATGATTTACTTTAATTTAAAAAATTATTAATGATCAAAAATTATCAAATGTTAATAATCAAATATTGAATTCTAAATAAAATTCGATCTGCACTTTAAACGTAATTGACTTGTATGTGGTGAAATTTGGTAAGGCTTAAATAATTAAATGAAAAAATACAACAAATTGTCTCATTAGGTTAGTTCTTATTTTGACTTTAAGGATATGAAAAATTAAAAAATTTGAAAGCTTGTTGCTTAATGGATATAATTTGATCGAAAACAATATCCAGGAGCTGAAGCAGAATCAATTTGATCATAATAAAATTCTATATATTTAATAGTCCACAGATTTTTCACAGTCTTAAATATTGACAAATCTTCTAAGCCCATTTTAAATTGAAGAAATAGTTGAACATATATATATATTTTATCAAATTTAGGGGTTCTTTAATGATGCCTTCCCTATAACTTGAGGATTTCTTTTTGATCTAATAAGTTTGTTATTGGTTTTGGGTTGAACATAGTTGGCAATTTCTTTCACAGCACTCTAAGTTTAATTCTTTTGAGTTTTAAAAGTTGGAGTACTAATTTCTTATTCTTTGTTAAATTTTTCAGCCATTTGCATCATTTTAACTGAAAAATTGATCTTCTCTAATTCGAATAAATCAAAATCTAATGTTCTAGATTTCAATGATTCGATTGGCTTATAGCTTAAATGACACATTCTTGGCTTTATCATTAGATTAAAATTTAGATGAATATGAAATGATTAAATGTGTTTGATTAATTGAGTTAAGATTTAAAGAACAGGGAAAAAATCATTCGTAATTCATTTGATCATTAATTTTAAATACCTTAGTATTATTAAATTGATTTTTTAGAATAATATCATTTTTTATAATTGAATTAGAAAAAGCATTATTATAAATCAAAATAAAATTATGGACTACTCAAATGCAACATGCTCTTCATTTAAAAATAGGTTGTGATTTAAATTACTAAATTGTTATTTTCTTTCAGAATGAAGTTATTTTTTTATAACTCCATTCCTTTGTATGGTGAGCTGAACACTTAAAAAGAAAAAGAAAATTAGTAAATTTAAGCAAATTTTGATTTAAGATTTATCCTATCGTTTTAATCTCAAAATGTGGACTTTTATTGTCAATATATAAATGTAATATTATTTATTCTAATGATATCAATTTTTCTTAACTTAGGCCATTTTACCCCATCCTCTTGCAATTGTAAGCACGTTGGCGATTCTCTATTATGTGGTGATGTAGAATTACTTTAATTTTCTTGGATGCACGGTAATCCTTTAATTTAGCTTATAGATTGACGATAGATTTATGGGTGTTATTGAGGAGCCAAGGATGCTTGAGGATTTTGTCAGTTGTGAGTCTTTTGGCTGGATCAATAGTCAATAAGCCTTTGATTAGTTCCTTGGCTAGAAATAGGATATTGATATTTAACCTTCATTGCTGATTTGATCCCAGTAAGGCGAAGGAAAAGCAAAGGTACCAGTTTTAATCATTTAAAAGAGCTTGTCGTTATCCTCATCATAGAAGGGAGGGAAGCCACACAACCTTGAATGAATATTATTTTTACATAATATAGAGAATAACACCAACAGACCAGAAATCGATGGCTTCGGTGTATCCTTTGCCATTGATGATTTCAGGAGCCACATAGCCTGGAGTACCACATTGAGTCATCATGACTTCTTCGGAACCAACAAAACGAGCAAGTCCAAAATCACTTACTTTTAACAAGGCTCCTGGTTCCATGGAGGAGTAAAGTAGATTTTCTGGTTTGAGATCTCGATGCACTATTCCCATCTTGTGACAATAAGCGAGTGCATCAATAATTGGTCTAAGGGTAGCGGCTGCTTCCTTTTCACTAAAGTGGTCTTTCTCAACTATTCTTTCGAATAGCTTAACGTAATGATTGATTATTGAATACCTCTCCACCTGTCATTAATTCCAAGACCATATAGAAGAACGTGTCATCTTCGTAAATTTCATACAATTTCACAACATTAGGATGATCGATCTAAATAATTATTTATTATACTTGAGTAAGAATTTCGACTTCTGTTTACAAGGCCAATAAGTCTTCGTTTGACAGGTTTTCCCTTCAATCAATATGGATCAAATACTTGTTAATTATTTTAACAGCGAAATGTTCCCCTGTGCTCTTTTTAACTGCTCTTTTAACAACTCCAAAGGCTCCCCTTAACTTATATTATTTCTATACTCTCCTAAAGTTTTCTCCAAAGTGTACACTTTGTTAATATCTTCGTTTCCTTACATTAATTATATTATTTATAAGTCAAATTTTATAAGGTAAGTTTCTGCTTTCAAATATATTAATTTTCTTTAACATTAAAAAATCTCTCAAATTATGGGAGTTATGTAAACCCCTGTATGTTCTAGTGAATGAATTTTATGAGTTTCTAATACAACATTTTATATCACTCGAATTTAGAATTTCTTAAAAAACATTGAATCTTTTTATTGTTATTTTTGAAATAAATTGGTAGTTAATTTAAAGGGAAATCACAAAATTTTGTTCAAAGCAGTTAAGGTACTTAAAATTGGAGATTATCAAGTATTTATATATATAAAGTGAATCACTCTCAAACAGACAAGATTTATAATTTATCAGATAAATTATTAGTAATACTTATGAAATCTAAGTCATTTAAAATATTGAATGTCGATTTTCAAATTTTGATGATACAAAAATTAGATTCTTGTTAATATATAATATTCTATATTTGATTTACTTAAAAGGGTTATTTCCCTTGATTACTCAATAATCAAAATAAATTAGTGTATCTCACTAAAATGAAACCACCTTTGCTACATTTCATCCATAATCTTTAGATTAATCATTTAGTAAGCAGATTTTTTATACTTTTTGGTTTATCAAACTTTTGAGTTTAGATTAAGAATCTCAAACACTAGAGTGGTAATAATAGGAATTAAATTATTTCTGTATCTATTGCTGTAATAAAAACAAAAGAAACATAAAATTAAGTCTCTAAATTTTCCATATATAAAATTTCAATAGCAGATTATAAAATATTCAATAATCAAAAAAAGAGAATTAAGTATGGACGTGAAATCTAATAAAAATAAATGTTGAGGATTGATAATTTTATCTATATTAAATCTCACCTTTTGATANTTGTGACAATAAGCGAGTGCATCAATAATTGGTCTAAGGGTAGCGGCTGCTTCCTTTTCACTAAAGTGGTCTTTCTCAACTATTCTTTCGAATAGCTTAACGTAATGATTGATTATTGAATACCTCTCCACCTGTCATTAATTCCAAGACCATATAGAAGAACGTGTCATCTTCGTAAATTTCATACAATTTCACAACATTAGGATGATCGATCTAAATAATTATTTATTATACTTGAGTAAGAATTTCGACTTCTGTTTACAAGGCCAATAAGTCTTCGTTTGACAGGTTTTCCCTTCAATCAATATGGATCAAATACTTGTTAATTATTTTAACAGCGAAATGTTCCCCTGTGCTCTTTTTAACTGCTCTTTTAACAACTCCAAAGGCTCCCCTTAACTTATATTATTTCTATACTCTCCTAAAGTTTTCTCCAAAGTGTACACTTTGTTAATATCTTCGTTTCCTTACATTAATTATATTATTTATAAGTCAAATTTTATAAGGTAAGTTTCTGCTTTCAAATATATTAATTTTCTTTAACATTAAAAAATCTCTCAAATTATGGGAGTTATGTAAACCCCTGTATGTTCTAGTGAATGAATTTTATGAGTTTCTAATACAACATTTTATATCACTCGAATTTAGAATTTCTTAAAAAACATTGAATCTTTTTATTGTTATTTTTGAAATAAATTGGTAGTTAATTTAAAGGGAAATCACAAAATTTTGTTCAAAGCAGTTAAGGTACTTAAAATTGGAGATTATCAAGTATTTATATATATAAAGTGAATCACTCTCAAACAGACAAGATTTATAATTTATCAGATAAATTATTAGTAATACTTATGAAATCTAAGTCATTTAAAATATTGAATGTCGATTTTCAAATTTTGATGATACAAAAATTAGATTCTTGTTAATATATAATATTCTATATTTGATTTACTTAAAAGGGTTATTTCCCTTGATTACTCAATAATCAAAATAAATTAGTGTATCTCACTAAAATGAAACCACCTTTGCTACATTTCATCCATAATCTTTAGATTAATCATTTAGTAAGCAGATTTTTTATACTTTTTGGTTTATCAAACTTTTGAGTTTAGATTAAGAATCTCAAACACTAGAGTGGTAATAATAGGAATTAAATTATTTCTGTATCTATTGCTGTAATAAAAACAAAAGAAACATAAAATTAAGTCTCTAAATTTTCCATATATAAAATTTCAATAGCAGATTATAAAATATTCAATAATCAAAAAAAGAGAATTAAGTATGGACGTGAAATCTAATAAAAATAAATGTTGAGGATTGATAATTTTATCTATATTAAATCTCACCTTTTGATATCGAAGAATAAAATAATTATTACTAACAAATTTATATATTATTGTGAATAAATTTGTGAAATTAATGATTCACAAAGATGTTGTATTTGGAAATCATATCACAGCTAATAAATTAGAGAGATTAGTTAAAAAGTAAAGGATGTTATTGAAGTCACCATATGATACAAAACAAGAAACAAAAAATAGAAAAATTTGTAAATCTAAAAGCTTCAAATTCGAAATTCATCCACACTTTTTTTAGGATACCCACAATCCTTCATTGAAAAACTATATCCAATTATAGTTACCTACTGAAAAGAGTCCTATTCGTCGGGCTTCTCCTAAGCCTGTTTTGGAAGTCTTTTCAAGGAGTTAGAAATCAATGACCAGCCTATAATAAAAAAATACCATAATTACAAACAAGTTGTAGAGGAGATGGAGCAATTATGAATTAATGAGCGAAAAATAAAAGCGTCTCAATACCAAAGCTCCAAAATCAGTTATTAAATATTAATATCTTATGGCAGTAAAGGCGAAGAAAAAGAAAATTCAAAGAATGAAAATGCAATACAGTAAGTTCATAATACTATATAGAGTTTTTGGGGAGAAAGAATAATAAGGTTAAAAAAACCAGAAGTAAAACACAGCCATTAGATCCTGTAATTAAAATGAGACACAAAAGAGCTTAAACAGAAGTCAAAGAGTTTAATGAAGGACCGATATTCCCTTTGGAAAATAGTTTAGTTCGAAAAATTGTTAAATTAATAATGATGAAGAAAACAGCTGTTAAAAGATAAACTTGTTTTTAAATTCCAAAAGGAAGTATGCTACTTTCGAAAGAAAAATTAATAAAATTTCAATAATAAATCAATGAAAAGTTAATTTCATAATCTGAATCAGAGAGTCAGATTGATGGATCTCCTTGCTTAGATTCATTAAGAGCATATTAAAGAAGAGTTAATTTTGAAGAGAAAAAATTTCAAATCAAAGTTATGTCTAGGAAGAAGAAAAACCTAATAAAAGCATTATAAAAAAAGCAAGCTTTCAGTATCATAACTTCTTATGTTTCTAACAAGGCTAAAACTTAAAATTCTATTTAACAACAAAGTTCTTAGAATTCCCTTTATTAAAAGAGTACATAGTAAACACTTTGTGATTTTATGTCCAAATAAGGAGATAGATTAACGACATTTCATACTACACATGAACAGCCACAAATTTAATAAAAAACTAAACAACGACCAAATATGTTGGTTAAGCTATTTCCTTATCTACAGCCTTAGAAAAATAGCAATAAATGATTATAAATTTTCCAATTTTTGTCAATCGAAAAAATTAGATTATTATTTATTGAGAAATTTTTATAGCTAATGTTAAATTTCTAAAAGTTCATTCATTTAATATAGCTTAATTTTATTTAATAAATAAATATTTAATATCCAAAATTTCTTAGTGTTTTATCGCCATTTAAATATTATTATTAATTTTTATGATCTTATTGTTATTTGTAGTTCCTTAGGCAAATGATTAATCTTTTGGACTGAGTTATACTAAATAAGGAGGATAAAATTACTATTTAGTTTGAATTCATATAGAATGCTTAAATGTAGAATTTGATTTTTTTATTAAGTAGATTTATATCTAGACTAGTATTTTACGAAGTGAAAATAAGATCCCAGACTAACTTCATAATTAATTAAATAATTTAGAGATTAATTTTTAATTTCCTTTTTCATCATCCCTTATTAGAATTACTCAATTCTTTATAATCATACTTCTTACATTTAGCTTTTTAAAATGAAAAAGCCTTCTATTTTACTGCTTATGGATGAAATAAACTTGAGATACCTTATTCTAGAGTGAGACTTGAAAAAGTCAAAGGATTTCTTATAATTTCCTTTCCTATTTCATTGATCTTACACAATAAATAACTTATTTTCAGACTAGTATTCTATTGAAACAGAAATCATTCAAAATATAATTCACAAGAATGATACATTAAATTAGTGGTAAATTAAATGCATCCTTGTAGATCTGCTAAAAACAATCAAAATAGGGAGAAAAATTAATGATAAACTGTTGATTGATTTATATAAGAGAATAGGAATTCCTAAATAGAAAGATTGATGGGATTGTCCTTATTTTGATGTTCGATTTAAAGAAAAACTCGACTTTAGGAGATGCCGAAGTGTTTTTTATGTTGAAAAAATAACCAAAGATCCTATTGCAGCAAAAAAAGTAATACTACATAATTAAAATAGGAATAATAAATAAAAGAAACTTTGTACATGAATAACAGAAGAGAGTTTAAGAATTCTTAGATTAAACCTTAAAAAAGTAAATTGAATGTCTTTAAATTGGAATGCAACGATTAAATTTCAGGAGACCAAAGCATTTCTTGTGTAAAACGTGCCTAAAGTATAATATAGTTAAAGAAATTAAGATTAGAGTTATTGAATATGCTCAGAATAACACCAGAAAAACACTAGAACAAACAAATGAAGCATTTGTAAATTTCATCCAAACTCAAGTAGAGCGATTAGGTATATGAGATTTTCTTGATTTTTGACATATATTTATTTAATCGTATGTTAAATTTTGGAAGATTTTAATTAATTACTTTATTAGAGATATAATAAAGTGATAAAAAATATATTTATAGTGTTTTATCAGAATCTAATACATCTTAATTTTTTCACTATCTTTTATCATTAAGTAATGAATCTACTCACAGACTCAAAAATGATTGAATTTTTAATAAACTGTGAAGACCTTCTAAATTCAATGCTTGATCAAGCCCAACTTGAATAAATGTGTCATTAACTAATTGACTCCTCCTGTAATATTATGAAATATTTTTAGATTTATATTTGGAGGAAATATAAAATTACAAGAGAGATGTAAGCTTTGAATTGAAATCAAAATCAGCAGAAATCGAAATGCTCAACTTTTAGATATCAAAATAATCAAATCAACTGAAGGATCAAAAAAGTGATTTAAATATGTAAATTGAGATCTGCTAATAATTGGAGTTATAGTTGCAATTCTTTGAAGAGAAATCTTTGAAATCTGAAAAGGAAATTGTGGAGGTAGAGGCTGAACTAAGAAAAAAACTTCATCAGCAGAATTAATAATATCGAGATTAGATTTAAACATTAAATAGTGTAAAATAGGAAATTGATAAACAGATTCTTCAACTCTCAAAGGAAAAAGGATTTCTCTAAATATAATTTGAACAACTCAAATAGTAATTTGAAGGTTAGTAATTTTTGATACAGAATTTGACTGAGTAATTGGCCACTTTACAAACGAATTCAAGCATTATTACTAACACACAACAAAATAATGATTGTATTATTAATTGTTAAGATGAATCAATTGAACTAAAATTTTAACAAAAAGAAAGTTAGTATTCAAATTGTATTTCGCATAATTAAATTAATTTTAAATGGGAAAAGATTTAACCAAGTATATCATCTATTAGGAATTCTATAACCATGAAGAATCCAACAAATACTAGATGTGACATCTAATCAAAAGAAAAAATTAGATCCTTGGTATTTCTTAATTCTACCAAAGTAAAGTAGAGTGATCCTTATTATGAATTTTTTAAATTGGTAATTCCCCTTAATAATACTTAGATTACTCAATGTGTCAAACTCGATTTGGGATAAGCTCATATCTTTACTATGAATTTCGATCACCTTTACGAGAAGTTTAAGAATGACTGTATTCCTTTCAATCAGTGGTATTAAAAAATAATAGATGAGATTTTTACATGAATTATATTAAATATCATAAGATTTTCTCTTATAGAATAAATATATGAAAAGTAGTAATACTATTAATAAATATATTGTGATTTTATTTTAATGGAATTTTTTCATTATTAAATCCACAAGGAACAACCTTGATTTAACAAAACATTTTTTCCACAAACATTAAATATTTGAAATAATTTCTTAGGATTTTTGGAAAGGTAGATTTTGCACTTAATTAAAAAAATTTAAATTATTAATTTATTAAAATTTTTTTACTCAATCCATGTTATTAAAAACTATTTAAATTTAATTATAGAATTTTATTAATAGAATTTGGAACTATAAATGTTTTGTAGAGAGCATTAAAGATATTAATATATATAATGGAATAATTTTAAGAATTAGCTAAGAAATAATTGAGTGATGACAATCGTTTTATTGAAACTCCCAAACTTTGTAATGAATAAGGCACCAAATGGTTAATTGGATATAATCATCTTATAACAAGTGATGAGGATTATGAACAATTCAAGAATGGAATTAATAAGGACAAAGCCTAATATTTATTATAATAGGATATCGATACTGCCAAAATGGTACTTGAAAATGAATATAATGAAAAATACGGAGAAAATAGCTTTCAATAATTAAATATTGGTTGCTAATATCTTCTTTTATCTATTCTTTTGAATACAGGAAGAATATTGCAATACTCTAAATTGATAAAGGAGTGCTAGTCGAAAAATTTTTATCAAGCCTTGAAATTTAATGAAAGGAAGCACATTAGTGATGAGAACCAAAACAATTTGTTAAAGATTAAATTCATAGAGGAACAAAAATTGTTTTAAGAACACTTTGATCAATATGGAAATCCAAAAAAAGAAGGCTTGTGGAAATATGAAATACTTCAAACAAATGAAAAAAGTTTAATTTATGCTACTGAGCTGTTTAATGATAGGTTTGTAACATTAGAGTAGTATGCTATATTTGCTATGAATACTGATTTAGAATTTTGTAATCGCAAGAGTCCTGAATGGATTAAATTTTTAAGAGATTTGGAAGGAAAAAAGTATAATTTTGCCAGCTATAACGAAGAAAAAAACTTGTGGTTTCCTGTAAATGTAAATGATCAAGATTATTAAATAATTGGATATTCTCATATATGTTAACCCAAGGAAGTGTTAGCATATAAAAATGGTTTAACAGATGGACAAGTTAACTATCTGTTCTTAGCTGATTATGATAAAAATGTTTTAAAGTTAAGGAGATTTTTTAAATCTGAATATCCGAATGTTGATTTGGATAGTCTTACTTCATAAGCTTAATTATTATTGATAGACTTATCGTTTAGAAACTGGCCATTAACATCATATAGAAAATCCATCGAACTTGCAATTCAAAATAAAATATAGGAAGCAATATGTGAGAGCCACATATATTATCGGCCTGATGAGTCAGTTAATTCACATTATTATTCTAGATAGGATGAAATTTTTAATTTACTTAATTAAATTTCATCCACTTATGTACTAAAAAACAATGCTTAAAAGAATTTTTTTGAAGACCCTAAATTCAATAATATAGTAGGTGTTAAAATTACTGAAAATAATTTTAATTTTGTTCTTAATGAAGAGGCTGAAACGAAGATTTAGATATAAGATTTATTCACATTTTTGAAAGTTTATTATGATCCAGAATTTGCAGATTACCAAATTGATATGTCATTTACATTAGACCCAGAGGAAAACGATTAAGAAATGAATAGTCCATTCCAATAAAAAATCTATTTCCCAAAATATTTAGAAGGAACACATGTTGGAGAAGTTCTTTATGAAGCTGATTTTCTATTAAAATAAATGAGTTTGGGAATAGAAGTATTGTAAAGAGAGCCATTATAAACTAGACCATTTGATTACGGAAACCTAGATCTATAACCTCTATATAAATTAGATCCAGAATATTTTGCTAGAATATTTCTTAAAATTGGAAAACTAAAGTTACACATTATAGAAGATAAAAATAATCATGTTCATAAACTTGAGATTTAGAATATTTAAATGGCAGTTGATGCAAGAACTGTTAATGAAGAACTCTAGGACGAGGAAATTTAGGATGAAAATAATGGAGCCTATAGATTTGCAAATTAATTTGGTAAAATTTACGATTAAATTGCCCAAAAATACCCCATCCTAACAAGATTAAAGCAAGTTTTAATGGCTAATTATTTAGCCAAATATATGTTTGAAAAAGGGATTTCATTAGATTATAAATTGATTGAAGAAATATTCAATAAGAATCTCATCCAAAATTATTAACCTTATAAAAGTCCAACATTAAAATTGGATGTAGAAGATGAATAGTAAATTATTTCAATAAGAGGAGGAATTGATGGAAATACAGAAGATGTTAATAATCAATTAAAGGAGGAACATAAAAAATTAGATGAAAACCCAACTGAACAGTCTGTTGAAATATAATCAGATAAATTGGAAGCTAAAATAGAGAGATGTGATAGTGTAACTAGTATTTCTACATAAGATTCAGAGATTGAAATATAATTAGAACCTACAATATCATGTAGTAAATGTAAATAGAATTTAGAATCATGTGAAATTAAAAGGGGTAATAAAGATAATGTTTGCAAAAGTTGTCAAGGCAAAAAATGTTCAAAGTGCTAATCATTCATTGATTATCCTTTGTAGTAGATTCAAAATGAAAGTTATTGTAAGGGATGTATAAAATGCCATGAATGCAATAAGTTTGAGCCAAGAAAATCGGTAGGATCATTTTTATTTCATGAGGATTGTTTAAAGGTGTCATAAAATTCAGTTCTTAAAAAAGAAATGATTGCTTATATTAAGAAATATTTTGGAACCAAATAAAAAAAAGGAGATAATAATGATCAAAAAATTTATTTTTATTCTGATCCATATCCTTGTTTAAATATAAAAGACTACTCAGGATATATAATTGGTTATAATCATCCATTAATTAAAAGTCAAGTAAAAATTAATCAAAATACATTCAGAATACCTTAAGAAAAGGCTGATAAATATTTAATTGAAGATTTAGATTAATTTGAAAGGGAGTTATATAACTTTTATTTAAGACAAAACAAAAAGCCAGATGATGTCCCTGAAAACATCAGAATGCTCATGCTATTTGTTCTATTCATATTTAAAGATTTCAATCTTGTTCTTAATTTAGCAAATTAATAAACTTTTAACCATCTTTTTGTTGAAGCTTCTTAAATATAATATAAAAAATAAGGTACTGATATTCTAAAAGGTAAAGTTGAAAAAGCTTTAGATTTCTTTAATGATCGCTTCCATAGAAAAGATGGAAGTATTAGAGAAAAAGATTTGAAGAATTAGTTTAAGAAAATGTTACCTACCTAAAAAAGAAATTGACTATTATTAAATTATAAGTATTTCAAAAGATGTATTTTAATGTTCTCATTATTATTATTCAATTCACCTTTAATTAACTCCTAATTAATCATGCTATTCAGTCTTCATTGTAATTTAAATCTATATAAATTGATTACAATATTATTAATAATAAAATGTAATAATAATAATTAAATTAACAGCCTTAAAACATAAAAAAAATAGAGGGATCATCAACTAGTCCTTATAGTAAGATCAAGTTTGAGAATAAGTAATCCTAAAGTTCTCCAAGCATATTAGTATTAATATATTAATGTTTAGAAAGAGATTGGCTAATATGTGTATAATTTAAATGATGTGATTGGAACTGGAGAATTCAGTTCAGTGTATAAAGGTTAAGATTAAAACACAAATGAGACAGTGGCTATCAAGATTATTGATAGGAAAAGCATTTAAAACAATTAAATTTTTAGAAGTTTATTAGTTAATGAGATAAACATCCTAAAGTCAGTAGATAATAAATGCTTACTTAAATTATACAATTACCTTGAAACAGTCAATAATATCTATATTGTAACTGAATTTTGTTCTGATGGTAATTAGTCTGTGGATTTTAGGCGATTTGCAATCTATAATAGAAAAAAAGGGATATTTACCAGAACATAATGCAGTGAAGATCTTAAAACATCTCATTAAAGCATTGCTTTATTTAAAGGAGAGAAATATTGTACATCGAGATATTAAGACATAGAATATTTTAGTTTCAAATTAAATACCCAAATTAGCAGATTTTGGATTTGCAATTGACTTGAATCAACCATAAACAAAGTATATCAATTATTATATGTAGAGAAATTTTATAAATTGGAACTCCATTATATATGGCTCCAGAAATATATTCTCATTATCAATATACTTCAAAAACAGATTTATGGGCACTTGGTATTGTATTTTATGAAATGTTATTTGGTATGAAATAATGAAATAATTAGGAAGGGTACCATTCAATGCTAAAAATCCTAAAGAACTTGAATAAATGTTTTCATTTCAGAGAAAAAATTAAACTATATAATATGATAATGGTCCATAAAAAGTCACAGAGACAGCCTAAGATTTTATAAATTCTATATTAGTAATTGACCCTAAATAACGATTTGATATTTCATAGGCTGCAAATCATCCACTAATATAAAGTACTTTATATAGTAATAAAAGACCCACATCCACATGCAAATAAATAAAATTGATCTATTCAAATATCTATCATGTATAATTAAAAAAATAATATTTTCTACTTATTTTATTAAATTTATATTCTCATTTAGTTCCTGTTAAAAATTTTGTTAAAATTTGAATAGAAGTGAAGCTGGATTAAATAGAATAATAAGTAAGAAAATTCAAATAATTATAATTTTAATAAAAAATCATAATTGATTATCACTTAATTTTACCCAACACTAAAGCGCATAAGAATTTGTTAATAATAATCTGATGCAGTAATAAATCACATTATTCAATTGTCATCAGCCTATTCTTAAGTTACTTTTCAATCAGTTTATATTTTACTTTAATAATTGAGTGATCTTAAACAATTTATCTTAAGTAATCTTATAAATTTAAAAAGAATAAGTTTTAAGATTGAAAAGTCATATTTATTTTATAATTTTTATCTTCCTTTTATATTTTGGTTTTATCATTTCTTTTTTAAATCCTAAATCTTACTAACATTTTAAGCCTTAGCAACTTTAATAAATTCTATCTTATACCTCACTTTAAATTCTCATGGTTCTAAATTTTAATTGCATTCCTTATTACAATAATCCATTTGTTCATGTTCATCAATTATATTATAATTATACTTATTTAGGTAAATTTTATAAATAATTGTACTTCTATTAAATTATGGATTAATTTTATTTTATCATAAATAAATTTAACAATAATAAAGTCAATCATAAAAATCTAATTCCTCATCATATTCTGTCATTTTAATAATTTCATCAATTATCTACATATGTGCGTAATCACTCGTATTTCTTTAGATATCTTAAATTATGGATTCCCCCTAGTATTTTAAGAATTCCCCAACATACCGATCAGGGTAAATCACTAACTAATAAATTGTTAGTACTTTCTCCAGTTTATAGAACTGTAAATGCAATATACAAATAATCATCAATGCTAATAAGTTAGTTTTCATTTTAATAGAATTCGCTGATCAATTTTAAAATTGGAAATTCAATGATTGTTGATTCTTTGTATCGAGACTTTAATAGTTAAATTATTAAATTACAAGTATTGGGTGGAAATTCCTAGTATAAGTGGATAGGTTACTTAATGGTATTTATTGGCATTTTGTACTTGAGTTACAAGTATTTCAAAACATTGATCTTGCTCATTCAATACAAAATTATTGTCATTTTCAATAATTTATATCAATCCTTGATAAATTAATTTAATTATTGCTTTGTTGCAACTAAGATTACTTGAAAGTGTATTGGAATAGCAAGTCAATAGGTGATATTTTTCTAGAAGAAACTTCATATGATATAGGCTTTACTTTCATCAGTTGCTTATTCTTTTCTATTATTACATTTAACATTTTGAAGGCTTAAATAGCTAACTTAGTAATTTCTTATGATTAAATCATATGATTGATAACAGATAAGGCAACATCAATAATTTAATATTAATTAAATTGATTCACAATTTCAAATTGGTTGATATGAATTGATCCTATAACTGCTCTCATTGTTTTAAATGATTATAATTAGAGAGCATCATCTTCTTTACATTGTGAGATTTTATCTATTATACTTAATACATATTCCATGTTTTGTTCTTTGTAATTATTAAAGAATAGATGAGCAATAATTCTGAGATAATTCATGCTCAATTCTCTATGACACCCATGAGTTGTGTAACTATAGCAGATGTTAGTTAGTAGTTGTAAGCTTTAAGCTAAGTTTAAGGCTTCATCTGAATTCAATTCAACTATAAAATTGCATACAATTTTAGTCAACTATTTAGTTTAAGAATAATGTTGTTACATTTTCTTTTAATTCATCTGAACTGCCATTCAAGAGATTATTCAAATAAACTATTTAACTGTGACTTAACAATTATAACATCTATTCTCTTTTCATGTGATAGGTGAAATTAGTTAAAAATTTAGAACACTCTTAAGGGAAATATTATAATAAATCAAATGTGAGTTAAGCTCCAGGCCTATTTAGTAAAATAATATACAATAGATCATTAATAATTTAAGGATGGACTTCTATTTTGGACGATAGATATTAATCCAATTTTTCTATACATTGAGGGAGATTTTATTTAGATATCAATTGATCATAATCGACCTTGGGAAAATCCAAGTGAATTGATAATGTGATATTAGTTCTTTTTTTTGTGAATATCTCTTCATTTTTTTCTTTTCTGATTTAAACTCTGAATAATTCCCTCTTTTCTCTTAACATTAATTAATATAAATATATTTGTTAAACTGAAATATAATTTTTAACTTCTCAAGTGATTAATTACTCACAAATTAAACTTTGTTTATTAATTTCATTTATTCTCTCTCAAAGGACTACATTCATAAAAAGCAAAGATTTATTCATACTTTTACTTTATCTGTTCTGTACATATATGAACCAATTAAAATATTACACTCTTGTAAATTAAGACTACTAATTTCATTTTTGTATTTTTGATTTTCTAAAGATATTATTTATTACAAGAAGTTTCATAGGCTTCATTAAAAAAAGAGTTCTATCAAAATATGCTGTCATTTAACTACCAAAAAAGAATATAAATTAATCTCTTGATTCTAAACAAGAACTCAAAAAAATAAAGAATTCTTCAAATTCACTTTCCATTCTCTGTGTTATAATCATGTTTGTCTTATTTATCAACTCTATTTTATACGCTAGAAATATATTTCTAATTCATTATTAATATTCTTTACATTTCAAAGTAACGAGTCTAATTGCATAATTTTAATTATTAAATTTATGTATTATTAGGCTCCAACTCCTATGATGCCGTTGGCTCATGCAATGAATAACCCTATTCAAGTATAATAAGCCGCTAATATTCGCAAACCTGATTTTCCACCAGATGTATTTATTCATGAGTAATCCTTAGATGTAACCAATCTTTGTGATACCTTAAGTTGCTCATATCAAATCCTAATTAAAACCAAAATGTAGACCATATGATCCCATTTTGGGAGTTGGAAGAAAAGCAGAGTGGATGCTGGATAAATTTGAAGATGAATATGAGCAGATGGAAAGAGAAGAAAGAGAAAAAAGTATTTATAGTAATAATTCTGTAGATGTTGTTAAGCCATCAAGATTACCACTTAAAGTTCTGAAGAAATAAGAGAGAAAAAGATAACATAGCGAAGAAGTGAAGAAAAGATTGCAAACATGGAATCCTTTTGAAGACCCTAACATATCCTCAGATCCTTACAAAACATTGTTTGTAGGTAGATTAAATTTTGCAACGACTGACAAAAAACTGCGCAAAGAATTTGAGGAATATGGTCCAATTAAATCTGTAAGAATAGCGCGAGATTCAACTCATGATAAACCTAGAGGCTATGCATTCATTGGTAAGGGGGTGATCATAAATTAAAAGAGTATGAGAGTAAGAACAGTGTTAAATCAGCTTATAAATATGCAGTAGATAAACGTGTTGATGGACGTAAAGTGGTAGTAGATATCGAAAGAGGTAGAACAATTCTTAAATGGAGACCTCGTTATCTTGGTGGAGGGTTGGGAGAATTGAGAAGATCAAGGAGTGAAGAGGTAATGAAGAAGCCCAAAGATGAGTAAGTAGAAAAAGAGGAAGAAAATAAAAGACGTAAATCAAAAAAAGGTAATTTATTATATAATATATAGGTATAGATGAAGCCAAATCATCCAAAAAACCTAGATCTCGATCTAAGAGTGCCAAAAAACACAAGAAAAGAGATGAAAGCGAAAATAAGAAGAATAAGAAGAGAGAAAAGTCCAGAAAGAAACATAAGTGAGTAATGATGATGAATAACACAAAAAAAGGTAAATTTATTTATGGTAAGTATTCTCTTTTAAAACATCTTTCTTTTCATTCATATGAATAATTTATATAAAATATAATTACACTACCAAGCTCTCAAACGTGCAGATAAGCCTAATTTAAAGAAGAATTGTAAGACTAAAAGCTCATAAGAATTTGTGTTAGGCAAGATCGTATGGGAAATAAATTGTATGGATATTATTATTCTTATGGGTTACTCAATAAAAAATAATAAATATACATGTCATTGACATTCTTAGATTCAATTTAGAACAGTTAATGATTAGCATATGATTATTGACTGGATAAGAGAAGAGAACAGCTACAAACAGATGTATGAGTTGAATAATTGTAAGTTCTATAATTTAATATCTAGTTATAAAGAAGGGTAATTGCGATTCAAAAGAGCCATAGAGTGGGATNTGCAATGAATAACCCTATTCAAGTATAATAAGCCGCTAATATTCGCAAACCTGATTTTCCACCAGATGTATTTATTCATGAGTAATCCTTAGATGTAACCAATCTTTGTGATACCTTAAGTTGCTCATATCAAATCCTAATTAAAACCAAAATGTAGACCATATGATCCCATTTTGGGAGTTGGAAGAAAAGCAGAGTGGATGCTGGATAAATTTGAAGATGAATATGAGCAGATGGAAAGAGAAGAAAGAGAAAAAAGTATTTATAGTAATAATTCTGTAGATGTTGTTAAGCCATCAAGATTACCACTTAAAGTTCTGAAGAAATAAGAGAGAAAAAGATAACATAGCGAAGAAGTGAAGAAAAGATTGCAAACATGGAATCCTTTTGAAGACCCTAACATATCCTCAGATCCTTACAAAACATTGTTTGTAGGTAGATTAAATTTTGCAACGACTGACAAAAAACTGCGCAAAGAATTTGAGGAATATGGTCCAATTAAATCTGTAAGAATAGCGCGAGATTCAACTCATGATAAACCTAGAGGCTATGCATTCATTGGTAAGGGGGTGATCATAAATTAAAAGAGTATGAGAGTAAGAACAGTGTTAAATCAGCTTATAAATATGCAGTAGATAAACGTGTTGATGGACGTAAAGTGGTAGTAGATATCGAAAGAGGTAGAACAATTCTTAAATGGAGACCTCGTTATCTTGGTGGAGGGTTGGGAGAATTGAGAAGATCAAGGAGTGAAGAGGTAATGAAGAAGCCCAAAGATGAGTAAGTAGAAAAAGAGGAAGAAAATAAAAGACGTAAATCAAAAAAAGGTAATTTATTATATAATATATAGGTATAGATGAAGCCAAATCATCCAAAAAACCTAGATCTCGATCTAAGAGTGCCAAAAAACACAAGAAAAGAGATGAAAGCGAAAATAAGAAGAATAAGAAGAGAGAAAAGTCCAGAAAGAAACATAAGTGAGTAATGATGATGAATAACACAAAAAAAGGTAAATTTATTTATGGTAAGTATTCTCTTTTAAAACATCTTTCTTTTCATTCATATGAATAATTTATATAAAATATAATTACACTACCAAGCTCTCAAACGTGCAGATAAGCCTAATTTAAAGAAGAATTGTAAGACTAAAAGCTCATAAGAATTTGTGTTAGGCAAGATCGTATGGGAAATAAATTGTATGGATATTATTATTCTTATGGGTTACTCAATAAAAAATAATAAATATACATGTCATTGACATTCTTAGATTCAATTTAGAACAGTTAATGATTAGCATATGATTATTGACTGGATAAGAGAAGAGAACAGCTACAAACAGATGTATGAGTTGAATAATTGTAAGTTCTATAATTTAATATCTAGTTATAAAGAAGGGTAATTGCGATTCAAAAGAGCCATAGAGTGGGATGAATTACAATAAAAGTTGATATTTAATCGGCAAATAAAATTAGAGAAGAATAATCAAGAAAGCTAATCTAGAATAAAAAAAATTAATTAGAATTCTGAGAAATTTTCAGAAATTGTATATAATTCTGAATAAAAATAAGAGTCTTAGAATGAGTATATTTAATAGATGATCATAAAAACTCTATAAATAGCAAATTTTAATTGCTTAGAAATTAATTATTCTTTTAGCTTACCTCAAATACATTTGGAATCTCAACTAATTAATTTGTATGCTTCTTCTGCTCAACTGCACCCATCTATCCATATTGTAGATTTTAGCAGAGCATGTTACCCAATCCCATCCTTTATATATAATAAAAAATATTGATTGACTTATCCTTTAGGCACCATGCTGTTTTCATCATATTCTTAAATTGAAATACCTTGTCGATGATGTGTAGAAATTAATAGAAATTATAGACGTACTAATATTATCATTTAGTACTATATATTGTAGTTAACCAGCCCAAACCTTCATACAATCCCTCTCCAGTCTTAGCGGAGAATGGTTGTATGTAACAATTTCTTTCATTATGTGGAAGCTCAAAAAACTGCTTTAATCCCTCAATACTAATTCTAGTAATATCCTGCTTATTAGCTAAAACTATTAAGGGAGAACATTTTGTTTCCTTCTCGTTGAGAAATCTCATGAATTCTTATTTCGCTTCTGGCAATCGTTTCGGATCAGATAATCTCTGATAAAAGTGATTCCTGTGCATTCTTGCACATCCATGTATTAATTCCGCAACAACCTTATTTTATCTCCACCTCCTATATCAAAGTAAGTAAACTGAATATTTTTATAATTGATTGTTTTTCTATTAAATCAGATTGTTGGAATAATGGATTTAATTCCTCTTATAATTTTAGTATATAGTATAGATATTTTCCCAACTCCATCTAATCCGATCATTATTACTCTAATCTACTTTTATTGGAATTAAAGTGAAAAATTTTTTTATATTTATAATTGACATTTTCTAACAATTTCTTGTAGGAATAATTAGAAATAATATTAATCTTGTCAGATTAAATGAACTTAATTAAAACATTCGTGACTCTTAAACCATATCAAAAGAAGCCATTATGGATTTATTTCATATTTAAATATCTTTTTAATTCCCAAATAAATTCATTAATAAATTATATGCATCGAAAGAATTCGGATCCATTTGAAATAGAGTCTTTGTTTCAACTATAAAGCCAGGAGGAGCAATTTAATTAAGAATTGTTTAATGAAGATAATCTTTATGAGTTAGAGGAAAATATCAAAAATAAAAAAATAGATAAGGAAATTAAACATACTAAAAATACTACTAAACATAATAAAAGTACTGTTATAATAAGCGGCCCAGATAAAAACCTTCCTAAAAATTCTAAGAAAATAAAAAAAAAAAAAAACTTGAATAAAACAAATTAACAACTAGGCAATAATAAGCCAAAAAATACAAAGGAGATTTATACGATTCCTGGGGAAAGCAAAAACATCCCAAAAAATTTCACCAGTGCCTTAAAAAAATTTATCCTCAATCATTTTAATCCTAGTGTATAACAAAACCCTTAAATTATGGAGCTCTTAGGTACTTAACAAGATAGGGCTTGCAAATAAACCTTAGAGAATTCTATAAACAGTTGTTAATTACTAAAAAACATAGCTTAGAAGTTCTTTGGAAGCCTAAAATGGGGAACTATATTTTTAGAAGAAAACAAGGCTGACCTAAATGCATAGTTCAGATTCAACTAGATCTGGTTTGAGTCAAGCAATTGATTATTCATCTAAAAAATTTAAGAAGAATAAAAAAAATTCTACATTAAAAAATCTTCATTTTTTAATTTTAAATAAATATATTAAGCATAATTTTTTAATTAGAATTATCAATTTTATTTATCGAATTTCAAGTTAATAATGCACCACTCATCCAGCATATCATATACTATTAAAAATTATTTTGGATAACCAGAGATAATACCTTGCACTTAAGCTAAGTTGAATCTGCAAATATTTAGAAATTTTTACTTATTTTAAAATAGTAGTTATCAATAAAAATTAATAAATTAATTAATTTGTATTTGAGAATAACCTTGAGGAAATGGAATATATTCATAAGAAGTCTAATTTATGAATTAATAAAAAAATTATTATTTTATTTTCAATCAAATTAAATTTCTATATCAGAAACATCTCTTAGAACATTGAAAGTGACTCATATTAAGACTCTATATATTGAAAGAAAAGTTAAATTATATTCTTAAGAACAATTCAAACCTGATAATTAACTCACTTGATTTGAAGACTATAAAAATAACATTTGCTCTTGGTTTTGAAGCTTCAAGACATCAGAACTCCTATAAAAGGATTTTAAGTTCAAGACGGGGGAGATAGAAAATGCTATGAAACAAATAAAGTTGGAGCTATGATATTAAAACACAATAGTATATTGATAAAAGTAAATTAGTTTACATAGTTTTCTCAGAAAAGTAGACTAAAAGAATAATAGGTAAATCAAAAATGTAAAGAATTAATAATTATTATCGTTAAAGCCTTAATAGTTATTATTTATTTTTATAAATTAAATTATATTCTTTGTTAAAATATTTATTATTTAATTATATTAGATCTTAAAATTTACATTTAGTTACAATATATATTTAGATATTTCAACTTTAATTCATNAAAAAAAAAAAAAACTTGAATAAAACAAATTAACAACTAGGCAATAATAAGCCAAAAAATACAAAGGAGATTTATACGATTCCTGGGGAAAGCAAAAACATCCCAAAAAATTTCACCAGTGCCTTAAAAAAATTTATCCTCAATCATTTTAATCCTAGTGTATAACAAAACCCTTAAATTATGGAGCTCTTAGGTACTTAACAAGATAGGGCTTGCAAATAAACCTTAGAGAATTCTATAAACAGTTGTTAATTACTAAAAAACATAGCTTAGAAGTTCTTTGGAAGCCTAAAATGGGGAACTATATTTTTAGAAGAAAACAAGGCTGACCTAAATGCATAGTTCAGATTCAACTAGATCTGGTTTGAGTCAAGCAATTGATTATTCATCTAAAAAATTTAAGAAGAATAAAAAAAATTCTACATTAAAAAATCTTCATTTTTTAATTTTAAATAAATATATTAAGCATAATTTTTTAATTAGAATTATCAATTTTATTTATCGAATTTCAAGTTAATAATGCACCACTCATCCAGCATATCATATACTATTAAAAATTATTTTGGATAACCAGAGATAATACCTTGCACTTAAGCTAAGTTGAATCTGCAAATATTTAGAAATTTTTACTTATTTTAAAATAGTAGTTATCAATAAAAATTAATAAATTAATTAATTTGTATTTGAGAATAACCTTGAGGAAATGGAATATATTCATAAGAAGTCTAATTTATGAATTAATAAAAAAATTATTATTTTATTTTCAATCAAATTAAATTTCTATATCAGAAACATCTCTTAGAACATTGAAAGTGACTCATATTAAGACTCTATATATTGAAAGAAAAGTTAAATTATATTCTTAAGAACAATTCAAACCTGATAATTAACTCACTTGATTTGAAGACTATAAAAATAACATTTGCTCTTGGTTTTGAAGCTTCAAGACATCAGAACTCCTATAAAAGGATTTTAAGTTCAAGACGGGGGAGATAGAAAATGCTATGAAACAAATAAAGTTGGAGCTATGATATTAAAACACAATAGTATATTGATAAAAGTAAATTAGTTTACATAGTTTTCTCAGAAAAGTAGACTAAAAGAATAATAGGTAAATCAAAAATGTAAAGAATTAATAATTATTATCGTTAAAGCCTTAATAGTTATTATTTATTTTTATAAATTAAATTATATTCTTTGTTAAAATATTTATTATTTAATTATATTAGATCTTAAAATTTACATTTAGTTACAATATATATTTAGATATTTCAACTTTAATTCATAAAAATCATTTGCTGCTTGAAGCTGCCAGTTCCTTTTTCTTGCTTAATAATCTTAAAACCAATTTGATTTTCATGAATAGTTGTTTTGCAAAAACTATTCCAAGACTCATAATCAAAAAGGCCATCTAAACAAAGCCTAAAGTAACTTTTTTTTCATAAAAAAAGTAATCCGAATCAATATTAACATATAAAAATAAGCTTAGACTAAACAGCGTTAAAATGCCCTCAATTGTTAATAATATAATCTTATCCAAAAGAGAGCATGATTTATATTTGTAGATTATAAAACATTGAGTTATACTACTGATAGATATTAGTAAGCATTGCAAAATTTATTATTCTTAGAAAAGTATTAATAAGATATGGAATATCATAGTTCTGGAAATATCTAATGCAACAAATTTTATTTTTAGCTTTTCAACTGATTATTTTTCCTTACCATCGTTGCATATACTAAAAAATTTTAATAACAAGTTTATATATGAGAAGAATATTAGGCCTGCAAAAAATGTGCTTAAAATACTTCTCAAATTGTTGATTTCACGATAATGAAGCGACAAAACGACTTTAAATATTAAATCCCATGAGTTAATGTAAATAAGTTGAATTATTTAATCATAATACTATAGATATTTCGTTTTTATTGATTTTCTAATGCTATTTTAAAAAACAAGTATTGAATTAATCATTGCAATTTTAATCTTTGATAAATAGGTTTCTTAATATGAAAGATATTCCTTATATATACTTAATCTAAATAATATATAATATAGCTTTTCTGCAAAATAAATAAGTGTTACCAATGCTAAACATTAAATTAATTATGGTAAAATATTGGTAAAAAGATCGGCTTCTATTTTATATGATTAGAATTTTCCATTAAGATCAATTTAATTTTCTTTACTTGTTATTAAATTTAAATAATCGTCAATTTAGAAAAATTGTAAGTAAGATGATACAGATAGCAGCTCTTATGCTTAAAAATATACATTGAGGTTTTCAGGATAGTCAACATTAATAAATTTTAAAAAAGATTGATATTACAAAAGATTTAAGGTTTCAACAACAAAAGAACTATCACCAGAAACTAAAGAAATTACACAAATAGATATTGCTCCAATCACAAATGCTTTATTGGATTATTAAGCATAAACAGTTACTTATTTTAATTATTTTGAGATTATTTTTGGGGCTTATATAGTAATTGATTAATTAGGCGAAGAAAATGATTAATCGTTTGAGTTAACAATTTCTTGATTCAACTAAACTAGAAGAACTGGTTTTGTCTAAAGTTATAATAGTATTTCATTTTAAACCGAGTACGAAGCATTTTGAAGATCAAATGAGATATCTTTAATTGAATTGATCGTGATATTATAATACTAGGAATCTAAATCAATTATGCTCAGGTCAAATAGATTTCTGTCTTTTTCAAAATAATCACTAAATTTGACTTCTTAATCAAATGTAATTTCAACATACTAAAGAGCAAAGGATTGCAATTTATAAGCAAGAATCATGCTGGGTTTTTTAGAGTATGCGCATTCATTTTCACGACATATTAAATTTTCACTTAATGACGAAATTTCTGGATTTTAACCATAGATACTTGTATAGTAACTACTTGCATTGTTACCGCTTTTACTGTTACTACTTGTATTGTTACCGCTTTTACTATTACCACTTGTATTGTTACTGCTCTTATCATTATATTAGGTTTCTTTATTAATGCTAGTATTAAGATCATCTTATTCTTTATATAAAATACATTCATTATTATCTAAATTATAATCTTTATCGCACATAAAGCATATACCATCTTTGCATACTTGGCAATATTTTGTGCATTAAAATTTGCATTCATAGCATCCATCTTAAGGAACATTATTTTCATCATCACACTCTTCATTACCTGCAACAATACCGTCCCCACATTATGGCAAGCAATCATTACTTTATTTATCATAATATAGTCCTATTAAATCTTCACATGATTTTAGTTTATGACAATAGCCTGTTGATTCATAAAGTATAAATGGTGATTCACATTACATACACTATCCAAAAAAACAATCTAAACACTCAATTTGACATTAAAATTTACACTAGAAACAACCATCAAATTCCAATTGATTGCCATCATCACAAACTTCATCACTTGTCAGGATTTAATCACCGCATACAGAATTGCATGAATTACTTACAATATCCAAATAGAACCCTGAAAAGCAATTAGTACAAATGCCATAACCACACGACTAACAATATTGAGGACATTAGTATTAACAATTTAAGCAAGTATCTAATTAGTATTCACTTCCATCATCGCATTCCTCCTCTTAGACTATTATACCATCTCCACATTTAGGCATACAATTGTTTCCATAATAACCAAATTCACATTCTAAGCATTTCGAAAGTACACACTCTTTACAATACTTAAAGCATTTGTTCATATTATAATCAATTATGCAAGTGCTGGTAATCTAATCAAGATATCCAAATTAACAATCAATACATTAGTTATTATTTAATAATTGACAATTTTAACTTGTAAGTAAGGGTTGAATTGGTCTACATAAATTATTTAATGAATCAAACTCATAATCTTGCTAACAAGCTTGACAAATTCCATACAAACAATTTTCACAGTTTTGAGTACATTATAATTTACATAAAAAGCACCCATCAACACTAATCTAATTACCATCATCGCATTCTTCATTTCCAACAACAATTAAATCTCCACAAATCGGATCACAAAAGAATGAATCTAATTTCCAACCTTCTTTACACTCAAAGCACACACCATCAATACAACGTGTGCAATTAACATCACAAGTTTATTCACAATAATTGTTACAACCATCATCATTAAATAGATTTTGATCATCACACTATTCCATATCGTCTATAATGCCATTTCCGCAGTATGAAGTACAACTGAAATCATATTCACAGTCAATTTTGATACAAATAGAATATTCATTCAAGAAATAACCACCAATGCATAATTAACATGCTCCTTAGGTACAATTAAGACAAATGTCTTAACATTTTGATAAGCATTTATTTTCAACTAAAACAAATTCTTAAGAACATCGAAAACATTCTCCATATATACATTAAATACAATTATCATCACATTCATATTTGCACTAAAAGCAACCATCAAATTTTTCTAAGTTTTAATCATCGCATTCTTCCCATTCAGTTATATATCCATCACCACATTAAGATTAACAAATTTATAAATCTTAATTAAAATACAAACCTAATTAACATTACTAGATCAAAAAGCATCTATTCTAATTAAGTTCATATTGTTCTTCACATTAATAACATTAACCATTATAACAATGAAGGCAGCTTTATGAACATTTAGGAATACAATCACCATACTCATTCAGCTGATAACCTTCCTTGCAAATTAAACAATTTCTATTTAAGTTAAATTAACAATCTTTAAATAAATCAATTTGATTATGTTTACCATAACAAAATCCATCCCTAAGTAAATAATATTGATCACATTATTAGCATACCCCATCTAAACAATTTATACAGAATTAACTACAAGAATATTTACATTAATAACAACCATCAAATTCTATATAGTTATTATCTTCACAGTCTTCATCGTGAACTATAATTCCATCTCCACACTAGGATTCACATGCATTATTATACTAATTAAAATAGAATCCATATTCACATTCAAAGCATTGATCTTTAAAATATAATTCACATTTTTTTGGAGCATCAAACATGCAACTTAAGCAATTTTTATCATAAATTTCACATTGTTCATCATGTGCGAGTATTCCATCTCCACAATGTGAAATACAAGAAAAGTTTTTATCTAAATAATACCCATTTTGACAATCTATACAATTATTTTAATTACAAGCTGCACAGTAATCAAAACAGTGATTGCAATATAAATTAGGAGATATAATTACTTTTAAATTATTTAACAATGATTTAAGTTAATATTGACAGAAACTTAAAGGTGCTACTTTTAAATTGCACTTCTACAATGTTTTTTCAAAGTAAGCATAATTTTAACATTTAATACAACTGCTCCCAATTTGTATGCTACAGTTTTCAATTATCGTAATACTAGACTATAGAGATTTAACACAATATTGTTTGTTTGAGGATAACTCATATCCGTCTTCGCATAGTTAGCATATACCAAGTTAACACAAGGAGCAATTCTTATCACATCTAAATACACAAGATTAACAATTTTTATAAATCTACAATGAAGTAGTAACATCACATTATTCATTATATTTCAAAAGACCATCTCCGCATTTAGAGTAGCATCTGGATTATATTAATTGGTAACCTGCTTAACAATCAAAGCAGATTCCTTCTAGACAATTGAGACAGGAATCCTAGCAACTAAATTGACAGAAATGACATCCATCTCCATAAATTAAATTGCCATCATCACATTCTTCATCTTCGGTTATTATTTATCGCCACATATTGAATAACATAAATAATTGATTCTAATGTAACCAGTTTTACATGATAAGCAACCATTCCCAGTTGTATCACAAGCGAGGCAAGAATTTTGACATTTTATTTAACAATTTTAACAACCCTTATATGGTAATACCAATGAACTCTCACATTGTTCAGCAGCCACAAACAGAGAATCTCCACAAATTGTTATACATACTTTTTGATTAGAAAGATAATATCCAGCGGCGCATGTTTCACATCTATTACTTTTGCAACTTGTGCAAATAGTTGTTGACTAACATTAAAATTAACAAGTGCTACTGCAGCCATCATAATTAATTGTATTACCATCCTCACATTACTCTGAATTGAATCCATAAGGATCTACTACGACTAAACCATCTCCACATACATTTTGACAATAATAAGAAGTCGGAACAAACCCAGGGAAATCACAACTTAAGCATTCATTGGTTGTATAATCACAAGAAGAACAATCAATTCTACAGAAATACCTACAATCTTTGCAACCATCTTTATCAGAAGTGTTTCCATCATCGCATTATTCGCTTCCAACTATTAGTAAATCTCCACATTTTTCTTTGCATTATCAAGGAGTAATAGTAGGATCAATATACCAACCAGCAGTTGCACACTCAAAACATTATCCTTTTATACACTTTGTACATTAAGGTTAACATTAATATTTACAATTATAACAACCGTCATATTCAATAGAATTTCCATCCTCACATTCTTCAATTCCTGTAATAATTCCATCTCCACAAACATCAGGACAAGGCAATGTAGTTGATTAATTACAAGTTAAACAATGAGCTGGACATTAATATTAACAATTAAAGCATAAATCATTAAGAATTGTATTATTATCTTCACATTATTCATATCCTTTTATTTATAAATCTCCACAAATGGGCTGACATTCTCCAGACACTAAATGAAACCCAGTATCACAAGAACTACAAGTAAAAGTATGCCATTTTTATTAATTATTATTACATAATTTATAACATTAAATAAGGGTAGAATCTTCTGTAATTGGACAATCTATAATATGATAATTAAAGATACTTGTACAAATATTACTTAACTCATAATAACCAGGTGCACAAACACATTTTAACCCTTTTAAAATTCTGTATATAGTAGAATCACATGCTAAACAGCCATCGATTGTTGTTCTAAAGCAAGTTAAGCAAGATAAATGACAAGACAAACAAGCTTCTGTAGAATCTTAATAAGACTTCCCTGCCGGACATCTGCATGTTAATCCTACTTTTTCAATGTTCGCAATATTATTGCACGTTAAACATTCATCAGAAGTTGGTCCAATACAAGTTTTGCACAATTTATTACATAATTAGCATTAAGGATTTGAAGCAATTGAAAAATATCCATCAATACATTTGCATTGCCCATTTGAAAATTCTCTATTATTACTATTTAAACATTCTATACAATAAGTAGAAGTCAAACATTAATTACATTCAATTGGACAATCAAAACATTAATTTGATTCTTCATATTGATGTATTGTGCAAGTACATCCTAATTTAGATTAAGTATAAGTTGATTAACATGTTTAACAATCTAATTTAGATGTACATGTTAAACAAGATTAAGGGCAATTTAAACATTACACAGACTCTTTATCATAATATTGGTTAATCTAACACTCCGATTAAGAAAATTTAACGAGATTGGAATTATAAGTGCTGTTCCAAGAAGTACATTTAGATTAATCTGAGCATTACAAACAATAAGGTTTGCAATTATGAACAGCAATATAATAATTATAGAATCCACAATATGCTGTTATTGGTTCATTATTTGTTCCAAAGCATTCCCAAGTGATTGTTAATGTATTTGTATTATGAGTGATTCTTTCATATACTTTATCCTCTTTTGAGCCATCAGAATAAGTTTTAGAATGATTAGTAGTTGATTTGGAAACTGGTGTATGATTTTCAATCATATATATAAACTTCCCATCGGAAGGGAATGACGGTCCATATATAATAGAAAATGCAATTGTAACACTATGATGTGGGGTTATTATACTATGAATCCTTTTAAATTTAGCCTATGCCCATATCAAAGGTCCTCCAAAGACTCTATTTCCTTACCAGTATGAAAAATAGATATCTAATCCTTTTAAAAGGTTTAATCCACTTTGAGATATTAAAGAATATTATGCATTTTATTCGAGATCTTTTGTTTGACTTGTATATTCTTTCACTAAAAATTCAGAGTCTATTTACTATATTATAAAATACAGGGTGTTTCATCATCATAATCTTAGCAATAAGAGCCATTTAATTACTAATAAGGAGCTTAGCAACTGTTTAAGCAACTATAATGAACCTACCCCATATTCTATGATACCGTCTCGATACAAATAGAATCCATACCAACAAGACTTGCATTTAAAAGATACTTCACACAAATAACAATAGTAAGCACAATATCCTGAAGTAGTTTAGATTTGAATAATCCCCCATCCTGCTGTGCCATCTCTAAATTAGAGGAATGATATTTAAGTATAATTTCCTATAGCTGAAAATAGAAATCCATATTTTGGAATATCAACATATGCAACCAATTCATATACAATACTTTAGGAATAGGTTAAATACGATCCATAATTCCTTGTTGAAGAGATTTTCAATTTATGGGTTTGCAGTCCAGAGTTATTTCTATAAATAGATCCATAATAAGTATTATTAAGCTTAAACTATATTCCACAATTAATTGGAATATCATTATAAAGGANCTTCCCTGCCGGACATCTGCATGTTAATCCTACTTTTTCAATGTTCGCAATATTATTGCACGTTAAACATTCATCAGAAGTTGGTCCAATACAAGTTTTGCACAATTTATTACATAATTAGCATTAAGGATTTGAAGCAATTGAAAAATATCCATCAATACATTTGCATTGCCCATTTGAAAATTCTCTATTATTACTATTTAAACATTCTATACAATAAGTAGAAGTCAAACATTAATTACATTCAATTGGACAATCAAAACATTAATTTGATTCTTCATATTGATGTATTGTGCAAGTACATCCTAATTTAGATTAAGTATAAGTTGATTAACATGTTTAACAATCTAATTTAGATGTACATGTTAAACAAGATTAAGGGCAATTTAAACATTACACAGACTCTTTATCATAATATTGGTTAATCTAACACTCCGATTAAGAAAATTTAACGAGATTGGAATTATAAGTGCTGTTCCAAGAAGTACATTTAGATTAATCTGAGCATTACAAACAATAAGGTTTGCAATTATGAACAGCAATATAATAATTATAGAATCCACAATATGCTGTTATTGGTTCATTATTTGTTCCAAAGCATTCCCAAGTGATTGTTAATGTATTTGTATTATGAGTGATTCTTTCATATACTTTATCCTCTTTTGAGCCATCAGAATAAGTTTTAGAATGATTAGTAGTTGATTTGGAAACTGGTGTATGATTTTCAATCATATATATAAACTTCCCATCGGAAGGGAATGACGGTCCATATATAATAGAAAATGCAATTGTAACACTATGATGTGGGGTTATTATACTATGAATCCTTTTAAATTTAGCCTATGCCCATATCAAAGGTCCTCCAAAGACTCTATTTCCTTACCAGTATGAAAAATAGATATCTAATCCTTTTAAAAGGTTTAATCCACTTTGAGATATTAAAGAATATTATGCATTTTATTCGAGATCTTTTGTTTGACTTGTATATTCTTTCACTAAAAATTCAGAGTCTATTTACTATATTATAAAATACAGGGTGTTTCATCATCATAATCTTAGCAATAAGAGCCATTTAATTACTAATAAGGAGCTTAGCAACTGTTTAAGCAACTATAATGAACCTACCCCATATTCTATGATACCGTCTCGATACAAATAGAATCCATACCAACAAGACTTGCATTTAAAAGATACTTCACACAAATAACAATAGTAAGCACAATATCCTGAAGTAGTTTAGATTTGAATAATCCCCCATCCTGCTGTGCCATCTCTAAATTAGAGGAATGATATTTAAGTATAATTTCCTATAGCTGAAAATAGAAATCCATATTTTGGAATATCAACATATGCAACCAATTCATATACAATACTTTAGGAATAGGTTAAATACGATCCATAATTCCTTGTTGAAGAGATTTTCAATTTATGGGTTTGCAGTCCAGAGTTATTTCTATAAATAGATCCATAATAAGTATTATTAAGCTTAAACTATATTCCACAATTAATTGGAATATCATTATAAAGGATAATTGAAATTTAAAATCCAATTAAGTAAGTTGAGTAAGGATAAGTCGATAATCTACTGAAATATCTATAAATTCCAGAATTAAACTTAAATATTCCAAATGCAATATAATTATTAGAAATAACAGTTGGAGTTTAATCTACATATTGTTGATCATATATCTATTACCATCTCTGATTGTCGATAGAATTGACATAAGTTTAAATTTCAACCTTTTCTATCAAATCTGCTAAGGTATATCAGATAAAAATTTTTATTGTTATAACTTTAACAAAATCCATTGGAGTAGAATGGGGAATCTATATCACAAATGTCTCGGCATCCGATATACTTCTAATAGTATTAATTTGATGGACAAGGTGGACAAATGTTGGCTGTTGGAGCCCCATAATGACAACCTGTACATTAATTGTAATTTGGACCTGAACATGAAGAACAGGATGGGTAACAATTTAGTGAAAAGACATAATAATTTCTAAGTGAAACCAATCCCGAATTAGTATTTGCGGATGTAAATTTAACTGAATCAAAAGTTGTACTTTCTGTTAAATCTAGTGTAAAGTTCAAAGTTCTAACTTCAAAAAGATTATCGTCGCAAAATCCAGTTGACAATGTATAAATAGTAGGGGATGTGTAAGTATATGAATACGAAAATGATCCTATTCTAAGTTAAAAATTTTCAGAAGACCATGTACCCTGAAAATATAAATCGATATTTATCCAATCGCCATTCCTGTATCTATCGTTCTATTTACTTTGAGCAAATGGATGATCTTGACTTAGAGTTATATAGCTAGTAGGAGGAGCTGCACAAGTGATAAAATTAGCAGATCCTGGAATTGAAGGCTCTATAAAACCTCCTGAATCCAAGTATGCAGAATATCCAACGCTATAAGTAAATTTACGATCGTAGGATAAGCGGCTCAACCAAACTTGATATTAGGAATTAGAAATATCAAATAAAGTGAAAAGGATTTAAATAATAGAAATAGACATAAATAAATAATATTAGATATCTGCAATAGAAAAGAATTAAATCATTAAAATATCAAATTTAGTAGTTCAAATATAACGTAATTTAAATACAATTGTTTCTTAATTTATCTTATAAAATCATTAAGAAAAGAAATAATCAATTTCATGTCGCTATATCATTTTTATTCAATTGTAATTATCCTCCATTCTATACAGTTATGCTTTCCCTCAGTTGTGATAGGTTGTATTATTCATATCCCAAGTATAAGTTTACATTATTATATGAGTGTTGTAGAGTTTAAGAATTAATTGAAATACAGCCCCATGATATAAAATTGATTTCACAATTTGTTTAAGTTTGAGATACTTTGGATAAGTAAAGTTGTAAGTTAGGAAGTGTTTAACTCTAATTATTTGGATTTATTTGCTAACCACACTAAGAAATCTGCATGTTTGTCACCTCCTGCTTTTTACAAACTAGTAAATGGAACATTGAATCGTTTAAACATCATCTGTTTTAATATTAAATTAGGATAGCCAAAATTAAAGAAATTGATTATATTAATATATATATATTTTAGTTAAGAATTCTTAATTTTGTATTGTGAGTCTTTTTCGATGAGTTTAAATTTAAAAGAAAAAAAAAGCAGAAAAATCATTAATTATCAGTTTTCTTGGATATTTAATTTAAGAGAAATAATTCCGTATTATTTAATTACGATTTGGATATTGTACAATAAATAAATTAAATTTAATTATGATGAAATGCTTTATTACGCATTATTTCACAATATAAAAATTCTGAACACTGTTTACAATTTTAATTATGATTTTAAGAATTAATAAACAATTTTTCAAAACCTTCTGTTCAACTAAGCCTCCTGTTGAGGATAAAAAGAACGTCATGTATGCAATGCCTCATCCCATCTGGAACGAAGAGGCTATGAATAATGTTAAGATCGATCACAAAGAGCCTTTGACTTTTGGTGATAGATTTGCTCATTTATTCATTCAGTCAATGAGAGTTGGATTCGATGTTCTTAGTGGATACAGGAAGGTATTTCCTTGGTAGGACAACATAATATCAGAAAAGAAATGGATAAACAGGGTTCTATTTTTAGAGACAGTAGCAGGTGTACCTGGATTCGTTGCAGGAATGCATAGACATTTGAGATCCTTAAGAGGCATGAAAAGAGATTTGGGATGGATACACACATTGTTAGAGGAGGCAGAAAATGAGAGAGTCCATTTGTTGACTTTTCTTACAATTAAAAAACCATCATTAATATTTAGAACAGGAGTGATATTGGCTTAATTATGGTATGTTGCATTATATTCCATTGCCTACATGATTCAACCAAGAGTGTGCCATAGAATAGTTGGATATTTAGAGGAGGAAGCTGTAAAGACCTATACTCATATGATTGAGGAAATAGAAATTGAAGGTAGTTCAATTCATTCTTGGAAAACGAGGCCTGCACATCAAAACTCAATTGAATATTGGAAANATATATATATATTTTAGTTAAGAATTCTTAATTTTGTATTGTGAGTCTTTTTCGATGAGTTTAAATTTAAAAGAAAAAAAAAGCAGAAAAATCATTAATTATCAGTTTTCTTGGATATTTAATTTAAGAGAAATAATTCCGTATTATTTAATTACGATTTGGATATTGTACAATAAATAAATTAAATTTAATTATGATGAAATGCTTTATTACGCATTATTTCACAATATAAAAATTCTGAACACTGTTTACAATTTTAATTATGATTTTAAGAATTAATAAACAATTTTTCAAAACCTTCTGTTCAACTAAGCCTCCTGTTGAGGATAAAAAGAACGTCATGTATGCAATGCCTCATCCCATCTGGAACGAAGAGGCTATGAATAATGTTAAGATCGATCACAAAGAGCCTTTGACTTTTGGTGATAGATTTGCTCATTTATTCATTCAGTCAATGAGAGTTGGATTCGATGTTCTTAGTGGATACAGGAAGGTATTTCCTTGGTAGGACAACATAATATCAGAAAAGAAATGGATAAACAGGGTTCTATTTTTAGAGACAGTAGCAGGTGTACCTGGATTCGTTGCAGGAATGCATAGACATTTGAGATCCTTAAGAGGCATGAAAAGAGATTTGGGATGGATACACACATTGTTAGAGGAGGCAGAAAATGAGAGAGTCCATTTGTTGACTTTTCTTACAATTAAAAAACCATCATTAATATTTAGAACAGGAGTGATATTGGCTTAATTATGGTATGTTGCATTATATTCCATTGCCTACATGATTCAACCAAGAGTGTGCCATAGAATAGTTGGATATTTAGAGGAGGAAGCTGTAAAGACCTATACTCATATGATTGAGGAAATAGAAATTGAAGGTAGTTCAATTCATTCTTGGAAAACGAGGCCTGCACATCAAAACTCAATTGAATATTGGAAATTATCAGAAAATGCAACATTGTTGGATGTGGTCAAAGCAATTAGAAAAGATGAAGAACATCATAAGGAAGTAAACCATAAGTTTGCTGATGATTATACTTAATAATCAGAGAATCCATTCCCTCCAGGGTATTGATTTTTAAATTATTATCCATTTTATTATCAATGCTTATAATATTTTTATAACGATCAAAACAATTGAACTGGTGATTTGGTGGCATTTTTAAAATCGTAATAGATAGTAACAACAGGAGCAGTATCTTGAAAATTCGATCCTTTAATTGCTAGAGCATCTCCAATCTTTTTATTGAAGATGTATTGTAATCTAATGTAATTAATAACTTACTGATTTTGCTTTTCAGCATCTAAATATAATCTGATTTCTGTAATGCCTCCATGCCTATCTTGCAATTCTTTATTGATAAACATAAGAGGATCATTGTAAACGACAACAATTTCGAAGTTTGGATAAGGCCAATCTTTTTCTAGGATGACAAATTTAAGTTTGATGTATTAATGTTATTCACTGTCCATTTCGAATGATGGCTAAAATAAGTATTTTATTAAGTATGTATATGTACATAGATATTATTAGCGTTCATTTTAATTTTAATAATGAAATATACTATCAATATTCTTCAAACCCATCTTCAATTTATTGTTTACGCTCTACTGTTTATGATTATTTTGGTTCTGGTTAGTCTTGTTAACCTTCTGTTTACTTTTTGATCCATTCGCGGGTTTTAACAAATCGTTCAGGGGTTTTAGGTTCAAAGTTGAGCTGTCTGAATGCTTTTTCTCTTCTAAGACGACCCCCAAATTTAAAGAATTATTGAGACCAATGTTTAATTGCATGTTAGAGATCGACAATTGTTTTGGGTTCTTTCCACCAAGTAACTACTTTAGTAGCACTATTCTCTTGAACATAACTAAGAAATTCATAATAATCAATAAGCATTTTGAGCAACTCGTCTTGAAAATCGATTTGGTGATTAATGAGGTCTTGTATTTGTTTATGTATTTACAATTTCAAGAAATTAATCTGCTCTGAAAAGTCTTTCACCATGAAAGAAAGTGAGATAGAGAGAATTGATTGTATTACTTATTCACAGGTTTAGAGTGTAGGATTATTGAGGGAAAACTTAGGACTTAAACTAAGTTTGTAGTTGGTTTCTTGATTAATAAGAGTGTCTATTTCCACTTGAGGATCGATCATAATCTCATTCTCATTCTACTCAACATGGACGACCTCAATATTTGAACGAGGGCACAAGGCACCCATTTAATTAATTATATAAATGCAACACATTATATATATATCCATCACAGTATATCTGATGGTAAAGGCATCTCAAATATGAAATGACTAGCCATGATGCTAGCAGCTTCAGGTTGGTCCATAGGAACCATGTGCCCAGCATTTCTTATAGAAACAAAGGTCAAACCGTCGATTTCCCAGACATTACCAGCATTTTGTGGCTCTGATCCTTTGTCTCCTGGTTTATACCAAGGTCTCCATTCCTCAATGGTTGGTAAGTCTAAAGCATAATGATTGATATATACTTAGTTCCTTCTACAATTTATCGATCCAATACAAAGTACCAGTGATGGGAACTATGGCATCGACATCACCACTGAATTTCAAGATCCTTATTCCATTCTTGAGGAGTTTAGGATATAAATGATAGGTGGCTCCTGGATCCTTCTTGTAATCAATATTTGAGCAGTCATTCCAATATCCAGCGTCCTCTCTAATATGCAAAGCCTAGAATATAGATATGTGGAGAGTACCTTTCTAAATGCTGCATTGTTGAGATACAGGAACAAGGCTTCGGATTCAGAGCAATCATTGACTTTTCCAATCACTCCCTCCATCATTGGGTGTAATTTGAATCTCTTGTCTTTCACTAATTCTCCTTTCTCATTCAAATATGGCAATTGATAGCATTTTCCATATACATTATATGGATTAAAATAGAAATCACTATAATAATAAGTTGAATAGTTGTACTCAAATCCATTGATTTGTTCCATCACTTCTCCTAAGATTTCAATGCATTCTGGAATTGATTTCATGTGACAGTAACTTGTCATAGTTTCAATCTTGTCATTTAATTTCTCACTGATGAATCCATGATTATGAAGGAACTTGTAAAAATGCACAGGGAAGTTGAATCCCAAATCTGTGCATTCTGTTGGATCTGTGCATCCGTTACCAATCATCAACCCCCTCAATCTGATCCTGTCTCCAATTGCTGCCTTGGCATTGTAATCAATGATCTCATTTGCCAATGTGGGAATGTAGATTCCAGCCCAGCTCTCACCAGCAATATAAAAGTCTATGCTCTTGTATTCTGGGAATTTCTTAAAGAATTCAAGCACCGCCTTCAAATTATCCTTTGCTGTGCTCTTGTCATCGGTCGTTGTATTTCCGAAAGAAAATCCTACTCCTGCTGGACTCTCCAAGTAAAACATGTTAGCCTATCAAAATATACATTCAATAATACAAAATTCAACCAAGTGAACAGATTTTATTTGAAATTATTTGTACCCAATTCTACTGTGAATGGCCCATTTTCCACCATGGCTCCATAAAGAGATGAGCATCCAGGACCTCCATTTAACCACAAGACAAGTGGAAATGTAGCTTACAATGGTCCAGCTAAGCTAAAAGCTGGAAAAGCAAAATAATGGAATTGCTTTTTACCAGCGTCATCGATTGGCAAATACCCAGAATACCTAAGAATTAACTCTAATCCCCTACATCTTTCCTGAATATGGAATCTTGAACTTAGCCCATGTAGACCCATCAACCAAATCTTCTTCAGGGGCTCCTGCTACGAATCCAATAAAACAAAGGAGTGACAAAATCATAATTATGATAAATTATATTAAGTCATCATACATTTCCTTTAATTAATATCTTCATATATAATTCGATCAAACAGATGAGCGAATTAATTAAATTTTTAGTTATTACAACATCAACTTTAATTTACAGTGATTTCCACATTGCTTGGTAGAAGCTAACAATATTACCCATAACATCTCCCACAAAAATGGAAAAAATAAAAAAGTCAATCTTAATTCTTAGGATAATTATGATTATAAAAATATATATATACACCAAATCCAATTCAGTTATTTCGAAAGGACGTTGACTTTGATTATTAGAAACATTTATATTCGGTGAAGATTAATTCTCACCTTGGTTTATAAGATTAATACCTAAATTTTTAAATCATCCAATCATGCTTTCCATTGAAGTAATTAAGTATTGTAAATACCATCGTCACTATAATGAAATACCATCGGCATCAACTTACCAAATAATACTGTTATTATTCTTATATGGAATTTTGTAAGTTTAATTGCAGAAAATTATTAAATGATGTAATGAGATGATGAAATTTTTTTGATACATCAAACCTAATCTCAGAAGTTAAACGAAAATGGAAAGAAAGATAAAAATATTAAATCTTTATTTTAAACATGAATCTTAATATTATTATTAGTACAAATTGAATATGGATGTTTCCAATAAGTAGTTATTAATTAGATTCTAAATAAACAATTATTCTTTTATTTTATATAAAGATTTTATTGTCCTCTTCTTTTTTGTTGAGGTCTTCATTTCTTAATTTAGCTTATTTTAGATATTAGGTAATTAGAAGAATCAATTTGTTAGAAATTTTATACTATATATATCTAGAAACTGAAAAAATATACTTAAACAAGATTATTAATAGGGTAGAATGTTATTATTTATACACAAACATAATGATTACTTTTACTAAATTCACTCATATTAGAGATTAGTAAGCACTCTACTATCCCACTTACAATATAAAGTATATTCATATGTATAATTTAAAAAAATATTATTATTTTTAGTAAGTTTAAAAGTGAAGAAAAACATATAATTTTAATAAGATATTACTTAATTATTCATCTTTATTTTGGAAGCCAAAGTAAAGTGTACCCATAGTCTTCCAACAACAGTTACCTATATGTTAGCACAACGGAATCAGAAATAATTTAGCACATGTCATATAATTTCATCATTTTATTTGCGTAATCGTCAAAATCTGTTTAATTGCTATCGAATGCTTGAGTGCCATGCTGCAGATAATTCATTACTGTAGCTCCTATTGAATCAAAGTAAATATTATCATAAGCAATTAAGTCATCCTAAAAGGCTTTCTACCATTCTTAATAATAGTCTCTTATATCATTAGCAGAAGAGATCTTGGGTCTTTCTTTGTTTTTGGATTCATTTAGATATTTGAAAAGGAAATAGAAAGTTTCAGCCTCTTTTGAGTAATTATAGAAGGATTCAGAATAGGAGAACAGAATTCTACACATCGTCAAAAATATTTCTTCACTTTCTGTGACATAAAATTTTATCAATTCTAACTTAATGGCATCATTAAGACTTCCAGTATAAAACACATTCTATTGTTATTGAGTTAATAACTTGAGAGCTCTATTATTAGAATAAGGGTAGAGTCTATTCCATAGTTTGAATTCACTTAAATCAAAGAAAACTCTAAAGTAATTTTCACAAATATCTTCTTGCAACAAACTCTACAAATTTGATCCACTTTGATCAATATAATGTAAATTGATGATGAAATTAACATTTTTGAATCTTGTTTCTACTTTAAAAATAGTTTTAAAAAAGACTGCTTTGCCTTCTGTAAATTTGCTTAACAATCTTTACCTAATTTCTGAAAGATCCTGTGCATTTAGAATCTCTTCAATGGTCAGGAAAGGTTCAAATCTATCCTTTTTAGTAAAGAATCCCATGACCATCATTTCAGTGGATACTTCTAACCATGAAACATATTTGAGAATGGTATCTATGAAAATCTATTAAGCATGAGGATAGGAAGCTCCTTTGATAATCCAATCCCAATGTAAACTCCATTCACCATAAGTTCGATTGATGACATCAGCATCATGAAATAGATAAGTTCCAGACACTGCTAAAATAGGCATAACTTTGTAAGCCTCAGGTATAGGTCTTTTTAATGCTTTCCTCCATGGGAACTCATCTAGATAGGCTTTTAGACCTGATATTTCAAAGACAGCTGCATAATATAAGCATTATTTCCATCCAATGATAGGTTTTAGATCCAAATCATCCATGTCTTCAGTGATAAAATTGTATAACTCCATACTTGGATCATTTCCATAATTGATCCTCTTGTCTTCACTTAATTGATTAATCATTTGATCATAAACTTCTTTTCTCTCGATTTCGAATAGTTAATATTTAATAGCCTTAGTTTCGACCTTAAATTGTGCAGTAGGCAACGCATTGGGTAATTATTTACCAAAGAAGATATCTCTTAAGATATAATACAAATTATCAAAAAGATCATATTCGTTTAAGAATTGTAATATAATGACATCCTCAATATCGGCTTCCTTTTTATATTTGAATTCTTTATCTATTTTTTTGGCCTAAATCTCAGTACTAACATGTAACAATTTTTTAGGTGCTTTTAGTGATTGAAATTCCTCATATGTATAGTAGCCAGAGTTTTCCGATATTAATTTATTCTGCTTAAGAGAATCAAATATATATAATGATAAACTGACAGTAATGGCTCCAACCCTCTATAAGTTGCCTATACCTATAAATTTAGTAACCTTGACCATGGCCTTTAAGACCTGATACGAATTCTCTTCAATGAGGAACCCACCCTATCTATCCTCCATTTCTCTTAACAATCTAAATAAAAACTCTCTATATCTGATAATATCACTCCCAGATGACCTACCAAATGTAACCATTAATTCTTGTCTGTAAACGTTATAAGTGGATGTTATGATTGGTCTTAGTATGGCCTATTACTTTTTATCATACTCTTCCATTAACATTTAAAGAATGTTATTCAATTTTGTTAATTGTATTAAAGATGAATAGTCACTACTAATAATCTAGATGATTGAATCTAACAAATCTCTTCTTTAATCGGCATTCTCAATATATAAAGCCAGATAAAACAATTCCCAAGCAGATGCTCCAATATTCTATTCCTCCCATTTTTTTAGAACCAACATCAAATGGTTCTTTACAAAATCCTTATAATAAACACTCTTATTGAATGTTTCATTTTCTTTGTAAAAATACGAAGCATAAATTTGGGCTTGACCTTCATCAAAGAAGACTCCTTTAAGTAATGATCCTAGTGGTTGATTCTAATAAGATATTTTCTGAACTTATTGTCCATCATTTTTGAAAACGTGGAGATTATAAATTTTGTAGACTTCTATATATTAGAAGCCTTCTGGATTATTGTCATCAATTCCTTCCATGAGATCAAGATTTTCAAATCCCTTCACTCTACAATAACCTTTCCAATAAATGCTACTCCTGTTTTTAGTGTACTCTTTAATATCATTAAGAAATTTATTTTTGTTTGTATTACTAATGTTTTTCATTTTCCAAGTTATCTTTTTCTACTCTTTTTTCTCTTAATCAAAATAATAGATGAGAAACACTTTGATAAGATTTAGATCTTATTTATTGTTGATACTCTGACAATCCTCAAAAACAAAATTGGCAAACATATCAAAAGCAACTTCATCTGAACTTGCTTATATAAAACATTCACAATTGATTTCCAGATCTTTTGGATGAGCCTTTGGATAAGTAATCAAACCAGATTTAATGATATATCCTCCAGATAAGGAATTTACTACTTGGATTCTACCTTGAGGATATTCCTTAATAAATGAGGGTAAAATATTTTGGATTGCAAAATAGAACTCTTTTAAATTGGGCAGGAACACATATTCAAGCATCTTCTCATAGCCATAAACCTCAAATTTCTGTTCTTCAAATACTTCTTCTAATTCATTTTGGGAATTAATTATTCTTGTCTTTTGTTTGAAACTATAACTAATTTTATAAATGTGATATTTTCTGGTTTCTATACAAGGGGTCTTCCTAAAATTCTTTGCTAGCTTTTCAAATGTTGTATAGATGTCAGTTTTTAGATTTTATACTCCCAATGTCCTTGAAACTTCACACCATGGATTTTTAGGTACCAAATCACCTGAAATAGCAGCTCGCAATCCTGTGGTTAGTGCTTGTTCTAGTTGAGTGAATGCCAAATATTCATTGACTAACTATAAAGTAGATTAGGAGAAGTATGTACACTTTCATGTTTGGATTTCTACTCGTTCTATTAGTCTCCATCATCTTCATCTGAATCTAGTTGTTGCTGCAGATTCTTCTTGAACTTCTCTGTCAAATCGGATGTCTTATTAGTCCGCTTTTTGATTGTCTTGAATTGAGTTTTATGTCTACTCATAATTATTTAATATAATTCATCTAAATGTTTTTTAACCCCTATTCTCAAAGTGAGATTGAATCAAAGAATTTCGTTCATTTATTTTTTGGTCCTGGCTTGGCTCAAGAGGCAATTGATATAGTCCAATCCAATCTTAACGCTTAGTGGGATCAGGCTGAATGCATTAGGTTATGAAGGTCATTAAATTCTTGGAGTAGAATTAATCTAGCCATTTCAAAGGATTTTCGAAAGCTTAAAACAAGGTAAGACATTACAGGAGCACAATTCTATATAATTGATTATATTTTCTTATTACCCAAAAGCGAATACATCTACTTTGAATGGATTTATTTGTGCTGTTTCTAAGAGACTGGCTTCTGAGTTGAAGAATGGCTTGGTTTCTGGAGCCAAAAATACTTATATCTCAGGGTCCTTTGTTTACTGATACTTGATGAAATTGCCCCATCTCCCACCAATCAACTCTTAATCGTACACTCTATAGAGAAGGTACTCCTCATCAAAATAGATGGTCTTAGTAGTAATCATTCCATGGGGAATATTGTTATTTTAAAAGAAATGCATTGCTTACATTACTCCCTTTATGAGACACCAAACTTCTGGTTCAGGTATCAAATATCGCTTTGCTTATCTCCTCTCTGTTAATTCATGTAAGGTTAATTGACCATATTCAAAAAAAACAAAAATCTAAAATACTTCGGTCTATCCAAATTAACCAGGTTTCATTGTTTTTTGGCTTTCACTTTCAATCGAATAGAAAATGTGCGGTTGTTTGATCTTACAACGCTCCTTATATTGCTTAAGCAACTGCTATTATTGGTTAACATCCATCTATTAAACTGGAACAGAACACACCAATTTTGAAACCATATATCTGTTAGGAACGTACATTTGTACTTTGCAAAGGGATGGAATCGAAATAATCGTAATTGTCCACGCTATGGGCAGAAGATGTTGTCTACAAATTTCAATTCCTCGAAGTTATTCAGTACAAGCGTCTTTGGATCCCCTCTTTTCGCCATTCAATTTTAATTTTAATGTTATCAATGCATATTTAATATAATTTACTCATTAATACAATATTCAACTTTATCAAATCAAATACAAATTATACCATTTCCTATCTCATAACACACTTATTTATGCATGCAAAAAATATTGAATTTTTTCTTTACATTTAATTTATGAATCAAAGGATGCATCCCAATTATGTTTTTTCAGTATTTTTCATCATATTTTAATATAATAGCATAACACGATTGAAAATAGAGTTCCGATATAAAATTTTGGTATAGATTGCTGTGTTTTATATTTATTTTCCTCTTAATCCATTTAATGTATAAATTTATATTAAACAATTATAAGTAAATATAATATATTTGAATCTTCAAGATATTATTGTATATTATAGCGAGCAAATTTTGAGAAAAAAAACTATAAAAAATTATATGATTTAAAAATAAGTTATATATCTCTTAGTGTTGGTTATTTTGGGTAATACCCTTACAGTTGATACAACAGTGCATTGCGATTGCAGTGAATTAAGATCATAAGACTGTTAATTAAGTTAATACTGTTATTGGAATGATAATTATTGTGAATCTTATCCAAATAAATGTGCGATATTTACAACTCAATCTAAATGTACTCCAACTCTAACAAATTACTTATGCAAATGGGATGATAACTCTTGCGTATCCCATTTCTATAAATGTGATGAATTCTCATCAAGCTCAGACTGCCCATGTTACTGGAACTTGGATAATGAGTGTGCTGAATTCAAAGGATGCTCAAACTATGATGAGGAAAACTGTCCTGCTTCTTAAGGATGTGTATACAAAGTAAGTGAATGTCAAGCAGAAGACTATGTTACTTGTTCTGATCAGACCTCAGCAACTTGTAGTGGTAAAGAAGGAATGTATACAGGCTGTGCTGTTAATAATGATAAGGAATGTGACTCATACTCTCTATTTGCTTAGTGTTCTGATTTAAATAATTTCAAAACTAAATGCGAAGAATTTGGATGTAAATTTGAAAATAATGAGTGTTAATTAATTGAATGTAAAGATTTGAGTGTTGAAAATTGCACTAGTGTTGATGTTGATACAGAAACAAAAAAGCTATGTACAGTTTAGCAATAAAAATGCGTTGAGGCTTAAGACACAACCAATTTAAATATTGATTCTTGTTACATATCTACTAATGGAAATTATAAATGGGTTGGAAGTTGTGTTTAATGTGAATCATTAGTGTATTCGAATTTGCTAACTTATATCAGTTTATTTTTAGTAGCTTATCTATGAGATATGAATAAATGAATTTATTTAAATATTATCAATTTAATATGATTATCAATTATTTATAATTAAATATAATAACTATAAAGATCATCACTTAATATTGTTGAAAGTTATTAAAGTGTTATATTTTACTGATAGTATTAAAAGTTAAATATTATTTGCAGAAGTATTAAGAATCCTTTCTATTTACAAGTGAATAGTTCACTACTCACAATCACATCGAACATATAGATTTTAACAAACCTAAACTGTTTTTTTCTTGATAATCATGTAACGTTAAAGTAGCAAACAATTGGTTCTCACATATGATTAAAATTACAGTAAGAAAAACTTTAACTAGAATATTAAATTATAAGACATTAAATAGAATATTATAATTCTAAAATCTAAATTTCTTTACTCATTTTTATGATTTATATATTAGTTACATCCTACTTTAATGAGAATGGATAGAAAAAGGCTAGTTAATAATCTTTTTCTAGTGTGTTTTTTGATTAGTTTGTGTTGTTTATTTTATAATTATATATTTTAAATTAAATGGAAAAGGATAAAAAGGAATTTTAAAATAAATAGGCAAATAGGTTAGTTGATATTATGAGTAACTCAGCTCTTCTTGAAGAAGAGAAGGTTGTATTCTTGAAAAATATTACAAATGGAAGTCGTTTATACATAGATCCTCTGGTTGATACCGTTAAGAAAACCTTAAAATCAAAATTTCCATTTCAAACTAAGTTTAATGCATTGATGGTAAATTAGTTGAGTTATTAGTTAGCTTCTGAAAGATGCTATGAATACAAGAAACAAAGAAATGGCAAATTATGTAACTATTAAGGTATTGGATCGTTTAAAAGCAATTGCAAAATAATCATTGAAACCAGATAAAAATAAACTCTTTACTCCTCCAGATCCTGGAGATGAATTTTATTTGCTATTGTTAGAGTGCTTGTACAATTGGTCGATCTTTTTTCAATTACCAGCAGATTAGAAGATGTAACCCAGCGCATTTAAAAATGTCTGCAGCGAGTTACAATAGGCAGGAATCAGATTTCCTACTTAATTCAAATACTTTTAAAATATAGATCTACAGAATAAAAAGCAAGAACAACCAGATTAAAAGCAAAGTTCATAACAGCAATAACAATAAAAATAATAATAATAAAAATAATAAGAGACCCCAAAACCTGCCTCTAAACCTTAAACTAAGCCCAAGAAAAATGAACAAAAGGCATTCTCTACCGCTGTTGAATCATTAATAGGGCTAAAGGGTCTTTTCAATATTATTATTGATATCTTAAGAGAGAACGAAGACATCTCATGTAATGATATTTGTGACTTTATTAGATTTACAAGACTTCTGTTCAGAACTCTAATCAATCATAAATCCAATTGAAAATCAGATGTTTGAGTTGGAGGAAGAGGATGATCCAAGGAAGGAGGTGTTAAGCGAGGATCTGATTAAACTGAGCACCAAGGGAAACGAATTGGTTGCTGATATTTAAAAGTGTTTAAAGAAATAGATGTCATGGAATGTCCTCAAGAATAAGCATCATCCTAAATTGCATGAATTGGTTTAATCACTCAAATTCCCTTTGGATGAACCAAACATAATGGATAAGCAAAACGAAGTATAGTAATCAGATTAAAAAACTCAAGAAGTTCAAAAGCAAGTGCCTTAGAATGATAATCCCTTTTTCTTCTCTTAAGTTGCTAATTTCGAATAGGAAGATATAGAAAAAACTAAGTCGGATTTAATCTAATAATAACAACAAAAGGTATAGCAACAATAGCAGCCTGTCCCTGTGGTTTAGACACAAAAGCAACAACAAGAATTGCCTTAAAAATAATAGGAACAAACTCCTAAGATGGATAAATGGGATTCACAATAAGCACCCATTTCTTGGAATTAGCCAGAAAATACTCAAGCTCCTGAAACTAATTTCCAATTTAATGGTTTTGAATAAAGGTAGGCTACAGATCCTGATAATCAGTTTGTATCTTAATGGAATATGCCAGAATAAAAGTAGGAACAATAACACTTTGATAATCCATTTTCACAATAAAATTTTGATAGTAAAGATAAACACAATTTACCGTTTGATTCAAAGAGACACAACACTGATCCTGATTCTTAAAATGGGTGGGGAGTTCAGAAGCAAGAACCTTAAGGGTAAGAATGGGATCCTGGATTTGCTCCTTGGCAAAACGATCGAAAGGATTCAAAGTAGGATGAAGAGGTCGTTGTTGAGAAGATGAGACCCACGATTATCCCATAGCCACAGGAGTAATAATAATAAAAGAGGAAAAATCCCAATCCTTTTGAAAGACAATCTTCAGTGATATCTGAGGATAATAACGTGTAGTTTCCGAATTTGTGGGGGAATCCTGATACTAAACCATCCCAGGATGGATTTACAGGGTTTTCTAAAGTTATGGACAATAAAAGTGAATTTAAGACAGAGGTGGACAGTAAACCAGATTCAAATATATTTAAATTCAATGATCAAGATATTGATTTGGAAATAATGGCTGGATCATCTAAGTTAAGTAAGTAGGACAGATCGAAAAGTGTTGATTCTTAATAAGGAATGCCCATGCCATAAAATCAATGGGAGCCTAAATCAAACGGTTAAGATTTTAAAACCAAAGAGGTTGATTCAGGGTTGGATGGCAATTATCAATGGGGTGTGGAAATGAAAAAAGAAGATCCTGATGATTTTGTGGACCCTTATGCAAATAGATTTGAAGATGATTTCGGTAAGAAAATTGAGAGATATGCTTTCGACGATCATTCTGAAAAAAGAGCTAAATTAGATCAGTTTGGGATGTCTGATCCACCTTAATTTGATAATCAATTTGCTTTTGATATACAATAGTTACCTAAAAATAGTGTCTATTTGATGGGGTAGAAGATGTTGTAGGTTGAAAACCAGGTCATTGAATTTTCAAAACAGTGTGTTTCAAAATCAGCAAAAAAGAGTGGAATTAGGATGGCTGATGCCGAAGTCCAAGCATCAGAATAAATACTGACATTACTTAAAAATAATCCATAGTAAGAGATGGAACATCAGGAATAGAAACAAAAACTATTGAAACAAATACAAATATTGTTGCAACAGAACGGGGAGTATGAACAAGAGGTTAAGGAATAAAAGTCAATAATCGAAAAGTATGAATAAGATTTTAAGTCTTATAAATAGTAATCATAAAAATGGACAGATGTTTACACCTCTCTCAACAAATAATTAATAAATCTGAATGAATACTATAAACAATAGAAGGAGTAGATATCTATCCTATAAGAGGAAATTCATAAGTTATCCCATGAGAATCAATAGTTAAATGATAAATATTGTGATTCAATTAAGTAGATTTCAGATTATAAATGCAATGAGGATTCGTTGTTGAATAAACTACGAATAATCGAGAAGCAATTTAAATAAATCACTTTCAATCATAAATGTCCTATACAGCAATATTTGGAGCAGTATCTCAAAGTCCCTAATTTAATTGAAATCAACATACCCACGCGATTTTCAGTAATACCCAAGGATACTGAGAATAAAACAACCAGAATAGAAGTTAAGTATGACACTAGCTTATTTATGGATATTCTGAGAGGTTGTGCATAGCCATATTCGAATGAAATTGATGATTTCAAGTTTTCGATATTAATGCCTAGAGCAGTGTTATATGAGGACAAGGTGTTGTAGATTGGTTGCATAACTAAAATCAATGATGACGATTTGAGTCTCTTGTTGCATATTAGAAATAAAAGCCAAAACAACATTTCAATCACAAAAATCAAATTGATTGCTCCTTCAAGTACAAATCAATATCACATATTTAGATAACTAGTTAAATAAATTAAATGTTTAAGACGGCAGTGTTCTTTAAAAATACACGACGTTTAAGATCTAAATGAAATTCCAATATTAAGAGTTTATGAAACAACCGATCTTGGAGTTCTAGATAGATGACAAATAGTACCATATCTTGTTGCCTGTATCCTTAATCAAATTTGGAGTATCGGAATTAGTTGACATTGTTTCTTTGAAGGAAAAATGGAAGGATAATAAGAGTAAGTCTAATTCCTATTATTTAGATATAAAATGTGTTATAAAGTCGACTATCAATCAACCAAACCATAAGTTTGTTAATTAACTCATTGATTTTAAGCGGTATTTCTAGACGTTGTAGTAATTTGAAAATTATCTGATTATGCAATAGACAATAAATTAAAGTGAATTTGGAATCAAGTTTAAGGAGGACAGACAGCGCTAATAATTAATCCTAAAGGTTCAATCAAGTCAATTGCTGAAACCAAAGGCTGAAGAACTCATATAACAACTATTGTTCTTATTTAGTGAATGAATATTTAAGAAAAAAGAATTGAATTTTAATAAATTTTATTATTTATGGAATTATAAATTATAAATAGCCAAATAGAAGGGGAACATAAATTAAAATCAATATAATGTGTAAGAATAAGCTACGAGCGATTAGTCATGCTTGTAACTATTCTGTATATACATAGGTATTATTGTGCATATGTACTGGGTTTCTGGCAGCATTTTACTTTCGATGGTTTCCTCATCAATTTATTAATTTTTTGTACATCACAAGCACCTTAGAAAAGGCAACACACGTTAAGACCGATCCGTTTAATGAGATCTGCTAAGTCACAAGAGAGGGAAAGAAGATCCACTTCAAATTCAGGTAATGCAACTAAAATGAAAGTTAGATTCTTAAAATACGAATTGTAGGAGGACAAGTTCAAACCTCTAGAATTCGAGCCTAAAAATGCTAATTCGTTAACTACTAAGGAAGTGTAGGCTAGACAATTAGATTATGGATCAGCACTGATGAAAATTCCGATGATCGGATTTCTAGAATTTACATTAGAAGAACTTTCAACTCCATTTTATACGTTGTAATACTTATGCGTTGTAATTTGGTTGGTTTAAGGGTTTTTCTATTTTGCAATTGTGATGATGTCTTGCTCTCTCATTTCAACTTTCATCAAGTTTTATTTGCTTAGACAGTCATTAAAAAGATTGCAATCACTAGCAGCAATCCATTAGTAGGTGATGGTGATAAGAAATGATGAGTTAAATAAAATAGATGTGAACGAGCTTGTGCCAGGAGACATAATAAAATTGCAGACAATGGTTGTTCCTGCTGATTGTATAATTACGGGTATGGCGTTACTGAATGAAGCAACATTGACAGGGGAGAGCAATCCTGTGCCAAAATAGACAGGCTAAATATTGTTTGAAGGTACAAAGATCCTCGAAGTAAATACTGGATCAACTGCATAAATAATACGAACTAATTATTCTACAATTAGAGGACAATATTTTAGAAATGTATTATATCCACACAAAGTGACTCACAAATTTTATACGCAAGCCATGAAATTCTTAGCAGGCTTTGTTGTTTTCAATGTTATAATGGCAGCTGCCACTTTGGTCATTTATTTAGACTACACCACTGAATTAATTTTAGCTAACATATTTAGTACATTAACTTGGATATTTCCACCTGCCATGCCTATCTTTTTTTCATTAACAGCAACAATAGCATTGCTTCGTTTGAAAAATGAGAATATCATAGGTAGCAACATGGATAAAATTCATATTTCTGGATAAGTTGATGTTGCCTGTTTTGATAAGACTGGTACTCTAACAACTAATGAGTTAACTGTGATTGGTTTATGGGATAAATAGGATTGCAATATTTGTATAAGTTGTTGTCATCATATTTGTTAATCTGAGGGACAATTGGTTGGAGATGTGTTGGATCTTGAAATGTTTAAATATAGTTAATCGACAATAGTCTTTGATAAGAATGACATTCAAATCACATCTAAGGATTAAAAGATTTATAAGATTATCAAAATATTTGATTTTAATTCTGAATTGATGATGATGTCTGTAATTGTAGAGTGTGAGAACAAATTTTATTTATGCTCAAAAGGTGCTCCAGAGAAACTGCAATCAAAGTTGAATTCTCAGAATCAAGAAATGCTTTCACAATTATCCTTCTATGTAAATTAAGGCTACCGTGTTATAAGTTTGGCTCAAAAGGAAATCACTCGAGAGGATCTCAATTTAGAAAGAATGTAATTAGAAATCAATTTGAATTTCTTAGGATATCTTATCTTTGAAAACCAATTAAAACATGACACTGCAGAAGTAATGAAACAGCTAATCGAGTCAAATTTGAAAGTGAAAGTAATAATATATATATTTCAGATTCTATCTGGTGACAACCCTTTAACAACTGTCAATACTGCCTACAACATTGGGATCGCAACCGATGTTGTAAAATTATTTGACGTTAGAAATTCAGAGATAGTAGAGATTGACATCAAAAGAATAGAAGAAAAATAATAGATTGTATAATAGAAATAATACCAAATTGACGTGAAGGATTTGTAGAATTACATATACACATTGAACCAATAGTTCGCGTTGACTGGAGATTTCATGGAATTCTGCAATCAACACAAAGTGGATGTTCCCTCTTTATATCAAAGGACGATTGTATTTGCAAGGGTTAAGCCACACCAAAAGAAGGAGGTAGTTTTCATGCATCAATAATTAAAATGCTGTGTGGCTATGGTGGGAGACGGATCGAATGATTGTGTAATTATGTCTGTAATCCAAGTCAGCTATTTCTTAAGCAGATATCGGAGTCTCATTCTCCCAAGCTGATGCTTCGTACACAGCTCATTTCTCATCATTAGATTAATCCATTAAATGTATAGTGACAATATTAGCATAAGGAAGAGCAACAGCACAGACCTTGACTGAAATTTTTCCTCTCTATATTTTATTAAGTTTTCTAGCTACTTGTGCCTACACATGTTTGGCATTGGAAGGTCAAAATTATAGTGACTTTTAATTATTATTCCTTAGCTTTTTATGTTACATCCCAATAATGGCATCGATGACATTAACAAAAGCATTGCCAAATCTATCTAAAGAATTACCTTTAGATGATATGTATTAATGTAATGTTTATCACATTTATTTAAGTAAATAATCAACTTTCATTTTATACTCATGTATTCATCTTTACTGGTGGTTTACTTGTGTCTGTAGCAATCATCATGAATGCTTAGGATCATCATTTTGATTAACCAGAACCTCCTATTAGAGACTATCTCAGGAGCGGTATGCTCAATACTGCTACGGTCATTATTGCTTAGATATACAGTTAATTCTTGCCTTACATCTTCATTATTTCTAAACCGTTCAAGGAATATTGCTATAAGAATTACGTGTATATGACATACTCGACTCTCTCATTTTCAATAACTATATTATTTGTGTTTTGCAGACCCACTTAATAATTTTTGGACTTGGTTGACTTTAACTCTGAAATGTAATTATGAATACCATATTGTAGAGATCACTTTGACATCTATTTGCTATTGATAATGGCAGGTACGATCATTTTAGATATTATAATTTAAAATATATTGTAAATAAGATTTCCAAGGAAAAGATATTTATGATATCATCTTTAATAAATATTATGTATCTATATTATGCATCACACACGCACATGAAAATATCGAAGTCTCATTATTTAATTACTACAATTTATTGAGTAAATTACTTTGTTTGAAAGTAATACGGGAATCACCGAATTGTCTTCCGTTTTATTTCAAAATTAAGTACATTAGATTTTCACTTAATAGGAGGACTTCCCCTGAATTCTTTTGGTTGGGTCTTTTCAACTCAATCTCATTAGCTGAACATTTGGTTTGGCCTACAATCCAATCGATTAGTTCTTAGTTTGACTTTTTCGGATCTAGATTATCAAAAGCAATCTTGTATTATCCATCATCATCCTATTCAACCTATTCCTATTGGTTATTCTTAGCATTATGGGGATACTCTGAGAATTGTCTCGCATTATTGAATTTGGCTTCCCTTACAAATATTTGAATATCGTTGCTAATAAATTTGCCATCCTATTATTATTTTCCATATTACTTTCTCTTACAATCTAAATTTCCTGCCTTCCAAAACCAGTAGTTTCTATACTTTCTCTGCCCCAGTCACAACCACATATCCCTTTGTGGACTACCTCTACACTTTTTTGCACTCTTCAATTTCACTCTACTTCAGATCGCATCGTTCCAGTATGTAATTAATAATTTGGATCGGTACTGTGTTAGGTGGTAGATTTTAGATTTCAATCACTAAAGATTTAAATCTTGGAGATACCAAATTTTTGTTTAGAATTGTCTGGTACATTGTCTAAGTATTTCTACTTCTTTTTGATTTCTCTTTCAATAGATTTTCCACCCTTGTAACCACCAGGTATTCTGTACCCTTACATATCATAGAAGTTGTAATCTTTATCGAAATAACCTGCTGGTTCTCCATCCCTGTCATAGTAATTTAGTTCCTTATCCACCCAGCCACCATAGTCGTCAACAATATAAATATCAGTTGAGTTATGGGATTGTGCAATTCGAAATCCTTCTCCCTCGAGACCATCATATTGTATGTACTAATCAAATAGGGCTGGGTTGTGGGATGGTCTTAGCGTCATGAATAAAATAATAATTATTATTATGGTAAATAATGGAGATTTGCAATCTAAAGTCTAGAGTTGATGGACAAGCACTTGTGAAAATCCAGTCGGATAGTCACTTTTTAGAGTTGATATAGTATTGTACTGATTATAATATTTATAAAATAAATAACAATAATGAAGTCTAAGTAAGTGATACCCAAGGGGAAACATGCTTTCGATTGCAATGGGTAGACCTTTATTGTCGATGACAAATATCAATTTATAAAGCAGATTGGACATGGAGCTTATGGAGTGGTGTGTTCAGCTTTAAATAAGAAGAGTCAACAATTAGTGGCAATCAAAAAAATATCAGATGCATTTTCAGATCTGATTGATGCTAAGAGAATAGTGCGTGAGATTAAACTATTAAGTATAAAGCCTGTTTGTATGATTGACTAGAATTCTTCGATCATGAGAATATCGTTTCACTTCTTGATTTGCAAAGACCGGAACATCCGCAAAATTACAAAGACATATACATCATTACTGATCTAATGGAAACTGATTTGCATAGAGTGATCTATTCGAAGTAAGAATTAACAGATGAGCACATTTAATATTTTCTATATTAAGCTTTGAGAGGACTGTTGTACATTCACTCTGCCAACATCATCCACAGAGATCTCAAGCCAAGCAATCTGTTACTGAACAAGAATTGCGATCTGAAGATTTGCGATTTTGGCTTGGCTCGTGGTTATGAAGACGAGAGTGAATTTAAAACTGAGTATCAATGATGGATTTATTTAGATATGTAGTCACTCGATGGTATAGGGCACCAGAAGTCATCTTGAATGCTTCTGAATACAACAAATCAGTGGATATCTATGCCTTGGGTTGCATAATGGCAGAACTCTTAGGAAGACAACCACTCTTCCCTGGCGAGGACTATCTGGATTAAGTGCAAAGAATCATCCAAGTCTTGGGCACTCCTTCCAATGAAGATGTTCGATTCATTGGAAATAAGAATGCCCTCACTTACTTGAAGAGTTTGCCCAAGAAACCCAAACAGCAATGGAAGAACTTGTATCCCCGCGCCTAACCTTTGGCCTTGGATTTGCTAGACAAGATGGTCACTTTCAATCCAGACAAGCGATTGACAGTTCAGGAGTGTCTGGCACATCCGTATTTTGAAGGACTCCACAATCCAGAGGAAGAACCCATTTGCGAATGCACATTTGATTGGGGATGGGATAGTTTCAAACCTACCGAAGCTATACTAAAGTAAATGGTATATGAGGAATCATTGTCATTTCATCCACTTAAGTGATTTATTTTAATTAATATATACATGGATCTGAGTTCCTAACTAAATTAGATGAAATTTATAAAAGGTCTTGATTTTCGCAAGAATCTCATAGACAACGGACATCTGGGCCAAGGCAACAACATGGTCTACAATGTTTCACTCAACGGAAAAATGTATGCATTAAAAGTAAAGCGTTCTTATTTATCAAGTAAGTAATAGTGAATTCGTGCTACATTGAAAATGAAATCAAAATCATGTAATCATTATCCAACTCTCCATACGTGATCAATCTAATTGATTATATGATATTAGAAACAGTCTCTTAAGATAAATACACTTAAAGTCAGTAATTTGCGTATTTGCTGATGGAAAAGGGTTAGCAGAATCTAGAGTAATATCTTAAATAAAGAGAGCAGTAATATCTAGAAGTTGAGGAATTGCACAGAATACTGGAATAATTAATAAATATATTTGAAGATCTCCAACAAAAAAACATAGCTCACAGAGATATAAAATTAGTTAACATCCTGATCATGGAACCCTTCTAACTCAAAGCTTGCGATGTTGGCTGCAGTTCTCAAGTGGAAAGCATCTAAACTATCAGTGTTGTTGGAACAAAGTCTTACTTAGCCCCTGAGTTATTGAATGCAGAAACGAATCGACTTAAACACAATCCCTTTAAAAGCGATGTTTACTCTTTGGGATTGTGCTTTCTCTATTTAGTTACTCTATAATTATGGAATTCAAGATAGATAGTTGGCTCTAAGATTGAAGAAGAAATAATGGCAGATTATTTAAGACACGTTAAAAGAATCACTGCTGATGACAATATCATCATATCCATATTGAAAAAGATGTTGTAAATCAATCCAAACAATCGTCCTGATTTTATAGAGTTAAAGCAGATCTATACACAAGCAAAAGAATCTCAAAATCAGTCGATTAATTTATCCAAAGGAACAACCTTCGAATCTTTTGAATCACCCAAGAAATCCCCTTTGTAATTTGATTATCTCTCACCGGACGTCGTAATTAATAGAAGCAGAAATTCAGGATCCAACTTCTACAAGGAGGAAAGATAAAAGTCAGTCAAAAATATACCTCCCAATTTGAGTAACTCAAAGAAGTAAAAATCTTAAGCCAATCTACTATCAGAATCAACAAAAAAGTTGTAAGTTGTCAAATCATCCAAAAATGCCTCCACCACCAATTTACACTTAAAAGATACATAGTATTATAATAAACCTCCTACACCAAATCCACTAAAACTTACGTAATCTACTAAGGCGAAATCCTTCTAAGATTCTGCATCTCCTGTTCAAACTCAAAGTAATTTCTAGCAACGACAGTTCTCTAAGTTCCACCAATCTGTTATAGAGAATAAAAAAGTTCATACTGAGAGTTTTTCATAGACTATGCCCGCAATTCAAACGAGCATGCTGGCTGAATTAAAGCATTTTGATGATTTCTTATATTGCGATTATGAAGACCTAAGTAATTTATACCAATTTTAAAATTTTGTTTGCCTTGTTTAAAATGGATAAAAATCAAATAAAAAAAAATGCTTATTGCCCAACAGTTGTAAACTGTTAAATTTATAACTCAATAGTTCAACTCCAGAACTTCATTTATCTCCAGGAAATGATATACAAATTCTGATTCTTGAATTAATTGATGACTCCAATTAACAAACTCTTATTTATAGGTGGCCTGAAAATCTTGGTTCTATGTGCTTTTAAGCTATAACATCTCTTGAAATTATTGTTAATACTCAATAACCTTAAACTAATAATATTATATAATTTCTTACTAAAATATAGCATATTCCTAAAATTAAATTGATATATCGATCTGAAATATCAGAACAGGATCATAGAACCATTATATGGAAATTAAGCAGATATAATTGCACTTCCTTTGATTTCAGAATACCTAATATTAAGTTGAACTTAACCTAAATCTCCTAATCCTGGCAGTTTAACCAATCTCTAGAAGAGCTGGCACTAGATTACGAAGATTGCGATATCCATTCGACCTTTTCATTCCTCGTCACGTCAATAAGAACAGTAGTATTCAAGAAGTTCTACATAAACTTAACAAAACTGCAATCCAAAAACTCAGAAATAAGTTTGCTTCTTGAATATTTGGGATCCAAATACTAAATGAGAGACCTAACCTTAATTATGGATTACATTACCAACTATGATAAAATGGTGTAGGAGAAACTCAAACTTAATATATCTAAACTTAAAAATTTGGAAAAACTCCACCTTTCAATCATCGGAAATAATGTCAACTTTGATTTCATTGAAAAACTCTTTACTATTTTTGAACAACTCAAAGAACTGAGGATGGCAATCCTGAGGTTTGACAGAGTATTTGAAAAATAAAAAATTAGAGAACTTAAAATGGCACTCCCTTTTTTGCAACCTTATGTGCTATAGTTTTATGGTACAAATAACACATTAACAATCATAATGCATAATAATGACCTGTAAAAATTATAAGATTATGGAACCACTAAATGTAATTAGGGAAAATAAGTCAAATTGAGTTAGATGTACGAGTGCATAAAATGTTCTAAAGCTCACTCTTTCTTTTTAAAACACTAATTTTAGATATGTAGTACATGTGTAACAAATTGCCATTCTAAATGTGACACCTTTAACTTGAATAATACTGAAGCAATAACAGTGAGTTCGGATTCTTTAAACCAGTGCTAAAATATCTTAAATACAATAAAGAAGAATCACACTTTCGTTGAATCAAATGACACAAGAGACTTTAAATGTTATTGTAATTTATTAGGCACCTGCACTCAGGCGACATGTAATAAGGATAGAAATAGATACGAGATTTAGTTTAAGTATACTTTATTAGTATTTTTAGATGCAAAACATGCAACAAAGCACTATGTCGAATGTGTTCTTCTGATTGTCATCTTTGTCATATCAATAAAGAAATGTATATAAATAACTTTAGATGTGAATGTGATTGCGATAAACATATATGAAATAATACATAAATGTAATTAATTTCATATTATATTAAACCCAATTAAATATCTTTTGGATAGAACTTAAGTAAGTTCTTTTGAAGAGCATATTTTTTTAATTGTACTACTGGTCACTTAATTGTAAATTTCTAGCATACAAGGTCTAATATTAGTTAATAATTTATACTCAATTATGATTTGTAAGTCTTTATTATTAATTTCAATTTCTTTGATTTGTGAACTCAGAATACCATTATTAATTTGTTCTTCTGTAATCTCCAAAGGTTATTCTGTAATTTCTGGTAGGTTTAATTTTATAGTTGTCCCCTTTTTAAAGTCTTTGTAATCAAAGGCCTCTGGGGGCATATCAAAATTAGGAACAACATATTAATCAAGTATTTGTTGCATGGTGTTACTATTCAACAAAACAAAGATAGAATCCAATTCTTTGAGAGATGGAGAGTACATTTTGATGATTTTTTGTGATTTTTTCTCTCTTAATAAAATTTGAATAGGTAAAAAGTCGCATGTATAAAAAGTATTATCAAAAGTTACAACTTTCTTTATCAATTTTCTTTGTAAAATCTTATCAGGAAATTCATGTTTTTCTATGAATATTCATTTAATTAATTTACCTCCTATAATAAGAATCGCTAATTCTTTATGAACTGGCAACCCAGTCTAAATTATATTTGATACAGGATTATCTTAAGTCTTCGTCACATTTTCCATTTGAATGTCTGCTAAAGATGTTTGCTATTAAGATTGCGGCTCATTTAAATCTTTCAAAATGTCTCCATCATCAGGTTTACTTTGGATATACAGTTGCAGTTTTTATTGATCAAATTAATCGACAAATGATTGCATTTCAAAGAAATTATTCTTAACAACATCATAGAGCTTCCTTGGGGACAATTCGATGGTCTAAATATGTTAGTGTTCTTATTAATATAATTGAATTATTGGGAAATTAATTCTAAAGAATCCTTAACCAGATTAATTCTTGATCACAACCACTCTCTGGAATTCTTCAGTCTCAAAATGCTTAACCTTATACTTCAATCTATTCAAACCCTTTTATTTTAAAGATACAGTATTTCTCTCCAATAATTGTAAGTTTTTTTAGAAGAAATCCAAGGGATCTGGATGAGTATTAAATATGGCTAAGGCCATTTAAAATGTCAATTATAGAGGTTTGGTGGATTTCTTGTTGACTTCATCTTCGAATTCCCTTATCCACTCTATTTCGAAAGATTTTATTAAAGCAAGTATGGGCATCATTTGATATTTGTAAATTTTCTTGTGATACGTCCTCTCCTCTTTCGGGATAGATTCCGCATCTTCTACGTCAGTAAGTTCAGTGACGACATTCCTATGCAAAGGTTCTAAACGTGCAGTAGAATGACCAAATTTTTGAGTATAATGAAATTTAGACAGACCCTAAAAGCCTCTATCGCAAGCAGCTCCGAAATGTCTAGAACTAAAATCTAGACTGCACACAAGTCCTTCTATAAATTTTCTGTTTACTTTGAACAACCAATTGCTTAGTGTTTGGAGTCTACTGTAAGATGGAACTTCTTTGAATAAGAGGGAGCATCTTGCTTTCATTGTAACTGAATTTGCTTTGAGTATTCCTCAGGTAGGCAGGTTCAAGCAATTTGTGTTGAGTAGTCATAAGTTTAGGAAGAATGTCGAATTTTGTATGACTATTGTTGTTGTTCATTAATATAATAATCAAGGAATAATGCCATTTGTCAATTTTTAAAAATCGTCATAATATTTTGTATATCTATTGTTGGCACTTTGGGTAACTAATTTATGTACATGTTCCTCAAGTTGTTGTTCGTTAAGTTCTAATTTGAATCTGTCTTTGAAGGCTTTCATATCGAACTTTTCCAAGCAGGGCAATTCATTATCGATTTTCATGGCTTCTAAAATAAAGGCGAATTTGTCAACATTCTTTCTTAATTCCAAATAACCTAGTAATAGTTTACTTTTGAATAATTGAAACATGCAACTCTCTTATCCATCAAGCAATTCAATGTACTCTTTCGTTAATTTGAACGGGGCTGATTCAAATTTAATCCCTCCAGGCGCAATGGTCAAGATGAATCCGAAATCAATATGTATGATATGACCTTGGTTGTCAATTAAGATGTTGCCATTGTGTCTATCCTTAATCTAGAACAGGTATTGGAGTAAACTATAGGAGGTTAAACTTAATATGAAATTGAGTTGAGCTTCTTCAAAGTTGTCTCCGAAAATACTATTATAAATTTCCCTTAGATTCATGGAAGGCATGGACTTCTTCAGTTAATCCATAGACAAAGTATCATTGCAGAATTCTAATATTCCCGAGTCCACTGAAGTGATGATGATATCGTAGGATTTTACATAGAGTCCAACCTAGGTTAGGATCTAAGAGAGTATAAGTGAAATGAGTACATCTTCAGAAACTTTAATGATTTGCATCATCATTTGTTCTTGCCTCAAATCATCTCCTCCTTTGATCAACAAGCTTCTCAAACAATAAGAATTGAATTGACCATAAGGAGAGAGAGATTGGATGACTTGTCTTTTATCGTCCCATTGTTGTTCACTAAATGGGCCACTTTTCAAATCATTCTAGGATGGAGACTGCAATTATTACAGTTCTTATTGTTAGACAAAGTTCTTGGAATCATTTAACTACTTTTAAATCTTCTCGATTGTTCCCTTCTTATTCGGATATTCTGAAAAATTGAATATGAAATAGAATACCATTAGCAATCTAATCAAGAAATGTAATATTGTCTAATTCCTTGTCACTGTGTTTCAATTTCTCTTCCTATTTAAACAGATCCTTAAAGTCCTTCTCATATAATTATTTATTAGTATAGGATTGGATTTGATCAATGCAACTTCTTCGACGTACTATTAATTCCTTTTTAAGAGGAGGAAATTGCTAATCAAATCTCTTTTTATTTTAATGGAGAATTTATTACCTAGCTAACTAAATAAAAAAACCTAATTCAATACCTTATCTTTATTCTCCTACAAGAAGTCTTCAAAGACAGTATAGTCGAATTGATGCATAACATCAAATTCCAAAAAGGCTTAGGAATCTACTGACAATGGCTTCTAGAGAGTGACAAGTTATTGTTCGCGTTATTCGTACTCGTCCATATCCACGGTTTCAACCACCAACTTATATGGTACTCTCTTCTTGGTATTGAATGATTGGGCTTCAGTGTCAATAATGCGAACAACCATCTATGATCTGCCTTTAAAAGGTAGGATAATTCCTTTGCAGTATTTGATACCAGGGTTATTACGACGAAAACTCTCCAAAGCCCTATTTCCTTTAATAAGATTTCGTCTCAAATATAGTTGTCTCTCATTCAGAGGCACATTCTTAAGATGTAATGATAAGACAGTCAAACAAGTCACAAATCTATGAATAGAATTCACATAATTTGATCTGCTCTCCTTTTCGAGAAATTGATTCTCTGAAATCTGATTTACCATAGCTTCTTCTATTTTTTAATCAAATACAGCCACACTATTTTCAGCATTCTGTCTCTCGTTATAAGTATAAGCCTCATAAGACCATTTGATCTAGTAATCAGAAATTTGAAAATACTATCTCATAAAATGCTATATGTTCTGCACACTTCTTCAATAAATACTCACCAAGTTGGGGCCATCTCTTTCTGGTGAATATATAGCTAACTATATGAAATCAAATCAATACACCAATCCCGATAAGTATGTGCTAGTTTCTTCATAATTCAATTAGCCCAGTCTTTCTAAAAATTCTGTCAGCGTTGATTCTTAAACATCCTTACATATGATCTTCCTAAAGGATTCGTCGATGCTTATCTAATTACTTTATTTCATTAATTTAATCTTATAAAATTAAATGCTCCTATTTTTGATAGCTCTTTATTCTATCTCAGTGAGAGTGATCTGTTTGGATGCAAGAGCCACAGCCTTTGTGTTTACTGGTTTCAAAGTTAACTTATATAACATTCTCTACTAGTTATTACCATAAAGACATCACCATCCCAGAGTATTGTTAAATATCAATGAGATCTAAAGATTTGACTCTCTTTACAAAGTATTTAATTGATATGTGATTAATGTTGATTAATATACTCAATTATTTCCTTTAAATTGTGAGTTGCAGTCAAATCTGTTGATTATGTGCAATCAGTTGCACCATCTTTAGAGGTGTATAATGCCTGTCTGATTAGAAGGTATTATAATAATATCAATGGTTGAAGTAAATTAAAAGAAAAGAATGTTATTGGTAGTCAAATCGAGTCTTTCATTTAATATACGAAATCATTTTATATAACTATTGTCAATTAGTGAAATATTTTATTAATTTTATGTCAAAAAAGAGATTGGATCGTTTGGATGCTGGATAATGTTCTACTGATCGCAGTCATCATAAAAATAACAACAGCACTGATCTCAATTTTGTAAATCCTTTATTTACTCTTATTGTAGACTCTCCATTAGAGATTGAATAGCAATGTTGATGAGTAACTACAATCCAAAATTACATTCTTTTCTAAATTCAAACAAAAGGACTTGCCTCAAGTCAATGATTCTCTGTAAGGAATGGCTCAAACCTTATCTAAAGTCTCATTCAATGAAATTCAGCATCATCAATTACAAAGAGAATATGAAAAGATCAAAACCGAATTAGCTTAATTCAGAGCTTAACAAATCAAATTATACTCTACTATTACTAAATTATAAAAAGACAATCAAACACTAATGGAGAAATTAAAGTTTTATGATGAAGAAAAACTTAATTTATAAAGAAAAATTTAAATTGAACAGAAGTAAAACGAAGAATTAACTAAAAAACTTAAAAGATCTGAACAACGAATCTAAATTATTCTGGAATCCAATATCATCTTCCAAAAAGATCAAATTAAAACCACACTCTTAGACACTCTCCATGAAAATGAGCATTACAAAATGGAAGCCATTCAAAAACAAAAGGATTTACAGAAGTATTATATAATTATCAATCGTAGACTCTAAATTAATAATAGTAATCTTAATCATAAATTAAATCGACTCACCAATCGAATCGTTGCAGCTCAAAGACACCAAACAGAATCTGAGTTCATTGATCAAGATAAAATGGTCATCACTTTCACTGAAATCCCAACTAACTTCATCTTCAGGCACATCTTCCAAAATATAGAATGCAAATAATTCATATCAACATCACTTGAATAAACTCCAGAATAATTTGGCTCCCACTTCAATCTTATACCTTAGGATCAAAAGAAAATCCATTTAATTTGGCTATTCAATCATATGGTGAATTATCGCGAGTTCAGTTAACAGCATAACAATTTCATAATTAAATTGACTGATTTGATAGTCATTAAGTATTTAAACTACTAAATTATCACTAGAACATATCCAGATTTATATTCCTTCATCTAAAACATGTCCTAGTTCTTAAGAGTATAAAGACTAACACTTTGGCTTAGAGATTATTGGACTGGGTTTTTTGAAACAATATAGGAAGGACAGTCCTAAAAAATCATCTGCTCTAAAGGGTCATTTAAAGATTGCTTAGAATAACGAGAAGCTGTCAATAGTAATAGAATTCTTTAACATTAGAACTCACTGCACAAAGACACCTCCTATATCAGGATAGCAAGGGAGATGACATTTATCAAGAGAACACTTACCTATATCCCTTAATTACAGACACTGTACTACCTGCTGGCCTTCTTGAAGTGTTCCAACCTACACAAAATAACTCTTATTCAGATATCCAATACTTTACTTCTTTATTAGGTACTTTTGTAAAAATTGTTGTGTAAAAAATTGAAAATGAAATTGTCTTGCAAAATGTGGCCAAACAAAAAGACATTCTAATAGGTCAATTCTTATGTTTGATGTAGTCAAATGACAAGCTATAATTCACAATCTCAGTAAAGGAAATGCAATCTAAACTCTTACAAATTTCAACTTGTGAAATTATCTTTATAGAAAATAATCAAATGTTCAAATATAATCGTTAAGGTTTATAATCTATTAGCTGCATTGCAGGAGTTTGTGGTCAGATTGCATAAGATTAAAAACCTGCCTTCTTTTCCAATCTCACAAAATAAGTACATTATAATCAATTGATTGATATGTATACACTTGCTCCAGTGTATGTTTATCCAATCTTAAGGGGTAATGAATGCAAAGCTGTTATTGAATTAACATTGACTAATAAACAAATCGATCGTCATCGTTTTAGAGATCCATTGACTAGTTTGAACTAATAATCTAATTAAGCTCGGATGTTCTGTGAATGTGTGCAAACAGCCTATCTATGCAAATTTAATTGACTAAATTGATTAAATGTTTTATAATTAAGTCTGTAGTTTTAAAATAGAGACTATAATAATCTAAATATATTATTCCTGGTTGATTAGTTTCCTCATAATTAAGCCTCCATTATCAATTATTTAAAAATTAATTCAGAAATCTATTATGGTTTTCAAGAAATAAATAAACTAATTATTATAATTGACAGAATTATTTTATTCTAAATATGATAATTGGGGAACATACTAAAGTCTGAGAAATTTCGATAATCTTTGATGTTTAATTCAAGAATCTTAATTGATTCCATATTTAGCTTTGATTCCTAAGTAGGATTAATGAGTGTCATAAATGAAAAATGGCCTTTGAATTATTGATTAAATATGATATATAATTAAAATTAAACTAGTTTCACGTAATAATGGATCTAGATGATGATTATTTTGAAGCATTAGGCATTCACATCCAAATGGTTATCATTACTAATGTAATTAATTATGCTCATGCAACCACTTTTTATGATAATTGAAAATGGATTAGGAGAGTGGAATCCTGATTATTCTTTTTTGCATCTAATTACCTTATTAATATTCAGATAAGACGTGCTCCTTTTAGATTATGACATTGCATTTACGAGAGTATATTTAGTAGTTTTGGTGACATTTACAATTCAAAAAGCATGGTAATTTACCATTACTTATATGCTATATCGAATAAAGGAACGTGAGCGGTAATTTTAGAAGATGGAAGAGTGTTCTCCTTTGAGAATTTCATTGATGATACTGGCAATATATACATAATTTTCAATGACAATATTGCACTTAATATTTTCAACCCTCTGTATAATTAGCTTTGCTTTTTGTATTTAAGATGGATAGGAATACGTTCATCTATTTTTATCCTTACTGACATACATACTTTGGTAGGCTGATTATTTAATCACATATACTATCTCCAGTACATCTCTAACCTTTAAGCACAATTATCTGGATGTCTCATAAACTACCCTATTCACTTATCTAGCCTATCTTTTCCAGCAATTGCAAATTATTATCTATTGTATTTTACAGAACCAAAGCAGTGTGAGGTTGTGCAACATTGTACTATTGCTATTGGAGGTGCTGTCATTATTAGTAAATTAATTTTTATTTTAAACCTACATCTTCAAAGAATCACGGCAAGTATTATATTTCACTTGTTCACTCAAATTTGTTCTAAGCTTTTACTATTTAGGTAAATCAATAGAATCAAGGTAAATGTTTGAATACTTAATAATTCCATTGTTGTTGCTGCCTATAATATATTATGGATTAATCTCAGTTGATACTAAACTTCATTACGAGGCCTTTGTAAATATCTTCAAAGAAGAACCAAATCTCAATAAACTTGTCTATCAATTGAAACTTATCCTGAATTAGTGTGATATAGAGAAATAAATGATTCCCCTAAAATCATCCTTAATCAATAAATCTCATCGGAAGGTATGTCATAATCCATTATGCATTTGTTCAAATAAAATATTCATCTCTGAAATTTCATAGGCAAATGCCATTACCTAAGCTATTTTAAAGTAATTTATTTTCAACAAAATTTCATTTATACTCCATTCCAAAGAAGCCCAAAAAAGCCATTAGTACAATTAATTAATAGTCGTACAAACCTTATTGCTATATGACTTTGGTTGGATAACAGATTCCATTAAAAATCTGACGTAATTGTTGAATTGCCAAACAAATAATCAAAACTTCGTTATAAGAAAGGAAATATAAAAAAAAATTGCTTATGATGAATCCTGTAATGAAACATCAACTAAGAAAGATAAATCTGATGAACATCAGACATAATTTATTAGATTGAAAATCCAGATCAGTTTGATTGATTAATGCAGAATAAACTATATTCTGTATTTAGCCAAGTCTAAACTAAAATCATATCTTGGCACATCAATGCATGCTTATTAATAACTAATGGTAACAGATTTTATTCAATCATTTCTCACTTATGATTAGTCTCTAAAATAAATACAGTAATAGACTATAGAAGCTATAAATGATAAAATCGAGTTTTATTACAAAATAATAAAGGATGAGAAGTAAAATTTAAATTTATTGGGAAAGTGTACCAAAGAAATATGCTTTAAACTTAATAAAGTGAAGAAATTACTCAAATAAATATATGCAGCATACCCATGTTCCAGTATCTAAAGATGTATATGCTTCTTTCAATGCGAATTATTAAACAATTACTACGAAGCCAATAAAACATCAACACTTACATCGATGCAGGATGACAAAATGTTTAGGAATAAGAAAATCACTAATTATGATATTCAAGTTGATCAAACTGCCTATGCCATACTCTCAATTAAGGGAGAATTGGACGATTTCCATATAGAATAGGTGTCCTCATACTTTTTGAAATTGATTGGCAAAGCATCAAGTAAGGATATCCATTTTTTTTAACTATTGCCTCGTTTTATGAAGAATTGGCACCCCTCATTTATTCATAATTTCTTTAATGATGGATAATCCAGATACTATAAGAGTTTCAATCAAAGTTTTATTTCCACAAATACTGGATTGCTTAAGACCGTTTATTTATGCTATGACATCACTAAGATTTTATCCAATTAAAATCTAGTATTCGCTGCTTTTCTATAAGAACTACCTGATTAGAAGTGTTTTTTATTATCATATGGAACTAATTAGAGATTGACATTTTCTGAGAACTTCTTTAAGAAGATAGGATTTCATCAAAAACTGATCCTTGGACTCCCCCAAGTATTAACAATAGTTAATGGACTCTATTTATAATACTTAATACCTTCATTTCCATAAGGAGATGTAGAGAGCGATACATTTTAATTAAATACTGAGATGAGATTTTTGGATGACAAGCATTTGAAAGAGGTATAGAATGAAGGAGTAGATTTGGGAATGTACATTTTGGATCCAAAATAATGGTAAAAGGAAGATTAAGTTTAATTTTATTCAGTCTCCATTATTGTAACTAAAAGGTATGTGGCTTAATAATCATATTTACTAATTGAATTTTCAACTATTTCAAAAATAACTAAAAACCCAACTGAAAATTCCAAATTTTAAACCATCTAAAATAATGACATAACATCACTTTAATCTTAAGAAGCTGAATTCATTAATGATAGTTTTGCATCGCTGATGAATTTGAGTGATGAAGCTGAACCAAAAAAAGTTAACATTTTTGATGTCAGAATGAAAGAGTTTCTATAGAATGAATTACAAGAGGAGGATGCTGCCAATATAGTGTCATACAGGAAAGATGAATTTCAGAATAATGTATTTCCATAAAGTCATAGATTACTGCTTTCAGAGAGGAAAAAAGAAATCCAATAGGAATTTTTTAATATTGAATAGATGCGTATGGACTCAATGAAACAATCCTCAATTTATGAATCACATAAGTAAATACCAGCCGAACATAATGTTATTGATGAAATTTAATCATAGTAATCTTCAGTAGGAGGAGTAAAAGAATCTTAATTATTTAAGAAATTTGAAATGATTGAGAAGATAATCAAGAAAAAGAAATTTGATAAAATGTCAGTATATCTCATATTACTTTTACTACAAACAGCTTTCTTCATTTCGTTTGCATTAATTGTAATAACTTTGATATCATCAGAATTGCTGATGTTTATTTAAGAGATAGATATGATTTCATTGCATGCCAGTATTATGGCACCTCATGACTTGTATCTATCAATTAAAGTAACAATATCAGCATATTAGCAATAATATCGAGAAAAGTATATAGATAATGCAACCTTATATAAATTGATAGATCCACTGTATTAATTCAATGCTCCTTATTACTTTGATTTGCAAAATAATTTATTTGATGTGTTGCAGAATGAGCATTTATAAGCATTCTTTACGGATCAATATGCTACAGTCTATTTCATGGGGAATAATGATTCTGTGACATATTCAAAGGAGTTGTCTTTTAGAGAGGAATTGCTAGCAATATTGCATGCTCAATATCAATTCAAACGAGTGTTCGATGCTCGTAAAAATGCGAATGGCTAGGCTTGTCAAGTAATGCAATTTGCAAATTACTTTAATTTGTAAGATAAATTAGAAGAATTAACAAATTAGATTTTGGAATACTCAAAAAATAGAAGTACAGCTGCTGCAGATTAATGGTTTGTTATATGGTTAATATATCAATTGATTGCTGTTTGCATTGGACTCATTACTCTATTTTATAAGAGGAGCATATTGAGGACTTACGAGAAATTGTTAAGTTTGTTTTACTTTTCAGATAAAAACTCGCTCGAATAGGAGATATAGAAATTGAAGCATTTGAATAGTTTGATTTAGTAGAACTAAGATTTGCTATCAAAATATGATTTCAATTTTAGAGAAAGAGAAGAATTGGTAAATAGAAAGAAGAAAGAAAGCCAATCAATAAAATAAGAGAAACCGAAAAAGAAAGGTGAGCAAAAGTTGTAAAAAATTATTCCAATAATAGCCTTTTTTTGCATTTATATCTACTTTTTAGTATATTCAGTTATAATTCATGAAGAAACCAAGAACTATTTGACAAAGTATAAATAGACAACCGATTTTTATCGATTAGTTCAAGACCTTAGATTTCGGAGCGGGAACATATATGTCTACCGAGAAATCTTCTTCAGATGGTCCAATTTTACATATCTCAATTCATCAGATTTAAATCGCTTATATGGATTAGTTGAGAAGTCTTAGAATGTGATGTAAGTGTATGTGAATGGCTTATAACACCAATAAAATGATGAATACCTATTCTCAGATAGCTATGTTGATTTTGTTGGTCAAGTAGAGAATTCAAATCTTTGTAACTTCATAAATGCAGTAAAGTATTTAATCTACAATAGAAGTACCTGAATCTTACTCCATATTGTGAATAAGCCTTGGATGGAGTTTTAATGAAGGGAATGATACCTAGTTTGAATTACATTTCTCAATCCATTCGTAGTTAATAGGAGATCAACAACTTCACTAAGAGAGCGGAAGTCCATTTTTATGAATTGGAAGGAGCTCAGGTCATTTGTTTAGCCTTTCAGAATGTATCGGAATAGTTAAAATAAGGTATGATCGAACTGACATAAACTTTTAATCAAACGAATGAGGTATGTAAAATAAATCAACATATCCTTAGATCCTGTCTTATCTATTTTTACTGTCTTAATTGTTGTTTTCAATTGTTTTCGTGACCTGTTTCAGAAAACTTTTGATCTCCGAATTCACCATGTATAAAAAATCTCTGCAATTGATTCCCATTCAAGTGTTGCTAGGTGATGATTCTTTAGAAAGAGCCTTACGTCAATTTGAATTTACAGAAAAAATATGATTATTAATTAATTTTATTCCTATCACAATTTATAACCCAATTTCAGTTCAATTTGCTTCAGATATCTTTCAAAGAAGTCGTTCTTCAAGATGTCACTCTGTGGTATCATCAAGACTCCAAATTTTATTAGTTGGAGATGTTATTTGAGATTAGTATAATGGAAATTCACAACAAAGAAACAAATAGAACCTAAGGCAATTAAAAAGAAGATTGACAATAACTTATAATTATCTAAATACATTACCTAATTTTAATAATTGAAACTCTCTGTTTTTTTAATGATTCCATTCTATAAGTTTTCGTTCATAAATGAAAATACTCTACTTGCGACCTACCCTCCTTCCACTTCATACAAAATGTCCTCTGCCCTATATGTGAAATTATTGATAGCCTATTGAGTAATTATGGTCTGGTGAATGTAAGTTAATGCAGGAAGCATTCCTTTCATCAAAGATCCATCAAATGATTTGAGACAATACGGAGTAAGCACTTGCTTGTAATTCTCATCCAAAAAATTGCATACATCAGTGTTTTAGACTGTAAGAAAGAATTAATAGAAATCTTCAGGAACTAAAAGTGTTTCCAAATTTATCCTTGGAGCCTAATCAACATATTCCATAATCTTAGTTTATGCAATGTCAATTAGATTATACAATCTTAATCCATCGGTCTTATTTAAGTAAGTAAGATTTCCCCATAACATAAACATTTCTCGATATAAAAACATATTACCACTTCTGAAAGATAAATCTGCTATCAACTTATAAAAATCAGCAGTTGATTAATATTTGTTCAAGAAACTTTATGTTGAAAATGTAACTAAACAAGAGTAGATTAAAAATATTACAAATATAACAAAGGAAAATATTACTGATTTCAATTTCGATGCCCTAATCAATATTTTCCTTTTATTTTTTCTCAGTACATCATTTTCTTATTTAATTTAATTATTCTATTGTACTTCAGTCTATAATTCTAATTAGTAACTATTAATATAATCATTTTAAGACAGTAAATTGTTCAATAACATTTTATGTTTTTCAGTCTCTTTTATTATACTTTACTCAGTTATATGTGTTATAATTTCCATAATTGTATCATACTAAAATAATATCCCAGTCTTTAAATAATATATCAAAAGAGACAACACAAAACAAACAACTATAAAAACAATCCAAATCGTAATCCATTTATCAATTATTTATGNTATTTTTACTGTCTTAATTGTTGTTTTCAATTGTTTTCGTGACCTGTTTCAGAAAACTTTTGATCTCCGAATTCACCATGTATAAAAAATCTCTGCAATTGATTCCCATTCAAGTGTTGCTAGGTGATGATTCTTTAGAAAGAGCCTTACGTCAATTTGAATTTACAGAAAAAATATGATTATTAATTAATTTTATTCCTATCACAATTTATAACCCAATTTCAGTTCAATTTGCTTCAGATATCTTTCAAAGAAGTCGTTCTTCAAGATGTCACTCTGTGGTATCATCAAGACTCCAAATTTTATTAGTTGGAGATGTTATTTGAGATTAGTATAATGGAAATTCACAACAAAGAAACAAATAGAACCTAAGGCAATTAAAAAGAAGATTGACAATAACTTATAATTATCTAAATACATTACCTAATTTTAATAATTGAAACTCTCTGTTTTTTTAATGATTCCATTCTATAAGTTTTCGTTCATAAATGAAAATACTCTACTTGCGACCTACCCTCCTTCCACTTCATACAAAATGTCCTCTGCCCTATATGTGAAATTATTGATAGCCTATTGAGTAATTATGGTCTGGTGAATGTAAGTTAATGCAGGAAGCATTCCTTTCATCAAAGATCCATCAAATGATTTGAGACAATACGGAGTAAGCACTTGCTTGTAATTCTCATCCAAAAAATTGCATACATCAGTGTTTTAGACTGTAAGAAAGAATTAATAGAAATCTTCAGGAACTAAAAGTGTTTCCAAATTTATCCTTGGAGCCTAATCAACATATTCCATAATCTTAGTTTATGCAATGTCAATTAGATTATACAATCTTAATCCATCGGTCTTATTTAAGTAAGTAAGATTTCCCCATAACATAAACATTTCTCGATATAAAAACATATTACCACTTCTGAAAGATAAATCTGCTATCAACTTATAAAAATCAGCAGTTGATTAATATTTGTTCAAGAAACTTTATGTTGAAAATGTAACTAAACAAGAGTAGATTAAAAATATTACAAATATAACAAAGGAAAATATTACTGATTTCAATTTCGATGCCCTAATCAATATTTTCCTTTTATTTTTTCTCAGTACATCATTTTCTTATTTAATTTAATTATTCTATTGTACTTCAGTCTATAATTCTAATTAGTAACTATTAATATAATCATTTTAAGACAGTAAATTGTTCAATAACATTTTATGTTTTTCAGTCTCTTTTATTATACTTTACTCAGTTATATGTGTTATAATTTCCATAATTGTATCATACTAAAATAATATCCCAGTCTTTAAATAATATATCAAAAGAGACAACACAAAACAAACAACTATAAAAACAATCCAAATCGTAATCCATTTATCAATTATTTATGTACATTTGTCTCTTGAAAATTGTAAAATTTCTTGAGACATAATTTCTAGATTATCCTATAGATTGAAATAATTAGAAAATTGAAAGACTTAACAAGGACAACCCTTAGTTGGAATCCTTTTATCAAAAATTATTTTAAAATCATATTGATAATTGAGCAATTGATGGATAAATTCCCTAAAAGTTATATTTCTAGAGTAAATGATTTTGTCAGTCATGCCCATAAAAAAAGTATTAGTATAAACATCCTTAAAGAATTCCTTTAGATCACTCTCTAATAAAGAAACATAAGAATTTTCCTTTAATTCATTGTAGCACACTCCTATGATAGAATAAAGTGGTTCTACTAAATCACTTGTTAACGATTAATTAATCTTCTTAGCTGTAAGTAACCCTTAATAATAATAAATCTACGCCCTTATTGCAAGGTATCGATCATAAGGAGCTACAATGTCAGCCTAGAAGGATAGCATCTCTATCTCTTTAATTTTAGTTTGTAAATCACTACTTAGCAGAGACAAAATTATTACTGAAAAAATGCCAAACACTACGAGGGTGAATATAATAAAGAATACCATGATCTTTTGTTATGAAAAATTGAAATTGCTATAAAATGAATCTATGATTTCAAACTTTTTCATGTAAGTAGGTCTTTTTATAGAACCCAAACTAGATTCCGATTATTATTATAAATCATCCTACTATTGAGCTTACTGTAATTGAGGATGCTTCTCTTTACTTGAAGCCTCAGCAATGTAAAATGCAGGTTGTTAACAGTAATATTCTTATTAAAATGAGCTATTGTGTCTTTGAACAGTGTTCATCATATTTTGAGTTTTATCAATCAAATTAGATACACTATGGTTGGGGCTTAGCATAATTTAATACATTTTATCATAATCCTATTATTTTGAGAGTTCTTTTAATGCTATTGAATAATTCTCTCGTTCTTAGATATTCAAAGTATTTACATGCTTGGCGGCTCCTTCATCAATAGATAAAATAATTGAATCGATATCAAAGATTGCAGATTCAGCATTATGTTGAGTTTATTTGAATTAAGTACAGGAAAATACTGCATTGTTTTGATGTGAAGACTCAATCATATGAGCAGATTCTAATTCGATTATAAAATAATAAAATCCGAATATCTCCCTTCTCATAATGAATAAATTTGCTGCATATTCTTTTGTATATCTACTATCCTACCAAACTCTACCTAATTGTGAATGATTATCAATTGAAGATTTGCTATAATTTTCCCTTTATAAATGTAATATGTCAAGAAATAATAACTTTACATTATCAAGTTTTTATTCCTATATTTCAGACCAGGGTATACTATTAAAGACAGGAATGATTTAATTGATTTCAACATCATAGAATGAATAGAAGTCATCTATTGTTACTATGTCTTCTTCTGAAAATCCCAATTTTCTCAAACACATAAAGGTCATACCAGATAACAATCCATTCACATTTACTAGGAGATATGCTTTTTATTCAAGTACTTCTTGAAGAACTGATGCAAATACCACTCTATTATCATTTAATAATGTGACTGTATCAAAGGTCTGTTCCATTTATTTGGATAACCCATTTTATTGCTTCACAAATGTAAGACTAAGATTTCTGTAGTATCTTGCTTTGCCTGTTTAAACAAATCTCTAAACCATAGCAGGGTGTTCTTCCCTTATGAAGTCAGGTAATATATCACAAAATTATATGAGATGGTCATTAGGTTATCGACCAATTATTTTCAGGAAATTACTTGAATGAGATTTGATTTTTAAATTTTATAAATCATCTTGCAATTAAAACAAAACATACATAATCTTATCAGAATAGAAGTCAATAACTTAATTGCTAAAAACATATCTCTATTATTAGTTGTTGTTAATTTGTTTGAATTTTTAAGCCTTTTAGTAACTATTATAAATTCGCGAATAAAAGAAAATTATCATTTATCTCATTTTAATACTTTAGTAAGCCTCATATTTTGAAAGAAGTCTTTCTTCTAAATCTAAAACTTAGGTGAAGTACTTCATTTTGTAAACAAATATTTTATCAGAATTCATAGCATCACATTACAAGAGATAGGTGTAGAATTCTATTTTCAATTTTATTATCTTAATGATCATTTATTAGAGGTCGTCCATTTGAAACTCACTTTTTAAGTACAAATTCAAATAATCAGACATTTACAATTGTTGAGCTGTACAGATGGCATTAGTGAAATTTTCATTAAGATACACCTATGCCTATCTCAATAAGTATTGTATTTTAATAAGTTTGAGTGTGGAAACCTGAAAATTTCTATTCATAGCATCATACTTTAACACTTTCTTGTGTTAATTATTTATAATATCCTGAATTTATGAATCAGCTTGACTTTGCTTCATTTTTTTTTAAGCTCTATTGGTAAGAGATTTCTCACTCGATATTACTCTTACTCTATAATCATTGGATGAATTATTCAAAAATCTATTATAGTTCTTGATGGCTATGAGTACAAATCCTTGTCTCATGAATAGGGTAGCTTAAGCAATTTCATAGAATGCAGCATCTAAATTATGTATATTTCGATTCTCATGGATTTGCTTAGTAATGTTTTTAATTTTAGTGTAAATGAACTACTTAAAAATTTGTTCTGTAATAATGTTGGCTTATTGAACATCTAAGATATTCAAAGTTGGTTCCTTGCAAGAACAACTGAGATTGGAACATTTGGCTTTGTGCTGAGCCCAAATTAGACTGTTTTGGAGAGGTTAAATTTCGTTTTGATAGCAGTTATTTGAAAACTTGACCAATTAATACACATACATAGTGATAGGTTGTTTAGTATTGATAAATATTGAATGGATGGAATTGATTTGGTATTGGTAGTCAGCGTAAAATACAATACTGGCTAGGAGGGGCCAGATTAAGATGGAATTATTTTTTAGATCTATGAATGCATATAATGAGTATGAAATTATCATGGAATTTATAAAGTATAGGATTATTCTTTGAGTCTTATAAATGTATCCTTGATACATGAGTTAATTAGTAATCTTCAAGAGAGCAATGATGAGGGTTAAGGCTATCTAGGCAAATTAGGAAATTTCTTATTTGTTTATTGTTCCAAAGAAAATGATTTGCAGTAATTCAATCGCATAAATGCAAATGTCAAAGGAAGTTACAAGTGACTTTTCAAATCCTCTGATGTGGAAATTGGATGAGGGCAAGCAGATAAAGAGATGCAATAGAGTGTCGATTTCGACAATAAAGAAAATGATGATTCCAAATAACAGTAAAGCAAAATAAGCGGAATTTTAATTTTGAAATTACTTGAGGGTATTACTTATAGCACTAATTATTAATGTTTATATTGGGTAGTGGAGTACAACACATAATAATTATTAATAATATGATGTGAATGTTTTAAGCATGTTTTTGAGAATGCTAGGATTCTTTTATTTTTTTAAATATCTTTAATTTTCATTTGCTAAGTTAAATATGATTCCTAATTTAGCAATAAATAAAAGCACTAGTATTATGTATGGCATAATTAGTAACGCTAGGTTTGGGAAAAACTTGAATATAAGTATTTCGGGCCTAAAAAAGTAAAATATCATCTATTGAATAGTAGTATTTGGTATTTTTTCTTAAAATTAATCATAATCGTAATAGTACAGATAAAATACTGGTTAACACATGCTTACAATAAAAATAAATATCTTAAATGGTTCATAGCAATAGAATAAGTCATTCAACTGGAGCATATTGCACACAATTTGATCTAAGAATTTGGAGTCTTCCTTTTTTATAATTTGTCTCATTTTAATTAAAATTCAAGCTACAAAGAAGAAACAAATAACTCATCAATAAGTGATATTATATTCTGTAAAATATGATAAAATATTCATGTTCAAATCTGTGCCTATGGGAACACATCAGGATGCTATAAAAGTATAGGTAATCAATAAATACCTATCCAGGCCTATACGATGCTGCACTAGATCGAACTCCTGATTTGGACAGTTCGTTCTACTTCTTCTTTAATGAATCCAATTCAGCAGAGGTAACAACCAACTCTTCTTAGACTTGATGATATTCCCTGTTGAGTTCCTAGAATTTGTTCTTCCAAATTTGGACATCATTTGTAAGTTTGGTAACTTCTTCGTAACTTGTATTGCTATTTTAATATTCGTATTCAAGATCCTAATACATTTTGTCTAGTTCATTATATCTCGATTTCCAATCTTCAATTTCTATATTCAATTATTGAATTTGACTTCTCAACCTATCAATTTATTCCTTATCCTCGTTATTTGATTGGATAGTAGGTTTGAAACTCAGTTGATTGGCCTTAAGAGAATCATACTCTGACTTCATTTGTAGAATCTTATTGTCTAATTCTGAAATCTTACTATTCAAATATTTGATGGTTGATTCTTGTTATTGGATTTGAGATCTGAGACGATTGGTTTCATCGTTCTTTTATCTCAATTCATTCTGCAACCTCTCTATTTCTAGTTGTAAATTCTAAAGTTTGCCATCATTTTCAAATTAAGAATTTAACTTAAGTGATTCTATTTCCCTATTTCGATTATCAACCATTTCCTTCAATCTTCTAATCTCAACCTCATACTAAGCAGAATCTCTCAATTATGCTTCAAGTCTTTGGTATTTTAACTTCCATTCTTCAGTTTCAGCCCTTTGACTATTAATGGAGAATTGAGCCCTGTCGATTTCTTATCTCAATTAAGAGAGAGTGGCTTCATATTCCTTAAGTGACAATTGATGTCTGCTGTCAGCCATTGATAACTCTAGAATACGATATCTTTTAGAGAGTTCTTCATTTTGATCTCTGAGTCTAACAATTTCGGCATTTAGCATGGCTTCATTCTCGACCATAATTGCTCTCATCTTATCAATATCTATTTCTGCCTATTATCTTGCTTATTTGTCAGTTGCCATATATAATTTGTGCTTATATTGATCCAATTCCAAAGACATATCCAACAAGCACTTATTTAATCTATCAATTTCCAGATACAATTAATTGATCTAAGTTGAAATAATTTGAATTCTCATACCTTCAAAGTATCTTCAACATAAGTGATTTTTTCAGTGGCCCCAATTCCTCTGAGTCTCATCACTTCTGTTTGACATTCTGTTAATGCTTACTCTAATTGTGAGCATTTGGCCTTCCAAACACTCTCAATCTCATCTCGAGTAACTACTGTAATTGGAGCTTCTCGATGATACATTTCTCTAACATGAGGGTGAGTAACTGTGTGACTCTATGAATTGTCGTTCGGTTTATAGGATTGCTTATTTATTGATAAATCCAATACATAGGGTGGTCGAACAGATTGCTATGGTTAAGAATACCCATATGCCTATCCATATTGTTAAGAAGCTGGACTATATCTCATTTTATACTGTTAAATAATTAATATAACAGAAATTCATCTGATTTTGTTTATAATGACTGAAATCCAAATCATATTCAATACTATTCATTTTTTACCACCTTGTCCTTCCTTCTTTTCATTTTTCATTTTATATATATAGCCCTTTTATTTGAGTTTATATTATTTTCCAATGAAGAGTGATCTTAGAAACAACAGATTTAATTTGTTTTAACTATTTATGAAAATATTATTTATTGCCTCCTATTTAAAGATGAAGACGGTAAGCAACAAAATTAAAATCAACCATTCTTAGAACACATGATGAATCAAATAATTTTATTAATAAATTAATTGTATAATTATGAATTGATTTAATTGAATATTTCCCAATCAGATTCCCCTTAAATTCAAATTTTAAGCCAGAATCGTAAATTAATGAGATTACCTCTCATACAACTATGTAAGTGCTAATGGTTTATTCAGACATTCTTGACTTTCCTTCAATATGATTTTCTCTCCTGTAAAATCTTCCTTATTATACAGTCTGACTGAATATCCTTTGGGTATTTGTATTGATTTAATGTCATGGTCGAAATTGCTATGTTTATTGAAATCTTTACTCAATATCTCTTTGGGATTCGCATAATTTAAGTGACTCTCCTTTGTAATGACATTATGAATAGATTACTATACAATCTTAGTTTTCAGCATTCTATTGAGTTTCAGCTAATGTTTAATAACACTAATACATATGTTGCTTAAATCTTATTAGCTAAGTACTTAAGTACCTTCAGTATCAATCATATCTAATTGTGGGATATCGTTTGAACCCTCTTTATTACAAGATTTCATACTTGAATTTAATTTCCATTGGTGGACATTGAAGTTATTTCTGAATTAAGAGTGGAAACATTCTGATTGTCTAAAATAAAATTATTAGGATCTTCAATAGATTTATTGTTTTCAACATTTTAAATCGTCTCAGTGTTTGAATGGGTGAATGAGTCAGCGAAATCAAAATGTGTCTGCTCTTATTAAGTTTAATCGGCATTTCTTTGATAGCCATCAAAATTAACCATTGTAGGTATGGGATTGGTTTCAATCTCACTCAATTCTACATTAGATTAAGCCAGCACTAAGGCTGAAATAAGAATTATTCCAAACATAGAAGCCTATATTCGCATGGTAAAACGGATTAATTTAATATTATATAATGTTTCTCAAATAAGCTCAATCTCAATTTTTTTATCCTTATCATTAAACACCAATACACCTGGAAAAGTAGTTTAACTGTTTTGGAACATTAACCCCACCAAAGCACAGCTAACATTCCCAACTTTCTATTTCGTCGTGGGTATGATTCTTACTTTCAAATAACTATGGTGATTAATAATATCAAATGTAGTCAACAATGGATTGTTGTCTGTGCCTGGCAAAAAGTACCTGACTTACGCACTTTTTTTATTCAATCTCTCACTATTAAGTAGATAGAAAAAATTATCATGAACCAAAGAGAAATCAATATCTTTGTTATTACTAACATTGAAACTAAAATTCCTTATTTCTTTGATTTAAGGTCCTGAAATATTTAACTCAGCAAAGTAACCATTCCCTTAAATGGTAGTGTAACTTAAATCTACATGCACGATTTAAGAATCAAATATTTAGCCTATTTGGGAGGATGCATTTAAATCTGAAATTTTAATCTTGTGATTCATTTCAACATTCTCATTTATTTAGTCTTCGACAACTATCGAGCCGTAATCTATGATAACAATAATAGGATATGCATACTTCCAATCATCAATTGGTTTCTTTGATATTAGAATAATCTCGACTCTCCATATAATGTATATCCAGGCATTTCTGCAATATAAAATATGGGCTCTTTTTCGTTTGAAATTTATTGAAGGCTTCCTCTATATAATTAGGATAGGTTTTCTTATTAAATAATCAAATAAATGAAATTATTGATCAAAGTGACTTAGATTATTTTCACTTAGTCACAATATTTACTTTCCATCTTAATGCAATTTTTGCTATCAGTATTATCATAGATATCAAATTCAAATTTTAATTTTAAATGGTGATAAAATAGAATTAGTTTAAAATTAATAATTCCTATTGAAGTAGGATTTGTATTTTGGAAGCTTTTTAGATAGATTTGAAAGAATTAATTATTTCTCTAATTTATAGACACTTTTTACATCTGTATTCAATTTCTCAATGAATTCCAAGGATAATTTATCGCTTTTGAGGATCTTTAAATTGAATGTCTCTTATAATTTCAATACATCCTCTTACTAGCTAATTAACGAATGAGTGAAACTTGATTTCTTCATCCTTAAAATCTATTGAGTGGATTTGTCAATAACAAACTAAGTTTAGTCATCTTTTAATTCAATTTACAAGTAAGCCACATCTGATTAAAGTTGTCCCTTAATATGGCATACAGGACAGATAACATATTTTGATCCATCTAACTACAATTCATTTTATAATTGGGGGTCCAATTCATTAAAATTAAATTAGCATCCCTTACCTAAATGGTGATAAGGGGCTGTAAGAGAATTAAGGGTTAATTGCGATGAATTCTGGATAATTCTATAATCCTTGCTTTTCATTAAGGAAGTAATAAAAAATTAATTATAATCATTATAAAATTACTAAATATGGAAAATCCTCTTATATTTGTATATTTAATCATATGTCTTTTATGAATTTAAAATTATCAGGCTCTTTAAGGGCCCTTAATAAATTTTGTCTATATTTTAAATGCCAAGCAGTGTTTGAAATACGTGAATTATATACATAAGCAACAGATTGGTTTTTTAGGAAATACTAGCTAAGATTTAGAAAAACGATATACCTTATGATCCGAAACACTCTATTGAATTCAGGATTCTTTCCTCCGTCAACCCATAGATCTCTAAGCTATTTGATATTGGTCATGGAATTCTTCTTGGTTTTTAATAACTAAACAAAGCTATCATATTAATCCTTCTTCATGAATCCCAAAATCAGTTCTTCATTATTAAGAATGTATGAGATGATTGCTTTTGAGAAATTCTTGGTAATATTCTTTGTGTCATTCACTTTCGATCCTTTCTTTTTTCTGCTAACCTTATATGAATCCGAACTCTCTTAAAATACGCATCTTTTTCTAGTCGTACGTTTGCCAATTTTGATTACTTTTTTGTCATCCTTATTTTAATTCCAACTGCTCTCACTCATATTAACTACTTCACTTTCACATGAGTCTTCCTTGATAAGTAATTTCAACTCTTCTTTTTTAAAATGGTTTAAGTTGGTATTCGCCTGTTATTTTTAAATTGAAGGTGGTCTAATGATAAATTAGGATGGAGAATTAATTTGAGTGACCTTAATCTATCTATCCAAACTCTTGTTAGAATATGGCGGTAATTCGTTTTGTTGTGGTTGTTGCTAAAAAGGATAAAATGATTATCTAGGGGAGTTAAAAAAATAAGACATCATGGGAGTGATTTGTCTATTTTAGGATTAAAAGATATCAAAAGGTTTGTGGATTAGTTTGCTATCAAGAGAACTATTGACAAATGGTCCTCTCAGATTGTTCAACATAAAATCATTGTTGCCATCATATGATACTCGTTGGGATATATCAAAAGTAGTATATTAAGGGTTGAAAAATAAGTTGTTTGATAATGGTTAATCAGACGACAACTATTGGACCTGGGGATCAAGTGAACTTTAGACTCTCAATCTATACTATCGCATGGGCTCGAATGAAGCATCCACAGAGGCAATATCTAAAGGCTTTGCAATATAAGGAGTGAATGACTTCGCATTTTTCTTAATTCCTTCGGACATATTTATTATTATGATATAATGATAAAAAATAAAAGAAAAATGTTGATAATTCAAATAGTTTGATGATTATGCCCTGATTTTAATGTTACGATTTCTCGTTGTAATTTAGCAATATATTACAGAAGGACTTTTTCTCTGTTGTTATACGAATCCAAAATGAGTTTCATCTTGTTATAAATAGCCTAAAATTATCTATTAAGTCTCTAATTTTAATAAGGGTTCTTCTTTCTAGTTTTAACTTAGGAGTCCCCTAATTCTGAGTAATCGATAGATCTCGTGATGTGTTTTGGATCTATAAATTTTCTGTAAATTTTAGATGATTGCACAGTGGTTGGTTGTTGAGACAAAGAAAATCGAGGTTTACGATCCTGAACTGTATCTACACTTTTAGCCCTAGTTTTAGAATTGAAAAGGATACTGGAGTGAAATCATTGCAGGCGTTTGAATTTTAATTGCTGCACTATATTAAGATCTAGGTTTCACTTCAGGTACCTTTTCAGAATCGATAGTTTTCGACATCCAATCAGAAATCGTAGCATATCGTTGTCTCACTTTGAATCGTATATCATCATCATAGTTCTTCAATTTCATTTTCTGTCTTTTTAATTAATCTTGTATAAAACAGAAAAAATATTAATAAGGTATGAAAGTTCAGATCGATGATGCCATGTATATATTGGATCCGTAATTCAAAAATCAATCCGAATTGTTGAATCAACTATACGATCCTCGATCATAGGAAGTAGAACTCCCTATTTAAAATAGCCAATTTAATTGCAAAGTCAATATGTCAATAAGGAAATTTGGAGGATTATTGAACGCTACTATGTGTTGAATAACTTTAAGCCTAAACAAACAGAAGTCAATTGTAATTGATTTAAATATGGGAAAAGGCGATGACGAAAGCATAGTATTTGCACCTCAAGATTTAGAAGTACTCAGAATGATAAAGAATTCAAACATATCAATTCATAAGTTCCTATTGGCAGCCAGATATCTAAATTTACCTTTGTTTTAGGGTGTAATCATTTGGACATTATTAGATCTGTTAATTAGTAAGTTGGCTACAGAATTTTATGTTGATGTTACTAAACCAAAACAATCTCTTGACAATCTATGTAAGAAATACCCTTAAGTGCCTGTGGTCACTAAAGAAGAAATCAAATAATATAATTAAGTGTTGTAATACTTAATTTGAGAATGCATTTTCAATCCAATGTTCAATAATAGCCATATCGTGTGCTGTTCTTAAAACTTTAGTCCATGTTATTTTTTCTATACAGTTGACTTGCATTCTACTAAACCTAAGGTCTTGTGCCTTATTATTAAAGTGTTTTGTAATAGTTTTAAATGATCTTTGATGATCCCAACCCCGAAAAGTCACTCTGATGAGTTTCCCTTTTAATTAACAGCATTCTCATACTTAAATTGTTTGAATCTCATATATTCCAAGTAGTCCTAGTAATCCTATTGATCCTCAACTTTCTCATGACGAATCGGTTATTGATACTGATATTAAGGTTGCTGCTATTAATATGGATCATAATATTAATTTGAATAATTCCAATACGGTGGCGGTCTGATTCATAATACAATCTTACTAATAATATTGTTATGGTGGATCGGTATTTACATGCATTCTATTCATAATACTTTTTGCTTAGAAGCATACTCCATGAATATCTCTTGCCAACGATTAAACAGTTGCTAATCATATATTTATTTAATACGTTCCTAAGGCTTCTCTTCTTCTTCTTCTTCCTCTTCTTCCTCCTCTTCCTCTTCTTCTTCTTCCTCTTCTTCGTAATCTATACATAACATTTATTTCATACCCTCTTCGTCACTCATTTATTATAAAAATAAATATAATGCAATCAGTTTAATAATTCTACCTTTAAAATAACTTAAGAACCCACCTTAAAATCATGCTTAACATCCTTTAGATGATTCTAATAAACTCAGTATCAATGAATATCTTAAACTCTATTTGTGAATAATAGTATTATAAATGCAATATATCATTTTTTCCAACACTCTCCCCTCATCTCAAAATCTATAGATTGCTTGGTTCATCTCATAAAAACGTTAGTTATACAGTCATAAATATAATAGAATCAACCACTGCTTATTTTTAAATATATTTTTGTATTAATTATTTTTATATGAATCAAAGTGAAGATTACTTTCAATTGTCTTACAATGATCACAATCTTCTATATAAAAAGTGGCGTGGACCTGGAAATTCAATGCACAGTTAACCACTGATTAAAATTGAAGTTGATCATAAATAAAAAATGATGTTGCAATTGCCTGATGTATTCATGACTAGTAGACAAAATAAATAAAAAGTAACTGAACCTTAGAATCTAGTAATCCTTTTGTGAAATTCCTAAAAAAAACAGAAATTCAAGTTAAGTAAGTTTTAACAGTTTAGAGGTTTCTCCTAAAATTACAAAAATGAATAAAAATAAAAAAGATCAAAAATATAAAGATCTTTCAGAGTTACAAAAGAGTCATTGTCAATTTAAGTGATTATTATAACATATTCCAAATAGAAAATCACTTAATAAAGTAAAGAAATCGCACTTAGTGGCCAAAAATAATAGTGAGATCAATACAATCCATTCAAACTCGTCCTTCTACTTAAATGGAGTCAAATTACCTTACAGTTTGTACATTATCAACAAGAATCGTTAATTGGCCATTGCTAACTTAATGAATTAAGCAAATCCACATGCTTATGAGTAATCGTAATAGTAGATCTAAATGATTGACAACTAAATCAAATAAGTTCGTAATATTGGCCCTTATTTCAGGGATCGAAAATCAGTGCAAATAAAAAGTGAAGGAATACAGAAGTCGATCTTACTTACAAAATGCTTATTATTCAATGTTATGTGTGAACTCTGATTCCAAGAAGCGGTTGAAGAAGATTATACATCGACAATTCCCTTAAGAGTCTCGTTTCTAGCAGTTATGAAAAAATTATATTATATATATATATTAATATTTGTTAATAATGATAACTACGCCTAATTGCATTGAATCCAAAGTTTATGAAGTATAAAATAGCACTCAAACACTAAAATCAGAACAAGAGGAATTCAAATAAATTTTACTAAAATTGTGGATTTAGACATCGAAATCCTTTAATGAAGACTTTGAAGAAATCCTGTAACTTGCTATTAATTCAGATATCTAAGACGTCGTGAATTCTATACTTATTATTGAGGAGGCAAGACTAGAGCAAATTAAAGTATAAAATTATTTTATATTTTTAAGAGCGATAGATAATACATTTAACTTCTTAAAGATGAAATCCAAGCATTGAAATAATAGACAATCAAAATTCTGTAAATGATGAATTAAGAGAGACGCAATAACAATACAGACAATTAAGTGAGTTAGTAATTCAATTAAAATAATCAAATGAAGAAAAAGAGCATTAAATTTTGGAATAGACTAAACTTAACTAATAACTATAGATTGAACTCAATCTATTGACATCTTAAATAACTAACTTATCATTAACTTTGGTTAACTCTAAAGGAGAAAAAATATAGTTTATGGAATCATCTTAAAAAGAAATTAAAAAATTGATGGAGAAAGATCTACAACAAACCAAAATGATCTAAGCTCTTTAGATCCAAATAATTGAATTGGATGCTATAGTTAAATAGACGAGTCAAAGAAACTCAGTTGAATCTTCGAATCATTAGATCTCTCAAACTTAACGAGACGAAGATCAAGCCAGACTACTAAATTGTTCACCAAGTACGATTTCAACATAATTTAAGGAACAACTCACATTGATTTTTCGAAAATAGTTTTATAAAGTCTCCTAAACAAAAAGACCGAGATGGTTTCAGGATAATCGCTTTCCTAAATTCCATACAGATTTGGAAAATGACAATCATATATATAATTGTTTAATAATGATATTTATAAATCTATCTATTATAAAATAAAATGAGTCCAGTATTAGATAATTTAAAATGTTATTTTCAAAATTTATAATTTTAATTAATAAAAAAAATAAATAAAAACTCTGCGGTTGTATTCTTATTAAATAGAGATTCATAATAATTTATTCATTCCCTTCTCATAAGGTTATAATTCTATTTTATATTTTTACTTTTTATTCAAAATTACAACATCATCTTCCTTTTTTATGGGTTTTCTTTTTTTAGCACCTTTCTTCCCTTTATTATCTTACTTTTCTTCCACCTCTTCATCTTCTTGTTCATCTTAACCAAATATACTAGTTTATGTGTAACCATTCTTAGGCAAGGAGTCATCCTCTATTATAATTGGAGATAATTCTTAGAAATTTTCTTTTTTCTACAACTAAACTTATTTTGAAGGCATCAAAGCAGCATTAGATTTATTTACTTAATTTATATTAGTCTTAGCTATGTCAATTCTAAAATCTTCCTGAAATTTAGTAAACATCTAGCTAATATCAAGTCCAAAATTAGTGCAATACAATTATTCACATTTTGTTGTACCATCAAAATTTTTAATGATTGAATCTCGAATCTAAAATATCAGGGAATCTTAATATTCTCTTTGCTTTTTCACAATTTATAATATTCTGTTATTATACTATGGTACGATGTTGTCTTTAAATTTCTCGATTGTCTTCGGATATAAATCATTGAATAAATTCGACTTCTCCTTATTAGTTGATGATAAAAAGTTATCGAGTATATTTAAGAAATCTCCTTATTCTATGATTTAGAAGTTTTATTGATACAACTTAGTAGATAGCTTAAAATATGAGAATCTATCATTACCATATTTGAGAACTCATTCATCATATTTTGGTTTTGGGAATTAACCTCAACTTTGCTTTTTAAGATGTTATCAAATTATTGATTAATCAATTACGCTTATTCTTTTCGTTTTTGTATTTATGCTTATAGATTTGATTTCTTCTCCCAAAATTTAAATATTTAATCTGGATTGGAGACTCTATCAGCGAATTTAGTTTCAATATATCTCATTCTCATTATTTCAAATCCAGAATATTCTACTTTAACTCTTAGCAATGGTTTTTTCTGTCTAAATGAACTGGTTTGATAGTAATTTACTAATTCTTTTTCAACAAAGTCAAATAGTAGTTTTTCAGCCATCTCCTAATTACTAAGATTTTAATTGTTTTCAGCGGTATTTATCAATTCACTTAACTCTACACTCTTATAAATCATAGGTCTATAGCTTTTTTCAAGTTTAATGCTTTCAAATTTCATTTGATTCTTTGTAAGTGTAAACAGCCCTGCTTGTTTAATTAGTGATTCATATTCTATTATAGATGTAGCAACAGTGCTTCCTGGATAGAATACTTAATAGTGCTCACAAGTATCTAAGGTATAAATTCTATGATAAAATCAATGAAAATGTTACGCTTCATGTTCATGACCCCAAATCAAAAGATCAATTTTGTATTTTTTAAAATAAATTGGATCAATAAAATTCTTTTCATCCTGAAAATGATTGCCTTTATATTTGTTCTGGTGAATGATTAGAATATTAAAATTATTTTGGTCTAATGAATCCAACACCAATTTTCCGTCATTTATTATTTTGTGTAATTAGTAATCCTTCATATAACCTAAACCATAGAGTGCAATCTTTTAATTATTCTTAACAAGAACAATTGGTTTTATACAAACATTTGATTAATCAGTAATTTTGCCAATATAATTTAAATATTTGGATTCATGTAGTATATCTAAGATGGATACACTTTCATTTCTTTCGGTGACAATATCATCATGATTACCATTGATTATGAAGATTGGTAATTGCACATTAAAATTAGAACAACTAAAATTAGGTTGATAATTGAGTGAATTGACTTCCATTTAAATTCCGCCAAAATTATCTCCAAACACATGTCTTTGTAGGATATCAACACATTTGAGTAGACAATGTTCTGTTGGGTGTTTCTCGTGAAATAAATCCCTTATTTTAGACACAAATCATACCCTCCCAATATAACAAAATCTACATTTTATTGTGAAGCTATTTAAAGGACTTCCTCGAAAGCGTCAAAAGCATCTTAATATCTATTGGATTTTGGTCCCACATTTTCATTTGCTCCAAGATGGTTATCTGAAGCAACTAAAAACTTAGATATAATTGTTAAAGCCAAATACTTTGATGAATTGATTCCTATTGATTTACATAAATAATAAAATTTTTAGAATCGAATAATAATGATAAATAAAAAAAGTGCAATAAATCACAGTTTATTATTACTTTTTAAGTTATTAAGCTTTTTATATTATTCGCTATCCTACTTGTAGGAGGTGAGATTTCTAAATATTGATATAGATAAGAATAATACCCAAAATTGATAATATTTTCATTTCCTTTATTTATTTGGTTAGGTTGATCAAGAATAAGTTGTTATTTAATGAGTTATATGGATTCTTCATTTCTTCGAGTGATTTATTCCAATTACTCGAGTTTTTGGAGAGATTGATAGCCATACTAAAAACTATGGATTAATCAATTACATCTTGTTATTTTTTGCTTTCGCTCATGAAATCACAGAGTTGATGCTGTATATTTCTATTGAATTAATCTAATTAATCTTATCTCATTTTAATGGTATTTATATCCTTTTACATTTTATTCATTTGTAGTTCCATCCTTCTATAAGATTCTTATTACTCAAGATTCAACTTCTTTTTGCTATCTCCCCTTAGTAGAGTATTGAATAATGAACTGGATAACTCAATTTTAGATTTTTAATGTTGATCAGATTTTTGTTTATGACTATTTAATTTGCTCCCATTTAATTCTGCTCTATTCCTATCAGGTGTCAGACTGGAACTTTCATTTTTATTATTAGATTAAGATATGATTTAACTATGTTTTTTTTGTAGTTCATTCGTGAAGCTAAGTTGTTTATTTTTATCCTATGAATCGCTATTTAATGTTTTTTAAGTAATTTCCTTGATGGGATGACTGCTTTTAATCATATATTAGATTTGTGAAATGAGATTAGAGCAGGAGCCTTGGTTTTTTAGGTTTTCCTTCTATTCTTGGGATCTATTGTTTTTGATACTTGATTCAATAATTTGAGTCTTTTTGGCTGATTGTATTGATTATTCTGTTGATGATGCAATGTCAGTCTACTCTTGAATTTAGAATAGCACATTGCCAAAGCTTTGATTCTTTTGCATCATTTTGTGTGTATTATTTTCTTCAAGCAATCCTGAAATTTTGGAAGTTATAATTTGTTAGAAATCATTATTGGACAATGCCCGTCTGTGATTATTTTTTGTCTTATTCATTCAAATTCAAAATAAATAATAATCGATTATATATATATTGGATTAAATAATGTTTGGATATAAACTCTTCACTATCGTAAGAGAAAAAACTGTTGTCATCGTAGAACAATTAGGAAAATATAACAGAACTTTGCAACCTGGATTGAACTTCCTAATCCCACTCATTGACCGAGCAGCATACACCTAATCCTTAAAAGAAGAAATCCTGCCAATTGAAAAACAATAAGTTATAACCAAAGATAATGTTGCCATCCATCTTGATGGAATTGCATTCATCCGTATTATCGATCCATTTAAAGCATCTTATCAAGTAACTTGCTCTTTTCATTTTAATAGGTTAGTGAACCTTAAAATGCAATCAAATTGTTGTGTTAAACCATTCTCAGATCAGAAATTGGTAAATTGAAATTAGATCAACTTCTACAAGAACGTGCTGCTTTGAATCGCGCACTCTAAAGTGGTCTAAGTAAAGCTGCAGCTGAGTGGGGATATACTAGTTTGGGTGTTGAAATACTACAAATTGAAATACCTGAAGAAATCAGAGTATCCATGTAAGCCTAAGTCGTGGCTGAAAGAAATAAAAGAAGAGAAATCTTAGAAAGTGAAGGCAAATAAATTAGCGAAATCAATATTGCGACAGGTGCTAAAACTGCTGCCATCAAAATTGCTGAAGGAGATGCAGAAGCTGTTAGACTGGTTTCTCAAAATGAAGCTAAAGCTCTTACTTAAATTAGTGAAGCTCTATAAGAATAATCAAAAAAAAGAGTCTTGGATTATATTCTTTTATAACATTACTTAAAAGGATACTCAAGCATTTTGAAATCCTCCAAAGTTGTAGTTGTCCCTAAAGCAAAAGAAGGATAAGGAAACGATTTTATGAGTTTGGCTGCTATGATGATGTTTAATAATTAAAATTCTCCAGTCCAGAAAATCATTGAAATTCCTTCAAAACCAAGTGATGGAATTAGTAATTCTTCAGTTTCATAATCAGAAATAAGTAAATTGACTTAAGACCAATTGGATAATCTTATTAAAAAGAATGTTTATTATAATGATCCGAGGTAGTTATTTAAATATTTCTAGGCTTTATTCAGATGATGAAGAAAAAAGAATAAATTGAGTATTAAATAAATAAAATAAATTTATAAATACCCTTAATTAAAAAACCTCTAAATTGCTTAATTAAATAGATAAGATATTCTACATCAAAACTTAAGAAAAAAGCATAAATAAATTATGGATCTCCTTCATTTTATATACTAGTAAGATTACACTGTCTTTTACATATGAATTATTTGATTCTGTATTTCATTTTATTATTTTTATTTTATTCATGAAAAAATAAATTATTTAATAATTTAATAGAATTACAATTATTAATCAGAATCTATTACTTAAGGATTGTCATCATATAATTAATAAAAATAATGACCAATTTCAAATTAAAAATAAGGTGTAAGGAGCATAAAAAAAACAAATTAATAGGTATGTGTAACAATAGTTCCTGCTTAAAAGACCCTCTTTTCTGTATCGAATGTCAAAAAAAAAATCATTCAAATCATTTATAGGATTTAAACAACTTTGGTGATCTTGAGCTTTTTCTAGAATAATTAATCTATAATTGGTCAATTTAAGAAAGAATTACAAGAAGTGCGAACTAAAAAAGTGAAATTTCAGAAGTTTAATTAGAACAAAAAATTAATGAATTTATTTTAACAAACAATTAGATTTAACCCATGGAATCAGTTGATTTGCAGTTAAATTTAGAAAACAATTAATTGGAGAAATTATAAAATTAAGAAATATTAATTTAAGAAAAGTTAGAACTTCATTAGTTTTAAGAAAAAGATCAAAGTAAATATCATGAAGAGATAGTTCTTGTGTAATATAAATGTTCAAAGTGTTAACAATGCTTTAATGATCCTTTGGAGAAGATTGAAAACGAAAATTATTGTAAAGAATGTTTAAAGTGCCATGAATGCAATGGGTTTGAGCCAAAATAATCGGTAGGATCATTTTTTTTTCATGATGATTCTTTAAAGATATCATAAAATTCAGTACTTAAAAAAGAAATGATTGCTTACATAAAGAAATATTTTGGTACCAGATATAAAAAAGCTGATATTAATGATAAATCAATATTTTTTCAAGCTGAACGATATCCTTGTTTATAATTATAATATTACTCAGGATATGTAATTGGGTATAATCATCCAATTATTAAAAATAAATTAAAAATTGATCCAAATAGATATAGTTTAAGACAAGAATAGGCTGATAAATATTTAATTGAAGATTTAGATTAATTTGAAAGAGAGCTATATGTTTATTATTTAAGATGTGGCAGAAAACCAGATGATATTCCAGAAAATATCAGAATGCTATTGCTTTTTATTCTATTCATTTTTAAAGACTTCAATCTTGTTCTTAATTTAGCTAATCAATAAACTTATAACTATCTCTTTATTGAAATTTCTAGATACTACTATTCAAATGCTCAGTAAATTCTAAAAGGTAAGGTTGAAAAGGCATTAGATTTCTTTAATGATCGTTTTCATAAAACAGATGGAAGCATTAGAGAAAAAAATGTAATTAATTAGATTAAGAAAATGTTACCCACCTACAAATGAAACTGAGTATTATTCTAATTTTTTGATATACAACAACCAAAATCAGATTATATATTTATTATTAACATTTTTTTTGTCCTTTCTTTTCATTCAGATGGCATTATCTTAAAGTATGATGCTGATTTTAATTATTTATATTAATTAAGCTTAATATATATAATTTTTAAATTGAATATATTTCCCCATAATATTAGAATTTATGATAAATTAAGAGTACTTTGAACCAAAAGATATGATTTAATAAAGCAGTATATATTTCTGAAAGAGAATCTATGATTATCATAACTAAATTCTACTTAGATGTAATAGATATTGTGGCATTAAATTTTTGATTAAAAAAAAAACTTGTAATTAATGCACATTTGATAGAATATGAGAATTTTAAGGGTGAACTATGAACTGATTGGATGATCTACAGATTTTATACAATATTTGAATAAATTATAAAGTAGATAAATAAATCAAAGTCTATGTATATTAAATATTATTAAATATATATTATTATTCAATATTATAAAATAAATATAGAAATATGAATAATGGTAATCTATTTTTGTCAACACTTTGTTATTTTGATATTAGCAACACTACATACAATATTTCATAATATTCTATCCCTTTATATATGTTTAAGATTTTATAGATAAAATAATATCTTGATTCTATTTCTCGTCAATAAAAAAATTAATGATGTTCGAAAGTACCTGTTAATTTGAAAGCCATGAATTAAAACCAATTTTGGGAGTCTGCACAAACCTAACATGCAAAAATTTTAGACCTTATTGTCATTAATGTCTGATAGAATTTCACTCTGATCACATTACAGAAATTAGGGATTTACAATAAATATCCTTTTGGGCTTAAAGTTGTGCTCCATTATAAGAACAGTTGATTTAATCAATCAATTAATATAGTAGCATAGTTGATAAACTTACAAATCTGAAGAACTCTTTAGAATTCAATACTTAAATTGATCTATCATTACTTAGATTGTCAGATTTAGATAACTATATAACTTGTGTAGTTAACTTATCATCAATTTAAGATTTCATTTAAGAAATCTTCAATAAGTCACAAGATTAATTAGAAGTGGTGAGTATTTTGTGCAAAGAAACGATTTCATTATAAAGTATCATTTTATACAATTATAATTTAAGAATTTAAAGAAAACATATATTACCAATAAGATAAGCCAGAAGAACTATAGGTTGAATAAATAGAAATAATTTCTGAAGCAAATGAGAACTAAAAATAATCAATTGAGAAGCAGCCAGATCTTCAAATAGTTTCAGATGTTGATGACTCTAAAATGAGAACTCCAGAAAAATAAAAGAAAAAAGAATAACCAAAACCTAGGAATTCAGAATAGAATCGAAAGATACCATCAAATTATTATGTCCCTACTGCTTAAACTAGATCTTAGTCTTACAAAAATTAAATCTCTGCAACTCAATAAAGAAATAGCATAAGTAATCTAAAAAAATCAAATATCCAACAAAAACCAAAATAATTATACGTAAATACTTTTTCATTATCATCAAAAGAACAAAGCAATTTATTGTAAATATTAGGAAAGAAATCCGAAGATGATAATAAAAAATCTATAAAAACTCAACCAAGTGAAATTTAAGTTCCTTGTTTTCAGGATTAGATTGTTATTTAATAAAAAGAACTGTCTCCCCCTAAAGTATAAGGATTTAGATTTTCAGAAAACTTAAAATCTTAGAGGATTAAATTATAGAAAGATTGCAAAATAGCAATAGGTTTTGGAGGATTTTGTCTTTGTGAACCTTCCATTCCAATGGAAGGATAAAGTACATTTGAGATTATGATTGATAAATGTGATCTAGTATACCTTGGAATTTGTAACAAATATGCTGTTTAATCTTATGATTATGAGCCTAGCATGCAAGCATTTGACACTCATGGGTATTTGTCTTCATCATCTATAACATTAGTTCCTATCTAATTAGTAATAATGGATTTTCATATTCTTGCTTAGAATAAGAATTTAACAATGTCAAATAGAAGTTGAATTTTAGTTCAGGAGATAGAATTACGATTATTGTGAATTATGTGAAATCCTAAATTACATGGAAAACTAAATATAAAAATCTACTTGTATTATATTCGTTATTATATTACAGACTATGAGATTTGATAGTACTAAGGAAATGTATGTATGTGTCAAATTTTAAAAACTGAGATTTTCAAATGAGTCTTAAGTAGAAATTTTGAATTATGAATTAAACAATTGATTATTATATAATATTTAAAATGAACAAATTGCCTTATCAACCTCTTGGTTTTGTGTTAAAATTCGATCCACCCATCATTGGATTGTTATACCATCCCATCGAGAATAAGAAGGTGAATAAGAAAAAGAAGAAGTGTTATGCTATTCATTTGAATAATTTGATCTTTTTGGTTGAGCCTGAAGATATTGTAGAGGCATTGTTTAATGAGCATCAAGAGTTCTTAGATCCTGATGTTGTCAAACCACAACAAGTACATTTGGTCATTTGATAAGGTCTACAAATTGGTGTTGCGATTAGTTGCTTACAGAGATCATTAGTTAAGAAATATGCAAGAAATGGGAGAGGAAATGGGTACTTTTATTTTACCATATTCAAGGTGATGGTTATTATGATGAGGAAGAGGAAGTACCTGTCTAACAACCAAAAGGCAAAGGAGGAAAAGCACAAGCATAATAACGAAGACCTAATGATAATAATAGATCATTTTGATTTTTTATATTATAACGATAATTACAATTTGAATTTAATTTATGAGGAGATAAACCCTCAAACAAGATCTTTATTCACAAATCTCGACAATCGGACAGTCATCCTCATCAAAAAGGAGCAACCTCAATATTGATGATTTGATATATTAGTTCAAAATGAGGAAATCGAATTACAAATTAGCAAAACAATACTCTGAGATCATTAAAATATTTGATAACAAGCAATCACCCAAATAACCCTTTGAATATTAAAGTGGTCAATTACAAACTAAAGTTAGATTGCGAACAGACGAATCCTAGGAACTACTATAATTGCAGGAAACAAAATAAAGACTGTCACATTAAATAGACATTCATCAAATAATAAATGAGACATCTCCTATTAAGATTACTCCCAGACTAAATTATGAGAATTTCAAGACATTTTAAGAAACTGAAAGAAAATCATATGAATCAAATAATTATAATACACATTTGGCTAATTTCGGTCCTTTATCTTCTAATCAATGTGAAACAGATGAAGAAATATAATAGATTTCATAATAAAGTGTTTAAAAACTATCAAAATTTAGAACTTTAGAATAAGAGCAATTTTAAAAATGTTTCAATAAAATTAGTTCTCAAATTGAATAAGTGAATATTAAATTCAAAAAACAAGGGTTCTTAATGATTAAATTATTTTCTAAATGGACCCTTAAGGAAAAAGCGACAAAAATGTATTTTAGATTTTTTGAACGCAAGATCTAGTCATACTTTGATCTCTTTTAAATTTATGAGCCGCCAATAGAAGAAGATCATAATGATAATCAAAATACAAATTAAAGTATATTATTAGAACATGTTTTGACCCCAATTAATTTGAACATTTAAAATTTTTAAATCCCTACTCTTAAACCTGTAACTTCATTTGGAGCAATTAATGTATGATATTTGAATAATAATTTATTAGTTTGAGGAGTATTTGAAAAAGAAGAATCAGAATATTGAATGAATGTGTAATATTGATTTACTTAATTTATTAACAAATATAAAATATATTCAAAAACAAAAATAAAATTCATATGACCCAATTAGATCCATCTTCGAAATATTTTTATATTAATTTATTATGGAATCTTGGATATTCAAAAAACTCGTCATATTCCCATATATTTTTTTTATTTGGATACAAACACTTAAATTGACCAAGTCGTAGTTATTCTTCTAATGATTGTAGCATCACATCCAGATCTTCCTAATTGACTTTTTATCTAAAGTTTCTTGAATTTATTGATTAAATTTCATTGATATTCCTTTCGTATAGTCTCTTTTTTATTTATACTCTAAAAGCCTTTTTATAATGATATTCCACTCCTATTAAATGCAACATGTCTGATATCAATTTAGTTTTTATTTAAGCATCCAAATCTGATGCTGAGTTTAAAGAAGGACTAACATTCACTTCCAGTAACCAAGGCTTCAATGTTTCATCTATCAAAATATCGAATCCAAATAATTCAAAGTAATTATTTTTATGTTCAGAGGCTAATAATTATAAATAAATATAATTACTTTTTCCATTTCTATCAAGTAAAAGAGGTTCAGCAGCAATGCAAGTCTTCAATACTACATCCTCAATAGATTTAAATAAAATCTTATGGTTAATGCCTTAGGTAGTTAATTATTGCTTATATTCCTTATGCGACCATTTCGAAGCTTTTACTTATTACTCTTTATCCTAATTATTAGCTATGAAATTAGGAGATTGCTTATTAACTGAAAAATTGGTTAAATGTATGAATCTCTTCTTGATGTCTTGACTTTTCAGTGAATATTCTTAAGTGGCAAATCTGACCAATCCATCTTTATACATATAAACTCGTAAAGGATCAATGGAAGTGATCAAAACATAGACTCTAAGATCGTATTTAAAATTGTTAATTAGATGAGGATTGGAGATGTAATCCATTACTAAATATCTTTTATCTGCAGTCAATTTAGTTTTCTTATTGATTAATTTGATTCCATTTCCTCTAGCAGAAGCAACTGGCTTTTTAATCCACAAAGTCTTTTTTGGAGCGGATTCTCTGACTCCTTCAAATCTCTCAAAATCATACTGCAATAAATAAGTGTTTGGTATAAAGTAGTATTCAGTTGGAAATTTTCTTTTAACCTTAGAAAGATGGATCCATAAATTATCCTTTCTACCTACACTCCAGCAACCAGGAAAATGATTTGTTTTTTAATACTTCTTCATTTCTTTTAAGGTATCCTTGCTTGCTAATCCCCAATAAATTAACCAATTTTCTTCATCGATTCTCTCAAATCCCGCTGCCTCAAAAGCGCTTAGAATGCATTTGAATGGCACTTATCCTTAGAGTTTATAATAGAGTGGTTTTTTGATCTGCTCTACTAAAAATTGTTAAGATCTTGTTTCCTGAAGCATTTCTTAAATATCATATAATTGTACATGGATATGGGAAATAGATGGTATATATGTGAGGTCTATAAGGAGATTGCCAAACAAGGTGATATTGTTATATGCTAGTTGTAGTTGATGGTTCCATCAAGGAACAATCGATTTCTAAATTTCTCTCGGTCAACACTTTATTAGTACAACTATCGGTTTATGAGAATATTTATTTTTGTTTCATCTGCCTTGTTATTAATGATCGGTTGCGCATTTTAGGTTGCTTTTAAATGACTTTGATAGTGTTATTTTATGATTGTGATTATGACGTAGCTCTAGAATGTATAGTTAATGAAGATGTAGCTAGAGGGGCATAAACAGTTTATACTTTTCTACTCTCTATTTATACCCTTTTTTACATTTTATTAATTAAAATAAAATCATTAATTGTGCTATGACGATGTATGCCATGGTAAGTCAATATTATATAATCGCTTAGTAGAATTGGAAGAGCCATAAAATACAGTGTTTTAATTCTTTTTGTCCTATTGTTCATTCTCAAATATTTCGATTTCTTCATCCAAAATTTATGGAATCTAAAATAAAAAGGATCATTTAACCTTGGTTTGCGATAATCTTGGTTTCTAGTATTCTTGATTACTAATTGCTGTAATGGGTCTAGACATTTTGTTGTATGTAGGCATCACTATAGCAGTTGATGGTCTCAAAGATGTTTAAGATTGAACTGCTAATCTGCCACTAGTATTTCTCCTCATAGATGCTTTCGTACTGACTGCACTGGATGCTCGCTACAGATATTCAGTCATAAAGGCTGGATCCTGCATCATCTTTTTATGCTATTAAACATCCAATCTAATATCATCGATAGCTTCGGAGATTTGTATTTTTTAAGTTTATTTCTAAAATTGCGGATGCTCTTTTAATTATTTAATAGTAGGTATGCTCTTTCTTGACTCCTCTTATTATAATTATTTATTATGTTAGCCACTCTGAGATTACAAAAATTCTTTTGAGCCTGCAAATTCTTCTAATAATTAAACTCTCAACATCTTTCCATTCAATTTAGAATGATTCAAAATTTATTAAGCATTTTTTAATTTGGATTTGATTTCAACATATAATTCAGGATCTCTTAAGAGTTTTTTAAATTCACCAATGCCAGCATCCTTATTTTTCAAGAATTGCTGATGTTTTTGTGTCCTTTTTTAAATATAGTATTCATTCCTATCCTTTAAGGATCTGCCTTTAAAAACAGCCTTGTCCATATTATATTGATAATTCATATAATGTTGAATTTTGGCATCTGGATTCTTGGCAGTTTTATACCCAGTTTAATCAACAACATAGAGATTGTCCTAAAGTAGTGTAATAATTAAACCATTTTTGGGTCTCTGGTTAGATCCATTTTAGTTTTGGGAATCTTTTCATAATAAGCCCATCTATCAACTGTGTTGGCCATAAGGTAGAGAAACTCAAATTCTTAAATGAAACCCTTAATTTGAAGAAAATCAGAGCATCTCTTGATCCATTCTTCCAAAACACTATTGCTTATGGCCTTTCCAATTGCCTGAAGTGAAAATAATGAGAAATGCATTTACCCATAACAAATTGTTAATTTCAGTTGCATTACATGGTACACCTTCACTCATTAATTCTTATTCTCGAAGATGAAAAATAAGACAAGCATCTTTGATATCCTTCATCCTAGATAACGAAGAAGTGATTACGTAAGGAGTCCGTCATGATAGAGTTGGATGGCTGCTTTGATGTTGCGAACATTAAGATGTGTTAAACGTCCATTAAGGAACTGAATTAGAGAATAAGTGAAATACCCTAGGAACTTCATGTAAAAATGAAAGGGATCTAAAAGTTGAGAAGATAGTCTAGATATCAATTTTGATCTTTTCAACTATCTAAATTGAATGTTCTTGTTCAAGGATTTAAACCACCAGGAAAAAGATTGGTTACATCTACATATAATCTGATATGAGCATTCTTAGATCCTCGTATTTGATTTGTCCTCTTGCACTAAATTCGCTTTGAATCCCGTATATTGTAAATTCTTCTAATTGTTATGCTTCAGTCATATATAAATAAATAATTTAATCAATAAAAATGGACTATGAATAGAATAATTATTAGGCATTCGATATTGAGATTGTGGATACTGAGCAACTGAGAATAGAGCATGCAAGATTGAGCTTCATCAGAAAGGTAAGATATTGCCTAATGAGGTGTTTCTGATAATTTTATTTCAAATTGGATTTACTTTCATTACTACATTGATAGCATATTCTCAAATTCCAATAATTGATTACCTTTGCAGTAGACCCTTCTTCTTTTGGATATTTATAGTTGTATTGATCTTGGTGGTATTTTTGCTAATGAGATTTTAAAAGTAAGTTTACATGTAAATCAAGATTAGCCAAACAACATCCCTATAATTACATCTGTTATAGTAGTTTCACACTCTCCATCTCATACATTTTTTGTTACACCACCCATCATTATCCTACCTACTCAAATCATGTCATTTCTTTGATTACACTACAATTTGGCATCATCATTTCACTCCTCGTCTACTCGCACTTCACAGCATCAGAAATCAATTTGAATAAAGGTTTAACATTCATTCTTATCACTATTGCTCTGCTATTCATCTTCCTATTGCTCTACTTCGAATTGTCCCTGAAGTTTTTATTTATTTTATCATTCCTTTTCATCTTGTATGGAGTGCATATCATTATTGATACACTTCTAATTGTCAACGGAGAAGTAAGAATTTAATAATTAGATTAGAAACATGAATTGGACATAGATGACTATATCATTGCAGCCTTGATGACATAAGTTGACATTATTGGACTCATTTCAATACTTTTTCAAAAACTGCTTTCCTAAATTTCAAAGATACAAATCAACAGTAACTGATAATATAAACAATCATTAATTTCTAGTATACTATTGTTTCCACTCCTCACATTCTCTATTCTTCATCTCTATCTAGTATCTCAGAGTTCTATTCTCACTCTCTAAAATCTCAACCTACGACTCCATCTATCTCTTGATCTATTCAATCTGAGATCTCTTGATTTCATCCTTCACTTATTCTGATACCTCCTATTACTTCTGTATCTCAATCAATTTCTATTTCTGACATTCCAACTCCACTTACAATCTTTGTATCAATAACTAATAATTACATTTACTATTACATTATTCTCATTATTTCTTAAGGCTAACTATCCCTTCTATTATCTGCATTCATCGAATTCGTTTGATCTCTATTCCAATAGTTCACTCAATTGATTAACCTAGTCGTTTAATTATTCAATATCTTAATTCTACTCTTAAACGTCATTGTCATATTGCAATTGCAAAGAATCATAATCATTCTACACTTGCTTTAATTAATTTGTTGTAGTCTAATGATGCTAATTCAAATTTTCTAGTGCAATCTACAATTCTTAATTCAATTATGAGCTTTACTATAATTAACTTTAGGTTTAATCCAATTGTTAATTCAATTTTTAAATCTCTTGTAACAATTTATTAATCTATTATTGATATTCCATCTTTATTTCTGATACTGATTTTCTATACTTTTAATCTAAATCCTGGGTGCTCAACTGGTTCTACTCTTATAAGTTGCAATTCTATTCCACTTGTGATTATATCTCATCTTACATTCCTTAGATTAAATCTATTTTATAATTTTAATTAATTACTCTACTATTCTAGGATTTATTAATTTAAAATATTATTCTCATATTAAAGTTATCCAATCCTATCCACTAAACAATCCTTCTCATCCAGAAACTCTTTTTCTTGTGATTTCACTTATTATTCATTTTATTATATTAATTTATTGACTTCTCTTTTCTTTTCCTCCTATAGTTCCGAATACTTCACTTTTAGAGACTCCAATTGTTACATCAAATTCTTTTCTCCTGTCTTAATTTCATTTACAATTTTATCCAATTAGACAATCTCTTATTTTTAAAACTCAATGGCCTGATTTCTTCTCACTAATTCATCTTATAATTTCTAAATTTAATCATCCATTAATTGTAATTGTTCTAAATGTGCTTATTAGATCTCTTATAAATTTTAATTATATTTCTAATCCTTTTGATACAATTGGATTGATGCATCCTTATCCTAGTTCACCTTTTCATGTTAAAGATACTTTAATTCAGATGAATAATCATTCAATTATTGTTTCTAAATATCTATCTATTTATTCAATCGAAGCAATTGGGTATCCTTGTCTCTCAATTTATTGTTGAGTTCGTCATTCTATTATATAGAATTTTTTAATTCTCTGGTCAATTGATCCAAATGTTTCTCATATTCCAACATTGTTTAAGTTTGATCAGATGTGATACACTATAATACTTAGAAATTAGATCTTACTCGTGTCTCTGCTTGTTCATAGCGACGTTTCCAGTTATTTATTTCATGCTATTGCAATTCCACTAAATTCATTAATTTCTTAATCTCAAATTCTGGATTATTAAAGGTATTGCTTTGTTTCATATCCATATCGATGCTCTTCTCAAACTTACTAATGTAATGGGAGTTCCTTAGACTCTATTAGGATTTCTGTAAAGTCGATCCTAAAACTCAAACAAATAGAACCTTGCTGCAATTCGTTGTAATATGGACTTTTAGATTGCGTATTTGGCGATATTGTATTTCTAGATTTAGGTGGTGATGAGGCTGGCACTGGTTTTAAAAATTATGACATCTCTTAATCTTCTAACAGACAATTTATAATATTAATCTCATTACATCACTAAACAATTTATTCTTTAATCATATTTAATTTCTCCTCATAAATTTTATTATTTACAAAATGGCCTCATATATATATATATATTATTTTCTCCCTGGCAACATATTATTCATAACTCAAATGCCTCTACCACTTAAGAATCTACTGATATCATTCATTTGCAATTGTGGAATGCCCACCCAACAAATAAAATGCCTCTCTCCCTATCTAATAATGAATATTTTAGATGTATATTTTATTAATTATAAATATAAGGCAACTGGTATATTAATTTTTTTATTAAATGGGTTGTTCGGTAGCGAAATCAACTTCAAATGAGCTTACCAAATAGCAACAACATCAGTAACTCAGAGAACCAGAAATTTAAGATTAATCACATGTTATAATACCTAAATCAACTTCAAAAAATATTCCTCTCTTTGTTTAACCAAATAGTTGTAGACGCACCTCCGATAATCTCGTTAGATTCAAAACTGAAATTGACTCCAAGGAGAATTTACTCTCTATTAAAAAAAATCCTATTTATCTTAGAAGGGCCAGTTCAAAAACTTAAGCAGATTAGAGCCATGATATATAAGCCAAAGAATGAGAATCAATCGAAATTATCTGATTTCGGTTTTTGTATGATTAACACATTTATATTTCAAAATATCTATCAACTTTCTCATCCTCCCTATACATTTTTATCATTTATATTAGATTTAATATTATTCATGAATTACTCAATAAATAAATACTGAAACTAAATAAAATTGCAATATTTATTCTTAATAACTATGCATATCGTAAATATCAATTTAAACCCAATAATACTAGTGAAATTATTTGGAAAACTAGTCTGAATTATCAAATTAACATTTCCATAATAATTTTACAATTCTTTAATCTAATTATTCCCACAAAGATTAAATGATATTAATTTATTAATTTTCTAAATAATTAATATATTATATAGTACTAATTAAAATACTCATTATTACCTAATTTCAAGCGAGTTATCTCAAAAAGAATTCTACTAACTCTTATTTTTCTATATTAAAATAATAATTAAGAGTGACTTAAATAGGTAAAACAAGGCTATTTTAATTTTAAACCTGTTGAATGATAAAGTAGTTTCAAAAGAATAATGAAAGATATCTTAGCTGATTTTCTAAATTACTTTTATTAAACCCATCATTTTGTGATATTAAAGATATATCCTTGCCTTATATTTTATTCTTTTTTTCTATCTATGTATTGTTTTACAAAGAAGATTGCTGTCTCTTCAATATAGCCTAATCATTTCTAATATCTTAGAAGTATACATATGGTAGACTTATTAAAATTTTGTCTAAAACTACATATATTTATTTTAATAAATCTTTAGTCTTACCAGATCAAGCAAAGCATTTACCTTTTTTGATTATCATATGACATCAATTAGATTTATTTTTAATTCTCACTGATTGGTAAACTAATTACTCATGAGCCACGTTTAAGACTTTATTTCCAATTCATTATAAAATACTGAAAATCCTTTGAGATAGTGACTTAAGATTAATATGAAACATTATTTTTATGCAAATACAAACTGAATATTTAAACTAGAAACAAGGAATTTATCAATGAAAGATCATAGAAAAAAATATCCAAAAAATTTGATGCTGAATAATTAAAAATAGAAACTTTAATCTAAATTAATATTTTTATATTCAACCAAATAAATTTAGTAATAAAGATTTCATATTCTAAGTGTGGGTAACAACTCCTTATTTACTTGCTTAATATTTAATTTAGTTTTTAATAAGAAGAGCAAAATCTCTGATTATATAATAGATTTTATTATAAATATCAATTAACAACAAACAATTGAAAAAAACCAAAAGGATTGATTTTAATTTTGGAACCATCTGAATTGATAGAACGATGGAATCGTAGAATGGTTATTAATAGACAAGAATTATTATCTTGGGCATTATTTATTTAAATGAAGATAAAATATTAAAAATAACTTCATCAAGAGCATCCATCCGTATAAATACTCAACGAAATAGTTTGATCTATAATTATGGATAGATTCAAATAATTATTCTATTTTAACACTCAGAATATCAAGCTAAAAAACTCATTCTAGTTTTTCAATTTTTTCTAACTTATTCTATTTTATACAAATAAGCATTAAGTTATGTTGTGAATTTTATGATAAAGCCAAGTCGAAACTATATTAAACCTTTACTCATCAAAAAAGATATAATAAAACTGTATCGTTTAAGTTTATTTGTCGCATCAAATTTTCTTTAATTATATTTTAATTAATGGGTTGTGGGTCATCATAAGCAGAAGCTCCTGACAAAAAGAAAGGAAACCATTCGGAAAAACATAGTATTTCCTCTCAAGATACTGAGTTAGCTGATAAATAAAAGCTATACCAAAGAGGTATAATAACTGAATTTAGCTTCAGGAAACTATTTACTTAAAAAGGGGAAATATGATCAGGCTATCAATCTATTCAACAGAGTCTTAGAAATCGATCCGGAATTTGCTGATGCATATTATTCAAAAGGTAACTATTTTATTTTATTCAGCCATTGTGGCTTTTGAATAAAACAAAATAGAAGATGCTTTAAATCTACTTAAGGCAACTTTAGAAAAGTAACCTGATCATGTATACGCTTTGAATGAAGCAGGTTATTTTTCAAAAATATTTTAGGGTGTTTAATGATAAAATAACGAAAATTTCCAGAAGCCTTAGACTACTTAGAGAAAGCCTATGCAAAGCAGCAAAACTTCTCAGAAGTGAATTATAGTTTAGGTACTAATGGTTTAATTCTTTGTTAAGCTTATGCTTTATCTAAATTAAATAGAAAAGAGGAGTCTCTAAAATACTATGATTTAGCCATATAAGAGGACTCATAGCAAAAGCATTTTTATATCAACAAGGCTACCACTCTAATTGAACTAAATAAACACGAAGAAGCCCTTAAATGCGTTTCTGAGGCCTTGAAGTTAGATTCAAATTATCTAGATGCATTGATTACACAAGGTACAAAATTTGATGCAAGTATAGGAAACATATATAAAGTTACACAGTAGTTTGATAAAATGTATGGAACATGTTCTGCAATGTTGAAAATAGATAATAACAATAAGTTGGTTTAATAAATGAAAGAGGAAGCTGAAAAAAATTTAAATATTTAAATAACCGATTAACAAGCTAGTACTATTATTCCGATTGAAGATAAGTTAACGTTAGGTAACATTCATATAAAAATGGTTAAGCTGAAAATTTGTATTCAGAAAAATAATATGCTCAAGCAAGAAAAGTAGTTGATTAAATTCTTAAGAAAGATCCTTTGCATTATTAATCACTTCGATTAAATGCTAAGATTTAGGTGGAATAGGGACAATATGGTGATGCTTTGACCAGCCTAAATAAGGCCTTAAGTCAATAACCAAAAGATATAAATGCGCTAAAAGAAAAGGGTAACATAATAGAGGAATATTTATAGCGTTTGTATTGGAAAAGTTGAAAAGATTAGAAGAAGCATTATAATGTCATACTATGATCATAGATGAAGAAACAAATTAAGATAAGAAAGAAAAATAAGGTATTGTTTACACCATTTTCTAGCCAACGTATATATGAAACTTGGAAAGGTGAAAGAGGCTTCAGAAATATTTGAGAGTTTGAATGTAAAACACAATTTGGATGATCCATAAACATATATTTTCAAGGGTAATACAATAAAAGCTTAGATTAGGAAAGTTGTTGTTATCATAAGAGAAATATGATGAAGGAATGACTTTTGTATAGGAAGGACTTGAAAAGAATAAGAACAATATCGAGATTATGTAATTGCTTGCTTAGTTTCACAAGGCAAAAAAAAATGAGAAAGAAGCATTAAATCTTCATTAATAAGTTTTGGATATTGACAAACATAATGATTGCTCACATTTTGAAAAAGGTATTATTAACTGAAAAAGAATTTAGGTGTGATATATTGTGATCAGAATCAATATAAGAAAGCATTAGAATCTCTTTAGAAAATTAATAAGTTAGATTTTAATGAGTTATGTTATTTTTATTTTGGATTGTGCTATAGTAAGATTGAAGATTATAAGAATTGCATAAAGAATTTGAATACTTATGTAAAGCTAGGAAGAGTAAAATTAGAAGAAGCTTACTTTATGGTAATATTAAAAAATATTTATTTTAAGTTAGGTGGAGCTAATTTGTATTTGTTAAGATTTGATGAAGCAGAAGAAAATTATATAGATTGCATAAAATAGAATCCAAACAATGCAGAAGCTCATTATTAATTAGGGAATGTGTATAAAAAGGACAAATAAATTGAAGAAGCCAAAAAGTACTATGAATTAGCTCATAACCTTGAACCATATAATGAAACATACAAACAGACTTATGGTATAATTAATTCAATATGATAAGAAACTTTTGTGAATGAAAAAAACTACTTAGTTGAATATAGTAACAGTTTACTATTTACTTTATCTACCTTTATTGGAGTATGTTAATTAAATCAAAAACAGCAAGATTATGATCAGCAAAAGAGTGAGAAATATCTGAATATTTTACTACTTTTAGAAACTAATCAAAAAAAGAGATTCAATACTATTGAGAATCATTTTGAATAATTAAAATAATTAATAGCCAAATCTTATGATATGTAGTATACAGTAATAGATGACACTCTATTTCCAATAATGCAATATTGGCATAATCAGAAGATTTGTAAGAAGAAGAAAGATGTCAATGATTTTGTGACATCGATCATTCATACTGTTAAATTGTTAGTGAATATCAACAGTGACAAGATACTTAATGTAATTAATAGTGAAAAATCTTTAAATAATAAATATTGTGTTGAATTTGCCAATAAATGTTAGCATGAATTTTATAAGAATAGAAGTGGTAGTTTAGGATTGATTGATGGCATCAAGATTCTTGGATTTCTATTAAAATATCACAAGGATTTCAGTAAAGATCAAATGGCCTTCTCTGAACTTATAGCTACGAAATATTAAGTTGAAGAAATATAGATTTTTCATGAATCCTACTTTAAATAATGAGATTGAGACTATTTATAAATTATATAATATTAGTATTAATTATATGTAATGTTCTATTATTCTTATATTTAATATAATTGATAAGAATATAGAATCATTTGCTTTCGAGATATTACTCATTTCGTTTTAAGTATTATAATATTTGATTTTCATCTGTGTATTCCAGAGCTTGTAAATAGCCTTCATAAGTAAAGTTTTCTTTATCGCACATTAAAATAGGCAGCTAAAAAATAATCAAAGAAGCTTAAGCTTATATTTATAGTCTTAACCATTCTAAAGTTGATTTGGGGACTCCCTTTTTGTCTTTGATATTCTAATAGATCTATCCATTGAAATATGTATAACATATATCTTTGATGTCATCATCAACAAAATCATTAAGAAACCACTCAACTTTGTCTTTTCTATTTTTATCTAACTTTTCTGCCTTGGCTTTAGCTGTATTAAGCAACAAATTCAATTCATTTTACACCAATTAATTATCTTATTTGACTTTATTGCAATAATTCTCAAATTCAAAACAAGATGTTATATAATCCCATTCATCTAAACCGAAAGAATTGATTTTGGATTCTAAGAGGATTTCAATTTCCTTCCTCAATTGCAACATTCTTTTAAAGACTAAAAATAAAGGAATGACCCAGAAATTTTATAAACCATTAAAAAATGTAAGGCATTTTGCAACAGTTTGGCCAATAATATTGAGTGCATCCAAAGAACGGTTGTATTTCTAAGAAAACAGACTCAATTATTAACTTGATCTTTTTATTAATTATATGTAATTCTCAGCATTACTAATTCTGCTTTCGTCTAAATTGGGTCTCTGCTATTGATTGTCTTCCAAATCAGAACTATAAATGGCTTTGTATTATTCCATAGCATTCTCTGATTGCTGATACAATTATTACAATTCCTCTTAGGTTTTAGATCCCTTACTATAAACAACTTGTTATTGTTTGGATTGATCTGACTTTGAATTCTGAGATGAGGAACCAAACCTTTATTTTGTTGTCATTTTGATAGTATTGCCTTGGACTGATGAAATTCTGGCTCTGATTTTGTCATAAAAGAATTCATTTTTTGTGAATGATTAAGAAATATGTTGTTGAGAACCTTATTAGTGCATCAATTCCTAACTGTTATCATTGATCTTCCTTGATGAATCATATCCTGTATAGATTGTAGTATTTTGGGTCTAATTGCGAAAACTCTTAACTCCAGTATGACTATTGTTTTATGATTTAATTTATGGTTTTGGAAGCAGTTTTGTAGATGAAAAGAAGTTGTTAAATTTGTTGCTGCTATAAGTTTGAATCATTTAACGGCTTTAATGAGATGATGACTTTTATCTACTCTATACTGATGAATATCTATTGCCAACAACACTTCTAACATTCTCCTAATGCATTTTCTACATATTACTGATCTTGGTTATCAAGGATTAATTTAATAGATTCTATTCAGTCACCTTTTGATTCTTGTTGCAATTGGGCTACTGAGGCAAGTTTATCAGAGAATTAGAGTCATCTCTGCTGCTTATTCTTGATGAGGATCTGCATTTCACTTCCATCCTGTTCAATCTAATCTGAAAATCCTTCAAAATCTACTTACATGCATTATCTTCTCTAAAGGCGGGATGATATGGGATTTAATGCCATGGAATTGGGTTTTCGGGATTCAAAAGAGATGAAATCAAATTCTATATTGTTGGCTTCTTATTTGAAATCAGAGATCCTATATCCAAACGACCTCCTTGCAACCAATCGGCTATGTGTTTATGCACTTCATTAAGGATATAAGTTCCCTGAGTCATCACCAAATAGAGTATGCCAAGAGACCACTGATAAGATGATCTACAAGGTTTTCCTTTCAATATCAATGGATTCCAATAGACACAATAATTTTCTTGTCTCTTTTTCAAACCGAAATCTAAGATTACTATCGAATCACCATTCTTTACTATATTTTCAATTGTGCAATCCCTTGGGGAACAACCTTAATAGAGGTCATATCCAAAGTATATCAACAACAGTTTCGACAAGTCACCATTTATCAGAAGCCATTGTGAAACATTCTCTATTATCAAATCTGTATAGGTATTCGTTCTTACAATCTACAAAATTGAGGGCAGCAGACTTATTTGTGGTTTTAGCAACTTTGTCTCTGCATGTGGTTTAATTCTATGAAAAGATTCCAAAAATGCTAATTCTTCATCTAAAAACCTTGTGTCATTCCATCGAGCAATAACTACTTATTCGTCTGTTAACTTCAATCTACCCTTTAAGGCAGACCATTATTCACATTACCAAATTGGAAATGTTATCGTGTAAGGATGATTGCCTTTCATTTATTATATAATAAATTTTTATGTTTGAATTAATATCTATTAAATAATTCAATAGCATTAGAAATATGGTCATCCTTTTTAATTTGAAATCCCAAAATCTTTGTTGATAATATATTTGAATATTAAATACACTACTAAGTAAATTATTACATTTCTAATAACATTACTATTATCAAATGAAACTAACTTATAGTAACTTCATTAATTATACCTTCAGTTTAATTGTGTGATAATTTCAAAAGAGATTTCTTAATTCAAACTACATTTGCTTTTACTTACACCTGATCCAGAAGTATTATAGTCTTGAGAAGGTATTACATAGATACTCAGTAACGAATTTTTATTTATGGAATTTGATTCACGAAGTTGGAATTTTAGAATATTGAACCTTTTATTTAATTTGTTTTTTGATATATTTTTTAAATATGAGAATAACTTCTCAAAACATCATCTGAACTAACAAAATCATTGACTTTCCAAGTCAAAATGTTAAATACAATTCAGTCCCGACATTTCTTCTTATTCATTATTTAAACATAATTAATTAGCCTCTTTTTAAATTATTTTATATAAAATATGGGTGCTACATGCAAGTTCAGAGAAAGGGAAAGAGATATTATTTCTCAAGACTCACTGCCGAGTTTGCCTGACCTCAACCCTGATGCTGAAGGCTAAACTAACTTCCAATATAAAGTGTACGGTAAAAGTAAGAATTCCAGAAATACTGCCAATTCTCCGGAAACATTAGAAAGGCCTCATTTCTTTATAATATACCCAAAAAATCAGCATTAGCGAAATGACTTAATATTACAACTATAAGACCTTAATCGAAATAACAATTATTTTATTGAAGAATACTCTTAAATGACAAGCCAATCATTAGAATCTAAATTTGAAAGTAATTTTTCATTGAATGAAGTGTCTGAAGGATCATTCAATGTTTTTCGTGTATGAATGTACAATATTAGACAATGAAATTAGCTATGAAAAAATGATGTAATCAGTTTTATTATCATAAATAACATTTTATATTATTTTCTGTTGTAACCAAATATCAAATTAAGCTCAAAAATCTTTTTCACTTCTTTAAATTTAGTTAAACAAACCACATTTTCTTAAGAACAAATAATATTACGCAATTTTAGATATAATTAAACTAATTTCTCTCTAAAAGGCATTTTAGATCAATCCAGCTAAGGTATACCTTTACTTCACTGTGAAAAATTACCCATTTCATTTTACCAGAAAATCATTTCAGATTATTATATAACGATAATTTAAGTAAAAATAATTTTTATGATGAAATTTTCAATTATTTTCAGTTTTAAAAGATCATAAATTTATCAGTTTTTCTTAGATTTTTATTGATATTTAAGTTAATAAATAATTTATATCGAAGAAACCATAAATTTTATGACTATATGCCTAAAATAAGTAAATATTAATTCAACTTTAAGTTTCTGAAGTATAATTTAATAATCTTAAAATTAATTACTGATTATTAATTTAAATAATAAAGGGGATTATATTCAATTATTTATTATTTCAATTTTGGATTTTTTTGCATCTGCAGATTAAAATAACTCCTTTGAGTTATAACAATACAGTAGAAGTACCCACTCATTTTGGCTGATATTTTTCCTTCAAAAATGGGCTTACTTTTAAAACTAATATATTTGATGGATAAAAGCAGTGAGAATTATCATTCTATGACAATATATAGGATTGTTGGGGTTTTGGTAACTGAGAATAAATATTATGATAATATATATAAACATATAAATGAGAAAATTATAAAATCAATTCTTATAAATAATTCATAAATAGTTTGAAATAAAATTGATTTAGAAAATAACATTTTTAATTATTTGTTTGATTTTGATGTCTTTCTTTTAAGTTTGATCACCTAACCAAGTTTCATTAATATATGCTATATTTCTGATTGGATTATTTTGTAAGATGATACTTTTGAGTTATTCTATATACTCTAATGTAATTGATTGTTTATACTAGTACTATTATTGTGAATAAATCACAGCTATTTTTATTAATTTAAGTGTATAAATTGTAAAAAATTAATAAAAAATGGATTAATTTTAGACATGTGAAGGCAAGCTATTATATATTACATACAATTTATATAAATCTAATCGTATTGGAATAGAGTAAAAAAGTGAAATAAAAGGTAAGACAGATAAATAATTGATAGATATGTTAATAGCAAAGGATTTTAGAATATAATAAGTAATGAATGAAATCAACAATGAGACTAATATACAGAAAATCGAAAGAATGTTAGAAAATATCAATGTATGACTTTTATTGAAGTTTAGCCAGAAGAACACAGCCCAAGAGATATTGATGATAATTTAAGTCATACTTATAAGTAAAAAAGACCAAAGCTCTTTAAATTCTAAAAATCCAATTTCTCGAAGTTTATAGAAGCAAAAGCAAATGAAGATACTGATACTTTCTCTTCCAATAAGCAATTAGAATTTAGACAAAGGTTATATTCATTAGCAGCTGATTCTTGTTGATTTTTTTATATTAAAATATGAATAATTTATTCAAGCAAGAAGTACTAGGAAAATATTTCTGATTGGCATTAGAATATCTAAAAAGAACAAACTAGCTGCTTAATATTAATCTTTTAAAGTGAGCTTCGATGACTTAGAATATAAAAGAATAATTACTGTAGACACAAGCGAGGTATCCCATACTAAGAACATTAAGAATCCTCCTAGAATAAACAGAGTTCCAAGACTAAAAATGTAATCTCTTAAAAATAAGGCAGCAATTATTCCAACAAATCCCGTCTCCATCAGCTTTCTTGGGATTACAAAATGAGTCTCGGCTAGATTTTAATAAACATCCTAAATAACAAACAGGGATTTTAGTTTGCATATAGTGAAACACAGAAGTGATTAATTATGAAACACTACTGTATTGTTTTACTAATGTTAAATAAATCTTTTTACTTTGAATAAATAAGTATTAAGATGCAATAAATATAAAAAAGTATAAAGTATTACTAATAAATGAGGTATCCAATTGGATTTATTCAAGCTGATAAAATCAAGCATTCCTTTTAGAAATATCAAAATAAAGATGTAATTAACCAGCTTTTAGGTTGTAGATTTAATCTCAAGTTACCATTTAAAGTATTTTTGATTGAGATAAAAAAATGAAACATTTCCAATCATAAATATCAGTAATATTCTGAAATGATAAAAAAACTCGCTATCTAAGAATATTTAAAATGATAATACATCTAGTATAATGGATTATGTGCGTACAAACTTGGACAAAGAGACTCATTAATGGATATTGCAAATAGTGAAAAAGTTTCTATCTTTTTTTCTAAAATGATAAATCTAATATCTTACAAATAGTTAGTAATTTCTAAATACTGATTATAAAATCAACAATGAAGGGAATAAGATGAGAGAAAAGTAAAATAAACATGAAGGATTTTGGACTTCTCGAGTACAACGAAGCTGCCAATCTTAATATTTCTCAAGGTCTTCTCGATAATAGGCTTGGCTTGAGNAGAATATAATAAGTAATGAATGAAATCAACAATGAGACTAATATACAGAAAATCGAAAGAATGTTAGAAAATATCAATGTATGACTTTTATTGAAGTTTAGCCAGAAGAACACAGCCCAAGAGATATTGATGATAATTTAAGTCATACTTATAAGTAAAAAAGACCAAAGCTCTTTAAATTCTAAAAATCCAATTTCTCGAAGTTTATAGAAGCAAAAGCAAATGAAGATACTGATACTTTCTCTTCCAATAAGCAATTAGAATTTAGACAAAGGTTATATTCATTAGCAGCTGATTCTTGTTGATTTTTTTATATTAAAATATGAATAATTTATTCAAGCAAGAAGTACTAGGAAAATATTTCTGATTGGCATTAGAATATCTAAAAAGAACAAACTAGCTGCTTAATATTAATCTTTTAAAGTGAGCTTCGATGACTTAGAATATAAAAGAATAATTACTGTAGACACAAGCGAGGTATCCCATACTAAGAACATTAAGAATCCTCCTAGAATAAACAGAGTTCCAAGACTAAAAATGTAATCTCTTAAAAATAAGGCAGCAATTATTCCAACAAATCCCGTCTCCATCAGCTTTCTTGGGATTACAAAATGAGTCTCGGCTAGATTTTAATAAACATCCTAAATAACAAACAGGGATTTTAGTTTGCATATAGTGAAACACAGAAGTGATTAATTATGAAACACTACTGTATTGTTTTACTAATGTTAAATAAATCTTTTTACTTTGAATAAATAAGTATTAAGATGCAATAAATATAAAAAAGTATAAAGTATTACTAATAAATGAGGTATCCAATTGGATTTATTCAAGCTGATAAAATCAAGCATTCCTTTTAGAAATATCAAAATAAAGATGTAATTAACCAGCTTTTAGGTTGTAGATTTAATCTCAAGTTACCATTTAAAGTATTTTTGATTGAGATAAAAAAATGAAACATTTCCAATCATAAATATCAGTAATATTCTGAAATGATAAAAAAACTCGCTATCTAAGAATATTTAAAATGATAATACATCTAGTATAATGGATTATGTGCGTACAAACTTGGACAAAGAGACTCATTAATGGATATTGCAAATAGTGAAAAAGTTTCTATCTTTTTTTCTAAAATGATAAATCTAATATCTTACAAATAGTTAGTAATTTCTAAATACTGATTATAAAATCAACAATGAAGGGAATAAGATGAGAGAAAAGTAAAATAAACATGAAGGATTTTGGACTTCTCGAGTACAACGAAGCTGCCAATCTTAATATTTCTCAAGGTCTTCTCGATAATAGGCTTGGCTTGAGTAGGTTTAATTATCCGAACATCTTCCATATCCACGACAATAAGTATCAAAAGTCATACTGCATCTTGGATTAGGGTACTAAATGTAGAACCACCTTTTAGTAAATAGCATTGTTGAAATTAAAATGACTATTAATTGTGTTAGTATTAATTTATAAAAATATTATGGTTCTTCTGTTTAATTTGATTACAAAGTATTAGAATTTTCTGATCTTTTTTATTCTTCTTAATTCTCTTCAGGTGGTTATGGTGTGATTTGCTCTGAGGTGACGCTCATTCTTATTTAAATAGTAAATAAATTAGATAAAATTCATTGATATAAAATTATAGATTCTATTGACGTGGCACTTTTTTATCACGAGTTTTTCATGAAATCTTGATAAAAATAAGAGGATTCATTGAGGTATAAAATATTGGCAATTGAAATATTAAATAACATAATTCAATCATCACTTTAAGGAGCTTCTTAATTTGATTCATCTTTTGGTACTCTTATTACTAAGAGAGGTACCTAATGATCTTTGACTTAATCAAATTAATTGAAGTTTCTTTAATTGCATTTCATTTGATTGATCCATCTACTTATGAATAACTAAATACCTTAAATATTCCTTTTATACTATTGTATATTCTTAATAAGCAATTTAGAGATATTTGAGATTAGATGCTTTGAGTCCAGACGTTTCAAACTCCAACTCAGGGAATTTCCTCGTTAGTATTTTCATGTCTTGCTATTTGGTTATATTTTTAGGTGATAGACATCTATTCTATTACTTCTTCGGTAATCTTCTTCTATTTTCTTCATTTTCTTATTCCTATTCAACTTCTTAAAGTATTTTATTTAGATCAATAAAAGAAGAGAAACTCTAATAGAATTCAGACCCCATGGGAGTGTTATCTGGTACTTACTCTTCCTCTACTTTTTAATGATCATCATCAAGTGATTTCATAGAATTGTTTGGTCTTTCTGCAAATCCTATGGCACTTTAAGCCTTGCTAACTTAGGATTAGAAACTGATTTCTGGCAGTTCACTTTTTCTGGATGAATTCTTAAGAGTAGTTGAATCTTATTCATTTTATTTATCATTAAGTATTTACTATTCTTTTTTTTCCTTTGCTTTTTTTCTGATTAGTTTAGCCTTTAGACTTCTTTCTTAAATGACCTTCTGGACATATTGTTTGCCTCCATTATACAATTAAAATTATTAGTAAATCTTCCTAATAATTTAAATGATGTATGAATATTTGAGATAGATCATATCATTGATCAATTGATCTCTTTCCTTTTAAGAGTAATCTTTGAAGAAAGCATATTGCAATTCTTTATTGATGTCTCTTATTTTTTCGAATCCTGATTGTAAAGACCTATGACGATGTTATATTCTATAAATCAACAGATGTATAAATGTATTTCTGACTAAGGGACTCCAATGCATGAAGATTTTAAAAAATAAATCAGTACTAAATAGGAAATCACATAATTCCTTTTTGGGTTCAGCTATATTAATATGGTTTAATAAATGTTACTTGTGATAAGATGGAAATTATTATATAAGATTTATAAACTCTTACTAATAGAGACAGCATGATCTCCATTCAAGATTAGTTTGACTCCCTTGAAGAAAAAGGAATAATCAAAATTGGTAGGTAAAACATGGTAATTTTGATTGACTTTCTGTAACCAAACGTCCACAATATTTAAAGTATTGAATACTTGAATTGCATCGTACACTCTTGTTTAATTGAACAATATGTGAATGAATTTGCTAAGCAACATGGAATTGTTAATTATGGCACAAGATGCTTCAATGAATTTGTGATTCTTTAATTAAATATTGGATAGCAACAACTAGACAATCTCATCATATCCTTGTATGTTTTGCCAATTGACATTGAATCCAAACTTAGATTAAACAAAATTGACCCATTAAATCACAAAAGGATAATAAAAATGTACGGATTATTTATCTGGCATCTCTAATTTCAATGATTCTAATTCCTTTTTTAATTATTATCCTTTTTCATTTTAGAATGCAAGATCATAAAATTTATGAATTGAGATATTCTCGATCTCTGGAAACAGAGCTTGTTTAAATTGAGGTACTCTGAAGTAGGAGAGTACGGCAAATTTAACAAAAAAATCATGTTCCTTGTTTGAACAAGAAGTATCAACAACTCTTTATAAACAAAGAGGTATAACTTTAATCATTAAAGTAACAAATAATTAAGCATTATGAATACGTTCTATTTAAGTATCAATACTCAAATGATCTAAATCCATATCATCTCTATAAATAAGTTCACTAAGCACAGTAAAACATATTTCCTTAACCATTTCTGTTTATTACTTACTACTCTACTCTAATAAGTATTTCCATAACTTAATTTATACTGATTAACTGTGTAACATCTCATCAACACTCTGATATTTAATATTGTGATTTTCAGCCAAAGTCGATAGAATTTCATTTCTCATTTTCTCCGAGTCTTTTATCTTTTTATCCCTCATGGTCTATGATAGTGTTTCAACTTTTATTTATAATCCAATCAGCCAATCCACTTCTTTATTTGTGTTATTTTTGGATTTCGCCTTCTTCAATAACAAAGTAGATTAATTCACAATTCCGGTTTCAGTTTTGACTCCACTACATTAACTGACATATTGATTAGATCTAATGATGAATGTACCTGCCCAATTCCCAATATAAGTGCCATCAGAAATTAACTGTTCATTTAATTATGCTTCTTAAATTAAGAGTGTGTCAGTTTAGGCAATTTGAGATGTATTATCATAAAAGAATTTATTAAAACTGATGTATGTACTACCTATTCTTTTGTATTCTTCTTGTTTTGTTTATTTGTTTGCATAAAGTACAAAAACGAATGTAGTGATTTGGAAATCGTCTGCAAATATATCAAATTCCATAAATGGAGAATCTTCAGTCCTGAATTCCCAAAGGATTTCATTCTTAGCTTCTAATGCTTTTTTAGTGGAGACATGTCTTTGGGAACCACCTTTGATGTGTTGATACTTATAAGGGACATCGTCATTTTAAGAATAGGTCGGATTCATATATTTGGGAGAGATGGCTGATTGAGATTCATTCTCTTGAGATTTGATTTTCAATAGAAAACTGTAGGCTATATCTCCCAATTGTTCTTCTAGGATACAACGAATGTGCTTGGTGTTAATCTTAAAATGCAACTTCTGAGCCACTTTGATATCGAAAATAATAGAAGATTAGTTCTAAATTATTAATAGCATTTACACTAAACAAAATATCATGGTGTTGTGGTCCACTGGCAATTTCATATAAAGTATATTTGATCTTGTAATGAACCTTGTCTGAGTCATCTAGGATTTGCTTGGTTGGATATTTGAATATAGTACTAATGTAAAGAATTGAGTCTGCATACTTTGAGGATCGATGTGCAAATCAAAAGTGAAGGTTTAGGGCCACTATACTAAAGGAGTAAGAGTACATGTGGATTTTTGGTGTATCTGATCATGGTGGTCTTATAGAGATGCTCATTCACTTTTACAATCACATACGCACTTTACTGTTGAATATTTTTAACCTTTATACCAGAAATTACCATCCTAAACATCAGATTCTGCTATCCGAACCTAATGTCATTCAGATGCTACTTCCTTGTCTAATGAGAATAACATGCAGTTCCCATTATTAATTTATATTATATTTTGAATTACTCAATATTTCAATTTGGCATAGTACAACACTGGCTTAGCCTCATGCACTTATTCGAATCTCTATCTGACCATGTCTTCAAGTTGATTCACCAATTAGATTTCATTCCTTCTTGATTGAGTACCATAATTGTACTCAGTCTAAAAGGTTGAGCACAAAGCTTCAGCTTATTCCAATAATTGTTAATTTCTTTGTTATTTTGATGATGCGGAATTCGAAACTGCTGATTGAACTCCGATGCAAGCAGACAATTTATCTAATTTTACTTATTATCTTTCGTATTATTATTGTAATCTTGATAACACCTTGCTGACCTTCTCTTTTGATGAGTTGAACTAAGCTACACTTTGAGCATTTGATTCTGTGAATTAATTATATGCATCTTTTATTGCTGATTTCAAATCCTTAAGCAAATGTTCAACCTATTGAAGTGAACTCAAATCAACTGATTCTCCTTGATTTGCCAATTAAATGAAAGCATTAAAAATGGGAGCATAAATTGGAGTTTTTTTGATATCAAACGATGTTTATAGCATACGCTGACTCACCTTACTTAATTCTGAAAAACTTCTATACCCAAATGAGATTCCTTACAATATTGTCAATGCTTCTTCTATGGAATTTAATGAATCTTCATACTATCGACTTCTCTTCTTGAAATAGGCTGACTCTGAATCTGCTGTTTTCAAGATTGTATTCAAATGCTACTGGAAAGTGTTCTCTTGTTACTAATTGACCTATTGTTATTCAATCGTTCTTTATTTTGAATATTGACAAATGTTTAATTGAGCATTGGAGTCTCTTAGAGTACTTCTAGCGTTTTGAATTTCAGCATTTCTAAAATCGTATTCGCCTTAACATTCATTTAATTCTACAACAAAAATTTGGTCGTGATTGACTTATTCCTCATTAACGGAATCTCTGAATAATGTGAGTATATTCAAGACAGCATCCAATGGAGCATGGGATTTTATCTTCAATTCCACCTCAGCCATCACAGCTGTGATCGATCTCTGTTTAGTGTAATTAAGTCGGTGTTGATGATTTGTAGCAGAAACTAAAACTAAGATCAGCAAGAAAGCAAAGATCTTCATTAAATTAAATAGGCAAAAACGATTTATTGTATGTCAATAAATTAATCAATTCACTTAACAAAATATCCTTTATCATAAACTGTATATCCTCTAAATTAAATCTATAATCATACATTATCTATCCAGAACCAAACTTAACTCCCACAACATCTAATGAAAAATTAACCTTACTAACATTATTCGAAAAACCATTATGAAAAATTTGTATTTTTAAGATAAGTTTAACAGTAACATACGCAAAAAAGATGAGTTAAAATTTCATATAATAAAATTGGATTTTTAAATACTAAAAAGATTCTTAATTAGATTGAATTAATACGTGTTGTTAAATTACTTATAAACAAATATTACACAAATTTAAATAATTACATCAAATATGTCAAATCTCTAAGTACAACTAATTAAGAAGCCTGATGCCAAATATCCTAGAGTGAATGATGTTTTCTAGGTTAAGACTGCATCAACACCAACTGCTAGTCAACTTAAGGATGGCGAAGTATTGTTGGAGAATCTATACTTCTCAATTGATGCAACAATGAGAGTATGGATTAGTGGGTATTTGTTATATATTAATTCATCCTAGTGCCAAGACTTACGTAGATCCTGTACTTCCTGGTAACACCATGTTTGGCTAGGCTGTGTCAAGAGTTCTGGCTTCAAAAAGTTAGAAATTCTAAAAAGGGGATTATGTGATTGGTGTTGTTAATTGGACTCTGTATTAGATTATCAGTGATGCCAAATTACATCTTGTTAAAAGGGGAGGAGATATTGATGATTTGACAGGATATTCATTCTTAGGTCCACTAGGAATTAGTGGATTGACAGCCTATGTTGGATTCGAAGCAATAGGAAAACCAAAGGAGGGAGAAACTGTAGTTATCTCTGCAGCTGCAGGAGCTGTGGGAGAAATTGCAGTCTAATTGGCTAAAACCTATTATAAATGCAAAGTCATTGGAATCGCAGGTGGTCCAGATAAATGTGACTATGTGAAGAAACAATTGGGTGCACATGATTGCATTGATTATAAAAATGAAAATCTTAGTAAAAGACTCAGAGAATTAACACCCAATGGAATCCATGTGTATTTTGATAATGTGGGTGGTGAAATGCTAGATGAAATATTGATGCATATCACAGATCACACCAGAATTATTCTTTGCGGAGCCATTGCCACATACAATTAAACTGGAGGTAAAGTCATTATCATTATCCCTCTAGAACCATATAAAGTCAAGAATTACCCTAGATTAATTATAAAAAGAGCAGTCATGTAAGGTTTCCTTTATTTTGATCATCCTGAATTATTCAAACCAGGATAAGCAACCATTACATAAATGCTCAAATAAGGATAATTGAAAGTAATAACACATCATCTATTTTTAGATAAGATATGATGTTCAGAATGGATTAGAATAAGCTCCTAATGGATTGGCTAAACTTTTATTAGGATAAAATAATGGAAAGGTAGTAGTGAAGGCTAAAGCTGATTAACCAAAGCTTTGATTATTGAGTATATAACAAATGTTGGATTAATAATATTATATATATTTTCCTTAATATCAATTAAAATTAATATTGCGTANAATAAAATTGGATTTTTAAATACTAAAAAGATTCTTAATTAGATTGAATTAATACGTGTTGTTAAATTACTTATAAACAAATATTACACAAATTTAAATAATTACATCAAATATGTCAAATCTCTAAGTACAACTAATTAAGAAGCCTGATGCCAAATATCCTAGAGTGAATGATGTTTTCTAGGTTAAGACTGCATCAACACCAACTGCTAGTCAACTTAAGGATGGCGAAGTATTGTTGGAGAATCTATACTTCTCAATTGATGCAACAATGAGAGTATGGATTAGTGGGTATTTGTTATATATTAATTCATCCTAGTGCCAAGACTTACGTAGATCCTGTACTTCCTGGTAACACCATGTTTGGCTAGGCTGTGTCAAGAGTTCTGGCTTCAAAAAGTTAGAAATTCTAAAAAGGGGATTATGTGATTGGTGTTGTTAATTGGACTCTGTATTAGATTATCAGTGATGCCAAATTACATCTTGTTAAAAGGGGAGGAGATATTGATGATTTGACAGGATATTCATTCTTAGGTCCACTAGGAATTAGTGGATTGACAGCCTATGTTGGATTCGAAGCAATAGGAAAACCAAAGGAGGGAGAAACTGTAGTTATCTCTGCAGCTGCAGGAGCTGTGGGAGAAATTGCAGTCTAATTGGCTAAAACCTATTATAAATGCAAAGTCATTGGAATCGCAGGTGGTCCAGATAAATGTGACTATGTGAAGAAACAATTGGGTGCACATGATTGCATTGATTATAAAAATGAAAATCTTAGTAAAAGACTCAGAGAATTAACACCCAATGGAATCCATGTGTATTTTGATAATGTGGGTGGTGAAATGCTAGATGAAATATTGATGCATATCACAGATCACACCAGAATTATTCTTTGCGGAGCCATTGCCACATACAATTAAACTGGAGGTAAAGTCATTATCATTATCCCTCTAGAACCATATAAAGTCAAGAATTACCCTAGATTAATTATAAAAAGAGCAGTCATGTAAGGTTTCCTTTATTTTGATCATCCTGAATTATTCAAACCAGGATAAGCAACCATTACATAAATGCTCAAATAAGGATAATTGAAAGTAATAACACATCATCTATTTTTAGATAAGATATGATGTTCAGAATGGATTAGAATAAGCTCCTAATGGATTGGCTAAACTTTTATTAGGATAAAATAATGGAAAGGTAGTAGTGAAGGCTAAAGCTGATTAACCAAAGCTTTGATTATTGAGTATATAACAAATGTTGGATTAATAATATTATATATATTTTCCTTAATATCAATTAAAATTAATATTGCGTATTATAATTGATTAATATTAAAATTATTATGTAATTTAAAAATCCTTAGAAATTGCAAAAGAATATAAAAAAATTAATTGTATATTAATAATCTAGACTATAAATTTAGTTATCATCCATTTGGATAAGGGAGAGATAGTAGATTTTCATAAACTTATATTTTTATATATTAATATAATTTTTAAGATATAGAGTCAATAATTCAAGTACTATCACATGAAGATGCTATTGAAATTAAAAAATATTAATGTATATTCATTACTTTGAAAGATACAAATATTAATAAATCTTTAATCAAATAGTAATTATATTGTAAGAGTGATTAAAAAGTACATAAATTCATTATACAAATAAGTCGGTATTATTATTAAGATCATGTTGATAATTATTCGAAGATGCTTCCAAATAATTAAGAATATTTAAGATTGAAAGCAATCTCCAAGTTTTATAGTTTTAGATTAAGATATACTCGAAGTCCTTAAATAGTGATTTTTTAATAGAAAATATAAAGTCTCTTAAACTAAATGAAAGTGGCAAAAGGATCAAAAATCAATTTATCTGGTTAAATAAGTTTTTTTATGAATTACAATTTATATAATATATAAACTTAATTTTATTGTAAATTCCAACTTTAAATTATAAGGAAAATCATGAGAGTATATCATAGTTATAGAAAGATTTAACAATCATTTTGCTTTAAACATTCTCACCTTCAAGCTCTCTACTTTATTAGAATGCATCGAACAATATTTTAAAATAATAATAAAAATATTTTTCAATAGATAAAATCAACTCATAAATTCGGTATTCAAAGAACTATAGAATAAGTTTCTGATAACAATTCTATCAAAGTTTTGTTGTTTTATTTATTTCCAAATCAAGTGCAATTCTATTTAACTTACTTATTTATTTATCGAATCTCTAAACTATATGTAATTTATAATATTAAATTTCATGGAAATTAATAAAGGGAATGAAATTTATTTTTGGGTCGTTCTGAAAGTTATATCGATTTTCAGTATTAAATTGATAACATAAGATCTATCAATTCTACTTCTTTATTGAAACAATAATTAAGTTCAATGTGAGTTGAATATTTGATCTTTCAATATATTATGTGTGATCTTAACTAAAAGACAGGAAATTAAAAATGTTAATAACAAATAAATAATTTGATTTTGGTTGTTGTATATCAAAAAATTAGAATAATACTCAGTTTCTTTTGTAGGTGGGTAAAACTTTCCTAATCTAATTAATTAGTGTTTTATCTCTAATGCTTCCATCTGTTTTATGAAAACGATCATTAAAGAAATCTAATGCCTTTTCAACCCTACCTTTTAGAATTTACTGAGTTTTCAGATATTAGTATTTAGAAATTTCAGTAAAGTGATGGTTATAAGTTGATTAATTAACTAAATTCAAAACAAGATTGAAATCTTTAAAAATGAATAGAATAAAAAGCTATAGCATTCTGATATTTTCTGGAATATCATCTGATTTTCTGCCCTTTCTTAAATAAAATTGATATAGCTCTCTTTCAAATTAATCTAAATCTTCAATTAAATATTTATCAGCCTATTCTTGTGTTATTGTAATTGCTTTTACATCAATTTCTATTTTATTTTTAATAATTGGATGATTATACCCAATTATATATCCTGAGTAATCTTATAAATCTAAACAAGGATATGGTTAAGCTTGAAAAAATATTGTTTTTTCATTATTATCAGCTTTTTATTATCTGGTAGCAAAATATTTCTATATGTAAGCAATCATTTCTTTTTTAAGTGCTGAATTCTATGATATCTTTAAAGAATCTTCATGAAAAAAAAATGATCCTACCAATTTTTTTGGCTTAAACCTATTGCATTCATGGCACTTTAAACATTCTTTACAATAATTTTCGTTTTCAATCTTCTCCAAAGGATCATTAAAGTATTGTTAACACGTTGAACATTTCTAGTCTAAACAGTTATTGCAAACTCCACCTTTTTCACCATTCACATATTGGGATAATTCTTAAAACTAATGACATTAACCACATTCTCTCTTTTCTTAAATTATTTTTTCTTAATTTTATAATTCTAACAATTAATCTTTTTATAACTTCAGCTGCAAATCATTTGATTCTATGCATTAAATTGGATTGCTTATTACATTTTATTAATTAATTTCTTCATCTAATTATACTTCTGAAATTTCACTTTTTGAGTTCAAACTGTTTGTAATTCTATTTTTAATTGACCATTATAGTATTAGTTCCTTTAGTATAAGTTCAAGATCTCCAAAGTTGGTGGTGTCTTCTAAGTGATTCTAATGATGATCGCATGCCAGACAGTCTATGCAAAAAAGAGGATCTTTTGAACAGGAACTATTATCACACTTACCGATTATTTTATTTTTTTTATGTTCCTTACACCTTAATTTTAATATCAAATTACTCATTATTTAATCGATTAAATTATCATTATCCTTAATTATAGAGATTCGAATAATTATTGATTCTATTTCTATTAAATTAAATTATAGAATAATTTTATTTTTCATGAATAAAATAAAAATAATAGCATAAAGTCATTTTATGATTTCTTTATCAATTGTATATGTATGTTTGTGTTCAACTTATTTTTTATTCTCTTGAACTATGGTTTTATTATTTATTTTAAGAAATCCTCCATCATATCGATCCTAATACATCAACAATTAAGTAATCAAGTTGTAATAAAATTTCTCCTATTTTTAAAGTTGTGAATGCAATCATCATCATATTTAAGATTTGAACTTCAATGTGTCTTATTTTTTGTGTAGTGATTTTAGTAAGCAATTTAATTATTTTGAAATTTTAATATTTAAATAAGAAGTAGATGATAAAATTCCATAAATCAGAGGATAACAGAAATAAAAAACAATGATAAAAACTAATCAAGTCAGAAGCCTTGATTTATGGAAATTAAATTTAATAAAAACATAACTAGTAAAGAAAATTATATAGAGGCAAAATTTTACAGAAAATAAATTATTAAATTGTATTTGATTTCTATTTAATTACATTACTCAAATGAATTATCAGATCAATTAAAAACAGGGAAAGTACCCATAATCATCAATCTCTTTGATTTCTTTAGGAAGTAAATATTGGTTGAATTTTGGAAATTAGAATTTCAAGTATTGATTATTATCAGTCAGTTTTTAAAAAGAAACACTATAAGATTGTGTATCCAATATAGTTAAACTGATTGTGAATACTTATCCTGAAATCAACCTGAACTATTCAGGTAGTTTAATGTAATAACAATAAGGAATGGGTTTCTCTAATGCATTGTGATTGATTACAGTTTAAAATTCATAGGCTCTTATGGTTAGATCATAACCTAAATGAATCTTATAGAGGCATCTTAGTTGTTATTATTGATAATCAATGTCTTTATTCTTGTAGAGGAAAGGTTGATAGAAACCAATTAATTCACAGGTTTATTCGACAAGAAAATTACAGACAAACATTTTATTAATTTTCAAAGGTTTAATGGTTAAGGATCCATCGCTATCTTTTGCAACCTATTCATATCGCTTGATTATTTAAACTAATTTATTTTAGCTTTATTTATTGCTTGTTGGTTCTTTTTTAATTTCAAATGTTTATTAAATTGATTACACTAATTTCTAAAGTGAATTGATAGCCATAATCATCTAAGGTTTTGCAGTGTCATACTTTTACAATAGTTCATTACTTTAAAGTTTTTAAAGATTTAAATCAAAAGTGCAATTGTCATGTAATTTCTCAACAACTCTTTTGAAGGATTCATAATTCAACTAGGTTTTCAGATTGATGCATTAATTGTAAATTTCCTTAATTGAATTATTATCGTTGAGTAAAGCAATAGAATCTTAGAGTTATTTCTCAATATCGTCTACTCTTCTTATTAATTCTTGTTTGTATTTGACAAAATGATCCAGGATTTCTTGAGTCAATGGATTATTGATGGCCTTATTGATTTGAATATTTCTTTGTAAAAAGTCTTGTATTTGTATGAGCGTAAAGACATAATTAGGATGTTGCTCATGTTGTGATTTGCACTTGAGACATATGAGGGAATTGTCTTTGCATTTAGGATTCATGCAGATTGATATAATAGGCTTTTTGTCATGTTCATACTTGGGACATTGTATTTTTGAACCCTATTATTCTAATGTTAACATATTAAAAATAACATGAAATACACTCAATACATATTGAAAAATCTCATTCCTGAATGGATTAAGTTATATCTCAACTTCAAATACCTGAAGACTCATTTGGCAGTGGTTACCAAATTAAAGAAGTTATTGAGAAAGGCCAAAAAATTAAAGCCTAAAGATGTCTATTAATAACTGAAACATGACGTAGCATCCAATAAGCAGTTATTCGAAAAGTTGGAGTAGGATCGCAATGATTTTATGATTGTATTCGATGAAGAATCAGAGCAAATATACAGCTTTACAGAATGGAAGTATCGAGAATTGCTCATTTTTTTTGAGAAATTAGATAAACAAATGAAAATCATGGAGTAAATGGCAGATTACACATACGAGGAACGTATTATTGTTACTTGGAATATGGGTTAGAATATAAAGGAAAAGCCGAGTGAAGAAGCTATTGAGGTAAGAGTTTATCTGAAATAAAAAGAAGAGCTTTTAGAAACAAGTTTTAAATTTTATAATGAATGCTAATAGTTGTAATCTTATATTTCATTGAATTCAGAAGGAATTCGTAAGATTCTGAAGAAGTATAAAAAGCAAGAGCTAAAAGGCATTAGAAATAAGGAAATAGAAATTCAATATTTCGGGAATGTGTAACAATTACAAAAGAAATTGAAGAAATATGAAACAAAAATCAATATCTTGAAAACAGATACCCAATCTCTTATGATCAATTATTTTTATGCTGATGAGTATGTGTAATTTATGCTAATTTAGTCCGAGCCAATGTAGAGAGTTGATAAGGAAATACACAGAAAAAGGATAAATTAATTTGAAAACAGTCTTTTATTTTGGATTCTTTGCAGGAGCAGCTGTTATGATAATCCTTATCATATTGGGGATGAGATTTGACGGTCTCTTGGACCCTAATTCCGATAAGGTTTTCAACAAGGCCTTCCCATGTTTCAGAGGCATGGCTTTGTTCATAATATATTACTGGTTCATAACCTTGGATCTAGCAGGTTGGAATTATTTCAATATCAATTACAAAGTCTATTTAGGCTTTAATCATCACTTTTCTACAGTTCAAGAATTGTTGCAAAGAGTCAGTATTTTCACTGCTATATTTTTGGTTACTTTCCTATGGTATTGTATTGCTGTAGAGGATTCATTAGGTGATTTGTCCAGAGCAGTCCAATTATTCGATATCAGGTATTTACCAATTATATGTTGGATTGTATCCATTCTTTACGTATTCTATCCAACAACCAAGTATTTTAATCCACAAGGCAGAAAATGGATGTACAAGATGTTTTATGGTGCAATATGGGGTCATTTCATTAAGTATGAATCTAGATACACATTCTTTACAGACTAATTCACATCAATGATCACTTCAATGAGAGATTTGGATTATACAATCTGCTATTATCATCACTTTGTAAATAACTATTTCATAATAGATATTTTTAGGTCATGAGCATAATGGAGAATGCAATTTTCAAAGGAGATTTACTGCAGCTCAGGCCAGCATTATCCCTTATTTCTTAAAGTGTATTTAATATTTGACTAGAGCCAGAGACAAGGGGAAGTTTTTGTTTACAGATGAGATGTATAATTTTATTAAAACATTCATTGCAATGTCAGTGGGAATTCTGGCTTATTTGACTCGATTGGATATAAGTTGGAAATATTATTGGATAGCAGTGGCTTGTTTCTGTTCTTGTTTTGAATACTATTGGGATTTGAAGAAAGACTTTATGTTTTTTGAGAAAGGAACCAAATATAAATTCTTGAGAAGTGATTTAGGGTATAATAGTCCTTACATATATTATACTTTGGGTGTTTTGAACTTCTTTTTAAGAATTGCATGGGTATTAACAATATCTCCTGACATGTACAGGATCATTGGGATTAAGAATGAGATCTTTATCTTAGGATTTGGATTCTTAGAAATGAGTAGAAGATTGATTAACAATTTCCTCAAAATGGAAAAAGAACATATTAATAATTTAAGATCTCTAAAAAGCATATCAGATATGAAATTTCCATTTAAAGAGAAAGCAGACTTAGAATTGGAGGAAATAAAAAGTGTTTATGATGTAGAATCTATTTCTACTCTTCCCAGAGCAAGTCTTGGAGAAGAACAGCAACAGGAAGGTTAGCAATTAGATTCGAATGAGAGAAACAACCTTAAGTTATCAGAAATAAATCCAAAAATAATAATCAATTAATGTGATGATTCAAAAGAGGAGATACGTAGTCCTATTAAGATGTTGTAATCTCCAAAACATTCGATGTTTAGTAAGTAAAATAAAAAGGTGTCTTTCTTAAATTTATAGTTTCCATAACAAGAAGAACTTCAATTGTAATAATAATAATCTGTTCTATCTAAGAAATAGAGTGTTTTGATAGACAGGTAATTCTAAGATATTAAGATCCCGAGAAACATCTCCTTTGAAAATTATTTGAATTTCAAATAAAGTTTAAGGAGAATCAATTCATTCAGATTGACCCAATTTTTAGAATAACCAAAAGATACACAAATAAATGTTCATGATTATCTTGATATCCATCCAAATATGGATTTGGTAGAAAAGGCAAAGAGAGAAGAAATTCAAATGTAATCAAAACAAAAGAAATTAAAAAACGAAAATAAGTAATATTTAAAGGTAATCTATTTTAATTATTAAGTAGATGATCGAATAATATTATATAAAATATGACATAAAATTGAAGCATTAATGATGTGTATATAAAATCATATATTATATATATAAATCTCATTTTGTTTGGAATATCTAACCCTGTTCCCATCTTTTTCAAACATAAATAAACACTCTAATTATTTAAATTAAATGTAAATAGAGAAACCATTCCAATAAAAACAGAAGTCCATTATTAAAATAATTCAAAATAGCATAATTATAAGAAGAAATCAATAAGTATTTCAATTTCTGATTGTTTTTTTATTAAGTAATGACTTGTTCCCAAAAGTGGCTTATTAAACCAGTATCTATTTTCAAAATTTAATAAATATATATAAATATATGGAAAAATAATAAATAAGCGTATCGTTTACTTACATTCCCACTGAAGAAGAGAAACAGAAGGATTTAGATAAATAATTGGATATCCAAGCTAAATAATTATTACATCCTAAACTTAAATGGACTTCTATTTTGCTAGCATTTCTTTCTGTTATCCTATATTCAATTGGGTTAGAATACTTTACCATAATTTAAGTGCATTCATCCAAATCCATTTAGAAGAGGATTCAACAGCCCTCTATTTGATTGCCACTCTATGTCTATTGCCTTTAATCTATTGCTTATTCAAAGTATGCAAACAAAAAAAAGACTTGTGAATCATCAATTTTATAGTTTATATTCCTAAATTTAAAAAATATTATTTATTTACTTTCAAATGTCAATCGAAATTTAGTCCTAAAGACAAAATACATAGTAATGATAAAGATATTTCATAATATTATTATCAGTTAAAAAAGCATTAAATCTAGAAATTAGATAGATAAAATCAATTAATAAATTAAATTTGATTATAGAAATACAAATTTGAAATTTGAGTTTATTATTGTTATAAAAACTAACCCATAAAGATTCAGATATGAAATTATAATCAATACGGAACTTATATTATAAAATAATATATTATATTATAATATCATTATATAATGTATAACAATTAAAGTCAACTTAAATGTTAGCATGAAGGCCATGAAAATGCTATAATACTTGGTGTCTGTACTTTTCCGTAGTGTATAGGGAAAAGGCCGTTTTGCGTTGGTTGTAAATTTTCAATTCACAGTGAACATCATGGTTCATTAAAGAAATTCGAAGAATTTGAGAATTGGAAAAATGAAAACTCAAATAATGCAAATAAACTGCAGAAACTGCACATTAAATTGAAGGAATTGTTAATTTCCATAGAAAAAGTCATATAAAATACATAAGATTGTGCTAATTCAAATTTTACCCAAATGGATTATACTACTTTAGATAATTCTATCAATAATTTAATAATTGCTTGGAAACAATAGGATGAGATTATTCAAAACTTAGATAAATTTTTGTAGTCACCCATTGCTTAAACAGCATTATAAGCTATATATCCTCAATAGGGCCGTTCATAAAGTATATCTTCGATTTTATACAGGTTTGAGTTAGAGCTAATAGCTTAATGCACAATCATTTTACAAAATTGAGAACGAGGTTTAAAATAATAACAATAGCTATAAGATAAGTTTTCAAACACCATAATAACAAGAAATTGCTTGTTAAAATAAAAAATTTGAATGCAATCGGAATCCAATAATATAAGGATAAAATAAATTTATACCAGGTAAGCCTCTTTAAGCAGATATTAAGTTAAATAAAGAAAAAGAAGGAACATAATTCAACATAAAATAGAATGAATATATTCATTTCCCTTCCAATTAATAATAGAATCGAGCATTTTTAAATAATGATCAATTCAGATAAGGTTCAAATTGAATAAATAGATTATTATTAATTGTATTAATTATACAAAATTAAATCTTATTACTAAATATATATCTAATAATATTCTATTCTTATGTCGCCATTTTCTATTGTATAAAGGTTAAAAAGAGTTATTTTTTAATTATCGAAGAATGATATAAACGTTGGAATTAAAAACCAAATTGATTTTTTAGAGGAATTAAAACAAGTTCTGTGTAATCATTATTAAGATGAATTATTTATTAAATATCTATACGTAAAAATATGTGCAATATTTATGCAATTTTCATATCTTAAGGAAGATCTAGAAATTAAAAATAAATTACACTATATTTAACTAAGAAAAACAGATAACAATAATGCTCTTTTTGTAATTTCATGATAATCAATATGAACTAATTAATCAGTTATTAATTTTAATAGAATATGAATTATATTATAAAAATTAATAACAAAAATAACTGTAAGGCAGTTAAACATAAATTCATATAATTATTAATAAGTTTGATGCAGAGATTGAAAGTTGAACTTCACTGCCCATTTGATAATCATGATCAAAGCCTAATAGTTGGAGTGTGTGTTAATGAATAATGTCTAGACAAGCGGCCTTTTTGTGTGGCATGTCAATATTAATTTCATTCTTCTCATAAGAAAGACTTAAAAAGGTTTGATGACTTTAAGGATTTGCTTTGCGAGAATTCTCAATTATCTGAGAAACTTAAAAGTCAACTTAAGGATTTACAATATCTAGTTAAAGTTATCACTCATTTAGTAGAAGCTACTTAATACCTAAACAATAGTTAAATTCTTTTGGAATTGAATTACACAGACCTACACAATAATATAAATACCCTTATTACATAATGGAATCAACAAAGGAATTTATGTGAATTTTTATAAGACACTTTTTCAACGAATGTTAAAAACAAAATTAACACTCTTAAATATCAAAAATAAAAAAGTAATTTTTTTTTTGCATATAGTTTCTAATGATGTTCCAAAATTAAAAACAGATGTTCTAAAACAGGAGGATTTGTTTTATGGTCTACCAGTCCCTAAATAATTGAAAGATCTTACAATTAACTCAATTAAAGATTCAACTTCTTTGGAAATGGTGGAGGATAGCAAGTTGAAATAAATTTCACAAAAAAATTTTAATAATTAAAAGAATTCACAACCTTTAAAGGGATACTTTAATCCAAATGCGATACAAGCACCTAGATTAAAACCACGAGGTTATAATAACTTAGAATAGCACTTAAATACAACAATGTAGATCTCAAGATCAGAAAAATATTTAGAAAATCAAAGATAAGAATAGATCGAGAACTTAAACTCTAGTTCATTTGCAGTTTCGAATCTCACAGAATTATTCCAAAATGCATCAAACATGATTTAAAGGTCAGATAAAAAATCCAAAAATGCAATAAAAATCCAATAAATAAGCTGAAAGTTTATATTTCTGATTGATTATTTTTATAAATTATAATTATTATTTTATAAACAAGATTTCTAAGCATTGAGACTATTATATACTTATATTCAATAAAAGATATTAAAAAAAATGAATTTATGAAAAAATAAATTACAAATCAATTTATGGTAGACTCGAGAATCAAATAATTTGATTGAATAACAATAGCTAATCTATAACAGTTAATCATAATTTTTGAAATTAATTTTTTAATGATTATGATATATATTGATATCAATTTAAATAAGTAATATCAAATAAGTATACAATGGATAAATTGGAAGTATGTAATTTAGACTTTAGGTCTCAATTCTTAAGATTCAGCTCCTGCAAAATATTTATAATTGAAATTTCCAATGATCAAAGAATTTATGATAAACATATTACAATATTATTAATATGAGTGATATTTTGGTAAATTAGCTAAATAATTCATAATTAATAGTTCTATATACTGCAGGAGCTGGAGCATAGGCTTTAAGTCATTTCACACTTCATCCAGGTTCATCAAAATATGCTTTGGAAGCATCAAGTTTTTATGCTAAGGGAAGTCTCGAATTACTTTTGAACAGAAACATTGAAAAATTTGTAACAGAATAAGTAGCAGAAGATATGGCACTTAAAGCTTTAATAAGATCACACGAGATTTTAAGATAAGAAAATATTACTGATAAGTATGATTTCTGTTCTATTAAGATTTAATACTACTTTAGGAATTGGAATCACTGCAGCTATTCGATCTGTAAATGAAAGATAGGGGAGACATCACGCATTCATTTGTTTAAACTTTGGAATTACAAAATATACTTACTATTTAGATTTGGTCAAAGGTGTAAGGACAAGAGAAGAAGAAGATCAATTTATTTCCGATATTTTGTTTAAACTCATTATTAAACACTCATCCTAACATTAATTATAGATCTAAGAACAGTAAGAGGAAGCATTGGATAAAATTCAATTATTAGAAAATGCTAGTATTATATTATAAATTAAAGAATCAATGAACTTAAACTTAATTAAATCATTGCAAAATCAAACAGGTCTTCTTAACTCTATCCTGATAACTGCTAATCAATATCAATTAAATCCAATTGTTCAGGATGCTATCATATTAAGTGGGTCATTTAACCCTATACATACTGGGCATATTGAATTGGCTAAAATGGCATAATAACTTATGGGATTGCCAAATGTATATTTCGAATTATCAATTAAAAATGCTGACAAACAGGATATCACTATCTAAGATGTTGAGAAGAGAATAGAGTTGATGAAAAAATAGAATCTAAATATTATACTATCTAATAAGGCATTCTTTAAAGATAAAAATTTATTTTTAAAGAATGGAGCTTTTGCTATTGGAGTAGACACATACAAACGAGTTGTTGATGTTAAATATTATAATAATTCCATTTAAGATAGAGATCTTTCTCTTCTTTTGTTTCTACAAAACAATAACAAGATTATAGTAGCCCCTAGATACAATGAAACAACACAAAAATTAGAAACATTAAATGATTATGAAGTACCAAAAATATTACAGAAGAATGTAATTGAATTAAAATAATTCAGAAATGATATTTCTTCCACAAAAATAAGACAAAGTGAAGGTAATTGAATTTATTAATTGTTACAATTAAATTAAGCTTAAGATTCAACTCTCTAATTTACAAATTTATTGCCTATAGAGATCAAAAAATTATTATACTAATTTTTGTTTTTGTATTTAGTTTTCGAAAATCTATATGAAATAATTGTATATATTACTTCTAACGAAATTCTATTTTATGTATTCATAATCTTTGAATTCACATAATAGTTAATTGGGTATTGGGACTCTTATAGATACTACTTTATAGTATTCTATTTATTCCTCTAATTACTTTTTGAGTGGTTTGTCAATCTGAGAAAGGCATCAGATAACTTATCTAATTAATCTTGACTACCATCACTAAATAAATTAAAATTGATTTTTTTTCCCCAAAGTAAATATTTATTAAAACTATTTATTAATCTATCTATAGGCTTCTAAAGTAGCAGAAATGATATTAAATGGATACATAAACTAATAAAAGTAGTGAACACAATTCCAATAATAAATTGACCAATCAATAATTACTACATATCTTCAATCATATTCTTGAGTAAGCTTATATAATTAGAGTAAGCTGAAGAATTAAACTTCAAAAGAATAAAGTATTCATTGGTAATCTTTTTCGATCTTATGTACCATAATTCATTAGTGTTTTTATTAATCATACAAATAGTATTCGGGATGTTGAGCTGGCAATTTTCTTGAGTTTAATTCTGCGATATTATCTGTTTCACATCTGTCTCATTGAATCCAAAAATAGACTCATTCTGAAGAGATATAACATCCTTTGTTTATGCTGCATAATAACTACTTATCAATACTCTCCCTTGTTTATCGATCACTAATAGATCTATATCTTCATAACTAAATTAATAAAAAGCAGAAAAATTAAGATCAATAGCTCCGATACCTACGGCATTTTTATTCTAATCATATATACTGGTAGTTCCGGATATGTAAACACCACCTAAAAAATTTACGTATGGTTCCGAAATAACGAATTAAGAAGAGTTTATTTAGTCCAAATGATTTTGAAACCATTTTCTCGAGGAAGGAACAAAGTTAGTGAAATTTGATCCTGGACACGTTGAAAAATAACAATCACTAGAAATAGACGTAAAGTAGAGATTAAGTTCGATTTGAAAAGCTATGGTAGTTGTCAGTATGTTAGAAAGCTTCCTAAAATCGTTTCCATATTAATTTTGCATTTGGATATTCTTGGAACAATCAAAATTCCCATAGCAATATTGACAATAATTAATGATGCTATTTTGAAAATAATCATCTTGTAAACATTTTTCGGAATTCTGAGAAAAATTCATATTGTTCCTTTAAACTAACTCAAACAAAGTATTTATATTTTATATTGAATTCATCCCTTACATAATTTTATACTCCAGGTTCTTCGAATAAATTTAAATGTAGGAACTTGTTTATCCGTAAATAAAATTCATTATCAGTTTTTCTTCAGCATCCTTTGTCAAAAACTTAAATAGACCTGATATATTTAGATAAATTAATAGGCTCAAAATGACTAACACTATAATCATAGTTATTAGTTAAATTAAAATGATTTAACTTCGGATTCTCCAAGTTTTAAACTATTTTATAATAAATTTAGTGCAAAGCATGTTTAAAATAAATATATTTAAGAAATATTTGTTCACTTTTTAATTAAAATACAAAGTTGATAATTTCAAAGATTGATATTGTCTTTGTTCTACTTCATAATAAGGAGTTCCTTATCATCTAAATTAAATTTAAGCTTATGAAGATAATTATTAAATAGTTATTGATGAGTTTATTATACAGATTTGCTTTTCGCGGGATAAAATGATTTCGCATTTTCTATCTTTGCTTACTTGTCACTCAATTCAAACGAATGTAAAAAGGTACTCTAACAATAGGAGTATTAAGAGGGTTTAGTTTTATCAGATGCTTCACTAAGACTCTAACTTTATTTTTCAGTATATTTTTATATTTTCTTCAATTATTTTGATTATTTTGAATTACTCCTCTTGTTCCTTTGTTTCTAATTAGAATTCTGAATAGTTCTTTCATAAACAAGATCTGTCTAAATCTATTTATCGGTTAATTATTTTCTCTTTCTTACTCTGTGTTCCTCCACAATTTCAAAAGTCTCAATTTTACAATCTTCACTTAATTTAATAGGTTCTACTGTTTATATCTATTGTTTTTTTGATTAAAATTATTTTAGGGACAATAACACATTTTTGGGTATTGCAATTAGTTTTTAAAGAAATTACATCGATATTTAATAAAAAAATTTAAAGTTAATAAATAAATTAAGTCTGATTTTCAAATTTATAGTTGATGTGGACTTTTATTGACTATGAATTATTTATAAGGAATACAATTTATATAAGTGTGATTCGAAGAAGACAATTATATTTAAGAATTACTAATATATATCATTTATCAATATATTAAGACTGTTATTATTTCTATTAACTTGATTGTCTAGTAATTTTAGTTTTCTAACTAATTTGCGATTTTGTATCACTAATATTCTTTTCTGATTTATTGATTTAGGAATCAGTTTCCTTGTAATTTGACCTCTTTATAATTTTATTTGGATTCTCTGTCATTACACATAAATATCATACCTTCTGGTTTTGGAATTGAGGGTACTTTAATGCCAATGACACCTTAGGGGTAATTCTGCAGAAATTTTTCGATGCCTCCACTCAGAAGATAAACATTTTCGAATCCTTTTTCAGCAAAGAGAGTGGCTGAAGGAATTCCATTCTTTTCATCAAAATGATAAATAATAATGTGTTTGTCTTTTTGGTTTTTCTAATTGAATATTTAAATGTACAAATCTATGAATTTATTAGGTTAATTTATCTTATCTTAAATTGGGAGCAGGGAAATTGACAGCCTCTTTAATGTGATATAGTTCAAATTCATCAGGATCTCGCAAGTCCAAAAGCAGAAATTCTGATTAATCTGTAATCCCCAATTATTCTGTGGCATAAGTAATTGCAGAGACTTACGATACTTCAGTAAATCTAGTCTTCTAACTATATTGACTTTAAGTATCAAATTATTGTAACTACTCCTATTCCTATTATTGTTGATCTGCTAACTTATAAATAGTTTCTTATTCTGTGTTTTCCTATCAGAATATATATGAAGTATACGCTTATAAAGTTGAACACAGTGGAACACTTGATGCGCTTAAACAACTCAGATCTTTTTTTAGCTATCTTAGCATTACTTACTACTTCAATGTCTCTCACGGTTGGTCCTGTATTTAAGGTTTGTTTGACATGATCATATTATTTGTTTTTTGGTACTTTTTTATCGAGGGGCTTGAGAATTCAAATTCATAATTACATTTCCTTTTCCTTTAACATAACCAATTGGCAATTTGTCCANATCGGTTAATTATTTTCTCTTTCTTACTCTGTGTTCCTCCACAATTTCAAAAGTCTCAATTTTACAATCTTCACTTAATTTAATAGGTTCTACTGTTTATATCTATTGTTTTTTTGATTAAAATTATTTTAGGGACAATAACACATTTTTGGGTATTGCAATTAGTTTTTAAAGAAATTACATCGATATTTAATAAAAAAATTTAAAGTTAATAAATAAATTAAGTCTGATTTTCAAATTTATAGTTGATGTGGACTTTTATTGACTATGAATTATTTATAAGGAATACAATTTATATAAGTGTGATTCGAAGAAGACAATTATATTTAAGAATTACTAATATATATCATTTATCAATATATTAAGACTGTTATTATTTCTATTAACTTGATTGTCTAGTAATTTTAGTTTTCTAACTAATTTGCGATTTTGTATCACTAATATTCTTTTCTGATTTATTGATTTAGGAATCAGTTTCCTTGTAATTTGACCTCTTTATAATTTTATTTGGATTCTCTGTCATTACACATAAATATCATACCTTCTGGTTTTGGAATTGAGGGTACTTTAATGCCAATGACACCTTAGGGGTAATTCTGCAGAAATTTTTCGATGCCTCCACTCAGAAGATAAACATTTTCGAATCCTTTTTCAGCAAAGAGAGTGGCTGAAGGAATTCCATTCTTTTCATCAAAATGATAAATAATAATGTGTTTGTCTTTTTGGTTTTTCTAATTGAATATTTAAATGTACAAATCTATGAATTTATTAGGTTAATTTATCTTATCTTAAATTGGGAGCAGGGAAATTGACAGCCTCTTTAATGTGATATAGTTCAAATTCATCAGGATCTCGCAAGTCCAAAAGCAGAAATTCTGATTAATCTGTAATCCCCAATTATTCTGTGGCATAAGTAATTGCAGAGACTTACGATACTTCAGTAAATCTAGTCTTCTAACTATATTGACTTTAAGTATCAAATTATTGTAACTACTCCTATTCCTATTATTGTTGATCTGCTAACTTATAAATAGTTTCTTATTCTGTGTTTTCCTATCAGAATATATATGAAGTATACGCTTATAAAGTTGAACACAGTGGAACACTTGATGCGCTTAAACAACTCAGATCTTTTTTTAGCTATCTTAGCATTACTTACTACTTCAATGTCTCTCACGGTTGGTCCTGTATTTAAGGTTTGTTTGACATGATCATATTATTTGTTTTTTGGTACTTTTTTATCGAGGGGCTTGAGAATTCAAATTCATAATTACATTTCCTTTTCCTTTAACATAACCAATTGGCAATTTGTCCATTACAATTAATTCAAATATTCTGTTAACTAATATTATTAAATTAAATGAAATGATTATTAGAATAACTGAATATATAATGATTTCAGGATTATCAATAAAACAAAGCAAAATATAGATTGAATAAATATCATTAATTCTTGTTGAGTATTTATATTAATTATAATTCTCTGATTGGTTTAACTAAAAAGTCGGCCATTCCAGAATTAATACATTTTTCATACTCTTATTGATCTGTATAACCACTACAACCAATAATAATCTAATTGGGAAAGCTTTGAAGAATGATTTTAGTAGTTTATTAGCCATTCATAGCTGGCATTTCTATGTCCATGAAAACTATTTTGTAGCCTTAACAAGTATTGCAACACTTCTTGGTTTTTATTTTTGTAATTGATTCACTGCCAGACAAGGCTGAATCAATATCAAATTCACTTGTAAACAGATGCTTTCTATTTTTATACAATTCCATTAGCATTCTTTTGAATGCAAAGATATTGAAACAATCATCATCGACTATCAAATAGTGAAGACAATTTTATTGAGTTGATAAGTCTTCCTTAATGTGGGAAGGTATTGTTTTGAAACTAATTATTTCATCAACTTCTTATGGCTGTAATGAAATTTCAGGTATTCTGAAACTTGAGATTTTCTTTTTGAAATTTTCATCAAAATATAAATCAAAATAAAAATGGCAATAATGATTATTCTTTTCATTTTTTGAATCTATATTAAGTCCAGTAGATCCAATATTTTAAGCTATCTGATTACTTATAACTAAACCCAGTCCAACACCTTATTGATTAAGTTTCCTACTTTCTTCAGAATTTACCTTTGAGAATGCTTTAAATAAATTTTACTGATCTTCTTCAGAAATGCCAATACCTTCATCTTTCACTCCAATTCTTAAGGCATTCTATTTGAGCTACTCAAGAATTATAGTAATTTTTCCACTTTGAGTAAATTTGAATGCATTACTTAACAAATTTATTATTATTTGTTTAATCCTATTCCTATCAGAAAGCAGAGTTTTTGGTAGATTAGAATAATAATAGGTAGATAATTGTACTCCCCTCAACTTGGCTTTTAATTTAAACATTTATTAGCATTCTTCGATTAAGGATTACAAATTAAATAGTACCTTTTCAACTCTGAACTTCCCATTTTTTATTTGGGCCAAGTCTAATAGATCATTAGATAAATTTAAAATATAATTTGAGTTATCTAATGCTATTTGTAATTACTCATTAATATCAGGATTGTTAATGATATTCTGTTATTTAAGGACACATTCTAACATCTGAATAATACAATTTAATGGAGAACGATATTCATGACTGACAAATGAGAGCATTTTAGACTTTTATTTGTCATACTCTTTTAAATATCTAATTTTCTGTCTATGAGTTACATCTCTACAAATTATAATGATATATTAATTTTTACTCAAAGTCAGTGTTAATTCAATTACTTAGTTGCTTTCTGTATTAATATATGTTTAGGAAGTTTGTATTTATTGAGTTGTGAAGAGTGTAAATCTTGTATTTAATTAGGCTTAAACTACAACACATTCTTAAGTTTTAGATTTCAATAATGTTTCAATGATTTATTTTATTTTAAATTTCTGATTCCTGTCCTAAATTTATGAAACATCCTAAGTCAGATTTCTCTGTTATTAAAATGGCTAATCCTTAGATTCTGTTGTTTATCTGAAAATATGTAAAGAAGGTTATCTCTGATATTGAGATACAAATAATAATTCTTCATTTGGTTCTCCATTAAATAATTAGAATGTATTCAGACCATCAATGAATTGGAGTACTTCTTAATCTGTTTCTCTATTGAATAACAATTTAGTAGCTTGATTCACATATTTAATTGAATATGGAAAAGTTGCAGTATTTGATTCTGGAACAAGTAAAATCACGCCTTCTTGCAACAATTCAAAACATTAAATGCTCGTCTCTTAAAGACCATTATCTGCTGTGGTTGATGTTTCCCTCATTCCTAAAGAGTTTTGATTTTGATCCAGATCAAATTGCGAAACATTTCTCTTTGAGTTTAGTATGTCCTATTTATTAGTATTCGTTATTTCTGTTATCATTGACGTCATTTGAGGTTGACTTTGTTTTGGCAAAGAAGAGTTACAGTATAACGATATTATCAAAGTGGTCAATAATTGCGGTTGTTCTCTATCGAACTCAATTCTCAAATATGAATACACTAGTAGAAATATTGAAGTTATTGCCTAGAAAGCAAATAGTTCAGATTTAACACCCAATTTAAAGTCTAAAAACAAGTCCTTTATTAAAATCTAAGCTATTATTATTTATGAAAAGGGTATCCTACCAAAATTGTGTATATTCATTATTATTAAACAGAACATATCTAATTATATGCATATAATAGTTCCTTACAACATGAACTTATTAAAAACATTTTATAGCAATATTAATCCTAATGTAATCAATGTTATAATTATTAATTGTATCAAATTGAGTACACATGAGTTTTGCGATTGGTGATATATAGAGTATGAGAGAATCATGCTTTGTAAAAGATTGACCATAATGCATTTTTGATTTAACATAATTTAATATAAATATACTTTTTAAACTAAATACTATAATTTCTTAATGTATTAAAATTCATTCAATATTTATCAACTCCCCTTCTGTCTGATTGTCTAAGGAAATCTATATAATCTATTTTAATGCATAGTAATTATTTGGCATATACATCAAGTTGTAATTAATATATTTATAAATCTTAACTTATATAAGGTATGTTGGAAAAATGAAAATACATCAATTCTAATCTATATTATTCTATTTAGTGGTTACTTAATTATAATATCCTTATTGTTAATGCAATTCATATTAAGAATTAATAAGTATCCTAAATTAAGAATGACCAATAAGTTTGAGCAATTATATTTGCAAAACAAGAATTTATGGCGATCTCAAAGGATAATTAAGAATTCTACTTTCGAGGATGAATAATTTATAATTTATCAATCTTCAATTATCATCACAAACTAATACACTTATTTTTCAAATTTCCAACTTTATTATTGATCTTAATTCAATATAGGTAGGATATATAAGATATATTGTAAAGAACTAAAATTAAAGTTGTTTTGAAAATAAAATCCTCATTAATTTGTCTGATAATAAAAATAACATTCGCACTTTATATATAAGAGGAAAAATAACTATATTAATAAGTAACCCATTCATGAATATACTAGATGTTACTTTCTATCTTAAGTAGATATATTCCATTAATAATGAATAATTATCTAAGTGTATTCATCATATGTTGTCCATTTTCTTCGAATGATGTCATATAGTAATAGATTTCTATATAGTAATTGAGTTAAATGACAATTAAACTATTAATTGAACTAATTAGTGAATGACAATCAGAAATGCTAGATTATTTTTAATATTAATAATATGATATCAAATTCTATAATGACATTTCTGTATTTATCTCCAATTCTATAAAATTCGATTTAATATAGGTTTGAAAAGAAAGAAATGTCTAATAAACCTGTATATTCTCAATAATAACAATTAGATCATTTCTGGGTCTTAAATTTTATACAAAAATTCATAAGGTATCAATACCTAAGAATTCAAAGGCTATATATATTATTTAAAATTTATGATGATTAAGTAAAATCAAGGAAAAGCGAGAATTATAATCTCTAAACTCTTTTATATTTTGAGATGAGCAAAACCCTGGTTTCCATGTTAGATATTTAAATGTATAAGAGAACAAATATTAAGATATATAGTTAATACTCTAAATATAAATCAATGATATGAGACCTCAATATTTGAGTAGAGAATTCCTAACTATAGTCTTATTAGCCACATGACAGCTCTTTTACTGAATTTTGGAGTTGTATATGTAACTGACAGAGTCATTTCTCAAAAAATTATTACTAGAGTCGTTATTTAAAACAAAATACCCTAAAATTCTAAACATCATCAAAAAATCTTGATGATGGGTATATCTTTTAATATGGGCTATATTCCTTAGTTTGTTTCTCAATCGGTTCATCAATTTTAGGAACTCATGAGCTCTGGTTTCTCCCAAAATAGAGCAAATGAGATGTTTTTATCTACATGCAAAAGATACAATAGCTTTTGCATAATTTTTTTGGATATTTGTAGACTTGACCAGGAAGTTTGGTTTTTAAGACTTTTTTATGAGGATACTCTTAATGATCTTATTTTGAATCTGTGTATCTCTAATTTCTTCTTGATTGCTTGTTAACTCAGGTTTACTTTCAGTTTCTGAGTAAGTTATCTTTTGGATATCTTCAATAGGGGGATTAGGTTCTTCAGATGATTTATTTTCCTAAATTTGAGTTTATGCCTAAATATTGTAATATAGTGGATTTGGAGCAGAAAATGGTTAAGGCATTATCAAATACTGATACCCATATGGATAAAGTAGCTGATGGGGTACAAAATAAGCATTAAAATTTGTATTGAACATATAATTATTATATTCTAAATAAACACAACCGTAAGACTTAATATTATCGATACTAAATCGGTTTATTCACTTTAATTAAGTAATATTATTACATTTTTAATTAATAATGGATATATTGACATATTATCATTCAAGTTAAGATATGAATTACCATTCAATCATATTAATTTATCTTATTCGATAACATTAACAAAACTCAAAATAGAATTACAATTAATTTTAATTATCAATTATTGATCCTAAATAATGATTAATATTGTTTATATCTAAATATGATGATATTAATTAATATTAATATAAAATGTTTAGAAAAAAGGAAGTTATTTAAATAGCAGAATTGAGAGCTGAACCCTTAAAAGATATATAATTTTAGTTGAGTGAGGAGTTATATGAGTCAAAGTTTATTTATAATATCAATGTATACAGTTGGATTAGATTGATTAGAGAATGTAATGGAAATTAAAGAGGGAAGTGATTGGGGACGCTTAAAAGGTATCAGAGATCAATTCAAAGATCTCGATAATAAAAGAATCTAATAAATCTCATTTAAAGGAAGAACTGGTAAAATTAACATAGGATGTGGCGAATTTAGAATAATAAAAAGTGAATCAAATAAAAACAATAAGGAAATTGGTGGATGATAAAGAATTTGCAGAGAAGAAATCTAAGGAAATGAAAAAATTATTCTTGCAATCCCAAATTCGTAATGAGTAATTAAAAAAAATGATTTTAGAAGAGGAAGAACGATTTAAGAGTTTGATATTGAATTGATAATAGTAAAAATTAATTAATCAATTGTATTATTAATATCTTAATAGTTATTATTCTTTCTCTTATAAATTTCTTGACATTACTAATAATAGATTTTAAAGGTCTCTTATTTATGGATTGTCTTTTACATTTCTCTTGTAATTATCTAGTTCTCTATGTAATCTATCAATTTCTAAATCCTTTAATTCTAGATACTCCATGGCCTCTTTTAATTCATCCTCCTTGTTGCTGTTTTATTGCATATGTAATTTGATTTCATCTATCTGATTAAGTACTTCTACTAATTGCTAATCTTTGGTTTACAATTCGCCACTCAAATCTTTTAATCTCTTCTGAGTTTACAATAATTACTATTTAAGTATTGAATTGCTATGAGTTAATTCTTGAATCTCAAGAGTTAATGTTTCATAACATTTTGTCGGTCTTTTTTAAGACCCACTGTTTTTTCTATTAAGCTTTTATAATTCTGTTTCGTATGTCCTATTCATATTTTGAGACATCTGTAAATTGATATCTTTACTTTTCAGTTAATCATTAAGACTAGATAATTCACCCCTTTTTTATGTCAATTCTTTCTGGCATTTCTATAATTACTTTTGATATTCCTTAACCTATTAGTCCTTCTTTATCAATAGTGTTTCTGCTTCTGCGGATGCTTCAGTCAAAATTTGTATTTTGTTTTTTAGAGTAGCCAATTCTATCATAACATCCTACTTAAAGGATGACTCATCTAGTTTCTTAAGTCCTTCAAACTTCTTCTCTAATTATGCATAACGTTGTCTCTCTTAAAAATACATCTTCTCATAATGATCATAATCAGTTTAGATATTTATAGATCTCATTTCCTTATTGTATTATTGAGTATCCTTCAATTCAAGTGCTAACTGCTTTAATTCTTGTTTATACCTTTCGATAATCTAATTAAAACATTAAAATACTTTGATTTCTCCTTCTCTCAAATGATTAACTAATGTCATTATTTGATTTAGAATTGTTAGTATCTCTGAAGAGTTACAATCCTCTTCATTCTCCAATATCACAGGTAATTGATTCTCATCTGTCTCATCTGATAATTACTTGACTTCTTCCCAATATTCATTTTGGTCTTATTTGAATTCTTCTAAACGTTAAAAGAGAGTTTGCAATTATTATTCCATAAATTTATTTATGGCTTAAAATTTTCACGGCAATCTACCAAAAGAGTTCGAAGGATTTCTCCATGAAGTTAAATCTGTGGTTTAGGCCAGACAATAAGCATTGAATGAAAGTATTTAGTAAGAACAGAAGAAGTGCATTGAAGGAAAGAAAGAATAAGACTTTTTGAAGTGTTAAACTCTATTAGCAAAGAAATTAGAGAAGAATGAAGCATTATTTTGTATGTCTACATGATTTATCAAAGAGTTCAAGATGATATATTGGAGAGAGACATCAGTCTAATGTTTCAAGGCATAAGAATAAAAAGGTGTAGGAACTGATCAATGCAAGGCTGATTCAAAGAAATTATTGCAGACTATCTTTGATTCCTTTAAAATATGAATATATATATAAGCGAGTTTAATAAATTTAGACTGATGGGTTTTTATTTTGGCATGCTTTATTTCATGTATAAAGATATGTTATATGAGTAATTGTTTATCTGTTGCAATTTGAATCATTATTGATTTCTCCTTATAATGGAATAAAAAATTAAGCCATTATTTGTAGAAACTAAATAGAACTTTATTAACTCCTATTTACTTACTGCTTTAGGATAAAATATTGTTTTTGTTATCTAAAATTAGAACCTTTTTGTATAGAATAATATACATAAACTAGTTTCAATGTTCTGAATCCAAAGATTTTAAATTACATTTAGATAATTTTTTAGAATGCATTAATATCAAAGTTTTTTGTTTATTGATTCATCATCATAAACATAATTAATTGCAATCATAAAGATGTAATCAATTAATATAATTGTGATAACAAATAGAATTATTCCAACATAAATACATCTTTAATCATCTTTCTCTTATTTTCAATATATCATTATTTAAGCCATTAAATAGTAATATATTAAATATGGTAAATAAATATAAATAGCATTAAAATTTAGAAGACCCAGAAATATCTGATATTCATATTTTAAAGCAAATGCTTTATTTTTGGAATACGTTAATAAAATCTATTTATCATTTATCCTACTTTAAATAGTAGACTCAAATTTAATAATATAACAAATAAGAAAATAGTTTCAGACTCATTTTAATTAAACTCAATTTCTTAATATAGCTAAAAGTAAAAGAGAATGAAGATTTGAATTAATTAATAATTATACTTAAATATATTCTAAATATACTAAATTACTCATTGTTTTTTAAAAATATTTAATTTGCCCCAGAATCCACCTTTCTTTGGTTCTTCTAATGTTGGATAAGTTAGGTATGAATGTGCCTATTAAATTAAAAAAAATCATTTACAATATCTAATTAAATTGGTTTAGGTGGAATTGGCTGCATTAATGAAATTAGATCAGCTGGTTTATATGATAAGACATTATCTAAAGTAATTTATTCAGGAGAATCTAATAATTCAAATAAAGTTTTCTAATTTTATTTATCCTCTAATCCAATATTTTGAATTTCTTATCCAATAGTTTTCACTTAATCTTATTAAAGTTTTAATCCATTTAGTTTACTCTTATTTTATATTTATGTAGACAATGGAAGAAGTAATTTTAATAAACTGTGTGGTTCCAATTTATTCTCTATGTATTTTCTATCAGCTATTCTTGATAAATCATCATGATATTTCAATAAACTGTAGGCTTCTCTATACTTTTCATTGGTGAAGTAGAGACACCCAACAAAGAAACAACGAAGCGCTTTACAAAAGAATTCTTTAGCATCTAAAATTTTGAATAATGTAATGTCCTTATTGAAACGTTCTTCATCCATAATTTATCTTAGAATTTAGGAGTAGTTATCACAATATTTAATGATTTCTTATGGAGTAGTTAATTTTAATTTGAGTGCCTTTTTGGTTTGTAAGTTCTAAAGATTATTGACTCCATCTTCTTTAATAAATTTTTCAGTGTATTATTTTATATGCATTTCATTTCTATCTAAAGTTGCAGATTATCTTTAATAATTGATATACCCTAACACCTTAGAGTGTATTTCTTTCTCTTATTCAGATGTTGATTAATCCTTGTCTATTTTAACATACTTGGATGCTTCATCAAACAGTGAGAATAAAGTTGTAAATGAATCCAAATCACCTATTAATTTACTCTCTTGAATCTTAAGAATCAATTTAACCACTTTTTCATTTTTTATAGGTAATTTAGAATCTTAATATTCAATTTCGAAAGCACCTTATTGTTGAGTCATCTTTGCTTGTCTCTGTTCTTCAAGCATTTCTTCAAATTTGGCAATCATAATGGGATCACTTTGATCTTTTAACATTTTTGTCAATTCATCAGCAGACAGAGTAGCCAATTTCTTTGCTTTAGCATTGCAATATCTAATTTATTGATTTAATTATTCTAATCTCTCCTAATATACTCCAGAGCTAAATTAATCACAAACTTTAATTATTTATTCATAAATAGTATAACATTTAGCAAAAGATTCTAATGCTTTCTCCCATTTTTCAGTTTCAAAGTGATACAATCCTTGTAAATACCAATTATATGCTTCTGATTCTAATGATGTTCTCTTTTCAGTTCTCTATTCACAAATTGTAGTTAACTATTTAGAATATTGGATAGCTCTCTTAAATTTCTTAACCAAATAAACCTTCACTTATCTTTTATTGATTTTCTTATTAACTCCACTATTAATCAATTATTTCAAAGTCATAGCATGTGCCCAATTCTTTTCTGCTTAATACAATAATACTTATAAAACACGTGGATCATTCTAATTTCAATATTTGGATTATACCTTGACTACATCTTAAATAACTTTCTTTTGAAATCTCTTTCCATGAGTAAATTACATTTGATGTCTTAGTTTGTTTATTTTATTATAGCAATATGTCCTGTATCTTTAATAATCTCCATGTTGTAATCCATAATTCCTTTAGGTTTCTCTTATTTTTTAGAATACTAAAAAATATAAAATCAATGAATACCAAAAAGGGAACCCAAGTTTTATAATTGCTCTTATAATTCTTCCTCTTCCATTTATTACATTTTAATTAATATTAATTTAATATATATGAAATAATATAAATTCAGTTATCTTCTTAATATATTTCATCTAGTTCTTCCACGTTCTCATAAAATTCACTCATCTATTTAATGCTTGAAAAACTTTCCATATTTTTTTATAAATTCTCTAATCCTTTTGATAAGGTTTCATTTTATTGTACTAATTCCATCTATTAAATCAATAATAATCAATACATTCTTCATTCTTAATTTTTCAGCATGGATTTCTCCTTCATTATACACTCTTTTTACAAGTTGTCTAAGATCTTAAATCTAAATATGTTATGTATATTATATACCTCATTGACAAGTTCTTCTTGCTTAATTTCAAGCATATTGACCTTTTCCTATAATTTATAATTGTCTTCCTTCAATTTACTATTTTCGGTTAATAGCATTCTTTCTTTATGTTGAGTACTGGAAATGTAATTAGTAAATGCTTATTATTGAAGTTATTTTAAAAACATCTAACATATTTAAGGTAATCTACCTCTTGTAATTCTTAATTGTTTTCCTAAATCGGATAACTCTCAAATTGCGAGTCCATCATTAAAGTATTAAAAATCAATATAAAATAAAAATAATAATCAATTTTGCGTTATTTTCCAAGGTTTAATAAAGAATTATTAAACTCTTTTATATTGTAGAAACAATAAGATTGTTATTACTATGATGAAAAATATACTTCCATAAAAGCATCCCTTTACAAGTGGTTCCGTGTTTAGGTATGAATGCTCTGCAAATGTTATTACTTCTTTGACAGCCTATAATCATTAGTTATTAGAAATACAATTGTAATCCCTTCATCTGTAAAACAATTATATTTTTGATATTCATGAAAGATTCTATTCTAACCATCAATTCCTTTTAAACCATCTGCTTGTGTGTAATAAATTATACCCAATGCCATATTACTCATACATAAAATAAACGTTATTATCAATTAATATTCAATATGTTAAAATTTAGTAAAATCTATAGATATGAAGTTTACATCTTTAAGTAAATAAAACAAAAAGGAAGTAATTAATAAAACTGTAGTTAAAATTAAGGAGATTTTGCTTACATATCTACTATAAGAATTAATAATCTCTCCTTGTAATCTCATCTTTTTGATACTATCTGGATCCACAATGTTACATTCTGGATTTGTTGAATTAATAGTTATTCTACTCATTAATTATAAGGTATAAGTATCAATACTATCGATATAATCTAAAAAGTATGGTATGCTTTAAAAATTAGTAAAATCATTATCATCATATACATTTAACTAATAATCTGAATCTATGATTTTTGAATAATTAAATGTGTTTCCATATTTATCACAACCTTTTTCAGGAACAATTGCTAATGGATAATATTTACCACTTTAAAACTTCGGTTAAAATTTAGAATTAAAACACATAGAATTAGGGTGAACACCAGGAACGATTTAAAAATTAATTAATGGAGTTGAACCGTTACGGTACTTATTGAAATATTTTGACCCAATTTTAATCTATTTTTCAGTTTGAGTTTGGGTTTCAATTAAATCTGTAAGCGGACATTTGGAATTGGATGATGATATACATATACCAGCACCACATTTATAGTAATTAGATGGACAATCCTAATTGCCGACCCATTTCCATTTCTTAGCAAATTCTACACACAACATTTCACCTTTCCAATACTAGAATTGTTATCTTTTATAATAAGGAACACTCTGACAATCAGATTTGAAATGAGTAAAACAATATGATCTTTCTTTTAATTCCCCATTTGAACATAGACAACCTATTTAAATAACTTTCTGATACCTGAGTTGACTCCTTCCCAAGTGCCAATAGTAGTAATTTCAAATCCATATGGACAACTCTAATAATGTCTATGGAGTCTATTAATTTGAATGGTATTTTGAATATCAAGTATTGGTGATGAAGCTAGGTTTTCTTGGAGTGTTTTCAAGGTGGCGGAAGCACTGGATGGATCTTTTTATGGTTGCTATTGATGGTACACTTGAATCATAAGAATGAGTATAAATGTTGCGTAGACTAATGGTATTATAAATATTGGAAGTGAGAATGGACTGGGTTCTTCATTCAAGATTTCTGATTGAACATCTTAATAAATGTCAAATATTGATTTACTTTATAGACTGTCAATAGAAATGTTGTCACTCTGTTCTTGCCATTCATGTTTGTGAAGGTGCAAGGATCTGCGAATTGATAATTTCATCTTTTATTATTTGATATGTAAAACTTAATCAAGTATTAAGTGAAGTATTGAATAAGAATAATAATCAAATCAAAATATCTGAATGTTTCAACACTATTAATATGGTTATTCTTCGTGATTCTCATCGACATTATCCTAACCTATTCACACAATAATTAAAAAGTAAGTTTGAATCATGCAAATAACAAATGTTTAACGTTATCTATTAAATTAATAAATTAAATGTAGAAGACAAACTTTAAGAACCTCAAAGACCTACTCTAAAATAAGTACTCTTACTAAGATGCTAAATAAAATTCGCGTACTTCTTCCATAGCTGAAGTCTTATAGAATCTCAAGAAAAATAAAGATCAGACACCAGTCTCCATCATGAAAGAAGAGATCATCAATTTTACTAAAGCTATAGGTTTTGGCATTTAGGCTCCACCTTCTAAATCAAAATCTAAAGAGAAATAAGCATTGCCAAAGAGCATTGACAAGTAATCATATAATTTTTGATTTTAGAAAACCGATATTAAATAATGTAGCCCCATAATCAAAGGGTAATAGTCGAAACAATAGTTCTTAGAGTAGAAATACTTCTGCGCATTCCATCATAAATGAGAAGTAAGTTGAATAAATATGTTAGCACAAATCGATCTATTGCTAAAGACCCAAAAATACCAAAAGGATTTTAAACTGGAAGATTAAGAGAAAGGCAAGAAATGAATTCAATCTTGGAATAATAAAAAATAAAAATACTTAATTAATCACAGGATCAATAAAAATAAAATCTCAACAACAGTAATGTAAGTAAATAAGGAACCATAGATCTCGTTAACTTATTAAAGCAACAGTAAAATCAAAAATAAGAATCATTAACAAATGAGGTAATAAATGAGAGTAAAACATTCGGTGAAGAATTCTGTGGATTAAATAAAGGGCATTTCATATATAATTATGTGATTGGAAAAGGAGGATTTGGAAAAGTTTGGAAAGTAGAATTGAAGAAAAATAGATAATTGTTTGCTATGAAAGAAATGATGAAATCTAAAATTATTGCCAAAAGAAGTATCAACTCTGTAATGAATGAAAAAGAATTATTATCATAATTGAGACATCCGTTCTTAGTCAACATGTGTTATGCATTCTAAGATAGAGATAATCTCTATTTGATTATGGATTTGTTAACAGGAGGAGATTTAAGATTTCATATTGGTAGAATGAAGAGATTTAAAGAACATTAAACAAGTACTGATATCATTAATTTAGAATTCTTTATTGCATGCATCGTAAGTGGACTAGAATATCTTCATAACAATAACATTATTCATAGAGATATTAAACCAGAAAATATCGTACTTGATAAACGAGTAATCTTTAAATATTAATTAAGGGTTATGCTAGAATTACAGATCTAGGCATTGCAAGAAAGGTTAGACCGGATAATTCATAAGACACTAGTGGTACTCCTGGTTATATGGGTAAATACTAATTTATTAATCCATTAAGCACCTGAAGTTATGTGTAGATAAAATCATGGAATTGCAGTTGATTATTTCGCTTTAGGAGTTATCGCCTATGAATTTATGATTGGAAAAGTAATCTTTATTATCAATTTATCAAAAGAGACCATACAATGGGAAGTCAAGGAAGGAGATTCGAGATTAGATTCTTGCTAAATAGGCATCTATCAAAAAGGAAGATCTACCAAATGGGTGGTCTATTGAAGCAATGGATTTTGTAAATAAAGTAAAACATCATTTTGACTCTAGTTATTACAAAGAAAACCTTAAAATAGGTTAGGATTTAATGGTCCTTCCGAAGTCAAGAATCATCCTTGGCTAAAAGGTGTTCCTTGGGAAAAATTGTATAATAAGACAGTCGAAGCACCTTATGTTCCTATTGTATTTGTTATAATAATAAACAATAGAATGTCTAGGATATGTATAGATAACAAATATCAGATGATGGAGAGGAATCTTAAGATGAATTAATTAAGGAAAACTAATTATTATTAAGAAAAAATAGTGTTTAAAGTATAAATAATAGTAGATTTAGATTTATTTGCTGGTTATGGATATGATTGCAATTAAGATCCTACTTATAAAGGAACTAGAAGTACTGCATCAACGCATAATACAAGTCAACAGAATGAGACAATCAAATTTTGAAACAATTAATTCATAATATTTATGTAATAATACATTCACAATAATAAAATTAATAACAAAACTAAGAATGCAACAACAGCGCAAATTAACATGCACCACAACTTCTTTTTGCCACTTTTTTATTATTCTTGTGTTTTAGTTAATTAATCTTAAGTTTTGATAACATTCTCCTTAGTTGTTGTGACATTAGTCTCTATCACATCAAAATAAGTATCCTAATGTTCTATTTCCAAAGCTAAATCTTATACAATTTTATTAATTGTTTATGCCTTATATTAGATTTAATCTATTTCCTCTTAATTTTATTTAATGATTTCATTGTGCCACTCAATGTGATCGAATTGTTCAAATTATTAGACATCCATCATTTATAATTATGAAGTATTTTAGGCATTTTATTGATTTTTCGAAGAATGATTCAATGTAAAATTTTAAACATCTTATTTCGATGTCATTTTCATCATTCGTTCAATATCCTTTAGGACTTCCTTTAAAGATTCATATCCACAATCATTAATCATATTTTTATATTACTGTTAATGTCTTTGGAGATGACTATTGTACAAATCTCTTAACTTCTTGGTTTTATTTCGTTGCTCAACTCCCCTAGATGACTTTGAGTTATTGTTTAATGTACTTGCTCCAATTTAATGATGTTCTCTTTAATGTTCATATGCTCCAATTAGATAGCCTTCAATTGTAGAAACACTTGATTGACATTGTGCTGATCAATTTCTGATTCCCCTGATACTTGCAGTTCATCAACACTTTGTTGGTAATCTATGAGTTATGCTTTAACATTCTAAGATAAATTTGATTGGGTACCTCATACAATTAATCAAAAGAGACATTATCATTCAATAATGATGTATGAAGATCACTCATTTAATTAAATAATAAATCAATCACACCATTACATTCTTTTTCCATTTACCCATTGTCCTTTCCTTCTTCCCTACTAAGAATTAGTATATTCACCGATTCCATGTTGTTTACCATATTCCCATTGCCCAGAATATTATCGAGAATCAGCTAACTAAATTAATATTTTGATTACGCCATGTCAAAGTTCCAAACCCATGCTTTTTGTCATTCTTATATTCTCCTTAATAAATAGTACCATCTGCCCATGTCATTTTACCTTTTCCATCCATCTAATCGTTTACCCACTCTCCTTCATATTTTCTACCATCACTCCATGTATAAGTGCTGCAATATAGAAGGTTACAATTACCCTTATCCATTGAACTAATTATTTTTAAACGAACCTTCATAAAGAGAACCATCAGGAAATTTATAGACCCCATATCCTTCACGCTTTCCTAATTTGAATTATCCTGTATAACTAGATTAATCAGAGAAAAATTCGAATCCCTATCCATTCTATAAATTTTCGAACCAATCTCCTTTATACATGGCACCATCACCATGATAATACTCACCATATCCATGATGTTGATCATCACACCATTATCCTATATAATAATCACCGTCAGCATAAATCATTCTACCCTTTCCATTAGCCATTCCTCGAGAAAATTAACCTTCATATATTGACCCATTTTTCATGATTTAAACTCCTTTTTATTTTAATAACTGAATTTTACCTTTTCCATTTTTTTGACCCTCTAGCCATCCTCCTTGGTATAAACTCCCATTGGTTAATTCATATACTCCATAAAAATATGCTTCTGAGTCTTCAACTTCAAAAGGGGCCAATCTATCTAATAGTTCCTGCGTTAATATCATCTCGTACTTTGACTTTGAATGAGGATGTCTAGAACAATTAAGATGTTAATTTAGCTTCTTTAACATCAGGTCTATGAATTTCTAACAGTAAGGAATCATCCAATTATCTGGTTTTGGTTTATGATAAATTCTTCTCTAAATCTCCTTGAATTAATGGTTCATCTGGAATAGCTCCCACTTCTCGAATGGTCTCAATTTTGCTAGTAAAGGTCAGTGGAGGGGCCTCACTTAGAACAGCTATTTATTCAGAACATACACATTATCCCATTATTTAATTTATTTTATAAGTATATAACTATTAATTGTTCACTATTTTCTGGTCAAATTGGAATTATTCTTTACTTCTTGTTCCATGAAATGTAAGATTCTCATTTCTAAATTCTGGTTCTTCTTCACTTAACCATCAAATGCTTATTTAACAGATTACAATTCATCTAATTTCACTTAATATTCCTTATCCTTTCTCTAAATGATTTAATCTATATTACAAATAAATTATGATACTTAATTGATTAAGTTTCCATTGTAACTCCTGTATTTCCAAAGAGTTATTATTAAAATTATTCATGTTTTCTAATTGTCTTCTATAATTATCAATTTCTAATTAATTCTAGTTCAGCTATTGTTCTAATTATCTAAAGTATATCTCATAGACTACCTTGATTTTGATTCATAATGTAATAGAATTTATTCATAGTCTTTAATTTTATCATTCAAATTCTAAATTTAAGTCTCAAATAACGCCTTTTCTGCATTTGATAACATATTCTGACTATCTTCCTGGATTTATCTTTATTCTAAACGTTCTCTCATTTCTGATATTTCCTACCATAATATTTGGTATCTTGAAGTGGCCTATTATAACTCATTCTATTGGGATTAGACCTTTTAAACATAATTATTCTAATTATAAAATAAGTAGATACTTCGGATTAATCATTTTGTATTTTTAAGATGCTTATTTGTTCCTTCAATTAAGTTATAGTATTATTTAGAGAAATAATTGTCTAATGATTATTTATTTGCTCTTATTTAAATTGCTTTAAGTCTGTTTCTAATTAATTAATGTATACTATGTATTCTGCTTTTTGAGATTGATCTTTTAATTGTTTCTCTAGACTAGATATCTTTTAATTTAGAAGGTCATTCTCTTATTACAGAGAATCCTTTTAATTTAAAAAGCCTTGCGATTTTACCTCCAAAGAAGTGATGGTTTCTTTCAATTAATCAAATGTTTAATGATCTAATTATGTATGCTGTAATTGTTATCTGAGATTATCATTACTAATTTGAAGTGTTAATAATTTAATTTCTGCTTATTCTAATTTATAGCTTAATTCTCTTTAGGTATAATTGCTTTTTGTATTAGATGAATTAGGATGAGTATTTATATGTAAATTTTGATGCATATTTGGATTCATATTTTCTTTGTGTAATCTATTTTATGTTGACAATAACAAATCTTGATATTTTCTGTCTGATTCTGATATTTGCGAAACTAGTTTTTTGTTTTCTTCTTGCTAATAATTTATTTAATGATTTAATTTTGAATTGTCATTTACTAGGACAGTAATTTTTTGTTGTAATTATTCCATTATTAATTTTAACTTGTCATACTCAGAATTGCTTTGTAATGTATTGAGGTGATTTCTAATCTGAACATTTTCTTCAACTAATTAATTAGATAGTTAAGCTGAAGATTTAATAACTTATATAACTTGATCAAATTAACTCTGTATAACTTTATCAAATGATTTTTTGAGATCTTCTAACTAACAAATTGCAAATCTAAGTTGATCCTTCAAAATCTCGAAATTATTTATTTTTATTCCTTTAATTATTGTGCATTTTTTATCGAAATGACTTTCTTAAGTGTAATTTAATGTTGAATTAAAACTAGTAGAATCTAATAATCTATTAGGTTGGGTTTTGTTGGGCATCAAAGTAGCAGTAGATCCAGATTTGCCTCTTACTTAATAAAATGAACTCCTCTAACTTTGATTAACTGGTAAATCCTTTATTGGTGATAATTGATCAATTATGCTCCTTTGAAATGTATACTGTTAATTTACATTCTCATTTTCTAACAACTCATGTAATTGGGATTGCAATGCTATTTCTGAGGTGGCGTAACACTTGATTGGCGCACTTGATAAACTGTTGCAGGTTTCTAAGTTTGTTACATACTCATTTTGCTGTTATAAAAATTTGAATTATTAAATTATATTTGTTTAATGAAAATGAAAACAAGATCAAGCTTGGTTGGCAAGTCTTTGGTTTCTTTCGTGGTTTTCATCCTCAACTTAGTTAAATCTGGCTTCAACCATCTCTTCTAATTCAGCAACCAATTAGAGTTCGTTTCTTCTAGCTTAGGTGGCATAATTGTATTCGTTGGCGAAGGTTGAGCATAAGGCTTAGGCTTAATCCCAAAGTTATTGGTTTCTTTAGAGTTTTCCTGAGGCGGTTTATGCAATAGCTGACTGAGTTCCGATTTATTGGTTCAATGAATCAAGTTTATTTTAGAGTCTTTCGTTTTAAGCTTCAAGTCTAGCGATAGTTTATCCTATTCTATCCTTTTAGTCATTGAATGCAGCAACTGAAACAGCGTTTGATTCAGTGAAATCGTTGTATGCTTCTTGGATATTACCTCTCAAGTTTTCCAAAAGTTAGGCAACTCTTTCAAGAGCTGATTCATCGAGTTATCCTTCTTAGGTAGCCAATTAAGCAAAAGCATAGAATACTGGGGCAAACTTGGCAGTTTCCTTGATGTTGAAGGCAGTTTAGAGCAGGCTCTTTGAAACTCTGCTGATTTCAGCGAATGATCCTGATCCACTGTAGATGGTGGCTAAGATATCAGATGCTTCATCGATAGCATGGAGAGCGTCTTCATAATCTCTTCCTCTTCTCTTGAAGTATCCAGCTTCAGTTTCTGCAGCACTCAAAACGCTGTTTAAGTGTTCTTAAGCAGAGAAGTATTATTATTAGTTGACTTCTTATTAGTTGGTAGCTCTGATCTTTGAGGTTTGAGCAACATTCAAAGCAGCAGTTGAATCTCTGAGGACATTGCTGGCATCAGTGACTTCAGCTCTTCTGAAAGCATTTTCAGATTCACATTCTGTAACTTAGACGTTGTAAATCTCATCATGATTAACTTATTCTGTGTTAACAGCATCTCTGAAATCTCTCAATACGTTCAAAATAGCATCAAGGGGTGATTTGTTCTTTAATTTTGCTTCAACTTCAGCCATAACAGCTGTGATTGATCTCTTCTTAGAGTAATCCAAGTTGAATTTTGTTGTAGCACTGGCAACGGCAAAAATGACCAATAAGCACAAAGCAAGTCTCATTGTAATAATAATATTTTATCATCTTTTTTTCATCCTCATAAAATGAATTCTATTAGAAAAACGGATATAATTATCGAAAACAACTAACCAAATACATAAATCATTTTCAACCTCCTTTAATAGATTTTCCTTTATTTAACAAAGCAAATCAAACCAAAACTCAGTTCCTTTTGGTTAACATCCTAAAATATGGTTCTTAAAATCACTTTATACTATTCAAATTTTACACTCATTTTTATCTATAATCCAATATTCCTTATTCTTAACATTTCTTAAAATTGTATATTATGCGTATATTCTTAAAAAAAATCGAATATTATTCTTTTTAACCTTTACTCTATTTTAATTACATTCATATTTTGTTAGTAAATGTGATATTTTGATAAAAATTGAATTGATATCATATTCATTCAACCATTAAATATAAATTTGATTTTGAAGGAGTTTATGCTATTATAAAATAATTAGGAATCATATTTTATACATAATATAATATAACAAGAATAAATACATCATTTAATAAACATTAATCCAACAATTACAACTAGAATGCATATTATTACTATCCTATATCCTATTTTTGTTTTTTAAGATTATTAAGCCTTAACCAATTCTTATGAAGCTTTTTATGTTTTATTTTCTGCATAAGTATAATTATCTTCGATTGTAAACATTTGATCAACTTACTAGGTTGCAACCTCATGGATTTTCTCATATATACTTTTAACTGTTTCCATACTTTTATGAACATTTTACAATCTCTATTTTCTTTATGACACATTATCTTCAAACAATTATACTTCCACTTAATGATTATCATGCAACAAACTAGTATCTTCATCTACATTATTATATTCCATTTCTTATAACCTCTTATTTTGCTATGAATAGTATTTCATTAGCTTCATTATCTAATTCTCATCACCCTTTTTTATACGTTTTTGTATTTCTTTTTTTATATTTTCTGACATTTATTTGCATTTACTTAAATATTCAGATCGATGATTTCCTTCAACTTCTTCATCAAGGAGATTTCGAAATTTTTCAATATCATTTTTTAATTTATCATCTTCATCTTAATTATCTTAATACATTTAATATATAAATCATAACAAATATTATTCTTTTATCTTAAAATTATAATATTAACACGTATTAGATAATTCATCTAATATTTATTTATTTTATTGAAGCCTATAAGAATATTATTAATGCTTATCCAATATTGTTTTTACTTACTATTCTCTTTCATTTTATAGTTTCTCTAATCGTTATTTTACGTTAATAAATTTAATATCTTAAGTGATAGATCTAACAGTTCTATTTGGTTCTGACCTCTATTCTTCATATCTAAATGTGTTGTTATATTTATTAGATTCACTGCTGGACATGTTTATTTGCAAAGATTTCTTTTTCTATTTTATTTTGTTCTTTGATTTCTTCTATTATTCTTTTTATGTCAAATTTAAAAGTTTGTTATAAATCTAGGTCAGCCTATTTTATTCTTGCTCTTCTTTAGTCTTATTTGACTTCTCAAGATGTTAGTGAATCTATTATAAATCAAAATTTTGTACTATTTCATCTTAGCCATGTAATCGTTATTTAATATTATCTAAACGTTAAGACTTTCTTTGTGATGCAGCATCTATACTTTTATTTAATTTCTTAAAAAATTCAAACTATAACATAGATTAATGCAGAAGTACCTCATCTAAATGCTTAGGCTCCGCCAATTTCATTGTTTGTGTTTCTTAAATAGTAACTTCTTTTTTTTATTAAATTTTCTATGGAACTTACTCCACTAATTCTACTTTTGCTGTTCCTTCCTCTTTGATTTCTTTGATTTCATCTTATACTGACATCTTTCTCGGCTTCCTTTTGATATTCTTTTTCTTTAACTTATTTGATAATGCAATCAATTAAGTTTCCTTTTTTTTCAAACTCTGTTCCATTGATGAGGACAGTTTATTATTTAGCTTTTATAGTTTTGCACTATAATCAGCTTATAATTTCTTTTTGTTCTCATGAATGGATTCCAATTTTAACACATTCTATTTTGCTCTTTGCATTTACTCTTCATAATAACAATTTTCATACCTTACAATGGATTCAAATATACTCCACCATCCTAACTTCCCTCTAGGCAGTTTTCGAGTCCTAAGCATATAAATCTAATTTACTTTGAAGTTCCTTAGTATAAGGTAATAATATATTTTACATAAATTATTAAAATCTTTAAATAAATTAATCGATTATAATAAATGATTTATTACATCATAACTTCTACTTCCTAGTCTTCCATTCACAAAAACTTATATAAAATATCAAAAACAAGTAAATCGATATTATTATATTCCACAAATTAAATCTTATCATATCAAAAGTAGTTCTCTATCTTTTGAGATGAAGAAATATAACATTTAAGAATTTTTTGAAAACATAGATTCCTCATATATGAAAATAATATAAACATTAAAGTAAAATTAAAATTAGAAATTTTATTCTCAGAAATTTTATTCTATCTCAGCATGCATTCTATTATCACTAATTTTTCATATTTCTTCCCATAATAATATAATAAAATGAAGATTGTTAACGTGAACATGAGTTCGTCTTTAAGTTTTAGATTTGGTTAATTAATAAATAAATATATCAAAATCCAAAAAAATATTCTCCTCCTTCAAAATGACAACAAAGTTTTTTTTTCTAGATATGTTTATAGCAGTAGGAATAGATAATATTTCAGTAATAGACTGATAGATAAAATAATTAAAATCAGATTTATTATTCCATTTTATTATATGAAAATAGAAATATTTATAAATTTATTTAATCAACAACATGCCCTTTTTTTTTAAGATGCTATTAGCTGCTTATTGAATTAATTAAAATTATGATGTTAATTGCTGCTTATTGATGAAAAATATTCTTTGTTAGACTACTTCACATTCTAATTATCGAGAATGTTCATTATATATTTTTAAATTTGAGGTACACTATTATATTCATAATTTGCCATTACTAAATATAGAATTTCATTGACAGCACTAAAATAATTGATAAGATGTACCTTAAATCTGCTATTGAGATAGATTTGTGATTATAGATATACTTATATTTTCCTCCATTGAGAAAAACTTTAACAAAAAATTATAACAACTAATCTATACTTTGCTTTTTTGCTATTGATTCCTGTTCATTCTGGTTTTTTTAAACGCACATTACATATTCTGTAATTTTTCTCATTTCATTAAGATGAAAGTCCAAATAACTATCTATCTAAGCCTTAAGTTTTAAGTTTTCTAAAGGATAAAAACTTAACAGTCTATATTATTCACATATATATTTTAAAATTGCATGACTTTCAAAGAGTGTAAAAGCGCCTTATTTGATGGACGGAACTGTCTAATTTGGATTTATTTGAGAATAGCTATCGAATTTATTTTCGGATTTCAGAATATCTATAACTTTTTCATTATACTCAATTTTAGCCAATAAAAATAACGATCTCACTGCTCTTGATGGCGATGAAAGTGGATGAAAATATAGAGTAATTTATTCTTATTTAGGTTATCTAGTCAATATTGATTAAATGAACTGATTTTTAAATTTTTGTTTCGATATTAAATTAAAATAATCCTAATGTGATATGTATAATTCTGGTATTTTAAAAATTCTCATAATATATTGTTCTAAAACAGGGAACTTTTCAAAATCAAAATTACAAATAAAAAGTGAAGTCAAATCACACACTGCTCTTAAAGAATATACAACTGTTTACCTTATATCTGCAATTGTAAAGTTGGGTTAGTCAAAAATATAATTATATTGGCCATTGTTTAGGAAAGTTTTGATAAAAAAATGTAATACCTCTTCTACGTCAACCAATCTCTAAACTCTATTTTCGGGAACTCTGTCCCCTTTCAACAATGGTTTCAAATAAAACTCTTTAGAATAGTCTAAAAGTTTAGTAAACTCATTTTGATGCCAATCTAAATATGAATCAACTAAAGCTTAATTTTATAAAGTCTTATTGATATATATAAGTTTTTTTTACATTAGGATATAATCCAAAGTTAGGCTTGTTTATGCAAATGTATTTTATTATTGCATGACTTTCAAATAAACTGAAAAACCCTTCAGTAATGGCTGGCACAGTCTGATTAGGGTTGATATTAGTAAAAGCGTGCTTGAGATTTTCCCCTTTAAGAACATCAATGACTTTCTCATTGAAATCGCTCTTTGTTAANTGCCCTTTTTTTTTAAGATGCTATTAGCTGCTTATTGAATTAATTAAAATTATGATGTTAATTGCTGCTTATTGATGAAAAATATTCTTTGTTAGACTACTTCACATTCTAATTATCGAGAATGTTCATTATATATTTTTAAATTTGAGGTACACTATTATATTCATAATTTGCCATTACTAAATATAGAATTTCATTGACAGCACTAAAATAATTGATAAGATGTACCTTAAATCTGCTATTGAGATAGATTTGTGATTATAGATATACTTATATTTTCCTCCATTGAGAAAAACTTTAACAAAAAATTATAACAACTAATCTATACTTTGCTTTTTTGCTATTGATTCCTGTTCATTCTGGTTTTTTTAAACGCACATTACATATTCTGTAATTTTTCTCATTTCATTAAGATGAAAGTCCAAATAACTATCTATCTAAGCCTTAAGTTTTAAGTTTTCTAAAGGATAAAAACTTAACAGTCTATATTATTCACATATATATTTTAAAATTGCATGACTTTCAAAGAGTGTAAAAGCGCCTTATTTGATGGACGGAACTGTCTAATTTGGATTTATTTGAGAATAGCTATCGAATTTATTTTCGGATTTCAGAATATCTATAACTTTTTCATTATACTCAATTTTAGCCAATAAAAATAACGATCTCACTGCTCTTGATGGCGATGAAAGTGGATGAAAATATAGAGTAATTTATTCTTATTTAGGTTATCTAGTCAATATTGATTAAATGAACTGATTTTTAAATTTTTGTTTCGATATTAAATTAAAATAATCCTAATGTGATATGTATAATTCTGGTATTTTAAAAATTCTCATAATATATTGTTCTAAAACAGGGAACTTTTCAAAATCAAAATTACAAATAAAAAGTGAAGTCAAATCACACACTGCTCTTAAAGAATATACAACTGTTTACCTTATATCTGCAATTGTAAAGTTGGGTTAGTCAAAAATATAATTATATTGGCCATTGTTTAGGAAAGTTTTGATAAAAAAATGTAATACCTCTTCTACGTCAACCAATCTCTAAACTCTATTTTCGGGAACTCTGTCCCCTTTCAACAATGGTTTCAAATAAAACTCTTTAGAATAGTCTAAAAGTTTAGTAAACTCATTTTGATGCCAATCTAAATATGAATCAACTAAAGCTTAATTTTATAAAGTCTTATTGATATATATAAGTTTTTTTTACATTAGGATATAATCCAAAGTTAGGCTTGTTTATGCAAATGTATTTTATTATTGCATGACTTTCAAATAAACTGAAAAACCCTTCAGTAATGGCTGGCACAGTCTGATTAGGGTTGATATTAGTAAAAGCGTGCTTGAGATTTTCCCCTTTAAGAACATCAATGACTTTCTCATTGAAATCGCTCTTTGTTAACTATAGGACTGTCTTAACAGATAAACATCTATGAGAGTAAGGATTAAAATATAGTGTTATTGACATTGATAATTAAATTTAATATTACATAGTTTGGAAATTATGAGCTTAATAATTAACAAATATATAATTATTTATAATGAAATATTAATCATTGAGTAACGATATTAGAAGGGTAAAAAGAATAGAATAAAATAAGGAAGATTAGTTGAATAAGTTAATCAGTAATATCGGATAAGAAATTTAATAGAAGTAGAAATTTAAATTAAACTTATAGCATAGATGATCCTTATAAATATTTAATCAAAAGAAATTATTCAATTGAGGATAGAACAATAATAAAAAGAGATAATATTACATAGCGCAGACCCTAAGGAAGTATGTCCATAGCTGAAATTTGGACAAAAAAGATGAAAAAATAATGTGACAAAATATTAGTAGAGATGAAAAAGAAATAGACTAAATAAATGTAAATCTAGTAATTAAGCTAGACTCGATTTATCAAAATAATAATCAATAGATAATAGATAAATTGATGAATCGATCTAATGTATACAATTATTCTCTAAATACAGCTCCACAAAATGCAAGTGCGATAATTGAATAATTGGGACTTAAAGTCTTATTGGGTAAAACTAGATAAAAGAACAAAAATAAATAAATAGTCTAATCTCCACGACAATAATTACAGTCCCAGTCCTAAATTTTGACTCAATCTCCAAAACCTATTAGAAACAGATTTGCTTCCAATTTTCATTTTGAACCCATTTAATATTCTCCAACCTAGCAGTATCATCATAATAGCTAAAGTACCAGTAGTAGTACAAAAAATTTGTATAATGTAATCATAATAGTAATAGAATCAATAGTAATTTTAGGAAATACAGCATTAAGAATGAAGTTAAAAGAGAAGTGAATAAATGTTTATACGAATGCGATTCATTAATACAAAATTATAAAGATATTGATAAGTAAAAATCAATTATAAAGTTCATAGAAAGTTAAAATAGCCATAGAAAAGTCGTCTAGATATTTTTGTCGAAAAATAGCGAAGAGAAGCATTGGAGGAACTAATATTTATTGAAAGAAATAAACCTAAAAACATATATTGAAATATTTTTATATTAATTTTCCATTTATGAGTTATTAAATATGTAACTATGAATTCTAAAATTGAGTAACAAAAATAGCATCTATTTCACTTTTTAGTTGTAAATTGTTGTAAAAACAGCTTCACTCTCATTCTCTTAATAAATCTAAATAACATTGGAATTCGTAATATATTAAATCCTTCACCAATAGATTATTCTCTGATTTTTAAGAATGTAAGAGGAAATAGTTGGGGTTTATTTAATACAATAACTTCTGCTTAAATTGCAGATTCGCTGAGGGATGACATAAAAAATGGCAACAAAGAAATTGTTCGGAAAAATGCACAAATAAAAGGACACTAAAATTATTGATTAAATTCAAATAAAACAATATAATTGGAAAAATTTATATATATATATATAGTTTAAATATATTGATAAATAATAAGAAATTAACTAATTTAATTAGGTACCGATTGAATGAATTCTGATGACCTGAGTAACTGAGAGTTAACTTACACGATATATAATAATTTGTATATTCTTAAATTTCAATGAGAAAGGTTTCTATAATTAATAATAAAATAAAAATATTAATAATTTAAATGTGTATTTCTACTCATTATTGAAAAAGTTGAAGTAATCTATAACAAATTTAAATTTAATGTACTTAATATATGAAGAAAGTGACATTAATTTTGTCTTCTCTTTTTATAATTTTTAATGTTAAGATTAATGAATTTATAGTTAATTATTGATTTTTTTAAGAAATAATTGACAAAAAGTAAAGATTTCATTTTATTATTGAATCACTCAAAAAGCTATGAATTGCAAAAGTGCATTAAGTTATTCAGCATATTTTTAATCAAATAAAGAATGAATTATTTTATAAATTAATAAAATAGAAACAATATATGTCGTAAAAATATCTTATTCTATTCATAAATATTTAGAAAGGTATCTATTTGTCATACGATTGTCTGATTTTATTCTATAATTTTTAAAAGAAACTATAAGAAAATATAATAAAATGATAGTTGGAACTTGATTAAATATGTTATCTGGTTTCTTACAAACATATTATGTCGGGATAATATTCCTTGATAACTTACATTGTAGTTGGTTTTAGAGAGGGTATATTCCAACTTACAATATTAATGGCTTAAGTTGATTGAGAGTTTATTTTAAAAGGGTGTTGCTCTTCCTGAGTCATAATTGGGTTATTCTTGTGACTAAGGTGGATTTGAAAGAATTATATCCTTCATAATTTGAATTGGGTTACAAATTTTTTCCTAATTAATTTTTATTAGGTGTTTTCCCAAAATTTTTTATCGCAAATATGAGCTATAAGATACTGCAGATATTTATGGTCCTGACCCACATTATTCACAAAAAAATTTCCCTAATCCCCTCTTTCCTAACTTATTAAGATCGAAGTTTAAGAGCTATTTCGACCTCATATTATTCCTTCAGGTTTTTAGGGGTTTCTTTAATAGTTTTTTAATGCCTATTTTCTTACTTCTGAAGTCTAAAAGGGTTTTTGGAAAATATTTTATCTTCCTTATTTTAAATTCTATGTTTTTAGTCTTTACTTTTGATTAATTATTGATATTATTATTTAATAATATCTTTTTCGTTCTAATAATTTTTCTTATACTTGGTTTCTAAATCACTAGATTCTTTCAAATATTATGGAGTAACTTTAGGAAATATGAAATTATATCATAAAGATTATCATAAGTACCTGATTTCTCCTGCAAAATTGGCATTCTAATAGTGGGTGCTTACAAAAAGGATCTCGATTGCATTTCTTCTCACTCTGAAATTCTTTTAAGCAATATTTCGAATTGTTTATTCAATACATGTATTAGAGAAACTGTATGATGGGTTGTGTTCAATAAGTCTGTTTTGATATTATCGTTAGTTACTTATTATGCCATTTAATAAACATAGCTTAAAACTCAATAAGGAATTTTGTTTGATTGGGTTAATGAATTTATTGCTCTGAACTCTTTATAAGCACAATTAATAAAGTAATACATAAATAATAAATTTAATAATATTTTTATATTTTTATTCATATATTCTAGAGGATATAATAAAATAAATGACTTACTGTATAATCTATAACTTAAGTTTTATAAAAGTAATAAATTTAATAATATTTTTTAAATTTATTAATATATTCTAGAGGAAATTATAAATAGAATACTTCTGTCTAATATCTTCTGCATTAACAAATTATTCTACTATTCAAGCTACTAAAGTTTTAATTGTGAAAATACGAACTATGGCAAAATTTTTAGAACCTGCTCTTTTCTTTGGATCTATGTAATTTCTCTATTGCATTTATATTTATACGTAGAATTGGAGGGATTCTATATTTGAATTTGGGACGTATAACACTTTTCATAGTTACATTTTCAATTTCCAACTAAATTGTTTAGATACCCTAACAAATTTTTTTTTTGTAATATAATTAACAACAATTTGCAAATTGTTTTAGTTATCATAATATTTTTTCCCATCATAATAAAGGTGATAACAAGTTATTGATATTGCTATTATATAGGATACCCCTTGAAGTTCTTTCGTTACAATTCTTGAGTGATTTTTGATTAACTTCCTCTTATTAATTATTCAAGAAAAACTTTCACTCACATGTTCGAATACAATAAAGAATTATTTAGTGTCTTAGTGATTAATATCAATTATGTTAAGAGATTTTATCTTCATTCCATCACAACTATCAACTATTATTGCTTATTTTTTACTCTTCTTCACAAATATTATTTTTTAAGATAAGTGTCTTGAATTAACTAATTAATTGATAATCTAGATTGAATTTTTATTAAATACTAATCAAATCATGATTAACTTTAAAACCTTTTCTTTAGAATATTTAAATTTAGAATATTAGGTTGGAATAGTATAATCGATTGATTTTAAATATTAATGCAATCTTTCAGTATTGCATATGTCTTCCCCAAATATATAAGTCTAATTTTATGATTTTGCTTGAAAATTATTTTCTGAAATTATAATTTCTCCCAATAATATTTTCAATTTATTCAATTCCTTCAACTTCTTTATTTTTCCGTCAACGACAAAGGTATATCTACTTGAACATAACATTGTTTAGATAAATTTGCCATATTAAAAAGGGAAGAGTATCACAACCAGATCCAAGTGAGATTAGATTACATTTTTCTTATTTAATAAAGTTGAAACTATTCTATGAAAAATCTTAAATCTGCACCAATAACCTCTATATCGTTTTTGGAAGTATTTATGCTTAATTACGGATCTATCATAGTTGATTATTATTTTTTGCCATCACTCTGCATTAGTGTCTACAACTACAACGTGTATTTAAATTTGATTGTTTTACCGCATCACTTATTGAAACATGTTATCTTATTAATTATAAAATAAAGCCTAAATTACAATTCATTATGATCGAAAATTTTAGGTTTTTGCATTAAAATTTATTAATTTAGATTCAGTAGAAACACTTCTAGTTCTGGAATGATTCTATTGTTAGTATTACATAATTTGTAAGCTGGNGGATATAATAAAATAAATGACTTACTGTATAATCTATAACTTAAGTTTTATAAAAGTAATAAATTTAATAATATTTTTTAAATTTATTAATATATTCTAGAGGAAATTATAAATAGAATACTTCTGTCTAATATCTTCTGCATTAACAAATTATTCTACTATTCAAGCTACTAAAGTTTTAATTGTGAAAATACGAACTATGGCAAAATTTTTAGAACCTGCTCTTTTCTTTGGATCTATGTAATTTCTCTATTGCATTTATATTTATACGTAGAATTGGAGGGATTCTATATTTGAATTTGGGACGTATAACACTTTTCATAGTTACATTTTCAATTTCCAACTAAATTGTTTAGATACCCTAACAAATTTTTTTTTTGTAATATAATTAACAACAATTTGCAAATTGTTTTAGTTATCATAATATTTTTTCCCATCATAATAAAGGTGATAACAAGTTATTGATATTGCTATTATATAGGATACCCCTTGAAGTTCTTTCGTTACAATTCTTGAGTGATTTTTGATTAACTTCCTCTTATTAATTATTCAAGAAAAACTTTCACTCACATGTTCGAATACAATAAAGAATTATTTAGTGTCTTAGTGATTAATATCAATTATGTTAAGAGATTTTATCTTCATTCCATCACAACTATCAACTATTATTGCTTATTTTTTACTCTTCTTCACAAATATTATTTTTTAAGATAAGTGTCTTGAATTAACTAATTAATTGATAATCTAGATTGAATTTTTATTAAATACTAATCAAATCATGATTAACTTTAAAACCTTTTCTTTAGAATATTTAAATTTAGAATATTAGGTTGGAATAGTATAATCGATTGATTTTAAATATTAATGCAATCTTTCAGTATTGCATATGTCTTCCCCAAATATATAAGTCTAATTTTATGATTTTGCTTGAAAATTATTTTCTGAAATTATAATTTCTCCCAATAATATTTTCAATTTATTCAATTCCTTCAACTTCTTTATTTTTCCGTCAACGACAAAGGTATATCTACTTGAACATAACATTGTTTAGATAAATTTGCCATATTAAAAAGGGAAGAGTATCACAACCAGATCCAAGTGAGATTAGATTACATTTTTCTTATTTAATAAAGTTGAAACTATTCTATGAAAAATCTTAAATCTGCACCAATAACCTCTATATCGTTTTTGGAAGTATTTATGCTTAATTACGGATCTATCATAGTTGATTATTATTTTTTGCCATCACTCTGCATTAGTGTCTACAACTACAACGTGTATTTAAATTTGATTGTTTTACCGCATCACTTATTGAAACATGTTATCTTATTAATTATAAAATAAAGCCTAAATTACAATTCATTATGATCGAAAATTTTAGGTTTTTGCATTAAAATTTATTAATTTAGATTCAGTAGAAACACTTCTAGTTCTGGAATGATTCTATTGTTAGTATTACATAATTTGTAAGCTGGAATAAATTAATAAAAAACTCCGAAAAGGCGGATTTGAACCACCGACCTGGGGATAACTGATTTAACACTACAGTCCCTCGCTCTACCAACTGAGCTATTTTCGGATGTTAATATAAATCTAAGGAGTTCCTATGTAAATCCTTTCTATTAAAAACGAAAAAGAGCATTTTTATTATTAGTAAAAAAATATTTAATTTTTTTCAGGATTATTCTGGATAATACACATTCTAATTTTATCCTTATTTACATTTAATTTTACTTTGTAAACAAAATTTTATCTTTCCAATGGATAAGAAAGTTGATAAATAATTAGAAGCGAATTAATATAATTCAGTTATGAAATTCTTAAATGAGATGATTAAATTCTGTTTTTCTGATGATTGTTATTTCTATCATAAAATACTAAATTGATTTTGATTCAAATATTAAGATTGTTAAAATTTTTTTGATTTCAAATTTGCTATACATGTTTTTTTTAATAAATTGGTTTAATTCCTGTTCACACTAAGCAAAACAAATAAAATTGAGTTAAATTTTAAAAATCATAGTGCTTGCAAGCAGTAGATTCGTATCTTATCTGATAAATGTTAAAATTTTTCGATATGCTGATAATTTAAAGAATAATAGCTTATCTAATTACATTAGTATATATAAGAATAATTGATAAAATGAACGGAAACAAAAAGTTATATTGATATTTCTAATTATTTTCCTCTATTTTGGGTTAAAAATAATTTCTATAAATTGATATTCTCTAAAAATTTAATTAGAATAGGAACTTAAAGTAATAATATATTTAAATCTGATATTCTAAAAAATATTCCAAAAGTTCGAAATTTCCATTCTCATTGACCTAATTTATATTTTTAATTAAAGAGCAGAAAAATTACAATTCCTTTCTCTTCTATTTTTAAATTTTTCTGTACAAAAACTAAAAGTAAATATCCCTTTGAAACTTTAAATCGCATTTCTTAAATAGGAAAATGGACAGATTAACTAAAATCCTTCATTTACATGAAACTGATCATAAAATAGTAACTACTAAATTTGCAGATTAATTTATACTGAGTTTTTAAAACAAAATTTGAATTGTAAATTAACAATAAAATCTAATTGAAATTTTTTTAGAATACATTGTGAACGATTTATAAAAACTCTCTTTTCAAACTCGTCATAACAATTTATTTTGCACTTCTTAAAAAAAATTACTTGAAAATGTTAAAATATTCATTTACACCAATCCTATATTGATAGATGATTGCTTTAAAAATGTTCAATATCAAGTAGAACAACGAAATATACTTTAAATTTAGATGAATTTTTTCAATAATTAAACTATTTCTCACTACTTTAATATAAAAAATCTAAAATTATCTTATCTAAATTTTTGACTAATAAACAAAAAAATTGATAGAAAAAACTTTAACCAATTTAAACTTCCCTTTTCTTTTTATTTATCGCTCTTGATACTTTTAATTACAAGCCAGCTACTGGATGTGAAGATTTTAGTAAGGGAATTTTGAATTGCAAGAATTATAGACCAGTTCATTCTATTATCCACTTTATTTAAGTTGATATAATGAATATGATCGTTAAAACTTAATCTAATCCATTTGTATTTCTAATGTTTATTAATTAATAATATAATTAATAATCAGTCAAATTGTACTTTTATATCGTCTGATCTAAATCTCTTTGGATTTAACATACTATGTTACAATAAAGTTACCATCTGCACTTATGGTTCCATAAGTTCTTCCCTATAAATATTTCTAAGTTTCAAATTCGATAGCCCATTATAATTTACAATCCCAATCTTAAGAGCCAAAGGAGAACTATATTATATTTAGATTTTAGTCATTTTTTGAAAGCATCAAACCTTTTTAAGTATTATAAACTGAAGGAAAAAAACANAAAAAAACTCCGAAAAGGCGGATTTGAACCACCGACCTGGGGATAACTGATTTAACACTACAGTCCCTCGCTCTACCAACTGAGCTATTTTCGGATGTTAATATAAATCTAAGGAGTTCCTATGTAAATCCTTTCTATTAAAAACGAAAAAGAGCATTTTTATTATTAGTAAAAAAATATTTAATTTTTTTCAGGATTATTCTGGATAATACACATTCTAATTTTATCCTTATTTACATTTAATTTTACTTTGTAAACAAAATTTTATCTTTCCAATGGATAAGAAAGTTGATAAATAATTAGAAGCGAATTAATATAATTCAGTTATGAAATTCTTAAATGAGATGATTAAATTCTGTTTTTCTGATGATTGTTATTTCTATCATAAAATACTAAATTGATTTTGATTCAAATATTAAGATTGTTAAAATTTTTTTGATTTCAAATTTGCTATACATGTTTTTTTTAATAAATTGGTTTAATTCCTGTTCACACTAAGCAAAACAAATAAAATTGAGTTAAATTTTAAAAATCATAGTGCTTGCAAGCAGTAGATTCGTATCTTATCTGATAAATGTTAAAATTTTTCGATATGCTGATAATTTAAAGAATAATAGCTTATCTAATTACATTAGTATATATAAGAATAATTGATAAAATGAACGGAAACAAAAAGTTATATTGATATTTCTAATTATTTTCCTCTATTTTGGGTTAAAAATAATTTCTATAAATTGATATTCTCTAAAAATTTAATTAGAATAGGAACTTAAAGTAATAATATATTTAAATCTGATATTCTAAAAAATATTCCAAAAGTTCGAAATTTCCATTCTCATTGACCTAATTTATATTTTTAATTAAAGAGCAGAAAAATTACAATTCCTTTCTCTTCTATTTTTAAATTTTTCTGTACAAAAACTAAAAGTAAATATCCCTTTGAAACTTTAAATCGCATTTCTTAAATAGGAAAATGGACAGATTAACTAAAATCCTTCATTTACATGAAACTGATCATAAAATAGTAACTACTAAATTTGCAGATTAATTTATACTGAGTTTTTAAAACAAAATTTGAATTGTAAATTAACAATAAAATCTAATTGAAATTTTTTTAGAATACATTGTGAACGATTTATAAAAACTCTCTTTTCAAACTCGTCATAACAATTTATTTTGCACTTCTTAAAAAAAATTACTTGAAAATGTTAAAATATTCATTTACACCAATCCTATATTGATAGATGATTGCTTTAAAAATGTTCAATATCAAGTAGAACAACGAAATATACTTTAAATTTAGATGAATTTTTTCAATAATTAAACTATTTCTCACTACTTTAATATAAAAAATCTAAAATTATCTTATCTAAATTTTTGACTAATAAACAAAAAAATTGATAGAAAAAACTTTAACCAATTTAAACTTCCCTTTTCTTTTTATTTATCGCTCTTGATACTTTTAATTACAAGCCAGCTACTGGATGTGAAGATTTTAGTAAGGGAATTTTGAATTGCAAGAATTATAGACCAGTTCATTCTATTATCCACTTTATTTAAGTTGATATAATGAATATGATCGTTAAAACTTAATCTAATCCATTTGTATTTCTAATGTTTATTAATTAATAATATAATTAATAATCAGTCAAATTGTACTTTTATATCGTCTGATCTAAATCTCTTTGGATTTAACATACTATGTTACAATAAAGTTACCATCTGCACTTATGGTTCCATAAGTTCTTCCCTATAAATATTTCTAAGTTTCAAATTCGATAGCCCATTATAATTTACAATCCCAATCTTAAGAGCCAAAGGAGAACTATATTATATTTAGATTTTAGTCATTTTTTGAAAGCATCAAACCTTTTTAAGTATTATAAACTGAAGGAAAAAAACAATCACAGCTTCGATCAGCACCTTTGATTTATAGAACTTTCGTTTGTGCAAATTCTCCTATGGATATGGAGTTAAGCTCAAAGAATTGCTAATACCCTTACAATGAGGGTCGAAAAGCAAATAATGTAATATTAATAAAATAGTAAAACGATTAAAATTTGGATGTCACTCAAAAATTTATGCAAACAGAATGATTAGTTTGAATTCCTAAATTCCTCGATAAAAAAAGAAGATACTTTGAGGAATATTATTTTCTTCGAATTCTGCTACAATATTCTGAGCAAATCATGCAAAAATTCTCCCAAAACCTTGTGAATTTACTCTTCTTATTGTATACTTGTATGCGATGAATCCATCAACCCCAATAGCCCTGATAACATATTTTAGTTTTGGAAGAACCTGATTAGATTTAAAGCAAAGGAAATACTTGTTATTTTGGCAATCTTCGTGCAACTTTCAAGCTTCTTCCCAAATTACTTTCATAAATAAAAATAACCCATTAGTTTGATTTGCAAACTCGAATCAAACTAATGGGTTGATTTAGTTTATTTTTAATAATACTTACAACTTGGCTAACGACAAGAATAATTTTCACAAAAATCTTATTATATTGCTTTTGCACTAATCATTTAAGCAATATTTGATTGAATGACCATTTTTTCAAACCAATTAAGTTTTCTAGCAAAATGATTTTGCTATAAGAGCAGAGTATTTCTTATTAAAAAACTTAAGTTATACAGTAGACAGAAAAGTATTGTATTGATAATACCTTTAAGAACAAATGAATACATTAAAACGATAGAATTAAATTGATTACTTTTTCTTAAAACAAATGTTTAAATTAGACAGAACAGTATTGTATTGATATATCCTTAAGAACAAATGAATACTTTAAAACAATAGTATTTAATTGATTACTTTTTCTAAAAACAAATGTTTAAATTAG